ATGACTGACAAAACTGCCAAAATGATGAGTGAACGAGATGTATGGGGGAAGGTTCGATGAGGGATCTCGCAAGGCATCCGCTCGGAAATACAAGTGCGCTGCGGGCCTAAAACATCTGACAGCCTTGCGTGCCTTGCCCGCGCCTCAGGTTCATGCAAGGGCGCGGCCCACATGGCGAAACCACGTTGCCACCTGCACTGATTGCCAAAGACGGAAAGGGAACCATTTCAATTGGCCGAAGTGGTTTTGTTCCTGAGACAAAGCAGAAACTCGCAGATTAAGGATACTGTCATTTACAGTGGTACTCGCGTGGGAACTAATTACTGTCTTTCTGACAATTTTGAGACGAGTTAGGGAGACAGTGAAGATGTAAGACAGCACTTATTTTACTATGTAAGCTTCGGTAGCTTATTAGTCTCTGTTGAACACACCTAGTATGTCGTAAACTTGCACAGTAACAGACGAAACCAGTTTCTGCCCGGAAACGAAACTGAAATATCGTACGCATGTACAAATATGAACAACCTCCACTGCCATCAGTCCAAACCATATCCCAAATTTACACATACAGTACATACACTCAATGACAACCCAACTCCAAACAGCGCTCACAAAAAGACCCAATGAATCACACCGTTACCCCCGTTTCCCCCCCTTCACCCAGCCATCGTCAACGTATAACTCGTAATGACCGACATCCTTTCACTCGTCAACTTCAACGAAATCCGCAACAACTCCTGCGCCACATCCGGCTCCTCCTTCTGCAACCTCGCCCAACTCTCCCCATCCATCAACCACACCACACACTCCCTCTCCGCAATACACGTCGCCGTCCGGTTCGTCTCCGAAAAGAACGGCAACTCCCCACACGTCGTGCCCGCCACGATACTCTCGAACAACCACCCCTGCGGCAAGTCGTACTCGGCGCGCAGGATGCCCGACTCGACGAGATAGAACCCTTCGGCGCGCTCGCCGCGCCGGAAGAGGACGGTGCCCGGTGCGAAATGCGCGTGTTGAAAGTAGCGCACGGCACGGAACCAAAAATCTTCGTTTTTGTCGCTGACGTCGCGGAAGATTTGTAGGATGAGACGGAGGGGCTCTTTGAAGCTTTGCCAGCGCGTGGGGCGCTTGGCTTGGACTTGGCCGAGTGAGTTGCGGGCGGCTTCGCGGAGGTGGTTGCGCCGGGGGGAGGAGCCGAGCATGGCGGATGATGAGGAGGGCAGAAGGTTGGAGGAGGTTGCCGAGGGCGGTTGTTGGCTGTTGGGGACGTCGAGGTTGGCCGTGGAGACGGTCAGTGTGCTGTCTGAGTCTTCTTGGTTGACGTAGAGGGTCTTGAGAAGTTCGTTCTCGCAATACTCTAGCGCGGCGTTGAGTTCGGGCAAGAGTTTCACTTCGATACCGTCCTCGCCTAGGCCGACAGCCCGCAGATTGCGACCCAGGCCGTGTGCTGGGTCGACCCCGCTGACCACAAGCTCGATACCCTTGCCATCCAAGAGCCTGCTGATGGTGTTGAAGACTTCGGCGGCTGAATAGTCCACGCCCGTGACAAGCCAGAGGTCGAGAACCAGAAACTTGATCGGCCGTCTGTTGAATTCTTCATCCGAGATGAGTGCCCTGATCCTATCTTCGACGCCAACAATGGTGCCAAAAAATAGGTACCCAGAAAGCTTCAGGACGCTGATCTGGCGACCAACTTGGCGGAGGTAATGCTGCTGAGTCGGATTCCTTCTCACAGTCGACCCAACGACATCGCCTAAGTAACTCGCTCGGATGGCCGAGACCCTCGACGTCTGGAACGTCAGGGACATGAAAGCTAGCAAGATCCCCACGCCAATGCCGACCACAAAGTCGTACGTGCCCATGACAAGCACGATGGCTATCACAGTAAAATATTCCACCGGTTTCAGCTTCCTCCTCGGCTGCCACACAGCCTCTAATAGGAGTTCAAATCCAAGGTCGAAAATCAGCACGCCAACCATCATGACGGGGATGTATCCGATGAGCGAAGGACCGATGAGCATGACCAAAAATGTAAACACCGCAAGTTCGATCCCAGCTAGTCGAGTATTCCCCCCGGAGCGCATAAAAAACAGGCTGTTGGAATAGACTAGATAGTTCTGAATGCTGCCGGCCATACCGGATAAGAAGTTCGAGTATCCGTGTAACTTGAGCTCATGGTCCAGATTGGCGTGGTCCTCACCTGTGTTCAGAGCAAGTGCCGGAACGTTTATAGGGACGTGGAGGATGCCGAAAAAGGTCAAGGCAAGCATGGCCGGGATGCACTGCGCGATGGCTCCCCAATGAACCAGGTTCAACTCTGCCAGAAATATCAGCGTTCTGGTAACCCTAAACATGTTAGAAGAGAGAAAAGACTCACTGTACAAGGTGTAAAAATACCACCATGGTTCTCCCGCAGGCGGGCCCTCGAAGACCCAGCCGCCGTCTCGCAAGTTCTCGGGATTCAACACGTTCAACGCACCGGCCAAAGCGTAAAACGCGGCGGGTATGGCGAGGATATAGAGCGGGAGGAAGTATTTGGACGTGATCCTGGACTGGCCGTAGAAGAGGATAACAGCTAACGAAAGTGGGATGATCCAAAGGGGTACAGTGTCGGCCCGAACAAGATGTTTCAATGTATCCAAATTGTAATGCAGACTCCCATCCATGCGCGCCGTAACTTCGAATCCGGTCGCGACCAAAAACCAGCCGACACCTCCGATACAGCCGATCAGGATGTGGCGGGGGATGAAACCCACCAGGTAGCCGAATTTGAACTTGCCCATCAGGTAGAAGACGGCGCCTGTGAGCATCGAGCTAAGCGCGTAGGACGTAATGGTGGTAGCAATGACTGCATCCGGCTGGTCTTCTCCGACAATATCTGTGATGGTGGCCGCCATGTTATGGAAGAACGGGACGACTTCGATCTGAGGATTGTCAGCGTACGTCTGAAAAGAACAAGAAAGCTAAAAGCCCACCGAGGGGGGAACTCACCAGCTCGGAGCCAACTCCGCCCTTAAAGATACTTCCCGACGAAAAGGTCAGCTGTGAGACAATACAGCTAACGTAGAACATGGATATCCCCGCCGACCCCAAGCTCGCAAAGATTGGACTCCCCAACGGAAACAAAATCATGCCTACTCAACGTTAGTACCAGGGACAAAACATCACCGTGTGCAAGGTGCCGTATTTACCATAAGACAACGCATCCAAGATATTGAGCAGCAGCCCAACAACAACAGCCGGAAGACACGCCACCGGAGCAACGACCGCGTTCTGCCAGAGGGCGTGACGGTCCCACCGCTTCGGGTTGCTGATGACGGGGATGATACTGGCCACCCGGCCACCTGCGTTCCGCATAGAAGTAGCCGCCCCCACAATCCATCTTTCTTGGTTCAGAGCTTTCTGACCCTCCAAATCAATGTCGGACTCGCCCACCCGAGACGTCCCGTAGCTTTCTGGGCCTGTTTCCCTTGAAGTCGGAGGTATCAGAGGGGATGATTCGTCCTGGTTTGGCTCGTTTTCGGCCAAGGAATCGTGCGCTGCTACCAGAGGCCGAGATGGGGCGGAGGTTATCCGACTCAGCGAAGTCTCCCCTTCGTCTTCGACTGTATCATTGCCGGTCGCGGAAACATCCTCGTGAGCATTGGCGTCTTTTGACTTGTAAAAGTAGCTTTGGTCCGGCGGCGACCTCCGGAGCATGGTGGTAAGCATCGATGGCCCCTCCGCAGGAACAGCCCGGTCATCCGTCTCTTCGGGGGACGGTGGCTCCGACACTTCGGCGATGACCTCGGCTAATGGTCCTAGGCTGTGCTCGGAACCGGAGGGCTCGAGAGGGAGCTGCGAGGTACTGGATGAAGCGGATCTGGCCCGGCGAATAAAGGGAGTGGCCCGGGCGTCCTTGTTGTCGGAGAGAAAGTAGTTGGCCAACTCGGCGGTTTCCTCGCGGACGGAGCGTGCTGACTCTGCGCTATCGAGGGGAGCTATCAACATGGGTTAGCACGGGAGGTATCGCCTGTTACGGGGCGGACGTATACCCACGTAGATGGCCCCTGATACTGCCGTGGATGAACGACCTTATGGGCTCGCGGCCCACAGACGAGGACAGCTGTTTCGCATCGCCGTTCGCGCCCCGTGGATCTTGGAGGTTCGAGTCGGCTGAGTCTTCTTCGCGAGAGGCGTATGAGGTCACGGAAGAGCGCCTCCTCCTCCAAGAATAGTTGAGAGCTGGCGACGACATGGCGCAAGGAAGTGGGCAGGAGGGGTAGGATCTCGAAGGGGGGAGGGGTGTGAGAACGTTCAAGGCGCGATCTGCGGGAGCGAATCGTTTGACGGCGCGCGCATGGTGGTCCTAGCCGGGCAAAGCAAATGGCATCTAACTTCTCCCGATGTGGTTACGATGACGACTAGGAAGGACACTCGTAGATCTCCAAAAGGACGGCCCGTCGAAGCGAGTGATAGAATGGTTTGTCAATGCGGGACAGCGTGGGGGGACAAAAGTAGACGTCTGTCGTTGAATTGGGCCCGCTAGTTAGCGGGTCGGATGGGATACCCGATGGATATAGGTATGGTACCTCTGTACAAAAAGGAGCGCCATGTGAGTTGAAGTTTAGTGCGAGAGATAAGCATTCCAGGCAAACCTTCTGTTCCTTGGACAATAATCGACACTAGGTTCCGAGGAGGACCCACTCCTCCCCGAGGCTGGATCCATGACAAAGGTCGGTTCGTGTGCGAAAGTTTCGACAACCACTGTCATGATTGTGACCAATTTTTTTCTGGTCATAAGTTCGGGGCCTTCTTGAGCCTCCCCGCTCGCCGGCTTCACTGCCTGGTCGCCCCGCGCCGTCTCTTTCTTCGCAGTTTGTCGAGGGATGTGAGGGTCTGGACCGTTGAAGGAGTTGCAGCGTGGTGGGGCAAAACATTGAAAACGGCCGTGGGATGATGCAATGACAGTGTGAATTGACTTTCAGAGGGTAGACTGCCACGGCTCAAAGGTGCCTGGTCCGCTTTTAAGGTACGGTGTTTTTCGAGGCTTTTTTCAGAGTAAACAATACGTTTAGGACACTCTTAACGAAACATATAGACGATAATTCAAACTACCGACCCTGTTGACTATTCAAGCCCTCCAGGCTTTCCCTCGCCAAACACAGTGATTTCTTCGTAAAGCTCACTGTGAGCTTCCGCCCCCCAATTGGCGAAAAAAAAAGTTCGCTGGCCACGCGAGCTGCAGGCGCGTTGACAGGCGTCAGGCCTTGCGTTTCTCCCCCTGTCAATGCTGCCGGCAACTCTGCCGCGAGCCAATGGACGAGGAGCTCGGCCCGGCCATGGGTTGCACAATTCTATCCACAGACCGGTCCACGCGAGGAGGACCTCACCTTCTGCCGCCATCGTGGCGCGAGCTTTCATCAGCTAGCGGCGGTTGGTGTTGTTTCGAGATTGATTCGAGGTCCCTCTCTGCCGCGTCGGGGAAGCAGTGTCAAGGTTCCGACCGAGCCTGGGCGGTTCATGAAAAATTCTTTTGTCTCCCCACGAGTCACGGGAACGATGTGGTGCCATGTACTGCGTAGTCGTGTAGTTTGCGTGTCCCAAAGGGGCATACCTATGAGTTGATCGGCCATAGATGGACTGAGGCCGTGAGCTCTTTAGGCGGGCGAGTACCTATCAGCTTTCACCCAAGCTTTTGAAGGTAACCTTGGGCGATCAACCGTTCGACATCACCCTGTCGAACGTAGAACTGGCTGTTTTTGGTCAAGTTAATAGCCCTACCGAATACGTTAATCTCTGTCCACATGAAATGGAGACTACTCAACTCAGGAATTGCTTACCCGTATTCCGTCTGGATTTCACCCGCGTCCTTCAACACACGGACGTCGATGAATAGGTCTCTTGGCGGCTCAAGACTCCCAGTCAGGTCAACGTCCGTCCACTGACCCTTATAAGCTGCCAGAAGATCCCCATACTGCCGAAAATAGTCCTCTTCCTGCGGACTCAGACTACTACCCCCTCCACTATCCACCGCAGCGCCTGCACCGTTCCCACCGCCGGCTTGCTGGCCTGCGAGATCTAGCACATCCGAGCCACTCCACACAAGCTCCTCCAACTTGTCGGTACGTGTCCGGTGGTAGGCAAGGAGGCAGCGCTTGTTGCGGCGCATAGAAAGATGATTGACCAGCAAGGTGCACGCGGTTGCCTGGTCTGCTGAGGGGTCGAAGGAGCCTTGGAATGGCTCGAGCAAGCTGGCCACGTCTTTGTCAAGGTCCCGCACCTCTCGAGTCACAGCTCGGACTAGTTCGGTCTGGTATGGCGGTAGATGTGTCAAGTTTTGTGTCCGTTTGGCGTGTTGAACCTTGAGCAAGTGTCAGCTAATTTCGAAGGGCGACGGGCGTTCGTTGGGCACGGCGTGATACACACCAATTTGTTGCCTAAATCACCGTACATCGGCATTTTGAGAAGAAGAGGGGATTATTCTATTGAGAACAACCTTATTTCATATACCAACGTGACTCGGCGCAAGTACCCCTAGGTTGAACGGTTTGGCGTGAGTAGGTCAGCTCAAGCCATGCTGTGGGAAGTTGACCGCGACGGCCCCGCGCGATAAAGCCAAGCATGCGTTTGGCCGTGATAGTCCCCACTTTGCCCTGCGCTCCTCGAAATGGAACAACCCTCCAAGGAAGCTGCTTCAACCACTCAATGCGGTCAAGTTTCGAGCAGTGAAATTGATCATTTCAATTTTAGCCTAACGGCTAACACGACCATGGTTCAACAAGGGGTGCGTACTAATAGGGGCAACATCGACTTTTTCTTCACGGCTTTATGCATTGATGCTAGGCACACCTTGCTTCTCGAGGTGATCATCCATCACCAACGAATTATTCGCAGTTTCTCTCATATAAATTTATAGCTGACTACTAAAAGGGCTCTGCGGCATACGAAACAAGAGTCCAATAAACATATTAATCTCCCATCAACCCGGCAAACACGATCGGTCGTCGGTCTCCAGAGGCAGTGACCATCCAGTTCCGTCGCGATATGCAGTACCTGATGGCCAACCACTTGGTTCCGCGCCCCCTGGGTGCTGCCCAGCGTTTGCACACACAGTCAACGAGCGTACCGTAGGAAAAAAAAAGGGAAGATATCGCAGACTGTCTGTCTGAGGAGCAACGGTTAGCCGATAAGCCCAGAACCGCTATCTGGTGAAACTCAGTTCCGAAAGTACACAAAAATCAGAGACGCATGTCAATGCTGGGTTTCGTCGTCATTTGCAGGTCTTGAGGCTGCTTGGTAACACGGACCAATATAGATCATCATGAAAAGGGGTACAAAATTGGGGTAGTAGTAGGAGAGGGCGACATACCGAGTATGCACAAGCTGTTTTCGTTGGGCGGCGCAACTTGGTGCTGGCCTGTGTTGTGTTGGAAGTGAAAGAGAGGAAAAGTTGGTAACTTTGGAAATCATTTTCGAAGAAAAGTCAACAAGCAGCGCACGGGCCCACACAACCCACTCTGCCTGTCATCCGATAAGATAAGAAATTTAAGTGGGTACCTGGAAACTACGAGAGCTTTCGTCACAGCTTCTAGCTCGTCGACGAATACTCGAGTCGTTTCTCGACCGTCACGAGTTTTGGATGTTCTGGGTATAAAGGTGCTGATATGCCCTTTGCATCGACGGATTCGGATGCCGGTCGATGAAACCCCTTTTCCTTTTCCCTTAGAACCGAGCAGTTTGTAAGATGCAATCAAGAGCACGGATTCTATCAACCGCTTCTCAACGGCTCGCAGCCGTTCCAAGGGGCGTGTTGCGGCAACACCAGTTTCCCCGAACCTTTGCGGCTATCCCGAGGTCAACGGTTGTAATATCCTCTCAGAAAGTCGTCCCAACCGTAGCAACGCGAGCATACTCCAATGGCCGGCCACACCCACCAGGCGGCACGCACCGCATGAATCTCGGAGGCGAGCCGGAAAAGCCGGCGCTTGAACAGTATGGAGTCGACCTGACGGCGCGGGCAAAAGCGGGAAAGCTCGATCCTGTTATTGGAAGGTCTTCCGAGATCCAACGGACGATTCAAATCCTCTCCCGTCGAACGAAAAACAACCCCGTGCTCATCGGAAGTGCCGGCGTTGGCAAGACTGCTGTTCTCGAAGGGTTGGCTATTGAGATTGTTCGCGGTGCGGTGCCAGAGAGCATCAAAAACAAAAGGGTTGTTTCCTTGGATCTTGGGTCGCTCATCGCCGGTGCAAAGTTCCGCGGCGATTTTGAAGAACGACTGAAGAAGGTTCTTTCCGAAGTTCAACAATCTGAAGGTCAGGTCATCCTCTTCATCGACGAGCTCCATACGCTCCTTGGGCTAGGGAAAGCAGAGGGGTCCATAGACGCGTCGAATCTTCTTAAGCCCGCTCTATCCCGCGGCGAACTACAATGCTGCGGTGCTACAACCCTCGCCGAATACCGCCAGATCGAAAAAGACGTTGCCTTGGCCAGACGTTTTCAACCGATTCTTGTCAGCGAGCCAACCGTCCCAGATACAATCAGCATTCTACGTGGGATCAAGGACAAGTATGAGGTGCATCACGGTGTCCGTATCACCGACGGCGCGCTAGTTGCGGCCGCTACCTACTCGAACCGGTACATCACTGACCGCTTCCTTCCCGACAAGGCAATCGACCTGATGGACGAGGCCGCCAGTTCACTCAGGCTCCAACAGGAAAGCAAACCCGAGGACATCTTGCGGCTGGACCAAAAGATTATGACTATCCAAATCGAACTCGAGAGTCTCCGGAAGGAGAAGGATATTGCCAGCAAGGAGCGGCGTGAGAAGCTGGAAACCGAGCTCCAGCAGTGCCGAGAGGAAGAGAAGACACTGACCGAGAAGTGGGAGAAAGAGAAGTCAGAGATCGACGCAATAAAGCAGACCCAGACAGACCTGGACAGGGCCCGGGTCGAACTTGAACTCGCGCAAAGAGACGGCAATTTCGCCAAAGCCTCTGAGCTTAGGTTCAGCACCATCCCCAACCTCGAAAAGAAGCTGCCGAAAGAGGGCGAGGAATCCGGCGGCGAAGGAAACCTGATTCACGACTCTGTAACCGCCGATGACATTGCCAATGTCGTCTCGAGAATTACCGGAATTCCCATCTCAAAGTTGACGAGCGGACACACTGAAAAGTTGATTCACATGGAGGACATTCTTCGGGAGTCTGTCCGTGGGCAGGACGAAGCCCTCAAGGCCGTGTCAGATGCCGTGAGGATGCAAAGGGCTGGCCTTAGCGGCGAGAACCGCCCACTGGCGTCGTTCTTCTTCCTAGGCCCCACGGGCGTTGGCAAGACAGAGCTGTGCAAGAAGCTTGCTAGTTTTCTCTTCTCCACCGAGTCCGCCGTTGTTCGGTTCGACATGAGCGAGTTTCAAGAGAAGCACACCATCTCCCGTCTCATCGGTGCGCCGTCTGGCTACGTTGGCTACGAAGATGCCGGCCAGTTAACCGAAGCTGTCCGCCGCAAGCCGTACGCCGTTCTTCTCTTCGACGAGTTTGAAAAGGCGCACCGCGATATCTCGGCCTTGCTTCTCCAGGTGCTAGACGAGGGTTACCTAACCGACGCACAGGGGCATAAGGTTGATTTCAAAAACACCATCATCGTCCTAACCTCCAACCTCGGCGCCGACATCCTTGTCGGAGCAGACCCCATCCACCCCTATCATGAGACTCCCGACGGTGACATCGACCCCAAAGTCAAATCTGCCGTCATGGACGTCGTCTCCTCGCAGTACCCGCCTGAGTTCCTCAACCGCATCGACTCTTTTATCATCTTCAAGCGCCTCGCGCTCCAAGCTCTGCGCGACATCGTCGACATCCGACTTCGCGAGCTCCAGCAGCGACTAGATGACCGGCGCATCAGCCTCACCGTCCCTAACGACGTGCGCGAGTGGCTTGCTGAACGCGGATACGACCCGAAGTTTGGCGCCCGCCCGCTAAACCGGCTTATCACCACACAGATTGGGAACGGACTGGCTGACAAGATCATTCGTGGCGAGCTCAAGATGGGTGATAAGGCGGTGGTAGCGCTGAACGAGGACAAGACAGGGGTGACGATTACTGCAGTTGATGCTTCCGAGCAACAGCAGCAGGTTTAACGCACGTTCCGCTTTTGACGACGGTAAATGATCTTGATGTTACTGTATAGTATTGTATTTTGATGTACATGATGGGGATTTGGGAAACTCACCACTCGATTGACATAAAAGCAACAAGGAGTTTGTAATATTTGACATGTAAATACACGGCATTTGCAGAGTGTTAATCGCTTCTCCTGCACCCAATATTAGAAAATAACAAAATGTCCCTTTACAGAATGAGACTTTCTAAACTAGTTCCGGAAATCGTCAAGGTTAAGGCAGACAAACAGAGGAAGGAAAACAATGGTCCTTGTCCATACCCCCAACCAAAACCCGCATGAAGTCGGAACCATACCACGCATGCTGCCACATCCCGGTCCCCAACAACTCAACGTGCAGTTAAATGCAATGCTGATAGCCTGTAGGATTTTCCACCGCTTGTTCGCCTCGTTTTGTGACGTCCATTTCGATTCAGAGATTTGGCAGGTTGGTCCATTGTTTTTACACTAAGTTCTGGATTGAGGAGAACATCCATCACAGTGACTGTTCTGCGAGCTGCAATACTTCGTGAGTTGTGATTCGTGACGGCAACTCACATATGTGGTCTTTGACAGTTGCGAGGGTGGCACAGGATGTCAAAGAACATGCGGAAACTTTATCGTGCGAAATCAACCTTAATAATTACCGAATGTGTTTACAGCGCCCCCTGACCATCCACCCGCTTTTCCTCGTCCCTCCCTTCATCATGTAGACGCGGCGCGACAATACGTGCGACTTGCTATGTGTGCGTCTTCTTCCGCTCCTAGGCCACGCTAACCATACCCTTTTCCGTTTCCCCCTAGCCGTCCTAGCGCGGCAAGGCATGAGGTGCAGAGGTTGTTGGAACTGGTCTCAAAAGATAAAGAAGGTCGAGGGGAAAAACAGTGAACAAACTCTTATCTCTCTCTCTCCCTTGACGAATGTATCAAATTGTACATGATCCCAACCCAGTGCGCCCCTCCGTCTTTCCGAAAAAGTGACCAGAGTTCCAGAATGAGTGTTGGCCACCCTTCCTCGATTTCATCTCCTCATTCATCAGCGGCCGTCTTCACGATGCAAATGCACCAACCGCAAAATAGACTCCATGGGCTAGTCGACTGTCTGCTAGTGCGTGCACATTTAAAAGACCAACAATCGAGCCAATGCTTGGCATGATGGGGGCGAGGAGATCAGGTCCCCCAGCGCGTCTGAGGTCGCTTTAGGCGTTGTTCTTCTTGATTTCCGTGGCAAGCCAGTCAAGGCCCTCGAACAGACCGTCACCAGAAGTGGCGCAGGTGGATTGGATGAACTACGCGATAGTTAGTATTCGTGAGATGAACAAAAAAGTAACAAAACTCCAAGTAACAAGGGGTAGCATACCCAGGTACGTCGCTGCAGGCTGTGGAGACCAAGCTTGTCTGTGATCTCGGCGACGCTCATGGCATTCTAGAAAAGTAAAGAAGTTAGTATCTTGTTGCTTGTTCGATACCACGCGTTATGTTGTTGCTCACCGGCAGATCCTGCTTGTTGGCGAACACGAGGAGAAGAGCATCCCTCAGTTCATCCTCGTTGAGCATGCGCTGCAATTCCTCACGGGCTTCAGGCACACGGTCACGGTCATTGCTGTCGACGACGAAAATGATACCCTGGGTGTTCTGGAAGTAATGTCTCCACAAGGGACGAATCTTATCCTGTCCACCCACATCCCACACGGTGAACTGGATGTTGCGGTACTCGACGGTCTCGACGTTGAAACCTAGGGAGGGAAATTTACTGTCAGTTTTGCCTTTGGCTCAGCCGGATCTAAGAGGCGAGAAACACCGCTCTCTTGTCCGCGCCCGTTCACGAGTGATGACGTACCGATTGTGGGGATGGTCGTAACAACCTCACCCAACTTGAGCTTGTACAGAATGGTGGTTTTTCCGGCAGCGTCAAGACCAACCATCAGAATACGCATCTCCTTCTGCTTCATAAGCAGGGAAAGCCAGTTCCACATCTTAGAACTTCCTAAGCCCATGTTGGCGGTATTGAACGGTGGGACCGTAAAAGAAGTATAAAGGGATTGATCTGGAAAAAGCTTCTAGGTAAGTTGGGGAACAACGACTGCGGTTTGAAAAAAAAGGTCACAATAACGCGATTCTTGTCTATGGTAAACGGAGCGCGGTGTGTCGAAACGTAGGTTCGTGGCCAGGGAATGGGGAGAAGGCTTGAATTAAAAGTTGCTGACTGGCGTGATCTGAGGACAGATATGCACAGCGCAACGACAGGGACAAGCTTCAAGGCATCCCATGTTTGCCAGTGAGGAAGGCGAGGACGCGATCGGTGACCAGGAGTGTTCAGGCACCAAATCGCTGACTGGCTAGGGTCCTCGGGTCCCGAGACGCGCAAGACTCGATATGTGTGGATTTGGCGGCTGATGAGCCAGAGGACCCTTCGAAGTCGGGAGAGCGAGCGAGCGGGCGGCAGACCGAGGCAGAAACCCGATTCCACAATGCACCGGCGCAAGCAGGCGGTGGAGAGAGAAAGGCGACTTACTTTTCGGGTTTGAGCAGAAGAAACCGGGCGAGATAGCGAAGCGGCGTATTCTCGTCGAAGTTGAACGCTGGTGATGATGCTCCGATGGCGGTGTGGAAAGGAAAGCCTTAACTTAGGGGGAAGACGGATTGGATTTTGAAAGTTGTTCTCCGGCTGAGCCAGGGAAGGCAGTCACTGGGGCACCGGGGGCGGTTCCATCCAGGGAGCCTGGTATGGCCCGTGCACGATACCTGCTGGACACCTTATTTGTTGACTCGCGACCAAACAATCAGCCCTGCAGGCCACGTCCGCCACTGGTACCCCGCTTGTACATGCGCAGCCTGGAACAACATTGGACCGGGACACCTCCTTTTCGCCTTGGCTCCCTCTTCATTTTCACAAGCTGGGGCTTCGTTGACTGGCTCGACCGGCCAGTTGGCGAGTGGACCCCATCGCCCCCCCCTGGGAGTCGCGACCAAAGACAACGTGAGACAGCCCCAGCAACGAAGCCAGCGGAGCCAAGGGCCAAAATCGCCAACCTGGCCATGGATGGATCCCTGAATGCCGAGCACAGTTGCAGCACCTAACTAGCGGCCACAGCAAACCGCACGCGAAATCTGGCATCTCGACGTCCGCCCTCTCGCCTGCTCGTACCGGCCACGCACGACGACAATTGGCACCATGTTTCTTTTACAAACAGCGGCAAAGCTGCTGCTTTCGGCCAGCTTGCTTTTCAGCTCAGCAGTAGCACACAACATCCAACTTCCGGCGCATGGCCGCGAATGCTTCCACGAAAACCTGCACCATGGCGATAAGATGACCGTGACGTTCCAGGTTGGCGATCGGGAGTTCGGTAGCGCTGGGAATCTCGACATTGACTTTTGGGTATGATGCGCAAGCCCCCCGTTCGGATTGGATTATCATCAGCTTTGCCCGGACCCCCACTGACGTATCTTTCTCCCCTCTCCCTCTAGATCACGAACCCGAACGGCCAGTATGAAATCAACGACAAGTCGGTCTCAAACGGCGATTTCTCCTTTGACGCGAAACACGATGGCAAGTACGTCTACTGCTTCGGGAACGAACACTGGGGCGCGTCCTCCAAGGAGGTATCGTTCAACGTGCACGGCATTGTGTACGTGTCGGAGTCGGACGCACCGCAGGACCCGCTCGAGGTCGAGGTGCGGAAGCTGTCGGAGTTGCTGGAGCGGGTGAAGGATGAGCAGGGCTACATTGTCGTGCGCGAGCGTACTCACCGCAACACGGCGGAGAGCACCAACAGCCGGGTCAAGTGGTGGAACCTGTTTGTCATTGGCATCGTTATTGGCGAGAGCGTCTTTCAGGTCTGGTGGCTGCGGAGGTTCTTCGAGGTATGATATGTTGCCCGGCACGATGGTCCGAGTATCGAAGAAGGCTAACCGGTGGTTCGTTTCCTTCATCTAGGTCAAGAGGGTTGTTTGATTCCCTCACTTCGTCTTCTCCGTGTTACTTATTTACATCAATTGTGCGAGATGATATCAGCGGCTGGCGTAGGATCTGGGGCGGCTGGGTGATTGAAGGGCGAAAAGGGACGGGGTGTTTCTGTTTGGCGTCTCGGATCGGGAAGCATGGCCCATACCCCGTGTACGAGTCAAATGGCAATGAAGAAGGCGTCCTCCATCCTCGACGGCTCTGCTACGATAATACGATCATCTATGAGTCAGCTTCACTCCAAGATTATGGGATTTTGGTACGTGAGTCAGCATAACGTTGAGTGATGACATGTCTGCAAAAGACCATGGCCAGTGAACGACCACAGCCTTGTGTGTGGATTTAGAAATCGTTTCGGAACATTCTTAAGTCACGCTCCTAATGGGGCACACCCACACCTGATCGTATAATTATCAACACGCATGTTTCATTTACAGACCAATACATCATCAACATAGCCATCGCTCATCTCATGAACAACATACGCTTGCGAACTCACACCTCTTCCTCATCATATCCAAATTTACCCAAACGCCTTGCCCAAACACATAGGAATTTATAACCACAAAGCTAACCACGAAAACAACACATCATGGAATCAACGCTGCCTTCCTTCCCACCGCCACCTAAGCAGAAGGATCCGACTCTTGCATCGGCGCATGCTCCTGTGGCCGTTCCACCGGCAGATCGACTTCCTTCACCGGATGCAGCAGCATCGGCGGGAGACACATCCGGCCCTCGCCGCCACGCATGGTGCCCACGCTTGTCTCGTTCGCGCTCCGATCCACGGTGGTCTCAAACTCCTCCCCTCCGTCATTGTTCACGCGCAGGCCCATCCAGCGGCGGTACAAGTTGCCCGAGAAGCCGGCGTTGTAGAACCACGTCAGCCCGCGCATGTTGTGCTCGCGGTCGCCGTAGACTGATGTGCGCGCACCACCCGAGGCGCCGTTGCGTCCGCCGTTGAGCACGCGCGCGAGGTAGTCGGGGGGCCAGGCGCGGTCGACGAAGACCGGGTGCGGGGCAAAGACGGCTTTGAGGCCGTGGTGCAGGGCCACTGTGGCAGGCCACATCTCGGGGAAGGCATGGTGCTTCTTGAAGGCGGTCTCTCGGTGCATGGCGAGTAGGAGGCGCCTTGACATGCGCGAAGCCGTGATGATTTGCGCGCGGCGCGGCGGCTTGCCGTTGGGGATGGTCTCGTTGTACCCCGTGATGTCGTCGGCGAGCCCCCAGCTGGTACCCTCCGGGTCGAAGATGGGCGACAGTGTGAGCAGGTCGGCCTCCTCACCCACGCCCCAGACGTGCTTGTCGCGCTCGTAGGTCGTGGGCGGGACCGGGTCGGCGTCATGCTCGAACCAGTCGGACTCGGAAGCCGGGCGGAGAGGGCCCCAGACGGATGGCTCACCCGGCTGCGCGGCCGCTTTGTCGCCCGGCTTTGGCTGGTTGACACCAGGCACAGAGTTCCACAGGTTGTCAGCGCCAACGGTGCCGTGCTCAGTCTGCACTCGGGACATCTGCTTGAAGTCTTCCCAAGTACCGTGAACATGGGGGATGTAGAAGCGAGCATTGCGCTCCCACAACCCTTTACGCGGCTGTTCTTTGGCCCAGTTCTCCATCTTGGAGAGGATGTCATGGTAATGCCCGGTGTAGCGGATATCCATTTCCCACTGCCAGAAGTGCGCGTACTCTGGGTGGTTGTAGGCAAAGTGCTGCATGGCCATTTGTAGACCGCGGTACGAGCCGTGAACGGGAAGATCGGGACCCTTGGTCCAAAGGTCGCGGAGGCCCTGGTAGACTGCAAGCATCTGGGTTTCAGACCAGAGGGTGGCAATCCCACGGAACTCCTCTGGCACTGTTTCGTTGATACGGGCGCGGTAGGCCTCGTCGTCCGCCCAGATAGGGTTGCGAGCATCATTACGCACCTGCACGAGAAGATGAATGTCATAGCGGCCACCGGAAGCGAGGGACAGCTCGGAGATAAGAGCTCTCAAGTTGACAATATCCTCTTCCCTCCAGACAAACTCATCCCAGCAGCGGAGAACGACAGCCGTCCTCTGCAAGCTGCCGCGGACCTGGGCAGTCTCCTTTGCAGCCTCTTCGACGAAATCTTCAGGGGTCTTTGTCTCTTGCGATTCCCGGGCAGCGAGCTTGGTGGTTTGAATGCCTTCACCAATGTAAAATCCGCGAGGCGGCGCGTCACGTACAGCGAGTGGTTCAAAACGGTCGGCATTCGCTTGATAGCAACGCCGCTGAGCAGCAGCCCAGTCGATGTGACGCCAGTCCGTTTTCTTGGAAGGGCCCCAGACCTCCTCGGATCCTTCCCGGTCGCCGTGATCACCCAATCCAAGACCGCCAGTCCAGATAGAGTACCCATAGCCGTAAGGCCCGTATCTGCCGTAGCGGTCGAAACAAATGTCTTCAGGAAGCGAGAACAGTTCGTAGGAGCCAAGGATGTTGTCCGGGAAACCGTCCGGGCGCCCCTCGAGGTAACGGATCGAGGGTGCCTTGAGGGTATTCTTGCTGTCCAAGAAGCACTCGTGAATGCCATCAGCGACTTTCGGGATGTTGGCAGTGGTGTAATCCACGAAGGCCTTGCTCGACGGCATTTTCTTCGAGGTTTGCTTGGATCCCTGCTCCCCAGACTCTTCTTGGCCATGCTGTGTTTGTGACTCGGTGGCGTTGTAGGCACCCTCCTCCTCAAGCCGGGGGTACTGCGGTACGTTGTCGGACAGAGGAAGTAGAGACTTGACACCACCGTAGTACCGAGTGAGGAAATCGAAATTCTCCCACGGGGGCGGGTCCGCAGGCTTCTTCTCGACCTTGCCCTCAGCTATCCTCCTATTCTCCATCTGACTCGCTCGGATGAGCACAAACATGAAAATGATGATGGTCGACATCATGGCGAGACACAAGTACCGGATGACCTTGTTGGGCAATCGATAAAGATATCTCCTAACGGGAGAGCGTCGGTTAGCGACAGCCACAGGCCGCTTCTTGGGCATCATGAGCGCGGCGGCAGACGCTGCAGATGACGATGTTCGCCTCGAGCTGCCGGAGCTGGAAGTAGATGAATCGGTTGTGTCGCCATCGGAATCGTCTGACGTGGAGCTAGTATCGGAATAGCGCTCCTTTGTCGGCGACCGCGCCGCGCGTGTTTTCCGTGCATGGCGTGTTGAGCGTGCCTTTGGGGGAGGGAGTTCATTGTAGACGGGCAGCTTTGGTGCCTGGGCCTCACGAGCCCGAAAGGGATTGAAGGAAAAAATCCCCATGGTTGCGACAAATAATTAAAAACCCCACTGCGGATATGGTGAGCAGGACAGATCCAGCAGAAAATCGCGTTGACGTTGTTCTTACAAGTCGCAAGGGAGGTGAGGCTGTTCACCCACAACAGAGGAAGTTTAGGGCCTCAATGCACCCGAGGAACCGAATTGGTCGGTGTTTTGATGTGTTTTGTTGAGGCTTTCACGCCGGGCCCAGACAAGCAAGCAAGGCTTGTTGAGATGACTGCAGAGTTGAGGAAGGACAATACCAAAGCCTCAAAACGCCATCTGGGTGTTCGATGTGGGATGCATGTGGAGGAGGGGTCCGCAAAAACGCCAGGTTTGAAACTTGACTTCTCGCTGAAGCGAGTGCGCTCTTCCCATCGCTAATTGGCCCGCTGGCCTGATTGTGTCAACGTTCGCCCGACTGCGGTTGGTTGCCGAGCAACCAGCTTGCTTCGTGGGGGCAAGCGTCGTGGGGGTCCATGGGAGCCTCGCTGTGGCCGAAAAAAGCGGCGGACTAAAACAGATAGCCTAAGTCCAATCCATTCACATTCTTGATTGATTAACTCTTTTTCGTCTTTTTTCACTTCCTGGATTTATTCTTTTTTTTTCTTTCACTTCCTTGTTTTATTCTTTTTGGTCTTTTTTCACTTTTGTAGAAACAAGTAAATGACCTATGTACAAGAGGATTTGGTCACAGCGAGGGAGCTTTCCGCCTCTCCCAGGGCCGTGGGACTAGGCACGTGCTCCCCACTACCAAATCATACGGAACCTTTATCGCTTTCTTCACTCTCTTTCCATTGATCCGCACAGACTGCGGGCTCTGGGGGTTCAATTCAGCATCAAGCCGCCTACGGCTTGGAGAACGGGAGCTGCCGGTCCCTTGTTGGAAAAAATCCACAAGTTTTGCTCTTCCCTTCGACAACTAGCCGAGAATGGCATCCCGCCTCATTGAGTTCTGCTATCCGCATTTGGTCAATAAAACACGTCGTTTTTATTCGGAGCCATTGATGCCAGCACAGCGGAATGGAATAAGACGGGTCCAATTCTGCCGAGACAGAGAACGCCCAGAGCTCTTGCTGCAGGCCACGCCGACAAATTGCGGCTCATCGACCCGGTTGCAGCGGGTCAAATGACCGCTCGACTTCACACTTTGTTCCCATGCATCTAGGGCTGACTTACACGGCGGAAAGGGCACCTCCCTGCTCCTTGTGGTGTGTATTTGTTGCTCTAGGAAACAACATACCTACCTACCTACATACACGGAAGTACTTTATTTTTTTTCTTCTTTGCCCCCTCCCTTTTTTTACTGTTGTAGGAACCTCGAGAGTATGAATGATATGCCGCGGGAAAGTTGTAGGTGTGAGACAAAATCATAGGTAACCACCAGCCCCTCTCTCGATCTAGTTAATGAGTCGCAGCCCAGGTCTTGGATACACAAAAACCTGTCGCCTGCGGTATTGGGTAGGACCCTTCGACCCGTATCCGAGGTGCCTCTGCAGCCTTCCTGCTGTACATAAGCAGTTAGCCCTGCGTCTTCACGTCATTGATCGGCATTGGCAGCCAAGCGCCCCAAACGAACGATAGCTGATGGTCAACGCTATGTCAAACTATCAATCCTTCGCGGCTGACTCGTTACCATCCCCGCTCTATCATGCTATCCCATCGAGATGAGAAGTTCCCAACGGAGACGAGCAAAAGAGAATATGGCGATACCGTCGCCTTCAATCATTCGTTGCAATTGCTGCTAATTATATTCGGGGCCGTCCGCGCTTGAGCAAAGTGCCGGGTCCGGGAGTTACTTCCGCGGCCTTCTGTGCGTTACCTATCCGACTTGCCAACGCTACGTGGAGGGGTCAGTCCCAACTCTTGAAGTGTTTGGTGGGACCGTTCAACCCACACTGACCCTGGAGCTTGGATCGCCTTCAGCTAGCTCGTGGGAATGGGGAGGATGGCCCAGTCTGGGCCGTCCCGTGATGTTTTATGTAACGTGCGTGGCAATCGTCAATGCGGCGATCCCCCAAAGGCCAAGATTCCTTTGCGTGTTCTGGTGTCTAAGCGTTCGAATCCCACGAGAGACCTTGGCTCCTTGGCTGGCAGGTCCAGGATTTAGTGTGCAGTCAGCATCCCACTTGGATCGTCCATCAGTGTGGTGTTTTATTTAATCCGTATTAGGTATATAAGAGACAGATGCGATGTTCATCGCCTCTCGTCTCGAGACATCCTTTTGTACTTTTAACTATCGTGTTCCGCCGTGACTATTGCCTTTGTGAGGTGTCTGTGCCAATGTTGCTATCAACCTCTCCTCGTCTTCATACAACCGCCGTATAAGAATAACCACACACAAGATCATATCAACAACCACCACCACATCCATCATGTCCCTCACCGTCACCACCACAGAATGCGCCCCCACGGCACAACCGCTGCCGGTGCATGACCACGGTTCGGCCCCCGCCAACGTAGTAATCCGCCAGGACCCCTTCTACATAACCCTCGACGCCCCCGCCCTCCTCGCCGTGTCCATCCTCCTCGTCCTCGGCATGCACTTCGTCGACCGCCCGGTTCTTGAAACCCTCATCATCCTCGTCCCCACCTCCCTCCTCATCCGTAACGACTACCTCAACTTCCTCAAACTCGGCCCCGGCGGCACCCCGCCCACCCCAGTCGGCTATGCACGCCTGACCTTCTACCGCCTCTTCACCCTGCGCGACCCCTTTGTCCCACCCCCCGTCGACCCGGCCCAGAAGCCCGCCGCGGGTATTCTTGGCGCCGACTTGCCGTATCGTCCCGGTCCGCGGCCGGCTGTGGCGGGATTGGCGCCGCAGCGCCAGCTTAACCAGCACGGTTCGACAGGGGCGTATGACCGGCTGCGTGGGGCTATTGAGGCGCTTGCGGTGCGGGATCCGAAGCGGTTTGTCACGGCAACTTCGTGTTTGGAGAAGCATGGCTTTGCGCTGTTTTCGCGGCACCCGGTGAATGTGTGTGGGAATGGGGAGGTGTGCCATATTCGTAAGATTCTGACCTTCTTCCTGTTCAATATGCTCACTCCGTGTTTCATTATCTTCCCTTACCTTGTTAGATGAGGCTGCAGTCGATACATCTACCTTTGAGGGTATCCCAAAACAGAGAGAGCAAAAGTATATGAGCAGAGCCCACTAACACACTCAAACAGACTCCTCCGACAGATCCCTACACCTGAACCTGCACCCCGACGACATACGCGAAGTCTTGGAGAAAGGTTGGGGCCAGCGGCATCCGATGGCATGGGAGGGGATGTTGGTCAGGAGCCCAGTACCGAGAACATTCATGATGATATACGCTCCCAGGGGTGAGTTTCTTTTCTATCCCAGTTCCCCTTCTTGAATTTTCTTGTATTTTCTTTTCTATTTCGAAACTATTGCACTTTCCCTTCAGCCGCCTGTATTAACGCTCGGTATTAGATGAAAACGACTTGAAAATTGTAGGCCGCATCATCGAGGCGGCGATTTGGTACACCGACGCTGAGAAGGCGGAGGTACGGCCCGTGACGGAGGGTTGAAATCTTCGACATTTAGCCCGTGAACAAAGGGGTTTCGTTTGGGGAAAAGGGGGGACAGGGGCGAGGGAGAGGGGCGGTGTTATCAAGGTTAAGCGTTGTTTTTGTTCTTATCTGTACTGAGGGGGTTGTGTGAACGGGGCGTCGTTGGCTTCAGAAGTTATCCTAAGTTGATTGAATGCCCGGCTGATGAGGCATGGCGTTCTGGACGATACCTTGAAAGGAACAACGGCTTTCTAGTCCATTTTAGCTGTTGTCTGGTGGTAAGAAAAATTGAGGATGAATGACATCTGCTCGGGGGTTACATGAGACTAGTTTATGTTGACCATATCATACCTAATGCAGAACGCAAACCATCTATCTGTATGCCTAGTACCGAGTGTTGATTAGAACGCAGCACTGCCTCAACAACGGGATGATAGGAATCGGTGCCATACCAGGGACAACTTCAATACCAGCCACGGAGTAAACAAGCAGTTCAAATTCAAAACCTTTGCATTCATCATCTTCTAGTTCTCTTTCCCCCTTGCCTCCCAATTTCTCTTTGAACACCACCCGTTTTGTTTGTATACACGATCAACGCCCTGCAATGGCCGTCGAACAACTGGTTTACAATGCTCCCCTCCCCCCAATTCGTGCAACCGAATCCACCCCCGTTCCACTGATTTAGATATTTCCTGAATAACACCTGACAACAACGACGGAACACGGTAAAGAAAATCGATGTCAGGAGGATACTATGCTTGACGGGGCCACCCATTCGCCCCAGATGGCCGGTTATAGATATGAGCTTCCCGTCTTCCCCCTCACTCTGTCGTGGTCAATATGGGCTACCGTTGTGCGTTTGCCATTTTAGTACTTAGAAGAGGGCGTATGATGTGTCTGTCGCGTGAGGTGTAGTCGGACACTCGGGCTAGACAAATCTCTCAATCTTCTTTCTCAAGCGCCATGTGGCCACTTTAGTAGACACGCTTCATTGGAGGCACGGGCTTGCACTCGTTCTCATCGAGGGTGGTGCCAATGACGCGGCGGTACGAGAGATCGACCTTGCCATGGGGCTGCTTCTGCCAGCTGAGCGTGTGCTTCATCCAGTTTTTATCGTCACGGTCAGGGAAGTCTTCCCGGGCGTGGGCACCACGCGACTCCTTGCGGTTCGCGGCGGAGGCGGCGGTCTGGGTACTGTTTCGGGATTTTGTTAGTCCACAACTCAAAGTTCGGTTGCCCTAGATAGATATGGCACTTACGCGCAAGTGAGCAGGTTACGGAGCTCGAGAGTCTCGACGAGGTCCGAGTTCCAGATCATGCTGCGGTCCTTGATGCCTACTTGCGAGAACGTCTGGTCGACCTCGTTGATTTGCCTGACACCTTCGTCCAAGCTCTCCTGGGTACGGAAAACGCTGACCTCGCGCTGCATGGTCTTCTGCATGGCGAGACGGACCTCCGCGGTGCTCTTGGGGCCGTCGGAGGTGCGGACCTGGTCGAGAACCTCGATCGAGTCAGCACCGGCGTCAGCGGCAAGGGGCTTCAGCTTGGTGCCGGGTGTGAAGTTGTCGCGGATAGTGTGAGAGACCGCACGGCCGAAAACGACCAGGTCGAGCAGGGAGTTAGCGCCGAGCCGGTTAGCACCGTGGACAGAGACACAGGCGGCTTCACCGCAGGCGAAGAGACCAGGGACCACCTTGTCGTTACCCTGCTCGTCCACAGTGATAACCTCACCAGTGTACCTGGTAGGAATACCACCCATGTTGTAGTGGACGGTGGGCAAGACGGGGATGGGCTGCTTGCGAACATCCACGCCAGCGAAAATACCCGCAGTCTCAGAGATACCAGGCAGACGCTCGGCGAGAATCTCGGCGGGCAGATGGCTGAGTTGGAGGAAGATGTGGTCCTTGTCGGCGCCGACACCGCGGCCGTCACGGATCTCCATGGTCATGGAACGCGAGACGACGTCACGGCTAGCAAGATCCTTGGCAGTCGGAGCATACCGCTCCATAAAACGCTCACCCTCCGAGTTCAGCAGGTAGCCACCCTCGCCACGAGCACCCTCAGTGATGAGGCAGCCGGCGCCGTAAATACCCGTAGGGTGGAACTGAACGAACTCAAGGTCCTGGTTGGGCAGACCGGCGCGGGCAACCATGGCCATACCGTCACCAGTGCAGGTGTGGGCCGAGGTGCAGCTGAAGTACGCACGGCCATAGCCACCGGTAGCCAGGACGGTGTTGTTGGCAAGGAAACGATGCAACGTGCCGTCCTCCTGGTTGTAAGCCAGGACACCGCGGCACTCGCCGTCTTGCATGATCAGGTCGATAGCGAAGTACTCGATGAAGTAATTGGTGTTATGCCTCAGCGACTGGCCGTACAGCGTATGGAGGAGAGCGTGGCCGGTACGATCGGCAGCGGCGCAGCAGCGGTAGGCCTGGCCTCCCTTGCCGAACTTCTGGGACTGACCACCGAAAGCACGCTGATAACTGTTGAGCGTGTCAGCCAGCGGCGCCTAACCCACGTTCCCATGCCGCACACAGACGCCCACTTACATTTTGCCATCCTCGGTTCGGGAGAAGGGGCAGCCGTAGTTTTCGAGCTCGACAATGGAGGCGGGAGCCTCGCGGGTCATGTAGTGGATCGCATCTTGGTCACCGAGCCAGTCGGAGCCCTTCACGGTATCGTACATGTGCCATCTCCAGTCGTCCTCGTGCATGTTACCGAGCGCGGCATTGATACCACCTTGGGCGGCGACCGTGTGACTCCTCGTGGGGAAAAGCTTGGAAATGCAAGCAGTGTTGAAGCCGGCCTCAGCCAAGCCGAAGGCGGCACGCAAACCGGCACCGCCGGCACCGACAACGAGGGCATCGTATTCGTGGTCCTATTTTCCCCACGTCCGACATGTCAATTTTTATTACCACCGCTGTTGCCACTGCCACTACCGTTCGGGGATTGACGAGCGTCAAGATTCGGGAGAGGAGGGGCGTAGGTTGACGTACGATGACCGGGTACTTGGTGCTGAGGAATGGTGATGCCTCCTTCGCGCGGAGTGGCCCGCTACCAGTGATGACGCGGGCTGCAGACGAGGGGTCAGCGTCCGTACAGTCCCAACAACATGCGGGCGAGAGGGATTAGATGAGGTTGTTGACTTACCAGCCGGTCGTGTGGTGGAAAACGCCCGAGCCGGATTCCGGGCGGCACGCGAGAGCTATGTGGAAAAGAACCTCGGGTCAGCCTCAACCCCCCCTCCAAAAGCATTTTGGGGAAATGTCGCGCGCGCACACTCCCACCCGCAGAAAACGGCATGTAGTGGTCACGGCGTCCCGGAATATGATTAGAAAGACTCACCGTCGGGGTGGCAGCCACCCGTCTCCAAGCCATTGAGGAAGCCATTGTCGTTTAACGAGGTCTGAGGGGAGAGGTGGTGGTGGACATCAGGGAAATATTTGAGCCTCCTTCCATGTCGTTGCATGCAGTTGCTTCGCTCGCCCGTTCCAAGTCTCTAGTTCCGGCCGCCCCAGCGGGCTGCTGGGCTTCTGGACCAATCAGCGGTAGCTGATTACCCGAGTTGCCGGCGAGGCCCGCGCTCGGTGGGTGGTCGAGGTGAAAAGGCGGGAGTGGGGCTACGCTCTGCCGGCCGGCGACCGCTGGAATGACAGCCGATGTGACGGGACCACCATGTTCTCATCTTTCGAAACAAACTTCTAAGATCGAAAGTAATGATGGAATAAATTTATTTATATTTTCCCAATCAACTATGTCACTTAATAATGCCCAAGCAATGTACATTCACAAAGACCTCGAATTCGCTCCGGGTCACAGTTCAAGAAACCCTGAGACCCACCACGTTTGATAACGTTCGCATGTGCAATGGCCCTGTTTGGCGGGTCTCAAAAATATCCCTCGGCACATCGACTTAGGCGGGGCCGCCGTGGCAACCAAGGTAGGTATCTCACAAACAAACCCCTGAAACGTATCCAAAGTTCACTGGAGCTTAGTAGAAGAAGCATGCATTTTATAAGTCATTATCCGATTTACAATACTCCATGATGAATTTTATTCAATCATTCTTACTCTAGGAATGCGTAGGGGCCGTAGCTCATGTAGGGCAGCACCATATCCAACCCTTCCCTGCTTGCCCTGCCAAAATCATATTCCCCAACCCCATCCTGTTCCGACATGTCTACTCCGCCAGCACCATCCGTAGCATAACCAAGAAGTTATCCTTTAGCTTATGTACTTCTTCAACCTCGGGCTTCTCCGGCTCGCCCGCATTACGTCGTAGCCGGGCCTTGTCTCTATTCCGGCGTTTGCGTTCGGCCACAATGGGATCGAGCTCTTCCTCCTCTGCAGCTTCTGCTTCCTCGTCCGAGTCATCGTCGTACTCCATCTCTGCCAGATCTTCTTGATCTAGTCCGAAGTCAGTTGACCGGAATGCCAGAGCCCCAGGGACGTTCTCCGTGTCGCCGGGGCCCCCCTCTGCCGCCATTTTTTGCCGTGTCTTGTCGTGGTGCCACTTCTTGCGCGCCTCCTGCCATGCTATGAGCTTGTCGATCTCAGCAATGGATTTCTCCTTGTTAATGGCACCCGTGCTGGTGGCACCTTCGAACAGCGCATTAATGTCGAGGCTGCCATTCTTGGGACCGTGGCGCAGGAATTCAAGAATGCCCTCGATCCAGCCCATGAGCTGGGTGAAGAGACCGTTGTCATGTCGGTGGACCTCATGCACGAAGCTGTAGAAGTGGTGCTCGTGCCGCTGACACAAGTCGATGAAGGCCTGCACGGTCTGGTTAGGATCCGCAGATGCGTCCTGTTCGCGGCATTTGTCGACAACCTATGAAAACATAGAAGGTTAGTAGCTGAAATGCTGTACTAATCCGGTAAAAGCTTATTAAAATACTCACCTGGATGAGATCATCGATAAAGTGCGCAAAATCCGTGACACTGTTGTACACATTGGCCGACTTGTACACCCTGACAAGCGGTTCATAAAAAATGGTGAACAGGTCGCGGAACAATTGTAATGTCACAGGCTCCTCAATGAGTTTCAACATCATGGCCTTATCCCTCTGTCGGAGATACAGCTTCTGCAATTGCTTGAGGTACGAAAAGAGCTGGGCGCCCTGCCGGAGTTCCTCGTCGACATTTTCGACGGCATTGTTGAAGGCCACGTACGCGTTGTACAGCCGCCCAATCTGCTCCGGTTCTAATGCCGGACCCACGAGCTCTGATCGGAGAACCGCAACGATGATATCTAGATCTTCTGCTAGGGCCTCCTCCCTGATGGCCTCCTTAATGTGCTCATCGGCGTTTGTGAAGGTCTTTAGCTTGCTCACGAATAAGGAATCGCCAATCTTCTCACCAACCGCATCGATCGACCGCTGATAAGTCCGGATCCCGTCGTTCAGGGTCATTGAGAAGATGCGCTGCATCAAAGATCTTGCACCAAATGGCTGGGCCAAGAAGATGTCGAGAATGCTTGACATGACGGCCGCGGGGTTGGCAATTCGGATGGCGTTCTTCATGAGGGTGTATGGGATGAGCGAATGGATCCGTTTTGCCTGAGCAAAGAGTTCTGGTGAGTTGTCCTCTGCGAGGAAGAGGTGGTAGATGGTGGCCGCCACTTCAATGCGCAACCACTCGGCGAACTTTTGGTATTGTAGACTCAGATCCTGGATCGTCTCCTTTTCGCGGATTTCTTGGAATAGCATCGTCAAGCCGTTGCGCTCAACGATGTCCTGGCGGAACCTATGATGGGTGAGTTAGCGGCTGGAGGGAGAGCCCTTCTCGGGATACGTACTGCTCCATGTAGACATCTAGCTCTGCTGCACGCTTCCTCGCGACCTCGTAGAACCGCTTCTGTTCTTCCACCCGTTTCTTGTCCACGTATTTTCGACGGGAAATGTCATCAACATCCTCGAGATTCAGCGTTATTGGATCTGCTTGCAGGAACTCTTCCACGGCCTTGGTGCTAGCAATCTGTGGATTTTGGAGTAAGGAGCGTAGGAAGGCACGCAGTGAGATTCTCTGCGTCTCTCGCCATATCACAACCGCCTGGAGCGGGTTAGCGAAAGTCCTGAGTACATGGATAGGGCATATTTCTTTAAAAAACATACCTCTTGAGGTTTGGGGCTTAGGAGAGCTGGGCTTGCTGGTCGGCTGTCGACAGAGTTACGGGGGGAGAATCGACCCGAATTATTGTCTAGATAGGTTATCTGTATTAGTCAATGACCAGGGAGTTTTCTGGGGATGAGAATTTTGATTTAGTTCCTGAAAAGCACGTACCCTTTGGAGACAGCAGCCTGTTGATAGCGTCGCTGTGGTGGCTGGGGCCATTCGGCACTGGGCTATTGGGAAAGGCTGTCGAAACGGAGGATATAGATGATGTCTCCGAGTTGTTCCCGCTATGGCTGCCGACGTTGCTCGGGGCCGTGGAGTGCGATTTGTTCTTCTGAGGAAGGGGTGGGAGGACCTTGCCCGGCAACTCGGTCCGCAGGTTCTTATGCAAGCGGGCAAAGTCGCCGTACCGTCGTCCGACATGGTGCTCCTGTCGGCCTTTCCTTTGTACGCGAAGGATAAATTCCTTTAGTCACATGTTAGCACAGGTGGGCTCTGCTCCAAGATCCTGACATAAAATCCCACTCACAGCATGTTGGTGTTGTCTCAGCTTCTTCTTGACGCTAACCATCCGAACACCCGCGACGTTGACGTCCCAGCCGTTCAAGTAATTTCCCTCGGGAAGTGTGGCGAGAACACCAGTATCGATCGCATTTGCATCAACGACTTCGAGCTCAGAGAACCTAATCCTTTCTTCGAATCCTGACGAGGTCGGTACTCCCGACACCATCATTAGCTCCACCAGCTTCTTCGCCTTGCTCGCTAGCTTCTTTCGCTTTGTTTCCTCTAGCCGGTCCTCGGACGACGAGATGCTCTTGCTCGCAAACGACTCCAGGAACTAGGTCGCCATATTACTCGTCAGCGCTGTTCCAACAATATTTATCATCGGACCGTCTCTTAAAAGCCAAGGCTAACCTACCACTTGTAGCTTATCCTGCCAAAACTCCTTCTCTTTCGCCTTGTCGAGAAATGGGAACTCGCGAACATGGTGGACGAAGATATATCGAAGGATGGGAAGTTCGGAATCAAGAGGCGACACCTCTCCGAGCGGCGACCCAAACGGGGCCCCGAACCGCCGGAGTGCAGTGGGAGAGTTAAGCTCGGAGACTTCCCACTTGACTTGTTCTGATATAAGTTCGCGTTTTAGGTCTACCAAAGTTGGACGTATTAGCTCCATATCCCCCGGAAACCAAAGATCTAATTAAGTCGTCGCGGCTGAGAGACTTGACGATTGCTCAACGCACAATGTTCTTGCTTCCCCGTCAGGGTTTGTTTTGGCACCGGCGCCGAGCTTGACCGCAGCGGAAGCTCTGTCGACTGCCCAGGTTGTACCCCGCCGCTGGGGGGTTCGGCCGCATCGCGGGGTACTTCGAAACCGTCGCTAGGAGGCATTGTGGTGGTTTAAGGCGGGTACTTCAAAAAATAAGGAGTATAGGTTTCGACCTTGGAAATTCAATTTAGGAGGTGAAGAATTATCGGAGATCGGCAAGTTATAACTGTGGAGAGACGCCGAGATTGCCAGTGTCTTGAGAGGTCGCGATGGCGGGGCGGGTCACGCTTGTCAGCACACAGCCGCAATGGAGATCAACTGGGCACACTTGGCACTGCAGGTTGCTTGGGGAACGCAACCGGATCGAGATAATCAACGGGTGGCTGCACAACCGCGCAACTAATTGATCCTCAGATGCTTGGTTGGTCACGTCGAAAACGCAAACCCAACAGCGGGAGAAGGGGCGCAGTTAGGCGAAGGTCGTTTCCATTAAGCGGGGGACCGACCGGGAATAACCTAAACTTTTATTAAAAGAATGACGGTGAACTTCTGAAATTCAAAGTCTAAATCCTTCGCTGCGCATCAAGGCCAAGGTCAAACAACCCCGCAGGTCGGAAACTCGGATGTGCTCAGATGGATAGGACGGTCCGAACTGGACTATTTTAGTTGAGAATGTGGAAACGCCAAGTTAGGAAAACGCGCCTTCATGCCAAAGATGTTGGCGCCCCGAGATCCCCGGACCCTGCCCAGGGCGCTTCCAGTGTGGACGCCCAGACACCCAGCCAAGGTGCGGCCCAACATGAGTTTCTGGACCAGCTTTTCAAAGAAATGCGCCCAACATTCCCATTGTCAACGACCGCCAAGGAGATCTGGTAGCCTTTCTGGGAACCCGATGACGCATTTGGGTAGGCGGCGCAGATCAGCCCCAAAATTTGGCCCACCGTCCCCGATGACGTCTCTCCTTGGCATCGATGTTTTTACTACCTAGTAAGTCTCCCGTAGCGCTCGCGCGGGTTCCCCCATCGACCCGGACATTTTATGAGGTTCATCACGTGTTTGGTGTCGGATATTCCCCCCCGTTGTACGGACGAGACTGGCAGGAAATGGTCATCTTGAAGTATATACCAGGTTGCATATTATACCTAAATGAAGGGACTCCAGATATCGTAGAAAAGCCAAGAAGTCTCTAGTGTACTGTGTACGCTGCCGCTCTTGGGGGTGTGCGCGGCGCTAAGAGCGTTTCGCAAAGCTTGGGAGTGGGGTATTTTCACTACCTAGGTAGGAAGCCGAGTGAGGCCTCCGGGTCATGGCCTTGTCGGTTGGTTGGAAGATCCGGCCCGGTCCCAGGTCGGGGGATTCGGCCAGACATCACTCGGTGGAAACCATCCTTCAAAGTTTAGAAACACCTGACGGCTTGGGACGCAAGGAAACATCATATCACGCGTTAACACTGACGAATGTCGGTAGCATCAAGTCGTTCCAAACAATGCTATTGCTTAAGTATTGGGCTGCCAAAATAACAAAAGAAACACAAGACGCGTATTGTACCATGCGGCTCCGAGCCGGGTGTTTACAATTCGTCAAACACATGGAGTATATCCGTGGCGTTCGATGACCCCTCCAGTGACACTGCTTTGATGAGACCGCCCCTCCCCTGTGGCTCGTCATCCCGCGCAACCACTTGTGGGACGGCGCCTACCACGTCCGCCGCGGTTTGCAAGCCATCACTCGCAATTCGCGCTGTCGTGCTTTCAAGACTTTCCGGCCCATATTGAGTACCAACAAAAAGAAGGAGTAACGAGAAAAAGATAACGGATGTGACTACCCAGACGACCTTGAGACGGCGTCGAGTCTTTTCCTGCCATTCCTTGTCCGCCCGCTCCCAGCCCGTCACCCGGGCACTCACGGCGTCGACCCGCTCGCTCAGGGATCTAATGAGTTTCCGTCCCATCTCGATGCGTTTCTGGAGGGATTCGATGCGTCTTTGTTGGTCTTCAAACTGCCCAAACGTGTGGAGTTGCATATTGATATCTGTAACCAGTTCATCGGCTTCGGTGCTGAAGTTATCGCTAAGCAATCGAGAACTCTCGCTAAGTTCCTTCAATGCTATTATGGTGTTTTGCATCGCGTTTAGCCTTTCTAGAAGAGAGTCATAAGTGTCGTCGAGTTGCCTCGTCGTTGAGGTCGCAAAATTGTCGAGCTCGTTGAGGGATCGCTGTAGGCCACTAGGTAGAAGGCGGTCAGCATAAGGTCTTGTCTCAACATAATAGACAGCCCGGGGGTTGTTGGACAAACCTCTCGCGGGCGGCAGCCTTCTGCTGCTCCCTCACGAGTCCGGCGAGGGACGCGTTTCCCCTGGGAGCCCTAATTGCCGGCATCGCTTCGTCGGCCGAGGCATAGAGAACGCTCGTTCGGCGACTCGCGTTCGGCGTCAGATTCGGCGTCACTCCCTCGGACCGCGACCATTCCAAGGAACGTTGAGTTTGGACGACTGCCGACTGCGGGGCTGCGCTGCGCGCGTCTCGATCTGTCTCCTTGCCTGCGCGATGAGAATGATGTCGATGCAGACGGATCGGCGACGAGATTTCGGAAATGGATCGTTTTATCTGATGTCGTGGGCGCCCTGGCGGCGACGCACCCAAAGCGTCGCCGCCATGTTGGGACATGATACTCCCGCTGCTAGGGCGGTCTTTATGGGGATTGGATCGAGGGGCGGTGGCACAAAGGCGTTTGGAGCTTGTCTTGATTTGGGTGGATTGCGGAAGGAAGTCAGAAGACCAGCGGGAAGATGGTGGGGCGCGGCCTGTTCGTGGCGTCGCGCCATGTGATTTTAAGCTCCGACGGTCACCCCAAAATGGAAAAATAGAAGGCGGATCGCTTGCATCCTCGTGACAAAGGTTTCATGAACCAGGTGAGTAAATTTTTATGACTTGCATCTTCTCGTGTAATTATATCCATATGTAGTGTCGGCTTTCCTGCCTCTCTGTACATGTGAAATGGATGGCTTCGGCCTGTGTCTCTCGGCCTGGTTCCGCCGAGGGCCAACACATAGTCCCGGTCTTTCTCGGTTCTCACCACCTTGACCAACATGCTTTGCTGCTATCTGAGCCTGAGAGATGCATGTGGGCACGCCTGAGGGAAAAAGCTGAGGGCGTGAATCGCCACTGTCCCGATAGCTCTCTTTCAAGTTGATGGGATACTACTCAACCCCCCGTGATATCTGTGCCGGGTTTCTGGCCCCCCCTCCAAAACCTCGTTGTCACGGGCGAAACCCATTTGGGCGTTTGGGTGATAGAGACAAAATTAGACAGCGCCTGTGAAGATAGCTGGCTCATGAGTTGAGGAGTTTGTTGCGCTTCTCCTTGCGCTTCAACCGCTCTAGCCGCTTCTTGTGCATCTTCGCAGCCAGCATCTCGTATCGCTCCTTCTCCTCCTTTGCCGCGCGTTTTTCTTTGAGGGCAGTTATCCGTTTCTATCGTGCAAAGATATTAGCATCTCAGAGTTGTCCGGTGACGAGCCATCCCTAGGCGAAAAACGCACCTGTCGCTCAGCCTCCTTCTCTTCTTTTAGCTCCTTCTCCTTCGTTTTCGTTGCGGCCTGGGAAATTCGATCCTTCGCACGCTTCGCATATGATGTCAAGCCGGAGGTTGGGCGGAAAGCTTTCTTTGGTGCGTGCCATTGCTTGCCTGGCCGCTCATTAGCGAATGTAGTTTGATGCGAAAAATTCAAAGATCGGAACGCACCATTTTTCCGCATGCCAAGTGGCTTGGTGGCCGCAGCCTCTTTGACTTCTGTCCCCTCAACCATTGTCATGGACATTACGTTTGCTGAATGGAATTGATCGATCTCGGTCTTGGAACGATCGCGCAGAAGTCTTCCTTGGAGCACTAGTTAGGCGGTCAAGATTCCCGGAGTGGCAGAAAAGTTTGGGACCTGAGTTCGGGTCCTGGGGACTGGTGGGTCCCGTCTGCGGGGAACCGGCTGAGAAGATGAGGCGTGTTCAGCCCTTCGTGAGTCCGGCACTTGGCAGGGATTCTCACCGTGCAAAGGAATCTCCGTAATGATAAGTCGCCATGCCATTAGAAACTGCCCGCCAATTTATGTGCTGTCCCAATCTTCATATTGCGTTGTTGGCTTGGATAGGCTGCCTTGGGAGGGCGGCGTTTTGTATTAACGGTCCGAAGCGACAAGCGTAATTGCAAGAATTCTTTAACTGCACCAGCACCTAATTAATGGCTGCACAAGGCGTTATCTCAGTTGCTCGGTTGGGCCAGCGGTCCGCTGCACCTCCCGATGGTGCGTGATAAGCCGCCCGCTGTCGACATTTGTATCCGTCCGGCTGGACGCTTGCTGAGAAGACTCCAGTATTGCCAGATGTTCGATAAAATGAGCAGCGTCCTCTTGGACTGCGTACACTATATACACGGCCCCGTTGATTGTTACTTTGGGATGGTGTTTCTGATGGCGCGTTGGATGGGAAATGCAGGGTCCTCATGGACCCAGCTTTCGGAAATGAATATCTCTGCCTTCCGGCTGAGATCTGTTTCCCATGCAGACCTGACACCCTGGCCATGGGCCAGTGATATGGGTGCCCTGGTAGTGTGGGACTGCATGTTCGTCCCTCAGGGAGCTGCAGCGCCCAGGAGGCGATGGTGTGCAGCACGTCTCCAATCCGCTTATGGTTAGCATCTGCAAGCGAACATCGCTTTGACTTTTGATTCCCAATCTTTTCCAAGGAATTGCCGCGACTATGAATGTTTGTCTCGGGACCCTTTCCTGGCGCTCGTGTCTTAGAAGCGAGCAATGCACAGTAAGAGCTCTGTCTGAGAGTTTCTTCGACGACGTCCGCCGGTACAGTTAATCCTGATGTTAGGTGTAGTAGGGCCCCAACGCCACAGTGCCATCAATGAGCGTGTTTGCGTGTACGGGACTTGGGGGGGATGCGTCGAATCAGCAAATGGAACTAACAGAACTGCAGACGCAGGAGGCAGGATTCGGGACGTTGGGTTGCAATTGGAGGCTTCCCCTGAACGACGCACCGGGTGGACCTGGCACCCGCAATCAAATCGGTCGGTCCACCGTGTTGATTGCGGGGTTCCTGGATTGGAGAGGCGCAGACTTTGGGTGGAAATACGAATTGGACTCGATCCCGACGGCTTTGGCCGGGCCTTGCTCACACAGCTGGTTCTGTGAGCGATCTGGAATTGAGCTGGGTGAACCGTGAACTGACATCTCGGTCCTTGAGGTGGCTGGGGTTCGTTGCGCCGGTCTAGCACAGTGCCGGCGCACTGGCCGGTCGGTCGCCCGGGAACTGCAATGTGCAGGGCTCCGAGCCGAGCGGCAAACACCACACAAATTGGATTAGAGGTGTCTTTTAATCTGGGTTCCTAAATTTACATCAACATGAAAAAAAAAGCCTTCGGACGCGGGTCGTGGTGTCGAGAAATGCTGCGCAATGCGATGAAAAGAGCAAAATTGATGGGACCAAGGTGGACGCTTTTGATCCAATTTGTTGTGGTGAGCAAGGTCCTTCCAAGTTCAGTTCGGAACTTCGCAGCGACAATTGCAGGCGCCGGTGCCTCTTGCCCAAATTTGGTTAGCGGCCTTTGCGCGGCCCACATCCTCACCAGGAAATGGACTCGCTCCCCTTCCTCCTCGCTTCCGCATTGCCCTCTCTTCTCTATTTTCCGCAAACCATCACCCTCACTTGTCCACTGCCCGGCGCCTTTGGTTCAATTCCGGCAGCAAATCTGATGATTTGCTCTGGCTTTGGCCGTCCACTCCTTTGATATCTCCGCCATTAGATTCGTCTGGAACAGTATTTGGCTTCTTTTTTTGTTTGTCACTGCTGTTTCCAGTGCCTTTTACAGCTCCTCAGACGAACCCATCAATGGTGCGTGGTGAATACTTCCACTCCCCAACGCGACCGACACCTTCTCAGTATCTGGCCTGGGGTCTCGCGAAATCGTCTCTGGACAGCCATCTTGGGCGGCTACTCTTTTCGGTTATTCCTAACCTCGATTTTAGATCCGAAGCTGCGATTGGTTTTAATCTTCTAATTCTCTCGATCGGCTGAGCCACACCATCTTTCTCGTCCTGGTTTTAGGTCATACATCGCTGCGAGCCTTTTCGCCGGGCAACGATCACAACCGAGACTGTTCATGTCATTCTCAATCCACTGAGGTGCCATTTGGGTTCTGGTGCTGCGGCGCGGCTTGGAAAGATGGCAACCACGATGGGCCTGGATATGATGATTGACCCTCCCTCGCCAAACGGCCTCGACAATGAGAGCGCGTTTTACCTTCCAGGCTCCCCGAATATGGGGTTGACAGCGCCTTCGGAAGGCCCGTCCGAATCGCAAGCCTGCCCCCGATCGAACCCGCCTCCTAATCCGCCGTTTGTTTTCCCCGCGCGCCCGTCGTCTTCCTCAGGACTGTCATCAATCTCGCGAACTAGCGGCAGACGGCCACGATCCGCGATTGAACCACGCATGGTGGCAGTCGAAAGCCTGGACGCAGAAAAGGAGAAACCTGCCTCGCGTTCTCCGGCTCTGCCGGCTTTCTCCTTCAATCCGGGTGCTTCCCTGCCGCCGTCTTCAGGCCCCCCAGTCGAAAGCATGTTCCTGAGCCCACCGCAATCACCCTCTGCGCCAAATTCACCTAGACTAGCCGCGTCTAGGCCTGCAGGCCATAAGCATCGCAGGGGCGGGAGCGAATTTGTGGGAGGAAGCATTCGAGACGGCGAAGCAATAACTGTCATGAACGTCAGCCCGACCAAGTCTGACAGTGGCATGGCCTCGCCGTTACTTCAGCCGACCAAACCCCGCAGGGGCCACGCTCACCGCCGATCGGCTGCGATTTCCAGCCATGACCTGTCCTCGATTATTTCCCCACCGGCTCCAGCTGTGCCCGCGGTCAGCGCGAGCGGCTCTCTTCCGATCCCCGCAGCTGTTGAACCGCCCGCTGTCGAAAACCCACCGCCCGCGGAAACGGAAGTGACGGTACCTGATGTGGCACCAGCGCCACCCGTTGCTCAGGCGAGCGACCCATCGGCCCCCACCCCGTCACTGGGAGAGACACCTAAACCTGTGGCTCGAAACAGGGTCGGGTTTTCTGATACGCTGGAATATATTCCGCGGCCGTTGTCCTTGGTTTCTACCGATACTTCGAGTACCGTTACCGCGCGGCCTGGCCACTCACTTTCTGGCAGCATATCATCCCTCCTCTCCGTTAGTAATGCGGACCGAGAGGTGGCCTTTATTTCGAGCTCGGGCGCGACTCCAATGACCAGCGACAGCCGGCCCAGCACGGCAGGTGCAGTTATGGAGCGATCGCAGAGCGCCCAGGAACAAGAACAGGCCCCTCAGTCACCGAGAAGACGGGGCTCCATCCCGCTGTTGGGCTCCCTTCCGCCACCAGCCGCGATCACTCCAGCCACTCCCAGCCCTACAAGGTCCTCTAAAAAGTGGTCTTTCTTCAGCCTCGACCCGTTCGCCGCGGGGTCCCCGACACGGGCTCACCCCGATAGCCCTCGCTCTACCACGTCGCATTTGAGTATCGCGGGGCGCAACTCGAGGGAGCAAGATTCTAGCTTGCCCTTGCCGGAGTCCGCAGCAAATGATCACGCGCCAAAGCCTCCTAGCAAGAAGAGGGGCAAGAAGAAGAAGAAGGTCAAGACTTGGGCCGGCTCGATATTGTCCCGCAAAGGCAAACATCGCCACGGCAAACAAAAGCGGCGGGCGCCGACGCCTCCTCCGCCGAGGTTCCCCGAACTGCGCCAACAAATCGAGAATGATCTGATGGAAATGTCTCCGGAGCCTGATCACCCAAATCTTCAGTCCTCTGAGAATGGGGATTGGGAGACGTGGACTTTCCCCAAGTCGGCACTAGGCCAGGACGAGGATGCTTCCTACCAAATGATCGACTTGGATGCGGCTCTTGGCCCGTTCAATACCCCGTTGCCCCGTAACCCAGAATGGGAAGCTGCCCAGAAGGCCGGAGGCCTAATCAAGAAGCAGCTGCATAGCGCCGCGGGAATGAGCCGGTTCACCGGCCCTGGGATGCACTACTATCATAGGCGTGCTGAAAGCGCACCGGAATTGGCCCCTTTCGAAGGGGGGCGCTTTGGCTTCCGTCGATTCGGTAGCAGCTCGACTATGGCAGATGTGTTTGAAGAAGACGAGGAAGACGAGGAGGGTGAATCCTGCGAGTCATCAACGGGCTCCTTGACACCGCCTGTTGACACCTCGATCATAGGGAATCCAGACGACGAAGCGCCCCTTCAAACATTGCCTGACTTCTCTACGACGGCAGCCCTACTGATCACCAAAGGTGCAGAAGCAAAGACGTTTCAGCCAGATGATGCCTCAAAGAAGCGGTTTGAATCCGTGCCCGGCGTGTCCCTTGGGTCAGGCAATGACGCACCTGATTCTGTTGAATCTGCACCGTCGCAGTCCCAGGATGTTCCCAGGCTGTCTGTCGATGATGCTGCTTGTGGTTCCGCAACGCCCTCTTCCCGTCACCCCTTTCGGCCAAAGGACCTGGCCCCTGTTGAGGTCGGCCCTCTCAACCTTCCTTCGGCATCACTGGGTCCAGTTAGCCCCTGGTCTACAACACAATCGTCGGCGATTCCTTCGCCAAAGTCACCTGTCTCCTACGATGCGCAGTGTCTCTCTACGGCACCGTCATCGGTCGCAGAGGACACCTTCCAGTCACTTCTCATGGGGGAGCCCGGACCCGAGGTCCGCATATCTGTCGACGACATTCCTTCCTTAACCTCCAGCAACTCAACCATGACTAGGGAGAGCCTTTTTGCACACCACCCCCAAGCAAGACATCCGCCTTTGGGCGATCAGCCGAGACCTGCCTCTTTCACCTCGACTGCCTTTGGGCGAAGGCGCTCTAGTCTTGCGAGCCTTAGCCGTTTGATTAACAGCTCGCATGGGGAGCGAAGCAAATTGTCGATCGAGGTTCCTCTCGAAACTGAACCGGAAAAGAAGAGCAAAAACAGCAAGGCTAAGCGACTAAGCCGGATGATGCAGTTCTGGAAGTCCAAGGAGGATCACGTAGTATGAAGGGTATCTCTTTTTCTGCTGATTTGGGGCAATGTAGGATAGTAGGTTGGCCTGGGGGGTTTCGATTTCTTCTTTTCTTCTTTCCTTTCTTTGTTCCTTGTTCTTCGTGGCTTTTTGGCGTTTTTCACGGTAGCATGAATGGCAAGGCTACATGAGATGAAGAACAGCAATCTCGACTGCCAGAGTGTGCTTCAGGTTTCGACGGCAGCTGGGAGAATATGACGGGGACGGGATATATGATCTTTTTTCTTCTGGCGGCGATGATTCGGATATCGGGGCATATTACTGTGCATATGTCGTACCATGAAGCAACGGGCTATTCCCGGAAGAAAATTAAACCAAGGTCGACGTGTGTCCTTTCTCAAGCTGCTCCTTTTCCACGATGCGCAAGTCTTGTCCAATTAGTACCCTTTTCTATTTGTAGAATGGGCGTGTTTCCGAAGGTCGGCTGGGGTTTGGGGTTTGTAGCCCCACTCATTGCACCTACCCCAGCTTCGGCTTGCATTTGAATGCGGCTGAGAAGCTGGGGCCGCAACCTTGAATTGAATGGCTGAAGTGAACCACGGACGATCTCAACCAACATCACACCAAGAAACGAGCACCGGGAATTAGCCAACTTGGACGCTACCTGGGTAATTCCACACGCATTTAACGCTTTGGAAGGTTCTCCCCCCACCGCAGCATCTTCGGCTTCCTCGATCAACCCAGCAAGCCAACGACGCAAGCAGAAGACAATCATCACCATGCCTCCTGGAGCCCCATCCGCCCTTCCTCGGAGCGCGATGCGTCGTTTGCTCAAGGAGCTTGACACGTGGACCAATACCGAATCAAAAACCGAGCAGGGAATTGAACGACTCGGCCCCGTGCGAGACGAGGAGCTGCTTACTTGGGAGGCGGTCATCAATGGGAGGGAGGTCGGGTGTGGGTACGACAGTGCGTGTTCTCTCTTCTCTACACGCCGTGCTTCTCAAAAAAGGACTCTCAACTAACCAGGGAACTTGCTAAACCACTAATACAGACGGCCGCTGGCTCCTGCGCATCACGATCCCACCAACCTACCCTCTCCAACCCCCGACCATCTCCTTTGCCACGCCGATCGTGCACGCCAACGTTAGCCTCGAGTCGGGCGAGATCTGCCTGGACCTGCTCAAGGACGCCTGGACGCCGGCCTACAGCGTGCTTGAGTGTGTGCGCGCCATTCGGATGCTGCTGTCGGCGCCCGGGATCGATTCACCGCTGAATGTGGATGTGGCTGCGCTGCTGAGGGAAGGGGATGATATTGGAGCGCGGAGATTGGTGGAATTGTGGGTAGAGGAGGAGAGATATGAGGGGAAATAAAGATTTTGAAGGGCGGGGAGGGGGGTTTGGTTTACTTGGGTTTGAGGTGGAAGTGTCAATATTTGGGTTATCTCGGGCTGCATACCAAATTGTCTAATAAAGAAGGGGCCAGAGGATACGTTTCGAGACGGGATTGTTGTACAGGCGTTGGACAGAAATGGTTTATTGTTTCATACTTTCATAAGGGAACAACATCCACAGTGGTAGCGTTGGCCATCCGGTCGACGACTCTGCATCGCATAGAAATGATGCATTAGAATGATACCCATTTCTTCACCTTCTATGACCTTCTCGACGCCATGCTTATGCCTTTTAACCATGGCCATCCACCCGCTCGCAAGCTATGATCGATACCCGGCCAAAAAAAGGAACTGTACAACCAAACCCCCCTAAATCACACAACGGAAACTGAAACCGGGCAACTACATTGCCCTTTTGCGGCCCTTCCCCTCCCTCTCCCCGGCCATGGTGACACATGTTATCGTACAGGACTCCCCTTGGTCACCTGTCCCACCAGAACTCCTGGTTCTTGCCACAAACTAGTGAACCCCCGATGAGCGAGGGACATTACAAGGTATTTAATCGATTCATCCAAGCCAGAAATGGATTGCCTAAACGCATCGGGATGACCCCTAGCCGACATCAGAGACTAGGTGCTCATACTCCCGCCGCCTCCAGAGGTTGAGCGGGGAGCTACTCGGTTCTCGTTATTGGGCGATGAACAACACTAAAAGAAACACGAGGGAAAGAGAGATGTCACTCGTTATAGTGGTACACCTTCAAAGCTGTTAGCAAAACATGACCAGCTTGATCCATTCAATGAATGACTTACTTTGTAGTTTGGCAGCCCAAAAGGCTGCCAGCCCAGCCGTTTCGACATCTTCGCAAACCCTTCTGTCTCGATGAGGTTGTAAAAGGCAAAGGCAGGGAACATGGCCCCGTCACGATGGACATCAGCCTTCACCAAAAGCGCCGCGCCGCCTACACCATCCAATGGCATCTCCTCATGGAGGCGCCCGTCCTCTTGGGCCATGTAGGCCATCAGGGTCCGATACGTCGCCATCTCAGAATAACCCTCTACCAAAATATCGTCTGGGCTCATCTTTTGGGCCAGCTCTAACGCAATGGGGCTGTCTTGCCAATTGTTGAAATCGTAGGGCCGTTCGTCCATCGCCTTCGTTTCTTCGTTCCAGAAGCGCTGGTAGCAATTGGGCGCGAGGACACCTTGGTCGTGCTGAGCCAAATCTTGGATGATCGTAGGCGGTGTTTCGACGACATCGGCGTCCAGCCAGAGGACCCAGGAAGTCGAGGGGCCGAGAGTGGAAAAGAGGAGCGAGTTGCGTGCCTTGGCCATGGCGGAGCGTCGGACTTTCTGGTTCTTCATCTTATGGCGCTCCTTCTCGTCCTGCGAGACGAGCGGCGGGTCAATGTCTTCCCGCAAAATGATGATGCTCTTAAACCGGTCTTTCTCGGGCCCTTGTTGTTGGGTTTTGGCAATCCTCTTCTGCAATTCCCGCATCGCATCGTTCCCTTCTCTTGTTTTTGGCAGGATGAAGCCCAGAGTGATCAATTCGTGAGGATAGTCGAGCCGCATGATGTTGTCCCAGTATTCTGGGTAGAAACGCGCCATCGGGGTCAGGAGTAGAACATTCTCGCTGTTTTCGAGCGGGGTAGGCGTGGTGGTCACATTGTTGAGGTTGTAATGCGCGACGGGCGGCGCCGCGAGCTTGCCACCGGTCGATTTGCGGAATGGGGATGTTGGCGGCGAAAGCGGGTGAGAGGCGGCTGTGGCCTTGCGAGAAGCAGAAAAGTCGGAGGTCGCAGGGCCTAGTAGGAAGTATAGGATGAAAAGACAAAGCGCTGCGCCGATAGCCAAAGTCACCGGATTCGCCTTCTTGAGACGAACTGACCCCATGGGACGCGCCATGGGTTGGTCGTGGGATAAATCAACCAAGACGACCCATAGGAAAGTGTTGCCAACAATGCGCCGTTGGTGTTGAAGCGACAGAAAGATGTGCCTCCTCACGAAAACAGCGGTCACCCAGCGGAGATCGCAAAAAGCGCCCCGGGAGTTGCAACCAAAGGACGAAGGAAAGGTTGAAAAGGCGGGTTGGTTCGTCAAGTTGAGAAGTGGACAGGAATTGGTTTCAGAGAGAACCTTGGAAGTTGTAGAATGTCCACAAATGGATCCACGGCTCCTGATTAGGTGCTTGAGACGGACGGTGTTAATTACCAAGATTGGACCCCTGGACCATCGTCCCCCGCCAAAACCAGCGAGTCGAGGAGATGTACCTTATTGGCCGGCGCACCAAAGAGACAGAGGAAGGTTCAATGATTAAGAACTAGAATCCCGTCAACATATTCCTGTTTAACGTAACTCACAAACTACATGCTTTCTAAAACAGCTTCATACCCATTGATTCAACGGGAACGAAAGGGGATCTATTTCTGGCCTGGGATGAAGATTCGCAGCTCCAGGGCCCTGAGGACAGTGCGGTAGTTAACCGTACAGTGTATACAACCTCGAGATGAACGTTAGGTACTTGGGTACCTAACTTAAAGTGGGTCAGGCCTGGAGCTGCGTCAACTGCCAGCAGCCTTGCCTTGCCAACTGGGAGCTCGAAAGCTCCAACCAAACATCTCCCACCTTGAGTTCGCCGCCTTCCTCGCAAGTTGACACAACCATTCCCACCCGACGACAGTTTCGAATTTCACAAGTAGAACCACACGAAAATACACACAAACCGCGACAATGTCCATAGCACCGCTTATCACCTTCAAGGCGGGCATCTGCGATGTCGACGTCAGTCTCCCTGCGTTACCCCTCCATTTCGACTTGGCCACCCACTGATAGGAAACGCCCCCGTTTAGCAATCGTCGAAACCCTACAAGATCAAGGCGCAACAAACGCCAGGTTACATCTACCTTTATTCCGATGATGGTACAACACCACCGCCATTTCCCGTTGCCCCTGCGCGAGCAGCTGGCCCCTACCTCTTCAGCAGATCACGCTAACATCCCACAAGATCTGATCCATTTCTGTTGGCGCCCCAGGTCGGCAGCTCCCGATGAACCCGATCTCGACTTGGTGATGATCCCCGAAGACGGCAACTTTGTCCCATACGACACACGTACACCCAGTAACGCTACCGCCAAGACCAACGGCCGCGTTTTCGTCCTCAAGTTCAACTCGTCCTCCCAGCGACACTTGTTTTGGCTGCAGTCCAAACCCCAGGGCCGCAGTGGCGACCCGGCTTGGCTTAGCCCGAGAGACCTCAAAATTGGCGACATTGTGGATCGGCTGCTTCAAGGCGAAGAGGTGGATGTGAACCGGGAGCTAGCGTCGGTCCGGAACAATAATGACGACAGCCGGCGCGATGCCGACGACGATGAGGATGAGCAGATGGAGGATGTAGAGGGCCACGGTGATAGAGGCGCGCACCGTCGCAGCGGTCAGGGAGGCGCTGGGCCGGATGCCACTGGCGGAGATTTCAGAGAGGAAGGCGAGGATGCCAGGGAAGGGGGGTCAGACGGCGCGAGAGCGTAGGTGATATTCTCCCACCACCTTCCGCAGATGCTGTTTTTGTCTCTCCACGGTTCGAAAAATACATGGGCGTTTTTATTGCTGGGTTGCGAGCTGGGGTGGGCGCATCGCATCGGGCACTTTTGCAGATAGCACGTACATCCTAGGAAGCTGCCAGCTGGCGGGCCGTGGAGAGGAAATGAGAACAGGACATCATCCGCCATTCCTTTTGTTCATATTCTACGTTCCCCATGTTTGTGCTAATTATGCTGAGAGTAGGGCGGGCAATGATGCCGCAGCCGCTGACGCGGTGCGCAACTTTCTAAACTCGCTCAAGGGTGGGCAGAGCTCTGCGAGCAGTCGACCAGAAGGCAAAGCTTACCCTCTTTTGAACGACCTCCTCGAGCCATCCGTCACAATCTCCATGCTTGACTCGGTTACCGACGAACACGTCGACAGTCTCTTGAACTTCTTACCCCCAACCGTGCTGGTCCTCGCCCAACAAGGAGAGAACGGAGATGCCATCAGTCAAGAGCCCGGCGCGGAATCTGTCGAGGCTGCTAAGCAGGCTATGAGCTCGAGTCAGAAGCGCTCATTGCTCAAGAAGGTGCTTCGCAGCCCGCAGTTCACACAAAGTCTGGCCAGCCTGACAGTTGCGCTCCGGGATGGCGGCTTGCCCACCATCGCCGAGGCCTTGGGCATCGAGGTTCAGAACGGGGGGGTTGTCAGGGGTGGGGCGGTACCTCTGGGCGGTGGCGAGGCCGTGGAAGCATTCGTAGAGGGTGTTAAGAAGACTGTGCAGAGGAAACAATGAGCCTGGTGCCATAGATAACGTCTAAACTGTAAATATGCTTAGTTTAGAGCTTTGGCGGCGAACAAAAGGCATTCACTGACGAAATATATTGACGCCTTAAGCGCGAAACTTGCAGCGATTCTCGCCTCGGACGTTCCTTTTACATTTATTTCCGTTGATTAGTATCAAGGCTCCCTGTCCTTCTGTCTGTCTTCATTGTTTGGCTGTAAGTCAAGCTCACGAAGATTGCTGTAATATAACCCTAACCCTCTTGGCGCCCCTACCATGTTTAAGCTCTTCGCAGCGCCAACTTCCAGCTTGGACCTTTCACTCTCTTCTCCCTGAGCTCGCCTTTACCTTGACTCCGCAAATCGGTTTCTCGCAACATCACAATCTGAGAGGATGACTACAAACGCCGAGTACTGGTCGTTCCCGACCAACCCAGAAGAATTCGATCAAGATGAGCGCATATCCTTCTCCAGACTCGACAACAAACACATCGCAGTGCAGGACGATGGCACCGAGTACGAATTCGACCCAGAGCTGAAGCGCTGGATTCCCATATTCGACGAAGCCCTGATTGAGGAGCAACAGAGAGGATACATGATGCCCAATGCCGGCGCCGATACCGGAGATGACCTACGGGGACATGCGCCGAACAGGAAAAGAAAGCTGAACAGGAACGACCGCGAGGTAAGCTGCGCGAGCATGCCCATCTGCAGCGACGGCCATCACAACCGCCGTACCCTCCTTTTCCCACCATGACCCATCACCACACCACACATGCCAAAGTGTCGAGAGACAAAAGAAGAAGAAAAAGAACAGTCCCAAACGCTCGCGGGCGGTTTACGGGAGAGACTGACCAGCCGCTTGATGTTGCTTTCTGTTTGCGCGCCAGCAGGACAACAACAACCACCACGACTTGGATCGTCCTTCTAGACCTGCGAAGCAAAAAGGAAACCGGGGTCCGCCACAGCCTAAGCAGAATACCGCAATTTACGTTACCGGCCTCCCGTCCGATGCTACCGCAGAAGAAGTTGCCGAGCTGTTCTCGAAGAAGTGCGGCGTCATCGCCGAGGAGATCGATAGCGGCCGGCCACGCATCAAGATGTACACCAACGCCGACGGTAGCTTCAAAGGCGATGCCCTAGTCGTCTTCTTCAAACCTCAGTCCGTCGAGATGGCCATCATGCTGCTTGACGACACTGAGTTTCGATTCCCGCCAACCAGCGGCGCGTCAAACACTCCCAAGATGCGCGTCCAGGCCGCCGACTCCAGCTACAAGAAGACCAAATACGACGGCGGCGAGAACAGTACAACCCCCGCCGAGGACGGCGGCACAGGTTCTTCAGGCAAGTCCAACAATAACAACAACAACAACTCCGCCTCGAACCAACGCAGCACCCACGACAAAGCCAAGATCATCAAGAAGACCCAAAAGCTCTCCGCCAAACTCGCCGATTGGAGCGACGACGAACCCTCTGCCATTGACTCTACCAACCCAGTATCCACCGCAACCGGCGGCCCCGCCTCATCCAAATACGACCGCCTCGTCATCCTCCGACACATGTTCACCCTCGACGAGCTTCAAGAGGACCCCACCGCCCTGCTCGACATCAAGGACGATGTGCGGGAGGAATGCGCCAAACTGGGCCCTGTCACCAACGTGGTGCTATACGACCAAGAGGAAGAAGGCATTATGAGCGTCAAGTTCAAGACGCGTGAGGCTGCCGAGGCGTGCTTGCGGCTGATGCACGGCCGGGCCTTTGCGGGTAGGATTGTGGAAGCGTTCTTTGCGACTGGGCGGGAGAAGTTTAGGCGGTCGAAGGGTGAAACCGGTGGTGGAAAGACTGGTGATGATGATAGTGATGATGGTGAAGACTGAGAGGGCCTTGCCTGGCGCTCTTTTACTCGGTTGATACCATACATTCAATCTCTTGTCTTGATATACTTAGTAAAGTTACATCCGGACCCTGTTGTCGGTCTTATGTGTGCGTTAACTTAGTTTGATAGCTTGGCCATTACAGTACTTGGCCGCGATGTAACATGAGACAAAAAAAATGCAGTTGAGAAATGGTTCCTTCATTTTCTACCCACTAGCTGTTGAAATTTTTGCCGCCCACTCCCGTCCGGCCCATACAGCTGCCATATTCACCGTGTTTCCGACCCTTCAGCATAGAGGGGCTCATTCATATTGTACATCGAACCTCTGAAAAAAATCAAGGCGACGGGGTATCTAACTCAACATTTTTGTTCGGCTTTGTCACCAGGTAGGTTACCTAAAAGAGTCTGCCTTTAATGGTGGAAGAGCCGAATATTCTGCTCGACAAACGTGATTCCGTTCTTCTCGGCAGTCTCGAAGACCGGCACGTCGTTCTGGCTGCCACCGGGAGCGGCAATGTACTTGACACCGGAGCGAGCGGTGCGGTAGACGTTGTCGGTGAAGGGGAACTAGATAGATGTGTTTGTTAGCAAACCAGGGTGACCACACGTTGTAAAATAGTTGCCGGCTGTGACTTACGAAAGCATCGCTGGAGACGACGACATCAGTGAGCTTAGACAGCCACTCGTTCTTCTCCTCCTCGGTGAAGGCAGCCGGGACCTCGTCAAATGAGGCCTCAAACAGCTCGCGTTCCGGCCCCGCCTTAGGGAGCTGGCCGCTCACGAGCAGATCAATGGCGTTGCTCTTGTCCGGACGCTTGGTGCCCTTCTTCCACTTGATGCCGAGCACGCGCGGGTGGAAACGAAGCCACCAGTTGTCGGCCTTATCACCGGCCAGGCGGGTGCAGTGAATACGCGATTGCTGGCCGGCGCCGAGACCCACGACTTGGCCCCTGGCGGCGTAGCAGACGGAGTTGCTCTGCGTGTACTTGAGAGCGATGGTGGCGACTGTCAGGTCGCGGAGAGCGCTCTCAGGCAATGGGCCTGAGTTCTTGGGAGTGATGATGTTCTTGAACGACTCAGGGGAGATCTCGACATCGTTGCGGCCTTGGGTCAAGCTGACACCATATACCGTCCTCGTCTCGGTCTTGCTAGGCTCGTACTCGGGATCCATCTGAAGGACCAGGTACTTCCCGCCCTTCTTCTTCTTGAGGATCTCCAGAGCGGCAGGCTCGTATCCGGGGGCAATAACACCGTCCGAGACTTCCTTAGAGATGATGCTAGCAGTCGGGACATCGACAATGTCGCTGAGCGCGATCATGTCGCCAAAGCTGCTCATGCGATCAGCACCTCTGGCGCGGGCGTAGGCCTGAGCGAGACCAGAGGTCTCAATGCCCTGGATGTCGTCAACCATGTAGACTTTGCGCTCCTCAGCGTCCAGGGGCTCGCCAATGGCAGCGCCAGCGGGAGAGACGTGCTTGAAGCTGGCCGCAGCAGGCTTTCCGAGAGCCTTCTTAAGTTCCTTGACCAGCGGCCAGCTGTTGAGGGCATCCAGGAGGTTAATGTAGCCCGGAGCGCCGCCGAGAACCTTGAAGGGCAGGCTGCCCTCCTTGACGAAAGCCGAAGCAGGCTTTTGGTGCGGGTTGGCACCATACCGGAGAGGAACAAACTGCTCGCCGCTGGCATACTGCTTGCGGAAGAAGTCGGAAATAGCGGCGTCATAGTCGGCAGTGTGCTCAAAGGCCTTGAGGGCGTACAGCTTACGGCTTGACTCCTTGACTTCGCCGGCGTCAAGCTCCTTGAGGAATTCGGCATAGTCTTTCGGGTCGCTGAGGATGGTGACGCGAGAGTGGTTCTTGGCGGCCGCGCGGATGAGAGTGACACCGCCAATATCGATCTCCTCAACAGCCTCGGGCACGGTGACGTTGATCTTCGCGACGGTATCCTTGAACGGATATAGGTTGCAAATTACGTAGTCGACCTTCTCAATGTTCTGCTCGGCAAGGTCCTTCTCGTCGGAGGCGAGGTTACGAGCGAGGATGCCAGCATGGACGGCGGGGTGCAGGGTCTTGACACGACCGGCGAGCATCTCGGGGGCCTTGGTGATGGCGGAAATGTCCCTACAAGGGAAGAGGATTCGTTAGCCGGCTTCCTTCCATGAGGCATACTAAATGTTCAATGGGCGAAAAGAAAGATCCTTCTTACTCGACAGGGAAGCCCGACTCCCTAATCATCTTGGAGGTGCCGCCCGACGCCAAAATGCGAACATTGTTCTGGACAAGGCCCTTGGCCAAGTCAAGCAGCCCGGTCTTATCATAGACCGAGACAATAGCGATTCGCTGCTGCTGAGTCGCCATTTTGGAGAGTTGAAGTGACTTGTGAGGAGAAACCTGGTGGTTACGTTTTAGTTAGCGTCCCAGCTCTAGTTGCTCAAAATAAAGTCGTAGTTCTGGTAGAATATTGGGGATCCATTGCGACCGACTTACAAGGTTTATCCACGAACAGCCGGATACTTAAGCTTCACTGCTTAAAGTGGGCAAGCTTGAAGCTTCCAGGCCGTTAATAGAGAGGCCGTTATGAAAAGAACGTCCTACGAAACGAACCACAGGAGAAACTCGGTTTAAAGGGATGGAAAGTTATGAAGGATCGAGAACCGGAGGTTGAAAATAAATTTCCAATGGTTCCTTCCGTCATACCTCTACTGCCAGGGACTGCGTATGATGGACCTGGACATGGAGGGGCAGGTCGGCCGGAATCGGGGCGCTACCATTGCCCCGCATCGAAAACTTTAGGTTGTTCTGCAGTGGGGGTAGGTAATTGCCGCACAAGCGCACTGCAGGGTTTTCGGGCCTGGTGGGACATAAAACAGATTTTCCCCTAAAAATTGCGCAAAATAGAACCCCTCACCTTTTTCTCAATTTTCCTCCCAGAAATCATCTATTGTCCCCAGATGCTGGAACTGGAATCTTGCTCGGCACTCAATCTCGTCTCGTCACGATTTATCCTTGTGGCCGTTTGGCTATCGTTATCAACAAACCCTGCGAGTGCGAAGGTAGGACAGGGGAGAGCGGGCAGTGGGCAAATGCTGGCCCGTGGTGGGAGTGCAAGGGCTAGTGGGTTTATAAGGTAGGTGGCGCGGTGCCAATCTTGTCCTTCGGGACATTTGGTCAATGTAAGTTTACTTAATGGTTCAGTGTTGCGCTCTGCAAAATACTAACAACCACCACAGTTGAAACGATACAGAGAAGATTAGCATGGCCCCTGCACTAAGGATGACACGCTACTCAAAGAGACGCTACCAATTTTTTTGAGATTTTTTTGATCATAGAATGATAATACAAGCCCATCAAAACAGCAAAAAAGCTATGATGACAGGGGTTCTCGTAGCTGGTTTCGAGAGGTCGTGCGTTCGAATTCTCACTCACATTTCACTTTTTCTTTTTCTTTTTTTCAAGCCGCAAAACGGGATACACTTGTCATTCACCTGAACGGTTTGTTGACATTCAAGCTCAAAGTAAACAACCCAAATTTACCCACTCTCCAATACACCCAACGCCCATGACCCATGATCGGTAACGAAACTAGGTATGTACATACATCCCTACCCAAGTACCCAAGGAAGCCCCTCAATCAATCCTGCCACATTCTCCCAAGCAACCCACCTTTCTCACCTAACCCCCCCCTATTCTCCTCATCATCAACAATCCTCAAGATCAATTCCCCAAACAACCCGTTGGCCCATCCGAACCACGACCTCGACCACCGACGCTCGTTCCACGCATCCGTCGCCTCGTGAATCACCCCGGTACCAGCCGTTGAGTTGAGAATCGCAAACAACTGTTGCGCAAGCACCTCATCGCGCTTCTCGCGCGAGTCAAACCCGGCCAGGCCCTCAAACGCTGTCAGGGCAGCAACAATCGCGGCCAAGGGCCAGGCCTTGCCGGGGCCGAGGTGCGGGCCACCAACAGCGGAAAGCACAGGGCCGTTGGCGAAGTAGGGGTTGGCTATGCTGAGGACGAAGCGGCGGGTGTTTTGGTAAATTTCGGCGTAGTCGTGGTTGGGGTCTTTCTCCGAGTGTGTTGTTGCTCCAGGGGGCTTTGCGTTGGTAACCAAGCCTGTGTTGTCGGTGGTGGTGCCGTCGTTGTCAGCAACAAGCTTCGCCTTCATCGCCTGCCTGCCTGATGGTTTGGCGGCGGCGACGGCCGAGTATTTCCACAGCGGCATGGCCAAAAGCGAGGGGATATTAGCGTCATCCATCAGGTTGGCGCCGCCGTATCCGTCCACCTCGTACGCGAAAATTTTACCGAAGTCGCGGTGCACAACCACCGCATCCTGCGCGATGCCGCGGCGAATACCCTTGGCGAGCTTGCGCATCTCTACCGTGAGGTTGGCCGCCTTGTTGTTGAGTGCGGCATCCGCCAATGCTTGCATGATCTCGGACGCCTGCTCCAGGTAGGCCGCCCACATCATGTTGCTGGGCGTCAGGAGCTGGAAGATGCACGCGTCGTCGCTCGGGCGGAACGCGGACCGCACCATGCCGTTTTCTTTGACTGGGTTTCCGCGGCCGGCGTTGGTGAGGGTTTCCGTCCCGCGATGTGTCCAGCCGGTAAACGTCCAGGCCGAGGGCTGCACCCGGCCGTCTTTGTCGTATGTCCCGAGACGCATGGCGGCGGATGCGTCGACGGCAGCCTCCACGGCATCAACCCAGGAGTACTTCCCGAAAAAGCTCAGATCGCCTGTCCGAGTGTAGTACGCAGAGCCAATTTGTAGAAAGGAGGCCAGGCTGTCGAGCTCCCACTTGCAGTCAAAGACCAAGTTTGGGTCGTAAACCGGCTCGGGGTGATTGTGCTCATACGCGGGGTTGACAGTAGGCGGAATGCCGCTTTCAGGGGGCGGCTGGAACGAATGACAGTACGGCGAGGTGAGTATGTACCGGGAGTGAGAGTTGATCAAGCCCCGCCAGAGGCTAGCCAGGGAGTCGTGATCCTCAGAGGCCTCAAGAAAAGGCAAATAGGAATACACCTGGCCGGCCGAGTCGCGCAGCCACATCGCATCGATGTCGCCGGTAGTCACATACGTCAGCTCCTCGTCTGTGTCTACCACCTCGCCGGTGACATGGTCAGTCTTATTGGCATAGCCGCGCCACTTGACCATGGTGTCGAGCGTGTTCGGGTAACTGTTTTCGAACAACCGGAAGAGATCAGGGTCACGGATCACCCCCTTGAGGCGCCCAAGCATCCGCTCCAGGGCGGGGAGGTGGAATGTCCTGCATTCCGGGCGAGGACGGACATAGGGAAACTGACGTCGGCCGTCGGATAAGGGGCCTGGCTTTTGCTTCTGGAGAGACTCAAAGTCGGGGCACAAAAGCGTGGTACTTGGATCCGAGGCGATGGGTTCTATGTTATTTGCCGTCTCGGTAGCGTCTATGGTGTCTGTTATGACCGTCTGTCTCTCGGTAGCCTCTGTGGTCTCCGCAGAAACCGTCGACTCGGTGTTAGTCGTGGGGTGCTGGACCGTCGTGGGCTTGTTTCCGCCACCTCCAACCTCGGGCCAATCGTTTTCGACATGATTAATTTCGTCTTCATTTGCGGATACTGGCGGCTCTTTAACGTCGCCGGAATCGTGCGTCACCTCGGCTGCCGGTGCAAGAGGCGGGTCGATATAGGGTGACGGGTGATAGGGCTGAGGTTTCAGGACCACACCTGGCGTTTCCGGCAAATCTTGGTGCAGATCATACTGTTTATTAAATCGGCTGCCGGGTGAAGGTCCCGAAAACATGAATCCCAATGCTAAAATCGTCGAAATGATAGCGAAGACGACAACACGCCCCCGCCGGGAGCCTGACAAGGACGGGAAGGCCATGACCAACCGAGATGTATGTCATCCGCTAGGCGAACGTGGTCGGACTAGAATGATGCCATCAAATCAGGGGACTCTGAGGAAGTGCGCTAAAGTCGACCTTCTCGGTCAACTCGTAGACACTAAATGCAGCCTGACCGAGATACGACGGCGCTGGGCGAAATGAGATTAATTCTTTCTCTGAAGACCAAAAGCCTAGCTAGAAAGAGATGGGGAGTGAATAAAGCTCACACGAGGCAAGTCGCATTCTAGTGTACCTGACCAGTGATGCTTAGCTAGCGCTAACCGGAAGATCGAAGGCCGCCAACTTTAGATGACGGTGCTGGGCATCTATTTTGAGCCATATGTGGTCCTAGAGCGAGTAGGTTACATCCAACAGTCGATATCGTTTATCTTTCCCTGCGATTCGGGAAGCGAATCAAGTGTGAACACCTCGCTGCAAATGGCGAAACGACCGCATTGGGGAGTACCTCGTTTCATACCACTCAAGGGCATGCTGGTACGCTGTATCTTGTCCGGATGTTATTAGGCAATAGTTTCGAAGCCACGGAGCTTTTATTGGTTATACCAAGCTCCGATTTCCTGTTTCGGTTGCCGGTCCTGTCTTAAAATTTATGTGAGAGGCTTGAGCTGGCAGCATCACATCACACAAAGCTCTTGGCGTCCGTGAACTCTTCGACAAGACGTTAACCATGTACCCCTATTTGTCTATCCAAAAAGACGCCTGACCCGACCTTGAATTGACGTTTGAGCCTCCCCAAAAGAACCGAGGAACCGCCAAATAAAGAAGAAAAATATCACACAGACAACTCCTCGCTGCTGCTTGACTGCAGGCCATCCTCCTCCCTAGTCCCGCCTTCTAGCGGCACCCACGGCTCGACATCCTCACACCCCTTCGGCACGCGACAGAGATCCCGCACATCACACGTCTTCCACAACACTTCTCTGATCTCACAAAACACCTGTTCAGGCGCATCCATGGCCCAAATGACATCCAGGTGCTCATACTCGGGTATGACCTTGGCATGGACGAGCTGCACATGCGGCTCCCGACCGCGCTCAAACCGCCGCAGCAGCTTGTCGCCATCAACAAGGTCGTCGTTACCACAAACCCACATTGCAAAGGGCGGCGCCTGGTGGTTATACCAAGCCGTCGAACCCTTGGGTTTCCTCTTGTTAGCCTCAGCGACGCGTTCCGATTGCTCGACGGCGTCCGCGCCAACCATATCCCGATCGGCCTGGGCAAGCACGGAGCGATGCTGTTCCAGCTCGCGGTCTTCACGTTCTTCCTCGCGCCACTCCTCGCGCGTGGCGAGGATGCACTTGTGTCGCGCGAAGCACTCGCGCCCCAGCCACCAACGCATCGACTCGGAGCTGACGTAAACGGGCGCGAACTGGAACATGCGGTCGCGGAGGCTGCGGTCCCAGCGCTGGTCGGTCCAGTTGAAGAGGAAGGAGAAGACCTTGTAGCCGAGCCAACCGTAGATGCGCGGGTTGAGCACGCGGTGCATGGTCATCATGAAGGGGATGAAGGCGTGGACGCCAAACATGAGGCGGAACATGCCCGGGGTGATGACGCGCATGAACTTGAAGTACATCTTGCCGATCAGGGGCCCCGCATACGCGGCGGGTGCGAGGCCGCAGAAGACAGTTAGCTTTTCGCCCAAGTCGGGACGCTGTTCTTTGGCCAGTGCGACAAGCGCCTGGGTGGTGCCTTGGGAATGGCAGATCAGGCCGAGTTTGGCGAAGCCGGTTTGGTAGAGCACGCGTGAGGTCAGCGCGGGGAGGTCGAAGACGCCCATCTGGCGGATGTTCCAGCACCACATGCGCGGGTCTGAGTAGTTGAGCAGGGTATGTTTGGGGTGGAAGCCGCAGCGGTTGTTGCCGAGCCAGACGTCGAAGCCGGACTTGGCGAGGTAGAAGGCTAACGAGGCGTCGTCGTTGACGCAGTAGGCGCCCGAGGATTGGAGGAGGCCGTGCATAAGGAGCACCGGGAAGTTAGGTTTGCGGGTGCCAGGCTGTTCATTGCTCGCGGTGGCACTGGCACTGGCACTGGCATTGGCGTTGGCATTGGCGTTGGCACCTGCAGCGTGGGCAGACTCGGGTTTGCGCTCAGGAAACGTTCCGGGGCCGTCATGGGCGCGTTCTTCCGGAGACAAAGGGTGGTACTCAGTTGGGTCGAAGACGTGCCAGAGTTCGATGATAAACCCATCTTCGGTCTGGACATGGAAAGTCTCGATGTCGAGGCCGACACGACGGGCATAGTAGGCGGGATCGCAGATCACCGGATCACGGCCGCCTTCCGTAGGGGGGAAACTCCGGTCGTCAGTAGCCCCAATGCCCTCCTCTGATGCGCGAGACCCTGGCGGGGATGACCGGCGCATCCACTCCTTCTCTTCCTGCTTTCTCCTTTTCTTCTCCTTGATTTCCTCTTCGTAAAATGGTCGGCCAGCATCTGGGTCCCGGAACGTTACGCGCTTCCATATCCGCCGTATCCAAGGAACTATGCTGGTGAAGAGCGCGCCTAACACAATGACGCCGAGAAAGGCGAGGCTGAGAAAGAAGGACGATATTTGAAATACCCGGCACTGGATATTCCGGAGCAAACTCGGGGGGCCGTAGAGCGGTAATGGCGGGAATAGGGGGTTCGTATGTGTTGGTGGCATAGCCCTTCTTAGGCTTCCGTTGGATGATTTCCCTCGGACATGTTTGGTCTTCTCGGCCACCGCGCTAACAATGCGATCCGTCGTCGACTGCTCGGCCTCGCGGATCTCCTCGTTTTTCGCAACGGCTGCCGGGGGAGTTGGGGTGTGGTGTTCCAGTTCTTCCCTCAACAGGTTCAACTTATGGGCCTCCTCCAGCGGCACTGGGGGGAGGCGGTTGCCATCAGACGTCACCAGCACCGGGTCCTGAGGCGTGACGAAGCGGGCCTCAACCGCGATGCCACCGACGTCGCCATCTGCGGGATGTTGGTGGGAGAGTTTCTCAACCTGGTCTGCGAACTGGGTCGCGACATTGTCCCATGAGCCGCGACGGTCTTCGTTTGGTGGAGGGCGATCGGCAGAGGTGTTGGTTTTGTCCAAGATGGTCTCAGGTACCGTCATGTTTGGAACGGGGGTATGTGCAAATCCGAGGCGCCCGATTATAATATAACGTTAGGACGTCTTTTGTACAACTTCGGAATCAACGAGTAAGGACTATCTGAGAAAATCCAAGAAGTCGCAAGTCGCAAAAAGATAGATAATTAGACGAGATCCGGCGCGCATGTCCAGCATTGGTGTCCCATAAGAGTTAAAAGAAAATAAGAAAAGGCATGAATTAGTGTGGACGAACTAAGCGCCTATCCATGTGGTTGCGTGGTATCCGTGGTGTTGAATTCGCGGGTCGAGTCCAGACTGCATGAGCCTCCCACCCTCTACGTCATCGGCAGAAAGGAGGTTCCATGTTGCAATTGGAATTGGGAGAGAACGCTGGGACGTTTCCAAACAGCGATGGGGGCGATGGCGAGGTTAGGGGCGAACAAAGTTCGAACGACGCAGGGGTTGCGATTAAAGCCACATTGTTGGGGACGCTAAGACGGCAAACTCGATATGGCGGTCAATTGGATTGGGAACGCCATGAACCAGCCTTTTCTCGACAAGAATGCCGGTGTGGTTCGTTCGTCAATGGACCTCGACTTTTTCCAGCCCTGGGGGTTGTGTCGCGCTTTCGCTGTGATCCCACTCAGGGGGATTTACCCCCACAGAAGTGCTCGTGGAGACAGGGGTTGTCCAGTGGCCCAGCCCCCATTCGGCATGTGAAGATCGCTGCAACACAGTTGACAGGCTCAGACCACCTAGGTAAGGTAGCGCAAACTTCAGGGTGCGAGACGCCTGAGGACGTCCAAGCTCATGCGCGCCAAGAACCGGCGAGAGGCTACAGGAAGGGTTAGGGTTAAATAGGAGATTGCCAAGACTGCTGAATCACAGCGGCAGGCCCCTCTCCGCAATTGTTGCCGAGGCCAAATGCAAAGCCGAAGCCGTCTGGGGGGCAGCCGCGCTCGAGAGCGGGTCTCGCTAGAGATGCGCCGAACGCTCGATTCTTTTGACACGGACATGGCACCCTGAATTTATGCTAGGCTGCAAACACGACAGTTTTTGGTCTGATTTTATTTTGACCTCCTCCGGTCGAGTTCTGCATGGCGCGGCCCGTTCAACCTTGAACTTGGGCCTGAACGTGCTCGTTTTGTCCCATCTTCTGTGTGTGCTGTAGTTACCATACAGACGGTTCCATAGGTAACCGAGTCCGCCGACGCCAGGGCCGCAACCAAAAGTACGATCCGTCGAAACAGGAGAACTTGAGCGTCTCTACAACAAATCTCAGCACCGGCTCGTTCCTCCATAGCTACCCAACCATTACCACAAATATGGCGGCGCCGGAAGCGAACACGGCCGTTCGCCGGAGACGGCTTCGAAGGCGCCGGCAGGACAAACCCGCGCTCTCGGCGCGTCTCGTTCTCGACGACCACATCAAAAGTGACATCGGTATTGTCTCTGAGGACGTGTTTGCAGAGCTGTTTCCGCACCTTCAGACTGGTTTGTCTCCTCTCTCCCCCTTTGCCAATGGCCGGGCTACTCTTGTTATGTGTGGTGCTAATTCGTGCATCCTTCAAACCCTAGACTACGACGAAGACGACGCGGCCCCGAACCTCCCCACTAGCCCCCTACACATCGCGATTGCGCCATGGGCGCCCTCCCACTCTCCCGAGTCTACAAGCTGGGCTGTCGTCCCCGTCACCCCGTCATCTGCCCTTGCGCGGTCTACCATCCAGTTCTCCCCCTCGTCTCTAGCCCTGCAGTCCTTTGCCTTGGACCTGAAGCGGGTTGCGCCGTCACAGCTCAACACCCGGAGTAGGAGTGGAATCGAGATTCTGGTGCTGGATGTGGCGGCCATTGAGCTGGATGCCGTTTTTGTGAACCTCGAAGGGGAATTGGCCAAACGGTTGGAGAATGGAGAAGGCACATTCTTCCGGGAGCACCCAGTTGTGCAAGCTGGCAGAATTCCAGTCCCATCAACACCCGAGGGACGGTTGACGACCGCTCTGCGCACCGCGCTCAGCAACCTGAAGGTTGTCCACACCGGCGACCTCTTCCCGCTGCCGCTGGCACCACACCCCGTCACCCACGTTCCCCCGAACCCAGGCAAGATCACCCTTTGTGAGCCGGTCGCCCAAGGAATCCTAGGCCCTAACACCAAGATCATTGTCTCCCGGGGCCGAATTCACTCTAAACACGGCCGCACATCGGCCCCAATGCCACAAAGCCCTGCTCTAAACGGAGCCGCCACAGACGACGACGATACGGCGAACGATCAATTCTTCTCTGCGGCCGAAGAAGGGGCTCGTACTGCGGCCGAGGAAACTGACGCGACCGCCACCGAGACGGAGTTTGACGATGAGCCGGAGATGGGGGAGGAAGAGGAAGAGGAAGAGGAAGAGGAAGACGCCTTGTCGGATGATTCAATGGAAGAGATGTTCTCGCTCCAGGCACCCACGCTGTCGTCTACCATCACGAGCGGGATAGGCACGCCCGCCACGATCGGGACCCTTGGGACCATCGGGCGGGGCCGGAGAACGAACGGCGTAACCAGCGGCGCAGCATCTGTGTTTTCCAACTTCACCGCAACCACAGCCCGGCCGGACAGGCCACGGGGCCGCCTATTCAAGGCGCAGGGGCTGATGCAGCCCATTCCGCCCGACGTCCTGCATCCAAAACCGACGGCGGTCGACGACGAGGAGGTTCGGGTGTACGTGGACACCAAGGACCTGAATCGCATCGGCTGTTTCTCCGGGGACTGGGTGCGCTTGGAGGCGTCTCAAGAGCCGCCTGCCAACGGCTTCGGCGCGTTCGGGCTTGGGAGTTTTGTGGACCAGGACCCGGATGAGCCGAGCTGGCGTCCGGCGAGGGTCTACGGGCTCCCAGAGGGCTACTCCAGTCGCCCCGTGGCCCGCGTGCCGAGTTCCAAGCACGACGGCCGACGGTTGTCGTTCTTCGAGTCCCAGGTCCAGAGGACGCTCAGTCCGACTGTCTACCTCTCGCCGGTTACGCTTTCTAACCTAGAGAACCCGCCGTACTTGCGTGTCTCTCCCATCAAGCGCGGCGCGCAGCCCAAGGGGCCCCTATCCAAGACCCTGGCCCCGCTTCAGGTACCCTTTGCGCGCGAAGTGATACTCCAGCACGTCCGGACTCCCATCCCGGTCGAGCGAGATGTCCAGACCGCTGTTATGGCGGGACTGAAGTACTACTTTGAGCGGAGGCTACGCGTGATCAAGACGGGGGATCTCATTGCCGTGCCCCTCGACACGCAGCTCGGCCGGGCGTTACAGGAGTCCACCGCAGCGGACGACGACTCTGCGATCGATGATGTCTTGGGCATGATTGCCAGTGCCAGGCCAGACGGCGGTCTCAAGTACGACGAAGTCGCGTGGTTCAAGGTTGGCCATGTTCAGCCGGTGAAGCAGGACACGGCGGATGAGAACGAGGAAGAGGAAGACCTCTGGGGCTCCGCCGTCTGTGTCGACATCTCCACGGCACACCTGGAGCAGACTGGCTCTGTAACGAGCCGTGTACCGGGCACGACATCCAACCCCTGGCCATACTACCTCGGCATCAAGAGGCTACCGAAGCAGCAGCAAAAGGGACCGTCCAGCCCGCTGCTAATCGAGCCAGAGCCGCAAAAGATCTCCCCGCTGCGGAGGAAACTCCGTGAGCTCATGGCCGCCGCGACGAGCAAGCCCGCGCTACACCTGGGTATGCCCCCCGTCGCGATCCTCCTCGTCTCAACGCAGCGAAGCATCGGCAAAGCCGCCACGGCAACCCAAGCCTGCGCCGATATCGGCCTGCACACCTTCTCCCTCGACGCCTACGACATCGTGAACGACTCAGGTGCCGGCGGCAGCGACGTCAAGACGGCCGGCTTCCTGACCTCGCGCGCCGAACGTGCCATGAGCTGCGGGCCGGACTGCTGCGCGCTGCTGGTGCGCCACATCGAGGCGCTGACGGCCGACCGCATGGTCTCGTCCCTCAAGGAGGTCCTGGCGGACGCGAGGGTGCTGATTGCCACCACGACCGAGGTCGAGAAGGTGCCCGATGGGATCCGGGCGTTGTTCACGCACGAGCTGGAGATGACCGCTCCCGACGAGGCCGAGCGCGAGGGGATTCTCCGGACGATTTTGGACGACCGGGGCGTGAGTCTCGACCCGGAGGTGGACGTCGGCGGGATCGCGCTCAAGACAGCCGCGCTCGTGGCGGGTGACTTGGTGGATGTGGTCGAGCGAGCCCTCGTCGCGCAGCAGTCGCGGCTGGAGCAGCTGTCGAAAAAGTCCGCGACGGAGGACCATGCCGTGACCGTACGCGATATCCAAGTAGCTGGCGGCCCAGCTGCGGCGGGGCTCACCAAGCAAGACTTCGAGGTCGCCGTCGAGGCCGCGCGCAAGAACTTTGCCGACGCCATCGGTGCCCCGAAGATTCCCAATGTTACGTGGGACGATGTCGGCGGGCTGAACAACGTCAAGGAGGCCGTCACGGAAACCATCCAGCTTCCGCTCGAGCGGCCCGAGCTGTTCGCCAAGGGGATGAAGAAGCGCTCGGGTATCCTCTTCTACGGCCCACCTGGTACCGGCAAAACCCTGCTGGCCAAGGCCATCGCAACCGAGTACAGCCTCAACTTTTTCAGCGTCAAGGGCCCCGAGCTGCTTAACATGTACATCGGCGAGTCCGAAGCCAACGTGAGGCGGGTGTTCCAGCGCGCGCGCGACGCTCGGCCGTGTGTGGTGTTCTTTGACGAGCTCGACTCGGTTGCGCCCAAGCGCGGTAACCAGGGCGACAGCGGTGGTGTTATGGACCGGATCGTCTCGCAGCTGCTCGCGGAGCTGGACGGCATGTCGGGCGGCGAGGATACGGGGGGTGGTGTCTTTGTCATTGGTGCGACTAACCGGCCGGATCTGCTGGACCCGGCCTTGCTTCGTCCGGGGCGGTTCGATAAAATGTTGTATTTGGGCGTGTCGGATACGCATGAGAAGCAGCTTACTATCATGGAGGCCTTGACCAGGAAGTGAGTTTCCCTGTCTTTTTCCAAGTTACCCTTCACCTCAAACATGAAAAAGAAATTATGAAAAACTAACTCCAAACCAGATTCTCCCTCCACCCCTCCCTCTCCCTCCGCACCGTCGCCGACCGTCTCCCCTTTACCTACACCGGCGCCGACTTCTACGCGCTCTGCTCCGACGCCATGCTCAAAGCCGTCACGCGCCAAGCCAGCCAAGTCGATGCCCGCGTGCACGCCATCAACGCCAACCCAGCCGCCCACCAGCTCCGCGCCCCAATCTCAACGGCCTATTTCTTCGATCACTTCGCGACTCCCGACGATCTCGCCGTGATGGTCACCGAGGAGGACTTTATCGAGGCCCATCGCGAGTTGGTACCCTCCGTTAGTGCGGGTGAATTGGCGCATTATGAGAAAGTGCGGGCGACGTTTGAGGGTGGTGGTGCCAAGGATAAATCCAGTGGTGGAAACAGCCATGGGAATGCGAGTAGAAACGGTAGTGTGGCGCCCACCAGCGCGAGACTGGGCTTACCAGGGACGGGCGGAGCTGGCGGCCGGCGAACGGTGTCAGGGGCTTCGGCGAGGAGTGCGAGTAGTAAGGGTAAGGGTAAAGCCATTCTCAGCGGCGGGTTGTCGAATAAGGGGAAGGGCAAAGCGGTTGCGTTGGGGAGCGAGGATGAGTTTGAGCATCATCATGGTGATGATGGAAATGGGGAGGATGGGGGCTTATTTGTGAGGGATAAGGGGAAGGGGAAGGAGGTTACGCCGCCTATTGCTGATGGTGCGCCGTTTGGGGATGTCGCGGGTAGTAACGATGACGGGTTGTACGACTAGGGTGGAGGGTTAAGAGAAGTCGATATTATTCGATAGGGGTGGGTAGGGTTGTTAGTTGGGGATTTGAAAATTACATACATTCTGGATAGTCTACCCGTCATTACTTGGGAACGGTGCATGCATATATATACATACAACAAATGGGCTCAGTTTAGGTCAGGGGGCGATGGGTGTATCAACGTTTCTTGGGTCCCGATCTTGACAAAAATTAACGAGTAAATAACACCGAATTCCTAACAAACAGCCAACCGTTCTCTACGTGACATCCAGACTACCAAACCACCAACCATGCCCGGTACTCCCCCCTATCGCCCTAAATTCGGGCAGATGTTACCAACACGGAACCGCCTATTTCAGCCCAGCTCTTTATCACACCCTTATTTACTTTCCCTTGCCTTTAGCATCCCCCGCCTTGGGTTTCACAGCTGCAGGCTTCTTATCCTCCTCTTCCTCATCATCATCATCATCATCCTCATCATCATCATCATCCTCATCGTCGTCATCCTCATCGTCGTCATCGTCATCGTCATCATCCTCGTCTTCGTCATCATCCTCATCATCCTCCTCGCTCTCCTCCTCCTCAGCCTTCCCCCCCTCCTTCCCAGGCTCCTCCTTAATCGTCTGCGACTTCTCCACCGCCGCAATCTCCTCCGCACTAGCACTTGCTACAGCCGCGCCATGCAGTTTGGTCACGGGCGGGTCAACATCACGTGGCTTCCAGCTTGTCGAGGTCGGCGATTGGGTGGTGGGCGGTGCAGCGGGGGCCTTCCAGCCGGAGGAAGTAGGCGATTGTAAGCCGGCAGCGGATTCGGTGGCGAGGGATGTATCGGTTGTATCGGTTGTTGCGGGTGCGGGTGCGCTTTTGTCTGTGGGGGATGTTGACGCAGCGGCGGTTGGGGACTTGGCAGCCGGGTCGGTTGGAGAGGACGGCGAGCTGTTGTTGCCCTTGCCGTAGACCTTGTCGCGCAGAGACTGTAGGTGGACTTGCTTGGCCTTGGCCGCGGCTTCTTCGGCGATGCTTCGGACTGGGAGGGTGGTTTTGGGCGCGGTCGAGGCAGTCTTAACCTTAGAAGTAGTCTTCTTGGATGCCGAGCCTGCTGCACCGGCAGCTGCAGCTGCAGCCCCGGCCGCGGCGGCCGCGGCGGCCTTCTCGATGGTGGTCTTGGGAGCGGGCGCGGGTGGCGCCTTGGGGGCTGTTGCCGGGGGCTGCTTGGGCTTTTGGTGGATGGACGGCTGGGTGAACTCGTCGTAGTAGAGGGTGACGTGCTGCTTGAGCTCGCCGTACTCGTTCCATTCCTCGATCTCAACGAGGTCCTGCGAGTGGCTGTCGTTAGCAAGGTCGGGCAGGACAGAGACTACTGGAGCAAACGCTCTTGTGCAGAACAAAAGACTTACTCCTAGGACCATCCCCTGCTGTACGAGCCCCGGGAGCTTGCGCTGGCGACCGCCCTCATCCTTCCCAGCACGTCGGCCCCAGAGCATCCGGGCCTTCTCATCGGTGGCGATGTCGAGGGCCTTGAACGGCACGCGGTTGGCGCGCAGAATGGTTTCGAGGCGCGAGGTCGCGGTGACGATATGCGAAGATCCCGCGGTCAGGGATGTGTAGATGTACAGCGCAGGGTCGGCCGAGTACGACTTGCCCTCGGTCTTGCCCTCGGTCTTGCCCTCACTCTTTTCGGACGCCATTGCGGTGCTGTTGATCTTCGAAAGGGGACCTTCGTTTTGGGGTTTCTTCTTTCTCTTCTTTCTTTTTTGGTTGTCGTCTTTCTCCCGCGGCCGTGGGCAACTAATGATTAGGTACCGAGGGTAAGTGGAAGAGCAAAGGGGCCTAGCAGGCACAAGTTCATGTACAGTACAACTCGTCTGCGTGGCCCTGGGAGACTCTGTTAGTCGGTGGGTGAGGGGTCCAGCCAACCACTATTGCGGGGTAGCTCGAAGGAGGGGCAGTTGGCTCTCAGTTGGGGTAAGTTGCCCGGTACGGCGACGTGGACGATCCGAGTGGCTTTGCTGAGACGAATGCTAAACGGGCTTTGTCGGAGAAAAATAGGGTGAAAGGGACGGGCGAGATGAAAGAACCCAAACACCCAAAAGAACGGATTGTTTAATCAGACTTGTTTTTTGTAAGTTGGCTGCACTTCGAGGGTGGAGCAACTTATTCAAAGTGCCCAGGGAACGGAAGGACCTGAGAACATGGCCCGCAATAAGGCCCACGGCTACAGACGCAGCATGGTGTTGGAGCTCCTGCGCCGTAACTACAAGACATGAAACTCTTCGAGGCTCAACAAACACTCACCGAGTCTAACCAAGGAGCCGGGTTAAAGACAATGGAACTCATTGGTGCGGTTGGGCCTCATTGACTGAGGTCTTTGTTACAGCACCAGACTTACTTATACAATGGCGGCCCTCGATCGAAGTCTTACTCTGCTGAATACCAACAAAAGAAGTGGTATCCACCATAATAGGGTTCACAAAGGTTTACCATGTGGTTAATGAGGCCTCACAAAGCCGTAAAGACGCAATGCCTCGAGAATCGCCTCGATACCCAACAACAACGGGCGGAACGTTGCGAAGGACAAAACGGAACAGAGAACATGTATATAGTTCATCCGGTACTCAAACCCGGTCGGCTGACGCTCGAGGTCAAAGGCCAACCTCGGGCCTTCATCAAGCCCTTCGTCGTCGTCGTCGTCTTTCTCGTCCACCGGAGAGCCGACACATGATCTCGCCGGATTCAAATCCAAAGCATCCAAGATGTGTCTCATCGGCCTCTTAATCCCGGCAAAGCCCAAGAAGTCCAAGTCGAGGTCGAGCCGCAAGCATAGATCAAGAAGCAGGAGCCCCCACCGCAGGCGATATGAGCGGCCGCGTCACGAGCATTCCTCTCGACACAGACACGACAACTCTCGGCACGAGTCTTCCCGGCGCGAGAGGTCATCAACCCGGCAAGAAAAGAGGCACCCGCCGCAAGACTCGTCGCGAGACTCAGCGGCGGTGGTAGAGGATGCCCTGGCCCGGCTCTGCCTCTCCCTAGAGCAGAGCCTCATCGAAGAACAGCAACGATGGCGGGCCCAGGACCGATGGGAGAGGAGGGCCGAACTTTCTCGTTTGGACCACGCATCCGGTGGCCGGATTCCAGCCGATGAAGTAGTCGGGCAACAAGCGCAAGGACAAAAACAGGAGGAAGCGCCTCCATATAGCCCCACAGACAATACCAAAACCGCGCGCGTGCCTCATCCCATCCTAACAACCATCACGCCCGATCCGCAGCCTGAGCCTGAGCAATACCAACGCGGCGTAGCTGACAGTCCGGCCTGCCGGGTTGAAAACTCAACATCCGTTTCCTGTTGCCACAATTGCGTGTGCGCCCGCTGCGGTTCCAACGTCACCATGTGTGACCCGGAGGTTCCCGAGCTAGAGCATGATAGTCCGGCCCGAGGGGCCTTCAGCGCTAGGCACAGAGCCGGTTTGGGGGAATGAAATTCTTTCTCGCCTGCATGGTGGATAGGCTGAAAGAGGCTGTCGTGGCTGTGGCCTTACTCTTAGTTGCTGACGAGCACTATGCAGAAAATGACGGCCCGATCGGATAGAGTGGCGATGTTGATCGGTGGGTGTTCGGATCACAATTTTTTGGTTAAAATTGTTTGGCGAGGAGCACGGCAAATGGGAGAATGGTGGGTGGGGTGATGTGTTGAAGAATTTTACCCGGTTTGCCAGTGTATCTAGATGTACACTATCACATAGTAGAATTCTTGAAAAGTGGCTCAGCAGACAACAGACTAGATAACTACTCCGTAGAAACACGCTCTGTTCACTCTCACCAAAAGAATTGAAGAATGAGAGACCACTCTCACCAGCCTTGGCATGGTCAACCCCAGATGTCGATGGACCTCAAATTAACTGACCCCAAAGGGGCAGATGGGGCTGGTTTCGTGCCCCGGCTTGGGTGTCCCTTGCTCAAGCCCCACGGCATGAAATAGCCTTCCCCGCTAGGCCGGTGATACACAAGTGAACTCACCTCTTTCGAATGTTTCTGGGGTGTTCATCTCAACGCCGAGCGCAATCCGGTGCGCAGCTGACGGCAGCATGCTTTGCGTTGTGGCTAGTTACTCCAAGACTTCACTACACTAACTTCGGGGTATATTTGGAACGCACAGGACGCAGTACTTCGTAACGTGGGCACTGTTACACCACCAATGCGGCCAGCCTCGCGACCTTGTGGCGAGCTGATTTTTTTCCTTTCTTCGTTTTCTCCTCAGTTTGCCTTGCGCTCCCGATGACTCCAGGAAAGAGAGAAAGGCCGGACGTGTGAAGGAGAGAGTGTGGCATGCTCGTACCAGGTACGACAGTACCTGGCCGGCGGGACCGACACCGCCGCCGCCGCAACAAACTTCGTCTTACGGAGTACCACTCCCTTCTGGAACCTCGCGCAACGACCGTTGGTCGGCGCCGAATGAGACACTTTTGCTCTCCCTTCCTCTTTCTCCTCCCTCCTTCAGCTGTTTGCGGGACCTGCATAGTGGGCCTTCCAGGGACCGAGACGTGGCAAGCCGAGGAAAGAGACGGGCTTGCAGACTCTGCACGAGTTGGTGGTAACCAATTCGTCATATTGTCGGCTTGATGAGTTGTTAACTTGTTCCCCACCACTTATTAATAGTTGACCATTGCCAACGGACCGAAAGAAAACCAAGGATCGGTCACAGAATGCCAAGTCGTGGACGTCGGGTCTCGGCCCCGCCCACGCTTTTTTTTCTGCAAGATGGGATCAGGCACAAGCCAGGGATGGTCAATATTCGAACAGGAAACAGCCAGACAGCCAGCAGGAAACGATAAAAAAAAGACTTGCAGCCCCCACCGCATCAAACGCAACTGGCTGGGATTCTGCCCGTTCCTTGCAGAAGGTGCAGACAAGGGCAAAGACCCCGGCCAATCGTGTTCGGTCGCTTGCGGAAATGCTGCTCCACCGTTTGGCACGCAAGGCACGCTCTGCAAGGTACGCGGGTCTTCGTCCGACCATTTGCGTGGTGTGCGTGGCAGCCGTGGTAGCCCGTCGCGGGCTGTCCCTGCAATCACCGATCGGACCAGGAGCAGGGGTCCCGTCCGCCGCTCCGCCCGCGGGCCCTCTCACCAAAGACGGATGGTGCCCAGCAGCCCAAGGAACGAGGGTCTCAGGGTCTGGCCCGGGCTCCTGAGGCTTGTCTCTCTCCCGTCGTTCTCTCCGCCCACCCGTTTCCTGGGACCCCCAAATAAAAGGGAGGAAACCCCCCGGTGCGTCCCGATGTGGCTTTCCCTCTCCCTTCTTCAACCCACAGCGTAACTTCGCGACCATCCACTCTTTTAACACACCCACCCGGCGCCAGCCCGACACTCTTTTGAATAAACCCAAAAATCGACAACTGTTGAATTTCTCGTCTCCGGAACTTTGTAACCCACGAGTCTCACCCCCCAAACCGACGACAAAACGCCAAACAACCCCCAAGACAAAATGCAGTTCAAGAGCATCCTCACCATCCTCGCGGCCACCGGCCTGTCCCTGGTCTCCGCCCAGGAAGCCGACACCACCACCACGTCGACCCAGACCCTGACCAAGACGGTGACCATCACCTCGTGCCACCCGACCGTCACTGACTGCCCGGCGCACCACCACCAGTCCACCACCACCTCGACCGCCACCACCTGGGCTTCCTTCCCGCTGTCCAACTCCACCAGCACCGCTGGCCCCACCGCCTCGTCGTCCTTCACCCTGTCTGGCTCTGCCATCGTCACTCCGTCGTCGTCTGGCTCTGGCTCGGGTGGCTCATCCCCGTCTTCGACTACCTCGGCTTCCCCTTCGGCTTCGACTGGTGCCGCGGCTGGTTTGTTTGTCCAGCCGGCTATGTTTTTGGGTGCCATCGGTGCCGGTGTCGCTCTCCTAGCTTAAGGGGTGGTCACGGATTCGGTGAATTGGGAGGAAATGGGGGGTCCTACCACCGAGGGAAGAAAGGGTGAAGGGGTAGAGAGTGGAGCTCGACGTTGATTTGGTCTGGCATTGACGAATATACCCGTGCCTGGTACCATTTATTTTCGATTCTTTCTGACGGTTTACACCAACTTAATTCTTTTGGGGATGTGATGCTTGGGGCTTTTTTCGGTTGAGAAGGATTGGGGATGTGGCGAACAGGAGCTTCAATTTATTTTGCATTGCTTCTATTTTTTTTTTTTTTATCTATTTTGGATTTATTTTTCAAAGGCCTCTCTGTTTTATCTTGGATTGATCGGCTACTAGCTGGCACCTTTGGGCAAATAGACGATAAGCCGGTGTCGATTGACACGGCTTGGAAGCATCACGGCGAACGCTGGGGAAGTTGAAGATGGGGTTTGACAACTCGGAGTTTCCGGTGTCGACGGGGCGACTGCTTGTCCGCTCCATGGCACTGCAGCACGAATTGAAAACATATCAAACTCATTTCGCCCGGCCTCTTTTTCTTCTGCTGTTGGGTTGTTTCGTTTCCTGTTTCGTTTCGCGGCTCGAGCGTCCCTGGCAACGGAACTCGCCGCTTGTCACAGACAACAAATCAACCATGGATTCATCCATCAACTCGTCTCACAGTGAATGATCTGCGGGAGCGGCGCTCATCATAAAATCTGGATCAACCAAGGGGCGCGGGGTTAACATCTGTCGTCACTTGTCATTCCACTCTTGAGCCAGTGATCGCTACTCAGACAGCACATCCTTTCCCTCCTACATAGCTTTGCCTCGGGCCTGGTTGGGTTTACTCACTTCAGGCCGTCACCTCAGCCCCTGCTCTAACTTGAGCTCTTTGTCCCTACTTCCTCGAAGCAACCAAAATAGAACAGATGAACTCATTAAGCTTTCCAAAGAAACAAGCCCCCGCTGTTTGTTGAGGAGCTATTAACAGCATTGTATGTACAGTACAGAATGCTATCAAAGGAACTTAGAATCGTGAGTGTTGGCAATATTTTGGTAATGATTTTCTGTTAAGGGTCAAGATCAAGATGTAGGCAGTGCAACAACCATACGGAGGTCTATAATATCAACAAAACTTAAGAGAGTAATCACACATTCATCAACTTAGATACTAGAGGTCACTCAAGTCACAGCACGTGCATGAATCAGGCTTTTCATTCAGGGTAAATACAAAAGCATCGCTAAGCCGCCCATACCCCTTTTCCCATCCCCTGTTCCATTTTTTTGCGTGACAACCGGGGAAGTAAAGAAGAAGAAAAACACCGCAAGTGTTGTGGTGTAAATAACAAAATAGTGATAACCTCAGGCCCAAATTCACCGCTTCCCTAATTAACTCAGCGCAGAAGAAGGAAAGAAAAAAGGCAAGAGCGCCAACCCCTTAACACACACCCCTCTCCATTCCTATCCCTATCCCTAATCCTCTTCGTAATACCCCCCTCAAAAGAAAAAGAACCCCCCGCCAAACCCATCCAATCATAACCGTAAAATCGTCATGACGATCTAGCGACGGCTCCGACGCCGTGTATCCTCCTCATCATCGCTATCACTATCACTATCGTCGTCGTCACTGCTGCTCTTCCGGTTCTTGGAGCACGATTTGCCCGTCTGGCCGCACTTGCCCGCCGAGCAGTCGCTGCAGAGATCGCCACGGTTGGTCACCGTGTTCATGCAGGTGTAGTCGTCGTAGTGATCGCAGTAGACCATGGCTGCTGGTGTTGTGGTGAGGCTTGGGGTTGCTGCTGTTGATGATGATATTGGGGAGAGAGATGGTGTGGTGGTGAACAGACGGCGCTGTGGTGGTAAATGTGGTATTGATAAGTGGTTTGGTGGTGGTAGAGCTGGAAGATGCCCGCCAAAGGGGGGGTTGGTTGATTAGCGTAGGCTGTGAGAAAGCTTGTGCTGTGGCGTGTGTGGGTGTATGCTTTGGTTGGTATCGTGGCTATTATATAGCCGTTTTGTGTGGTATGTGAGGCTCTGGGAGCTTGTGGTTGTTGTTTGGGACAGGCGAGCTGAGAATGGTGTGGGATGTGGACTGGAACTGCTCTTCAACTGGGCCATGAGGAGGGTATTTATACTCACAATTTACTACGGCTTCTTCTTCGTAAGAAGTGGCCAGCAGGGCCATGTTGAACACAGGCGGCATGACCAAGTGCGGGACAGGACCCGTATGACTGACGATAGCGGCTCTGAACAGGTCTTACAATTGTCACTTGATGAACAACAACACTGTTCAAAGCAAAGAGATGGCGACATACCTTTGGAAAGGGGAAGGGCTACGAAGAGGCCCTTAAGGGAAGAGTTTACTTCGGACGGCCCCTCAAATGTTGGCGGGGAAATAGTACAGATATCGGAACAAGCCAAACTCGGGGAATGATTTGCGGGTTGTGGCGTGTGGGGGTCTCGCGTGGTGTTGAGGATTGGAACACGGCACAAAGGGCATGAACACCGGCGAACCATTTGCTGGTGAGGGGAGAGGAGAAAGAAAAAGGGGCCACGGTTCAGCGAAGCACGAAATCAGCTTGATCTAGATTACTACCCCCCTCCCCGCCCTCTTCGAGTCTGCTGCGAGGAACTGCGCGTTGGTTCGGAATGGGTCGGGCGATTCTCGAACCATAATGTCACATGGAAACGTGCGCCAAGTACCCAATGGGTTGTTGGTGCTTGTTCAGCCCCATCTGCAAGCTGCCAGAGTTGGCGCCATCTTGCAGGACGCACGCAACACGATCCTCCACACCACTCTTCGACTACAGGGAGTTGAACCCGTGGCTTCACGGGTTCGTGAGAGATTCAACAGACGGAAAGAGCCGAGAGGTGATAATTACAGTGTGTTTTTTCCCGGTGAGTAGGAAACAGGTGAACAAAGGAGACACGTAGAGTATAAGAAATGACGTAAATTGTGTAGAAACACAGACAAAGATGCAGGAAAATGCAAGTGTGGTGTGTTGGTGGCCTGCGTAGGGCATATGAGTACCGTGTCCCGGAGAATTAGACGATAGATTGCCCTAGTTGTACTAGATTCGTAGGAACTTTGCGTCAGCTCGGGTGTGATCAAGGAAATGTGGCTAGCAATGCTGGCTCAAGGGTCCCTTTTCGTGCCCACCACGTGGGATACCAGAATGACAGGGAGGACAGCTCGGGCACTGCACCCGGCGGCAATTGAATTTGACATTTTTCGTCTTGAGGAAGTTGAAAAAGCTTCGGCTGGCGCTCAGACCATCCACGGTTTGCAGAAGGGCTTCCAATCCGGGTTGCCCGCCGAAGCTTAAGCCCGGGCCACCCAACAGGGGGGTCTGGGTTAGTTAATTGTTAGTGCAACCCCAGACCAAGTCCCTGGATAACTTACTTTGATACAAAAGGAAAAAGGACAAAAAGAAGAAATAAAAAAAAGTGAAAGAAGACAAAAAGTAATAAATATAGAAAGTGACAAAGTACAAAAAAAGAGTAAATCAATCAAAATTTACTAAGACTTGATCGAATGTTAATGGATTGGACTTGAGCTATCTCTTTGAGTGTGCCGCTTTTTTTGGCCACAGCGAGCCCAATGTCCAATCCACTGTGAAGACTGCTGACCCCGGCTTAAATCCCCATTGCACAAGGCATCCCTACCCCCGAAGCAACCTATACCCCTCCACAACCCGCCCAACTGCCTGAGGTCCCGCTGCGCCTGGCCTGTCATCAGGTCGTCAAGGTCGTTATCGAGCCGGCGCGCTCTGTTGAGCGCCCTCGATATCCGAGAAACCCGAAACCTTACCTTCGCCGTCGCTGCATTCACGGGACAGAAAACTACAACCCGAGTCCAGGTGCACTTGACTGGTTGTATCATCTTTTCGAGAGACATCCCCCTAGCGTGAGAGTCGAAGCCCCTCAAATCTGTCAGACAAGGATCTAGTCGAGCAAGCTCGTCATTTTCGAGTCCTCTCGCCGTTATTCATTTGCACAACTCAAAGATATCTCGGCCCCCTATTTCTACCCTCTGTGTCCGAAGAAACACAGTTTTGTATCACGTGCCCGCTTGTGTGGCCTGGACTCCTTAGAACCTACCGTGCAGTCGCGAGATCCCGAATCTTCCAACTCTTAACAAACGACCGACCGATAACGCAAACATCAAGCAACGCAATTAACCCATCGTAACACGTCCGGCGTTGTCTCCCGACCTACTCCCCTCTCTTCCGACACATTTTCTAGCGACACGGTTGATGCACCGTACACGCTGCCAACCCAACGGCCATGGCGACGCCCGACGACGTCGGGGGCCTAGTTTCTGGCGCTCACGTGCCCCTCGAGATAGACGACGATTCTCAGTCGACCAGCTCCCAATCCACTAGCCAGATCCATGACTTGAGCCAACATCTTCAGATAGGTGGAAACAATTGTCCATGGCGAACGGAGCGCTATTTTGACCAAGAATGCTCTCGCTACTTCGACTGCCCCTCTCATATAGTTGAGCGTGCTCTTTCTGATACGGACGACGAACGAGGCGGACAGGCACACCAAGAGGAAGGATCGGGTAATATTGAGGATCATGGAGAACACGTAGAAGGGGAACATCACGGTTCGATAGGACCAGAATCAGAGGACGAAGTGGACCATCCGAGCCCCGTCGTACTTGGGAACACAACCGAGGTGGAGCAAGAAGATGTGCAATCGCATAATTCAGGCGCATTTGTTGGGGAGGTTCGTCAAGAATCGGAAGAGGAGGAATCGGATGTGGCTGAAGGTGAAGGTGATGCCGAGCCAGGAAGTGTCTCACCGTTGAGTGAAGACGACAGCGACCGCAGTGCCCGGTCTCTATCCCCCGAGGCGGCCCCCGAGACGACCAATGTCTCCGAAGGCCAAGGGCCATCTGGTCCTCCGACTCGAGAGCAACAAAGGGTACCCGTCAGCGCGAACGAGTTCACGTCCGGAGGTAATTACCGAGCCCAACAAGAATCGGAGCGACCGGCTGCAAGCCAAAGCAGTGGTTGGGAGAGCCTTGGTGCCGCGTCGTCAACTTCCAGTCTCGGAATAAGGACCATGGCAGATCTCCCAAGCCGCCCCTCTGTCGACACGTCGACTGGCAGCTTCGGCTCCGTCGTGAGTCCCTCTGAACCTTCTCGAGGACTCCCGACGCCAACACAGCATGCCCGCTCCGAACTCCAGTTGCCAAGGTGGCAGCCGGACTCTGAGCAGACATACTGCCCGATATGTGGCACCCAGTTCAGCTTTTTTGTTCGGAAACACCATTGCCGGTAAGTCATAAAAGCCGCCCTCAGGACCACGAGAATACGGGCTTACATTTAATGACAGCAAGTGTGGTCGTGTGGTCTGTAACTCATGCTCACCTCATCGCATCACGATACCTCATCAATACATTGTCCGGCCGCCTCATGCGCCCCGGCCGGCACCTCACGGCCCACCGCTTTCTCTCTTGGACAGTCAAGGATGGTATCCCGAGTTTAGCGGCGGAGAAAAAGTCAGGCTATGCAATCCTTGTGTCCCTGATCCCAACGTCGCACCGCCGCATGACCAGGGACGCCAACCGAGGTCACGAACTGAACTGAATTCGCCCGGACGGGTTGAGATTTCGCCTTCTGATAGGCTGGGCTTTTATCTCGGTGTTGGGAGCTCGTCTGATGCTCATACGAGGACTCGGAGCGTGACTCTGGTACGTCGCGTGCATGCATGCCTGTTTTTGTTCTCAGTTCCTGGAGATACCGTGACTTTTCTCTAACATATCCTCCAGCAACCGGGACTGTCCTCCTCTCGACCACATATCCCACCACCCCCTCGCAGCAACGAGGCCCGCATCCTCTGGGGCACACCACCAGGCTACTACCGGCCCACCTCCTCATCCCAGCCCACATCTCACCACTACCCGGGGACCATAGCCTCACGCTACCGATCCGCCTTCGACGTCAGCGACCGACCCGGCCCGTCATCGTCCGCCATCGGACGACCATCCGGCTCCTCTAGCGCGTCCCGTCATTTCCACTCTCCCGTGCCCCCGCGCCCGCAAATCGCCGAAGAAGACGAGTGCCCCGTCTGCCATCGCGAGCTCCCGCCGCGCACCCTACCCAATTTCGAATCCCTCCGCGAAGCCCACATCACCAGCTGCATCACCTCCCACAGCCGATACGGCGGGCCCTCCACCACACCACCTACCGGCGCCGGCGGTGCTGGTGCCAACGATGACAACCCAGATGCCCTGCCCGACGGCCCACCGCCTCCACCGCCCCGTCGGACGGGCATGTTTCCGTACGCGGCGACGGAGAAGGACTGCGTAGACTCGGCTGAGTGCTCGATTTGTCTTGAAGAGTTTGAGGTGGGTGTGCTGATGGCGCGGCTTGAGTGTCTGTGTCGGTTCCATCGGCGGTGTATCAATGCCTGGTGGGAGAGACATCCGGGGAGGTGTCCGATGCATCAGCATGATGGGTTTGGGTATTAAGCTTGCAGCGAGAAACTCGAATCAAGGTCATCTGGGTTTAAACAAGCTAGCCCGTGGGTTTCTTGTCGGGCCTCTCAACCTCATTACGTCCACTACAATCTCAGTGTGAGTGAGGTGGGTGATGGATGGGCTTTATGGGTTATAATTTGATTTTTGGGGGGTTCATCTCTCTCCACTTTGTCCCTTGTTATGGTCTGGCGTTTTTGTGTCATTTTTGGACGAGAAAGCAAGGGCATGTCTTGGCTGTGTTTTATATACCATTCCTTTGAGCGCGCATAGGTTGGGACATTCGTTGGGTGGGCTTAGCTGTTAAGGGAATTGAGATTGAGGTTTGAAAGGCCAGGCCGGATTTTCAGCCCCTTTTCTTGTGCTCGTATGATGAGCCGTGGCACAACTGCCGGCCAGCTTTAGAGTGCTAAGCAGTCAAGTCTTCGGGAAGCGAGGCTTTCGCAGTGGCTGGGGGCATGCGAGTTGGCTTAAACTGGCTTTATGCCGAATTCATTGACTTGGTTGCAACATCTCAGGGCCTTTCTCCACTTAGCAACTGTGAAGTGAAACAATCCAAACATATACACCATGGATTATATGTATGTATATAACGCCGGTCTAATGCCACCGCCCCCCCCACCGGTATCCTTCGAAAACTCTGCTTGATTCATCAATGCCAAAAGACTCTACGCCTTAGGCTTCCCGGGATCCGGAACCCCCAAGTTATCCGGCCCGAAAGAGAGCGGGAGCAGCTACAGTTGATGGTTAGCACCATTGTCTGTCCATCTTCAAGGTTGGGGGGTTACCTCTTCCAGCTTCATAACCACAAAGTTGCTGTTCTTGTCAAACATGATAATAGGCGTGCTCAGTTCGCAGAATTCGCGGATACTATTCCATGTCAGTATCCCGCCATACCCGTACATCCTTTCCCTTCCTCTTCCCCCATCCCTTTTCATTTCCCACCCACAAAAACAACGAACAGAGTAAAATGAGCCAGGGGAGAGAGATAGAGAGAGAGCAACCTACAACTGCCGACACATCCCACACGGACTCGCGGGGCTATCCGCATCCGTGGCCACCGCAACCGCCCTAAACGCCCGATGTCCATCCACCACCGCCCGTCCAAACGCCACTCTCTCCGCACACGTCGTCACCGGGTAACTCGCATTCTCGACGTTGGCGCCGATGATGTAGAGGTTTTCGTTCCCACCAGTACTGCTTTCATTCCCCCCCGTGGCCGTCGCAGGCGAAGCGCTAGCGAGAAGCAGGACGGCGCCAACGCGGAAGTTGCTGTAGGGTGCGTAGGCTTGGGCTTTGGCGGATTGGGCGTGGGTGCGCAGTTGGTGGAATTCGTCGCGGGTGAGGTTGTGGGCGGCGCAGGTTTGTTGGACGGCTGTGGCGGAGGAGGCGGAGAGGGGGGTTGGGGGCATTGTGAAGGGCTTTTGTATTACAATTATGCAATGTTATTGGGTTTAGCGGGTTTGGATGTGGTTATGTTGGTGATGGTGTTGTGTTGTTGGTGAAAAAGGGTGTTGTTGATGCAATGCTTCTAGGATTGGGGGTGAGTGAAGGGTTGATATTCGTATTTTACTCGGTGTGATGAGAACAATCTTAAACCGGGATACTTTGCCGATAAGTAACTTCCTTGGGTGAGAGTTGTCTCGGAATCTCTACACTAAAACTGGACAAATCGGATGATAGATAAGGGAAGTGAGTGAGTTGGCCCGTTGTCAGATGACCTCAACTGTGTTGTTACTTAGTTGGGGCTTGAGCTGGGAATCAAGCGATGTCCCCGTCATCAATGAGGTGGACTTGTGGGGCCGGCTGTTGTTTGGATTCTCAACGATTGATACGCGCAATACGAGGGCATGAGGTGGTTGGGGTTTGGCACGTGGACAGCAGTGGAGAGAGGTTTTGGAGAAAGATATGCCGCTTGCAGCCGTCTGTCTCCTTTTGGCAACTCCAGCCCTTACTATTGGATTCCTAATTGGTTGCTTGTCTGAAGATTCACATCTCGGGTGTCTGTCACTTTTCAAGGATGTTCGTTTGTTTCTTCTCCCCGCATTTGACGATGTGTAGTGTACTTAGCTACCTCACGGCCGGATTTATCGAGAGATGGGGGACAAACACAGCGGTGTGGTTTGGTGGACTGTGAACATTGCAGCAATGCCCTCAATATGCAAAAGTACCACTTCAAAACACCAGTAACCGCCGTCAAAACCATAATGCTCTATTTCCGAAGATTTAACACCGCTCCATCCTCATGGTATATCGTTTGCGTTCTACGTTTTTTAACCAACAATCATTTGTCCCTCGCCTGCGACCTAGATTGGAGAGTAACCCAAAGAGCAGAGAAAATAATAGCAAAAAGAGAAAGGAAACCAAAAAGAGGAGAGAATATTGATAAAATGTTCCCGAGAGGTGACTTGCCAACATAAAAACACTGCAGGAGTCGCGATATGGAGCCGCCATTCCATTCCCGTCATGCCATGCCATGCTAAAAGAGTGAAGTAGAGAAAAAAGAAGAGAGAAGTGGTGGCCTGCAACGAGGCGCTGATGCAACATTATACAATACGAAGTTAAAGGGGTGACGAGGTAAGCCACGACGGCTTTATCTGTCAAGAGCTTGGTTGTGGCACTGTGTTTTACGTTAGTTGGTTTCCTTGGTGTTGTTTGAAAGAAAGAGAACTGTTTTAGTGCAGGAAAAGGAACGTACCATGTGCCAGTATACGCCCTTCTGTTTGAGCAGCTCAGCGTGCGTACCCTGTTCGAGCACCTTCCCTTCGCCGAGGACGTAGATGATATCCGCCTTTTGGATCGTGGCGAGGCGGTGCGCTACAGCCACTGTGGTGCGGCCCTTGGACACGCGCTCGAACGCGGCCTGGACGAGCTTTTCGCTTTCTGTTGTTGTGTTAGTGAACAGTGCAGAACACTGAAGATGGAACGCGGGAAAAAGGAGGAAGGAACATACCCGAATCGAGCGAACTCGTAGCCTCATCCAGCAACAAAACACGCGGATTCCGCATCAGCGCCCGCGCAATCGACAGACGCTGCTTCTGCCCACCACTCAAGCTCACACCGCGGCTACCAATCGACGTGTTGTACCCATCTGGCAAAGACACGATGAAGTCGTGGATGTTCGCGTCCCGACAGCACTGGTGCAGCTGCTCATCCGTCACGGTAGACGGGTCAACACCTAGCAGCAGGTTTTCGCGGATGGTGCCGTGGAAGAGCGACGGCTCCTGCGCGACCAGCGACAGCAGACGGCGGAAATCGTGCACGTTGATGGTGGAGATGTCCTGGTCGTTGAACAGGATCTGGCCCTTGTTGACGTCGTAGAAGCGCTCCAGCAGACTGACGATAGAGGTCTTGCCGGAGCCGGAAGCCCCGACGAGCGCGGCAAACTGGCCTTTCTCAATGGTGATGTTGAGGCCCTTGAAGATGGACACGTCGCGGGTCGGGTACTTGAAGTGCACGTCCTTGAGCTCGATCTTGATGCCGCCCTCCGTGTCAGCGATCTGCTTCTGATCTGCACCGCCCGCGGAGCTGGCCGGGACGCGGCTCTCGCGGGCGCGGAGGATACGGTTCGCGGCGGCCGAGGCTTGCGCGGCGTTAGGACCGAAGCTGAGCCACTGACCAGCCGACTCGGCGCCCTGGATCACGGCCATGTAGGTAACGAGGAAGCTGACGGTGTTGTATTCGCCACTGAGCAGTAGTTGGCCGCCATACCAGAAGATGAGCGCCTGGCAGCCAAGACTGACGCTGTCGGCAAAGGCAAACACCAGGGTCGTGAACCGCGCCTTCTTGTACGCAGACGAGACGTGGCCGTTGAGCAGCCGCTTGTAACGCTCGGAGATGCTGTCCTCCATGACGAGGGCGTTGACAGTGCGGAAAGCGCCGATGGACTCGGCACCGAACTTGGAGCTTTCCTGGAAGACCTGGTCATTCATGGCGTTGAACTGCAACTCGTAGCGCACGCGGAAGAAGCCGGCGAGAATGCCTAGCGGCACCGTCACACACAGCGCCACCAGCGCCAGCTTCCAGCCGTACGCAAACGAGATAGCCAGCGCCCCCGCGAGGGAGAAGATGCCGATCAGCAACATCATCATGTTGATGCCCAGTAGCTCCTTAAGCGCCTGCGGGTCGCTCGACAGCCGCGCCGTCAGCTGGCCTGTCGAGTTCTCGTCCTGGTCAAAGTACGCCGCTGGCTGCGCGATGATAGACTCAAAGTATTCTTGCCGGTACACCGCCGAGATGTAGCCCTCCAGTGTGGTGGACACGAAGCCAGTGAGAAAGTAGCTGAACCCCACGCCAGCCGCCAGGATCGCCCACATCTTGGACCAGAACGTCGCGCCGTCCATCAGCTCCTCGGGCGTCTGCTTCTCGAACACGCCGACGACCTGGGCGAACAGGTACGCCTGGAGAGGCACCGCTGCGGCCGCACCCATCGCGCCGATAAGGGCGATGATGTAAAAGGGGAACCGGCTGCGCTGCTCGGACAGGAGCTTGCCGAAGCCGGTGAACAGCCCACGGTCCTTCCACTTGGCCTCATCGTGCGCGCTCTCAGCCGTCGACTTGGCCGCGCTCTTCTCGCGGGCCAGCACATTGTTCAGATCCTCTTCCTCGAGTCGGTCCTCGTCCGCGCCCGTCTCGTCGCCCAGCGACAGCTTCTGCGCGTGCACCAGGCCATAGTAGACACCCAGCTCGTTCTCGAGCAGGCTGTCGTGGGTGCCTTCTTCCGCGACGCGGCCGTTCTGCAGCACAACGATGCGATCCGCGTCCTTGATAGTCGACAGCCGATGCGCGATCGTGATGGTGGTGCGGCCCTTGGACGCCCGCTCCAGCGCCGCCTGGACGATGCGCTCGCCGCGGACGTCGATGGCCGACGTAGCCTCGTCGAGGATGAGAATTTTGGGCTTCTTGATGATGCTGCGCGCGATGGCGATGCGCTGTCGCTGTCCGCCGCTCAACTTGGCGCCTGAGTCGCCAACTTGTGTGTCATAACCATCAGGAAGGCGGTCCACGAACTCATCAGCGAAGCTCTCGGCGCACGCTTCCTTGACCAGCTGGCGCTTGACTTCGTCCGACTCTTTCTCCCACTGGGTCCCAATCAGGCCGGACGCGACGTTGTTGAAGATGGTGTCGTTGAAGAGGAACGGTTCTTGCTGGACGAGGCCGATCTGCGAGCGCCACCACTTGATGTCGATGTCGGTGAGCTCCTTGCCGCAGGTTGAGATGCTGCCCTTGAGCTCAACGGCCGGGCCGAGGTCCTGGGCTTCCAGTGCTTCCACGGCAGCGGGGTCGTCGTCTTCTTCCTCCTCATCCTTGTCATCTCCATTCCTGTTCTTGTTCTTCTTCTTTTGCTTCTCCTTTTCCTTCTTGACCTTCTCCTGGTCCTTGGCGACCGCCTTGGCGATCACATACTGGTCGTGCAGGGTGTACCACCCCTCAATTAGCCCGACGATGGTGCTCTTGCCGGACCCGCTGGGCCCCACGATGGCTGTGTTTAGGTTGGCGCCGAAGCGCAAGGTCAGGCCGTCGAGCACCTTCTTGGACGGGCGGCTGGGGTAGGCGAAGTGGACGTCCTCAAACACGATGTCCTGGTCGGCCGCAACGTCAGGCGCCTTGAGCGTGCCCACATTGGGCTTGGGCGCATCTATAACGGCAAAGAACTCGGCGGCTGCCACCATGGCCTTCGACACGGCGATCAGCGGCGTCGAGATGCGCTCGAGCGAGATGACCATGAGCATCACAGACATGAGCACCACGATGATGGTGCCGATACCACCGAGCCGGCCCTCGAGGTACGACTTCATGCCGAACCAGAACGCCAGCGCAAAGGCGCCGTACAGGCCAAAGAAGACGGCGCCGAACTGCAGCGACATGAAGGGCGAGACGAACTGCACCGCATCCTTCGCCTTGACCACCCACCCGGCGTACCGCTGGCTCATCCGCTCCTCGGCGTTGCAGGCCATAATCATGCGGATCGTGCCGAAGGCCTCGGTAGCCACCGAGGTGCCCTTAGCGTCCGCCCGCGTGAGCCGCGTCTGGCCCTTGATGATGAAGGGCAGGAGGATCGAGAGCACGAGCGAGATGAAGAGGATGACGGAGGCCGTGACCAGCGTCAGCGACCAGCTGTACGTAAAGGCCACAATGATAGCCGTCACGATGGTGGCCGTGAACTCGAGGAACGTGCCTAGCTTCTCGGAGATGCCGAGCTGGAGCGTGTTGGCGGTCGAGGTGATGGTGCTCGCGGCGCTGCCCGAGGGCATCGAGTCCAGCACGTGGACGGTCTGGCCGAAGAGCGACTGGAGGTAGTGTAGCCGGATGGCGGCCGACATGCGGATGCCGATCATCCGGAAGCAGAACTTGTTGATGTAGTTAAGACCGAAACGGGCGATGAAGAGGGCAAAGATGTATAGCGACAGGCGGTTGACCTCGGACGAGAACTCGCTGGCCTGCTGCGCGTTTGGGGTGGAGAAGTTGGTGAAGTTGCCGACCAGACCTCCAAAGACCACATTCATCAGCGGCAACGTCGTGCCAGCGCCGATGCTGGCCAGGGCGGCCGCGACCATCATGAGAAAGTCCCATTTAGTCGCATACGTGAAGACGCGGAAATAGTCGCCGGGCGTGGCCTCTCTCTCTGGCCGCGCCTTGGGATCCTTTGCGGAGCCATTGTTATTTTCCTCGGCTTTGTCGTTGTTATTGCTGCTGTCGTTGTTGTTGTCGTCCCCATCAACAGTGGCAGGCTTCTTGTCGTCGAGGTCGGCTTTGACATCAGTCGGTGGGTTGGCTGCGGCCTTGTCGACCTTCTCAGTGTTATCGTCTCCCATAGCGGGTGGATCAGCTGTTTCACTTCATATGCGGGTGCGTGTATGTTTGTTAGTGACACAGCACGGGTGAAGTCAACGAGTGGATTACACGGGAGTAGATTGTTAAATAATGATGAAGAAAACAACGCCCGGCAAGACGGAGAAGAAGAGAAAACCGACAAAGTTGTCATAAAAAGAATGGATGCCTGGTGATTTGTTTCTAGGCAAGAAAACGGCCAAGAGCCGTGTTGTGTCGTCTGTTTAAGCCTGCATCGTAGTGCGGGCTCTTCGGAATGTCCGAGGACCGAAAACACGGAATACAGAGCTGGCCTGAAATAGCGCCAAGAGAAAATCCAGCCTTAAGGGGTACGTTTCCATCCACAATTGCGACTTCATTGAAAGTCCAAGTACTTTTCTGGGAAAGAGGCCCCCTTGTCGAGACGTTGCACCGCGCCAAGACGGCCCCGAGCCACACAACAATCCCAGTGGTTCCTTCCTCTCGACCTCATCTAGGACTCAAAGTCCTCGAAACAGATCGAAATAGGACGAAGAAGCCGACAAGCATGCACGGCATGGAGCACCGACGAGGTAGGGCTGGTCGTTGACTTCCTGTGTCCTTCATACACCATTGATGTTCCAGTCCAGCTGCGTTTGCTTCCACTGCAGCCCCGGGGCCCACAGCAACCCGCATCGGGGGCGCGGTGCAAGTTCCCTTGGTCTGACCCGAGCCGACGTCTGCAGGACACCCCGCGGCATGGAGACCCGCTTGCGCGCCCGCCAACGGCGCGTCGTCCGCACAAGAACCCAGCCAGGGTTGTCGCGCCACACATGGAGGCGAAATGTTCCAATACGAGCAATAAGAGGTTCATCAAGTAACCTCGGGTGTTCACGGGCATGAAAACCCCGAACTTCAACGGGCTTCTGCATACTTTTAACTCTGGATGGTATTTCTGATCTTCTCTCAATCCAAAACTCAGGCTGACTGCTATGAGTGGCCTTTTTTCTTCGGTTTCTGGGTCATGGTCCTGACGCACGTTACGGGCGGTTTAACCACGCTACTTCTATTTGCCTAAAGCGGACAAGCGTTGTTACGCGGTCCCTGCCTGGCACATCTGGACCGCTTCTTGCCCCGGTACGGAATGGTTTGGACTGGACGAAACCATTCTTGCTGCTCACAGTCGTCGGCTCGGAGTGACCCCCGGCCCCAACGGATATCCTCCTGTGGACAAAGTACGCTGGTCGGAAGTTGGCAACTTTTTTTGAGGTTTCGACATTAAGTTAGTTACACAGGATTTGTTAATGGGACCAGGAAGGTGGACAGTGGATCCCAAAGAAGACTCACCAATCAATTGATGCCCCGCTATCTAGCCTTGTTCAGCCTTGCAGCAATTAGACCCGCACCTTGCAGAGCTGCTCCTTGCACAAGTTTTTGCTGGCTGCAAGAGCATGTCAACCGCGTGAGGCCGAGTTTTTGAGTCACCCCGCGCCAGAATCCCACCCGGAGAAGTTTGATGCTGAACCCGTGGATCCTCGCCATTCGGTCTGTCAGACCACGAATAGAACTGACCCGGCCAGCATTCAGGATCCTCACAACACCAGCAATACCGACTCAGCTCGGATCATTGGGATTTGGAGCGTTTTCCCGGCCGTTCTCTTCCACTGAAACCCCTCCAACAACGCCCCACGTGCCCGGCCCCGAACTCGACCCCGCCAACCCTGAGATCAACAACATCAACAATTCTCTTGGCTCTGCTCAAAAAGAAAAGATGGCACCCTCCAAAGCCCCCAAATTCGAAATCAAGTTTGTTGCCTTTTGCCCCGATCTAGATACCCTGCCCGAGCCGCATGGCTGACCCTGCGCTTCCTCCTGCAGGACCCCTAAGGGTACCCGTGACTGTGCGTTGCCTTCTCCCGCCGGCATCTCCCGGACCTTCGCCCGACTTCACTCCCTTATTACCGTATTAAGTCGGCCCAAACTTACGCTGAACCAGGGTCCGGGCCGGACATGGTGCTCCGAGAGAAGATCTTCAAGACCATCACCGACGTATTTAGTATGTGTAAACAATGGGCGAGATAAAGGCCATATCTCGAGGAATCTTTCTTCGAACATCGATGCTGACAGCCAAAAGAGCGCCACGGAGGCGTCACTATCGACACTCCCGTCTTTGAGCTGAAGGGTTCGTGATCCCATTGTGACTATGTTCGTCCATGTTCTGGTGGTTGTGCTAACACAAACTAGAAATCCTCGCAGGTATGCGGAATACCACGTGCCTGCTGCTCCGCATGCCACTGACGTGCCTTGAACTGAATAGGGAAATATGGCGAGGATAGCAAGCTTATTGTGAGCTCTGCCGGCATCCCGAGGCCCAGCCTGCGGTTCAATGGGCTGACAATGCTTTTCTAGTATGACCTGGCGGATCAGGGTGGTGAGCTTTGTAGCTTGCGATATGACTTGACCGTCCCCTTCGGTATGATTCCTGAGGTGCCGTTGCGCTATCGCTGCTAACTAAGAGGCTAGCCCGGTACCTCGCGATGAACAAGGACGTCACCCAGATCAAGCGTTATCACCTCGCAAAGGTCTATCGCCGGGATCAGCCCGCCGTGAAGAAGGGCCGCATGAGAGAGTTTGTGAGTACCCTTACCTCTTATCCTGCCGTATTCAGAAAATATAGGACTGAGACGATGAAATAGTACCAATGCGAGTATGTGATGGCCCAATACGAGTCCCGCAAAGTTTCTTGAATCTCGCAGGATGACGAATTGACGGTTATTTACCACCTTTACACAGTTTCGATATTGCTGTGAGAATCCATCTTCCCCCCTGCGGCTCACCTTGACTTGAAACTGACTCGATTTCCAGGGCGTCTATGACCCCATGATTCCCGACGCCGAAATTGTACGCCTCCATCGAACCGTCTTACTCCGACCCTTCAGGCATAGCTAATGGCTCAACCAGATCCGGATCATCAACGAAGTCTTCGAGGGCCTTGGCTGGCAAGGGAAATACACCATCAAGCTGAACTCCCGCAAGATCCTCGACGGTCTCTTCCAGGTGTGCGGCGTGCCAGACGAGATGATCCGCCCCATCTCATCTTCCGTGGACAAGCTAGACAAGATGCCATGGGATGATGTCAGGAAGGAGATGGTCGACGAGAAGGGTCTGGCTCCGGAAGCCGCGGATAAGATTGGTGAGTGGCCATACGCTAACTACTATGCCCCCGAGCTAACCGTAGGATAGGGAAGTACGTGTTGCTCAAGGGCAAGCGAGATCTTCTGGAGAAGTTGAAGCAAGACGACGAGCTGGCTGCGAACGCATCTATGCAACAGGGGTTCACCGACATGGATTTGTTGTTTACTTACCTCGAAGCTTTCGGTGCCGACCACACCGTGTCCTTTGATCTGTCACTAGCAAGAGGTGTGTTGGACATGGGTCTTGTGGCGCGGCACATTTTGAGGAAGGCTGACGTGTGATTGTACAGGTCTCGACTACTACACCGGCGTTATCTACGAGGTCGTAACAGAAGGCTCGGCCCCCGCTATCTCTGCCTCAGAAGGTGCCCAGGGGAAGCCACCTAAGAAGAAGGGTGGCAAATCCGGTGACCAAGACGAAGACCGCTCTGACGACCCAACTCTCGGGATAGGGTCTGTTGCTGCTGGTGGCAGGTTAGTGATTCCAGACACAATGTTGATGAGGTACTTGCTGATCCCTAGTGTAGATACGACAACCTGGTCGGCATGTTTTCCGGCAAGACTCAGGTGCCATGCGTTGGTATCAGCTTCGGGATTGACCGCATTTTCTCCATCATCTCCGCCTCACAAAAGAAGAAGGAGAGGAAGAATGAGGTCGATGTCTTTGTCATGGCGTTTGGTGGTGGTAAGGACTTTACCGGGCTGTTAAAGGAGAGGAGCGAGATTTGCGCCCGGCTGTGGGATGCGGGGATCAAGGTCGGTCCCCATTCAGAAAATGAGAAGGCTAAACGGGAACTGACTTTGAGCAGGCCGAGTTCCTGTACAAGGTGAAACCCAAGCTACCGAACCAGTTTAAGGCGGCTGAGGGCAACGGTGTGCCGTTTGCTCTCATTCTGGGAGAGGTATGTCGTCTCCACTGCACCTCACTCGTAGACTGTCATTAACACATTGACTAGGACGAGCTTGCCCAGGGCCAAGCGAAGATCAAGGAAATGGGGCTGCCAGATGACCACCCACTCAAGGAGGGAGAGCTCATCAGCCTGGATAACCTCGCGGAGGAGGTTCAAGCACGGATCTCGCGGAAGCACCAGCTGGACACGATCACAGCGCAGGCCGAGGGCCTCAAGGTCGTGGGTGGGGTCAAGGGTGAGGAGGTCAAAGCTGAAGTTGAGGCGGCTGAGAAGACAACGACGGAGTAAATGAACAGAGAAAACGCCGCCCCATCGCCTGTGATATTCCAAACAAATTAAAAACGGGGAGCGTCACAATATGCACAGATTCTCGAGAGATGAAAGGGAAAATACACGTGTGTTCTAGACCTCACTTGCGTCGGAAATAGATTTTTGTATTAAGGCAAGCGGGAGACAGACGAGGAACTCAGAACACTGTGATCGACCGCCCGCTTAATTGTTTTAAATCGTCTGTTGCGCCACTTTGAAGAGCAGGCTAGCTACTTTCTGAATAGTAAAGGGAGCAGACGTTGAGCAGCCACCTCTTTCAGCTGTGTGTTGAGAACTTCAGGGTAAGGTGTTTACTTGGCGCGGTCAATGCGGCCGACTAGTGGCGGGGGTTGTTACGAGCAAGACCATTTGTATGGCTTTCAACGTTAACGTCTAACTACTTAGTAAGTCGACTACAGCAGTTTGTTTGACACATTTGACGGGAATGTTTGGTTGGGACGGCCGCGCAAGTCCGGTCTCCAATGGGATTGAGGAGCAAAAGCTCCGTTCCCGCGGTGATCGTCGGTACGACCGGTTTTGTTTGTTGCGGTGTTTGAGGGGATACGGTGGACTTGTTGTGTCTTTGAGTGTTTGTTATTGGTGTTGCGTTATAAAAAACACTGCAGACGTGTGTACACTAACTACAGGGAGAACAGTTGAGTTTGTAGTGTATCTGCACAGTTCAGCCGGCCCGGGCTGGACGTGTTTGTTTCGCCTCCTCCTTCTGGACCGTATTTTCACGTTGCTTTTCAAGGAGAAAAAGGAGTCGTTTGGCTTTGTCCGTCTTGCCCGGGGTTTCCGAGCCACTCTTGACTGGGGGTGTGTCGCTTGGTCTCAGTTCCCAGCCCCTCAGGGGACAAGAAAACTTGATCAGAAGGGGAAAAGGAGTGAGCATTTTTCTTGTTGCCTGGCCAGTGCTTTTGACGGACTGAGACACGGGAGCAGTGTATGATCAAATCCTTTATTCTCTCATTTTCTTTCGCTCTCCTTCCGCTATGCTAAGTGCTTCTGTTTGATGGAGGGTAAATATGCGGTTGTGTGTCCTGTGTCTCTTAAGTACAGAGTAACAAGTTATTTGTTTATTGATACTTGAGGATTGAGATGTTAGGTGGCTTTGATGCAACAATGCAATCCACTCGGGCAAAATCGATCAAACAACTCGATCGGAACCGCTTTGTCGGGGAAACGCGAACTTGAAAGTTGACTCGCGTTGTGCTCGATAACGGGACGATCTCTCCACTGCGACGCTGGCGATCTCAGAAGCTATTCCGTTTATGTATTAGTTCACCACAAACGCGACAGGGTAGTCAGCCAAGCTTTCCCGTACCGGGAAAAGCGAGTTCAGGAACCAGGCTCGGACCCCTTGTTCACACGACCCACCAAGGTGCATCCCACTTGAGCCTCTTTGAGAACCCTGGCCACGTTCAATCCTTCCAAACTTCGAGCACGTCGTGCGCGCCCATCCTCCTTTTAGCCTTTATTTTTTTTATTGATTTTATTTTTTACATTTTTGATGGTCGTGCCGCTGAAAAGGGTTCGGAGATCCTCCTGCAGCAGATGCAGAGGTTCGCATTGCCCTAGCCGGGAATTGTCGCGCCTTGCCACTGCGGTGCTTTCAGAAGAGATCTTCCCAATTCCTCGCTCTCCCTGTTCTCTGCCTTTCGTTTTTGTGACCACGGAACTCTTGCAGGCTGCTGTCGTGTGTGTTTTCACGAACAGCGCCCATTCTCTTCTCCAACATTTGTGATCTTGTTGCCGTCTCATTTCTTGGCATCTTGCCTCTGCCCGTGTGTTCCGTCCGCTCGCTCGTTTACAACGCGCACGCACCGTTTGCCCGCCGTTGACTTGCATCCCATCCACTCGGAACTCGCGCGTCATCTGACGACTCGAAAACATCAGACGACACCGCGCTCCGTCGCAACGCACCCTACGCACATTCCCGCGTTGCCGTATCGGCCCGCGGTTTGCCACTCAAACACCGAAACACACGGAACATTCAGAACTATTTCGAAGACTTCGTTCAAACGGTCTTGTCTGAGGCACCTCCTGCCACGCCGGAAAACGCCGATCTTGATCAAGCTAATATTTAAGACTCAACACCAGTCCGCAACCTCGAATCTCCGAAGCCCGGTTGTGTGCATATCTCGTGCTGGAAATTAGGGCGATCCCGCTGTCCCGGCGTCGATCCGAGTTATTCGGCCAGATCCCGTGAATTGGCATTGACGACCCAGCACAACGTTGGCTTCGCACGTGGTTGGAGATTTCAAAAGGGGACCGACAGCGCTCGACGTCACTTCTTTTCTTCCACGCCTTTCCCAGTTCGTCGGGTCCTCCACGAGTTGCGGGCCGCCTCATCTCGGACGCTGGTGTCCAATTCCACTCGGCGAATTGCGCGTTTTACTCAATTCGGCGATCCCCTTCGTTGCCTCATTTGCCGAGCGACAGGGCGCATGCCTGTACGACTGGCGGGGGACGCCAACTCTGTGGACTGCGGGTCGGTTTCAGTTCAAGAATAACGTTGAACCCTCGAAGCTCAGACGACTGCTATCTATCTCCCGGCGAACCTTGAACTCTCAATTCTTTTTTCCCCTTGCGGTTTTTGGACTGGATCTTGATCATTGGGTGGCAACGCAACGACACACGATAGTTAGTCGACTCAACAACAACCAACAATCATGGGTGGACTCATTCCTTTGATGCTCGGCTCGGGCTCAAGGACGAGCCTTATCGGTGCCCCTTCCTCTCAACCCCAACTTCGGCGCCAGTCGACAGGCTGCGCTACCACGACTCCGACGACGACAACCACCACCAACCTCACGTCGACAAGCCCGACAATACCCACGTACGCGGTGCGGCCCAGGTTACCAAAACGACTCTCGTTGCCCGCAAAACGGTCATCGTTGCCAGCAAAACGGTCCTCGTTACTCGCTCCTGCCAGACCCGCGCCAATACCAATTTTACCGTACACAAAGGAGGACTGGAGGAAGACGATCGCCGAGGTTAAGAGGAAATACTTTGGCAAGCGGTACCGTGCATGCTCAGCCCGGTGTTTGGAGGTTCTCGACGGTATCAAGGACACTTCGGAGGTTGAGCCGGTCTACCTGATCTATCTGCATTTCTATGCCGCGACATCACTGGAGATTTGCGCACGACCACTACCCTCGACGACCGGTCTCCGAGCCACCCTTCTTCAACAAGCTCGCTCGCATTTTGAGCAAGCCTCGGTTTTAATCAACGCGGCCGAGGAATCTGTCCTGCGGAAATTCCGCCCCGGTTCTGTCGGCTCTTCGCGTGATTCAACCTGCCTCTCACCCTCTGAATCCGTACCCTCTCGCGCTTGGACCCCTGACACCAGCGTATCCTCCCCCACCGACTCTGTCTGCTCGTTCGACGACTTATGCTATCAGCCGCGTTCCGTTCCCTCTAACCCACCATCTCCCCCAAAACGTGTCAAGAAGGTTTCCTTCTCCCTTCCGAAAGACGCCGCGCCGCTTCGCATCACGGTCCCGCCACCCCTTCCACCATCAGAGCCCATCATCCGCCCAGACTCGCCCACGCTCGGCTTCGAAGAGGACTTTTTCCGCATGACCCCGGTCCCGGCACCTGTTCCCGACCTCTGCCCTGTCTCTACACACAAACTCAAGTTCCGCGAGATCGAACTTCCTCCGCTTCAAACAATACACGAACACGAGCGGGACGCACCCGAGGAACAACCCCATCGCCCATTAGACGAGGAGGAAGCACCAGAAGAATCAGAAGGTCACTACGTTGCGGAATCCGTTACCCGCGCCTGTGAGCATCTGACCAGCCTACGCAATCAGCTTCGCCGCCACTCCACCAGCCTCGACCAGCTCCTGCAACTACAATCCCAATCCGCCAACCCCAACTCCAATGGCCCCTCTTACCCAGCATCAGCGCCACAAAGCCCAACAACATCCATGCCAATTTCCGTCGTCAGACGTCTCTCTCTCATGTCCACCAACAACGACTCAACGGCAGGATCGACAACAGCAGAGACCAAATCGACAGGCAATAAGAGCGAAGACGCCCGTTTTCGTGACCGGCAAGCCCGCATTGAACGCCTGCGGCTATGTGGCTGGCAGCGCAAGCGGTTTGATGGGCGACCGTACGAGGAGCTGTGCGGAACTGTGCTGGCGGAGATTTCATAGCACTACAGCGTGAGAATTGGATCAGGTACCCTAACCGGATTTCTTTTCGGCTGAGGGAGCGGAGTACCTCCCTCTTGTTTCTTTTTTTTCGCCTCATTCTTGGGTCCTCGTGGGCGGGGTTATCAAAGAATAAATGAAAAACATGTGGTGGGATGGGGGTAATATGCTTGGAAGTGGAGAGTTGTTTTAGCGGCGTGTGTGGTGTTTGATGATTTCATGATGGGCGTTTGGATGCGGTTCGGGAATGGCGTCTTGTGTACGGCAAAAATATTGTGTGGTTTTTGGGGTTGGTCATTTCTCCTGTTTGGCTCTGACTGATTAATATCTCCGTCACCGGTTGTAGAATCTTTGTGCTATACTGTACTTATACTGTACTGTACTCTTCTGTGCGATTTTATTTACATCATTTGTGGACGTTGAACTAAGTTTGCTCCTTGATACTCGTGTGTTATCATCTTGTTTTGGTTTCATTTTGGTCGGCATAGGAAAGCCAGAGGTTGTTTTGGATTTAACTAGGACCAAGGCTTGGGAATAGGGGGTCAATATTGTTGTTTATTTCAGGGGGTGGCTGTGGTATTTTTAGACCTATCTTTGATCTCGGCTCGGGGCTTTGTTATACCTAACGTCTTGTCCATGGCCTTCGGAAAGGCGATAGTTGAACATAATACGGAGTAACATCACTAAGTTGGCACACGTAGTATCTCGTGTTTCTAAGGATAATCATCTGTGTCCCGTTGTCGTGTTGCATGAGCCGGCACAGCTGCGTGTCTTATCATAATGTCCTCTCTGTTCCCCCCAACCCGAACGCCCCGCCAATAAGTAATGGGTATAACTTCCCACCTAGGCAGGTAGGGCAAACACAGGCAAAATGCCACCACCCTAAGGTTGGTCACAACCCGTGGCCCCTGTGCCGTCGGGTTTGGCCATTTTTTCAAAATAGTGTATTTGTTTTTCACGACAATTCCGATCGTTCGTTTCTCGAAACTTGGCAAATACGCTTGGGTATAACAAATAAACGGCATTAAGCTGTTGCTTTATCCAGTTATCGTCGCTGCTGGAGATGGTCCTTTACGTTGAAAACAGACGGTACCCAATTCCCAAGATATCAAAAACAAAAACATGCGAACGCAGCCCGCTTCTAGGCCCAAACCGTAGTTTGGCGCCCCCGAAGTTCCATAGGTAGAAGAAGGCCCCCTCTTAAACCCCAATCCAAATCAGCGTTTTGTACCACACGCACCGCGGCCTTCACAATGTCAGACGCTACCAAGACCCCTGCCTCTTAAGTAGCCTTGGAAGCCTCCTCCGTGACCTTCAAGGTCTCCTCTTGCTCCTTCATCTCGCGCACCTTGGCGAGTACCACCTCGCGGAAGATGGCACCCTTGATTGTCTTGGACAGCGAGCGCTTGCCGCCTTCACCACCACTAGCACTGGCGCCCTCGGCCCCAGCTGTGGAAGCTTGTTCCGCCGAAACGGCGCCGGAATCACTGTTAGAGCCACTGTTATTAGCTTTCGTCGAAGAAGACTGGCGCGATTGGTCGGCTGCTAACGTGGCGTCTTTTGGCATATCGGAGTTCTCGGGGTCCTCCTCTTGCACCTTGAGCGCTTCGATGCGATTGGCGAGCTTGACCATCTCGATACCGCGACGGAGGCGCGCGCGCGTGAGGTAGGCGCGGATCTCAGGCAGCAAGTTATGATCGCTGGCGTTCTGGCCGCTCAGCCATGGGTGGGCGAGTGCTTGCTATTGAAAGTGTCAGGAAGGCATTTTTGGTTTCAAGAAACCGAGAATTTCGTGCAATCATATTGGGGAAAGGAAGGAAGAAGACTGCTCACCTCGCTCGTCCAACGCTCTTCCGGCTTTGCTCGCAGCAGGCCGAGGATGAATTCCTTGGCGTCCTGGCTCACATCCTTCCAGTACCGTTCGTGGAACACCACTCGGCAGGCGCTGCATTCGTCGATGAGGTCCTGGAGACTCTCAGAGCGGAAAGGCGGGTAACCGCAAAGAAGGGTGTAGGTGATGATACCGAGGGACCACAAGTCGACGGGCTTGCCGTGGCCCTTTTTAAGCATGACCTCCGGGGCGGCGTAGCCAAACGAACCGGCCATGGTCGTTAACACCTCGTCCTTGGTGCCAAGCGTCTTCGCGATACCAAAGTCAGCTAGGACCAAATCTGAGTTCGAGTCCTTGGAGAGGTAAAGGAGGTTTTCGGGCTTGAGATCTGTCTCGAAGTTAGGGGCTTTGCACCACGTGCCTTGAGGAATTACCATCACTTACCACGATGGACGACGTTGTTCCGGTGGAGGTAGTCGACGGCGCCGAGAACCTGCCCGATGGTCTGAGATGCGTCCTTCTCTGTGAATTTTCCTTGCTGGCAAATTCGGTCAAACAGTTCCCCACCGACTGCGAGTTCGGTGACGATATAGTATTTATCCTGGTTAAAGAACATTGTCAGCTCCTATCCGTTTGGACACCTTCTTTCCTCCAGCGCAAAACAGACGTGTGCATACTCTTGACTCGAACCAATCCACAAACTTCACAATGTGCGGGTGCTTGAGTCGCTGGAGCATGTCCAGCTCGTCGAGCACCATACGCTCATTGCCGCGGACAACCTTCTTCAGGATGATCTTGATTGCGACGCGGCCATTGGGGCCTTCGGCCTCTCGAACGATACCGTATGTGCCAGCACCGAGGGTGCGCCCAAACCGGTACTTAGATCTGAGCAAGGAGACCGAAATGTTAGTGGGCGGATGCACAGTGTACAGGAGGCGGACGAGCAAGAGGGGGGGAAGGGTCGCAGCGTACTTTTTGTCATAGCTCTCGGGTTGCCCGTGAAGGCGGTTGAGCATTGTCGAGACTGTGGTGTAATTTTGTTAGCAAACATTGCCGGTCAATACGTGAGCGCGCGTGGTGTTGCCCAGAACGTGAGTGGGCTCGGCAGATAGGAGAGCGAGCACAGACCGAATCTCGAGAGTGCTTGGCGAAATGAGGGTGACTTACAGCTCATCGTTGCGAGCTTTGCTTAGAGTAAAGCTCAGGAGTTTTCCCTGGGGGGGTGTTCCGATGCGCGACCGAGATTTAACGGGTTCAATCAACTGTCCAACCGCGCGACAGTTTGAGGCTGGTGGCAACTCAGTTTTCTCGTTTTGATGTGTTGTCTGTGTCGGCTAGCGTTCCGCGCAGCTGGGTTGCGGAAGGCTGTGTTCTTTTGAGCGGGGAGGGGCTGGACGGGCGCGGCAGTGCGAGATCACAAGAAGCGGCTGAGAAAAGTTGACGGGTTTCACGTCAGAGGCTTCAGAATTCGATAACTGACTAGGAGAACAGATGATAGGCTAGCGACCTGGGCAGGGAGATGCGCTGCGAGGCAGATGAGGAGAAACGCGAGGGGCTTGGCAGCAATTGGGCTGCTCGAACGAGGGGTAAACCTGGATGTTGCGGCAGTCGGTTGCCCCGCCTAGCTGAAGAAGGCGATGATGCGGTGGGTATGTCGAGCACGAGCCGAGCCTAGAGTCAGACACTGGAAATAAATGAATTTCTGAACAACCGCGTCGAGGCGTTTCTATAGAAATTGAGGAGGCCTAGGAGTATGCCTCATAAGCTTTTCTGTCTGGCCCCGGTCCTCCGTTGGTTCCAAGCTGAGGCTATCAAAATCGGCCGCCGCTGGGTCTCGGTGTTGGCTGTGCCTTCGTCCAAAGCGCTGTGTCCTTCAAGGTGGGTATGTCGCCCTGCCAAGGTGAACAGAGGTCCCAGCGGGCATTTAAGCTCACCTGTCTCGTTCTAAGCCTCCCACTTTTTCATTGTCTCCAACACATCATTGGCAAGTTTCATTCTGTATCTTTTAAGCGAGCCTTGTGCATTAATTCGATGTTAGACTTTTGTTCTGCTTCTCAAGATCTCGCCTGCGTTCCTCCATCATGTCTTCAGACCGTAAGACTAGCATCATGCACCGCCTCCTAGAGATGTATGGCACAGCGGAGAGGCGAAGGGGAAAGCTGCATGCAGGTCAGGCACTTCCCAACCGCGGGGATGTTCCACACATGGGTCGCCCTTCTTCGTTTCCACGTTCGGGGGGATGACATCGCCTTCCATTTTCGGATATATCTAGGTACCCGACCTGCCTTACCTCCACGCTGTCAATAGCGCCGAATTTAATAGAGGCATGGATGTGTCAATCGAGGTTGTGCGAGCTGTCTTCTGTGCCGCCCGGTAGCTGGACGGCGTGCTGCCTGATCGAATTTGGTCTTTGAGCCGCCTTGAAATGACCACCAATGAAAGGGTAATGGTAGGTGCTTTCCCGACCCTTGAATGTTCCTTCCCGCCGGGTCTTGCCAGTGACAAGATGGATAGGTAGGAGGACCCTTGCTAGTGGCCTGCAGGCGGTTTGTTGTCTCCCTTCTCCATTTACCTCCTTCGCGGTTCCTCCTCCGCATGGTAGAACGGATGTTCTCGTCGTTCCAACCTCCCCCACTTCAACAAACCAACACTTGGAACCCACCCCGCCAGCCCAGGGGTCCTGGACCCCTCACCCTTCACCCCAGCATCGGAAGTTCTCCAAGGGTAGCCTGGTTCGACCGCAGACAACCTCAGCCTACCCTGCTTTGTTGTTCTTGGTACCGCTGCGGTGTTGTCGCCTGCCCGAACTTGTGGCCCCGCCTTCTTCACCCACACCCGCCATATCGTAACCATTCCGCTTGCGACGGAAGCTCACCCGACCTCATGTTTTCGGCCACCGCCTTCTAACGTTCCTCTCTTACGCCTCTCGCGGTCGTCGTTTGGGTTTTTTTGCCTACCTAGGAACGGCTCAAATCGAAATATGTCGGCGGGCTTTGCTGCAAAGAGGCTGGGCAAGGAGCTGCAAAAGGTTTGCGACGGCCCCACCATACCGCTGATGACGCGCGCGTCACTAACAGGATCTCTTTTCTAGATCAGCACCTCGCTACCACCAGGCATCGAGCTGGTGACCGCCGAGAATTTTGAGGAATGGCTATTGGACATTAAAGTCCTGGACAGCAACCCTCTGTACGAGAATGAGACATACAGGCTAAAATTCCGGTTTGGCTCGACATACCCGATCGGTTCGTCACCTTCACCCTTTGAGGTCCAACGCCAGGGCAAAATAAAGTATGATTAACGCTACGCATCCAGAGCCGCCCGAGGTTGTCTTTATCCAGCTTCCCGACCGCCCGATCCCGATACACCCGCACGTCTATTCCAACGGCATCATCTGCCTCGACCTCCTTGGACAGCAAGGATGGAGCCCGGTTCAGAATGTTGAGAGCATCTGCATGAGCCTGCAGAGCATGCTCACCGGGAACTCCAAGAACGAGCGACCGCCCGGGGACGAGGATTTCGTCCGCGCGAACCGCCAGCGACCGAAGGATATTCAGTTCTATTACCACGACAACGACGTGTGATACAGCCTTGAACTCTTCGGTGTCTCCTTTCTTCGACGAGATTTAATATTCCCCCGTTTGGGATTTGGGCGTTACATTTCCTGGCGGCCGGATGGTATTCGGATCTTTTTAAAGTAAATGCATTATGGAGCGAGTACTATCTGCTCTTTAAACAGGCGGCTTTGATGCTGAGTTTTGATCTTGCTGTGGAACCCAGGCTGGGTAAAGACCTGCCGCATGGCTAGGGCAGCATACGTTGGTCGATGACCGGTTGGAGGTTATGGACAGAGATAAGCCTCCCCGCCTATGGCGGATTCGGCCTGGCAATGATAGATGATTTTCTACTGTGAAAGCTCCGAACGAGCATGACATTTTGTTCCGCTTCCGATTGTGACATGTCAGAGACGTCCAAGCCGGCGGGCTTTTAAAGTGGGCTTTGCCCGCCGGGAAGTTGCACACCGACCGCCGATCACCTTGCTGGCTGGAGCTTGGGCCAGCGCCAAGGTTGCGTCAAGTGCCCCCCTCGGCAGGCACCATCATCTCCCTCCCGCTAAACTTGGGAGCCCACCAACACTCAACACCCGACCACATGGAGAGCTAAATCGTCATGACCCCTCGCGCGGAGTTTGACACGGAGCAGGTCCGCGACAAGGCGCGCAAGGATTTGCTCCATCTCCTTGAGGGAGTAAGTTGAATGCATCTAGCTTCGGCGGCGCACCGCCGCCCATTCACAAACACAGTCGGCTTAACGCAGGCGCTAGATTGCTTCAAAACTGACAGGCAATATTGTGCCCTCTCGCTTTTCTAGGTCCGTGGCAAGAAGAATCTCGTCATCGAAAAGGAGCTAGCCGGCCCCCTTGGCGTTGTAGTCAAGGCTTCTACTCTGCGCGACTACGGCGTCGACAACTTTTTCTTCATCGAGAATAAGAACACAGACACAAGCCAACGGAATGTTGTCTTCATTGCCCGCGGCGAGTCTGCCCACAACGCACATGCCATCGCAGGTGAGGCTACCCTCGGCACCACTCCCTCGATTGGAGCGACGAGTGTCAGATTCGAATCCAGTGCCTTTGAGTCCCCGATAAAAGTGATGATATGTTTGTTGCTCGTGCTATGTCTAGAGCCGACCGAGCTAGCCCTGGTGTATACCTTCACCTATCGCTTCCCCACCTCGAGTGAGCACGACCGACGAGCTGACACCAACCTCCCTCAGACCAGATAATACGCCTTCAGCGCGAGAGCCAGTCCGCTCATGAGTTTCACATATTTTGGGTGCCGCGGCGTACGCTGCTGTCAAACAAGGTGCTCGAGGAAGCCGGTGTGTTAGGCGATACCAATGTTGCTGAGCTACCCTTATATTTCTTCCCTCTGGAAAATGATGTGCTATCCCTCGAGCTGAACGACTCCTTCAGGGACCTGTATCTCGCCAAGGACCCAACGCCCGTATTCCTGCTCGCCCGCGCCTTGATGGGAATACAACAAAAGCATGGTCTATTTCCACGGATTATTGGCAAGGGCGATAATGCGAAGCGGGTGGCCGATCTCCTTGCTCGTCTGCGACAGGAGCTTTTGGCCGGGGAGGACGTGGGCGACACAGACAAGCCTGGGCTGAGCCCCAGCAACACGATTGAGAACGTCATCATAATCGATCGCGAGGTTGATTTTGTGACACCTCTGCTGACACAGCTGACCTACGAGGGTCTCCTGGATGAGGTGTTTGGGATTCAAAACAATCAAACCGATGTTGACTCGACGATTGTCGGTGCCGCCGCGGCCCAACCAGCTGGAACGGGTCCGTCGGCTGCCACACCCCCCAGCAACGTGCAATCACGAAAGCGTAAGGTCCAGCTCGACGGATCGGATTCGTTGTTCGCCCAGCTTCGCGACGCAAATTTTGCTATTGTGGGCGGCCTTCTGAACAAGATCGCCCGGCGACTACAAAGCGACTACGAAAGTAGGCATAGTTCCAAGACAACGGCCGAGTTGAGGGAATTTGTGAAGAAATTGCCTGGATACCAAGCCGAACAGCAGAGCTTGAAAATCCATACCGGGATGGCGGAAGAGATCATTAAGTACACCCGAACAGAAAACTTTAACAAGCTGCTTGAAGTCCAACAGAACCTGGCGGCCGGCGCCGACCCGTCGTCGCAATTCGATGCGATCGAGGAACTTATTGCTCGCGACACACCCTTACCACAAGTCCTCAGATTATTGTGCATCTACTCTTGTATCTCGGGCGGCATTAAAACCAAAGAGCTGGACCATTTCAGGCGACTGATACAGCACGGCTATGGATACCAGCACCTTCTCACACTCCACAACCTAGAGCGCCTTCAGATGTTCCTCTCCCGGGCTTCCCCCTTGGCGTCTATGATCCCCATGACCGGCTCAGCCGGCGCCCAGGGCACGAAGACAAACTACACATATCTCCGCAAACAACTCCGGCTTATTGTGGACGAAGTCAACGAACAAGATCCCAACGACATCGCCTATGTTTACAGCGGCTACGCGCCCCTCTCTGTCCGGCTCGTGCAGGCGGTTCTCCAGAAGCAATACCTGCTCTCGATCACGCGGGGCAACAACGCCGTGGGCGGTGCGGCAGGGTCGGCAGCTGGGGGAGCGCAGGGGTGGCGTGGGTTCGACGATGCCGTGAAGCACGCGCGTGGCCAGACGTTTGATGAGGTACAGAAGGGCGAGGACAAGGCAGTCAAGGCGCGGGCGCTGTTGTCGGGTGCAGGCGACAAGAAGACCGTTTTTGTCGTCTTCGTCGGGGGTATCAGTTTTTCAGAGATTGCGGCTCTGCGATTTATGGCGAAGCAGGAAGAAGGTAAGTTGATCCCAATCCCCATACTCCCTACCCATTGGCTTCCCTTAACCTTGCCGGCTTGACTAACCTGTTGTTCTCCTTCGCTTGGACACAGCACGGAGAAACATTATCATTTGCACAACGTCGATTATTAGCGGGAATCGGATGATGGATGCCGCGATTGAGAAGGAGTCATTTGAGAAGAAAATCACAAGTCAGCCAGTAACGACGACTACGACGACGACGGTCACAAGCTCAGATAGTTGAGCAATTGGGCTTCGATGCATGAACGCAAATCTTTTGGTCTTAAATTAATGTTAGCGGCGTAATATTTGAAGAAACAATCCCGGGGTCAGATCCAACCCCCCCCAAATTTGTCTTGTTTCTAGCCGTTGTTGCGTCTCATGAGGGTTGGCAGGGAAAATGTGGTCCTTATTAGTATTGGACTAACTAACTCGCTGCTGGCCCTTTTGGCAAGTTTGGCATGTTTTGCACGGAAAGGAGGCTGTTTGGGAGCGCCTCACGTGATGACCATGCCCAAAATGGTGTTTTCAGTGCACGGAGTCTGCTGTGGTCTTGGTGGGAATGGGCCCACAGTGTCTGCGATTCGAGTCTTCGTACCACCCATAACGCCAATTCGCCTGTAAACGGAATCCCCAGATTGGATTAGGATTACAAGACGCTGGCGCGTACTTAGTATCCCTAGTGAATGGCACAGTTCGCATGGCGGCCGATATGATATGTGCGTTCAAGGTATGGCGCATTTCTTTGCTCTCGGAATTTGGCGGGTTGATGGATGAAGGGGCGACAGGATCCAAGCTCAGGTTTTGTCCGATTCTGATGGAGGGATTTGAACGACTACACCCCTCATCCATTGATTATTTTACTCCTATAATTGTACCCATTCGAGCACAGCCGGAATATACGATGCTGATGTGCTCAAAGCAGAGATTGCCGGCCCTTTCCTCTCATAGCCATATCCGAACATAATCCGGCAATTGGTTCATAAACCTAGTGGCCCGTGGCACGTCGTCGTCGCAAACACCCTTTCTCTTGGCCTGGCCGCTTCCAACCCCCACCCTGTTATATCCCAAGGGCAGAAGGGACTCGATCAGCGCTGCCGACGACGACGTCCATTTCCGGGCACGGCCCGATCCATATATCGGGCGTCGCGATCGCCCATAACCGTCTGCACTGTGGTCCGCACCCTCCACCGATATGATGGGATCTCCTTCGAAGTCTCGCACTAGATACTTGAATGGTTCAAAGAAGGGTCTTCTTTCATCCCCAAAGACGACCAGGGATATCGACTCACGCCGCTCAACTCGCATTTCACTCGCCTGCCCCATCAAACCGCCATCGCCGCCCGCTAGTACTGCGTCCGATCCGGAATCTACTAACACCACAAAACGGGCTGTACCAAAAGAGGTTCTCAACAGCTCAGAGGACATTGCCCCGGAGATTGTGGTGTGGACCGAAGATATGGACAATATGGCGGTTGATACGCCCGAGTCTACCTCACCGACCGTCTCGAGCGAGCAGGAACAGGCAATGTACGTTCGTGATGGATGCTTTGTTGTTGGTGTATTTCACTTTTCCTGTTTATTTAACCCCTTCCCTACATTGAAACAATATATTTTTATCGCCTTAATGCCTCACTCAACCACGACTCTTGACCCTTCATTTCAATGATCTTCACATCTTGCCCCCATTTGCTAAACCGAGTTTAGGACGAACAAGTCTCCGGTTCCCGGGCCGCATCCGCCCCAAACGCTATCGAGCTCAATACCACAGAAAACTTCTTCACAACAAAGAGACTCCTCTCCGCTATCCTCGCTTCCTTCCGTGTCCGACCACTTTGAACCCGCGCCTGTATCCCACGCTCCGCCCCCACCCGCGACGACGTCAAGTATGGTACATAATGGGACGTCCGTAAAGGAGTCCTCCTCCTTATCATCTCTCTCCTCATTTCCATTAACCGACTATTCCGATTTTACGTCCCTCGCACAATCTGGGTCAAGCAAGGCTACTACCCCTATTGATGTTGATAGCTCAAGGGAAGCCCCGGCCGACGATATAGTCCCCCCCAAGCCATTGGTCGAAACGCCCAGGCGAAAGTGGGATGTACGGCCTAAGGTCTCCATCCCACCCGATCTCCCGCTCTCCGAGTACGCGATGCAGTGCGTGGCAGCTGCCGATGCATCAAGACTAAACCCTTATTCTCTCCACCAAGGGGAATATTTAATGTTGCGGGATCATATCAGCCACACCCAAGTCACGACCTATCTGAACGTCCGCAACGGAATTCTGCGACTCTGGGTTCGGAATCCACAGATCCCCGTCACGCGTGAGGAGGCCGTAGGATGTGCCAAGGACCCAAGGTGGTTCGATGTCGCGAGTGTATGTTTCGATTGGCTCGTCCGGCACGGATACATCAACTTTGGCTGTGTTGAAGTACGGCCGTCGAGAAAGCATGGCAAGCAATATGGCGTCTCGGAGGGTAAACGGAAAACCGTCGTCGTTATCGGAGCCGGCATGTCGGGCCTCGGTTGTGCGAGACAGCTTGAAGGACTGTTTCAGCATTACACCAAGAAGTTCCGCGCCTTGGGGGAGGAACCACCCCGGGTCATTATCCTTGAGGGTAGGGACCGCATTGGTGGAAGAGTCTACTCCAGGGCGTTCAAGTCACAGCCAAAACAAACTCCAGGGGGGTTCGAAGGCAAGCGTTACACGGCTGAGATGGGAGGCATGATCATCACTGGTTTTGAGAGGGGGAATCCCCTGAATGTTCTCATAAGAGGTCAGCTGGGTCTCGGCTACCATTTCTTGCGACCAGAGACTACGCTTTACGACTCGAGCGGAAAGCCGGTCGATCTAAACCGAGACCAACTGGTGGAGAACCTTTACAACGACTGTCTCGACCGAGTCAGCGAGTACAAGTTTAAGCAACCAACGTCGAAGCTGATTGAAGGCAACCGGGATCTGATCGATGAGGGAAAAGACAGCTCGGCTGAAACACACAAGACAATACGCCAGACGGAAGAGTCAGCTGCCGCCCAGCCATATGCTGCCCCGGTGTCAGAGCAAAATATTGCGCCACAGGTGAATCTCGTACCCGTGTCGACTGATCGAGCGACCGGGAAGATACACACCGAGCCCGGGACGCCGGGAGCGCTCAAGGCAGCCCACAAAGCCAAGATGATAGGCTGGACGCTCAAACAAGGCGTCAGTGACGATGCAGACCTGAATATCGAGGCGGCGACCATGGAGCCGGGAGCCACACTTGGGAGCGTCACGGATAATGTGATTTCGCAGTACAGGGACCTCTTGGACCTGACCGCGCAAGACTTCAGGCTCATGAACTGGCATATTGCCAACCTGGAGTACAGCAATGCGACCAACTACCATCAGCTCAGTCTTCAGGGATGGGATATCGATGCTGGTAATGAGTGGGAGGGTAGCCACTCGATGGTCGTGGGCGGGTATCAAAGTGTCCCAAGGGGCCTCATGCACCTACCTACCCCTCTCGATGTGAGGCAAAAATCACCGGTGAACAAGATTACATACACAGCCAACAGTACGACAGGCCCCGCGACAGTGTCCTGCGAGGATGGGTCCACCATCGAAGCCGATTTTGTGGTTAGCACAATACCGTTGGGTGTGCTCAAGCATGGTAACGTCAAGTTCGAGCCACCGTTGCCGTCTTGGAAGTCCGATGCGGTTGAGCGGCTCGGCTTCGGCGTCTTGAACAAGGTGATTTTAGTCTACAAGGAGCCATTCTGGGATGAGGACCGCGATATCTTTGGCGTGTTGAGGAATCCGACCAACCGACACAGTCTCGAGCAGAAGGATTACGCCCCTCAGCGGGGGCGCTTTTTCCAGTGGTTCAACGTGACAAGAACCAGCGGGCTGCCCGTTCTTATCGCCCTCATGGCGGGCGACGCCGGGTTTGACACCGAACAGACCTGCAACGACGATCTCGTGGCGGAAGCCACACACATTCTCCGCAGTGTCTACGGGTCCCGTGTACCTAATCCCGTCGAGGCCGTCGTCACTCGCTGGGCGTCGGACAAGTTCGCACGCGGCAGTTACTCATCCGCGGGCCCGAGCATGGCTGCTGACGACTACGACACCATGGCCCGGCCCATCGGCAACCTCTTCTTTGCCGGCGAGCACACGTCCGGGACACACCCAGCCACTGTCCACGGCGCGTATCTTTCCGGGCTCCGCGCAGCCTCCGAAGTTGTTAATGCCATGCTTGGTCCCATTCCCGTCCCAACTCCTCTCATTCTTCCCAAAGACTACGCCTCATCGACTCTCCTCGGCAAACGCAAAGCCAGTTCACTCGAAGGCACATCCCCCTTCACCGCCGCTATCACCAAAGACCCCGCCCGCGCCCGCCTTGAGGCCTACGAGACCCGTGTCTGGGAGCACATCACCTCGCAGCTCGGCTCGCGGCCCCTACCCCCGACTAAGCCGGCCACCAACGCCTACATCTTCTACAGCCGGACACATTACGAGGACGCGCGCGAGCGGCTTGAGGCTGGTCGGCGTCCGGGTAAAGGCAAACCGTCGGCTAACGAGGTACGCGTGATGAGCGCCAAAATGTGGCGCGACGCGCCTGAGGTAGAGAAGAAACCGTACCTGGACATGGCCGAGGAGCAGAAGAAAATATTTGTGGAGGCCCTGGAGGAGTTTCGGGAAAAGGCGGCCGAGTGGGATGAAAAGGCTGCCGTGGTGAAAGAGAAATGGACTCGGGAGAATCCTCTGGAAGGAGGGACGCCTTCTGGTGTTGCTATCGGTGGTGGTGTTCGTGATACTGCTACCCCTACTCCTGCTAGCACTAACCCCGTTGATGGTGACGAGAGCCAACCCAAGGTAGAAGGCAATGATGAAGAGGTAGATGCTGATGTGGACGGGCACGACGAGGAGAAAGCAGAGGCTGAGAGTCAGGGTAATCATCAGCACGAGAGCCAGCCAGAGGATGGCGCCGAAGCAGAAGCCACAGGCGAAATCAACAGCGACGGGGGGGAAATGGAGGTAGACATGGAGGTAGACTTGAACGAGGACGAAACCAAAGCAGAAAACGCAGGCGACGCGATGGAGGAATAATGGAGAAACGGAACATCCACGGTTCAAGAGGGGGCGCGGGGGGCGCGGAGAGGGGTTGCTACTGTACGAATGGCCCTAGTATGTAATGCTGTGCTGGCGACGTGGTTGCTGTACATATAATCTACCCATGGTTCCGCTATTAGTCGACTATGAGATAGCGCATTGCGGCTCTGAGGGCTCCTCAAGGAGTCAAGTCATGCTGCATATTGAACAGGGTTATCAAGAGAAATATGTTCGATCAGTACCACAACGGGACATGACATATAGAAGCTTTGTATTTGGAAGGCGTTGGTACATTGAGGGCCAGATGCGGGGCGTAAAGTCTCTGAAATTTGGTATACAAAGGGAAAAGTCGTTCTTCCTCCTTTTCCCTCATCACCCCCCCATGCCACTGGACCTCTTTCTTGAGGGTGTGGAAATGGGGGGAAGAAAAGCCGAAACTTTCCCACCACCGCAACCGCCCAGCAAAAACAGGGATAACCGCGCTCGCTGCTTGCTCTCTCACCCCATTCTCCTCGTGGTGCTGCGACTCGGTCTACGCGACTCTCTCTGATAATGAACCACCTTACATGTCCTCCGAGGCAGTGGCACCAGTGATAATTTCGACCAGTTCGCCGGTAATGACGGCCTGGCGAGTGCGGTTGAACAGAATCTGGTATTTGTTGATCATCTCGCCGGCGTTCTTGGAAGCGTTCTATGGGGCGGAAAATATCCATGTCAACTGTCTTGTGTTCCGGTCGCGAGGGTGCGAAGAGGGCAGTGCGGGAAAACTCACATCCATGGCGTTGCGGCGGGCAGAGATCTCGCAAGCGTGGCCTTCAGAAAGAGCCCAGAACAGGGAGTTGGCGAGCGCATACTCGCGGAGGTTGGAGAGGAGCTCCTCGTCGACCTCGAAGGCAGCAAAGTTGGCTAAGGGGTCATATTGTTAGGACTACTACTGGTTGGGAAAATGGGACGAATGGGAAGGGCAGTGGTTTGCACGTACGAGATGCAGCGATGGCTTCCTCGCTGAAGGCTGGGACAGAGGTCGGCTCATAGGTCTGAGCATTGACGAACTTGTTGTAGATGATCTCAACATCAGAGTACTCGCCGGGGAGCAGGACAACCTGGTCAGCGACAGCCTGGGCCTCGGCGAAAGTGGGCACGTCCTTGCCAACGCCGGCGAAGCTAAGCACGATGTTCTTAGCGTTGGTCCGTTGCAGCTGCGAGCGGCACTTCTCGCCGAGGATAACCAGGTCGAAGTTGGAGTCCTCAAGCGCCCTCCGGCGGATGTAGCGAGACAAGCCGGAGTGGACACCACCGCAGAGACCCTTGTCGGAGCTGCAGACAACCAGCAGCTTCTTCTTGCCCTCGCCCTCAAGTCCCTTGGTCTCGGCCGACTCGAATACCTGGTTGCTGGTCTCGCCGTAACTGCGGGATTCGCTCATGGCACGCTGAGCGCGGGTCAGCTTGGTCGAGGCGACAATCTTCATGGTGTTGGTGATTTTCTCGATGTTGCGAATCGACTTGAGGCGGCCCTCAATCTCGCGCAACGTCGCGAAGGTGGCTGCGGGAGCGGCCGCTCTATGGGTGCGTCGTCGTCGGTTAGCCCAGGTTTCTCGGCGGTCTCGGTGTGTATATCCCGCTCTCCTTCACTCTTCCCTTCCCACTCCCATTCCCGTTGCCCATTGCGCGTCGTTGTAACCCCCCCAAATGCACCCCATTCTTTTCTTTCATTCCCTCACATCCTCCCAATCCCCATAGCTCCCTCCATTCCTCCGCGGTCGCCGTCGTAGAAAGCCCCAAACTAGAACAGAAAAAAGCCCGAGGTAGCGGGGGGGTTCACACGTACCGGGACGAGACGGCAGCACCGGCCCTTAGCGCCGGGCGGGCAGCTCTGGACAGCATTTTGGGGGAGAATATAGGTCCTGCACTGGATTCAAAAGGCCGTCTTTGCTGGCTGTGGCCCCGATTGACCACGGTATTGTGCTGGCGTCAATTGATCGGGAAGCTGAGGTCAATTGGCCGCAAGACTGCAATTGGCGTGAGAGGTTTGCTGAGCTGGGCTCCACTCCGTTCCGCATCCTGTTCGTGCGCACCCTGTTCTTTTCCCGACGCCCGACGGTGGGGCCTTGGTCATTGCAACAACATTGTGGCAGCTCTGGCAGCTGGCAGGCTCGTTTGAGACTGGCAGCGACAGTTTCCGTTTTGCTGAGTCATGTCAGGGACTGGCCCTTCGCCTCCCCAACATCCCTGTCCGTTTGTTTCTGGCTGCAAATCCACCTTCGCTCAACCGCTTCTGGGTGCTTTGCGTGGTCTCGCGAGTCGTAATTCTTTCGTGCCGGCTGCACTGCACTGGCCGCTGCCTGCCAAAACCTGGGGTGCCACGGTGGCCCAGTAAATTTACAGCCAATTACCGTACAGTACCGTTCCCAGGCTAACACTCACTCTGTTACAAAAGTGGAGCCCAAAGATTCCAATCTTTAAACTTCACTCTCGCCCCAAGGCGGCCCTCGTTGAATCCCCTTCTTTCCCTTTCTGCTTCTCGGCTCTCTCGCTCAGTTTTTTTCTCTCTCTTTCGATTTTCCCTCTTAACTGCCCAGCGTGTCTCCCACCCCCATACTTCCTTTTCGGCCCTCGAGCCTTTTTTGCCCGACTTTTCTAGCCCCGTTTACTTTCAAAACACGCCAAAAGCTCCGGAGCCTTTCAACTGTTCCAGACTCGGCTCGCGCAGCCAAGTCTGCGAATCTGACCGTTTTCCCTGCGCCGCGCCGCGCACCTCCGACCACCCAGACTCGCAGCACCATCATCCGTTCAACACGTCTCCGAACCACCACTATGCCTTCCGATAGCTCGGACGACGATATGCCTCTGGCGAAACCAAAGCACGGTACGTTCGAAATCCGCAAAACTCGCGCTTATGCCTCTGGTTCGCGCCGTCACCCAAAACACCGGACATTGACGAGCCCGGATTGACGTGTCACCCTTCGGCGGTGCATCCTTCCGCTTATCTTGTACCAATTCCACCGTGGATAAAACGCCAGAATTTTCCAACTGACAGACACTTCTAGTTTCTGCTGCCACCGTCACAGCTTCCGCTGATCGAAAAATGGATAAATCCATCTCCAAGGCGCGCCCCGCGCCCCCGGGCCTCTCAATTCGCAACGGCCCGATCGACGATCGTATGGACATCGATTCCGGACCCAATGGCACGATCAAGCGCAAGTCCCGGAACTCGACTGGCCAGACAGTCAAGTACAAAGAAGAGTCGGATAGCGATGACGCCGCGCCTTTGGTAAGTTGGTTTGTTTCTGGAATGACCACTGCGATGGACAACTGGGAACTGACAAAAACAGGCCAAACGTCAAAAGTCGAAGCATCTTCCTCCCTCCATCAAGGACACAGCGACTCTCGAATCGTCTGACGACGACCAACCTCTTGGAACCAAGATCGCCCAGAGGAAGGCCGATATCGAGAAGGCCGCGGCCAAGGAGGCGAAGGCCATTCGCGCCGATGCCAAGGCGAAGAAGGCCACCCCCAGGAAGGCAATCAAGGACGAGTCCGATGACGAGCCTCTGGCGAAACCTAAGAAACGCCAGTCCAACGGTGTGACCTCTGCCAAGAAGGCTAATGGCGTAAAGAAAGAGGACTCGGACTCGGACGCGCCCATTTCGAAGAAGGCCAAGAAAGCAGCCCCTGTGACAAAGGGGAAGGCAGCTCAAGCGGCGAAGAACGGCAAAGGCGCGGCTAAGGCTGTGAAGGCCGAGTCCAAAGACAATAGCGAAGGCGAAGAGGAGGAGGAGTACCGATGGTGGGACGCCCCAAAGAAAGAGGACGACTCGGTCAAATGGAATACGCTGGAGCACAGCGGCGTACTTTTCCCTCCTGCCTACGAGCCGCTCCCGAAGAACGTCAAGCTTTACTATGACGGCCAAGCGGTCAACATGCACGTCGACGCAGAGGAGGTCGCAACTTTCTTTGGGTCTATGCTTCACTCGACCCAAAACGTCGAGAACCCCGTCTTTCAGAAGAACTTTTTTGCGGACTTCAAGGACATTCTAAAGAAGACGGGCGGTGCCAAAACTTCAGACGGCAAGGCCATCGACATCAAGGACTTCAAGAAGCTTGATTTCACCAAGATTTTTGAGCACTACAAGGCTCTCAGCGACGCCAAGAAAGCTCGTCCAGCTGCCGAGAAGAAAGCTGAGAAAGCGGAGAAGGACGAGGCAGAAGCGCCATTCATGTACTGCAAATGGGATGGCCGCAAAGAGAAGGTTGGCAACTTCCGCGTCGAACCCCCGGGCCTTTTCCGCGGCCGTGGTGAGCATCCCAAGACTGGTACCGTCAAGAAGCGTGTCCTCCCCGAACAAGTCACTATCAACATTGGCAAGGATGCGACGGTGCCGACTCCGCCTCCTGGACACAAATGGAAGGCCGTTCAGCACGACAACAAGGCCACTTGGTTGGCCATGTGGCAGGAGAACGTCAACGGGAACTACAAGTACGTGATGCTGGCGGCCAACAGTACCGTCAAAGGTCAAGCCGATTTCAAGAAGTTCGAGAAGGCACGCGAGCTCAAGAAGCACATTGACCGCATCCGCTCTGATTACACCCGGGAGCTCAAGAGCGAGGTGATGGCAGATCGGCAGCGTGCCACTGCCATGTACCTGATCGACAAGTTCGCTCTGAGAGCTGGCAATGAGAAGGACACGGAGAACGAGGCCGAGACTGTCGGTTGCTGCTCTTTGAAATTTGAGCACGTCACGCTTCGAGAGCCCAGCACTGTCATCTTTGATTTCTTGGGTAAAGACAGTATCCGTTTCTACAACGAGTTCTCCGTCGACCGCCAGGTCTTCAAGAATCTCAAGATGTTCAAGAAGGCACCCAAGGAGGACGGAGATGACATTTTCGACCGACTCAACGTAAGTTATAAATGAACACTCCCCACACGTTTGCGGATATCGGGCAACTAACTGACTTTTCTCGCAGACTTCTCAATTAAACAAGCATCTCTCGAGTTACATGCAGGGACTGACGGCGAAGGTGTTTCGTACCTACAATGCCTCCTGGACCATGTCGCAGCTTCTTCAAAAGCTGAAGGTCGAAGACAGGACCATCCCCGAGAAGATCAAGCTCTACAACGATTGCAATCGCGAAGTCGCCATTCTCTGCAACCACAAGCGGACTGTTGGTGCCGGCCATGAAGCACAAATGGAAAAGCTGGGTGACCGCATCAAGGGCCTGAAGTATCAAAAGTGGCGCAGCAAGATGATGATGCTCGACTTGGACCCGAAGCTGAAGAAGAAGAAGGGCGCCGAGTTCTTCGAACTTGATCCGGAGCTGGACCAAGAATGGATCGAGCAGCATCAGCAGTTCCTTGCGAAGGAGTTGAAGGAGAAAATTGAGAAGAAGTTTGAGAAGGACAACGAAAAGTTGGTGGCTGAAAAGAAGAGCAAGCTCCCAGCCAAGGAACTCAAGGAACGCCTGAAGGCTGTCTCGGAGCTCGAGGCCAAGCACAAAAAGGAGAACAGAACCAAGAAGGTCGAGGCTGACGGCAGGGGCGCTAGCGTCGAGAAGCTCACCACTGCGATTGAAAAGCTGGATGATCGCATCAGGACACTCGAGATGCAGTCTGCAGACCGTGAGGGCAACAAGGAGGTTGCCCTGGGCACATCCAAGATCGTGAGTGACCCCGTGCTTCCTTGGTCTGACATATGAATCCCGCCTTACTAACCTGACTCTGATAGAACTACATCGACCCCCGTCTCACCGTCGTCTTCTCCGCGAAGTTCGAGGTTCCGATTGAGAAATTCTTCTCCAAGACCCTCCGCGACAAGTTCAACTGGGCCATCCAGTCTGTCGGAGACGACGATACCTGGGAATTCTAAGCATGGAAAATGATGAATGCGTTGACCCGAAAGTTGTTGTATATATTACGCAAAGCCAGATTTCGTGCCTTTAAGGTATGGTTACGGTTTATGGGGCCGTTGACTTGACAGCCAGGCTAGCAAACTCTTGCTGGATATGGTCGCGGAATGGCTGTCTATGGACCAAAAGAGGTGGTGGGCGGGCAATTCACAGCAAAGGCGTTCACAAAGGAGGAAGCATGTTTGCCACCGTCGGGGCCCATTGGGTTTCAGGACGACGGTAAGCCGCGAAGCATCGTTTGATTTTATTTGCTAGCATTTGCTTTGCTGCCGAGGGCCGCTGTGAGAGATGATGGGAGGCGGAGTCGGCAAAAATCAGAGCTCACAGACCAAGACTTTAGAAAGTGATTTCTTGATAGACGCGATGAGTTGCCGCCAATATATCGTCTTCCCATCGATCTTGATGATACTACGTGAATGAGACATGGAACTTGTCAATGATATAATTAAGCCATAAGCAGCCCCGTTAACGGGCGGCTGGTCTCTATCTATGCATACGTCTGCGCCGCGTCATATGCGACGCGATATATGTTCAGGTTGCCCTCATCTGATCATCACTGTTGTGTATATGTGTATGTCATGCTTGCCGAACTTGTTTCCCAAAATGATCAAATGCTTCCCCCCCAAAACGCCATGCATATGCACGCCCAGGTAATAAACCGTAATCCAAACCGGAAACCGGAAACCAAAAGAAAAAAAAACACCAAAAAAATAAAACCAAAGTACCGCCGTCGTCCTCAAAACAAAACATGATACCCAACGCTTCCGCCAACCACCGCAGCGAGAAGCACCCGCACCACCGCAAAACCTCCAGCACTAACACCAGCAGCGGCACCATTCACACCCGGGGCCTCTTTGGGGACGCCAGTCCCACCAGACCCGCTCGGGCCAGCTGTCCCTGTCTCCTCCGGTGTGTCGGCAGAGGATCCAGAGGGGGGCGCTGCTGTGGTCATAATGCTAGTGGCGAAGGTGGTATCGTTATTGCCAGGCTCCTGCGAGCGCGAGGCAAAGGGTGCTGAGGAGGAAGAGGAGCAGGGTTCGGCTGGGGGTGTCTGCGGGAGGGGTTTGTTAGCATGATGATTTTGAGAGAATAGAAACATGGGGGATCCGCGAGTTTCTCTTTTTTTTCTCTGAATGGGGAGGGAGAGATGGGTGGGCGAAATAGATACGTACTTACGGTGCTCGATCCGACGGGCACGACTTTGCCGTCCGAGGTCATGACCCAGCCGTCGGGGATGGTCCCGACGGTGCGCGATGGAGAGCCCGCGCTATCAGTTGCGGTACCACCGATGATACCGCCAGGCGGGATGGTGGGCGATAGGGAGCCGGTGGCAGCTGAGGCACTGGCCGTAACGGTAACAGACCCAGCACCGTTGGCGTTACCGTTGATTTTTCCGCTGTCGGACCGGATGGACTGCCACGAGCCCGACTGGTCGCCGTAGGTGTACTTCTTGCCCGTCGAGTAGTCGGTTACCACCGCAGAGCGTACCAGCATGGTGAACGGTCCCTTAGAGTAGTCGGTCGGCCCGCGCGCCCACTCGACAGTGCCAGGGGGGTTGGAAGGATCGCCGCCAGCCCAAGCGCCGAACTTGACCTGCATGGGCGTTTGCGGGTACTGGCCGTCGGCGGCGTCATAGGTCAAGGTGCGAACCACGGTACCGCCGACGTACCAGATGATGCGGTCCGGGGTCCAGTCGATGGTGTAGGTGATGAACTCCCCCTGGTTGTTGGGTGCCGGGTTGAACTCGCCGCGGTTGTAGGAGGTGGTCTGGCCTTTGCTGAAGTAGTTGGTCTGGACCTCGCTGTCGTCCGATCCGAGCCACTCCATGTCGATCTCATCGAGCACATCGGAGAGGAGCACAAGAGAGCTGACAATACCAGCGCCGGGGGCTGCCTTCATGGTGACCTCGACGCGGCCGAACATGATGTAGAAGATGCTGATGAGCTGAGGCGAGTCGCCGCTTTTGGCGACGGTGAAGCTCGCGCCTTCATGGCCGTACGTTGGGCTTCCTCCGCTGGGCACAAACGCGTTGACTTCGCCCTGGGTAAAGTCCACGTTGACTGACATGCCCAGTGCCGAATCGGCCGGGCAACTTGCTGGTATGCGTGTCAGCAATGCAGGATATTTCGTAAACCCGGAGCCAATTTCGAGGAGAACTTACAAGAGGACAATGGATTACATGATGACCAAGTCTGAGCAACCGTCGTGCTGGCAAACCATGCAGCTGCCACCGCCGCTATCCCTGATCGCTTGAAGAACATGGTGTTCCAAAACTTTCAAGGTGATTAAGAGTGACAAGCAGGCCACGAAAAGGGGGAAGGGGAATCGGCGACGACGCCGTGGACCTGCGTTGACAAACTGGACTCCAACAATAAAGCAGGGGTCACTGAACAAGACTGCAAACTCCTCAAGTCAGGGGTAATAAACAATGGTGGAAACTTGCATTTGTTGGAGATAATATACAAAGAGAAACAAACAGGATCACACGCGCCGCAGTCCAGCCGCTGCTTTTTAATAAAGAACCCAGTGGAGGCAAACCATGAAAGCATACGACATCACCAACCTCCCCTCAATCGGCGTCAAGTCTCGACGGTGGAGTCTCAGGGTGACCGTTCGAGACCAAGATCGAGGCACTGCGGGTGTTCAGGCGGGCAGGGATTGGTTACCGACGCCTTCATTTGTTTTTTTTTAGGGAGGTTGGGAAAGGAGAAAATGTTGGCGGGCCGCAAATGCCGTTTTCGCTGGTGGCTGGAAGTCTTGGCAGCGCCAACGTCACGAGGCCCACTTTTATTCACACCAGCCGCCGGACACGTGCTGGGCCTAGGATGATGAAGTCCGAACCACAAGAGACACAGCAACTCGCTTCCATGTAAGAGCAAGAAGACGACATGTTGGGGAGATAGGGTGATAGTTGGAAGCCTGGAAATGGCACCAGACGGGAAAGTAGGGGACCCTTTTGTATTTGAACCTGGAGGCCATCAATCACGTGCCGCTGTCTAGCTGGTCGTTCCTCCCCTGCCACTCCCTTGTATTCATTTGCTTTGAACGTCTTGGGAAGGAGGGATCCTGTCATAACACACGCTTTCTCTCTCCATATTGCAAATTCGTCAAACCTGCCTAGTTGCGCCAATTCAAATGTACCGTTGAAGACGTGTCGTCCTACTGGCTGACACAGCGTTCCACCATGAAATGATGAATCTAGACCTTAATGGCAGGTCAACAGCAAAGGCGCCTCTCTTCGGGTATTTATTTGGCCGACAGAAACAATGCTAGATATCCGAAACCCGCTTCCTAGGGGCTGAAGCAGTCTGGTTGGGGAGCGTGGTTCCCAGTGGAATATCCCGAGATCATGCATCGCCGGTCACGCTGGCCGCCCGCTCCTCGACTTGGGAGATCTGTCGGGGTGACGCGGGCTGGGATGTGCAACGAGGCCAGCTGGGGAAGCTGAGCTGATGCTTGCAACAAGGCTACAAGCCCCGAACAACCGAGAGACTCGGGTGGAACCTCACTTCCTTGTCACACAAGTGGTGTCCTAGTGCGACGAACCCAGCGGGCCGGTTACAAGGCATGAGATTAAGACGGCAAAGGGAGCTATTTACAGCAAAACCGATCTCAACAGGGTTTCTTTACCGCCGCTGCCTATGATGTGAGCCGGTCTGGAAAGCTCCATACTACAGGTATATCCTTTTTTTCGTTTTCTTTTCTTTCACCACCGTCATGAACTTGAATCCCCCCTTGAACGCAGAGACCCGTATCACCTTACTCCTCTTCAGTTTCCTCCACCGAGGCGAGCCCAGCCCAAAGTGGTCTGTGATGGCGGCGGTTTTAAGAATATCCGGGGCTCACAATATGATCTCCCAACAATTCAAATCAGAAGACTCACTTTCTCCTCATCACCCGGGCTCCTTGTTGAAGGGTCGGGCCTGGACCACCTGTACGCACAGTGCCCCGAAAAGCTCAAAGCCATGGCGGCACAGGTTGCCCATGGGATATATCCGAGGATAATCAGATGGATATGCGCCTGGACGCGGTACCCGACGAGGGCGGCGAAGCCAAGCAGCGCCAGATAGACGGCGGGTAGGAACGGGTCCTGGCTTAGCCTCCGGTGTGTAAAGGACGAAACACAGCAGCCGAACACGAGACAGGAGATGAGCATAAGGCCGGGAGTTGGCAAGAACAGGAAATCGTTGGCGTCGCCTGCGCTCCCGTGAAGGCCACGATGTACCTACAGTAGGTGCCGACAAATTAGCTGTGTACACCAAGAGTGGCGTCTAGAACTAACCCCGAGCTCGCTTTCGTGGATTTCAGTTTGTATGGTGTATTCCCACGTTACTACACTGCAGAGTCCGCTGATCGTGATCTCGACAAACTCGGGGGCAAGGTAACACCAAAGGCCCGGACTTGGACTTGCTGGCTGAGCATGTTGGCGTCCACAACACGGCCGTTGGTCCATTGCTTTGGTCGACTCGTTTTCTGCAAAGGGAAAATAACATAAAAGTCCGAGAACGCTCAAGCCTCGTCAAAAATTACGTTGCCCAAAAGTCAAGTCGACGACATGTTGAAACCTCGGCACGCAGAGTTTGACCCTCCTTATGTGTTTACGACACCACCGGCTCCTGGCGTATTCCACTTTCAGCCCTATCACGATGAGCTCGCTCTCAACCTGTAGAACCGGGCAATCCCCCGCTTCCAATGTGCCGCACGATGCAACACACCGGGAACACACCGGCGAAACATCGGCTTCCGGACACAGGTGGAGGACGCGTATGCCTTAACTGTCCCGGTTTCCTCTCAATGATAATGCATGGAGGCCCAAGGCATTCAGATAATTTAAGCAGCGAATGAGGCCTCGCTTTTTAGTAGGGCTGACCGAGAGGCGGACGAGGCTTACCGAGAACCTTCATGCAAGGAGGGCCAATCCCCTGCGGCGAATGTTGGGCCGCATCCAGGCACACCATGGCGAACCATTTTGAACCCATGGCGCCTTATTTTGTCAGGAAGCCTTTTGCGGTTTTGAAGGAAGCCGGACATAGTTCCCGCTCGTCCAGCCGTCACGAGGGTCGCAATCGTTGGTGCGAACAGCCACGAGTGTATGTGGATGGCTACGCTTGGATGCTTCCACGCCTGCATTTCGCAAATTAGACGGGACGCTCATCCGTGTCCTCATTCTGCTCGAATCAGAACGTTGCGTTAGGTCTTCAGACCATCTTGTACGACGAGTACAAAGTGTTCCCTAAATGCAAAGGTAGATCGGAGGCCGCCGGCTGTCGAGAGCCCTATTTCTATTCGTTCCTCCCACCTCTCTCTCACCTTCGACTCATCCCGATATTTTCCTCTAAGAAAAAAAGAGAGAGAGAGAGGAATAAAGAAAGCGACAACTTTGTTGTTACATGGCCAGCCTTGATTCTCCTCCTGGGTCAGCATCTCACTTCTCCGCTTTTCTATATTGGAGAAGAGTCACTCATCTATTTACCCTTTGCGAATCACATCAATGACCGCCACCATGGATGCCAACCTGTTTCCAACCGAGCCTCGCCATCAGTTCCACCATACAGCCAAGGTCCTGGCTTGTGGAAGCATGATTGGCACGTCCATCCTCTTCCCCCTAGCCAATACCGAAGGTCTCTGGTTTCGGGCCCTGTAAGTCGAAGCCTCGAATCCATTGTATTGAGGCTACCTAACTTCACTCCAGGACGCTCGTGATATTCGTTATTGGAGCGTTGGTTTTCCACGCCCTGCACATAGAGCCATTCGTCAGGTACCGGACAAAATCTTTCCATGACACGCGGGACCGAACAAGGCTGACCTCTAATATAGACTTGGACTGTACACCATCGCCGTGGCTTTAGTGCTTCTTCTCGTGGCTGTTCTGGCGGCTGGGCCATCTAGGGAAGATCTAATCCCCTGGCTCCCGTTGTTTATTGCGTCGTCAAGCCTGGTCACAGTTGTCATGTCCAAAATTTCGCGTCACTTCAACCCGTGCCCAGGCTTGGCCAACGCCGAATCCAGCACCGAGTATGAGTTCTCGGGTGTGTCTACGGATACCTTGAGCGACCGCTCCTTCCGGACTTTGTCTTCACTCCCGCGGCCTCAGTCCGCCTTTGAATCTACCCGGCTTGATGACCTGTATTTTGACCGCCACGGACCAACGTCGGTCGCATCCGGTCGCACAGGAACAGGACTCACCGACATCACGCTGTCCAGCGTGGAGGGGCGATACCAGCCCCATTGGGATGCCCGGACACGGAGCCTTTTCATGGAGGGATTTACCTTGCCTGGTCAGGATGCCATGGAGCCGAGAGGACCACAGAACAGGACCGTCAGCCCAGAAGGAGAGGATTATCCAGACCCGGGAACGGCTGCGGAATTCTCTGACGTTGAATCCAATGCCGGAAGCGACGAATCTAACCAGCCACTCCTGGCTAACATGGGAACTGCCGCGTGAGCCGGCCCGCAAATGTTTGGTTTGGAAAAGGACGGACGACCCTTTTTTAACACCGAAACACTCGACGTCTTTATAACTGTCTTCCCAGACTCTAAGAAAGATTCCTTTAGACTTCCACATCTGGTCACCCAGTCTTGATATCGGTTTGAGAGTTCGGCCCGGGCCTCCACTTCATCATATCACGCCTATAATGATGGTTCCCACGCCGGCCTTTTGTTTCCCTCCTTTCGTTCTCGTTTTTCTTTCGCTCGCCAATGATCGCATGAACACAGTTACAGCAACACCTGAAAACCAGAAGTTTCATTACGACGATTTTCCTTTTCCTTCTTCTTCGGGCAATTATATATGATTCCATAGGCGCTTGGCGGTCTTGTCATCTCGATGTGTTTTCGGTTACTGTCTCCTGTTTATTTCTTTTTACCGCCACGGTCGGTAGAGTTGTTCACAAACGCGGCATGACATGGACACAGGAGGAATATGTCACCAGCTATTTCGGAAGGGTTAAGCATGCGTGATGGTTGTATGACGGGAATGGGCGTTTCTACGGGTGGCTAGGTGGCGGCAGAGCGTGTGTGGAAGAAGTGGGTTCAATGCTTTAGTGGGACGGGGAATGTGCGAATGGAACATGTCAAAGAGAACCTGGAAGGTCGGGCAGGGGCACTGCTTACTATTTCTCATCGTCGTTTCCTCCTGTTGAAAATAAAGGCACGGATGATACCCCAACGCCGCAGCGGGGTCTATCTATACCGTGTAAGTGGTCAAAGCACTGGGCATCGAGCACTAAACACTCCCATCAGGATCTCCGGCTTCGATCCGATCCACAACCCGCGCCCTTGATAACACATTGGTTGCACCCTTGATCCGATGTTTTTAGGAATTTCCGCTCTCGGCGCCAGGTATCCCAGTTCGTCCCCTCCTCTCCTGAACAGATCCAGACCTTGTCCATTACGTACAATCCGGAAGGCGGAAAAGTGGTGCCCCTTACAGTTGGTCACAAGGGCGGATCGGGGCTAGATATCAGTGGCCCGGCGGGCAAGCACGGCTACCCTCGGGCTCGGAGCCCCGCTACGGCCCCGCTACGGCCCCTCAAGGGCCCCTAACAAAACGCTGAGACACCCCTAGCGACTCACACCGGCAGCCCTTTATCTTTCATGGACATTGTTTCCTAAAAGGATAGGTTGTGGTCATTACAGGACGCAATACTTGCCTGCTCTTCATCTTTGCCGCCTTCTGTAAATAAAACAAACTTGGGATATCCCCTCCACTGAACACTCCTTTTTTACCCTCTGTTGTCGCCACCAAAGTTTCTACTCTAAAATCTCACCCCCGGACTCGGGTCGAATTCCGCCGCATCCGATTCGTCCCTCATCACGCAGCTTCCGGCCCCGCACCCTCCGCACACCCGGCCCTTCCGGCCCGGATCTCAAAAAAATGCGGAGCGTCATCCGGACCGGCGCCCTCCGGGATGGTCCCCCCAGCACGACCACCGCCCCAGCCTACTCCGGCATCAAAAACATTCCCCGGACCTACACCACCGCTCAGCCTCATCATTCGTCACTCAATTCTTCGCCGGCCTTCCATTCCAAAGCTGCAGACTGTTCTCCGGAATCATTGGCTACCCTAGCCAACCACGCCGAGGCCGAGCCCCCGAGCGTAGCACTGCCGGTGAGGCATGGGGAGCGGATCACGATTGCGGATATCAAGGAGAGGCGGGCCAAGGCGGGAAGGCTCGTGGCGCCGACGGCAGCGTATAGTGATGCGGATATGTTCAAAGGGCCTGTGAGTTTACTGTACCCTAACCCTGGACCTGAACTTGCCCCTGAACCCCTTTTCCATGGATGATGACAACAACATAATGCATGGCGGGAAGCAACGAGGGCTAACCTGGGTGTAATTCTTTCCAACAGACTACCGGGAAGCCTAAAGCTAAGCGTTGGGATCGTAAGTTGTTCCCGGTGTGAAACAAATTGATCGATTTCCAACCCGATTCTAACCCTTCCATCTTTAGACCATCTCACACATGAGTCTACCCTCCGGCATCCATGCAAGCTGAAGCAGGCCGCCAAACACCTCAACAACCCAGGGCTCATCTCTCTCGGCGGCGGCCTTCCCTGCCCGGAATACTTCCCCATATCCTCCTTAACCCTCCATGTCCCAGCACCACCCGACTTCTCCGAAGCCGCCACGCTCGCGCCCGGCGGCGGCGAGACCTTGACGATTGGGAAATACGACACCACGCTACCCCCTCCCTCGGCCGGTGACGCGCTCCACCACCCGGAATACGACCTCTCCATCGCGCTCAACTACGGCCAGGGCAACGGGTCCGCGCAAATGACCCGCTTCGTGACCGAGCACATCGAACTGCTTGGCGCCCCGCCCTACGCCGACTGGGGCGTATGCCTGACCATCGGCAGCACCGGCGCGCTGGAGCAGATCCTGCGCATGTTATGCGACGGGCCCGGCCGCGGAGACTGCGTGCTGACGGAGGAGTTCTCCTTTTCCACCGCGCTTGAGACGGCCGTGCCGCTGGAGGTGACCACGGTGGGCGTGAGGATGGACTCGGAAGGGCTCGTGCCGGAGGCGATGGATGAGATCTTGAGCCAGTGGGATTCGGTTGCTGCCCCTGGTAGCGGTGGCAAGCTGGCTGGGAAGAGAAAGCCGCATGTGCTCTACACCGTGCCATCGGGCCAAAACCCAACCGGCGCGACGCAGAGCGCGGCCCGCCGTCAAGCCATCTACGCCGTCGCGCAGCGGCACGACGTGCTCATCATCGAGGACGAACCATACTATTACCTACAGATGCAAGCACCCGGGACGGCCCCACCCAGCACGGTGGACGAGTTCCTCAAAGGGCTCGTCCCGACGTATCTGACCCTCGACGTGGACGGGCGTGTGATAAGGATGGATTCGTTCTCGAAAGTGGTGGTTCCCGGATCGAGGATGGGCTGGATCACGGCGTCGGCACAGCTGGTCGAGCGGTTTACTCGCCATGCGGAGATGGCGAATCAGGGGCCGAATGGGTTCTCGCAGGTGATTTTGCACAAGCTGTTGGATGAGCGGTGGGGGCATGAGGGGTATTTTGGGTGGTTGATGAACTTGAGGATGGAGTATACCAAGAGGAGGGATGTCATGGCCGCGGCGTGTGAGGAGTTTTTACCTAAGGAGGTTGTGAGTTGGGCGCCGCCTCAGGCTGGCATGTTTGTAAGTTCCTTTTCCCACACCTTTCCCCCTTTTTTTCCCCCTTCAACCCCCCTTTTACCATGACACCCACCACCTGGCATCCAGAATACATACATAAACTAACAAAACAAACCTTCAGCAATGGCTCAAAGTCAACCACACCATCCACCCCCACGCATCGGACAAGACCATCCTCGACATCGAAGAGGAGATCTTCAACAACTGCATCGCCCGTGGCGTGCTGGTGGCCCGCGGCTCCTGGTTCCGTGCCGAGCAGGACGTGGCTCCGTCTGGGCTGTATCTGCGCGCCACGTTTGCGGCGGCCACGCCGGAGAATATGAGAGAGGCGATTCGCAGGTTGGGCGCGGCGATTCGGGAGAGTTTTCAGTTGTACGGGGTGTAAGGGGAGAGGTGTTGGGTTTGGGTTGTTATTGCTGTTAGTGTGGTTGTTTTTGTTCTTGGAATTGCCCGTGTAAGGGCGTTATGGACCGTGTAAAGTGAAGGGTAAACATAAAATTACAGAAAAGGCACAAACTATGGATTTATTGGGGATGTTTATTAGCAAGTGTTACTCACCACTGAATCCAAACCAGCTAGCTTAGCAAGGAAAAACACATGTACATTTTACATACAAATAAACCATGAACTATCCTCATAAACAAGATCCAAAATCCTATTCCAAACTCCCTCCCTTCACATATTCCCATGTAACCTCCCTATTTCTCACTCTCACTCTCACTGTCCCTGGCCCCCTTAGCCTCCCACAAAGCCACCCTCACCCCATCCGCCGGCTGCAACACAATATCCGCCTTCAACCTCGGCTCCACACCCACCGGCATATAATTCTCAATCCTCTCATACCTCTGAAACAACCTCGTAAGCACATACCCCATCTCAGTCAGCGCAAACTGCTGCCCAATACAAATCCGCGGCCCGCCATTAAACGGAATGTACTGCCACGGTTTCGGCTGCCAGGTGAACCACCGGTCCGGGGAGAAAACGTCTACGGGGGCGAAGTCGGGGCTGGGTGGCTGGTAGAGGTCGGCGCGGCGTTGCATGACTAGCGTGGAGTAGCCTATGGGTGTGTCTTTGAGGACTTTGACGGGGTCGAGACCGGTGGGACCGCCGCCGTGCGGGAGGGTGGTGTCGTTTAGGGCGAGGCGGACGCTGAAGAGAGGGTGTTAGTTGGGATGAGGTTGGGGACGAAGAGAGGAGACAGAAGGGGTTGTGGTTGACAACATACTTGTACGGCACAACAGGGTATAACCGCAAAGTCTCGTTCATGACATTCTGCAGGTACTTCATGCCCTTCAGGTCAGTATACGTCGGCGCCCTCGTCGGCCCCACCACGGACAAGATCTCGGCGCGCAGTTTCGCCAGGGCCTCCGGATGGCGGGCCAGCTCATAGACGGTCCACGACAGCGTGCAGGCGGTGGTGTCGCGCCCCGCGAGGAGGATGGCGATGAGCTGGTCGCGCAGCACCTGGCGGTCGCGGGTGTAGCCGGCGAGGGCATGCAGGAAGGTGTAGCCGGAATCGCTTTTGGATTTGGTGGAGAGTTCCTCTGGGCTGAGGCGGAGGGTGCGCTCGATGTACATGTTGATGAAGTCGTCGATTGTGGCCATGCCTTCGTGGAAGGTGCCTCGGGGGACGAGGCCGTTGAGGGCGCCGGTTCGGGAGATGATGCCCTGGACGCGCTGGACCTCGGCGAAGGCTTCGGCGAACTTTTGGCGCGGGTGGCTGAGCGATTTGACGTCCTGGCCGAGGAGGAACTCGGTGGCCGAGTCGAGGGTGAACCGGAAGAAGAGATCGCTGATTTCCAGGGGCTTTCCGTTCCCGGCTTCCATATCGACGGCTTGGTGCTCGCTGTTAAGAGCACCCCCGTTCGCGATGGCGCGGAACAGGGTCTGCATGTGCTTTTCAAACACATGCAAGTCGCTTACACGGTCCTTGATAAACTGCGGGCGGATCAGCTGCCGGCTGTCGTGCCACAGGGTGCCGTCGGTCGTGAAGATGCTGTCGCCGAGAAAGGCCTTCCACTCGCGGTGGAACGGCTCGCCCTTGCCGTAGTCGCTGAACTGGGTGGCGAGAATAGCCTTGATATTCTCCGGGTCCGCGGTGAACACGATCCGGCGGCCGGCGATACGGCCCTCGGCCGTGTACATCGGTGTATGAGCTAGCATGCGCCGCCAAAACGTCAGGTTCTCGTGTTTCTTGCCTGCGCGGATGCCGTTGTAAAGAAAGTCCAGACCTGGCTCTGGGTTAGCAGGGTTTTTGAAGGTCAAGAAAGAACAAGTCTAGACAGCCATGTCCATGCCCCCCACTTACAAAATGGCATGACCGACGGGAGGCCGGGCGCCCTCGACCCTGGTAGCCGGAGGAGTTTGGTCTCCTGGACCAATGGCCACAGTACCATGCTATATAAGACATAGGCGAAGACGAGGCCGGGTAACAGGAACACGGCGCCCTTGATCGACACATTGTCGACGAGAGCTTCGATGAGCCCCATTGTGCGTTGATTGATGGACCGGGTTGGGTCAACGAACGTCCTCCGACGGTGAGAGTACAGTCTATAATTCGAGATCGAGCCACCTCACGGTCTAAGATGACTGACTGACTGACTGGCCGCTATCAACCAGTTTCCTCTGGAGGGGGAGCTTCGGGTTTTTAAAGCACAGGAAATATAAGAGGCTAATTGGATCTCTACCAGGAGGGTAGCTCTGCTAATTGGGTAACGGTACACGACCTCGTCGCCTTGGGTGTACAGCGTGTCCGGTCTGCACGTGTTTGTGGTGGTTCAACAGGACGAGAAGTGACAGTTCGGCCGTTTTTATTCTCGACTTCTTGAGAACCACGGCCGGTCGGTCTCTTTAAGAAGGCCACCGGAGTCGACACAACCCCGAGTTCCGCAGTTTGAATTCTTGGATAGGCAAGGGGGGATGATCAGAAGGGAAGTGAGTGATGTCGGGGATATGTTAAGGGACCATCCCGGGGTTGAAACACTAAAGAGAGAGACTTCGGAGGTATGGTTGCCAAGTCTTTTTCGGAGAGCACCCGTCCCGTTCGGCCGTTGTCTGGAGGGTTGCGCTATGGGTGGACACGCGGGGAAGACATGGGGGTGAGGAGAATTGGGGGCGGTTCCAGGATCGGGATCGAAGCAATGTGTGGACATTGTGTTTTCATGGAGCCTCGGAGCGTCCATTCGACACCCATAATGTTTCTAGAACGATTGGTGAGTGAGACAATACCCACTCGTCAACACCAACCTTCCTTGCCTTTGCAACATATGTTGGTGGGGTTGACCATGTCTTTCGCGGAGAACCCTGCCGAGCCTTGACACTAGTTTGACAGTAGGTGGGTTTAATCCGAGATACACGAGAACGAAGGAACGAAGTTGCAGGACTGTGACCGTTGATCCGTCATGGAAAAGGTCGCTTATCGGCTTGTCCCGACAACAAAACGCTTTAACTTGTCCTACCTTCTACCAAGGAGTATCCCGGGATGGTGTGCTCACCGGGCCTCGCGGCCTTGAAAATAGAAATATTTGCCAGTTTTGTAGGCTGGCCGCGTTTCCGCATAGCTTCGTTGACCGTTCCAGCCATAGCTTTCGGTAGTGTACCGCTTTCATCTCTGTAGTGTAACAATTCCGTGCATGGTAACTCCTGAGAAGGGCGGTGACGCCATGCTGTGTAATGTCGTGCAGTGGTGCTGTCACTTTGGTAGGACGAGGATATCGGACGAAAGGTGAGTTGCTGCTGACAGACTTGCAGACCATCGCGGCAACCTACATGTTGAGCCTTTGGGAGGTTGCTGGAGGAACCTCAATCCCTCGAGATTATTGGAGGTTGGATGCCGTTTTCCGAAAGTTGACGAAGCCCGCACGCAGACCGAAACTCCTTTTCTACGGTACGGTACTGTACATACCTAAGTTGAGCTAAACGCCGCCGAGACATTACCAAGCCGCTCTGCTCGTCGGTTTTAACCCGACATGAGAGTTCTTGACTTGAACGTCTAGTCTCACTTCTATTCGGGCTTCCGTTGTGCAACGAAAGTTGGGTGGGCAGCACAAGTCTACACGCCCTAATAGTACACGGGAGAGGAACAGGAGCTCTGGGGAAGGAGCAATCCTTACCCCGAGTGCCGAGCCAATGGAGTTGCAGGGCCCTCTGTCCCTGACGCGTTGCCGATCGGAGTTTGTTAACCCGACGATAACCCAGAACATCAAATTCTGGATGTTTGGTAACTAAGGTCTTCTTTGGAAAGCTCGACCTTGCAAGGACAAGGACAAAGCTTTGCAAAGACTGTTATCTTCACCCGAATATGCACCACAAAGGTACATACAACGCTTTAAACTTGAAGCGCTCGCCGCTTGGACCGCTCGAGCTGCCAAGTGATTCGTCCTCGCCATCCCAACAACAAGCGGAGCACACCCGATGGTCGCTTCACACACTTGCCAAGCGGGCCAACGGGACCACTCCGAACACAACACCCTCGCAAGCTCGCAAGCCACGATCATGGAGATCCCTCTTGGTACTTACCCCGCCATCCCTCCACACAACGCTCACACGACACACAGTTCTCAATGGGTAACTACGTAACGTCCCATCAGGCCAAGAAAAAAGTGGGAAATTTGGTAATGTAGTGAAGGGGGACGGACGATATCATAATCGATTTGCCGCTCTTATGATTAAGAAGAATGCGAAAAAGGCTACCACATACCGAACCCTACCCCTCATGTCACATATACATCTGTTCAGCGATCATAATACCTCTTGTACCCCTCAAAACCCTTTTAGTACCCACACTCCTCCGCCGAGCCCTGCGTGCAAAACGTCATCTGGATCGGCGCAGACCGCAAGCCCTTCAGCACCAGCCGCTCCCGGAACTCATTCAAACGCGGCGCAGCATCATACTGCGAGCGGTTCTGCCCGGACGCGTCCTGGCGACCAGACCAGAGCACCTCGCCCGCCACGCTGGCGCGGGGCCAGATGACCGAGTCGATGTTGGCCGCATCGATGGTCTCGGCCCACACGGCGACCTCGCCGCCCAGGACGAGCTTGGCTTGCTCTGGGGTGAGGCCGGCGACGGGGTCGTAGGCGTACACGAGACCCCAGCTCTTGGTCGGGCCGCACCAGTCGTTGAAGGGATAGCCGGTCTCGAAGTTTTCGTTGTTCCAGCTGATCCAGCCGCCGCGACCGCAGTCGAGGTACTGTGGGGTTGGTATACCGTGTTAGCAAGGGACATTGAAACTCCTTTCTTTTCCTTTTTTTTCCGAGAAAAAAGGGAAAGAATTTTCAAATTATTCAAGCGGCTGCGCCAGAGGTGTGCTTACCCAAAAGTTGTAGTTGCTGTCAATAACCTGGAGGCCGAGGTTGGTCAGCTTCTTAACCGAGTCACCACCAAGCCACGATTGGACGACTGTGTCCTTGCCGAGGGTGACGTTCCAGTCGAGCGGAATCTCCTCCCAGGTGACCGGGGTGAGGCCAGCCTTGCGGATGTGCTTGTGTTGCGTGTCGATGAACTTTTGCAGCAGTGGCTGCAGCACCTCGGTCTGGTTGGAGCGGATGCCGTCGTCGAGCATCGAGTCGTTGGCGTTGAGCTCGTCGCCACCGGTGTGGAAGTAGGCCGAGTACGGGTGCACACGCGGCAGCAGGTCGTCCCAGAGCTTCTCGAGGAAGGCGTCGACCTTGTCGTTGTCGAGCTTGAACGCGCCGCATGGCGGTTCCGCACACCACCAGTAGTATGGCAGCTCGTTGTAGGCAACGATCAGCTCCGGGTGGGAGAGCGAGACCACACCGATGTGGCCCGGCATGTCGATCTCAAAGTACACCTCGACGCCGCGGACCGCGCCGTACTTTTGGATGCTCTCGATGTCGGTCGGTGTGTAGGTCTGGCTTGGGTGGTAGGCGCCTTTCTCTGCGACCTCGGGCAGGGCGGGGATCTCCAGCGGCCACGACTGCGAGTCGGTGACGTGGACATGCAGCCGGTTCAGCTTGCTCGAGGACATGCCGTCGATGGTGCGGAGGATGTTCTCGACGGGCAGGTAGTTGCGGGCCGTGTCGATCATGATGCCACGGTGAGGGAACTTGGGCGCATCGCGAATGTCGATGGGCGCGTACGGGGTGTACCAGGAGGTCCCGGTAGAATGCTGGTAGAAAAGCTGGGAGAAGGTCTCGAGGCCGTGGAGCACGCCGATCGAGGAGACGGCCGAGAGCTTGACATCGCCAGCCGCGCTCACCGTTAGGTTGTACGACTCGTCGACCTCGCCGGCGAGCGGCTTGAACGCGCTCGGGTGGTCCTTGCCGGTCTGCACGATCTTGAGCGTCTTGAGGAATTTCTGGTCCTTGTGCACATCGGGCTCCCACTTGGACCGGGGCTTGTGCAGCTTCCACGGCACAAATTTGCTGTCGAAGATGCCGGCGAGCGCCCTGGAGATGCCCGCCTGCACGATCTCCTTGCTGCTCAAGGCGGAGGGAACATATCCGTATGTGTACGGAACCTGTCGGAGTGGTGTTTGTTTAGTATCCCGCGCCTCGTCCCCGTCAAGACATACATAATCCCGGTGAAGAGTGGAAGAGGGAAAGGAAGGAGAGGGGCAAGAAAGAGAGCAAAACCAGCATACGGATGCGCCATTGTAGGTGATCTTGATATTTTGGTGCAGGTACAGGACCGAGTCGCCCTTGGTGTAGCTCTGCGGGGCGGGCCAGATAGCCGCGACGGGCTGGAGCGCCGCCGCGAGAAGAGAAAGACAGGAAAGTGGCACGGACCACATCTTGACAAACAAGAAAGGTGAAAATCCACGGCTTTGTCGCGTGGATTTCGCGCGAGAAGCGTGGAGAAGAAATGAGGAAGGAAGCCAATAAGCCGGGGAGGCGAGGGCGGGAATGTTTATAGTTGGGGGTGGTTTTTGCCTTCGAACACTCGTTCGGGTATATTAATGAGACAAAGCGGAAGGTTGATTGGCCCTGGCAGATCCAATCAACAGAACCATGCTCTGCTCAGGGCACCGTAGCACGGTGTGGTCGCAGCCCGGGAGGGGAGGCAAGGAGGATTCCAACAGTGACGGGGAACCTGTCTTGTCTCTCCACTGTGTTTGTTTGCACACGGCTGGCTGGCTGAGTGTGTGTGTGATGCCGGTCTGCTCGCTGGCGGCCCCTGATGGGACGAACTTCCTTCTTTCCAATGTGCTGCTCGCTGTCGTTGGTGGTGGGTGCGACAAGGACCCCACTAACTACATGGCACGGTCAGCACATAATCGACCGACCGACCCACGAGGCTGGGTTCAGGTCATGCAGTGAATGGTACCGTCGCGTGGTCCGTTGCTGGGAAGAGGCGTAGCGCTGATCGAAATCTTGCGCTTTGCTCGGCGGGAGCTTGTGCTTTGCCCGTTATCCGGTACACGTAGGTAGTGAACTCTGGTAGCTCCTGTTCAAAGGCGCAACGTTACACGCTGCATTGGGAGTAACTAGCGGGGAGCCAAAGGCCAAAGTTGAGCAAAGTTGGAGACCAAAAAAGCCACTTCCAAGGGATCTTTTTTGGGGTTCTCAAAGACTCGGAGAAAATCTCATTTGCGTTTCTTTGCAGTGTGTGGGTGGATCGGATTTGCTTTGATCGATGGGCGCTTGATTGTGAGGGAGCCTGATCTTGCTGGGGCTGTTCGGTTCCGGGGCCAGGTAGCCGCCTTCCAGACGAGGACGATCATCGGATGATCTCATGCGCGGGTCGAGACGGAAAGAAACCGGCAGGGCCACCGCTCAACCGTGCCACTCGACCCATGCCTCGGATTCCAGCAGCAGTCTCGTACTTAAATGTATCATGGATTGGACTCGTCGGGAATCAGGTTCATGATCATGGAAGGAAAATAGCGTAGGCAGAGAGATGTTCTTGTCAGTAAGCGCACTCATCACGAAACTCGGAAATCATCAAAAGAGGGTTGAATCTGGAAAATCTCTTGATAGTTATTCGTCACTTTAGGTCGTTGGGAACAGGGGCTAGGTCCAGAGTTGGCGGCGCATGTTCAACTCCAGTCCGAGGCTGCCTGCCGGTGCACGGCTTCCGACTGGGCGAGTTGCCGACTACAGACATGAACTACGAGGAATTCACTTGTTCGTGCCTCTCCAGACCCACTGAAGCAAACTAGAATTGGAGAACGATGCGGCGTGGAATGTTGCTTTGGAGCCAAGGTTGCAGCTTAACACACCGCGGAAGTTGAACCTCGGGAGCAAGCTCTGGGCGGGACCCTCTTTTTGGAAGACGATGCTCAAACTCCGGCTAGACCATTGTTACCCGGCATATAAAGGGCGTTTAGTTAGGCACCCTAAAGGAGGGCGGGGGGTAATGCAACAAGCCAGGAGCGTTCCATGGCTTTAAGGAAGGATGTAGTAACAAGCAGTATCATCGTTGGAGGCATCGATTGTTCGGGAACGCTAGCTCCGACTTTGAGCTCGGAAGTGCGTGAGTTTTCTTGGCTATGTTGGCAAAATCGACGGTTCGTCAATGTCAACGTGCATTATGACATTTAGATGTTAATTGATTTTTGAAGCAACTACCGGATTTCATTTGGCAATTGACGTCAATCGATTCTCCCGGACACGGAGCCGGTTGAAGCAATGCGCCGCAGCTTGCGCAGCAAGAAAAGGCATGCGGCAGCAACATTGGATGCTGCATGGCACGGGAGACAAGGTGGAAGTGACCGGAAGTCAAGCGGCGAACCCAGAATGGAGCGGAACCTGTGAGTCGAGTGAGTTAGTCATCAGCCACTTTGACGCCACACACCAGAAGCTATCACGTGCTACACCACGTGACAAACGCATCCCAGCCACGGCGACAATCTTCTGGAGCAAGGCTTTTGGCTGCGCGTGCGGCTCCACGTCTGGAATCTTCAAACCTTCCCATCCGCTGTTCCGACCAACGCTCGGTTCCTTTTTCCCTCCCTCACGACGAAAATTTCTACGGAACATCTCATCGCGATCCCCATCGGAATCATTCACGGCACGTTCGGTCAACCTACGCCTGCAACGAGTCGTGCGCGCAAAGAGTCGCCACGGTCGCGTCTCCCAAAGCAAGCTGAAGATTCCTTTGGCCACTTCGCATCACAGTCAACTCCCGCCGAGCCTTCTTCTCATTCCATCAGCGTCCTCGTCATTTATATCTTCACGGCAGCGCGTGACACGGCGACTGCTTTTCGATCTACTTTTGATCGTACTTCCCGATCCCCGGTTTCTCCGACATAACTTCAGTCATCGCCATGTCGGTCGAGGTTGCTCTCCACACGCCCCTGGCGGATGCCCTGAATGAAGCGATTCAGGGTAAAATTGCGGAACTTGGTTGGGCCGGCCCTGGCGAAGGCTCTGCCATGTCGGAATACTTCGTCCTGATGTTAGCCAACGGCAAGACAGAGGCCGAGATCGCCGCCGAGATTGCAGGCGACCTCCTCGGGCTTGGCTCCGAAGACCAGACAGCTCCCGCTTTTGCGAACTGGCTATTCCAACAGATTGGCTCGATAAGCGCACAACTGGGCAACCATACATCACAACCGGCCGACGCTATGGATGGGGTTAAGGAGGAGTCCGTTGATGGCTCTGGCGATGCCAACATGGACACGTCAGATGCTCTCGCTTCGGGCTTCATTGCGTACGTACTTATTCCCTTGTCTGGCTTTCCTTCCTGTCTGCCTATGATACTGACATACTGTAGACCCACTGGTCCTAAAGCGATGCGCAATGGCGGAGGTGGTGGCATGCGTGGTGGGGCGCGGGAGAAGCGCATGATGGGCCAGATCAACCGGGCGCTCGACCGCACACCAGATTCGGTCCTCCACCGCGTACGCAGCCAGTCCGGAAACGAGCGGATCGGAAGAGGCCCGCCGGCCGGGCCAAGGATGGGCGTGGGGAGACAACCACGCAACCCCAACGCCCGCGCCAGCAACATCGCCAACGGGCTCGCTAATATGGGCAATATGCCACCGAACGCCGTGATGGGGATGAACGGGATACCCGGTGGGATCGGTCCCATGGGTGCTCCCGGCTACGGGCAACCGGATCTCTATGCCATTATGGAACAGCAAAACCACATGCTCCAGCAGATGCAGCAACAACTAATGATGCAGCAAGCGAATGGCGCAGGCGGTCGCGGTGGCCGTGGCAAGAATCAGTTTGACCGGGGTGGGAGAGGGGGTCAGTTTCGACGCGGTGGGCACCATCAGCAGCAGCACAACGGTCATGCAGACCACCACAACCAGCAGCAGCAGCAGCAGGGCTCGGAAGCCGGCCAACCGGATGCTGCCTCCCAAGGCGATGTCGACATGACCGGTGCTAAGCGCGAGGCGCCAAACCCGGATGATACGGTGTGCCGGTTCAACCTTCGATGCCAAAACAAGGATTGCAAGTTTGCGCACCAGTCGCCGGCCGCACCACCAGGGACGGCGATCGACCTCAAGGACATCTGCACGTTCGGCGCGGCCTGCAAAAACCGCAAGTGTGTGGGCCGGCACCCGTCGCCGGCAACCAAGATGGCGCACCAGAGCGAACAGGACTGCAAGTTCTTCCCCAACTGCACAAACCCGCACTGCCCATTCCGGCACCCGACCATGCCGGCGTGCCGCAACGGAGGCGAGTGCAAGGTCCCCAACTGCAAGTTCACGCACGTCAAGACGGCCTGCAAGTACCACCCTTGCACCAACCGCAGCTGCCCGTTCATGCATGAGGAAGGCCAGCGCGGCACGTTCCAGGACAAGGTGTGGACGTCGGAGGAGGGCTCGAAGGAGCATGTTAGTGAGCGCAAGTTTGCCGCGGATGGGCCTGAGGATATTGTGCTACCTGGGTCATCGGAACAGATGGAGGCTGAGGCTGAGGATACCGAGGTGATTGTCTAGAAGATGTGTTCCAAACACGGGGGGCGGAACCGGAATCGGAACCGGACACGGAAACGGAAACGGAAACTGAGGAAACACTCGGTTGTAATTTCAAATGGGGAAATGAGAATGTATTCCACGACAGGATGAAGCAAACAGCCGTATGAGGCATGCCGGGATGGGGGAAAGGGCAATGAACGGGATTTCTACACACAAGACAGGGCTAAGAAGATACCCTCTTTGAAAAAAAGGACATGGGGCATGTGAGGAGGGTTCGAGTCTGGAAACTGGTCCTGTACTACTAGTATATCATTCATCATGCGGCGTTGTTGGGGACGGCACTGTGGGTTTCTGGTCAGGTTTTTGCCAACTTCTTTCCTTTTCTTTCCCTTTTCTGCTTTGCTTTTGCTAGATCGGATCACTGCGTTTTGTATGTGATAGCGGGGAACAAAGAGCGATGGACTGGTGATGGGCCCTGAGCGGCGAGAATCCAGACCACAGTTGCTCGCTCTCTTACATGTTGGGGCTTCATGCCTCTCCATATGGACCTCGTGAACGAAGACGTTATGTGTAGGTACTTCGTAGTTCGTAACTGTGGACGGGTAACGGCATGACTCGGTTCTGTTGGTAAGTATGTTAAAGCACCGGAAGTTTTCGGCTGCGTGAGTTGTCTTGCCCTATTTAAACTAGTGGTTGCCCAGATTTCGAACCCATTATGCCTCTATGAGTTAACTTACATAGTAGTAGGCAGTGGGCTACTGGAAGAAAAAAAAAGGCTTGAATTTATTTGGCAGGCTGGTTCTCAATTGTCAAGGGTTAGGGTTAAAAGCTCTCCACCTGCTCATTTGCCTACAGCCGGAGCTTCATCCCACTTCCACATCCAAGCCGTCCAACAGGACCACCCCCCCCCGAAGCCGCAACCGAAGCCATTGAACAATACAATCCCGGCTTTCCGGTGAGCGATGCAGCTGCCAACGTCCTCTTGACATGTACACCACCCGCCTGCGCTGCGGGGCGCGCATCCCGAGCTGCAATGGGGCGTCAGGGCCGTTGTCCTCTTTGCGAACTCGGGGTTTCTTGAACCGATCGGGAGCTGCGGCTTCGGCAAGTTTCACAACAGCAACGAAACGGAGGGCAAACACGATATTCCCGACTCGACCGAACCGAACGAGACCATGTGTTACCCCCCCATTACCCCTCCAAACGACAACCAAAAGCCACTATTTCTCTTCCACCCCCAGGAACCCTAACCGCGACCTGGACACTGACGACCTTGACTCCCAATATGACTTCGAGTTCGAACCCCCGAAAGACATCGCCATTCTCGGCACCGGCTTAACAGGTCTCACAACAGCATGGTATCTGACACAGAACCTTCCCGACGCTAACATCACCATCTACGAGGCAAGCGACAGAGTCGGCGGGTGGGTCGATACCGACAAGGTCGAGGTGACAACACCAGAGGGGGAAAAGGGTGTAGTCTACTTTGAGCGCGGGCCGCGCATGATCAAACCGCAGACGTCGGGAAGGGTGCCAAAGTGGGATGATCTGGTGTTTTTTGATCTGGTGACCAAACTTCAGCTCGGCGATCAGCTCATGCACATGAAGAAGTCGGAGGAATCCGTCTCCGGCTTCATCTACTACCCAGATCACCTTGTCCCTCTTCCCAAGGCGCCACCGAAAGGGAGCGGTGTATGGACTTGGATCAATTTCATCCGGACAGTCATTCCTCTCCTTTTCGAAGACCTCTTCGCGGGCGTGTTCTCCGACATCAGGGGGATGCTTGTGACCCAACAAAACCCTCTACGGACCAGAATTCTCGAGAGGCGGGAGGATGTATCGATGGGGGACTACCTTACTGCCCGGCTAGGGAGACCGGACATGGTGAACAAGTTCGTATCTGCTGGTGTTCACGGCATCATGGGCGGCGATGTATGGAAGCAGAGCATGGCCAGCGGTTTCGCGGCGGACTCACTCATCCCAGGCGGTCAGGATCCCGAGCATCGTGCTTGGACGCGTGTCGTTGACTATCACCTCATGGAAACGCTGACTCGGGACGAGGCCGTCTTCGACTTGGCTACGGAGCACCTCGATACAAGCGCACTCTGGTTTCGCAACGGGTTCACCACGTTGCCGAATGCTATCGCCGATGCGCTCAAAAAGAACCCAAGAGTAAACATAAGGATGTCCGAGCCCGTCACTAACATCAAACGGCTTCAGAAGGAGTCGGAGGATAGCGAGGACAAAATTGAGGTAAACCCCGTCCTGATGTCCCTCGGATTTGATTTGTTTATAGAGATATCTAACCTCATGGCATCTGCCTCAGGTCGAAAGCAAGTCCCGTGACGGAGTGAAAACCAGCAGTTCATACGATAAAGTCATCTCTACTATTTCCGCCAAGACGCTCCATAGAGTAACCTCGTCTTCCCTACCTTCTCTCGAAGACTCACCAGCTGTGTCCATCATGGTAGTCAACATCTGGTACCCCGAGCTAGGGGTCAACGCCCCCTACCACGGCTTCGGCTACCTTCTCCCGCAAGCTGTCCCCTATTCCGAAAACCCGGAATGGGTCCTCGGCGTGATCTTCGACTCAGAGCGCGAGGCCCCCCTCCCGACCCTGTCTAACCCAGACCCCCCATACCGCGGCGCTGACACCGTCCCGGGGACCAAGCTAACCGTCATGATGGGCGGCCACTACTGGGACGAGATCATGCAACCCCCCAAGTCTGAGGATGGGAACCCCCACTGGCAAATCGATCGCCATGCCCTCGAAGAACAAGCCAAGAAGAACGCGCTCGCCGCCGTGCAGCGCCACCTGAAACTAGACCCGGCCCTTGCCGAGCATGCCCACGTCTCTGCGCGCCTCTGCTACGACTGCATCCCGCAGCATGTCGTCGGCCACCTAGACCGCATGCAGCAGACCAACTACGAGCTGGAGTCCGAATTCGGAGGGCTTTTGTCCGTCGTGGGCCACAGCTTCCAGAACCCTGGCGTGCTGGGCATGCTGCGTGCCGGGTTTGATGTCGCCTCGCAGGTTTCCGGACTGGAGATGGTGGATGTGATGGAGGGCGATAACCCCTGGCCCATTGGGGCGACGGGGCTGGGACGGCTGGCCGAGAAACCGGAGGAGGGGTTGTGGGTCCCGTGTGACCGGAGGAGGTTGCCGTTGAGGTTTAACAGCGGTGCCCGGCCGGACCCGGAGTATCGGAGGAGGATGCCGAGAGAGCGTGAGGAGGAGGAGGAAGAGGAGGAGGAGGAGGAGGAGGAGGAGGGGAGGAGGCGAAGATAGGGGAGGGAATGAGAACTTGAGAAGAAAATAGTTGTGGGTGCGCGGCGGTCCTCCTCGGTCCTAGTTGGACGTGGCTTTGGGTTAACTCACTGACTGATGGGCATCAGCATCTCTGCCAATAGTTGGCTGGTTCTTATGTGCAGAAAATATGTAAGATATGACGAGGGGGGCTCACTGTACACACATGCATGGTGTGGTGGGCAATGTATGCGGCTACAGGTAAGAGTCTGTGATGCAATAGGGCACATAGATCAACACCCATTGTAAAAATTCTTCTTGTAGTAAACAACGAAGACCGCTAAAAATAGTGGTGATTCAAACACTCACACATGGGCACTAATTCTTGAAGCCTTAGTTCTATGTGATTGCCATAGCCTTGGTATCATTCACCTATCACCTATCTAGAATCGTCCACACCACGACCAAGGCCCCGCAAACGTAAGTTATTCGCCGGCATATTCGCAACGCAAAACCGCGAGTGGCGCGCACAATGAAATGATATAATGGTATCCCCTCCACTCAACCCTCTCGACTCATTGACCTCCCCTTTCATGCGTTATCTCCCCCCCTTGACTAATCAGCCCGGTGTGTTTCTTTATATTGCCCGACCATGAAGGCCCCAACCCGAGACCTCTCTCCCCATTCCCCCGTGATTACTGACAGCATCGCTAGCCGGAGACCCGGAAAGTCGGTACGATTAAAGGACGCCAGGCGCTTAAAAGTACGAGAAAAACGAAACCATGCCAGCCCGGTGTCAGCCTTCTCGCTCTCTGATGTCAAATAAATAGGGGCGATAAGCAAAAAAAAAAGAAAGAAAGAAAAAGGAATGATAAAAAATCAAGGCCAAAGCTGGTTAAAAGCAGAATATACGAGGGAAAGCGAAAACAGGCCCCGAACGATACATGGCAAACGTTTCCGCATGAATTGACTAGCAATTGCCTCCCTCCGTGAACACGTACCGAAGCGTTTCTTCTTCTATTCATCGTTGTCGTGGATAAAACAAAGAGCAATCGCATCCCTAAGCCCCCCGGAATCAGTACGAAGACCATAAAACGCCAAACCAAACCAGCCCAGCCCAGTCCAACCCAGTCCAGCCCAGTATATGTATGCACGCACGCAAGTACCGAATGCACCCCTCCAACTCAATCAAACCCCCGATCCCAACCAACACCTCCCCGAAACCTCCTTGCTCCCTTAATCCAGTACCACGACGGGGGCATTCTTATTATTCCCCGTTCCGCCGCCCCCTCGTTGTTGTCCTTGCATCTGGCCCTGGTTGTGTGCCCTGGCTTGACCTTGGGCTTGTGCCTGGGCTTGAGCCTGGGCGGCCATCTGTTGACGTTGCTGTAGACGAGCTTGGTGGAGCTGCTGCTGGTAGTGAGCTTGCTGGCCCGGTTGGAGTTGTTGGTGGAATCGGCCTGCGGGCCCGCCAGGCTGCTGTTGTTGCTGCTGTTGCTGTAACGACTGGTGTCCGAGGGGTTGTGGTTGCTGCGGCTGCTGTGATGGCTGCGGTGGCTGATGCTGCGGTTGCTGTTGTTCCTGGACAAGGGCCTGCTGCTGTTGTTGCTGCGGCTGTACTATTTGTTGCGGGGGAGCGGGTGTGCCGGCAAGTGACTGGAGTGCCTCGTTCACGAGGACTAGAAGGTTACCGATGCCCTCTTCCCAGTTTGCGACGGCGCTGTTCATGAGACCCTTGAAACCCTTGCCACTGGTCGACCAGACACGCTGTTTCAGCACCTTGTTGAACTCGTCGTTTTCATTGTTGACATTGTCGTCGGTGTTGGGGCGGTAGACGTGCCAGGACAGGTTGCCATCTTTGTCGCGGGGTTTGATGTCCAGGTGCACCCGGCGGTTCTTGGCGCCGGAGAGCGCAAAGCGAATAGTGACCCAGTCCAAACGCTTATGGAACACGTAGCAGGCCCCCTGTTCTTTTGCGAGAACCGGATTCCACGAGTCCTGCATTTTCTCGAGCGCATCAAAGAGCGGTAGTGTGAAGACGAGGTAAGCTGGAAGCTTCTTGAAGCCGGGTGTGTTCGCAGTCAGACGCAGAAAGTCAATGATTCGCAGATGGGGGTTTCCGGTCTCGAGAATGACATTCACGCCCTCGGCGGCAGCAAGATCAAGACGGACTTTCCATCCCTGTGACTTGGAGTCCTTATCTGGAGAAGTAGACTGGCCATTCGGGCCAATCTTGCTGTAGGAAAAGACAATCTCGCGGAGAGTGATCGTCTCGGCTGTGATGTGCTTTCCACAAGTGCGGAGAGCATTGACAATGTCGACCAGGCGATCGAGCGCCTGCATGCGGTCTCGAAGCAAGGGGATTGTCCCTGAAACGGCCTCGGGGTGAAAGCGAAGGACGAATTGGCCTTGTTGGTGGTGATATGACACGTCACGATCCAGCTGGGGCTGCAATAGCTGAAACCGAGAACGGTTAGTGACGCTGACTGTCGCCTCAACCATGCCTTTCTGCCGCGGCCACTGCTTTTGTGGCGAGCCGGACTGGGCCAGAAACTCTTGATATTGTGGGGGTTGAATAGGCGCCGGTCCCCTGTAAATAATCGGGATGAGTTTCGCTGCCCATGGCGCCGTCCGGGGATTGCTGGTGGTGTTGAGAGAATGAGTTGAATTAACGGAGTTAGAGAGGACCGGTAGGCTCGGAGAGTCAGATTTCGTCGTCAGCATATCCGCCGACTGCACGTGTGTAACGAGGGCTCCAGCGACACCGAGTCTGGCTACAGTATGGGGTATGCGTTCTTGGTAGAGTCCCTGAAGGTCGTAGATTTGGGCCATGATGTTGGTAGTGTGCTCGGTTAGCTTTGGTATCAGGGGGCTAGAGGATGAGAGCAGGTCGGAAGGCCGCATAGGCAGCTCTGTGAATGTGTGGACCCGGAAGCCGGTTAAGCCATGGCCCTCGGGTGTTCTGGAATTCCACTGTTAGAAGAAACTCTTTTGCAATGATGGATACGGGGATAGACACCGAAGAAGGAGCGGAAAGAAAACAAAAGAAGAAAAGAACACCAGCAAGAAGGGAACTTACATCTCCACCAACCACCAGCGATCCCCCCCAAGACTCAAACTCATCATGGCAAACCACTGCGGGTTCCAGCGAGCGTTCCTAGCCCACACCGCATAAAAAGGGGGGCGGATGGTTGTAGCCCGTGAATAGACAACACGCTTTGTCTCGTCTTGCGGGACCGGGGCCTGTGACAGAACAACCCAGTCGGTCGACTTCGACAGCTTCTTGAGGCAATGTGCGCTGTATAACCACCTGTAATGCTCCAACATAGCTGCACCGTCGTCCGCAGGGTTGCGCACGGAATTCATGCGCTGCGCCCAGTCCCGCCCCATTGGGGAAGAGTCCTTAAAAGAGAAGGCCCCTGACCAAGTCCCAATACCTAGCACGGCTTCCTTGTCACCGATGAGCTGCATCGTAAGCGAAGACTCCGACCCGGGATGTTGCGCAATCCGCAGAACCAACTTGCCGTCCCTTTGCGCGTATCGGGGTTTGCTCTGTAGCGTATTGTATATCGACGAGAGTGTGTGTTCGATGTGCTTTGAGACGACAGTGGCTAGTAACGTCTCAACAGAGATATTGCTAGTGTCAAACGGAATGTCGATCCCTTTTGGCTCTTTCCCTTCGCGAAACCACTGTAACAGGAGACGACTAGGTGAATCTGGCTCCCCATACTTTTGTGAGAGTTTGCCGCTGTGCACACCGAGGAGAATCCAGCTCGGTGATGCCTGGGCATGGGGGCTTTGTGCCCAGTACTGAATACCCAGCGCCCGGTTCAACCTCTCAACCTTCAATGTCCCAGCCCATCGCCCAGTGTGGCTGAGCTCATTTGCCTGACGAGTGTATTCGCCAATCTTGGTGGTAAGAGTCAGTTCGTGGAGGAAGTTATAGCAACCCGTCAAGCCTTCGAGTTGGAGGATGCCGTTGACCTGGTTCTCAATGAAGCTTCGTGCCCCCTCTGAGAGCACTGCGGGTGCTGGAGTGAAAATAGGCCGATAATCCAGGAACCAAAATTGGCTTTCAAAGTCGTCATCAGACACTGTAAGGTCGACCTCGAATTCGCCCGGCACGGTCAGGGTAACGCGACCACTGTCGACTTTGTAGTCCTTCCACGGCTCTGGGAGCTTCTCATATTCGTGAAGCTGGAGTCTCATGTGCAAGCTCACTTCGACTTCGTTGAGACAATTCAACGTTTCTTGCGGTGTTAATGGTGGTTTGGGGATATAACCAAACTATATACAATCACGTTAGCGATGAGAACGGCGACAGGCATGGAACGGGATCGCAACCTACGTCGGGCATCCAGTGAACGGCGCCGGTGCTAAGCACCTCTAGAGCCGTCTTCAAATCTGGGCTTGGGATTTTCGCAAAGTCCATGGAGGTCTTGACCTGAACCATCTCCCAAAACGTGTGCCCCAACCTCTCCAGCTTCTGGGCAAGATGCGTCCTCAGATCGATAAGCCTCCCAACTTCCTCGGCGTTCCTGGACCATTCGGTAATGACGAGTGCCTTGACCCATCGCGAGTGCAGATCCTGCATGAATTTGAGGGCCATCGTCTTTTTCTCCAAGCTCTCTGCCGATGTGTCCTCATGAAAAGGACTGGGGGCTTTTATGCCGCCATTGGCGTTGGTATTCATGTGGCCATTGATGCCGCCGATAGCCCCTTTAGCGTTGCCATTTAGCGCGTGATCTGGGAGAGGTTTTGACGCCGCTTCGAGAATAAACTCTTGTAGTTTCATGTGAGAATATTGAGCAAGTCGGCTCAGGAGTAAGCTGAGAGGTATGAGATCCGTGGTGATGTGTTCCACCTCATCGGCGGCCTCCTCCATCTTGGCCGTCCGCAGATTGTTCTCCACATAGCTATAGTCGCCGCTGATTTTCCCGCCGTGGTCGTCCGTACTGCTGCTCCCGGAGTACTCGCGTTTCACCGGCACGCTCTCCTCCTTAACGCCATTGACGATAGGGGCTTTGGCATGATCCGGTTGGGTTGAGGTGCGCATGCCGCTGTCCATTATGAAATCGACCCCTACCCCAGATATCACCCTTGCGGCACCGACAAGGTCAAATCAATGAAACGACCTGTGGAGTCGCAATCTCCAACCCGAGTCCGCTGATTGATGGCCCTTGGCGAAGGTAGGTAATGGGCGCAGATGATCGGTCTAGGCTAAACTACCGAAGAGCCTCTTTGCGGCCACTTAATGGTCGCCGATGAGGAGCCCGGAGATAGACGCCCGACCCGTAGATGACAGTCGTTCGGGCTGGCGCCCGGAGGAGAACAATAAAGGAATGGCAGTAAAAACAGACTTGTCGTCGAATGCTTCGCGGGTTCCATACGGCCAAGGTTCGCAGCAGTCGAAGTCAGCCGTGCCTGAAGTCCCACCACCGGGGGGTTTCGAAATAGACGCTCAAAGAAACAAGCGATGAAGTTCCCAGGCCGAGAAAGTCGGAATCAAGGCCCAGAGTCGCGTGCAGGCGCGACAGCAACTGGCGTGCCTGAACTGGCGAGCGAAGGGCTCAGAATGGAGGAAGGGCACGAGTGACGCGATAACCCATCACTATCCCAGCCCCAGCACTGCGACGCGCCTCGCGCCCGCAATATGTCGCGTCGATTTCCAGGTTTCGCTTCTCTCGTCGATCGGTCGCAAAGCTCGTTCGTTGCCGCCCGGCGATGCCCGCTCTTCGCGTTGGTCGGTCGCTCACCCAAACTGTCGCGTAGGGGAAAGGTAAAATGAAATGCCGTAATCAAGCAACGCTTCTGGTTGCGATGCGGTCGGTTATGTTGGTGGATGAACGGCGACGTCGCTTTGTTGGTCGCAGTCGGAATCGTCGAAGTGGGAAATGATGGATGAATGGTTTCCAGGCAGTCCGCTTTCTCAAAGAAACGGACGGGATGCAGGCCTCTTGGACCAGGGGTGTGGCAGGGGTATGACTTTTATGCCTGAAATGCAAGGCTGAAAGTACCTTTGAATCCCCATGCTGCCCCCACTTCCACTCTGAAATGGCTGGGACCCTCAATTCTTTCCCCTGACGTCGCGGCTCGAGGTTAAGATAACCTCGAAGGTTTGCTGCGTCAGGATTCCCGTCCGGCTGCTAGTATTAAGATTTTGCTTCTCAAATTACGCATCGCCATTCCCGTTACCCACTGATATTCTGTACGTTGCGACCGCCCAGAAAGGCCGGAATCTCCGAAACGATGCCTCGTAGTGTTCGTGTTTTTGAGGGCTCCTCTACGTCATTCGAAGATCGACAGACCTAGCTGCGATGTTCTCTCAAGGGTTCAGATGATGGAATTTGATAGCGATTGAATCGGTGTCAAGAATGCCATCCAATACATAAATTTGATATACATCCACGTACACTTCACTCACGGAAATTTCTCCACCCATTCGACTTCTGTCCAAGGGTCGGGAAACGGGGCAGTCCATTACGGCGTCAAGGCCGTGGAGAACATACTTGGCTCTCTTGCAGTATCTCCTTCCAGGTGCTCCACCAAACAACAATGAGTGCTTCAGCTCAACGAAAGCAAAGACATAAAATGTAAACTAGTGTTGCATATCAAGCACCCTTGAGCGGCTGTGCTACCCCGTTCCCTGCGTTGTGTAACCGCTTACAACCGCCGAAGTGAAATGGAAGAGATACAGACACAACTGCACACAGCTACATAGCTAACAAGACCCGGACACTGCTCGCGCCCCTCCGCCCTCCCTCGGACTCCCTAACGGTCCAAGGCCCATGAAGTCGATCGTGGCGTCCCATACCGGAAAACACGGCCGTGATCAGCTTGCGCCGTGTGTGGGTCAGCGTTGAGCATAACCGATGCGTTCAGTTGTGTCCAAAGACCATGGCTCAACCTTGTCCAAACAGTACCCGAGAACTTCTGTGAACATCAACACGTTACTCACAACTTGTTACCAGGCCCAAGCGCTGAGGTCGTCGGCCACTGGTATCCGGCGGCATCACTAAACTTGTAGCCGTACGATGAAGTGAAATCATCGAGTACGGCGGGGCCACGAGAGCCTAATGGGAAAAGAAAGTGTCAGTCAGTTAATGGAAAACAAACCACACAGAGAGATTTTCCTTACCGTATGGGTACTCCATGGGGATAATCTCCTTGTTGTCATCCAGGTAATGGAGGAGGGGAGTGAAAATCCTCCAGCTGGCGTCAAGCTCGTCATCCCGGACAAAGTTGGAGTGGTCGCCCTTCAGGCAGTCGAGGATTAACGACTCGTATGCCTCGGGGATCTTGAGGTCCGAGAACCGCCGTCGGTAAGTAAGATCAAGCTCTGTAACCACCGTCTGCATGGTCAGACCAGGAAGCTTCGAGTTCATCTTGATGTACACGCTCTCATTGGGCTGGATGCGCATCACAAGTTCATTCCGCGGGATGTCCTTAAAAATCCCAGAAGTAACGTCCTTGAACTGAACGCGAATCTCCGTTTTTTGCTCGTTGAGCGCCTTTCCAGCCTTCATGATGAAGGGGACGCCATCCCACCGCTCGTTCTTGATGTACGCAACAAGCGCACAGAAAGTCGGGCACCGCGAGTCCTTGGGAACTGTGTCATCCTCCTTGTACGACGGTTTACTACCGTCAATTGACTTCCCGTACTGGCCAATGATGACATTCTTTGGTTCAATGGCGGGAATCGCGCGAAGCACCCGGACCTTCTCATCGCGAATATCCTCCGATGAGAAAGAGATGGGTCGCTCCATGGCGAGCAAAGTCAGAACTTGGAGCAAGTGGTTCTGCATGACATCCCGGATGATGCCAAACTCGTCAAAGTAGCCACCACGGCCCTCAGTGCCAAATGGCTCCTTGAATGTTATCTGCACATTGTCGATGTGGTGCCGATTCCAAGTCGCCCCCAAGAATGAGTTGCCAAATCGCATAATGAGGATGTTTTTTACCATCTCCTTGCCCAGGTAGTGGTCAATTCGGAAGAGTTCGTCTTCCTTCCAGTCAGGCTCGAGAGACTTTTGGAGCTCGCGGGAGCTGGCCAAGTCCTTGCCGAAAGGCTTCTCAACCTACTAATGTGTTAATATCCCTTTATAAGAGCCCAAAAAAAGCAGTGATCTCCGGCGTGACGTACAATAACACGAGCAACACCCTTGGCAGGATAGCAGCACTTCTTCAGGTGCTGAGAGACGATGGTAAACACGCTAGGGGGCAAGGCCATGTAGAAGAGCCTGTTAGTTTCCTTTTTGCCCTGCTCAAGCTCCTCAAGGTGCTTATTGAGTTGCAAGAACGAATCATCCCGGTCGTATTGGCCGGAAACATATGTGCACAGCCCAGAAAACTCCTCCAGCTGTTGTTCGATATCCTTCGTCGGCGTCTTGATGTACGATTTGATACGACGAAGGTATTCGTCGTGGTCCATCTTGGTTCGCGCATAGCCAACGATCCGGATATCCTTGGGCAGGAATTGGTTTCGGTACTGCGGTATCCTTTAGTGATCTAATATTTCCCCTTTACCATAACATCCGCGAGTAACCTACGAGTCCGAAGAGAGCCGGGAACTGTGACATGTTAGCTAATTGGCACGCCAATGGGATTTCAACTAGTTCAGCATACTGTCTTCTTCTTAGCAAGATCGCCAGAGGCGCCGAGGACGACAATGACGGTGTTGTCCTTGAGCTCGACCGAGCTAGAAAATGATTAGCCAGCCTTCGAGACACAGCGCCGTTCTCCGATCCCCCATCATATATCGACAGCGCACAACGCTCTTGTTGCCGGTGACCCAAGTTCTGTGCAAAATGTCCTTGGATTCTATCTTCCATTCGGAGAAGCTCCACTGAAATTGTATCGCGCATGGCGGGGCTCGGGCAACTCACCCCGAGTGCAGTTCAGTGGTCATCTTGTCGAGCGTCTTTTTCCTCCTGAGCAAGCTTGAAGGCAGTCGACGATGAGCTGGCGTGGTATGTCTCAAATCTTTTCGTTGGTCTCGGAGATTGGCACGAGGAGAAGGTTGTGTGGTGGCGCCGGCGAGGAAGACAAAGATGGAAAATTGATCGGAGCCCGACTCGCATGGAAACCTCGGGGGTAATGGTATTTCAACCGGGCAGGGGCGATGAGTGATGCGCAGAAGATGGAGCTCATGGCATTTGCGACGAGGGGCAGCTTACTCAGGGACCCCGCCTTTACGTATTGGCTTTTGCCCTGACACCGGGCCAGAGCTTGGGCCTGCGTCTTGCAACCCTCACGGGTCCAGGTCCTCGAGTACAGTTTGCGCTCCTCCGACTTCTCCGAATGGTGCACGCCCCTCGCCGAATTTGTAACCCGTTGGTAAGGCACTTGACTACCGTGTTTTCATAAGAGCACCTGGCCCCTCGGGGATGCGCAACGCGCAAAGGCAAGGCGATCGTTTACTGGTTTGATGATAGAGTGGCTTATCAAGATGCTGTTTTTATATTCTTTCTTTTAACCTTTTTGGTTTCAAAGACGAGGCGAAACAACGCAGCGTTTCTTGCAAAAAGATTTCTCAGCAACAAACATGTCACAGCTAATAATTATTCGGGTTATTAATCGAAATGTTTGATAGCACTCAGCCCATGAAAAGACAGCCCCCCCTGCCCCCACGCCTCCATACTCATGATCAAAGATTTGATGTCCTGGCCACCTGGCTGATCCCACGTCTTTTTCAGCACAGTCTCGAGCGCCCGGACACAGTCGAAGGGAATTGGATACAGGGCTGTCAACCGCTGCGGGGCAGCTGCATCTTGGTTGGGGTTTGGTGGGGTGGTGGGGCAAGAGGTGTTTAGAAGCAAGCACCTTAATAAGGTCCGTTCTGAGGAGCTTTTTTCATTAACGACACGCTGCCCAGCTGCGAGAGCGGCAAGACGGATATTTGCAGCGTCTTCTCTTTCCTGATGATTCCGATCTGTGCATCGAGATGGCCTCCAAAAGAACGGGCGGCCAGATGGAAGACAAGACCTTCAAACCGGCAAAAATCCCACGTTCCAAGTGGAGGTTCAAGGATCGTTGTTGGGATGGACTGGGATGTTCGAACGCCGCCGGTAGAATGCGCTTAGCCCCACTCGGCGAACTTCGTTCGGCGCATTGAAAGAGCGAGCCCTGGGACAAAGGAATCTGAAACCCCGGGTTTTCCGGTGTGAACGTTCGCTTTCTCGTGGGCTTCAAGAGCGGCTAGAGTATCATTGGCCGGTGGCCAGTATCAGGAAGCTAACTAGTATCTCTAATATACTACGTTATCTACCCTCGTGATCCTTGGAGGGTTGGTTGGAAGACCGCCAGGTGCTGCAATCGTGGAAGCGACCCTCAATCCCGCCCGTTTCGGAGAGTGGGACCAAATTGTCATGATGACTCCGACATCCGGGCCGGCTTCGCAATCCAGCTGGCCAATTGGACCAAGGAGCCTGACGGGCTTGTCTCGTTGACGTTCACTGTCTATTGTTGTGCCACTCTCCAGGAAAGCGGGAATGAGGTTTGCTTCAAAGTTACACAGTGGGGGATCTACCTTATGTGATTATAATTCAGGTGTAGAGCTTTCCGGAGGTGTTCAAAGTGAAAGGTTATTTGTGAATCGCGAAATTCATGAAGAGTTCTCATTGAAAGAGAGGTCGCCGGTGCAGGAGACGACACGGAAGGACTCCGTATCGTTTTTGAATTATTCAGCCACAGGTTCTTGAAAAATGTGGCTGGGATGTGGCTAAGGATTACCCCACCATTTTTTGGTTCCCCACTTGACTTCCAGAACACAGCCGGTATGATAGATAATCCGCTCCGCCAAAAAAGTACGCCAAAGCCCTACCAGCCGCACCACGCGAATTTTTGAAATCGCTTAGTGTATCGGAAGTGTAGAGCCACAACCACGACGCCCAACGCCGGACCTCGAATCAGCACGACATATTGCTGGTATCCTTCGACCGTGGCCGGAAGATATTGATCGTTCGGGAATTTATAAACCGACAAGATGCCTACCGAAGCTGGTCACAGACGTGAGTTAACCCAATTGCCCCATCTTGGGGAAGCGATCGCGATCGTCCCCATTACCGTTTACCGGAGCAGTTTGTCGAAATAATGGAGGTTTCTAACTGTGTTGCGTAGTATACGTCAAGTAAGTGCAATCTCCGACGACGATGCCGAAACCACCATCCAACCGCCCGGCTGCAATTGCGCATGCGATGGACTCGCCTTTCGCGACCAACAACCGCTTAACGACCTGACCCGTCAATGGCCTCGAGACTAACTTCGGTTCTCCCACAGGGGTCGCCACCTGAGCTATCAGCGCAGCCGGCACACAACCCACGCCAAGACCAGCCTGATCAAGATCGAGGGCGTCGATGACACCGCCGCAGCCAAGTACGTTCTCACGAGCCCGGGATACAAGCAATTGGGAGGGTGCAAGGGTTAACGCAGGATGCAGCTTCTACGCCGGCAAGCGGGTCGCGTACGTCTACCGGGGTCAGAAGGAGGTGCGCGGCACCAAGATCCGCGTCATCTGGGGCAAGGTGACCAGGCCACACGGTAGGGAACAATCATGAAAACTATAGACGCAAATGGGCAGGGCAGACTTTGCTAACAAATACTACGCAGGCAACTCCGGTGTTGTCCGGGCGAAGTTCACCACTCCTCTTCCCTCGAGATCTTTCGGCGCCTCGGTTCGCATCATGCTCTACCCGTCCTCGATTTAAGGAACTGGGTTAGGCCGGAGTTAGTTGGTAACGGTGGTTCATGATTTTCGGTGCATCAGGGTTAGGCAGGGCCGCGACAGGAATGGCCGTGCTTCTAGCATTCAAAATCAAGGCAATGCCAAAATGACGATGCCGTTTGAGGATCCGCAACATGGGGTACGGGACAGTGCTTCACTGGTGAGGGACACAAGGCAGCTTGGAGGGGGCCTTGCGGTCCTCTCTCATGTCACAATAACAACAATAATGGCCAAACCTGGGCTATAAATTCCACAGGTCGACAAAAGCACCGACATGGAAGTTCAGGTGGCACGAGCATGGCTACTTTTAAGAGCAATGGGCTGAATTTAGATGTTGAGAATCATAAACGGAAACCAACTCTCCACGGTCCTGAGCGCCCCCATAGCGCTCCCAAAACGGCGATCTAGGTTTACCAACCTCGTCCCAAACCCATGGAACTGCTGCCATTTTTGGTGTTCCGTCCACGCCCCAGAGCCGCGTTCAAGCTGACATGTCCTTGCCTTTAGATCAGTGTTCTACACCTGACATCCTAGGTCCCATATTTTGTACTGGCGCGTCGCGCTTTGGTTGCGGCGGAAGACAGAACTGATGCATTTAACCTCGTCGCTGCGGGCTGAACCTCGTATAATGTGCGCCTGTAGTCGAGCATGCATGAGGTCCCGATGTTAACGCAGGTACCCTCTCGGGGACCTGAAATATCGGGTCCGGTTGACCACGAACCCACCGCCATCGGGTCATGACGGCACATTCTGCACCACGGGCCCTCAGCTGCTGTTTCCGCCTCCGCTTCCGCTTGCCGTGTTTATGCAAGATAATAAAGCCATATGTAGACCACATTGGCGCGAGAATCTGGTAAACAACAATCTCACGGGGTGGGACAGGAAAATCTTCATTCCCTATCATCCTGCAGTAATGGGACACCGCGTCTCCTCCTGGAACCCGCTGTCGTACTCTCTGCACTCAAGATACAACCTGGGGGTGTTTTGAAGGTATTGCCATGCGGCAAGATCTCGCCATGGCTTGTTCCACCGCTATCGATAAGACAATCACCTCCTGCAATGCGGAGGAGCATTATCGTATCCACTTACTAGTAGATGCGCGTTCCAAGAGGAGATTGGTGAACATGTCACACAGTCTTCGTACCAATGACCATGAGACGACGCGAAGGCAAGTGCGTTTCCTCGGAGTCCCGACGATGGATGGACGATTAACCCCAGAGGCAGGCGACAAGAGTGGCAACCCACGAATGGCGTGACGATTTGCGATTTAACTTATCAAGATTCCCCAGGCAGGCCGCGAGAGACATGCATGTTTCCGGACGACGGCTCTGGGAAAATGAGCGGACCCGGCACCGAACGTTATCAGCATGGATGCTGCAGTCCGATCGGAATGCAAGTTGATTGGATCGCTGAGTTGAGCCTCTTGATCTCAGCATCGATTGCAGTGCTGCTGGATACAACATACACCAAGCAAATGGATCAACAATACAGAAGTCAGCCTCGGGGTTTCGGGACTGGGCTGCGCTCCGACTAAGGAGCGGAATAGACCTGTTCTCCTGCAGTTTGGCGTGGGACAAACCTTGCCGCGTTATCATACGGGAAGATTCTGTTTGGGTAAATTCTAGAATTGTGCTCCGAAAACTTGCGCGGCCACTACTAGTACTTGTTCCCTGCCCGCTTTCGGCTGCTATTTATCATCGTTCGCGACTGACGTAGGGTTGAAGAGTTCGCGCGCTCGCCGGGGTGGCTCAGCCGATGGGGGTTCCAGAGGGCCCGCCATTGAAAATTGACAGGAGGGAAATGAATAGAGGCGACTCCCCCAAAACCCTACATAGTAGAATACACTACAATGTTCAATGGTTATCATTTACGAATACTCAGTTTCCGATTGCCGAGACTGCGCAATGGCCAAGTTTCGCGGTGGTCTTGGTTTGGCGCTGTGAGGTTCCTGGTTTGACACAGGGGGCTGTGGGGCCGTCCCGATCGACTTCGATTCTCCAATCTTTCAAGCCTGCTTTTCCACCGATGAAACGTCCACGGGCGAGAGGGGGCCTTCATCAATCGAAAATAGTTTGAGTACAGTGCCAAGTTGGACGCAATCGTATACTACGTGGGGAGTTTCCGGATGTAGCCTGTGTAGTATCAACGGTTGAACTCGGGAACTCTAGAGTCTCCGAAAAAAATGGAGGGGTTGGCGAAAGTCGTTGCTTTGGAGACTTTTGAGGTTGACTCCGCACCCCCTCATCATCCCAAGTTGCTCGGTAACGTAGCGTACCTTGGTTGGTGAGGCGCAGCGGCGACCAGAAAGGTTCCCTCCGGGTCTGCCGACCGAGCTCCCAAGTCGGCCCACAGCCCTTCATACGACAGCCACTCGTGGGTGGTCGAGTGCTAATGTCGAGCTGCCATTGCTGTGAGTTGTTATGTCTTGATACGGTGTGACCCCATTTGCCACTCGCAGTTCGACTGTGTATGCACGAACGTTATAGTAGTGGAGTGGAGTGTAGTGTATAGTTGGTGTGGAAAGCCGTGGGCGTTCGCCTTGTGGACCATCATCCCGTCATTTTGGGGCAGGAAAATAATCGACGAAAGGGGCGAAACATCTCCACGAATTCAAGTGGATCGGTTGCGTCGCACCAATATATCAAGCCTATCGCCAGCTCGTGTTGGGGGGCCGGGCTGGTCAAAAGCTGACGACGCCCAAGAAAGGAGAAAGTTGCACAGCGAGCGGCAAATTAAAACAGGTCTAGAATTGGCCCTGCCTTGCGGTTTCGTGCTCATGAGCTGCACTCCAGTCTTTTCTGTCACTGCCCGGAATGCTAACCGTTCTTTCCCACCCGGGCAGTCCTTGTTGGCGCAGGCTCAAGCAGCCCAGATCAGGGATCTTTTATTTGCCCACCAGATTCAACGGGAAGCAAGCCGTATTCTTGAAATACGGTCTGCCCCCACCACACACCTCCCCTCAGCTCCCTTGACCCAGTGTGTCTTGCTTGAAACCTTTTGGCACCCAGCATTTTCTGCCGTGGGCCGATCCCGTCGATTCTTGCACTTAGAAACGCTCTTTTGTGGCACCACGAAAGCAGCGGCTTTTTTTGCCCTTTCAACCTTCACAAGAGTGTTTTTGTTACCGCCCTTTGCCCGCCTGCTCTAGGCCTCGTTGTCTCAGTTTATTGGGTCACACCCAAAAGAGTTGCTCCACGCACCAGGCGCTACCTTACGGGGACGCGGTGGCTCCTGCCGCAACGTCGGCGGCAGCTGCATCGAGTTTTTCTTAGCGCGAACTTGTGCACAGCACGTCTGTGACGCCGTTCTTTCCGGAAAGGACCCTCCCTCCCAGCCTTGGGTACCTCCCCAAGGCTCGTATTCAGCAAACACCTCCTTTGCCGCTCGATTGGGACTGAGGGATACGATTTTCCAAAAGCAATCGCTCGAAGCTGTGTAGGTGCACGAGCACGCAACGGACACCCCGCGTCTCTTGCGGACAGCCACTCGCGATTTCTTTACGAAAGACAGAACGGGAGCCTTGGGTGTTCTTTCGACGCCTGTAGAGGTATCTTCCAATCTCTGGCGAGACCAGCGGGAGTTGACGTCAGTTGAACCAGGGCGATCGAAGGTTCAAGGTTGCAGTGGAGCGGAGCGCTCTTTTGGTTCCTCACCCCTGCAGACCTGACGAGACACTGGGCCGATCAGACACACCGGGAAGGCTTGAGTGCGTCTCAATCCCCTGTGATTGGAGAAGCTGCCAAAACACGAAAGGCGCAAGCGCAAAGAGACTCCCACCTCCAGGAGACCGCTCCTTTCTGCCATCTGCCCATCGCGATTGATTGCGTCGGGACAAATTCGAGCCACCAACCCCCCGCTCACCACCCACCCCTGCGGTCTTCGTCCCCCACGTCTCCAGTTCTGCCATTCCGTCCGTCCAGGCCACGCCCAACACCTCAAAAGGCATCTCTTCCCACCAAGAACCTGCAACACATATCTTTGTGGGTCCTGTGGTCCTAAACTCCCGGGAAAAGCACCGGAACCGCCAGGGCAATCTCTCGACATCCTGGGGAACACCCCAGATCATCCACTTTCCCCCAGCCGCCCGCTCAGCGGTCCTTTGTTGACCAACGGCCGTTATCACGTTCTCCACGACCGGGGGCAGCCCAGTTTTAGCTCCATCGGGGATCCCGCTGTCCTCACCCTGGCGTGCCTGGCCGCAGGAGGAATTGTTAAAAAGTTGTTGACCCATCCAAACCGACAAAATGACGGCCGCGAATCCACATCGTCTCCCCTCTCCTCAACATCAGTTCCAAAACTTCCCGCAATCTTCGCCACAAGTAGCCCCCCAGCTGCATTCCGCCCAGCAACGACCTACTCCTACGACGAGGAAGTCCCGAGCTTTTAGTTTCAGATCAGACAAGTCCCACGGATCCGGCAGTCAGAAGATCGACTTGCACGAGACGTCCGCAGAGAAGGAAGCCAAACGACTGCACAGTAAAGCAGATCCCACCCTTGCCATGCAAGAGGCTGAGCCCTGTAAGCCGACTCGTCCCGGGAGCTGCGTGCTGTAACTATGTACCGTTGCTGACTATCCCGTAGCCGAAGTTGCTGCATACGTGAAGTCGTCGCTTGCATCGTTGAGGAGTATTCAACACAAGGATGCGTTTGGGAACCCAATCGGTAAGGAAATGGGTCTGAGACATGTCCGTGATTCTGGCGCAATGCTGACGCGATGTTCCACACAGCCGATCCCGACCGTTCGAATCCCACTCGCAGTCGATGGGAACGTCCGCTTGACACAATCCGCAGCTTCGAAGCAGCCATTGATGGCGGATACAACAACCGGAGGTCCATAATTCGTCCAGGTATGAATTTCGTCGATGGGAAACAAATCAATGTTTCTGGAAAGTTGGATTGGGGTATGAGTGCTAATTCTAAACGGAAACAGACGGGGATGGGTCAACATGGGGGCCTAGTAGACGAGCCAGTTACTTCGGTCCTAGTACGGAATTATCCAATGGTTCTCGACCGGGTAGGGTGCTTACACGAGGACGAACAGATCCCAATGGCGCTGGATTTTCGCGCGACAGCTACTACGGAAGCCGGCCACCTTCTATGATGTACGCTAATCGTGCGGACGGCAGTCTACCGGATTTGAGGATGGGAGGGCATCGTGATAGCTACTACGAGCAGTCACAGGGTTATGGCGGCTACGGGCCGCCGGCCCAAAATGGCCGGCGTGGGTGGACGGGAATGTCGTCGGGGCCGCAGTACGGTGCTGCCTACAAGCAGCAACAACAACAAAACGACTACTCAATCCCGAATAATCACCGGTCATACGAAACAGTTACAACCGCTTCGGGGAGTGGTTCGCCAGCAGAACCCGCGGGCTATCAAACCGATCCCACTAGCAGCGACAACAGCTCGATCGAACGCTTACATTCTTCGGTGCCTAGGCGCCAGCCGGAACCAGCGAACGATTACGGTATAGGTTTTGGCCAGAGCCCCTCCTACCAGCCTCCGAGCTTCACTTTGAGTACCCCTCAATCTGCCTCGAATGGTGGAGGTTACGGTGGCGCCCATCAAACCAGCGGGGGAGGCCACTATGTCAACGCCCCGCCTCCGGTTCCTAGAAAGGATGTAGGCGGCGGGATAATTAGGAAGCCGGTGACTGCCAATCCGGGACATCAAGCACGGCCTGCCCAACAACCCGAGAAACGGAAAAGCTGGTTCGCACGACGATTCAGCAAGAATGCCTAGCCCATTCGACGATCAGCCAAAATAGGTTATCACTAATCCCATTTGTTTTCGACCTTTTCCTTTGTGTGTTGCGCTCCTTTCGATACCCTTTTTTCTCGGCCACCGAAACAAAAACGGGGGGTGGGGAGGGACAAACGAGGTTACTCGGACCGGGTGATATACCGTTGAAGATGAAGAACGGGGTTTGGCCGGGCTCGTGTGTGCATTGGCTCTTCTCAGCGCTTTTGCGCAAGGAGGAGAAGGGAAAGCCGATGTTCTTGGGTCGGAGGATGGGCGGACACGTTGGACACTCTTTAGCGAGTTTTTTTTTCCCTTTTTTTTGCGTGGAATTGCTGGGGCGGGATGGAGGGTAGCGACTGGGGGCATATTTGCTGTCTTTTTGAACGTACACGAATGGGTTTGCGTGGCTTTTTGTTGTTATGATGTCTTCTCTTTATGCGGTCAACGAGAGAAACCGGGATAATGAGACCAGAGGAACGTGGGTTTGGCAAGTCATTCCTACTGTTAATTGTTTGCGTGGGAAGGCGTCCCGGAGCTTGTGACCACTCATGGATGGTATATTGGTATGGTATTTTGGTTCAGTTCCTATGTTGAGATCACCCAAGACGGGACGGAAGCGACCAACGACAAGAAAATGAAACGTGGAACGGTGGGATTGTGTGGTTTATAGGGGACATGAGAGTAACTTGTATTTTAACCGTTCACAAATGATGGGAGGCGTCACAATCGCAAGGAAAGGAATAAGAGTCCCTCACCTTTCGTCAGGCAGTTCGTTTTTGTTTGTGAGATGCTTGCTCTGCTGAACTAGCCGTGTGATCTAAGCAGTCTTCATACAACGCAGATGTTACTCCGACTCTGACACAGTAAATACATACCCATGCCTTGAACGCCTAAATATCTCCTGAACCCATGACCCTAACAGCCGTGTATGTTCGCTCGAGGTTACCCCGTAATCCGGCTCTGAAATTAAGCAAAACACAATCAAGCAAGTGAACAGTCAAAACCTCGGAGTGAAAACTCAATGATTTTCGTATTTGATGGTTTCACCGGTCTTTTTTCCCTTCTTTTGACCGGCCACCTGCCCCTGCTACTCCTTCCTGGTCTGACTGGTCCTCTGCCATGGCGACAAAGATGTACCCGATCAACACCGCGTTGGCCATGATGGCCGCCAGAGCCCCCGCGTATGTTGAGTTGCCTGATAAGGGGGTCAGCCTACTCCTCCCACGCAGGTTAAAGTGTGGCGATGGAGGAACCTACCGTTGAAGACAGAGTTGACCGTGAGGAAATAGGAGCTGATGGGAATAATTATCATGCCGAGAGTGAAGGCGAGAAGTTTTATAATGACAGATCTAAGGGTTTATCACAGTTAATTAGTTGACAACGTTAGCCGGTCGGCAGGCTCCCAGTCACAACTTACGCTGGGACAGCTGGACTGGTGTCAGACTTCTCACCAGCGGCTGGGCTTGAGCCGATTGAGTCGTCTTTTTCGAGGAGAGTTTTCTCTTCAGAGATGATTCGGCGAGTGGCCATGATTGGATGAATTACTAGACGAGGCTGAAGGGGAAAAGGGGAGTCTTTGTGATTTAAAGGAGAAGAAAAGGGGGGGGGGTTGTAAATATGGACAAATTTCGCCCGTTGGTTCACTCCTCCGAATGTTGAGACGGTTGCTCTGGCACAGACAAAGATGGTGAGGATTGGGACGCCCCTTGTTCTTGGCGTTGACCGGGGCACGTGTCAACGTGCGAAACCATTCGTCGCGTCGCCCCGCAAAAATTATCCATTAACGCGTTGTGGGGCGCCCAAGAAACTGGATGAGTGTTTGGCGTGTTTTCAAGGCAAGGTTCTCGGCTTCTTCAACTCTTCCAGTCTTTGTCTTTTCCAATCTCGAGCCGAAAGGGGCAATTGCACTGTCAACTACCACAACACTTTGTTCTCTTGACCCAAATTACCGGGTAGGCTTTTGTTAGTGTTCCTTTGTTTGTCATCTGATTGTTGTCTAAGATTTTGGCTCGGCCGTGGATTCTCTGGAGTGAGGACTCGGGGGCTGGCAATCGAGGAGACCTCGACCAAGCCTCGATACCCAACCTTTTGTTTTGTCACCACAGCTTCGGCTATGGCGTTCCCTTCTTCCCCACCCACCATCAACCGGCGGCTGCGTCTTGACGACGAGGACGAGCTGAGCACAATCGAGCAATCGCCTTACTTTACCCAGCCGACCCAACTCGTCGAACGACCCACCCAAAGATCTCCAACAATAGGATCCCCTTCCCCAAAATCGATTGTCGAAGTTCCTGCATCGTCACCTTTTCGCACACAAGCCCTACAGGAACGGGGCGGCCGACTAGCAAACATAATGGCTCCTGCCGGGACTGCCTTCAGGGCGCCCGCCCGACAGGCCCTGTCCATTACGAAGACTGCACAGAAACGGGATTTCATCATGATCTCTGACGACGAATTGGACGCGCCGATTTATGCTGGTGGTGACTCTTCTGATGATGAACCCTCGAGGGGCGATATCCGACCGTCTTCGTTTCAGCCTAAGGAGCCAAAACCCTCGGGCACCGCCGCTGTTAGTCAATTGCGCAACAGGAAGCTCGTAAGTATCTGCTTGATAATCTCCCTTTTCCTTTTAGCCATTGTAATACTAACAGAGGATAGGGCTCGGGGTCTGCATCTACGAGTTCTATAACAAGCCCGGAGAAGCCGTATACCTTGCAGAAGGATTGGGTTTCTCTGTCTCCGACTTCGTCTGAAGAGAGCTTTGAGTCTCTACGTAAAGTTTCGCCTCCGAAGCCCACCCGCCGACGACTCGTCCAAGGCCGTCGACCACGAGCGGCCAGCCCCTCGAGCCCTGTGCTGAAGCCTAGCCCGAGCCCCCGCCCCCGTGCGCAGCTGATCGACCTCGTTAGCGACGACGACGACGCCGAGGATGAGTACAACGAGCCAAAGAGATCTCGACGACACAACTCGTCCCCGGTAGAGGAGGAAGAAGATCCTTTTGATGAACGGGTTTTGAACTATCTGAATACTTGCGACGTTATACAGCTTATCGCGATCGCCAATGTCAAGGAGGAGAGTGCAAAGTTGATGGTCTCACGCCAGCCTTTTGCGAGCCTAGAGGCCGCCCAAAAAGTGACCCTCTCTCAGAAGAAGCGGGGCAAAAAGTCGGCCAAGATCTCGATTGGCGACGAAATTGTGTCGGCGGTCCGGTCGTATGCCCGCTCGTTAGACGACATCGACCACATCATCGCAGTCTGTGAATCGCAGGCCGACTCGCTCAAAGGAACGACTTCAAGGTGGGACATGGAGCAAGCTGGCCAGCCGCGTCACGACTCCAAGGCCGACGACGGGAAGCCCATGACTCCCGTGAGCGTTGAGGGCTCCGCGAAGCTGGTCGAGTTGCCCCTTCGACAGCCGAGATTGATGGAGGGGTGCACAATGAAGCCGTTCCAAATTTACGGTCTCAATTGGCTCTACCTGCTGTACACGAGTCGGTACGGTTGTATCCTGGCCGACGACATGGGCTTGGGCAAGACGTGCCAAGTCATCTCCCTCATGTGCGCCATCATCGAGGATTGGGAGAACAAGGGGTGCGATGAGAACGACCGCCCCTGGCCCAATGTCATTGTTGTTCCGCCTTCAACCCTGGCCAACTGGGCGGGTGAATTCGAGCGGTTTGCGCCAGAGCTTAATGTAACACTTTACCAGGGGAACCAGGCAACTCGAGACGAGATTGCTTACGACATTCGAGAAGATCCGTCGAACCATCATGTGGTTCTTACCTCATATTCACAGCTCTCGAGAAATGACGACATTTCCAACTTGCGACATCTCCGCCCAAAGGTGGCCGTGTTCGACGAGGGCCACAAGATGAAGAACCCCAAGACCAAGCTCTACAAAGATCTTCTTAGAATCACCGCGACTTGGCGCCTGGTCTTGTCGGGGACACCTGTCCAAAACAACCTGATGGAAATGATTGCTCTCCTTCAGTTCGTCGAGCCGAATCTCTTCCAGGACCACTTTGAAAGCTTAGAAGCACTTTTCAACCAAAAGGTTTCTCTGACGGCTGTTTCCAAAGGTGCGCTGCTGCATAGCGAGCGGGTTGCGCGTGCTCGCACGATTCTCGAGCCATTCATTCTCCAGAGAAGGAAAGAACAAGTTCTTCAGGACTTGCCGCCTAAGACAACTAGGGTTGTTACGTGCAAGATGGACCCCGTCCAAGAGGCGATTTACCGAGGCTACGAGAGCCGGTTTAGGAAATCCGACTCTCAGTCACAGCCCGACACCCGTGTTAAAGAGGGCCGCGACAACGACTCGAACAATGTTTGGATTCAATTACGCAAGTCCGCGATCCACCCGCAACTTTTCCGTCGGTTTTTCAAGGATCGTGATGTCGAAAAGATGGCCGGGGTGTTGATGAAGAAGGTTCCACAAACGGAATTACGGCAGCCGAAGCTTGAACACCTAGTAAATGAGTTGAAGGCGCTCTCTGACTTTGAACTCCACCTCTGGTGCCGAGACTACAAGTGCATCAGAGACTTCGACCTCCCCGATGATTCATGGACGAATTGTGCCAAGGTCGAGTCGCTTCTAGGTCTTATCCGGGGCTATCAGGCCAACGGACACCGCGCGCTTGTTTTCACCAGGTTTGCCAAGGTGATTGAGATTCTGGGCGAGTGTCTCGCATCGGAAGGTATTGGGTATCTGTCACTCCAGGGGAATACCGATGTCAGCGCACGGCAGGAACTGATCAACGAATTCAACAACGATGACTCCATCCCTGTATTCCTCCTGACGACCGGCTCTGGTGGTACGGGCATCAACTTGACGGCGGCCAACAAGGTCATCATCTTTGACCAGTCGGACAACCCGCAAGACGACATTCAAGCCGAAAACCGGGCTCATCGCCTTGGGCAGAAGCGCCCCGTTGAGATCATCCGTTTGATCAGTGAAGGCACGGTTGAAGAACTCGTGTACAGGGCGTGCGAGAAGAAATTAGAACTCGCCAACAAGGTCACGGGATGGAGTACCGTGGAAATGACAGCTGGCGAGATGGAATCGGTGGTGAGGAAAGAGTTACTGCAGCAAGGCGTCGGGACGCCCCCGAACGGCGAGTAAATTACCGCTGTTGGTGGGGGGGGGCACGTTCAATTATTGTATCACCTTAACCTGAGCGGCCACTTCTCTAAGAGCGGGAAGATACCACGGGAGCAGATTCCTTGAAAGGCTTGCGGCACGCAACCACCAGAACGGTGGACTACTTCTTTGCTTTATTTGCCCCTTTTGCGTCTACCATGGCATCGCATTTACAAGGAGCACGGGGAATTTTCTTTTCACTCTGTCGTCTCGCGTTATGTACTATCGGGATACCCGCCGGGACGGTTGTGGTCATGCGACCTGATCAGTGACAGGTTTTGTCGATTGCTTGTCCGCCTCCTCGGTGGACACCTAGCCAGCAGCGTTCCCGTTCTTTGACTGACGCCTATAATTTTGGCCGCCTGCGGAAAACGGCTTAATGGCTTTCGAGACATCATAGATTTAGAGGAGCGTGTCAATAGAAAGATGTTTCCGTAACTTTTATGTGCGTAGTCCTCGGATGAATCTAATTTTGAAAGGCGTCCCATCGTTCAGATATGGAGACCCTGCCACTAGAATAAGGTTAAAAGTACGGATAGGACGGGAGATGGACGTCGAGACGTCGAAGCTTCATCCAAGCATGTCTCCACTCGCTCGATCGAGAGCGCCGGGGATCAGGGAAGTTTTACTTTTTGATAGCACTTTCACATGCTTTTTTGCTGCACGGCCGGAACCCGCCCCACCCTGACAACTCGCCTCCCGCAAACATATCAAGTCCTTGGGTAAAGACTGTAAGACACGACTTGGAAACTACGACCGAATGACCTTTTCCGGAGCTATATTCCGTACTCCGACGGCTTCCAGGAGATTGGCCGTGATTTCATTGCTCTTGTTCAACTTTTAACACCTCCAACACTCACGCCAGCCTTAACGTTATTCTGTTTCGGGATTGCCCAAGGTTGTCTCTAAATATTAGATCATCATTGCCTCATTTTCGGGGAAGTAGGGATATACTTTTTACTCGCATAGCCCATGTGGCCATTTCTTTTTTTACCTTCTCCTTTGTCCATTTTTATCGCTGCTCTTCGACACTTGCCACCAATGCAGCCTCACAGCGAAGACGCACCCGAGAAGTATTGGGCTTAGACCGCCGAGGACTGGCGCGTGTTGCGACTCACCATGTTATCGTTTGCCATCGACCTGGTGGTGGCCTTGTGGGATGTTGGCGCTTTCTGGAGAGATGTAGGTTCCCTTCCTTTAGGAGCTCGAGCCAATTCATCCCTCCCATCGAGTTGCCAAGTTGACGTTATGTCTAACATCGCGCAGAAAGCGGTTTCGTATGTATTTCGCCCGACCGAGCGAGACCTGTTGCTGGAACGGCTCCAAAATGCGTCCTCGTACGAGGAGTGGGATGGTGCGGCCCGGGAATTGGATCGCATTCTGGGGATCGATATGTGGCGCCAGAACGCGATCAGCAGCGCCTACGACTACCGTCTGATCGAAGAGCGACGCCGGATCATCGAAACGGCCCGTAACGAGGGGGATATTAATGGTCTTCTCAACACGCTTCGCACGGGGCTCGTCCGCAATCTCGGCAATATCACTAGTTCGAAGCTGTTCAATACCAGCTTCGCCGGCACCAAACGGCTCATCGATGATTACATAGAGCAGTACGTCGATGCCCTCCGGGAGCTCTCCGTGTTACCGCCACCGGACACGAGCGGCCAGCAACCGACCGTGGAGGTCATGTCGCCGGGGTGGGAGGACGGGGAGACCGATGGTGATGATGGTCCGGATGATGATTTTGGGGCGAGACGGCCTAGTGCGCCTGTCATCCAATGCAGGGGCGGGATGGCAACGGCTACCTTTTCAATTCAAAGGAAGCTCGATTTCATGCATGATACCAGGCAAGGGTTTGGACGGAGCGCTCTCGTTCTGCAGGGCGGCGCTATCTTTGGAATGTGCCATCTTGGCGTTGTGAAGGGCCTGCTTCTGCGAGGGATGCTACCGAAAATTCTTGTTGGTACGGGAACGGGGGCTATGATGGCGGCTCTGGTTGGAGTCCACCCCGATCATGAACTCCTTCGGATCCTCACGGAGGACGAAATTGACCTCTCGGCATTCTCTTCCCATGGAAAAGACCCCCAGGGTCACAACGAGCGTGTGATGCGGTCGACGTGGATCGGGTGGGAGACGTTGGTTAGGAGAATCCAGCGGTTCCGGAGAGAAGGTTATTTTCTAGATGTTAAGGTCCTGGAAGAATGCGTTCGAGCGAACATTGGGGATCTCACCTTTGAGGAGGCTTACAACAGGAGCCGGCGCATCCTCAATATCACGGTCGTGACGGCAGGCCAGCAGGGCGTTCCGACTCTGCTCAACTACGTGACAGCGCCTAATGTGGTATGTTTCACACTTCACACACACACAGCGTTTAGCGCCTTTTCCACAGATGAGCAAAAACTAACCGAGGTATGACAGCTTGTCTGGACGGCCGCCGTCGCTTCGAACGCGAGTTCAGAGGCATTCTACGGGTCTCGTCAGACCAAGATCCTTTGCAAGGATGCCCGTGGCAACATTGAGCCTTGGGCTCCCGCGGCTAAGGTAGACTTCCGGCACTGGACGTCGGCGTCGTACACGGACCGGAACGCGCCCCTCCAACGGCTGTCTGGGCTGTTCAACGTCAACCACTACGTCGTGTCTCAAGCCCGACCCTATTTGATCCCCTTCGTACAGTCAGACATGCACGGGCCCTCTGCTAAGTACAGCACATTGTCGACGATGCGATCTTTCTTCACACGCATGATCGGCCTCGAGACACGCCACCGCCTCCGTCAACTCGACCGACTTCGTCTGCTCCCAGCCTCAATCCGCCGATTTCTTGTCGACGAGCACTTGCCCGGTCCGAGCGTCACGTTAGTTCCTAAGATTTCGCTACGCGACTTTGTCCGGCTGCTCGAGACCCCCACCCGGGACTCGCTGCAGTACTGGATTCTGCGGGGCGAACGCAGCGTGTGGCCATCCATGGCCGCGATACGCGTGCGCTGTGCTATTGAGATGGAGCTGGACCGTGCGTACGAAGATGTTAAGCGCTTCAAGGCCGGGGATCTGCGGCGCCGGGCGAGTGGGGTGAACCAGCACCGCCTCGCGGATCAGGCTGGATCGTCGTCGATGTATGGCGCTTCTTCGTCCTCCAGAGCTAGCGGAAGTGGGAATGGTGCTGGCGGAAGTGGGAGTGGTGCCGGCGGGAGGGGAAGGAACCGTATGGGGAATATGTCGCGGCGGACGAACAGCATAACGGCAAGATGTCCCCCGAGCACGCAAACGTCGTTGTAGGCGTAGGCTGGGGCTGGGGCCGGGTCGGATAACGTCGGAATTAATCACGTCGGGTCGTGTTTCGGTTGTCTACCTGCGCTGCGCTATGCTTGTAGATTCGGCTCAAGTATCGTCGAGAAATTGTGAGGCTACCGCTTTTTCGGTGTGTTCGGGGGGTTCTAGTTGGTTGGTTGTTCTGTTGGCGAAGGCTGAAGTACCCGGCATGTTCGTAACTCGTGCTAGACTAGGTAGGAAGAAGACAAAGATTTTCAACGCATAGACGGCGATGAATTGGTGACACCAAGACCACGAATGGGAGCTCACGCCCATTGACAGCAGGGCGCGACTGGGGAAAAGTAGAGGGAGGAGTAGGGGAGGAATGGGGGAGGAAACGTTTTCGACCAGTCGAGCAGCGCATGGGAATTACATGTCTGCATTCAATGTCCACGGAACAAGGATTATAGCAACCCCCTCTCCACCACCCCCTTTTCCCCCCGAGGGCTGCATGTGGCGACTCGATCATCAGGTTATATTTGCGATTCAGCAGGCGGTGAAGCAAGATGCACTTCACCTCCGCCGGGGTTACAAACCAGACAGACAAGGGGGGTGGGCAGAGTGTGAGTAGAACAATAAATTCCTGCCGTTGCTGATTATTTAGCCCTGTTTATAGTAGGAGCCCTGGCTGGCTCACTGTGGCCAAAACCCTTGCCCATAACGTTAAGCCTGGCTGTCTGGTTTGTGACCCCAGCGGAGGTGTATCCCGCCATTCTTGGTTACCCCCACACCATGAATCAGTGTAAGCTCTGTCCGGCCATGTGTGGATCACTCGCTATTCGTACCTATCTCGCACCATCTCGTCACCCTCGGACGTTGCTGCCCGACGGCGGTGAAATCTCGGGGTGGGGGCCAAGACATCTCGGGTTGTTCCTGCAGTCGTGCCGCACCGGTGCGTTTCCGAACACTGTTGCCACACCGACGCAGGGCAGCTCAGCGGCTACCCGACAATATATGATAGGTTAGGGAGTTGATTGGTTGTTATGGGCGTTCGATGCCTGGGCCCGGGTTCGGGAATTCCGGCACGGTCGAAGCGGGAGCAAAACAATGTTACATCGAGTATCGGGATCTGAGGGGGCTGCCGGTACACGGACCGGGGCACGCCGCCTCGGTGTGCGATTCGGGAAGCAACCCTCACTTCCCCTCGCCAACGTCGTGTCCTCTCCTGACGCCTTGGATGACTCTCTTGCCCCCCTTTGTTAGTCCCAGAGTCGAGGGAGCTTTCTGGACACGCAAAACCTCGAGAGTCATCCCCCTCTTCTGTTGTACCGGCACCTGGCGGTCGCCGCCGAAGACAGCTCGAGCCGCCTCCATGATTTGCTAGCTCGAGAGGAGCTGCTGCAGAAAATCCCGCATCTGGAAAACGTAAATGTCTGGGAGCAGCCATTTTCCCGAGTCAGAGGCGATCAACGCATAAACGTCGCCGTGGACCAACGTGTCTAGCTCCATCGATAATCCATAAAGTTGGTATTCTTTGTGACACCTTTAATCCTACCATCACGTCCTTGAGCTAAATTACCTGGAGCTGGAGCCTTGTGTCCCAGATCAGTCGAATGCTCGAGCGGACGAAATGCGAACTGGTTTGCGCTCACCCCCCCTAACGCAGGGCATACAGGTCCTTGATTTTCTGCGAGCGCCAGTGGGAACTGCTCAAAGCAACATGAGTTCCAGACGACGAATCCCCTTTCCTTCCTTTGGTGTTGAGGCTGACCGAGGCAGAGAAGTCGACATTCAGGGGTTAAGGCACTTGTCGGCGCCATCGAACTTTTGGCCGCTGAGAGGCGATGTGTCCGCATTGTTTTGTTTCGCGGCCAATAGCTTTCGGGCAACAAGCTACCCAATCTTGTTCCCCCCATCCTCCTCAGATATGGCCGAGGCGGAGTTTATCGACCGGTATCGGATCGCTTTTGTGCAGTTTCTATTCATTTTCCACGATTGATGGGGGCCACTCGAATCTCGTCAGCTTTTTTGCCTTGTTTTCTTTCTTAAACACAGCCCCTAGGTTGGCTTGGTTGGATTGAGGAAGCCATCATGGACACCACGATCTCGAGCCAATGACCTCGTTTCGGGTACCCCAGCCGGAGTAAGATGCGTGAGCAAAGATGCGTGAGCACTCGGGAAAAGCAAGTATGCATGTCGGCCGTTGACGGCTAGTGCGGCCTTGACCACCAAACCGCGGTGTCACGGTCGTCGCGGCGGCCCTTCATTACACTGCCTCACCCATCCGTCAAGGTGCGAGATGGGTGACCATGATCTAGTTCTGGCCATTGGAGTGTTGGGTCATGTGCCGACTCAGCTGAGCCAAGACAAGCGAGCTTCCAGAAGCTGCGGGTGTCCCCGTGTGTGTGTGTGTGTGTGTGGAGTGCAGCGAGGCGTTTCAGGCCCAGGAGAACTTGCTGTCCCCCTCAAAAATGCGCTGGAACGCGGTGCACGTCAACGTCGCCGCCATGGGGCCGGCAACTTGCTGCACTGCCACGGGATTGGCACAAAAAAAAGGCGACTAAAAAAACAAAAGTGAGGCGAACATCACAACGAACAAGAGCCCGATGGTAATAGCGGCTTGGGTTCGGACGGAAATTTTCTCTTCGAGATGCGTGCAAAACGGGCCGAGCTAGGCCGCGGCCAATAACTGTGAGCACGTATTAGTGGTTTGTTTGGACGCCTGAATCAAGGGGTGTGATGAGGGCGCGGAGGAGTTGTTTATAGTTTCTGCCACTTATCTTCTCCGTTCGGCTGGGAGCAGTTGTCTAGACTCACTCGCCTCCGGTTGTTGAAGTCGCCTGCACGACAAGCATTTGCACTTTCATTGCGCGGCCGTCGATCCCCTTTGTTATCCGCTCGGACTCGTTGGCTTCGCCAAGACGGCGCCCTTCGCTAACCTTCGCTAAGCCCGTCATCAGCTGGCATTATCAAACGTTGGGCTGTGTTCCCTTCCCCGTCATTGAGAACTTGGTGAACGGGACAGAGGATATAACCCCCCTCCTCCTTCTTTTACTTCACTACCCTTTCCCCCAGTTGTGCCTCTTCCTCTTCTCCTTCATTCTCCATCTCGTCTGCGCACTTTCGTACCCCTCTTCCAACATCATCTGGTTTTTGGCACCGGTCAAGCCTTTGCACTGAGTTCCTCGTCTCCGCCACTGGCCAAAGCCTTCATCAATAGCCACGCTGACTTTTGAAATCGACCACGATCACTTCCCTCGACACTATTGCCCCAACCCAACTCAAATCGTGCTGTTTCAACAACAATCCAAAAAAATGCCTGCCCATCCCCAAAACAGCGACAGCTGGGTTGTTGACGATGACGACGGCCAGTTCCAAACCGGCACGTTCATCGACGCGAGACCGCACCAGTTCAGCCAGACCAACACACCCTCCAACCAGGCTGCCCAGTGCACAACGTGGGGCCGAAATAACATGACCGGCGCCGGTGCTTTATCCTCTGCGGTTCCCGCGTCGAGGGGTTTCAGCTTGGGGTTCGACTATCACGTCAACCCCGATGGCTATCCAATGGACAATCCTTATAACAACCCCTACCACGACGGCCACAACGCCGAGGTCTATCGCGTCGACCACAAGCCCCCCTCCAACATCACCGACGAGACCGTCATCGGCCCCAACGCCGAGCCCAACGCCGGCCTCGATCTCAGCATCAGCCTGACGCCACTGGTCGGCTCCCCCGTCATGCCCCCCGCTCACCCAACCCTTACCCAGCACAACATGTCCCTCCACCAGCGCGAGCTCGAACAATTTCACACCCCGAATCTCGAACACTGGGCCGCAGCCACCGGCACCGTCGGTTTCACTTCAGATTCTCGCGCCGCCGCCCAGGCTCGTCGTCATCATCGCGGCCACCGAGCCCACCTCTCCGTGTCGTCGATGGGGTCGGCATCGGGGTCCCGTGCGGCCCCACCTTCGTTGCCGCGGCCCGGTTCGTCGTTGCTGTCGCTGTGTGGGTCAGAGTTCTTGGTCGTGGAGGGTCACAATGGTTCGGTGTATGGTGATGAGTATGAGGGTGGTGGAGAGGCCGGGACGGCGAGAGTGGCCGCGGAAGATGTGATGGGAACTGGGACGTGGTGTGGGTGAGAGGGTGTGGTGGGAAGATCGTTGTTGTCGTCGCGGTCCATCGAGGCGTAGGTCGTCGATGATGGGTAGCTGGTAATAGCGGGTGGCCTAGTGGTCGCCGGCCTCATTGTCGGGTTTCCCTAATAGGTGCGTGTCAATATTCTCGTGCGAGTTTTCTCACCTCGTATTGTTTCTTTCCGTCATTTTTCTTATCCCCTTTGCTCGGTACCCTAGCCATCCCACATTGTAACAACCCCTTCGTTTCTTCTATTTCATTGCTGGCTTTTCGGTTTAGGGCTAGGATTTCCTAGGTGCGGTTCCTCTATTTGGAGTTTTCGGCGGATCCCTTCTTCCGGGTCTCTGGCTGGCCCAAAGGGTAGGCTGGATGGGGGTATAAGGTACGGTTTCCCTTTTCTCAAGTGCTTACTGAGAGGCCCTTGGTCATGACGTCCTCGTATGATGCCATTAGTTATCTTGCTTCCTAGTTCGATATGGTTCTCATTTTGTAAACTGCCCATGTAGTTTTCGTTCGCGTAATCTTAGAAAGCTGTGCACTCATCAGAATCCCGCAACGTCAGGTTCCTTCTTCGCTTGCGTTCGGTCATGAATTTTTCTCCAATTTCTCTAATCGTGCCCTCCCTCGCTAAGGAAGTTCAAGGTTGTTGTGGAGGCGTTCGAGTGGGGGGCTGCGGGGAAGGAGCAACGGAAACTAACAAACGAAGACAGGGTTGCATTGGAACTCCCTAGAACCCTAGACGAGGCCCTGGTTCCCTTTCACCATCCCTCGCCCATGGAACAATCCCCGGTGCTCACTCCGCGCCGTGGCAGCCGCGTGTCCGAACCGGCCTCTGGCTGGTGGAAGAAAGGGTGACGATGAATTTCTCCGAGTAGCCGGGGCTTCCTCACCTTGCAGGCCCGGCCCCCATTTTAGCCTGATTGATACCACGAGCGAACCCTCGTCCCGGGTTTCCTCACTCCGATCGACGCGGACCGCATGCGTTACTTCGCATGGCAGCGAACCGGGTTCCTTGCAGTCTTGGCCGATGTTTAATAAAGTGACAGGATGACCCGGACCCGAGCAGGCGGGAGGATAGATGGTCGAAGAAGGCGACGACGTCAGGTTATAGTTCTTGGTGGCAGTTGTTCGTGGTTTAACCCAGACTATTCAGCCAAGACTAGGTGTGTGACATTACCATGTCTCCGACTTTGACCCTCCGCGGGGCCCTCGGCCTCGTGCTCGGTGCAGCCTCCGTCGTGGCTGCGAAATCTCACAAGCATTGGGTCGATGTCTGGGCGAGCATGCCCCAGGCCGTGGAGCCTTACAATTTGCCCAATGCCCCCTATGTTAGTATCCCCTCGATGTTTGACCTCCCTTTCCTGTACCGTGGGCCTGGGAAGGATATATGATGAGGTCGAAACAAACCCACTGAGGAGTGTTTGAACTCGAATTGACTCAACTTACTAACTCTTTCTCTCTCTGCATAGAACGGCACGGACGGCGTGTTTCAAAACACCACAATCCGCCAGACGGTGTTCATCACGCAAGATGCTTCGACAATCCGGTTGCAGATCAGCAACGCCCTCGGCCTAACTGACCTGCCCATCACCGCGGCGACCATCGCACGGCCTTCCAAAGGCACCGCTGGCTCTCCGGCCATCGACCCAGACACACTGCAGTACCTGACTTTCTCTGGCGCGCGCTCCTTCGAAATCCCCAACGGCGCCCTCCTTCTTTCCGACCCGATCGACTTCCCCGTTCACGCCCAAACCAGCCTGACCCTCACGCTGTACCTCGCCACTGGCCAGGCCGGCTTCACCATCACCGGCCACCCGGGCAGCCGCACGACCAGCTGGCTGACGCAGGGCAACCACGTCGAGGCCTCCAACGTATCGACCTCCACCACGCAGTCTATCGACAAGTGGTTCTTCATCAGCGCCATCCAGGCCTGGCAGCCATCCTCACACACCTCCATCGCCGTCGTCGGCGACTCCATCACCGACGGCCGCGGGTCCACCACCAACGGCAACGACCGCTGGCCCGACCAGCTCGTCGCCCGCCTGCAGGCCGACCCGCACTACCGCACCATCTCCGTCGGCAACATGGCCGCGGGTGGCAACCGAATCCTGGCCGACGGGCTGGGCCCCAACGCGCTGGGCCGTGTCGAACGCGACGTTCTGGCGCACAACGGGGTGCGCTACGCGATCGTGTATGAGGGCGTCAACGACATCGGCACGGCGGCCACGGACGAGGCGAGCCAGAAGCTGGTCGGCGACCGGGTATTGACGGCGCTGGACCAGATCGTCTCGCGGCTGCACGGCGCGGGCATTGCGGTGTTTGGCGCGACCATCACACCGATGAGCGGGCCGGGGCAGGTGTATGGTGATCCGGTTCGTGAGAAGCAGCGGCAGCGGGTGAATGACTGGATTCGGCACAGCGGGCGGTTCGATGCGGTGGTGGACTTCGATAAGGTCGTGCGCGACCCGAAGAATGCGACGCAGCTGGCCGAGGAGTATAATAGCGGTGACTACCTCCATCTGAACCCGGCGGGGTACAAGGCCATGGCGAAGGCGGTGGATCTGAAGCTGCTGACAAAGTTCGCTGACGGGGTGGATTCCATCGTGTAATTCAACGTAAGCCTGGGATGACAGAAGTGGTCGTTCGATGAACCAAGGAACCGAGAATTGGTTGTAAAGGAGGAAGAAGACCAAGTGTATATGAATAGTTAGCTAAGGGGGTCGCCGATCTCAAGCAAGCACCCGTGCCAATTTAGATAAAAAAAGCAAACATGCAAAAATGGAAGAGACAGTCTTGACCAGTCCCCCTAAACGAGGCGGGAAAACGAAACGCAGAGGTTAAATACAAGACGAAAATGAAACGCTTGGATGTGTCATTCAGGGCAAGGGAGAGCCATTCCTTGATTTTCTAAGTCTGACGCATGGGGACCTAACAAGGTGCTGGCCACTTGTATAGGTCAGGGGCCAGGTATCGTCACCCAATCCGAAATATGATTAATGCAGGACTATTGGAGCCTAACCCCCCCCCCTTTTTTAAGTAGAGGATAGGGAATGGTATTGGCTGAGGTAGAAAAGGTCGGCAGATAAACCGGAAAAAAACAGGATGGTACATCGGCTGGAGATACCTTTTGTGTAAGTACCCCTGGTACGTAGATATCTAATTGTCGGATACGGAAAACTGCATGTTAAAGACCGAGAATGTTTCAGACATCTGTCGTCCCAGCATCGAGGCTCAGGGGCAACGACTACATATATACACAGTGTACTCGCACCCGAGTACACCGGTCTGGATTTTCACCGGTACTCCGAAGCACCTACTATCTCACCCTCTTGAGGTTCTTAGCCTTCCTCATGATCACACGGTACATGTACACCCTCCCCCGACCCAATTACATCCACAACCTCGCCGTCCCATCCGCCCCTGCACTAACACACCACGGCTCGCGCGGGTGCCAGTCGATATCCAGCACGCCCAACTTGCTGACCACCTTGTGGCCCTTGAGCATCTTGACCGGTACGATGGTGGGGTTCTCAAGCTGGTCATTGGGCACTTTCCCGTGGAAAATCTGCAGCGAGCCGTCGTCGCTGGCGTCGGCAAACAGCGGCAGCCCGCCCTTGTGATACCGGACTTGGCGAATCGCTTCGCCGTGGAACCGCATCGTTTTGTACGGCCGGTTGGAGAGGTCTAGGTCGTGCCAGAGGAGTCGCTTGTCATAGCTGCCGACGATGAGGTTGTCGCCGCCAGGGTGGATGTCGAAGGAGGAGATCCTGTCGCGGAGAGGTTAGTGAATATGCCCCATAACAACCTAAAGTTCTTTCACTTTTGTTCTATCACAACATGAAGAAAGGATTATGGGCAACATACCATTTCGCGCCAGGCTGCACAACCTTGACCAGTTCCAGCTTCTGCAGGTCGTAACAGCGGATGGTCCGCTGGGTCGCCACGAAAAAGAGCGGCCGAAGCGGGTGAAATGCAGCTGTTTGCGCGAGGCCCGACAGCTTGCGGAAGGGTATTTGCGTCAGGTGCTTCGAAAGCGTGTGGATTGCCACCGAGCTGCGTTGCCCCGTGGGTGACACCGTGGCGAAATGGTCGCCTCGCCGGTGCCAGTTGATGACCTTGACCGTGGACCGCACGGTAATCCTGACCAGGACGCCTTCGTCTTCAAGCTTGGTGCCTGGTCGAGCCCATTTCGCTGGCGGCTCCTTTCCGGCTGGGACGGTCTGCTGTTGCTGGCCATGCGTGGCGTAACCGAACCCGGCGGCCAACGTGTCCCTGCTGGCTTGATCGAGGGCCGGGGTTACGCTGGCACAAGTCGGGACCATCAGGAAGATATCCTCGCCGGTGGCCGCGGCTAGGATGAAGGCATCTTTCGTGGGCCTCCACCGGACTGTGTTCACGGGCTCTTCACTATTCAGCTTGACAGACCAGACTTGGCGGCCCGTGAGCAGTTCCCACACTCTTACGGTTCCGTCGTCGCCCCCTGTCGCAAGAACCACGCCGGTCTGCATGCCGTCAGCCTCATTTCCTCTTCGAGCTAGGGGTCAATGTGCACTTACCGGATCCACTGACACACTCCTTACCCGTCCTTCATGCCCACGGAAGATGGTTTGCACAACTGTTGGGAATGGTTTGAGCTCCGCAGGAGAAGGTAGCTTGGGGAGAAGCGAGTTGGGGTCGATGTTGAGCCTGTTCTTCCGAATACGTGGTGCCAGATACAGATCCTGCTGTAGGTTAGCCTTGCTGGAGCAAAAGCAGCAGCATACAAATCTTGATGTAACGCACCATGCACCGCTCAAAACGCTCTTTGACCAAAGTGCCCCAACCAGGCACCTTCCGCAGCGCATTGTATTTTTGTGGGAGATATTCCTTCTCCCTGTCCTCTGGGTCGGCGTTCTCCCATTCTTCACGCTCCTCCTTGGACCTGTGACTAGTGTAAGTACGTCGATCGGATTAGAAGGGCAGACTTGGAGTCAACATACGGTAGGTATTCTTCTGGCGGGTTGTAGCTCAAGTCGTACCCAGGAGGTGCCAGTTTGGGCGCGGGAATGTGCATGGGGTTAGGGGCTTGTGGTTCCTCGTTCTGCCAGAGGTCAAAATGTGTCTCTTCTTGTTCTTCCTCCTCCCGCTCGCGCTCTTCGGGTGTTTTGTATGGTAGAATCCGGCCTTCGCGAATGGCGCGGACCAACTTCATCACTTGCTTGGCTTCGTTTTTGGAAGGGAGGAACCGCCTCTTGGGCTCGGGGGCGCTGCTTAGGGCTGCTTTAAGTCAGAAGCCACATTCCAATTCAAATACTGGTATGGGGTCCACGCTTACGCATCTTCTCCTCGATGGACGTAAAGTACTCCACGGTATCGGGATATGGGTCCTCGAGTTCATTCGGTAGAAGACCCATCTGGACACGTCGGACTAGCTCCAGTTCATCTTGGCTGCATCCCGGTCAGAATAACGGAGGCTGGTATAAAATAGAACGTAGGAATAGCATACGTTAGGTTGAGAGGGTTGCCGGTATTCACATCCGTCAGGCCGGTCCATCCCTTTGGCACCTCGATGCTGTCAAGAAGACTCTGCAGCGCATCGCCCGTGGCCGGGCGCATAATCTTTTTGCCATTGATGTCGTAGCCGATGTGTGGGTAGCTGTCGTAGAAGCTTAAGGGAATGTTTCCTATTGTGTTGACGGGGCCTTTCGCGTCGGAGTCGTCAGAGTCGTAGTCAGGGTCGATTTCGCTGTTCGACTATGGTCAGCATTCACAACGAGCGACTAACACGGCTCAATTGGGAAGCGTACTCGTAGACATATCGCTCCCCGCCATTCGCGTCCCTCTCAATCCTATAATTATTCTCCTTTTCATCGCCATCCTTCCGTTTGGGGTCAACGCCCGGCTCGGTGATCTCGAGCTCCTCTTGCCGTCTGACAAGCTTCTCCATTTCCGCCTCACCGTCGGCGTCGGAGGGAATGTCATCGCTCAAAAAACCGTCGTCCTCCTCATCTTCGTCGGCATCCGACCCGTCACCCTCGCTCTCATCACCATCGTCGTCGTCGTTATCGGAAGGCAGGAAGTCTTCCTCATCATCGCTCTGGGAAAGGATGCCCTCGAAGAGGCCATTGGCGAGCTCGTCCTCGGATTCGGAGTCGGACTCTACATCCCGCGACTTCCGCTTCTTATCCGTAAGTTTTGACCCCATTGTGACGGTTGGCAAAAAAAGTGTTTGTTTAGCTGCGTTCACTAAAAAGTGCCATCCGACGAACGCTGGCCCATGCGTGGGACTTTTTTTCTGCCCGTTTTATGACTTTTTGGCGGGGAGCTCGTCTTCACCGCCTGCGCTAGTTCTGGCTCAGGATAAAATCTAAGGACGCTAAGCTGTTTTGAGTGCCATGCTCGCGGTTTTCAAACTGCCGCCCCACCTTCTCCTTTGACCAGATCGAGCGAGAGAATTAGACAGGAAGAGCAGGCAGGGTACAAGTTGCAACGACCCTCCCAAGTCTCGAGTTGAGAGAAAGATACATGGACAAGGCATTTGCGAGAGAAGTGTAAGCCGAGTAGGGCACAACAATCTTTTCGGCAAGTTTGCGGCGAAGGAGAGAGAGGTTGAAACTCGGACTGTGATGTGCTGTGCTGTGTACCTTGATGGACAGGGGGTTCGCAAGAGATGGACGGATGCCTCGTGAATCATCGGCGAGGCGCGGACCAACTCCCTTTTCCGAAAGATGGGAGGCTCACGTCAAATGTGGCCGGATCGGCTGTGTGGCCCCTGCCTTCTGTAACCGAGCCCAGCAAAGCTGACCCGAAGTCATCTGCTCAAGCCGCTTCCCTCAGGACCAGGCATGGTGAGGAACTGCAGCGATCTCTAGCGTCCACTAGGTAGCCTGAACGCGCGGCCCACTCATTGGTCTCAACCACCACACACCCTTCGCTTCCTTCCTGCAGTGGCCTCCTTTACTAATCTGTGGTCCCTCCCACCTAAAGACGGACAGCCTGCCCCACGACATTTTCAAGACAACCGACAGTGTAACGAAACGTCAACGATTATTGCATCCCCGTTGTAGCGCACGCAACGAGGCAACGCTGCCTCCCCGCCGACAGGCACTGGCGACGTGCAAAATCATTCAAAGGCTGCCGCGCTGCCATTCATTTAATCGACCACGATGGAACCCGCCACCGACGCAAGAGACAGAACGATGGAGCAGCCCAAGAGACGGGCTTGTGACGAGTGCCGTAGGCAGCCCGTCGGTCGTTGTATTATTGCGGCTGCCCTGAATCTAACGTAATCACTCACAGGAGGGAGAAAAATGGCCTGTTCGAAGGAGATCCACGGCTGCTCTCGTTGCAAACGCGAGGGTATCAAATGCGTGTACTCCGCTCAGAAACGCATGGGTCGGCCGAGAAAGAAGCGCCTGACCGAGAGATCAGAGCCGTCACAGTCCGACCCGTCGCAGTCCGAGTCGTTACAACCGGAGCCGCCACATCCACACGTTGCAGTTGCCGTATTAACTGAGGGAGTGAAAGAAGAGGTCAACCAGCTCATGGCCCCCAATTTTGATTTTGATCCCACGCTTGGCATGGATCTCGACCTTTCGTTTCTTGACATGGACAACATGGACATGAACTTTTTGGAAATCGCCGACCCCAACATTCAGTTTCCGCCTCCGCAGCCCCAGATTAGCCCAGATCCTGCGCCGGGTAGTCACAAGAATCAACATGCTAAACCCGGCTGCGACGACAAAGGCCCCTTCTGGGCCATGAGCCATAACGTAGCCGACATCAACTTCGATGAGCCGGCCCGTTCATCCCTACCTACCCCCGCCCCGTTACCCGAGATCACGGCCGAGGAAGTCGCCCAAATATTCAACACCGATTTCGACACACTCCCCAGCCTTTCGCCACCATCAACGAATTCGCCGAGTACACAACCATCCCCTGCCGACTCAGACAGCAGCAAAATATGCGGTTGCGTGACGGCCATTTCCCAAGCCCTCACTTCGCTACAGGATCTCCCCAAAGAGGTCGGCGCGGCCATGGCCGTCGCCCGCAACGCAACCAAGACCGCCCACGACACCATTCTCTGCCCCATATGCAGCGACCCTCCTCTGGATCCTAACCTCAGCCCCCCTATCCAGTCGCTTCAAAGTGTCATGATGCTGGGCGCTCTGCTTCCATCCGTCTCCAACGCATACATGCACATTCTCACTATGGTCGACGCTGAGGCGGCCGCGGCCGATGCCGAGCGGCGCCAGATCCGCTTTTCGTTAAGCAGGTACGGAGGCCTGTGGGGATACGTGGCTAAGGTCGACCCCCAAAAATGCGGTACCGGAGACCGGCTTGAAAATGCGATGCTGGAGCCAATACTATGGCGGCTGACGGTCCGGGCCTTGCTTAAGATGGACGTGTACGGGATTAACGAGTTCACACCGGGCGCCAACGACCCCGAGGCCCAGCAACCCGGGCTCAAAGACATCATCAACATGATGGAAGAGCGATCGCGCCGCCGGCATGAACAGATGGACGCCCTGATAGCTTCCGGAGTGGTACTGCGATCGAACTGCCAATATGTACCGATGTCGGGGATGGAAAAGCCGACGTGTATGCGGATCATTGAAATCGCGAAGCGGTCGATGGATGACTTGATCATTCCATGAGTGGCGCGGCTTTAGAACGAAGTATCTGGCGTTTCTCGCCGGACGAGAATGGATACATCACCATAACTCAAACCAGCTCACAACAAAAGGTAGCGGCTAGCCGGCGACACAGGTTATTACACTAGAAGGAACGCTTTTGCCTCAGAGACCCAGGCCAATGGATGACGCTAGGACTTGATGGCGGGGAACCCAATCGCCTCAGGGATACTGCACAATAACAAGCAAGCCCTGTGACCGAAATCCGAGACACCGCCCAACACCTCGGACACGAACAAAGACAGCAAAGAATTTGTGCTCAAGGTAGGCTGTGAGTCACTAGGATACCTTGCGACGTTCCCCAGCCATAGTTGCTAACGGTAAAAGAAACTAAGATCTCGCCACTTTCCGGATATCGAGGTACTGTATAACACAAACCAGGGGATTCATTTAGGATAGCAAGGCACGGAATACGGCTGCCACAGAGGAATTTAAGAGGAGTTATTCGGGACACGCAGGTTCCACTTTGCTGAGACCATGTACATATAATGCTAAAACTCCAATCCTCTCATACACCAAGAGGCGTCAAAGCCAGACCAAACAAAAAAATACAAACAAGAAATAACACCACTCAAGACTCCGTTGACCTGAGGGTACTGCCCTCGTGACCCTTGTTGACTCGTTTGCTGTGCTCATGTGTGTGCGTCGGTCATTTTATACATCAATATATGGGGGATGAGAAGAAAGGCCGTTGTTATACGCCGCCACGTGAAAACGATGATTGATATTCATTTCCCCGAACCGATACATTCCTTTTCCCTGCCTTGCCCTTTCGAGAAGAACGACTCTCGGTTCAGCCTCCCCACCACCTCTCTTCACCACAGTCTTGGCCTTTGCACGTAACAAATGTACGGGCCCAACCATTTCTGTTGATAATTTTCCATTCCACAGTAAACGGCTGCCTCTTGGGATACAGATGCACTTTAGTAGACCTTTTTCTTCTCGTCGATGCTGAACTGGCCGGGGCCGCTGTTGACAAGCAAAAGGAGACCGCCAACGATGGAGAGGATCTGGAAGAAGTCGTACTTGGCAAAGTCCTTGTGAGGGTGGTGCTCATGGAGCTGTGAGGATGGCATCAAATTAGTAAACAAATACAAGACGAGAGAGGAGGCATCAGGAGGACGGATACTCACGGTCCAGAAGTTGTTGACCAGCACGTTGAAGACACTGAGGATAACCACCAGCAGCGTCGCGCTGAACTTGGCCTTGAAACCAACCACAACCATGACGCAGGCCATCAAGCCGACCAGCGAGACGACCACACGCCAGATGGACCACTGGCCGCTGAAGACAAATCCAATGAAGAGGAAGATCAGCAGGACGCGACCGGCCAGCTGGAAGTACATCTTGCGGTCCTTCTCCTCGAGCTGGGGCAGGCCGGCGAACGCCTTGGTCTTGCGCACCCATGAGTCGGAGAGGACCATGAGCAGACCGCCCATGACGGACAGGTTGCGGAGGAAGAAGTTGAGGTCGAAGATGAGGCCGTATCCGAGCGCCTGCGCAATAACGACACCGATGAGGGCCCCCACGGCGTGTTCCGAGTGTCGCCGGATGATGACCAACGTCGAGCAAACCGCCATGACGATGACGTTAACGATGAGGAAAAGGTGCGTGAGGCCGGAGGGAACTGTGTGGGTTGTCAGCATCTGGAGAGAACTCCAAGAGAACTCCGCAAAAGGGGTCTTGACGTACTGTGACGGTAGTCGTGGAGGTACAGCAGTTGGTCGTTCCATTGTGTTATTATTCTGATAGCGTCCTCGATAAACGTCACCACGATCAGGAAGCGGCCGATTGCGGGCAAGAATCTGTACAATGCCAATAACAACCGTCAGCAAACCCCAATTCTTACAACAGCTTCCGAGGGAAACACGTACGGCTTGACTGGTTCGCTCAGTCTGTCCAGGAGGTCCTCAATCTTGCTCGTCTGTTCCCGGATCGCGTCCAGCGGGCTATCTGTCTTCTCTTCCGACGGCCCGCCAAACGGATTCGGCGAAGCCATGCCGTAGCTGCCTGGTCCTCGCATCTGCGCCATCGCGAAGTTCGGGGTGTTGCGCTAGGACAGAGGTGTGGTGGTAGATTCCGGATGTGCGGATGGGATCGAGAGAAAGTTTGTGAGATCAATTGATCGTTGGCAGTCCGGCTGACTCAATTGATCTTTCGCTCACAATAGTGTCGCGTGCTAAAGGGGGAAGAAAATCGGTGGAGCTCGAGAGATGGTCGCCGGGGGTCGAGGGGTTGTTGGTTCAGCCAGGGGGGAATCGGGAACGACGATGTTGGCGACAGTGGCTGTGGCCCAAGCGAGCGAGCAAAAGACAAGAGAGAACGAGAATGACAATCCTCGCGGAGGGAAACCCCCAAACAAGTTTGACTAGAAGCTGAAAGCCTTCGACTGATGAGATGAGCAGGTAGGAGGGGGGAACCGTGTTCGAGGATCGGAATTTGAGGCTGCTGAGCTCAGACCGACGATGGTGGTATCTACAACTGTGTCCTTAACCAACAGCAAACCCACTGAAGCGTGCCGCATGGAGGGTGATCGTCATGGCCTGGTGGGTCTGTATTTTTGATGGTGTGCAGCTCATTTACCGCATGTTTCCTCGCCGGGCGGAACCTTGCCACTAACAAAGCTACCACGAAAAAGCAAATGTGGGGACGCTGGGCGCCAGAAGCTCCTTCCCCGAGCTTGCAAGCCGGCTCCAATGCGGGCGCTTCTTGCCTCATCCAGTGTTCCCGCACTTTATTTTGGCCGCGGCGTCAAGCTCCGAGTCCCGCTTCAACCTCAGACATGTTTAGGTACACATTCCGTCTTCCTGGTCAATGACACCGGGCGCCAGGCTCTCTTCGCCCCTCCTCACCTGACCAAGGACTCGAGGACACGATTTTTGTTTCGCCTTTCCCGGTTTGGACTGAGGCGTCCGAGTCCGCAAATATCCGGACTCGAAACTGTTCCCCTCTCTCCAAAAGTTACAATGCACCGCTCCAAGCAGGCCTCTTACCGGGTTAGGTAGGTGGGCTCGGGAGAGCGGCCATTGCGGGGTTTGGAGATGGCCAGTTGCCGAAGGTCCGGGTTAGTTAATTCAGCCTGTGATGTCGATTTGATTCCAGCACCTCTTGTTGACTTCCGTCAACTCGGAACGGTGATTTCTACTTCTACTCGGGACGAATACTTGGCCGGGGCCCGAGACTTTGTCTCTGCAGTGCACATACGGTCGCCGATCGACAAAAACCTGCTGCAGGGGTTCGCACAACACATTCACACATCGACATAATATCCTCCACCTAAATTAAGGTTGCATGCACGAGAAGCTGGAAACGCAACCATTTATAGTTATTATGTAGGCAAGTTTAAAGCAACCGGGAGTCTCTCAGCTCGCGTGCTCCTCCCAGTCCCGACAACTAGACCTTACACCTGGTCAAAGGACAGAGGCAACTCCGCGACCTCTATGCAAGTACAATATCATTCTCTACAGAACCCCGATCTTTGATCAGCCCGTCGGATGAGTTGCAGATTTGGGCCGTCTTAGTAGTTCAGCGATCACCTCAGTGCCCAAAGTAACTGCTTATAAGCTGCCGTCCAGAAGACGAGCAACAAAATGGATGCAACCTGATTTTCATACAATAACGGCTCATTACCCCGAAAAGCAGGGCACCCTCCATCTCAACGTTCTCGCCCCCAAATAAACGGCTGAGACGACCAGCAACAGAAACCGGAAGCAAAAGTGCCATACGCCTCTCTACCGCATAGCACTAGTGCCTCGTTTCAGCCACCGTCCTGACCAACCTCATCATCCCTTGTGAGAGAAGTCGGTTTGGGCGAGCTCTTGGGGCGCGTGCCACCTCACAGGGGCGAATTTCCAGACAAGTCTGCGGCGTCGACGAAGCTCATGGACTGCCGCGTGGTGGTACAGTTAAAAGACGTAACGAGGGTTATACGTTAGAGGAAGCCAACTTCGGATTTCATTGCGCTCACGGGAGTGAAAAAATAACGGTAGTTGTCTTTTATCAGCACGAACATCCACCCGTCGGCCCACGGAGTTCGTGGTGATATTCTAAGGAAGGGATGGGGCAGCTCACCACCCGATATTCCACACCCCGTTTATAGCCTGTAGAGACACCGAGCCCCCCCTGATCTTTATCGCCCAAGATAAAATCGACCGTGGATATAAACCAGAATAAACCTCTTCTACCGCCACCCAGCATTGGATATCCTACGAGAAAGAAAGAAAAAGTAAAGACGAAGGAAACAAGACAAAAATCCCACATCTCCATCAACTCATTTACAAGTCACGGAAAACGAAGCGCTAGCCATATCTGCCTCTTCCCCACCCAAAGTCAACTCACGGCTTCCCACTCGGCCGGTAGAGGTTGTTTTGTATGTACCCCGGTGGAGGCGATTGAGCCGGCGCCGGGGCATCACCCGAAGGCAGTTCCACGGGCGCAGGCTGCAGGAAAGGTGTCTGCTGATGCTGGTGATGGTCTTCGGCGCGCGGAGAGGAGTAAGGAGACCTATGGGATCATTAGTTTACTCGGTTCGGGTATCCCCCCCCCACACATTAAATGGTCTAAAGAAGGAGCTCAAAGCAAGGGGTAAACAAAACTCACGGATACACCCCCGCATGGCCATACCCACCACCCTGCTGCGGTCCCGGCGACGGCGTCGGGCCAGGATACGGATACCCCCCGTTTGCCCCGCCATTGGCCGCATAGAACGAGTTCCTCGCCATCCCGTCCGGTTGCGGCGATCCGTAGCTGGACAGGGTCGTCTGCCCGGGACTCTTGGGGTAGTTCGCCTCGACCATATTCGGCGAGCGGTTGTCGCCGTTGGCACCGGCTGCACCCGCAGTCGCGCCAGCAGCGGCGACTGCTGCCGCACCGCCGTTACCGCCGCCCCCGGGTAGGGCAGACCGGCGGTAGGCCTTGTCAAACCCGCCTCGACGTCCACAGAGATACACCACCACGGCGCCCAGGATCAACACGGCCGCGCCACCGATTGCGATCCCCGCGATTGCGCCCGCGCTTAGTCCACTTCCGCCACCGCTGCCGTTCGAGTTGTGGTTGTCGTCGGGCGGCCCGGCTCCCGGGGTCGGGGTTGGCACGGGGGTTTCGGAGGGGAAGGGTTCGCCGGGCATGAGCTGGTAGGTGGCTTCGTTGGCGAATTCGAGCTGCTTTTCGAGGGTTTGGGTGGAGTTGGGGTTGATGACGCCGACCATGTGGTAGTTGATGCAGGAGCCGGGGGCGGCGCAGTAGAAGAAGATGGGTTCGGTGTCGTTGACGCGGACGGAGTAGGAGGGGGGCTGTGACGCGGTTAGACAGGGAGGTTTTGAAACGGTGACTACCTGACCTGATTGGCGAGATGGAGGAGGCTGCGTACCGGGTTCATGATAACTTGGGGAGCAATAATGCCCGAGTAAAAGCCCGGCTTGTCGATGGCGGCGTTCTCGTATGGGATGCATGGCCAACCAAACGCAGCACGAGCGACACGATCTGAAGATGCTGTTAGTCTCCAATTGTACTTAGAAGGGCAAAAGTGGAAATGAGATCAACATACGCGGATTGTCACCGGCAGGGTAAAAGTTGAACTCTGAAGTACATCCCAAGTTAGCTCAACAGTCTCAACGAAATCGTAACGAATCAAGAGAAAAAGGCGGATAAAACTCACGAACAATATCCCCAACCTTGGCCGTCGCATGATTCGGTGTAAACACATGACCGTTCTGCACCCATCAAATTAGCCCTCCATCCACACCATTCCCATCTGTCCCAAGCAGGCAGCTACCCGTCCACCGGGTCCAAGCAGTGTTCATCCCCCTGCCCATCGAATAACACCATCATATTCTATCCTACTTACCGCTCCCACAGCAATAGTATGCGTTGCCGGCCCGCTCTCCGCCGAGTCAGTCGGCGTAGGGCCATCCCCTTCTCCCGTCGGCGAGGGCGTGCTGGTAGGCGAAGGCAGACCCTCCTGTGGTGTTGTGAAGTCGTCGTCTCCTTGCTGAGCAGCCACGCCGACGGCGGCCATGGCAGCCAGAACACTGGCGAAGACCTGCCGGACGAGCATGGTTGTCGTTGGGTTGTTTCTTTCCTTTCCTTTTTTTGTTGGTTTCGGTGCTCGGGTGGTTGGGTGATGATGCTGGTGTTCCGTTTCCCACTACTGCCGCTGTCTCTGCCGACGTCGACACCGTCAATGACCAACGGGTTAGACGGCAGCGAGCGTTGTGAGTCGGTTTGGCTTTGGGGGGGCCGTATCGGTAAGGTTAGGTTAGGTCAGGCCAGGTCAAGTCAAGTCAGGTCACCTCAGGACACGTCAGGACTGGAGCTCGTGGTAGGTCACGCACGGGGGAAATGGCCAAAGAAACGGGTAGGACAAAAATGGGTGGGAGGCGAGCGAGCATACGGATAAAGCGAAGGCGAAAGCAAACAAACCAAAAAAAAAGGTGGCGCAAGCAGCCGCAGGAGCAGCAGCGGCGGCCCTTTCACCCCTCTAATATGACAGCGTACACTTAGAGAGAAGTCCTGGCCCCCTCTCTTTGTTTGCTTAGACAGCTGGGCTGGGCTGGGCTAGCTGGTGCCAGGCTGTGGGTTGTTGGCAATGTGCGTGGGTGTGGGTGTGGATATACAGGGGGCGCATGTCGTGTTGGCTGCAAGCCCCCCTTCCTTTCCTTTCCCCGTCCCAGTGAGGGAGGACATGAGAACATCAGCAAATAGCATTGCTACTATGTGACAAAGGGGTTGCCCTGGACTTGTGTATTTTGGAACAAACGGCGAGCTGGATCCGCTCGAGGGACCGAAATCGAGAGCACGGTGCGAAATTTTGCGCATATGTATGTTTCTTAGTTCTATCCAGTTGATAATGGGGGCATCCGGCGAGACACGAAGGGCATTTGTGTACCGTGGGCCGACCGTACCGTGCATGTATGTCCCGGGCCTTGGGGGAGAAAAGAGAAGAGAAGAGGACGGACTTGGACTGCTCCACCAAGAAGCCTGGTATTGACCGGGTGTGCCTTTGGGCACCTAGCCTTGGGATGGCATACGGACACCGCACATTCCACGATCCGAAACAGACAAAGAAGTGACTTGCCCCCAACAAACTGACGAAGGAACCCCATTCCAGAAAAGCCTGGGCCCGAAGCCAGAACTTGGAAGCCATTCCGTCGTCGGTCGGGGACACGAGGAAGGGACGAGGGAAGCTGATGACTGCATCACTCCACCGTGGTGGTGGCCGAGGATTAGGAAAGTGCCCGCAAGAAACGTTGCTGGCCGCAGCGGGCCTTGCGCTTGTCGGCGGCACATTGCATGCTTGGAGGGGAATGGTTGGACTTGTACGACGACCAAGAGGTTGGGTCTAAAGAGCTGGCTGTCCATTCAGCATCGTTTAGGTGCCGTGTTCTCGCGTCAACGCATGCTGGGAAGGCTTGGAAAGGTAAATAAGACCGGCAGCCCCGAGACCTGGCGTCCGATTTCTCGGCACCGCGCGCGGTAACCGAACGAACGAGAAGAGGGTTGGGTGAGACCCCGCCGGTAGCCCGCAGCCTGCAGCACGGAGGTCCACCGGGAGGAAGGAAAAGCCGCCAGGCTGGGGCGGCTGCCGTGAGATCGCCGCGGTTAACGGTGCATGGTTGGTGAAGTCGATGGTGCGCTGAAAAAAATACCCCGGGCGCCAACATCCAACATGCCATTTCCAAGGGTCGCTGGAGCTGGCCAACATGTGTGCCAATGCGCCAAGACCGTACCATCTGTTGGTTCTTGGACGACATGCGATTGGTTGTCGGGAGAGGCCCCGAGGATGTTGAACAACACATCGCCGTCTTGCTGCTGCGCGATCCGCTGTTTCTGGTCCGCCAAAGCTGATCATCGGGTTCGTAAACAAGTGTTGCTTCTCTCCCGAGAGCGGGCTGCCGATTTGGTAGAGCGGGGCCGGGTTATTTTGCGGTAGCGAACCGGAGCAAATGCAAGTTCGGGATTCAAAGGTACCTCGGATTAGTGCGTGCATTGCCCACAGTGCGTATCAAAAGGTCAGTGAGAGGTAACAAAGAGAGAAAAAAGGGTATAATTTGAGGGTATAAAACTTGAATAAATCCCAGATGCATCGGCGGCTCTCCTTCTATTGGGTCTTGGCCTTTTCCTTCTTTACCAACCACGACCTCGGCAAGATATCGCTCTGCGAAACCAACTTCCACAGGCACCACACATAGCAAAGAGAAAAACCAGCAGCGCCAACCCCGACATTGGCCACGACCCACAGATCCGGCTTGTCTGGGGGCGGGCGTAAGGCGCGCACTAGGACGTGCCAGAATGCCATGGCCAGATAGAACGAGCCGTGGATGAAGAGGGTGACCCATTGCGTCCAGGTATTACCTCCTTCGTGGAAGTAGGCGCCGAGAGATGTCGGCGGCAGGCCGAGGAGATATGCCCACAGCAGCGTGAGAACGGTATATGGCATGGCTAGGTCCACCCGCTCCAATAACGGGAACATGGTCCAGCAGCCGAGGATATTGGCGAATCCGACCCAGGCACGCGTGCCCTTGTTCAGCCCGTGGTTTCCTGCGAGCAGGAGAGTCATGGGCATCAGTGGGAGGAGGACGCTCTTCTCGTGGACCTGGTAGCTGAAGAGGAAGAAGCCCCATGCTGTTGCAGAAAATGCTAGGGGCAGCAGGTCCCTCCTCGGGCGCAGGAAGAGGACGAGATTGGGGGGAACAATTGATCCCAGTGTGGCAACCAGCGCACCACGTTGCAGAAGTTCTTCCGGGTAATTCTTGATCTTAACAACCACGTTCAAAGCACACCAGAAGTTGGCGACCTTGTCCTCAAACAACCCACGAGCAAAGGGGAAGACACGGTGGATCATCTGGACCAACTGTTCCACCACCGGGTAATAGAAAGCTTCTGTATCCAGATAGGTTGTAAGTCCCTGGAAAATCGGCAGAGGTGGACGGGGCCCGTCAAGATCCGGGCGCGAGTCGACTCCACGTTTGGCGTCCGAGAGAGCACCAATAACGAGCGGCAGAATGAGAATGGCAAAGGAGACGATGGTGACCGCTGCAATAGTGACGAGCCGCCGGATGTTGATGCGAGGGAAGACGCAGCTGCCGAGGAGATAGGCGAAGACAGAGAAGGCGTAGTAGAGAGCCATCTGCTTGAACCCCAAGGCCGCAACAAAGAACACAGCCGCCCAGAGGTTGCGACCTGCGAGCATACTGGACATACTGGCGACGACCAGCCCCAACATGACCGTGTTATACTGAAAGTGGACATGGTCGATTAGGATCGTACCGGGTTGCATCAGGATGGCCACAAGAGCCACAGCTGACGACCAGTTGGCAACCCCATTGAGTCTGCTATAGCGACGCACAAAGACCACGACGGCGGGGATGTAGATCAGGTACTCGGACACGATGACGGTTGCGCGCATAAACACCTTGAGGGTAGGATCGTGCGAGCCGCGGGACGAGAAGAGGGCGAACCATTCGGGATCGATGAGCGAGCCGACCTTGCCACAGAGCCAACTATGGTAGGCCGTCAGTGGGGGATAGTCGAGCCCCCACCACTGGAGGTCGTGGAAATACCATTGAGAGATGGGAAGCTGGGTCGTGATCTCCATCCAGTGTCGCTGGGCCTCGTAATCGCCGAACATTGGGGGTTTCTCAAAGCCTGGCCAAGTAGCAGCAGTCAGCAAGCCTCGTCTCCCATTCCAATTCTTACATCCGAACCCCGCGCACTCCCGTATATTATCTCCCTCTTTTGTTCCTCCTACCATCTGCCATTGAACGAGGACAACGTACCAGAATACCCCCACAACCCAGCGGCCCATCGGAACAGCCCGACAGTCATCAGAATCAGCGGTAACAACTCCCATTGCGACAGGGTGCCTCTCGCAGGCCAGAGGAAAGCGGCGAGCGGAAAAGCCGGAGCTCGGGTCAGCGTCTCGACAGCACCGACATTGTGCGAGCTTCCCGTTGTTGTCGCGAAGTCCGGCTGTTTGTTGCCCTTGCGCCGGGGCTTGTGCGGAGCGGGCGAAGGCCGGGGCATGGTTCACCAGAGTCGTAGCTGGAGGCGCGAAGGTGTCAATGCCCGCATTGAGAGGCGCCAGAGGGAAATAGGTGGTATTGTTGTTGACGAGGTGAGATGGATCGATCTGGGCAATGGGAGTTGCTACATTTTTTTGGTGGGAATGCCCCTGCAAACAACCAGCAATGTGGCCCGGACAGGGATCTAGAGCTTGGGTGACAACAGATGTGGGGACCTTCCCCAAAGTTCAGAGGGAGTGCAGGGGTCGGCCGACAGCGTGTTACAGGGCCACTGGGGGCCTGAAGAAACCCGCCAGTTCAAGCTGCCGGGCCGCTGCGGTGTGATGTGATGTCACTCCAGTGCCAAGCAGCAGATGCGTCTTCGAAACCGCCAAGCTCCCATCCTTCTCAACATCACGGCCGAGCTGAAAAATGTATATTTTCTCCCTTTTGTACCTCTTGTTTTTTGTAAATAAAGATACCACTACCTCATTCTAGTATCCACCTTTTAAAACATAATTAGCTAAAATGCCGTACCCCTTCGTCCTCCCCACGACGTCGTCCTTCTCCTTCTCGTCGAGCTTCGTCTCCGAATCACACCCCTCCTTACCCCTCCAAGCTAGCACCCACCGCGGTGTCGTCCGAGACACTCTCAAAAAGCACAAGCGGCTCCCAACGGCCTCACAAGGCTCATCCCTCTCGACCGTCAGCTCGACCCTCCAAACCTACATCCCCTACCTCCTCGCTCTCGAAGCCGGCCTCTCCAACACCAACAACGGTCATCACAACCCCCCCCGTCCCGGCGAAATCTCCGCCACGGCACGAACAACTCCCGAGATCGAATGGCGCCCCACACTCTCCAACAACCTCCTCCCCGGCCGCGAACCACCCCGCATCAAAGTCCACTCCCTCTCCCACGAGCTCCTCTTCGTCCTCTCCACCCTCGCCAGCACCCACACTCTCCAATCCCGCGTAGCCCTCCAACCCCTCTACCAAACCACCACCGCCCCCGTCGGCACCTCCCAGCGCCAAACAGCCATCACCACCGCCACCCGCCACCTCCTCGACGCAGCCTCCATCTACGACTACCTCACCGCCCGCAGCGAGTCCATCCCAGACCCCAACAACCCGTCCCCACCACCCCGCTGTCCATGCGCGGACATCTCCCCGCCGGCACTCCGCGCGTTGCGCTCACTGGCCCTAGCCGAGGCGACGTTGCTGGCTGTTCTGAAAGATGACCCTTACCCGGCGGCCGTGGCCCAGGCGCGGAACCCGCATGATACGGAGTGGATGTATAAGAGCCCCGATCTGCCCAAGGTGCGGGCGCATTTGTTTGCGCGGTTGTGTCTGGCTGCGTCGGAGCATGCTGCGCAAGCGGCTGGGGCGCTGGTGTCTGCGTCGTCGTCGATTGGGGTTGGTGGCAGTTCCTCGGGTTTGGGTCTTGGTGGTCTTGGTGGGGGGACTGGGTCGGGGAAGGTAGGGGATGGTCTGTTGCGGTATGTGGAGGATTTGCGGCGGGCGAGCCGGGCGCGGGCGTGCCGGTTCTTCGGGATTGATGCTGAGTTGGGCGGGGAAACGGGGACGGGAATTGCGTGGTTGCAGGCTGGGTTGGCGGAGTTGGGGGTGGAGAGGAAGGGGGATGGTAGTGGTGGTAATAAGAGCAGGAGTGGGCTGAAGGGGTTGAAGAAAGAGTGGAGTGAGAGGAGAGAGGATAAGAAAGTTGAGAAAGGTGGTGGTTGGGGGGCGGATGGGGGAAGGATGGAGGAAACGAGGGTTTTGGAGATGTTGGAGGCTAAGTGGATGAAACAGAACGACACGGTACGCTTATACCAGCAGTTCTTCTTTGAAACGTCATAATGAACGACCATGGCTAATTCATATTCACAGATGCTCACCCAACCCATCCCATCAACTGGCCCCCTCCTCGCGCAAATGCCCTCGGGCCGCGAGATCCATTCCATCAAGCCGTACCAACCCCCTGTGCTAGCTCCCGAGGTACTTGAGGCGATGCGGGCACCACCGGACAGGTCGGATGAGGCTGAGGGGGGGGACTACCCGAGCTCGGACGACGAAGGCCTGGGGGCAGTGAACAGCGCGATACCCGGCGCTTTTCCAGGACGGACGTTGGATAATCGGGCCGGAACGGGAACGCCAGGATATTATTAAGTTGAGATTTGCGTGTTGTGCTACGATTTGGCTGGGCCGTGTCGAAGTAAGGGAACATATATTGTATCACAGTGCTTGGATAAATGTCAACCATATGCCATTGTCCGGTCTAAGACGCCTAACTATCTTGACTACTGCTTTTCCCGCAATACGCGGCCACTCACTTGTCATAATACACCCAACCAGCGCCCGATAACGAAAACACCACACGTTCCCTGCCTCTTTTCCTACCCACCGTTCCTGATCTACTCTTCATCGTCATCCTCAATAACCCTCCTCCTCCGGTGTCTAGATGCCTCGGCAACGTGGGTCGGCCCATCATCCTCCCCTTCGGCGTCCTCATCGGCCGGCTCGGTCGTGCGTTGTCTTTTCGCCCGTGGCGGTGCCTCGTCCTCTTCGTCATCATCATCCAGCAGCTCTTCCTCGTCATCATCACCCTCCACTCCTTCGCTCTCTTCGTCCTCGCTGTTGACCAGAAACCCGTCGTCCATGTCATAGTTGTCGACACGTCGCGCACCGCTGGGAAGGTCATCGTCCGAGTCATACTCCGGGCGTCGACGCTTCTGCTTAGCACCACCGGGCGCACCGCGCTTGCGGCCGCCTGCGCCTGCGCCACGTCGGCCCTCGAGGTCGCCAACAGACAAGGCACCACCACCACCGCCGCCGCCCTTGTATCGGGAGCCGGTGCCATCGGCGCGGGCCGCGGCAGTATCGCGGCGCCGCTGCAGCTTGGCGCGCTCCTTCTCCGCGAGCTCGGCCTGGCGCTTCTGCAGTTCCGGGTCGACAGTCGTAGCGATGATCATGTCGGCACCGCGGTCTTTCTTCGCGCCGGCTAGATCAGCAACCAGGCGCTCCAGCGCGTGGTCCTGAAGCTCCTTGTTGGGGCGCACCGTGTACTGCTCCGTCAGGTGGCCGACAATCAGGAGAGAGTTAGTCGTCAAGTGCGCGGCCGCCGCGTAATAGTGCGCATCTTGCACCTCGCGGTAGGGCTTGTTCTGCGGCGGGGCCAAGGCTTTCGATTGGATTTCGTAGTGCTCGTCGCCGACCGAGAGGGTCACGGAACCGTCGCTCCAGCGGTGGATATTGGCGTTGCTCTGCATGCGGCCGGTCTTGGGGTCGCGGCGGTACCGGATGGCTGGGATCGGGTTCCCGGTGTTGGCGTTCTCGAGGTCCCAGCGGCTTGGCTGCCAATTGTCGGACTTGTATTCCATCGGGTTGAACTTGATGAAGTCGGGGACGCGGAGCGAGTGAAGCTGCACGAAGATGAGTTAGAATCAGATCGGACGTATTCTGATCGGATGCAAACGTACACCTCCATCCCGGGAGCGCGGAGTGCGGTGGCGGTACAAGGGCACCTCAGCGACGAGTTTCTCGCGGAATTCGCGTGGCTCGTCTTCGTCTTCGTCGTCGTCGATGTCGCGGCGCCGACGCGTGTCGGGCTCGTCATCTTCTTTGTCCGAGGCGGCAGTCTGGTCGCCCACGGCATCCCCAGTATCCGAGATCACATCATCGCCGTCTCCAAAAAGGTCGTCGTCGCCCACATCATCGGCAATGTCGATGGGATCCTCAGAATCAGACATCTTGAATTCTTGGCTGGTAGTGGTTGACTGTCGGAAAATAGATTGAGCTAAGGAAAGGTTGAAAGGGCAATTGAGGGAGGTTAAATTTCAATTTCGAAGGTTATATTCTGAGAACTGCAATGGGAATGCCTTTGGGAGGCTGGTGTGTGTGTTTCTGTTGAACAATAGGATGCATAGGCGATTCTCCTCGTGGCTCTTCGCGAAGTTCCATCACGAGCTTTGGCACTCAAGGCTATTGTTCACACCCCTGTCACCCCATTGAAGCAGCAGAGTCCCACTATGCTTAGTCACCTTTCGACCCCTGCATGGCCGATAACGATAAGATCACCCTGAGCCTGACTGGAAGTGGCGCTGGAACGGCGGGGACGCCAAACGTTAAACGTGCTGTCTGGCGACAGGCCTGGAACGTGCAAGTTTGCAACCCGATTCATCAGTAAACAATTTCGTGAGGATCCATTTGTAGCCTGCCTCGTCTAGCGAGAACGGCACGTTCTTTATTCCCAGCGCTGGACGTTATTTCCCGACGAACCGGACCACTGTCCAAAGTACCTAGCAATCTTCTCTTTGCTCCCACCTGCCGGCAAAAGCAACAATGTCAACCCTCTTCTCGGGAATGTGAGTGCAGTTGGTCCCAACCTATCCATTGCTTTCCATCCACCACTCTGGTTGCTTGCTTGCTTCCCCGCAGCCCATCCCCAACTTCGAATACCTCCTGCAGGCCGTATCTTTTTCTTCTTCAAGCCCAGTTCCCTCTCTCACTGCCTGCTTAAGTTTTAACCCTGCAACGTTTATTTTGGGCCTCCCGACCGCCGTCAACTTTAGCAGTGCATGCGAGTGAAGGAGTCTCTGAGCTGCCCAGTAAAGTCGGCCCCCCACACGGGTCCTTGCTTGAGCTGTGAGACAACGAACCAGTGCTGCTTGTCTCGGGTTTAAGTGAGGTGCTCATTTCTTTCTTGGCCGTTTACACTATACCAGGGATCACTCAACAGTTAAACGTTGAGCGGTGACCGTTCTCAGGGGTAGTGCCCCGCGAAGCCGAAGCCAGACGGGGGACACCTCAAAGCCAACCGCTTGTTGCGTGTGCTGTTTCATCCAGCCCGTGTCGTGCCAGTTATTTGGTCTCTTCTTTCTATTTTTGTTTCGACCCGAGCGACCTCAAGTGCACCCAAGGTCGAACGAAGCCCCAGCTACCCTTCAAAAAAACTACCCGAACCCACAACTGCAGTCGCCGCATTTGGCCCTTTGTGAGACTGTGAGTTGACATTAAGGTGCCTTGCCCCATATGTCCGCCCGCCCGTCCTCATTGGGTACCATGCCCTGTCACTGCACCTAACCCTACCTTCCCTACTTTCCTGGTCAATAGCACGCACCAGCTAACCAACGGAAATAGCAACGCCCGCTTCCGCGGCCAGAGAACCCCGAACTCGCCCGGCGCGAGCTCACCGAGCCCCGAGCAACAAGCATCCGTGCAGGCCCAGTCCCAGCCTCAGGCTCAGGCTCAGGCACAAGCGCCAGTATCGGCCCCGTCTACTGCTCCGGCACAGTCTCCGGCCCAGCCTCAACAGGGCCACCCGGGTCACCAAGATAGCCAGTCATCGTCCTCGAATTTTGGAGCAGTGAGGCTCCCGCCACTCCCCACATCACCATCACTTGCTGAGACCATCGGCATGGACCAGGCCAGCGGCACTATGCCGTCAGCCGAGGAGGTCTTGACGGCCTACCACCTCCCACCCGTCAAGCCTCTCTGGCTGAACGCCAATTATGCCAAGCATATTGTCAAGGGGAACTTCTTGACACTAAGTGCGAAGCCCAAGACTGTCGAAATGGGGGAGTGGATTGCTCATCAAGGTAGGCACCTTCTCCCAGACCTCATCTCATTTCACATGCTGACCGAGATACCTAGTCGTTGATCATTGGCGAATGCTTATCACGTTTATTCGCCTGGTTCACGACAAAGAGGAAGACGGATCCTCCATCTGTAACTCACGAAAGTGCTCCAAGATGTCGGCGGGAGCGTACGTTTTACCGGCCTACCTCAAGACCTGGCACAAATGCTAACCAAAAACAGAAACCATTCATTCACCTGGTTGAACAACCGGTACCAACCGGTAGAGATCCCAGCATACGAGTACCTTTCGCTTGTGCAACGGTATATCGCCGGGAAGATCGACGACGGCACCATCTTCCCGACGGACCCAGCCGGTGTCTCGTATGCCGACAACCCGTCGTTCTGCGCGCCGGCGCCCGAATCAGGTCAGGATTGGCTCGGAAAGCGGAGCGGGTTCCCCCAGAACTTCATGGAGACTTGCCAGACCATCTTCCGCCAGATGTTCCGAGTCTATGCGCACCTGTACTGGTCGCACTTCGACGACATGTTCGCCCTCAACCTGGAGAAGTCGATGAACAGCTGCTTCAGTCACTTCATCTTGACGGCGACTACGCTGAACTTGCTCAAGAAGTCAGACCTGGAGCCTATGCAACCGCTGATTGACCTGTGGGCAGCACTGGGGACATTCCCTCAAGGGTCGAAAGCGTTTGAGATTGCCAACCTGCAGGTTGGGCAGCTGCTAGTCCAGAAGGCTGGGGGCCCACCGGCCAACTAAGTGAAAGGAGGTTATCCAGATGAGCACAGGCATTGACACGGGGCAAGGCTGGGTTTTGGCATAGGGGAAGCGAGACGGTGCTCATTTGTGCTCATTTCTACTTGCTTCTCATACCCGGGACAAAAAAAAGGCATTTGCAGTCATCGGTCGCAGCAATTTGTTTTTAGCATGGCCGCATTCAGGCATACACAGAGCGGAATACCCAACGGTCCAACCATGGAAATTTGGTTCACATTTCCTGGTTCGTTGGGTATTTAGTAACAGCATAGCACACATAATAGGGAGAGCGCTACTCTCATTCTGACTCTGTCTGTGATCATGATATGGATCACTAACCAGCACCCCCGCCGTGATTAGTCTAAGCTTCGATCAGTCACCTCGCTAACGAGATACTCCACGATGACGGGTTTGCCGGCCTCGATGACGAACCGGCCGGAACCGACGTAGACTTTCTCCTCCAGTACGGCCAACGCTCCAGTGCCAGCTTCAAATTCCACCACGGTGACTAACATCGTGGAATACGCGTCAGCAAAAATGAAACATAGGGCAACGGTAGGTCAAAGGGGCCCAAAATAAGACAAAAGACACAAGTGCATGCAAAGTGTCACAGAAGAGAAAGCAAACTGTAAACTCACAAGCCTCCCCAAACGGCGTCTCCCCCAACCCAGCCTCACCCCTCAACACCTTCCCCGCCGCCCCTCCCGTCGCAATCTTGCCCTTATACCCAAACCGGACCAAGCCCCCGCTCTTCGCATCCCGCGCCACGCTCTGCACGTCAAGCAGCACGTGCTTGCCGGAAGGGTGCGCCCGGATGTAGTCGGCGCCGTGCTCGATGGCGGCGTCGAGCTGGATGGGGTAGGACGGGTGCGAGACGATGGTGCCGCCGGTGGTGAAGGGGACAAAGGTGAGGGTGGAGGTGAGGGCTGTTGGGGGGGATATGGCGACCTGTGGTTGTGGTGGTGGGTTTAGTTTTCGTGTTGGATTTTGGATTGGGGGAGTGGGTTGTTTGAGAGGGAGATATTACATACACGGACGGTGAAAGCTGGGGTGAGCTTGGGGAAGTTGGCGGCCATGATGGTTGGTTGACTTCGGTTTTTATATGAACGGGATTGAGTTTAGAGTTAGAAGTTGGGATTTGCTCTTCTGACTGGTTGAGGTTCACAGTAAGAAACCCAAACGATGGGACTTGGGGCTTTTAGTTGAAGAAATGGATCTGGAAGCTGTCTCCTTTCAAACTGGGACTTGATGAGGAGAGGAGACTCGAGCTCGCCATATTTAGTTGCAGTTTCCAGCTTCCCTTCTCTTAATGTGGGATTCCGTACCTATGGGCCCACAACCCCTCCGCCATCGTCCCGTCGTACATGGTGAGGGGAAACATTGGCAGCTGAAGAATACTCTTGACTATATGGAATCCGGTCTCGTCCAGCATTTCCACTTAATATTAATAAGTATCTCGACAAAACTGAAGCAGTAACAGTCTGAGGCATTCCGCGGCCGTCAAGCTCATTTATTTCGTCAGTAGAGCAGCATAAGAAAGGAAAGTATTGCATCTACTCATTAGATCGGCCTCGGTTCTCAAGCTAGAGATGTCCTGACCCCAGCCCGTAACACGCAGACCCCGTAATACCTAGAGAAGTTGAACACAGCGCAAAATCGGCTCACGACCTTAACTCACACAATTCTTCGTATTGGACTTGTACAAAATTGAAACAATTCCGTTCACAAAACCGAGTTTATTCCAACATTAATCAATCTTATCTCCAATTAGATTATGACTTCCGTGGTCAGTCACAACTTTAGACTTCCAAACTCGGCCAACGACGGATCCGTCCAGTAAAAGAGAGGGTCTTGAGGGCGTGCCCAGAGAGCCCGGCATCACCTGACGTCCGGGGTTCGGGGCAGTCGCCAGGCCCACTGCGCCTTCCAATCAACAGCTGCAGGCCAAGCTGCGGCCTCTTCTTGGGGCTGACATCACTCGAGTCCCGGCCAAGAAGCCCGCCAAAGCTGCTATTGGACCGAGAATCCGGGATCTCCAGTACCAACGGCTTTTCCTCGAAACCATCCATGCCGGAGGTTTTAACTCTCACAATGCGATCTCTTCCCCCCTTTCGCGGACTTTATCGACCGCCGATACTAGGACAAGCCTAATCTTGCGATCCGCTGCGTCACACCGCACACCGCACCGCCCCTAATCAGCCTCGGTATAAGGTTCCGGGGGCCGCCCGAGACAGTCGAGAGCCAACCCCTTGCCCAGGGCTTCGATCTTCACTTTCCCAAACCCACCCCCTTTGGACGTGGCGCCAATCACGCCTGCAGCTTTTCCTTCAGTTCTCTTCCGTTCCGCGACCCCCACAGCTTTCGATATCTCCGTTCAATCGATGTGGGGGAATTGGGTAAACAGGCAGTCGTTAGGCGTTTTGAAGGCTCAGCCCCACGTGCGGGAATCCCCACGGCTTTGACGTTGTTGCCCCAAATCCACGACAGGCACCCCACTAGCCTGATTCGCCGGTCTTTCGTGCCTCGCCCCCAGGCTCGTTGTCTCGGTTTCTCAACCTAATGGACTCATCAAACGGACGATCCCGCCCCGACGTGCCCGGGTCAACGCCCGCGCAGACGTCGAACCCTCCATCTTCATCCGGTCACGGCCCGCGACGGCGCAGGAACCACAGAGGGGGCCGGAAGAAAAAGCAGAGGAGAAAGTCATTTGCACTACCCGCCGATGAGATTGCCCAAGATAGCGTTACCGAGGAGGGGCTGGACGAAGGCGTGCAGAGCTTCTATCAGAGGCCGGGGAGGAACTTGAGTACGACAAGTATCGAGAGTGAAGCGCTCTTGGATCACAGGTGAGAGAGATTCGTTGGCCCCGCTGCTGCCATATCGCGAGGCACACTCTGACCGAAAATCTATGTTTAGGACCCAGCAACCCTTCCTACGCCCTCGACGTCCTTCTGTGATGACGACAAGCACTTCGTTCCCAGCCCCACAGCCACCCCCGAGGTCACGAACCGCTACTATGAGAATAGAGAGCGACGAGGAGGACGAGGGCGCCCCCCTTCTCCCCAGCCCCATGCGACAGAGGAGCGACCCGATGGCGGCTTATGGAACGGGCGATGCCCCGCGAAAGACCAGGCCCGCCAGCGGGCGCGGATCGAGCTTGGCAAGCAGCAAAAGGGGTCGGCAGGCTGCCGATACCTACAACGTCAACTACCCGCCCTCGGTGCCGGGCTCGCCTCCCCTCCACGCCGCGGATCACATGTCCATGAGCTTTGGTGACGTCTTGCTCCGCGATGAGATCAACCACGGCGAGCATTCATCGCCTAGGGGGAGTGTCGATGACGGCGACAGGATCTCACCGCTGGAGAGGAGGAAAACCATTGCCCTTCAAGCCCAAGAAGATGTGTGCTTTCCGCAAGAAGGCCTCTCGGATCTTGGCGACGAGGAGATCAATGTTCGCGGGCCGGCGGACCGGCCAAGACCGCGTAGGCGGCGAGGGAAGTGGCCTGATCTGGGGATCTTGGACGAATGGAGTCGATTTGAGAAGGAGGGACGAAGCGAAGAGCGTCGCGCGAAACGCATTACCGAACCACAGCTCATCAATGGCCGGTTGCGGCCCGTACACCGCGGCTGGTTCCAAGCCGAGGAGGCAGCACCGTACCGTTTTACTTATTTCAACGAAGAGTTCCCAAGTACCATTCACAGCCAAACCATATCGGAGCTCGTCCAGCCAGGCGGAACGTTCCGGGAGCTTTTTATTCCAGATCCTCCGATCCTGTCGGACAGTTCCGATAGTGAGGGCGAGGAGGATCCGAACCCGGGTCTGTACGAAGTACTCGGTGGCCAGGGCGTTGACCCAAGAATTCCATCACTGCAGCCGTCCTTCGCAACCACTACCACTACCACGGCCGCCCTGGATAATGGGCGGAAGCCTTCGGCCAATAGTGAGGGAACGAAGGCAGAGTCAGCAGGGCATACTCCAGCGGGGTGCAAATCTCCAGATCCAAACAAAGCCTCACAAAACGGGGCCTCTCCTAAGCCACTAAAATACGGAGACCGCCCGGTATGGTGGCTCGACGTGCTCAGTCCTACCGAGGCTGAGATGAAGGTCATCTCCAAGGCCTTCGGGATCCATCCGCTCACCGCCGAAGACATCATGATGCAAGAGCAACGAGAGAAAGTCGAGCTCTTTCGCAACTACTACTTCGTCAACTACCGCTCCTTCGACCAAGACCAGACTAGCGACGACTTCCTCGAGCCCGTCAACATGTATGTCGTCGTGTTCCGCGAAGGCGTGATCAGCTTTCACTTCTCCGTAACCCCGCACCCGGCCAACGTCCGCCGCCGCATCCGCCAGCTCCGCGACTACCTCATTTTATCGTCCGACTGGATCTCGTACGCCATCATCGACGACATCACTGACGTCTTCGGCCCGCTCATCCAGGACATCGAGGACGAGGTTGACGAGATCGACGACGCCATCCTGCTGATGCATTCGGAGGAGGACCAGGCCGCGCGTGCAGAGCGTCGGCGGCTAAACGAGAAGCCAGACCCGGCCGCCGAGGTCAAGTCGGCGGAGGCAGGGCGCGATATGCTCCGGCGTGTGGGGGACTGTCGAAAGAAGGTCATGTCGCTGTACCGCTTGCTTAGCAACAAGGCGGATGTGATCAAGGGGTTTGCTAAACGGTGCAACGAGCACTGGGAGGTGGCGCCACGGTCGGAGATTGGGTTGTACCTCGGCGATATCCAGGATCATATTGTGACCATGACCTCGAATTTGAGTCACTATGAGAAGTAAGCGCTTCAGCCCTGCATTCAGCCCGAAAAATAGAAGGAAAATAAAAGACAAAAAACAACACTAACTTGACCACGTACATCAGAATCCTCGCCCGTTCCCATGGAAACTATCTCGCACAAATCAACATCCGCATGAATGAACGACAGGAGCAGACCGCCGACGTGCTTGGCAAGCTGACGGTACTCGGCACCATTGTGCTGCCTATGAACATCATCACAGGCCTGTGGGGCATGAACGTGTGGGTGCCCGGGCAGGAGGACGAAGGGAATCTGAACTGGTTTATTGCGATCACGCTGGGCTTGTTGCTCTTTGGCGTTGCGTGTTTCATGATTGCGAAGAGGGTGTATAATATTGTGTGAGGTGATGTTTTGGTGAGCGTGAGGTGCATTCTGTTGACTTCTAAGGGTTGGATGTCGACTGAGGGCTGGCTCTTCTGGATTTTGAGGAGTTTTTGGACAGTGGGTGTTGGACCTGGCGTTTGGTTTGGCTTCTACATGCATGGGCGAAGAAGGTGCATGTACACCTGCATCAGGTGCATCAGTTTCTTTACACGCATACGTGGGTACGGGAGCCCTGTGCTAGAACGCAGTGGAGGGAAATGTAGAATTACGCTGAATGGTTAGTGGAAAGCATGTTTATCGGGTAGTAATTAGTACAACAGAGGGTGAAGATGGTTTGGACAGTAATATCGCATCACATTGGTGTCTGAGTATTTCCTTCTATAATGAAATTACCCCTTGCTTTCTTCCCCTCTCGAGCCTGGAACGCTAAAGGGCGGTGTAATGGCCCCCAGTCGCGATACCTGGGGCTGGTTAAATCTTGGGTTCTTGGTATCCTGCCTAATCACCTTGTTCTTTTCGCCTCCATCGGCCGTGTCTGCCAACCGCCCGAGTCCGTAGAATTGCCTATCAAAAAGCCCGTTTTCCGACTTCGAGATAGACCTAAGGCTGCTTCGTCTGATCACAAGTGCCCCTTCCTGCCCTAATAGCCGTATTCATACCGCGATGAAGGGTCAGGAAGTGAAAGAGAGAGATCAGAGATCAATCTGCCGTCCTCCCCTTCCCTAACGGTGAACCTGCGTAGCATAACTCGCCCGCAGCGCCATAATCTGCTGTCTCTCCACCTCAGGCAGCTGATCAATCGTCTCCTGAGGCAGCTCCATCACAGCGCGCATCAGCGCATCCGGATCCTGCTGGCCAGCAGCGGGCGCCGGAGCCGGAGCCGGAGCTACAGCGGGTGCACCACCAACGGGCGTACCGTGTTGCGGGTAATGGTGCGGGACTGCCGGCGGGGGCGCGTAGCCTCCAACAGGGGGAGTTCCGGTGGCACCACCGGCGGGTGTACCAGCACCGGCGGCCGCAGCCGCAGCAGCAGCAGCAGCCGCGGCGCCAGCGGGCGCGCCGGGTTCGAGAACCATGTTGATGGCTTCGGGGGAGACCAAGCCCATGATGAGCAAGGCCTGGAAGATGGCGTAGCTGAGCTGGGGGGCCTGGGTGAGGAGGTCGGTGGCGCGCTGGGGGTCGGCGGTCGCGAGGGTTTTCATCTGCTGGAGGATGTCGAGTAGTTGCGCGGGTGGGAGGGTGTTGAGGGTGCGTGAGATGGCGTCGGTGCAGGATACGCCGGGGGGAAGGTCTTTGCCTTGTGGGAGAGGGGGTAGCGAGGTACCACCGGCACCGGCACCAGCGGATGGGGCATTGGTTTGGTACGACGATGCGCCTGCGTTGGTGTTGCTGCCGTTGGGCGCAGAGGGGTTGGGGTAGTTAGCGCTACCACTACTGCCGGCCTGGGGTTGGGATGGTTAGTTATGACTGTTGATGAGACGGGAGATATGATGATTCAAACAAAAGAGAAGAGAACATACCTGGCCATCGCGATCGCGATTGTCCTCGTCGCTAACGGTTTCGTTGCTGAAGTCAACCCGCAGCTTGCGACCCATGATCTCGTGGTCGTTGAGGTTCCTCACAGCCGATGCAGCAGAATCTAATTCAAGCCCAGTCAGTGAACCGCCCGCTCGCCCAGATACTTTTGAGAAAAGCTGGGTACACACCGTAATCAGGGAATTCGGCAAAACCAAAACCCTTTGGCCGGCCAGTTTCTCGATCGTAAACAAGCCGGAAATTGAGGACCCTCCCTGCGCCGCTGAAGATTTCTGTGATTTGCTCTTCCGTCAAGCCTACGGGGGTTGTTAGCGACGGGTCCGGGTCCGGGTCGCCATCGCGACTTCTGTGTGAGGGAAACTCACCATATGGAATGTTCCCCACGAACACGACGCGCGACGGCTGCCGGGTCGACATTGTGTGTGGAATTGTCAGACAACTGGTCTGTGAATGCCGATCCTAAATCAATGATGGTATGGGTCTGTCTCCTGCTGCTCTTCAGGAGGTGAAAACTGCAAGCGAGGAAAGCGAGATATGGATATGTGCAAAGAGAGAACACAAAAGAGTGCGCAGCGCTGAGGCGTTGGAGAACGTCAATCACGTTTGGCACCAGGTCGGCAGGCGATGGAGAGGGGGGTTGTGAGTTTTCTGGGGAGAACACCACTGAGGCTGGCCTTGGTGGGCAGGGAAACAAAAACAAAGGCAACGGAAACAATGGGACGATTTGCACCAGAGGAAGTGGGCTACCACAGCAACTTTTGGTATTTCCAAGCTTTCCAGTCACCCAATCTCACGTGAGCGCCTTGTTCTTCAATCCAGCGTGTTGTTTTGACGGTCTGATATGCTTTCTTGCAAGAGAGAGATGATGCGGATGGGAGAGATGAAATTGAAGAGCTGGAAAACATTTGACGTTGACAGAAACACATTAATCGGTACGTACTCTTGGGCCCCTGCAGGGATGTTGCAACTTCCAATTCAAAGCAGTGGAGTTGCTCCGGTTGTGGAACACGTGAGCGGTCGATAAAATCCACGCACGGACCACATTTCTTCGCAAACCCTTGAAGCTTGGCCGGAAGCTCGTCGATTCCCCACCAAGCAAACTGAGCTGCTGCAGGACGGTCCCGCGCAACGCAACACCCGACAACCTCAGCTACCGAGTAGCCAGTTCCGCCAACATGTCGAATCGCAGCCCATTCGAGGAATACGCAAAGAGGTTCCGGCAGGCTGCTGCGTCCGGCGGCCGCGGAGGTTTCCCAGCTGGCGGGGGTTTTCCCGGCGGCGCACCCAAGGGCCTCGGCGGGGGTCTTGTCGGTCTCCTCCTGCTCGGCGGCGGCGCCTGGTTTTTCCAGAACGCCCTCTTCAACGTCGATGGTGGTCACAGGGCAATCAAGTACAGGAGGTTGAGTGGTGTCAGCAAGGATATTTACAGTGAAGGTGCGCCACCCGTCAATCCCGTCAATCCCGTTGATTCCGTCGATTCCGTCGATTCCGTCGATCCTGTTGGTGCTATGGTTTTAGGAGGAAGGCGGAAAAGAGGGGGGATAAGTTGGGCAAAAGACGGACGGACGGAGAGGAGCGAATGAAGAGACACAGACAACGGTTAACACGGAGTTAGGAACCCACATCAACATCCCATGGTTCGAAACACCAGTTGTCTACGACGTACGAGCGAAGCCGAGGAATGTGTCGTCCCTGACGGGCACCAAGGATCTGCAGATGGTCAACATCACCTGCCGTGTGTTGTCGAGGCCAGAGATTCAGTCACTGCCCCAAATCTACCGGACGCTCGGCCAGGACTATGACGAGCGCGTGCTCCCGTCCATTGTGAATGAGGTTCTCAAGAGCGTCGTTGCCCAGTTCAACGCCAGCCAGTTGATTACCCAGCGTGAGATGGTCGCCCGCCTGGTGCGCGAAAACCTATCCCGGAGAGCGGCGCGCTTCAATATTGTGCTGGACGATGTGTCCTTGACGGTACGCAATTCAAGCCCTTTTTCGTTTCCAATATGTCCTTTGCAGGGAAACATACTAACTATCCTCTAGCACCTCGCCTTCTCACCCGAATTCACCGCCGCTGTCGAGGCCAAGCAGGTCGCACAACAAGAAGCGCAGCGTGCCGCCTTCGTGGTTGACAAGGCCCGACAGGAGAAGCAAGCCATGGTTGTCAAGGCCCAGGGTGAGGCGCGGTCTGCAGAGCTGATTGGTGACGCCATCAAGAAGAACAAGGCGTATGTGGGGCTGAAGAAATTGGAAAACGCGCGAGCGATTGCCGGATTACTCCAGGAGGCGGGTGGCAAGAACAGGTTGCTCCTAGACGCGGAGGGCCTAGGGCTGAATGTGTTCAGCGACGACGAGAAGAATTAACGAGAACAAGGAAGAGCTGGGAAGGAGCACGGGAAGTGGGCGCCATGTGTGCGACATGGCAAATCTCTACTGTATGTATGTGTAAGGAAAGTATGGCCAGCACCCCTCTGTAACAACAGCGAAAAGAAAAACCCCCCATGATGATGATTGGACAGGTCCACGTGAAAACGGCTATGATTTCGGTCGGACTCGGAAAAAGTCGCCCCCTAGGCCGCCCACAAGGCTCCAAGATAGGATCAAGAACTTCATGGTTGACTGACAGGACTGGTCGCCTAATTTTGGTCTCAATGCCTTGATGTTGCTGATCCTTGCCATGGCGCAGGCCGAGGAAGAACCCCGCAGATGCGAGCGTCGCCTAATCCTGGTGTTGCCATTCGTCCAAGTGTTGCCAATCGAACTCGAATGGGAAGATCCTCCGGACGCCCTGCGCTGTCACGTCCCACGGGCTGCATCCTTTGATGGCGGACGGCTGCAGAAGGAGACCAGCTTGCCAGGGCAACAGAGCCAAGGAACTGCAATCTTAATGGCGAAAGGGAAGAGGCCGGGGAAAACCTTAAACTTGACAGGTTCTCGCGCGACTGCAAAAATACTTTATACGTTTGCTTTTTTTTTGTCATCTGGTGATGACAACAACCAGCAAACAAGCCTCATCGTCCAACACACAGAATGGCCCATGCTCAAGCAACCACCCAACTCGATCCTAGGCCGTCCCCCACAGATGGACCAGGGCTCGGCGAGGTAACACCATCAGCGTGCTATGATGTTTGCCGTAAGGAATCTCGATCTTTGATCACACTTCGAGGCGAAATGAAAGGCGAGCTGACTTGACATCGCCCATCCGCCATATAGAAAATGCCTTCACGGTCTTACAACAAAACGGCGGCCTGACGCCCACGCTCTGTGCGGCCACCGGACCTTTCGCCGAATACGCCCAGTCTTGCTCGAGCTGCTACCGACAAAACGGCGCCACCCTCAACAGCTCATCCGGAGTCGGCCAGGCCATCGCCTACTGCGCCGGCGACCTACCAAGTAGCGTCCCCAGCTCTGCGGTCGGGAGCTCGCCTGCTGCTACTACCAACACCGCGAGGACATCGTACACCATTCCGACGTCGTGGTTGACACACTCCACGACCCTGTCAGTGAGCACTTTTACGGGGTTGATTGAGCACGGGACAACGACGAATCGGGTGTATACGCTCGTGGTGGATGTGGTGGTGACGCGCTCGGATTGGACTGGGTTTAGGACCGCCACGGCCTCGACGGGCAGAGCACCACCACCTACCAGTACCGGTAGTAGAGGGGGTGGTAAGTCTTTTTCCTTTTTTTTTCTTTTCCATTTATATACGTTTTTCATGTACTTCCATTCACCTATAGGAACCACCCTAGAAGGCGGTGTGGGTGTACCTGACAATGGCACGAGCATAGCTAACTTACACACCATCATAGAGTCCAACTCCGGGGGAAGCCAAGCCTGGATCGCAGGCCCGGTCATCGGCGGTGTCGTGGGCCTAGCCGCCATCGCAGCGGCAACCTACTTCTTGCTCCGCCGTCGCCGTTGCCGCAAGCAAAACATCATTGACCACGACCACCCTCAAGAAACATGGGACGGCAAGCCCGAGCTGCATGCCGACGACCTCCCGGGACCTCCGAAGCCGTTCGAAGTCTCCGGAGACAGCCGGCTGCCACAGGAGTTGGATGGGTCGGCAAAGTATTATGGCCATCAACAACGGCCCAGTGAGGGTTGGGGGACGGCGGAGTTGGCGGCGAACGAGACTGCGGCGAGGGAGATGCACGTGAAATCGGGGTCGCAGGAGATGGAGGGGGAAGGGCATATCTTGCTGGGCCAAGGGCATAACCAGCAGGGCCAAGGGCAGGGACATCCAGGCGGCGGTGTATGATGAGGGTATCGGAGGCGCGGGCGACAGATTTCGGGCGGTTTTGGAAACGCATGCTCTTGGAGCCGGGGTAAGTTGGGCGTATTCATTGCTACGGACCTGGGTCGGTAGGGGGGGCATATACAGTACCAAAGGTACATACATACCTAGAAATATTGTTGGTGGGGTTGAGCGAGGCTGGAACTCGGACGTATATAAATACCCGCTAGTGAGTGCTTTGGACAACATGAAAGTAATAAGGAATGAATAATGATTCTCACTATAGGTATCATGTAGTACATTGATACATGCCCCGATCCTCTTACCTGATATTCCGAGTTCGTGCAAATCCCGGAATTTACTTCACTTGACAGTAAATATAGTACAGAATACATAACTGGTACAAAGGATCAAAGGGAGGAAGACTCACGGACGCACCTTGGACCCACTCGATGCCGCGACCCCACTACCCCTCCTCATCCAACGAAGCACCTTGAACCTCTTTCACTGCCACACCTTGTTTGCTGCCTTCAGCCTGCTCTACCGAACTTCTCAGCCTGCCCGCCACAGATCCATTTGTATTTCCCACCTTGCGGACCACGCGACAACACTCCGACTTTGCCGATCACCCCTTCAACTCAAGTTAACCGTTTGTCTGGGGACTTTTGCGATCTATCTCAAACCCTCACCCAACGTCACGTCACTTTCATACGAAAAACACCCAAACCGCCAAGATGCTCATCAAGTACAGCCAGCCCCGCCGTTGAAACACGCCAGCTTTCCATCGTGTTCTTATGGAACCATGACTAACCAGCGTGCCCACGGCTAGGGTCCGCACGCTCACCGGCAAGGAAATCGAGCTCACCATCGAGGGCGGCGATACGGTGTGTTACTGAATCCTTGAGCACTCCCCCAACTCACGTTCCATTCCATGTCTTCACCTCGCTATCATGACAGTATCATGAATTCATACTCAGCGAGTGCATGCTGACTAACAAACAAACAAAAGGTTTTCAAGATCAAGGAACTAGTTGAAGAGAAGGAGGGTATCCCTCCGGCTCAGCAGCGTCTGATCCACGGCGGCAAGCAAATGTAAGAAAGCTTGCTTCAATGATCCACACTCTCACAACTCACACGTCCCTCCTCGTCATCACCATACCCCTCAACCTACCACTTCCATCATCACACCTCCTTGCTCTCCTAGTCGGTACTAGCAACCACGAGGCTCAGACCTTCAAACCAAGACTCAAGTGAGGATCGATCCAAGTGGTATTATTCGAGCCGAAAAAGGATAGGGCCGAAGGGGGGAAATATATATGTCTTAATACTAATTACATCCTTCTATGCACACACGAAATAGGCTCGACGACAAGACAGCCGACGACTACTCCCTCGTGGGAGGTGCCACGCTACATTTGGTCTTGGCGCTCCGTGGCGGGCTATGAGACGCATGAGTTGAGACGGAGAAGAAGGAAGAGGACGACGGAGGAGGAAAGAGGAGGGGGAAATGTGGTAATGATCCAACGCAGAGCCAAGGCCGCCGGCTGAAGGGCCAACACTGCTGCTTAGGCGCAAAGGATCAGGCCGGATAGCGCCAGTGGAGCTGGTGGGTGTGAAGGAATAAGGGGGGAGGTCTCGCTCTCTGTGTGAAAGGGGCAGGTCAGGAGGCGGTGCGAACTGGTTGCGGTGGTACACTCTTGTTGATTCTGCTGAATAGGACCACCTATTTCCCTGGCGAATTGGTGTTGTAGCGACGGTTATGATTATGTATACCTGTTTTTATACATTCAGTGAGGAGATTACGTGCTGTGAAGAATGACCGTTGTGTCTTGTTTTCTGTTCTAGAATGGCACCCACCCCATATCGCTCAACGCTCGCTTTTAGCCGTGTCAAAAGGCTGATGTTCGCGGTGAATACCGTGGGTTCGTCAGCAACGTAGCAAGTAGGTGGGCTTTAGTAGACGGTGATATTGCCATATTATCCAGTAACTTCAACGAGTGCCACAATCGACCAGGGGGGTGGACCAAGAAAATCATAAATCAGGCAAACCCAATGATTAGGTTCTTATACACCTTGGTGGAAGATGACGGTTCGCTGGTGTAGAACAACAACCCAGTTCAAAAGAAATGTGCCGTTCAACGAAATCAGTTGATTTGGAACAGTATGGTATTAAGCACTAATTATTATCATTCTTGGTTACCACCAATTGACACGACAAATACCCCATGAATCCAATTTCGAGGTACAAATGTGACGGTATAATAGGTACCAACTCCAACCTAAAGACCTCCACCAAGACAAAATCTTCTAGAGACCATGAACCCAACCACTGTATTTCGCATCATAAGCAACTATAAGTCACAAAGCCCCATGTAACCATTGAACTCCAGTCCTATCTACATTCATGTTATGCTATATGCCCACAACCTCAACTCCATTTGTGGATCACCGCATTTTCAGGAAGCTCTGGACCCGATTGTGGTGAACGCTGATTATATTAGGCGATCTAAAGTTTGAAACGCCGCCAACTATGTAAAATTCCAACGCTGTTATGTAGCCTTGGGCCCCATTCTCAAATTATCAAGCCACCCGAACGATCCGCTGATCACCAAAAACACCGCTTCTTTTTTTTTCTTTTTTTTTTTGGTTTTTGGTTTTGGGTGTTTTTTTTTTTTGAAGAAAAAGACGGGCATGATTATGTAGCCCGACTTTCGGTGTCAACCGTCCATCCAGCTACTCAGGACCGGCGCGGCGGTGGCGGGCGGCCCTTGTTGGCGCCCGGTGCGGCCGACAGACCGATGCCCCTTTGGCGGGGCCGGACGGCCGGGTTGGAAGGTCGAGGAGGGTGTCGGAGAGCCAGTGTGGAAGGCCGAGGATGGTTTCGGAGAGCCGCATTGGACGCCGCGGAAGAGGATGCAGTTGCTTCTTCCACGCTGCGGCGACGCTTCGCGGCGTTCGTTTCGTCCGAGTCCTCCACGGCCCGGGGGCGCTTAGCCGATGGTCGAATTGCCGGGGACGGCAGTAGAGCGGGTGCCTTTTCGGCGGGCGAAGACGCAGCGATCCGTGCGAGTCTGGCGAACTTGCGATCACCAAAAAGATCATCGTCATCGTCATCGTCCTCGACCAAGTTGGCATCGTCGACGTCGTCCTTGTCACCGAGGCCGCCGGGAGACTTGACGGCCACGGGATCTTCGTCCTCATCGTCGCTAAAGCTGAGAATGTTGGTGGCGGTTTGTTGCTTGGCTCGATTCGCGTCCTTGATGCGAAGCAAGCGTGACTCACGCTCCTGCCGCTCCTGGGTCGACTTGTTGGAGGCCGGGGCGGCTTTGGAGGTAGGAGGGCGAATCTTGAGATCCGGCTGCTGTCGGATCCGAGCTTGCTCAACCATGGACCTAGGAGCCTGTTTGATTTGGCCGGCAGGGACAGGAAGCTTTCCAGTCGGTGTGCCAAGGCGAAAGCGCGAAGCTTCCAGCTGTAGCTGGGCCTTGGTCTTTGACATGAATGTCGACTTTCCGCGCGGCAGGCTCCAGCCGGGCTTCGCTCGGTGGTGAGGTTGGAGTTTGATGCCTTCGTGGGCTGAGATGAGCTGGGCAGAACGGGACTGCTTCTGCTCTGTTTTTGCCGCAAACCCTTGGATGAGCTTTGCGGTAGCGGCGGCGATGTTCTCCTCTTCGAGCTTCTTGTATTTGTCGTAGACCTTGTGCCACGACTTGGGGTTCTGTGGCTCGAAATTGTGGCGAGAAGACAGGATCGGAAAGTCCCTTTTGATGAGGCGTTTCCAGTGTTGGGGGGTGAGATCCCAGATTTCGGTGCTGTTGGCCTCCAACTGGTGTAACTGGGTCGCAGTCTTCACAGCCTTGAGGATTGGCTGAACGTAGGATTCGGGCAAAATGCCCAGCTCCGTGATGAGGTCGACGTTTTTGATAGCCACATCAAGACACATCTCTGAGAGAAAACGGGGACCCTTACGGGACCCGGTACTCTCGAGATGAGCCTGGGGAGGCGGAATGAGGGAGTCGTAGTTGACCATGATGAACAACTTCGAGTGAAGATATGATTAAAGGGGTTTGTTGTTTTGTTCTTTGTGTTGTGTTTTGAGAGAGTGTGTGTTTTTCTTGTCTTGGGATGTGACGTCAACAAGATAAGAACTTATATTCATGAGAGTATGGGGCTCAGAAGAGAAGAAGGGCGAGAGAACGGGTGGTAAGGAAAGGGGGGGACGCCTTATATACTTTTTAGATGATGGCGGTCGGGCCCTCGAGAATCTGAGAATGAGGAGGATGCAGGCTGTAAGGTTTGTGATTCTCGTAGGGTCGGGAAAGTTCGAAAATGACGGTGCTGCAGGTGCATGCAGAAAATTGCGAGAGGTTATGTGGGTGGTAAGGTTCGACCATTGTTGCGAAGCTTGATGAGCGAAGCTCAAGGAACAACACAAGATGAGACGAGGCCGGCTTTCTCACGCAAAGTATCGGGTGACCCCACAGAGCTTAATTCCCAGTACAAAAAGAGTATAAATGTTAGCTCTATTGTGCTATATAGGAACAATGGGTAAGCAAATTGGGGGGTTCCTTCCTCTTTGGTGGTTGATGCAATGACGGGACGGGCTCATGATAACTTTTGAGTGAGTTGCAGGAGGAAGGAGCATGCGCGCCGTTCATTCTCCCACTTGCAGGGGTAGTGCACAGTGCAAAGCGCGCGGTGCGAACATTGAGAGCTCCAAAGTTCTAAGTTGGTACGCCACCTTAATTATCATGGCAAATAGAAAGCCTAAGAATCGGGCTACATGTAACACAGGCAGTTTCTATTCTGTTCTTCAAGATCTTTTCACTTTGTGGAGTCACACGCCCTCTGGAATTTGGTATGTGCGCTGCAGCTCCAGTTGGTAGGTAGTCGTTAGCGCACTGTGCCATTCTGACCTTTATCGTACAAATCGAGTTTGGCTGTGGGCCAAGCATCTTTCAGCCTTGTTCAATAAACACAACGTTAGCGACTTCGCCCGAAGCGATTCAATTTTTGACCCAGCCGTTTGCCGAGCCTCTTTGGGGACCGCCCCGCGAGCTTTGCTATTCCATTCGCCCACTTCACCTCCGCGACAGACAACATAGACCTCAACAAGATACTCCTTCCCAACTTCCACGACGGCCCAAAATGGCGTCTTGGGGCCTCCTCGACGACAAGGAGGAGAACGAACTCCACAAGTCCCGACTGTTGAACGTCGAGGAGAAGCCATTCAAACGCATAACCAAGCGCCTCAATACTCTCCACTCCATCACCACTGCTCGAGCCCGCCAGGCACCGACACCGCCCCCCGAAACAAACGGCGCAAGCCAGCCACCACCACCACCACAACAGCGCGACGAGACACCGGGCCCCGGCACCGATGCTGCTGCCACTGGAGACGGCTTCCCCGATCTAGCCCAGATTCGCGAAGACATAACGATTGATTTTGCGGCCTTCGACAGCGGTATCGCACGGCTGCAATTCTTGTTGACGGCCAACGAGCGCGAACGCGAGCGATATGCCACGGAGCGCGAACGTATCCTAGCCGCATCACAAGCAGTACGCGACGACACAGCCCAGCTTCGTACGCAGCTGGAACAAGCACGTGCTACCCTCGCGCAACGCCGGGAGTTTGATGCGCTTGCCGATGCCATTACGAGCAACGCGGCACTCCGTCCGCGGGCCGAACAGGCGGCCGTGTTAGTCAAGCTACGTGATGAAATTGCAGATTTAGAGGCAGAGCGGGAGGCATACGGTGTCACGTGGAATGAACGGCGCGAACAGTTTGCTAAGATCATGGACGAGAGCATGCGACTGAGGCGACTAATCCGCGATGAGAAGGAGGAAGTTGAAAGGCGAGAGGGTATGGAGGACGACGAAGGCGGCGCCACGCCGCGGCCTTCAGGGCTAGGTAGCCGGGAAGGATCTCCTCACCCGGAAGGAAGGTTAGCACCTAAGAGCGTTGCGGGGAGCGAGGCGGTAGGCACACCACGGCCACTGTCTGCTGGGGGGAGGACACCGGTGAGGGATAGCCCTGCTCCGGGCCAAGACGGGCTCTCCTTTGTGGCGGCTAAGCGGGCAACAACGGCTACGGATGCCAACTATTTGCAGGTTGGGAGCCAAATGGGGAGCCAGGCAGGGAGCCGTGAAGGTTCGGCGGAGCGGGAAACACAGGCCTCGGCGGAGGAGGGCGAGGATGTCGAGATGGTGGAGGTCACGAAGGACCATGAGTCGGAACCCGACAGCCCACTCACACCGCCTCCAGCTGAGGACACGCCGCAGATTGTGGTCAATGGTGAAGGCGATAGCATGGACACTACATAATGTTGGCTGTATTCGAGCGCATGTCGAGCTTGCATGGCCCTGCTCGTGCGACACCGGTGTGGAATAGTACGGAACAGGAGATACCCAAGTTACCTAATGGTTAAAGCGTGGAAATTGCGAGAAAGCGTTGCGCAAGTTAGCCGCGCACCCTGCGTTCAACTTGAGACCGAACCCCTCAGATACGACGGGTCTATGCCTCCTCCTGAATCTCAGTAGCCTTCTGCCCCGTTCCCAGCGCTTCCTTTGCCTTCTTCAGTTCCTCTTCCGACCCATTTCCGTCGCTTTCCGTGATCGCAATCTGTTCTTCGAGCTTCTCCACGGCCTCCGTTATCCGTTTCTTGAGCGGCTCAAACACGGCCTTCGTCTCTTCCAAGGCGGCTTTCTAGATCGAGGGTTAGGGTTTCTTCGTCTCAATCGAGTCGGCATTGCACGTGCAACGGGGTAGCTTGCCTCCTGTTTTAGGATGTACTCGGAGTTGGTGTCCAGATCTGGACTGTTGTTTTCGATATCCTCTTCGAGTTTGTTGATCCGCTTTTCTTGACTGGCCTGTTCTTTGTGGTAGTAGGACTCTTCTTTAACCAGGCGGTTGACGGCCTGCGTCGCGATAGCGAGCGGTGTGGGCGGAGCCATTTTAAGGGGGAGTTGGCAAAAGACCGCAAAAGAGAATGGGTTTATGACAGTTTGGCTACAGAGTCAATGAAAAGGGCGAAGAGTATCTGGCGATGAGGAATTGCTTGCTTTCACCTTGAACGGTCTTTGATCGTTGCCTGTGCCTGTTTGTGTTGACTTGGGTGGGGTTGGCGGGGTAAATTTCTGGCCAAATGGAAACTGAGCTTTTGACGACATGCGTGGCTTAAACGGGGAATTCCGCAAGCCTTCCCCCCAATAAGGTTTTCCAGGCTACATATTTCGGAGTACTCCCTGTCCTCTTTCTCAACGGTTTGGAGTCACAGTCAAGAACATAGCAAAAGCTGGCTGTGTTTCAGTGGCGAAAAGTTGTGTTTCGTAGCCGAGCTCATACTCCAACCGAAACAAGGAAAATAATTTACCAAAGGTTAGAGTTGATTGTTTCAGCCTTGCCTTCCGTTTAGAACACATCTGATAATAGCACTAACCATCTTCCTTAGAGAAGTGCACCGGTTTCTACCTACTGTGTACCTTACTAAGGTGGCTTTTCGAGTCTCTCTTAAGGAGTTGAGCCTCGTTGAATGTGGGCCAATCGCAACGGGAGAGGACCGGGTTTTTTGGCCTCCGACTTCCGACCGCCGACTACCGCAGGGTTCTTGCTAGGACTTGCCCATTTCGTCCTCGCGTTGAGCATGGGGCTAAACTCTGACCACCGACGGCGAGGTCTTGCCTTGGCGACAGCGTCTTAACTCTCTGCAGGTATTCAACTTTTTTTTTTTTAAAAAAAAATGCAGTGATTACAAGGAAACGTTAGAGAAATCCGTTGTCGTCTTGTCAATGAGATATCGAACCACGATTCTTCAAAAGAATCTCCGATTGGCTGCCCCCGCGCTGGGAGAAAGTAACGGTGCCGGAGCATGCACTGGCATGGATGACATGCAGGGCTGAGCCGAACGTCACAGAATCGAGAGCGGCCCTGAGCGTGGGCCTGGACCAACAGGCGGCTTCCCTGGTTGGCGGTGCGGCATGTGTCAGGCCCAGCGCTGTGGCCCACTTAGGAAAGCCGCCGAGCGGCGATTTGTTTGAACTGGACACGTCGTGCAGATGGATTGATTCGGAACAAAAGAAGAAGGCTGGCCTGTTTTGAACCTTTTGGGTCCTCCCGATCCGCTCGTTTTGGATTTTTTTTCTCTGTTGGAGAGGACATTGTTGGTTTCTTTTCCACTGGCCCATGGTTCATTGGTAACCACACCCGTTTCCTTGCATTGGGAGCTTTCCTCGGTGGATTCCCGACTCCAGGTTCCTCGAGGGTCTCAGTTTTCCATTTTCTGCTGCAGTCCCGTCAATCATTCTTCATTAAACAACGCCCCGCTGCGAACCAGGGGCCAGAACGCCCGCGACCATGGAGAACGCGTTTGCGAAGCCGATCGATGGCGTGCTCAGCACGCTCGGTGTGGACAAAACTACTGGTTTAACGGATGAACAAGTCTCGAGGTTACAAGCCAAGCACGGGAAGAATGGTATGCATGCTTGTGTTCCTTTCCCTTGCGCCCCGGATCTTCCGGCACACTATGCTTCACCCTCGTCCTTCTCGATGGTAGCAACAGCTAACACCTCCCCCTCATAGCAATTCCCGAAGAACCCCCAACACCCCTTTGGGAGCTCATTCTCGAACAGTTCAAAGATCAGCTCGTCCTGATCCTCCTCGGTTCCGCCGCAATTTCTTTCGTGCTCGCACTCTTCGAAGATGAGGGTGGCTGGAGTGCATTCGTCGACCCTGCCGTTATTTTGACCATCCTGATCCTCAATGCCGTCGTCGGAGTATCGCAGGAAAGCAGTGCTGAGAAGGCAATCGCGGCATTGCAGGAATACTCGGCCAACGAGGCCAACGTGGTGCGCAATGGACAAATCCACCGGATCAAAGCCGAGGAGCTTGTGCCTGGTGACATTGTCGATGTCACGGTGGGCGCCCGCATCCCCGCGGATTGCCGACTTGTCGCCATCGAAAGCAACAGCTTCGCCGTTGACCAGGCCATCCTGACTGGAGAGAGTGAGAGCGTGGGCAAAGACTGTCAGGCGGTCATTGACGACGACAAGGCTGTGCTTCAGGACCAAATCAACATGCTCTTTTCCGGGACAACCGTTGTGACTGGCCACGCTAAGGCTGTGGTTGTCTTGACCGGTTCAAACACGGCCATTGGTGACATTCATGAGAGCATCACTGCTCAGATCTCCGAGCCGACCCCGCTCAAGCAAAAGCTCAACGACTTTGGTGACCAGCTCGCGAAGGTGATCACCATTATTTGCGTTCTAGTCTGGCTCATCAACATCCCGCACTTCAACGACGCGAACCATGGCAACTGGACAAAGGGAGCCATCTACTATCTCAAGATTGCCGTTTCGCTGGGTGTCGCCGCCATTCCGGAGGGCCTTGCTGTCGTTATCACCACTTGTCTCGCCCTGGGTACACGCAAGATGGCGGCCAAGAACGCGGTTGTCAGGAGCTTGCCCTCAGTCGAGACACTTGGCAGCTGCAGTGTCATTTGCTCCGACAAGACCGGCACCCTGACCACGAACCAGATGAGCGTCAGCAAGATTGTATACCTGAATGACAACGGTACCGACCTTGAGGAGCTGGACGTCGACGGCACGACGTTCGAGCCTAAGGGCGATATCAAGTCCGCGGGCAAGGTAGTCCGGGATCTTAGCCAAGAGTCAAACACCGTGCTCCAAATCACCGAAGTGGCAGCTCTCTGCAATGACGCCCGACTCGACTATCAGCCGCACACGCATACCTTCTCCAACGTCGGAGAGCCTACCGAAGGTGCTTTGCGGGTCATGGTCGAGAAGATTGGACCCTGCGCCCCCGCCGATACCCAGCCTCAAGACCGTATTCACTACGCCAGCTCCTGGTACGAGAAGATGTACAAGCGGCTAGCCACCTATGAGTTCTCTCGCGATCGTAAGAGCATGTCGGTCCTGGTTGAGAACGGTAGCGAACAGAAGCTCTTTGTGAAGGGCGCCCCCGAGTCTATCATTGAGCGCTGCACACATGCGTTGCTTGGTCGCAATGGCAAGAGGGTTCCTCTTGACCGCAGTCTCGTTGATTTACTCTCGAAGGAGGTTGTCGATTATGGAAACAAGGGTCTTCGTGTCATTGCGTTAGCTCGCCGTGAGCAGGTCAACGGCGAGCCCCTTCTCCACAAGGCCAAATCCACCAGCGAGTATACGGCTCTTGAGCAAAACCTTACTCTTATCGGTCTCGTCGGCATGCTGGACCCTCCCCGCCCAGAGGTCCCCGCTGCTATTCAAAAGTGCAAGAATGCCGGTATTCGTGTCATTGTCGTGACCGGCGACAACCGCAACACGGCCGAGACTATCTGCCGCCAGATCGGTGTATTTGGTCCCAACGAGGACCTCACTGGCAAGAGCTTCACTGGCCGCGAGTTTGACAACCTGAGCCCCAGCGAGCAGCTGGAGGCCGCTAAGACTGCTTCTCTGTTTTCCCGCGTTGAGCCGACCCACAAGTCAAAGCTTGTTGACTTGCTCCAATCTCTCGGTGAGGTTGTTGCCATGACCGGCGACGGTGTCAATGACGCCCCTGCGCTCAAGAAGGCCGACATTGGTGTAGCCATGGGCTCCGGCACTGACGTCTCCAAGCTCGCTGCCGACATGGTTCTCGCCGATGACAACTTCGCCACCATCGGCGTAGCCATTGAGGAAGGCCGTTCCATCTACAACAACACGCAACAGTTTATCCGTTACTTGATTTCGTCCAACATTGGCGAGGTCGTCTCCATCTTCCTGACCGCCGCCCTGGGCATGCCTGAGGCACTAATCCCGGTCCAGCTCCTCTGGGTCAACCTGGTCACTGATGGTCTACCGGCCACCGCGCTCTCCTTCAACCCACCCGACCACGACATCATGAAGCGGCAGCCGCGAAAGCGCGACGAGCCCCTGATCGGTGGCTGGCTCTTCTTCCGGTACATGATTATCGGTACCTACGTCGGCCTCGCCACCGTGGCCGGTTACGCTTGGTGGTTCATGTTCTACTCGGAAGGCCCGCAGATCAGCTTTTACCAGCTGTCGCACTTCCACCGTTGCTCGACCGACTTTCCCGAAATTGGTTGCCAGATTTTCACCAACGACATGGCCAAGTCCGGCTCGACAGTCTCGCTGTCAATCCTGGTCGTTATTGAGATGTTCAACGCCATGAATGCTCTCTCCTCGAGCGAGTCCCTCCTCACGTTGCCCGTCTGGGATAACATGATGCTCGTGGGTGCCATTGCGCTGTCGATGGCCCTGCACTTCGCCCTGCTGTATATTCCCTTCTTGCAGACCCTCTTTTCCATTCTGCCACTGAACTGGACCGAGTGGAAGGCGGTCCTGTTCATCAGTGCACCTGTTATGTAAGTTTTCCCGGTATGATGGTGACTTTAACATCTTCTATGGATATCCACTAACGCAAAATTCCTTAGTCTTATTGATGAGGGCCTTAAGTTGATCGAGCGGGCATTCTTCGTGCAAAGCACAACCCACAAGTTGCCCCAAGGGAAGAAGGACCTTTAGACTAGAGAAGACGTAGTAGGCACATACATGGATGCGCGTGGAGACTTGTACACTAGGATTGTACATAACAAAAACATTCGGGCCATACGGAGGTAGCTCTGATATTTTTGAATTCAAGCATTTTTGTCAAGGAAACTGTAGTCATTTCGTGGCTTGTATTGAGGCGCGGGCCACCGCTCCTCATAGTGCTTCGGTTGCTATAGCGTTTCAACACCTGTCGTACCCGGCCATCCCATCGTTTAGCCGCACGCTTGCCCTGTCTCTTGACCACCCCTCTGCTAATTCCACCCCGACCCCTTAATCCTGCCGCCCCTTGAGTAGCCTCTTGGTGATCTTGTCCTTCTCGATGATGTAGACGTGGGCACCCCAACCAGAGAGGGCATCGCGGTCCACGGCGTTAAGAAGCGCCTGCGAGATCGTCTCGAACAGCGCCTCAGGACCCTAGGTAACAAAGCAAAAAGTAGTTAGCACAATTCCCCATTTTCGCCCACCATCCATAGACGCTCAGCTCTCCGCCCACCATTTCTACCAAGGGAACTGAGCCACACATACCAGATCCGGCTCCCATAAGCTCTCGCACATGCCAAAAAGTTGCTCTGTGGCCGTCCCCGAGACGATAAAGTCCTTGGAAAAATCAATGCATCCAATGCTGTCAAACCCGCAAATAAATGGCTGGCCCGTCTTGGGCTCCAGCCCCGCAACAACGGGACTGACAAAGTACGGCCCGAAACGGCGTTCGTACAACGAGCTGCTAACAAGGTTGGCGAACGTGCGCGGGGCAATGTGCCGCTCCTCACGAAGCCGGTACATGTTGACTTTGTACCGGAACAGGTCGGACACGGTCGAGACGTCGGTCGCGAGCCCCGTCAGGCCGAGGAATACGTTGTCGCCGTATTGAAAGACTTTGGGGAAGTTGTTGGACACGGTCAGGGCTTGTAGACCCAGGCGTAGATCGCAGGCGATGGCTACGCAGTCTTTGCCCACCATGGCCACGCAGGCACCGCCGTCTAAAGGACACAGAAGTTGTGGTTAGCGCGGAGGTCGGTGGGGGGTGAGCTGGGATCGGTTCGAGATGCGGGGGTTGGAGGGGAGGGGTCGTCACTTATTGAGAAGGGTGAGGACTGTGAGACAATTAGTAGGTTAGCAGAGGGGTAAAATATTGGGACCTGAAGGGTAAGAAATCCAGAATTGCATACCATCTTGTCCGTGTGATAGTGTCCCAAGGGGTCGTCGACGGTGGGCCGGTGGTGACAAGTGCTTAGAGAAGCAGAGAGCCGTTCTCCGTAATCTCGTCCTGCGCAAATCGGGTTTCGAAGTTCGTTGTGAAGGAGCGGTCCCGGAGGTTATCGCGAGGCGAGTTGTCGTCGTTGAGGTGGTGTTGACGGAAGCTCTGGTGCAGTCGCAGCAGCCGCCTTGGGTTCGGGTTGGAGCTCCTCTCAGGCAGGCTACACAGCTGTGGGAGTTGACGTGCAAGGCAACACGCCGCTGGCGCGGCATTGGCGGGACCGGGATCCCTGGCCGCTTCCCGGGACCGTGGAGGAAAGGCGGTGATGGGCGGCGCTAAAGCTTGGGCCTGGAGAGCTCCATCACACCCACTATGGAAGGCCCCGCCGAGGCCCAGCCAAGGTGAACGCCCCTCATGGAACCCCTCCAACAGCGTTCCTCCAGGCTGCAAGCGGCTGGACAGATGACGAGTCTGTAATCTTCCACTGACTTCGAGAAAGCCAAACAATCCGTCGGTTTGCATTACGATATCAACCTAGAACTACTTCTTAGGCATTTCTGCGACTTTCGTTTTGCACATTTCGTCTTAACAAACAACTGCCCCCGAACGTCCTAACAAGTTGCATCACAGGCATCCCGGACCTCAGCTTTACCTAAGCTCACCCACTTCTAACAAACGAGTGAACCTTAGCCAGGAGCTCAACCACCAACGCAAATTCCCATTTAATTCCACACATCTCAGCGCCGATTTCAGTCCAAGTCGGCCGCAACAGTACATTCCTAATTAGTGGAGAAAACACCGACTATAAGAGTTTGCCACTGTTAAATTTCGAAGCCCGGATTCCTGATACAGCGCCCGGAGCATCACGGGGTTAGGTGGAGCGAGGCTCAGCGTTCCTCCTCACCGAAGCACCCCAGTTCGGGGCTTAGCGCAACACATACACTCGTCAAGATGTCGGCACACGTTGAGGTTGTGGCGACCGATCTAAGGCGCGCCAAGGTCAAAGTCACCCCAGGGACATACCTCGTTGACGTTCTCAACGAAGCTTGCAAAAAGCTCAACCTGAAAAGCGACAAGTATGAGCTCAAGTAAGTAGCCACCGAAGTGTGTTGCTGAGCTCGACTAACATCACTAGGCACAAACAAAAAACAGTCGATCTGACCGGGCCCTTCCGGACATCTGGACTCAGCCCCGGTGCTAAACTTGAGTTAGTGCAGAAGTCAAAGAGCGCATCAGTGGTGTCCATCGCCCTTGATGCCAATGGCCAGCGTTACACCAAGAAGCTCCCCAGCGATATGTCACTATGGAAAGTCATGCGGCAGTTTGAAACCACGGAGAAGGGGCTTAACATCACCGGACGGGGCATCCCAGTGGGGACCAACAGCGGTCAGCTTTACCACGAAGGGCCGGTAGTTAATATCATGGGGAGAGAGTACTCCGCCATGGAAGACTTGCAAAAAACGTTGTCACAGTGCGGTATCAACTCCGGCAGTATTGTTCTAAGGCTCACCTTCAAGCTTGGAGACCGGACTCTATATGATGCCATGCAGGAGATTGCCCAGTATCTCAACGAGGTCGAGCCGGAGGAACCAAAGACGGAAGAGAAGGCTGCACCACAGGCTGCTCCAGTTATTGAACAGGCGACGGTGGGCGACGTGGTGATGGGTGAAGATACGGCACCAGAAACCCAGGTACCAGTAAGAAACGAAGATCAAGTAGTATCGCCAGTGTCGACGCAACCAGGTACAACAAGCGACGATATGATAACCGACGGACCCGCCCCAACCCTTAACCCAGCCGACCCTCTCCAACCAACTAATGTCTTCAATGCGCCGGCTTCCTCAACCCCACTGGCAGCTCACACCCGCGAGGACGATTCCGTGTACGAACCCACCATTGCTCATGCTCAGCTCCGCCAGCAACAGCTCCTCCAGCGATCACAAAACACTCGTCTCAAATCCGACGCCGAGCTTGCCGCCGAGGCCGCCGCAGAGGCCGCCCAGATTGCTAAGATTACCAGCGTGGAGGTCAAGGTCCGGTTCCCCGACCAAACCTCCGCTGTCTGGAATATCACCCCCGAAGAGACCGGTGCTTTCCTTTACCAGGCCATCCGCAATGTCATGGCGAATCCAACCGCCCCATTCAAGCTAATCCTACCGGGCCCCAAAACAATTATCCAAGAAGGCGAAAAGAAGTTGATTGCGGGGTATAAGCTCAAAGGCCGCGAGATGCTTCACCTACTGTGGGACGATTCGGTTGCGGCTAGCGTCAGGAAGGAAACATTTCTCAAGGGGAGCGTGGCGAGCCGAGCGAAGGAGGTGGTCATTCCTAAGATCCCACAGGGGAAGGCGGATGAGGAGGAGAAGGGCGCCGGGAGTGGCGCTGTTGCGGGTCCGTCAAATCAGCAGAATAAGCGGGATGGTGGGAGCGCGCATGATTCGGAAGCGGTGAAGAAGAAGTTGAGTAAATTCCTGGGCTTAAGGAAGAAATAGAAGGCTGTTGCGCGAGGTGTGGGATGTATCAAGGTAGACCATGGCACCATAGCCGTTGAAGGGAAGTGTCGGGATGCTACAGCGGGGAATGCCTAAATCTACCATGTTCATAAGGAATAGGGTATCTTCCTGAAGCGTTGCATAGAATTTGCCTTGGTTATGAGTGTTGGGCCTAGAATCGCTCGCTGTCAACCTAGTTCCCTGAGCCACTGCGACGCACTGATACGATATCCATTCAAGATGCCCCTCAGTCTCTAATACACTCAGACAATCAGGAAGTCAGCTACCTAGGTAACCCCTGAATCCCCACCCACCAACTCGGGGCGGCGTAACCACAGAAGGTGCACGGTGAGAATGGTTTAGTGACCGGCCCTGCAAGATTCGGCGATATAGCGCTGCAGCTCCTCGACCTTTGCCTTGGCCCTGCCGAAGGTTCCCACCTGGTTTTACCCGTGTTAAACAATTGGTTCCTTTGGTATTCTCCGGGCGGTTTAAAGAAAGGGGGGATTGGTCCGTAGGAGTAAGACACATCTTTCTCTTAGAGAACTTACGAGCGCGCTTGTCCTTACCGTTGCAAAGCAGTTCAATGACGTGGCGCTCGTAAGGGGCGAGGCTGGAGGCGACGATGAGGGTTAGCAAGGTAGTCGAGTTTCCCAAGACTGAGCGGGCCTTAAATTTGGAAGAGAAGGAAAAGTATGGGTTTGGGGCGGAGGGAGGGGACAGCCTTGTTTCCTTCCAACTCCATCATAGTTATCGGGAGCGAGTTCGATGGTTTCCTCTAGATGCAGAAGAGCTGGGACCACCAAGTCCCAATCATTGCACACACACGGCCACACGTGGGAGGATGGAAGTCCACAGCCATTCCTAGTTCTGGGCTTGACCCCTTGGCCCATTTCCCGTCATGCAGCGTTCTGTTCCCTTTTTTCAACTCGTCGATGTTCAGATCGAAACGAACAAACTTACCCAGTGACCTCTTTAACAATAGACCGCACAAACTGGGTTCGCTGACTCGATTTCCCCTTGAGCTTTGCCGGACGGGGCTTGTTCGCTCGGGCGGTCGTTTTCTGTTGCCGTGCCAACGTTCAGGAGCTCCAAGTCAGCAAGTTGAATTTTGGATCGACCATGCTTCACAAATGACAGGATAAATGGAAGTCAAGGAAGATAATTCATTCTGTCAATTTTTTTAGAAGGAAAATAAGAATGTGCCCTCATGCCACCACCAACTGACCTTGCCACCAACAGCTCCTGCATCCAACAGCTACCTTAGGTATCTGTAGGTATCCATGCTGCCACCAACAGCCGGCACCATGACCGGTGCGAGTGGCCGCGTTTAGATTTAGCCCCCATCGCCCTCCCCCCGGCTCCACACCACGCAGCCTGGACCGCGTTCATCGCCATAGAAGGGACTGAGGTCTCGGTGACTTGCCCCCGCAAAGCCCCTGACCTGCAGCCATGGCCCGAACAAGAAACGCTTTGCCCCTGACCTACAGCCATGGCCCAAACAAGAAATACTTTGCCCATAACATGGCTGCTTGATGTGGGTATGTACAAGCCAAGTTGGCCCGGCCTTGCCTTGCCGTGACCTTACCCTCAACGTATGTTGCATGACGTGGTTGCAGGCTGTCGCAACCCCCCCAACTAACCCTCTCACGCCCGTTTGAGGTCTGGGTCAGGAACACCTCGACGCCGATGGCTCGAAGCGACCATGTTGCCGGTGTACCGGGCGAAGAAGCTGTTTATATTGCGCCGTGCCGACGAACGCTGAGACACAGCATTCTCTTCTCTACTTCTGACTTCCACTCGTCCCATCCAGCTGTTGCCTCAATAACCACCGCTCTCCCGCCGACGAAACTCTCAGCCGCGAACTGCAAACGACGTGCACATCCGCCAACGGCAGACGCCACGGAAAGACCACATCATGCCCTACCGCTGGGTCACCAGACTATGCGCTTGTCACCACGAGGAGGGCCCGTTCCATTACCCGCGCCGTGATCGCCGAACTGGCAGACCCCTCTGCGACGGAACCTGCACGATAACGAGGGCTAATCACAGAACCGAACACAGCCGGGAGCAATGCGAGGATTGCCAGGACGCTATGTTCTATTCCAATCAGCATCGCCGTTAGCCCGGCAACCGTCTGGTGCGAAATGCTGTTTAGGAGGTGAGAAGTACCGCCAAACGTTGTATGAGGCCTGTTCTGATGCTCATGAGTTATGTGTGAAGAAGAGAAGATTGCACACGTCCGTTCTGGAACGCGTTCAATGCGGTCAACGACGGGAATGGAGCAGGGATGAACTTGGTGCATGCTTGGGCTCAGGATAGGTACGTACCTTCGGCAGGGTTGGCGAGTAGCTGGGCTACCTTGGAATCTGTGTGTATTGGATAGCTACGGGCAGTCGAGCTATCTAGGTACTCTAGAGCATAGAAAGCCCTAGACCCGCCGTTCTCTCAAGAAACTCGTTCCTCAATTTGCGGCGCTCTCCCGTAAGCATATAGTGTCTGAGGACGAGCTGTCCATCATCATCATGGGCATGCATGTAGATGTACTCCGGGTTGAGGCCGCGATCATTAATGGTGAGGCGGTGATTGAGAAAGAGAAGAATCCCTTCAAGGGTCCCATCCCTCCCCCAATGACCGACAGGCAAAAAAGGCTGCCAGACTGCTTCAGTCGACCCGAAGATCGCCCTGCTGACTAGCTCGGCGATTGTCAGGGCGGCAGGTTTGATTGTCTCGAGCGGGTTCCGAGGCGACGTGATATCCCTGATGTTGCCCGGGGCAGAAACCGGCCTTATGGACGGATGAAAACGAGGGAGTAGATCGAGCGGGACGAAAATCTCAATCCTGGTTGGCCCCTCAAGGTCCAGCTGCAGAGCGGGCTCAATATGGAATGGGGACGCCATATCTATATAGAAGGAAATGAGTTGTCAGTACTTTTACTGCCATAAAACAGTGTTGACGGGGGATCAGGGGACGGAATACCCACTGGCTGACCGTTCAGGTGTTTCGCGGACGTACTGGGGGGGTCTAATAGAGAGTGGCAGCTAGGAACCTTAGGTGAGTGACGGGCTCGAGAAGACTGACGGATGGATCATGGATACTATGGGCGACTAAGGTACCTAGTTGTATAGCCTAGCGAATGTTGGTTTGTAGTACCATAGTAATTACCATGTGCCCCAGCCTTGCGCCCTGGCGATGTTGTTGGTTGCTGCGTGCGCCCTGCAGTGGACCAAGGGGCGCGCCCGAGACTCCAACATACATCTTTCTTGATTAGCCCAGAAAATGTCACCTCCCCCAAAGGGCGCAAGAGGTATAGCTGCAAGTCAGCTGGAACGACTCTTATCATATGTATCACCCAACTAAGGTAGCCAATCACCTGGCACCCCTTTCTATTCCGTCAATCGAAAGCTGAAGGAAAAAGAGAGAAAAGATCAAAATACAGGTGTGTGCTGGAGAGTAAGTGTGGTGGGTGGGAGGATTATGTGGGGGTGGCTTGATTAGGTGGGTGGGTGGCTGAAGTGTGGTGGACAGCTCAGAACTTCGAGATGCCCCCATTTGACTCAATATGCAACAACCTCTTCGGAAAGGTCTATATTCGGTGGCGCGAGAATATTTTATGCTTGGTGGCGGTGCAAATCCTGTTTAGTCTTCTCCGAAGAAACCACGTCTTGCCCTACGTGGGACGAAGTTTGAAGGGACTTTGCGAGGTGGTGGGTGTCGCCTTCCTTCTCGGCGAGCCACTGTATCTTGGTTGCCTTGGCAAACGGTGTTTGGGGTCTGCGATGCTCTGACCCCCATGGCAAGTTATATTGTGAAGTTGAGCCCGCGTGCCGAGCTCATGTAAGGTACCCTCCGGGACCGCACCTGCATCATCGTGAAACAGGACACAGCTCGCCACTTTGGTTCGGTCATGTGGTCGGCGAAATCTCAATTGCATCAGCGAGATACATCGAGGCACTCTAGGGACATACCGTTGTCCTTGGGTTTATTGTTGTACAAACAAAGGCAATTAACACAGGTTGTAGGTTATAGCCGCCAGTCTCGTATTCTCCTCATTAAGTGTTAGATTATCTATAGTTGCGTCAGCCTCGGTCCTTTACAGCGCCGGGGACGACTTGTTGCGTGTCCCTCAACCGCTTGCGTACATGCCGCTTCGGTGAGAGCGGTCAACACAGCGTAGGACAGGTACGCTCAGGTTTCCCTTAACCGAGCCAGGTTGAGACTAAGCCCCTGTGCCCCCCGCCCATATATGACTGTTTCCCGGCAAGGTTGCTAGAAGTTTGCCTGTTTGTTCCCGCCTTTGATGAAAGTAATGTGGTAGACTACTTGCCCATTAATGCTAATTCAGAAGGTCGAGGGTCTGATCTGCCCGCTATTGTCATGATGGTGCATATCTTGGATGTTTGGGCGGATTCTAGATTTTAGACCCCGTATTTAGAAATACACGGTGGGTTGCCTACAGAAGAAAAGACGGAAATAGGTGAGAAAGGAGTGGAAAAAGAGAACATTTTACTGTCTAGCTCAGCTGATGACGTGAGTAGATAAGTAGCGCCGCGGAGGTCACTCGACGGTTTTCGTCCGACTCGGGCAAACTGGCCTGATCCGGGTGCTGCAGAGTAACGTAGGAGTCAGATCCAAACTGTACATACCTAGAAACCGGTCCCTACGCAGGTACTGTGTTGTGTTTGTACGCCTTTGTGGAACGGCCGCACCAAAACCAAGCCGACCTAACATAAAAGCTGTCCATCCGACCGCTGCTGTGATTTCCCCCTGAAATCCGACACTCGTTCATTCTACGCAACCTAAACTGTCCAAGTCACCCGCAGTAGTTACCTTACCCAAAGTACTCCGATCTCCTCTCACCTATACGGCCAATTTCCGTCACGCGCCACCGTGATGCTTCGCTTCGTCCTCGCGCTCGTGGCTGCGGCCCAGTTTGCCGTTGCCATTCCCAAACACAAGATTCCTCTACCTTTCTCTAGTAGCACTCACAACGTCCAATTCTGCGTCCGGCCTGAGGAGTTCGTGGTCAAGAATTTCCAGATATGGACCCCGAAGCCCGGCAACAACCAGTCTGCCACCATCGACTTTGACTACGCCGACGAGAAGGTGATGCCTTATATTATCACCAAATGTCACTTCAACGAGACCTCTGTCAACGTCGGCCCCAAGGGTAGCACCCCGCGTTACGCCTGTGAGAACAAACTGGTCGAGTTCATCTGGTCGGAGGGCACCCTCACCTTGATTGAGAGGGTCTGTCCGCTCGAGGATCAGTAGGTGAACCGGGGACCGTACTTAGTTCTAAGTGTGTTGTTACTAATCGATCTGAAGGAACGTCCCGTATGAGGCTGCCGGCTGGGTCGAACCCAACCTTCAGTGCTCCACCAGTACAAAGAATGACAGCCGCGGCGCAGGCCACGCCTGTTCAGCAAAGCCCAGCGTCCTGGCCGCTGAATTCACCAGTTTGGAGCCGACGCCAAACTAAAATGATTGGTGGGCCGGTCCCGAGTTCTTTGGAAACACGGGATATTAATGAGGTTCGAGTTTTAGAAGTGGAAGAACGCGCGGGACACAGGGCCATGTCTGGTTGTTTTAGGTGCAGACCTCGCGACGAGGGCTAAGGGCAAACAGAGTGAGGGTTATTTGGGGGTCATAAATATCTTTGATCCCGTTAAGAAATGAGACAAGCATTCCAGTTGAGTCCGCAGCGTCGATTGTGAAAGAAAACTCATGCGTTTTTGATGTTGAAACGGCGAGCGATCCCTGCGGGGACCAACACTGTGGGACCACATGCACCCCATGTCAGCCGCCAAGGCCACCTGCAGGGGCAACGCCAAGATCTGGGGCACATCCTTCCGCCACGACCAACTTCTCAGCCCATGATCCCCAACAAACTCAAAGAATTTCCCCTCCTCCAAACACCCACCTAATGAAAGAGGAGACATCTCGAAAGCCCGACACTTTGAGTTCAAGACATATTTTTGAGTCGTCTCTTCCATTTCGATCCTCTTTGGGAGTCAGAAAAAACCCCCCTGCTTGGCGAACAGTCAGGGTCACACGACCTGCCCGCTACCGCCTAGAGGGCTATGCATTGATCATGATTTGCTGAGTCGACCTACACGTCTTGCGGTTTCATACATCACTTCGCCTTCTCTCCTTTCGTAGCCGCCAGCAATTCCTGCTCACGCTCTCCCACCTCTCTACCTTTCACGAATCCTATATCCACTATCATGCGCTTCCTCAACAATCTCACCTTGATCTCCCTTTTACCTCTCCTCGCCGCCGTCGCGTCCGAGCCAATACCCATACCCGACGACTTGCCACCCGACCCTTCATCACCTCTCGGTTACACGCAGCATCTGAAACGGCAACAACAACAAGAACAACAGCAGCACCCACTCTCCCAATCCAACGGTGATGACCATCGTCAAACTGGCGTCTCTCACTCTCTCTTCGCTTCCCTAGAGCGCGCATCACGCCTGGTTGACATCGCGTACTGCGTCGGCACATTTTCGGGATTATCACCGCCCTTTTCGTGCCCCTCACGCTGTGGCGAGTTTCCTTCGCTGCGTCTCATCCGCACCTGGAATACCGGTGTCCTACTGAGTGATAGTTGTGGATATATCGCGGTGGATCATGGGCAGCACCCCGGGACTGATGATGGGGAGTTGAAGGAGAAGGAGGAAGACGAGGCTGGGCGGAAGGAGATCGTGGTGGCCTTCCGTGGCACGTACAGCGTTACGAACACGGTCATAGACTTGAGCACTGTGCCGCAGGAGTATGTGCCGTACCCGGCACCCCCTGGCGGTGGTGATGGGGACGGGGACGAGAATCACGACGGCAAGTGTGACAACTGTACGGTGCATATGGGTTTCATGGCGTCTTGGCGGAACGCTAGGGAGATCGTCGTTCCCGCGCTCAAGGAAGCCCGCGAGAAATATCCAGGATACAAGGTGCACTTGATCGGGCACAGCCTAGGCGGGGCAGTGGCGGCTCTCGCGGCGTTGGAGTTGCGTCTGGGTTTGGGATGGCATGATGTGTTGGTCACGACGTTTGGCGAGCCCCGAGTGGGCAACCAGAAACTGGCCGACTACATCGACCGCGCCTTCAAGCTGCTGGACCCGATTAGAGAGGACGGCTTTTCTTTCCGCCGGGTCACGCACGTTGGCGACCCAGTGCCGCTCCTACCGCTGACCGAGTGGGGCTATCGCTCGCATGCCGGAGAGGTGTATATCACCAAGGCTGACCCCCAGCCGGCATTTGATGATCTCAGGTTATGTTACGGGGACAACGACCCGGAATGCATGGCCGCGGCCGATATGGAGGACTGGCTGAGCTGGATGATCGGGCTCAAGAACCGACCCAAGCAAGAGCAGGGAATGAACAAGGAGGAGCGCGCGGCAGCGGCGCTTGCCTGGGGCTCGTTCCCAAGCCGGCTGAAGTTGTGGCAGCTGTTTTTCGCCCACCGCGATTACTTCTGGAGGCTGGGCTTGTGTGTGCCGGGAGGAGATCCAATGGATTGGGGTCGGGATAAATACAATTTGACGGCGGCCGACGAGCTTGAGGATCAGGGGCGAGATTTATAATTTTTTTCGTCACGTTTTTGGGACTGGACGGTTTTTCTAGCATACTTTGGCCTAGTTCTGCTAGCGCATGATGATGAGGGTTGGGTTTGGCGATAGTTATTGGCATGGCGTTTGCGGTTGGAGTAATTACTCGGTATCTATGACATTGGTTCCTCCGGCGCGGATGTTGTCCTCGATAAGAATTTCACAGTTTTACGAAGTTTCCGAAGCATACGTTGACGTTAGCTATGACATAGCTATGAAGCATTTACATGGCGTGCATTTCATCCCAACTTGACCTCAACTCCTTCCGGCATATGCATTCAAGAAAGGCAAAATGTGCTTTGTGCAACTCAGGGAGGTCCAAACTCCTCAGCTTCGGTTCAAAGATCCGACAAGAACCCAAACCGGTGAAGGGTCGATGGTGAGGTTGCTCCTGATGAGGATATTCATCTAGGTTTCCACCTGTTTTACAAGAGGAACATACATATCTTCCTTGCCGGGAGTGATCGCGCGTGAAATTGATGAGATTTGTGGGTTTAAAGCCAGCGCGTGACACTTCAGGCAAGGGCCGAGCTGAGCTTCTTCCAGACTCGGCTGGCAAGCTTGGTGCTGATTGGGTCGGGGAAAACCCTCCAACACAACCTCGTGGGATGGGAGATGGGATTGGAGCCATGGGATCGGACTATTTTTTCTTCTTTCATCTTGCTTGCGCCCAGTCTCAGAGAAATGAGGGGAAATTAGATATGATGGATGGATGAATGACCCCTCTTCTTCAACAGGCTGCCCGTTGAGAGAGTGAGGCTGTGCAAGACCGGGCGCAACACAAACCAAGTTCCCAGGCCCGTTTGTGACCCAGACATAATGAAAAGTGGCCCTCCCGTTTTGAGCTTCTGCCCACGCGCGCAATGCGGGAAGCAGGGGCGTCACGACAGTTGGCTTGCGCGCGGGAGAGAAAGAGTCACTGACTGCGAGGACAGGAGGTGCTGCGGCTGCGGCTGCTGCATGCCGTTGGTTGACAATTCGGCGGGGCTTCTTGGCTCCCATCGCCGGGTGCCGACCGATGGACGACCTCCCGCTGAGCCTCGCGGCATTCTAGCCGCTTCCATGGTGTGCGCTGTTCAACCCCACATGCTTTGGCCGACCGTGGAATTTGAGTGGGATTTGGTTGGGGTTTCGTTCTGTCGACATTTTTTGTGTTACCGACCCCCCGCCTTGCAAACGGATTCCATAGTCCGGGAGATTTGTTCGTATAAATAAGGCTCATCAGTTTTCCCAAGTTTGGGAAGGTGTAGTATAAAGAACACAACGGACAGTGCGGATGTGGACAAGGGCAAGAGATTCATGTTCAGTTAATCAGACAGGAAAGCTGAGCAAGGGTTGCGTTGCCTGGAGCCACCTGTCAGTGAGCACAACCAAAAAAGAAAAGAAATAAAAAATCAAACGGGGCACGAGACTCGAGGTTCCCTAGCTGGGTGTGACCAAGTCAGCCCCAGATGATAAGAACAGAACATGTCGCCGATCCGCCTGGAAAAGTTGGTTGAGGAAGAAGCTCAGCGGCTGTTTGGCCGTCTCTCATTCCGGGCTGGTCTGGTTGAAGAGAATAACTGGATGTGACGTGCAGTGTGCCTGCCTGCCCCTCCTCTCATCAGCTTGCTGCTCTGCGAGTTGAGGTTGTGTTGGAAGTCCAAGGCGAATGGCGTGGGCGGCAAGGTTGGATAACACACATCGACGAGCGGGGGTAGATTGGTCGAGAACAATCGGTTTTAGCGACCCTGACTTTCTGGTGCCCATGCCTTCGTTCGGTGTATGGAAACGGTGTTGACAATTCGGCGATTGAGGGTGAATTATTCTAGTGTAAACGCTGTCGAGAAATTCCAAATCGCTGGGTTATTCAACTAACTCCCTTCACCACAGTCAGGGGCCGCGAAAATTACAATCGCGAAGTCCCATCAAATGGGTGTAAAATGACAACCTCCACCTGCTCACGTTCAACAGCGATCCCGAAGGTGGGGTCACAGACCCAGCTGTGCCCGCGTGCCAGCGAGGAAGCTTGTTAGAGCGGGACTCCCATTTTACTGGGAAATAAGCTGGCCTGGGCGTCACGTGCTAACGCGCAAACCGTGGGTTTCATTCGGCCGCTGCACAGCAAAACAGGGGGCCCCAGGCCCAGCCGGGACTTGCCCAGTGAGGGGGAGCCCTCTCCGGTCCAACAAGTCTCTTTGCTCAACACATCGCTCGGAGCCCTCAAACTACCATCCGAAAACAACAAAACAACCTTCCCACAACAACCATTTTCCTTTTCCCTTCCACACACTCTTACTCGCGCGCATACCGACGCTTCCCCATCCATAAACCCACCATAAATCTCCTACAATCTATCAACACCGCAGAATACCACAAAAATGGCCAACGAGGTATGTGCACACCTTCGCCGTGTTCCCCGCTGCCTTCCCCTCCCCTTGCGCGATACGGCTCGCTTGGCTGCGATAGCGAGCGCGGGCCGCGCTGCGATCCAGCAACCGCAACCTTGCTTTCCGCGCATTTACCCCTCCATTTGTATTGTCAATGGCTAACATCTCATGGTTCCCTACAGCGGGATAGGTTTGTTAAGCCCGTTTTCCGACGACGAGATGAATCATGAACAGGCAAGCTAACCGGAAACTTTTCGAAACCACAGCAAGACTTTCCTCGCCCGCCTGTGCGAGCAGGCCGAGCGCTACGATGAGATGGTTACTTACATGAAGGAGGTCGCCAAGCTCGGCGGTGAGCTTACGGTTGACGAGCGCAACCTTCTGTCGGTCGCCTACAAGAACGTGGTTGGTACCCGCCGTGCCAGCTGGCGTATCATCTCCTCGATCGAGCAGAAGGAGGAGTCCAAGGGCGCCGATAAGCATGTCGGCACCATTCGCGACTACCGCCAGAAGATCGAGACGGAGCTCGAGAAGGTCTGCGAGGATGTCCTCGACGTTCTCGACGACGCTCTCATCCCCAACGCTGCTTCGGGCGAGTCTAAGGTTTTCTATCACAAGATGTGCGTTTCTTCAAGCTACGTTGATCTCAACTGATGGCGTGTAATTGTTTCAATTCGACTGACCGGGTTCTTCGTTTGCAGGAAGGGTGATTACCACCGTTACCTCGCCGAGTTCGCCTCTGGCGAGAAGCGCAAGGTTGCCGCCACTGCCGCTCACGAGGCTTACAAGGTATGATGGGATTCTTGCCGTACAAAATTACAGTGACCATTTTGTGGCATCATGTGGTCAAAGGAAAATAAAAACGGGAAATGATGCGCTAACGGTTCTATTCACGCAGAGCGCCACCGATGTTGCGCAGACCGAGCTGACCCCCACTCACCCCATCCGCCTGGGTCTCGCCCTTAACTTTTCGGTGTTCTACTACGAAATCCTCAACTCCCCCGACCGCGCTTGCCACTTGGCTAAGCAGGCCTTTGACGACGCCATTGCCGAGCTTGACTCGCTCTCCGAGGAGTCGTACCGCGATAGCACCCTCATCATGCAACTGCTGCGCGACAACCTCACCCTCTGGACCTCGTCTGACAACGGCGAGCCCGAGGGTGGCGCTGACGCCCAGAAGGAGGAGAAGACTGCTGATGCGTTGCCCAAGGTCGAGGACGGTCCCCCCACGGAAGACCCCGCGCCGGAGCAACAGTAAGCATATGTGGTAGTTGCTCCTCCTACATCCCCCGCCTGATCGCTAGTCACCATACGTTGTGACGCGCCTCCCTTGATTTGCGGTCCCGTTTTTGTCGAAGCCGGACCAGCTCCAAGGGCGGCTCGACTCACGAACCTAGCCAGCTCGATTTCGGCTACGTCACGGGTTGTGATCCCTTCGGTTAGCTTAAAAGCAAACGAAGATGTCGGATCTTCGACGCGCGCTGGGGGGAGTACTCGGTGATCTAACAGTCAACGGGGGGACAAGGGAGGAAGCTTGATATGCAGGAGGACCGGGGCGATGATGGAGGTTGGGGAGGTGGATTTTCCCTTTTTGTTTTGTCCTGTCGGTTATCCCTCTCGTCTCGTCTTTTTTTTCCCACGTCGTTTTTTCCCTTTCTTTTTCTTTTGCTCTGAACCTGCTACTTCCTACCCCTGGGTGGGACCAGACTTCTTTCACGAGTTGTCGAGTTGTCCTATCTCTTTTTGGGGGGTGATGTGAAAGCACGGAAACACAACCCAAACAACACAACCCAAATTAAAGAAAAACCCCACTAGTGATCGGCCCTTTCTGGGCCTGAGAGACAAATACACACACAACTCACACACTTGATGACTCTTTGCTGCGTCCCACTGTGACCCGATATTACCCATATTCTCCTTTGTTTCTTCCAGCCGAGATAATGGGTCCAGGTAGGCCCTATCAAGGCGTGGATGACTTGAGTGGAAACATATATAGGAAACCATCAGTCTCCCTCGACCTTGCTTGCTATGGGTGCTTTTACCGTTTGCCGGGTGTGTTGGGCGTAAACTACTCTGTACGTTGCCATTTTGGAGGCAAGGGACCACAATCTTCCCCATATGTTTTCTTGGACGGGTTACGGCAGCTGGGCTTGGACTTTAAACGAAAGGGTTTATCTATTTTTGTGACCTGGCTATGAGCCATGGGGCTGACTGGTTTTGATTATCAAGTCACCTTTGTTGGAAAGAAGGGCAAAAGTAGTGGTTTGACGTACCTAGTTGCCTGTTTGTTGTTGTTATTATATTCTCATGTTCCTACCAACAATTGTGACTTGATTTCACCGAAGCTCCGAAGGCGAATCCGGCGTCATATAATGTGATTTTCAGGCAATCGGTTGTAGGTTTTTCTTTGACTTATGCAAGCAAGTTGCTCTCACTACTGGAAGGATAAAGACCTCTAGATATTTAGGTACATACGCTTGAGGCCTGGTTGACTACAGCACACACACACGCGGAACATTAACAAGGAAGATGGGCAATGTAAAAGTTGGAAGGGTTTTCGGTTAACAATACTACTATTAATTCTATCTTTTATTTCGTCAGAGCGTTGAAACGAGGAGAACAGTTCAACAAGCTTTCCCGTTAGCCGTTCCTTTTCTCCTCTGCCCACAGTGGTTTTCCTTTAAGAGGTCTGGCTGCTTCGCTCGCTCCAAGCGCTACGCCGTCTGGCGTGGCGATGAATTATGCAGGCGATTCCTGTACCTCGGGATTCCCAACCGCGTGTGTTCAATCTTCTCAAGTAGACCGGCGGGATATTCAGCCCGTAGGCTTCACCTGGAGAAAGGATGGGCTTGGTATGTACAGTGTTCACCCGCTCTGCAGGGCTCGAGGTGGGCCGTCGAAGCAGGTATCCTAAGCTGGGCAAGTGTTGTGGTTGGCCTTTTCCTGCTTAATCGGCCTAAGCTGAACGGACTAGCGTGTCTTGCGTGACTAGCGTGCGAAGGACAATGTTGAGCATACGCAGCACTTCCAAGCTCGGACGGCCTTTGCTGAGGCTATGGGGCGCCTCGCGTGGCGCTTTTAAAATACTCATGAGGTATGGATTTCTGATGGGTGATCGAGTTGGTTGAGGGCAGGATCTCCATGCATGACACCTCACAAGGGGATTGGGCCACCGCACCACGCCACGAGTGACCTGTGCCCAGAGAGACAGAGGAAGTTATGTCCCTTGTCGTACGCGCTGATGCCTTGCCCTCTCGATCTATCCGCCCACACAGCCTTACAGGACAACGTTTCTGTAAGTAGAGGTACACTTCTCCTAACGGACGCGGCGAGCCCAGCCCCCTAATCCTTTGACCGTGTCGTCGCGCGTTGTAACATCGCGGCAGCCCTTTGTAAGCGCGACATACTTCTCGACAAGCCCGGCATACGTGGCCCTTCGACGTCGGAGTCGCTGATTCCGTCGATATCGTCGGAGGATGATGATGGTGGTGATATTGGCGCTCTTACCCCCATGCTTGTTGTGGGAAGGAAGCTTCCCTTTGTTCTGGATCGCGAATGTCCCTTGGAAAACCAGCTACGACCACCCCCGTCTCCACTGGCCCGTACTCTTCCCGATTTAACATTTTTCACGGCGCCTGTGCCCTGTACGGGCGCAGAAACGGGCTGGCTCGATGGGCGGACTAGCAGCCGTTTGTGGCCCGGCCCTGTTGCCGCCCAACGTGGCTGGCACTCCTCGGGCCAGGGGGCCTCGGGTTCGGGATCGGGTGTGTTTTTGGCACGACGGGCTGTTGACTTTACCGCCCCTGGGGGAGGAGACGAAGAGCGACTGTTGCGCACGCGCAGAAACAGCTCGCTGAAGCGTTTGGTCAGTGTGCCGGGGAGGAAGGGGGGACCGAGGCGGTCGGCCGCCCGACGAGAGGGTGAGCCTCTTGCGCTGAGGGGCGGTGATGGTGGGCGAAGGCATTGACGGCATACTTCAGGGTCCGCTGGCGTGCCGGGGGTGGAAGGTTTTGTTTTGTGGGTTGATGAGGAAGGTGAGGCAGTGCGCTGGAGAATGGCGCGCACGTTGTCGGCGAGCTGAGTACTAGTCTTGGGCTTGCGACCGCGAGTGAAGCCGGTGCCGTTCTCGATGGGTTCAGAGCAGCCACAATAGGTTTCCTCGCCGTGGTTGCTCACCGCCTGGCTCCAACCACGAATCCAGTCGCCCTTTTTCCCTTGGCTTTTTCGGGGGAGGAGTTGTTGGCGGGTTGCGAGCCAGTCGGTTGGCGGTGGGGTGTCATCTTTCTGTGTTGACGGCCGTGGTTGTGCGTCTCGAGATCGTGTTTCTCGGGAAGCCCAACATGGTGTTTCGGCGTGTACCTCCACAGATGTTTCTGGCCGTGTTTCGCTCGGTGATGGGGTGTTTTGCTCAGAATCCTCCACTCTTCCTGCGGGCGCCGGATCATCTCTCGGCGACGGTGGCTTATCGGAAGCGTTCGTGGTATCGGAACCCGGTGTAGCCTGGGCCATGAAATCGGAGAGAGCCATGAACGGGGGGCTTGGCTGCGTCGGTAGGCTCTGAGGCGACGCGATGGTTGAGGGATCCATGGCGTCGGTGCTCGAGGTTGTTTGGAATGGGGAATATGATTACAAGCGTGGTCGAGGCTATCGTCGCGTGACTTGCCTTTGGGTTCTGGGAAAGGACGCGGTACGGCTCCTGTCCGCCTCGGCGATCGCCGGTCCGTGCTCGGCACTTTTTGATGTGTCGACCAACGGGGCCGAAACTAGTGATCGAAAGGGAAAGGCCACGGGGTTGGGCAGACGGGCTGTTGAAGAGGTAAAGGAAGCCCAAGAAAACCTCTTGAATGGGATTGGGAGTTGAAGCAATCCGCCTTGGCCGAGTCGCCTATTCGAACCCTCCGAGCAATGCGACAGCCAGCAAACCACACTCGGCAGTGGCAATATCGAATTGCTCTTCCAGCGCGTACGTTCTTCGTCCCGTTCCCTCACCCGTTCCTCTTTCACTTCGTGAACAGCCTGTGGTCGTGTTACCGGGAAGGGGCAGATACGGTGGCAACCATGCCCTCCAGAAAACAGATCTACGCAGCCCACCCATTCAAATGTAGAGACCCTTTCCAAACCACCTTAATTATCCTTTGTGATGGGCGCGGGAGACAGGAGGTGCTGAGCGGGGGATGTCGTGTGCGCTGGGCGGTCACTGAATAGGCGGTCTGGCGGACCGATGTTGCAGCGGCTCAAAATGGTTGTCATACCACCGAAAACGGTAACAATTCTGAGGTTACTCGAGGATTCGACCTCAGATGTTCTCTTAGGGTGAAGTGTGAGGAGGTCGGCGGGATTCTAGTTGACATGAAGAAATCGGCCGCCAGTGTTGTCGAAGGTTTCCGAAGTAACCCCTCCAAGAATAATAGTAAAGGGGGAAAGAAAAGAGAAACGAAAAAAAAAGATTGCGCACAGGCAAAAAGCACGAGCGCACCACCGACTGCCGAGAAACTTCAAGAGGATATCCGAAAGGGGAAAGAAAGAACCACCCATTGCAACTGCACTAACGTTAACAATGTTGCCATAACCCCCCATTAACCCACTTTCCTAGCCTTGCCCGAGTTACATACAACCTGCTGCATTCCGATGCAAATTTCCCTGCAAACCCTCCTGCAACTCTGCATTGGCACTGCACTGGCAATGCATTCTCCCTCGCTGCACACTGCACAATGCTTCCTGCACCACCACCTCGGTGCCGCCGGTCTGGTTCTGTCTTTGCAAACCGAGTTTGGGGCGGGGAGAGAGTGGACGCCATTGGACTCGGCAGCGGTCATGGGGGGAACCATCAGCCAAGGGGGGCGTCATCCACTTTGCTCATCCGCCCCCATGTTTTCGACATATCTCCGCCTTGTGTCCCGGCTCTCGGCAGGGCGGACCAGGCAAATCTTTCCGCGAAGGCCCCTGGACGAGGCAACCCCTGTTGCATCACGGGCACCCACCCATCCACCCTGGACTAAACCTTCCGGTCTGTTGGGAATTGGACGGACATGATCGTCTCGGCCACGGCGACGTCGACAAACGGTCCAAATGGGAATGAATGGGGCTGTATTACGAAGAGCTACTAGGTAAATCTAGGATATGCGGCACGAGAGCAGACTGATATCTATGACAATTGCCTAGCGTAGATTTGAACACCGGCTTACACAGTATACTTGTCGGACGGAGCGCGGCGTCCAGGGGCCTCGGGTTATGCCGCTGGCAGTGGGCTTCCATGGTTCCCAGTGGGGCGTTTGTTCACAAGCGCTCTCAGAAATACGACGGGAGGAGATGAGGTGCTGGGGAAGCGGCCCGGCAGAACGAACGAAAGGGAAAGAAAAAAAGAAAGAAAAAAGAATTACAAAAGTCTCAAACGTTGGCTAGTTAAAGGGGCAGGGTCGATCGAGGAGTCATTTCCAAGTGTGAGAGGCGGCCGGTGTGATTGAAAAAAATACTCGAAATGATGTTTCAGAGGTCGCGTGTACACGGCTTTCCGAATCTCGCAGGTCGAGGCCTCGCACTTCGAGCACCTTAAAAAATCTCCGATAGTTAAAATGAACGGAAGCAGGATTCCGGAAAGAGTCCAGGGCTGTGGAGTTCTCTATCCGCAGCGGATCATCGCGTCCGCATCACTGTTCCCGTCACCGCCAAGTTGCATGGTATCCTTTTCGTTTGCTGTGCAATGACGTAATTCCCGTTCTTGAACGGGAAAAAGCTGCGAGCGCGGGAGGATAGGGTATCGGGAGGATCTGGAGATCTGGAGTGAACCCGACGAAAATCATCCTAGTGGGATGGGGGGATTACAAAGAGGCATTCTTCAAAACACCAAAGAATTGTCACAGACGACAAATAGTGTAGAGACAACTGCCGTTAATGTTTTGTTTGCTGAAAGGAAGGGCCTGGGTTCCAACAAGCAGCACCCGGATAACCCCCACCTCGCGGTCCTTTCGGAGATATAATGACCTGTAATATAGCTAGCTGGGAGTCCTTCTCGTCTCATTGCCGACCTCGCACTCCCTCCTTCCCCCCATCTGACCTAACCAGCTACTCAAATGGCTGCGCCTGATAACGTTACTACGAAGTAGTATATCTCCTCTCCAATGTATGATCACTTGTTCCCCGAAGTCTGTAAACCCTGGGTTTCATCTATAATAAACGACTTCTAAACCCCATTGGCACCTACCAATTCGCCGCAAGAACAGAACCCCTCGCTTTTCGACTATATTTCCCGTTCCAACTCCGAAAAAACCCCCAGAACTCAGCGCAGACGACCCCATCGGCAAAAGTAACGACCATGATCATGACCCCTTCTTCCACCCCTAACTACTTCCTACGATGAGGGTTTCAAAGCCTCCCATCCACCCATATCCATTCCCCCATCATCTCCTAACAAGTCCACCGCTGCCGCCGGGGCTTTCCTAGAGGCTGGTGGAGGCGGCGCCTGTTTGGTGAGCTGCGCGAGGGGAGTTGGGCGCGGAGACGGGGTCGTCGGTTTCCTACCCGGCAGCTGCGTTTTCCGCTCCCACTCCGTGTCCTTATCCCTTCCTCGATTCGTTAACCCGACCAGCGGTACCCCGCCGGCGGGCGCCATCCTATTCTGCGCCGCCGTGGCGCCCGCGGCAGTGTTGGTTCGTCGAGGAAGCTGGGGTGGTGGTGGACTCTGGCCTCGCACACTGCCGTTCCTACTGGTAGGTAACGAGGTCATGCTGCGGACAAGGTCCGGTGTTGAGCCGGTGAGTTGTGTGGTTGAACTACGGGAAAGATTGAAGGATGGCGCATCCGTGCCGTGCACTGTCGCGTCGGAGGTGAAGCTGGCCGTGCTGCTGGTTGCGGGGGAGATAGGGGCTGCGAGATGGGCAGGTTTCTTCGCTACGGGCGGGGCAGCTTTTTGCTTCGTTGATTGCTCTTGTGCCGGTGCCGGCCCCGGCCCCGGCCCGACGGATGAAGCCGGGGTGGTCTTATTCACTGGCTTTCGGTTCTGTGGCGCCGACGGGGTTGGCGAACTTGCCGCTGCTGGAGTACCCATCCCGGTCTGCCTCCTAGGCGGAGGGGGAGGAGGCACTCCGTCTCCATGCAAACTCTTGTTGTCCTCTCCGATCTGCATTCGCCCAATCTTAGAGGGTAACGCAGATGGATCGTACGGTGGCGGCAGCTTCCTAGGCGCCGAGCTTGAAGCCGACGAGGAGAGGAGTGTCGAATGGCCCACATGCTCGTACGGCGAGCTTGACATGCTCGAGAATGACGACAGGCGGGACTCGGACCTGGGCACGCTGACCCAGTCTGGTTCATCAGTGGGTACATGGGGATTTGTGGGCCGCTTCGGGTTTAGAATGACTTGCGATGAGGGATGGTCTGGTTTGGGTGGGCTGATGGATGACTTGGCCATCTTGCCGTTGTCTAACCACCACTTCTGCCGGTCGGAACTGGCCGGTGGTAGGCCGGGCTCGATGGCGTCGTACCCAATCAGGTCCTCATCGTCCGACTCGGTATTGATCAGGTTCGCCGTGTCTCCTCCTACTTCAGCCTTGCGCCGTTCGTAGACCTCCCTGCTGATCTTGTCTCGTAACGTCTCGTTCACGATGTTGACCATGCACTCGAACGCAGCATAAACCGGCCGGTGATCAGAAAAGCGGAGAGGCGCCGAGTTGTACGCCAACTGGCGGAGGTTGGTCCCTTTGCGGAGAATGCGGTCTGTCCAGGCTGGGATACGTGCCTTTTCACTGCAATAACTTGTTAGTTATGATCCCTTCACTTCATCACGTCAAAGGCACTTACGAGCTGTCGAAGTTGTCGGACCCGATATCATACTTGTAGGTGGGCATGAAGGTGATCCGCGCCTCGGAATAAAAGCGGAAAGACAGCCCCGCGACCATCTGCAAGTTCAACTGATCATTTTCAAACAGTCGCCCAAGATCCCGTCTCTTGACCGCATCTTTGGCTGCTTCTAGCCCGAGTCCAACCCGGTAGTTGAAGTCACCGAACCAAATAACCGAGTCGTGATCAGCAATCCCCCGGTTTCGTTGGAAATGCAGGCCTTGGTCGATGGTGGCATAGTCCCGGTTCCGTTCCTCGTAGTTGGCAAATCCGGCTGCCAAGTGGGCCGTGACAAAGCAGATGGGTGTGTTGGCGTAGTCGAGCCGGATAGCGACCGCGCCCTTGTTACCAGCCATTCCTGACATGCCTGTCTTTTTAACACTCCCTTCCACGTTCTTGATGTTGTGGAGCACTGATGCTTTCACGAAAATGCATAGTGCAGCACCAACAAGCTGGCCACTTCGAAGCAAAACGTAGTTCTCATCCCCCTCTCGGTTATAGTGGTTGTCGAGTGTCCTTTTGATGGCTTGTTCCCAGACCTGCTTTCTTGTCGGATCGCTGTTCATGATCTGCTGAGGGTTGAGCTCCACGATTTCTTGAAACCCAATAGCGATAATCTCCGGCTGGATCGAGTCCAGCTCCCGGGGGAGAAGCCAGGGGGACAAATCTTCATGGATGCCATCTGTTTTGCCATTGAGGTTGAAGGTCCCAACAAAGCTGTCAAACGTCAGTGTTCATCCTTGGCCTGTCTGTCCCTGGGGGTGTTCCTGTTACAACAACTTACATGTGAATCTTCTCGCTAGTGGAATACTGGGCACTTCTCTTTTGTAACTCGCCAGCGACATAATCGCTGATTGGGTCGAATAAGACCACGGGCGCTTGACCGACCAGTCGACCAAGCAGGGTATCGATCGTGATTTGGCGGGCCTTGTCAGCAAAGTTGTTATAATATAGCCGGGTGGCCGACTTTCGGACGTCGGCAATAGCACCAGCCAATGACATTTTGCCCGTCCTAGTGAAGGAGGATTTGAGAGCACCTGTGCCGGCATAGATCTTGGATAGAGAATCCCCGTTGTCGGCCCACAGGTTAGCATGCCGAGACCAAAAGTCGGACGCGGCTCTTTCTCCTCTGTGACCTAGGAACGATTCAACGGCCATTTGTGAAATGATGGTCTGGATAAGGTTTGTCCTGTCCAGACAGTCTAGGCAGTTTGTCCGAAAGACACCCTCCTGCTGTAACACGACAACATAACGGCGTTTCTTATGGCCGTCCATGCTCCCGTTCGAGCGCCCAGTATCGTCAGACTCTTGCGCAAGATAATACGCAAACCCGTCGGCCGAGTTCTCAATGTACCGACGGATCTCATTCGCCGCCACGTACCCCTGGGGCCCTTTGGTCTCCGCATGGAAGTCATACTCTGTCTCCCGCAACAGCGCATGATCCCGAGACTGATTTCCGCCCTCCGGCCGGCTGAGAGGGCAGTTTCGCACGCCAAGTCTGTAAAGGTTGGTGAGCTCGTACTCTCCGGGCTTGGTAGCGCTCAAGAGGTTCACTACGTGAACGGCCCCATATGCTTGCTCCAACTCCGAGAAGTGTTTGTCAAATGCCGGCTGTGTTCCCTCAGCCGAGCGGGTGACGGTGATCTTTTGTTGGTTGGGTAAAAGACCGGCGGCCTGTTCCCAAAAGACTGGGACTGAGCCCCGAACTTGAGCATAGGAGAACACCACTCCAGAGGGACTCCAGTAGGTTGTTTCCGTTTCCACAAAGTTGGCCACGTTCCCATCGTCGTCAATACCCCGTGAATTAAACCTCGTCCCGGCCCTCCGACAAGACAAGCGGGAAATGATAGTCAGGTAGGACGGCAGTCCCGATCTCCCGGAGCTCAATGGTGCTGTACTTTGTGGTATCGCCCAACTCCTGCAAAACCCACGGATCGCTGAAGTCAATATCCTCGAAGCGTCCAGCGCGTCTCGCTCGTGTTTTTGTAGTCGTGATCGGAAAAGAACAAGCGGCCGGATCATGTAGGAGTTCCAGAGAAAGGATTCGTCAAAATTATCTATATCGAATTCCGCAGCATCGGCCGGCCTGGCAACTGTTAGCGTCTCATTGTCCCCAAACCCCAGGAGCTTCACCGGGCTATGCTTACCTGTCTTGCATGCGGTTTGTGACGTCAAAGTCGGTGCTATAGTAAAAGGTCCCATTCCCGAGCAATTTCTGTAATTCCAAGCATGGGTGTTCTATAGGGACGTCCCGCCGACCCAGTCCTTGACTGTACGGAGGCAACACATCCGAATCCATTTCATAGGGATCGAGGGCCACGACGTCATCATATTCGGCCGAGTTGAGGCAGAAGAACTGCACAGCCTCGATTTTCTCCACGGTTTCGCCAGGGCGAAGGGTTGCGACCCGCGAGGCCTGGGTAATCACGCAGAGGAACACATCTCGCTCGATTGATATGAGCCCGAGTGTTCCATAGATCGGCCGGGGCGTGAGGGGGCGGTAGTCGGCTAGCAGCTTTTCCGAGGTCGAGGAGAACTCGACCATGCACTTCGAAGCCGCATTGTCGGAGGTAGCTGAGCGTTGGCGGCCGGATGCCACGGAGGCAAGGGACCCGTTCGCAATGGATTCGCTTGTTGTGGTGCTGTGCCGGAGGATGAGGGCGTGCGAGTTCGATGCGATGGCAATGGCTCGATGGGGGTATTCGCGGATCAAGATCTGGCTCGACTTTTCGGGGGACGGCGCCTGGCCGGGCCACAGAGCCGTCGAGGGCGGCGCACTGGGGTTGTAGTCCATGTCGCGCTTAGCCGTTAAGAGAGGTATTGATGTAGTTGATGCGGGCACTGCTTCGAGGGTCACGAGCAGAGGTCATGGCGTGTAGGTTGCGGTTCAATTCATTATTCGGCTGTTGCTGGTTTCAGGAGAGCGGGTAGTTGGTATGAAAGAATTCGGAACACTCGGTTTCAATCTCGGAGGTTAAATGTTAAACTGCTGGTTCTTTCCATCGGAATTCATGTAGGTTGAGGGGCAGCCCTCGCAAAAGATGCGCCGAAACTTGATGTGGCCCGATGTGCCTGCCCGCAAGGAGCGCCGCAGCAGTTCAGCTCCACGCCTCCCTGTCACCGGTGCTTACTGCGTCCGTTCTTATGTACAGCACTTGTGAGTCCCCAACGCCTGTACCTCTGGCCCGAGCTGCATATTACTGTGCGGAGAAGATGCCCGGTGCTGGAGTATCTGAGCGAGCAACTCCAAGGGTTTGTTCAAGTTTCCAACTGCTAGGTTGTTGTTTGGATCGCAACCAAAAGAAACAGCACGCTTGTTCAACTGGGAGGCAGGTACCCGAGAGCTCACGGAAGCACGCATAGGTACCAGGCTTCTGGGCTTTAGCAGGAGACGAAATACAGCTGTGGTTTTCTTTGTCCACCATTCAAATTTTAAACGAGACAAATATGCATATCTCGATTTGTGATGGTACAAAACAACTTAGCAAATTCCAATATCAGTCGATTCTGCGAAACTAACGTTCTCGGCCCAGCGAACACTCAAGAAGAGAAAAGAGGAATAAACAAAGTTATATGTATGGAACGGCTTCAGGAATGTAATCAATGGTGAGATCATGCTCTCCGTTTCCGGAAAAATCAGCCTCTTCCTATCATGTTTGTTTATTGATTCAATCATCATCAGCCTGAAGAAGGAGGGAAAATCGAAGAGCATTGGAAAAAAAGTTGGTTAAATGGCTGCGCAACTGATTAGATAAGGCGTGCCCCACCGCCTGCTTGTTGGAGCAAGCAGGTGGCCCGTGCAGACCCTGACACGGCAGTGGCCAGAGCGCGTCAGGGCGGCCAGCGGCTGCTTTTTTGCGATCGGCGTTTGACCTTCAACTCCCAATCCTGATTCCCAGCCTCGTGTCTTGCTGGACAAAACGTATCTTCCAACTCGTTATATCACACAAACACACTTGCATCGGCACGAAGCATCGTCGGATACTACCCGAAGAATATTATTTCAAACGGAAACTACGCAATCGACAAATCTCACAATCGGTCCTACCGCGCGTTGATTCTCGGCTCGCTACGATGGGTGATTTCGCCAACTTTGGGGGCACGGACGAGGAGAATGCTGAGATCAAGCGCCTCAATGCCGAAGTGGTAAGTAGCTACGGGTGCTTACTGCTCTTGGGGATTATTTTCGCGAAATACTCTGCTCACCTGCTTGTCAACACTACAGGAGGAGAACACCGACAACTTCGAGAACTGGGAAAAGTTGATTCAGGCCTGTGAAGCCCTCGAGGGGGGCCTCAATCGCAATTCGAGCCCCCAAGCGCTGGCGGCCCTTCGCGACTCATACGACCGATTTCTCCTAAAATTCCCGCTGCTCTTCGGGTACTGGAAAAAATATGCCGACCTCGAATTCAACATCTCCGGCCCGGAGTCGGCCGAAATGGTACGTCTATCCATCGCTGGCACTGGTCGCTGGACTTGCCTGACATCCGGCTAGGTGTATGAAAGAGGTTGCGCTAGCATCACCAACTCCGTCGATTTGTGGACACAGTATTGTTCTTTCAAGATGGAGACTACTCACACCCCCCACCTCGTGAGAGAGTAAGTATAGGTGGCCCATTTCCTTCCCCAGCCCCATGACCTCCTCACCCGCAGCAAAAACCTGCGAGACCGGCCCGCGCGCGCCGCCCGCCGAAACGCAAGAAACGTCTCCGAATCTACAGTCATCCAGGACCTGGTGAGAGATACCAAAGGCAGCTGCCCACCCTCTGCTGGGATCGTTCTCTCACAATATCTAAACCAGGGCTCTGCTGCGCTCAGCAGACCGCGTTCTGTGTCTTGTGGCCTCGTCCTCACTTCCCGTTCGCGCACGTTTCCCGGAGTTGTAGTTTTGGCCTCCTGTGATGGATCGCACCGCTTTCACAAGTCCCCTATTGTATTTGCGCACCCTTCCCGACTTTCCCTTCCTCCCCTACCTGTCCCCCCCTCCCTTTCCCGTTTGTTCGGCACTGACATGGCCCCCAGGCTATTTGAGCGCGCCGCTTCTCATATCGGCCTAGACTTCCTCTCCCACCCATTTTGGGACAAGTATCTGGAGTACGAAACGAGGCAAGAGGCGCAGGACAAAATCTTTGCGATCCTCAACCGCGTCATCCACATCCCCATGCACCAATACGCCCGCTACTTTGAGCGGTTCAGGCAATTGGCGCACTCTAGGCCCTTGGAGGAGATCGCCTCGGTGGACGCCGTGGCCCGGTACCGCGCCGAGTCGGAAGCCGAAGCAGCACAGTTTGGCGTGCAAAAGACGGATCTGGAGATTGAGAGGGAGATACGGGCCAAGATTGACGCCACGTTCTACCAAGTCTTTCAGCAGACACAGGAGGAGACCACGAAGCGTTGGACGTTCGAGGCCGAAATCGCGCGACCGTACTTCCACATCACCGAGCTGGAGCACCGGCAACTCAGCAACTGGAGGAAGTACCTCGACTTTGAGGAGTCTGAGGGCCACTACCAGCGGATCATCTCCTTGTATGAAAGGTGTCTGAGCACGTGCTCACTCTACGAAGAGTTCTGGCTCCGGTACGCCCGGTGGATGTCGGCGCAGGAGGGCAAGGAGGAAGAGGTCCGCAACATTTACTTGCGGGCCGTTACGCTTTTTGTTCCCATCAGTCGGCCGGGCATCCGGCTCCAGTTCGCGTACTTTGAGGAGATGAGCGGCCGTATCGACATCGCCCGGGATGTCCACGCGGCGATTCTGATGGAGCTGCCGGACTGCGTCGAGGCGATTGTCTCGTGGGCGAACCTCCAGCGGCGGCAGAGCGGCCTGGATGCGGCGATCGAGGTGTACAAGGCTCAGATCGACTCACCGTCCGTCGACATTTTCACCAAGGCAGCGCTAGTCACGGAGTGGGCGTTCCTGCTGTGGAAGGTCAAGGGCTCTGTGGACGAGGCTCGGACTGCGTTTGCCAAGAATGTGGAGTGGTACGCGGACAGCCGGCACTTCTGGCAGAAGTGGCTCGAATTCGAGCTGGAGCAGCCGACCAAGGCCGATGTTGAGACGGAGCATGCCGAGCGGGTGAAGAAAGTGTTTAGTGAACTCAGCTCGCGCAGCCGTTTGTCACCCGGGATCAAGCAGGAGCTCGGCCAGCAGTACCTCGGGTACCTGCAGCAGCGTGGGGGCAAAAATGCCATGAAGGAGTTTCTTCTTGTTGACCGGGAGCTTTTTGGGTAAGTTGACGAAAAACAAACCAACCCCTAAGGGCGACATTTGAGAGTGAGCAGCGCTGACCAAAATATCGCAGACCCCAATCCGTTTCGGTCATCACCAAGGCGAAGCAGTCCAAGGAAGGCGCTGGCCTGCCAGAACTCGATGAGGCGACCCGGGCCAAGGCGGAGAGGCGGTTCTACAGCTACTACGAGTTGCACACGGACCCGGATCCGAACGCCCAGGGCCCAGCTAGTTTTGACTAAGTGTGTTTGTTGTCTAGCTGAGGTCTGGTGGGCTGTCGGCCGTTTTTTTCTTTTTTTGTTCTCGTCGTTTTTTCTCGCCACGGCAATAATGGGGCGATCGATGACTGTGGCGATCCCATCTATGAGAATGAAATAGAAGGACGATGGGATCTGTATGGCGCTTGTTTGATTGGTGTTTTGATACTGCGCCTGTGGTTGATGATTGGTTGAGTCTCTGGCGAACTAGGTAGATAGATATATGTACAACGTTTACTCAACATCTAGTCCACATTGTGACGCCCCTTGCTGCATATTGTGTACTTATTAATGCTCATCAGCCGCAACCGTCCCTTTGCAAGCCCATCCCACATTATATCTTGCCCCAACTCTTCGTTCGGGCTGCACTAGACAGTATCCCCCTTCTCCTCGCTCTTCCTCCCAACCTCCTCATCGCCCCCCTTCTTCTGACCCTCCTCCAGCCCATACTGGCTATCCACCGTCGTCCGCAACGGCACCTCCTTTTCCAACCAAACCAACAACCAAGCTGCACCGGCAAACCCGATGCCTGCGTACCACACCACACGGATAGACTATCGATGTTAGGACCGCCTCCGTGATTCCTCAAGTGGGGAGAAGGTCGAGGAACACGGGAAAAAAGGAGAAGAAAAGGGGAAAGAAATAAAAGAAAAAAACTCACATCCCGAAAAACCCCCCTAACAACCTCCCTCACCCCCTCATCCCGAATCCCCTCCATCAAAAACGCCCTTGTCGCAAACTGATATGCCCGTCCGTCCCGCAGAGGCGCCAGGACACGTACTAGTTCGGACGTTGCTGCTGCCGTTGCCATAGCTGCTTCTTCCGCTGCCTGTTGTGAAGAGGGTGAAGAGGAGGCGAGAGCTATGCTGCTGGCGATGCTGCTGGCAGCCCGAGTTGCACAAGCGTTGTTGAAGAGCGCCGCGGGGATGGTGACGCCCCAGACGGTGGCGAAGGCGCGGGTGAAGGTCCAGATGCCTGTTGCGAGGGCCGTGAGGTCGAGGTCGGGGTTGGGGTTGGGTCCTTTAGTTGATGAGGTTGATGAGGGGGTTGGGGGGGTGGTAGTTGCTGGAGCAGTAGTTGTACTAGTAATAGCTGGAACAGTGGCTGTAGGAGGAGTAGTAGTCGAAGTACTCGAAGGAGTAGCCGTAGCAACCCCCCTAAGAGAAGCCTGCATAGCCGGCAAAAGCACCGCAACCGGCAGCCCAGCGCCAATCGCACCCACCAACTGAAAACACGCCCATGCCGCCGTCGACGACTCCTCCCCCAACAACGAAAATAGCCCAAACGCCACCGTCAACAACCCCGTCCCCACAAGATGCAGCGGCTTATACCTTCCCGTCCGACCCATCACCAACCCGCCCACAATCGCAAAGGGAAACAACCCCGCAAACAACGGCAGCGCGTCCAATCCCGCCTGCAACACACTCTTAGCTTGCACGGCCTGGAAGTACAGTGGGGCGAAGTAGAACGCCCAGTACGTGCACAGCGTCGTGAGGAAAGTCACGCCCAAAACCACGATGGCTGTCCGGTCGGCGAGGAGGACGCGCGGGGGTGGGAGGGATGGGTGGGTGGCGAGGGTCCATTCGTAGGTTGTGAACAGCGCGAGGCCGGCGAAGCCCAGGAGGAGAGGGGCTAGGACGGGAGCGGAGGACCAGGGGTGGAGGGTGCCGCCCCAGGTGAGGCCGAGGAGGATGGAGACGGTGGCGGCGAGGAAGAGGGCGGTGCCGGGGAGGTCGATGCGGGCGAGTTTCGTGGTGAGGGAGGTTGGGAGTTGGGGGTGGGAGATGCGGAGGAAGAGAAAGAGGGCGATGAAGGAGGCTGTGGGAGTGTGAGTGTGTTAGTTGATTTAGGAGCTTGGGGCCACCATGCCTTCTTTCTGAGCGTAATAGGGATAAGACAGTTTACATACTTCCGCCGATGGGGAGATTGATATAAAACACCCAGCGCCAGGAGCTTCGCTCAGTCAACAAACCGCCGAGAAAGGGGCCTAGTGCAGCGCCGACGGCTGATACCATCTGCACTATGGCCATGTACTTGCCACGCTGGCGAAGCGGCACAAGATCGCTGAGGACGATATTGATCATCAGTGCGATGCCACCGCCACCGAGGCCTTGTCTATTTTCCGTCCCGAGATCAGTACGTTGTAGCAAGATCTGAGAAGTCTATGTTCCCAAAAGGGATAAAAGTAAACAAACGCAGAGAGAGACGACAAGATAAAAGCAAAAAAAAAACATACACAACCCTCCCCCCAATCACCATCCCCATAGTCGTCGCACCTCCACAGATCCCACTGCCCAGCGTAAACAGCCCAACCGACAGCAGCGTCAGCCAGCGCCGGCCAAACAGGTTGGCAGCCTGAGCCATCAGCGGCAGCATCGCCACCGTTGCGAGAAAGTAGGCGTTGGGGATCCAGATGGTACTGCTGCTCTCTGTGTTGGTGCTGTCAGCATTGAAGCTATTGCCGTTGCTGTTCGTCCCATTGTTGCTGTGGTTACTCGTTGGGTTCTGGCTGAGGTCGGCTGCGATGGTGGGTAGGGCGCTGGTGATGATGGTGCCTTCGAGGGAGGAACAGAGCGCGGTGAAGGCGAGTGAGGCGATCACGGCGCGGAAGCGGAGCGTGTGGCCCGTGGGGGGGTCGGTGGCTGTGGTGGTGGTAGTAGTATTGTCGGCATTGTTGATATCGGTGGTGTTAGTATCAGCCGAGTCGCTGGCTGTATTAGGCGTAGAATCGGAGTCAAGAATTGGGTCTGGATGGGCGTCAAGGGATTGGGTACCGTCCTTTTCAGCGGGTAGAGAATGTGGAGAAAGGGAGGTGTTGTCTGGTAGTGCCATTTTTGCGAACGTCTAGGGTTGATAACAGGTATGTAGCTGGTGATTTTTCAGCGTCGGCGTACGAGGTTGGATCGTACGAAACTTGGCCTGACGGTGCAAAACAACTATGGTAGCCCACCATTTGTGTCATAAGAAGACAGGAAAATACCGACTGGGAAGATCGAAGCTTTATTTCGCCTTAAACAGAACCTTTCGGCCGCATTTTTGGTGGATCGGTCACTTTCGGTCACATCCGGCCACTTTCGGTCGGTTTTGATGCTCCTCCGCAAGGCAGCAAAAATAGTGGTGAGAAGCCGATTACCCCAAGGAACACAAGTTTGACAGGGGGCAGGTGATGAAATCGTGGGAATTCGTCCGTCAGTTTGGGGGCTTGGACGCTCTTAATAACACAAGGGGAAGGTTCTGAACTGTCGACTTTTTAGCGTGGATATCTTCCATTTCGAGTACCGCCATGATGTCGCAGGGACGGTAGATGTAAAGACAACTTCCCCGATAAAACCTCACCAGCTCCCTCATGTTCGCACCGCACCCACCCTCCCCACGCTGTCCCGTCCGTACAGATTCGTCCGCTCCGCAGTCTTAATACATATCCTCAACTTGTCCCGCGCCGTCTCATGCAGCTGAATGAGCATACCCAACTGCAGGTCCAGACACTGGCCCATGGAGAAACCGTCAATCACCAGTTCGGGCATTATTGCCGCCGTCCCGGTGGGTGATTCGTGACTATTGGGAGGGCGGTGGTTGTTGTTAATGTTGTCCGTGACTATGTTGTTGCTCTCACTGCCACGAGCACCCGTTAAAATCTCCACAGCCCGGGAGTAGAGGATCTCTAGCCGGGTGTAACAACTCAGCACCATTAACGCAGTAGACCGGTCGTAGTGTTTTGTTGGTCCTTGTGTTGTTGAGATGGACTCGGTGTCCTCGGCCCGGAGCTGTGTCACGATATCTTTAAGACGGCAGGTCAACTGGAAGAGGTCTCCGGTGCGTAGGTCAGAGAGGGAAAATGGTGGTTGAATGCCCGTGTGGGATGGGGTATTCCTAGTTGCTGTTTCGTTATTCCTGGCTTTGTCGTGGTGGAGTGGGTGTTGGAAGAGGGAAACGTTGAGCTGGCAGAGTTGAGTGAGTAACTGGGCGTGGTCTTCTTTTCCAGTTGTTGGAGTGGTGGTGGCGGATTCCGTGGGATCCTGTTCACTCAGTGCATATATTTGTTCTGTTGCGCCGGCTGAAATGGACGTATTTTGAGAGGTGGTACTGTTAACTGCTGTAGCAGATACTATGTCACACAGTGGGCTGAAGGGTTTGTTGCTAAATCCGACAGTGGTACTCGGACCATCTGTGACAGACATGGTTGAGGGTATCCTTGGAGCGAAGAAGTTGAGATTATCAGGCTCCGGGACCCTGGATAAGTATATCTCTGGTGAGTGACTGTGTCCCAATGTTTCAAGACGAATGTTGAGGCGGCTACGAGAGATGAAACAATTACCAGGTAAGAAAGTCCAGCGGATCAAGCTCGGGAGGTCCGGTGCTTGCCGGATACATCGATACACCTGTAGTTTCTTCACCCTGAAGAGGCAAGTCCTCATTCCAGTCGCGTATGTCACGGTCCTGACTCCCGCTGCCGCTGCCAGTATACTCGCGCCGGCGAGGTGGCCGACCCATGGGCCGCGGCGCGGGAATGGCACACACTGCATCTGCCCTGGCACACCGCTGGCACTTCTCGTGACCGGCGTCCCAGATGCATCGCAGTTTTTGGCCACGACAACGCCCGCAGGAGGGTTTGGAGAGGTTCGTCTTGGCGACGCGATGACTGCTTCGCGTTGTTGCTGACATGGGAGTGGTAGATGTAGTGGATGCTCAGAGTTTCACCGAAATGGCCGTGTTGAGGGTTGGGTTGGGTGGAGTTGGTTGTGATATGTCGTTGAGTCGGCGGGAAGTTGATGTCGGGATGTCAGCATGCTGTGTTGTGTTGTGCCGAGCGGAAATGGCTAGCACTTGATGGCTGCAAACGGCAATTATTACTGGATTAACATTACTGAGCGGATGGGATACTGTGCGAGAAAGATGAGGCTTCATGCAGAACCTCTTCTAAGCCACGGAAATCGTACTAAAAATCCTACGATTATACCGGCGACGACGGGTTCTGTAAACACAACATAAAAACGGTACCTGCTTCCTCATACATCATACCGCTATCGATAAAACATCAAAGACCTCAAGCTGGGATGTGATGTGTTGAGATGCAGGATGCAGGGCGATGACTGATGCCCCGCATTCCGGGCCGCAGCGCCATTGTGCGGGCCGCGGGGTTAGATCGGAGAACTATGACATTTTTTTTTCGTTGTGTCGTTCGAAGTAGGTTTCCACTGGTAATGCCTACTCTTGATAAAATGAAGATGGCGTCTCCGTTGAGACTTGAGGCTAGTTAGATCGCATGTGACATTGTATGGTGATTTGTGGTTTTGTCCGTCTTCACATGCCTTACACAGGACAAACGCTGTCCCTCGGCCAATAAAAAGCTGTCCCGCTACCATGCAAGGCACAGCGGCGAACAATGAGTCGTTGAGGTTGAAGGGTTAAAGGAAGGGTCCCCGGGATCGGACCTCCAGAGATGGAGCTTAGTGTACTATGTCGTCTACACAGGGCGACAGGAATGCGTCGACGGGGCTCGGGTTTGCTCGGAGAAGACCCTCGGCTCCGCGATGGCGATTATGGTGTTTCAACGTCTCCCTTGTTATTCCACCCCACCGCCACAACGAGTCATACCCAGCGGTGGGCGTTGCGTGTAGGCCGGAGGATAATTAGTAAAATTCGTCCCGTGGTCCCGTGCTTTCGCGTTCGGAGAATGATTACTATGTAAATTTTCCAAGAGGCGAGAGGGGCAAGCGCGGGAAAGCTTCGGCGTTCACGGGGAGCACCGCGCGAGACCCTGGGACCCCTGGGGACTCCTTCCCCACCTGTGTGCTCACTCGCTCCACAAAGTCAAGCCTGACCATTCACGGGGCTGCTATATTTTATTTTCGATTGGCTTCGACTTGCCATTGGAAACAGCCGAAGTGACATCCCATTCCCGGCCAGTTTCCTCATCCTCTTGATTACGCATCTTTGTCTCTGCGTCACGTCTTTTTTTTCTCTCTTTTCCCTTTCTCCGGTTGTGCTACTTATCAGAGTCGTTCCCACCCTTTCACTTTGAAGTTGACTAGGTCTTTCTTTCTCAAGAACCCCAGGTTTAAGGTACGTGATCTTGGTTTTCTCTATCCTCGGCCCTTCAACCCCCCACCGCCTTATCGGATAGAATCTGGGAAAGCTCCGAGTTGCCTATCCCCCATATCGCGGGCAATACCGTATCTGCCGCTTCCTCCCCACACATCTCCAAGCAGTTGCCCAAACTACAACTCACACAAACACCGAGTCACCACGATCCTCAACATCGCTTCGCTTCTAACATCCTGTGCTCTCGCACAACCACAGATGGCGACTGCAGCTCGTACTTTCACCCGCGCTCTGCGCACCTCGGCCCGGCCTGCGTTCGCCGCAGTGCCGCGTGCTGCTCCCCGTACGGCTTTCACCGCTGCCCCCCGCTCTGGTGTCGCTGCTGTGCGCCGCGCCGCTTTCCAACAGGGTGGCCGTCGGTACTACTCGTCCGAGTCGTCGTCGTCGTCGGAATCCACCGAGCAGAAGAGTGGTTCGAGCCGTACGGCCGCAATCGCTGGTGCCCTCGCCCTTGTGGCCATTGCGGGTTACTATGCGACCACCCTCAGCGGCAGCTCGGGCCCCCGCACGGCTAAGGACTACCAGGCCGTGTATGATGTGATTGCCTCCCGCCTCGAGGAGAACGACGAGTACGATGACGGTAGCTATGGCCCGGTGCTGGTCCGTCTTGCATGGCACGCCAGTGGTACTTTCGATAAGCAGACGGGTACCGGTGGTAGCAACGGTGCCACTATGCGCTTTGCGCCTGAGAGCGACCACGGCGCCAATGCTGGTCTGAAGGCTGCCCGTGATTTCCTCGAGCCTGTGAAGAGTAAGTGATCACATAATGGTTCCAAGGGAGGAGTAGTAAGGACGTGACGGGGCCAAGAGAAGATCATGAGACTGACCCAAACACCAACAGAGCAGTTCCCGTGGATCACGTACTCCGATCTCTGGATCCTGGGCGGCGTGTGCGCCATCCAGGAAATGCTCGGCCCCAACATTCCCTTCCGCCCCGGCCGTGAGGACAAGGACGTCGCCGCCTGCACTCCCGATGGTCGCCTTCCCGACGCCTCCCAGGCCCATGACCACCTCCGCAACATCTTCTACCGCATGGGCTTCAACGATCAAGAGATTGTCGCTCTTGCCGGTGCTCACGCTCTGGGCCGCTGCCACCCCGACCGCTCCGGCTACTCGGGTCCCTGGACCTTCTCCCCGACTGTCCTGACCAACGACTTCTACAAGCTCCTGCTCGATGAGAAGTGGCAGTACAAGAAGTGGGATGGCCCCAAGCAGGTAGGCTCCCTTGAATTCTCTCGGCCGTTTTCCTTTGCTGAGGCATGCGCTGACTGACTTTTCCGATATAATAGTTCGAGGACAAGAAGACCGGTACCCTGATGATGCTTCCGGCGGACATGGCGCTGGTCCAGGACAAGAAGTTCAACGAGTGGGTCAAGAAGTACGCGGCCGACAACGACCTCTTCTTCAAGGACTTCTCCGCGGTCATTGTCAAGCTCTTTGAGCTCGGCGTGCCCTTCAAGGAGGATGTCAAGCCCTTTGTGCTCAAGACCAGCAACTAGAGTTGAACTCTCCGAATAGGCTGGTGACGGCCAAGAAAATCAAGAGCGGGATTGTCGAATGAGCGGCATCTTGGTGCGACGGAGTTTTCGGTACTGGGTCTTTTCGACTTAAGAGGTGATAGATATCCTAGATCATATGGGCGAGAGAAAGATTCGAGGATGATAGAAAGAGGAAAGGGACAGGGCGGAGTGGCGGGAGATGTCCATGGTCGGCTATGTCCGCGCCAATTGGCTCTTCTGGGCGTGTCTTGAGCGTCGTGTATTCATTGTCGTGGTTTAGAGAAAGCTAGACCGAAGCTAGAGCTGACTGGCTGGCTTTGTAGACTAGAGTTGGGGTCGTGGAATAGATCAATCCATTGACTTTAAGTTGAAGGAAGAATTTCTACAAAGAGCAAGTATCTTATGTTGTGGTGTGGTGTGTGAGGTGTTGGGCTCTTAGTAAGGAAAAGGGGCATTGGAGGAGTCGTGTCCACTGGATATTTGGAGACGGGGGATTCCGTAGTTTTAAGAGATCACTCAGCTCGGCCACCGTTTTCCTTGCCATGTCGAGACAAAAGAGGGGTCAAAGGGGTAATTGGAGGTAGGTGGTCTTGTGCCGGCCGTTTCGATCTTGGGGTAGACTATGGAACGTTAGATTGTCCAATGCCGCGGGAGTGCCTGTCAAGTGCATGAGAGAGAGCTAGGCCCTCAAGGTTCCCCGCATTGTGGTGGGAGTTGGGACGGGTTTCGTCTGAACAGTGTGGCATTGGACATGTATGAACCGCAATATTGGGGGAAATATTGTTCAAGGAGGTGATACTGTGAAACGGTGGCTACTATTGGAGCCCTGTTAAATGTATCAATTAATTAGTTTCAACATCATATGGGACGTTTTCTTCGAGGAGAGCTTCACTCTAGGTTGGCGACGAAGCAGGGTTAGGGTTAGACTTACGGAGGCTGCCCCGCTGGTTGTCCCGGTAAATTCTTATCCGACAGCTCTGAATCTCGAATTCGAGAACTTTCAAGTTTCAACCGAATCCACACTCCCCAACAAAATGGCAGCCCTGCGCCCGCCCGCCCTCCAGCACCTCCTCAGCCACCAAACCCGCGTCCTACGAACCACTGCATGGCACCAACAACGGCGCTGGGCGCAGGTGCACGACGCGCGGTTCCTAGCGACGACACAACAGCCGCGGCACATTCTCGAAAAGTACCGTCAAAAACTCGACGAGAAGGCCCGTGCCGAGGGCCACGCTGATATCGACTCGCTTAAGGCGGCGTATTCGGATAAGATTAAGGCGCTGCGGAAAGAGACGGATGCTGTTACTGCGCCGTTGGATCAGGCTCGGGCTGGGGGGGTGAAGGAGCCGTTGACACCACCGCCATCACCGGGTTCTAGTAGCCAGCAACCACAACAACAACCACAACCACAACATCAAGCAACGACAACAACATCAACAACACCACAACCCCCCACCCCACCCAAATCCCCCTCCTCCTCCCCAACAGGCGTCAAACCCCTCTCCGCAATCCTCAACCTCCCCAAAGTCCTCCCCCTCCCCAACACAACTCTCACCAACCTCTGGCGCCAACACCACTCCACCCACCCGCGCTCCCTCTGCGCCGTAATCCCCGCAAGCACCTACCAAACCATGGACTCCCTCGCACGCCAACATCCCCATTTCGTTTTACCGGTCCCACATCCGCAGCAGGGCGCAGAGATTCACTTTTGTCAGTGGACTTGGGATGTTGAGACGCGGAGCGCGACGGTGTTGTTTACCCAGTTGGCGGAGTATAAGGTGCGGGGGGAGTTTGCGGTGCCGCATACGACGGTGACGCATTATTTGGATTTGGTGGGGGGGAGGAGGGTTGTCAAGGATTTTGTCAAGGATGAGGGGGAGGGACAGCAGGTGCAAGAGGGGGTAGAGGTGGAGGAGGAAGGGGTGGTGTTGATGCAGGGGATGGTGGTGGAGGATCGCGGGGTGAAAGTGGAGGATGCGCAGTGGTTGGTTATGTGTTTGCAGCGGTTTTATGGGGGGTGGGATGGGTTGGGGGGTCAGGGGGGACTGGAGAGGGCGGAGGAGAGGAGGAGGTTGTTGGAGTGGTTTGGGAAGGGGGATGAGAGGTTTAGTGTGGAGAAGTTGTTGGAGCAGGCTGAGAGGATGGGGTAGGGAAGGACGTGGAAGATGGTGTATGTATGTATGATCAATTGTTGGTTGGTATTGTATGATAGATGGGGGGCTTTAGATGCCTGCCCAATGTATGTACCCGATAGATCGCGAGACTAAACGACCAATGATACACACAACGCACAGTTACAACTTCGCCCCCTTCCCCCTCTCCTCCCTCTTCGCCTCCTCTCGCACCACCCTTCTCAACACCTTCCCACTCGGCGACTTCGGCACCTTCTCCACAAACTGGATCCCACCGCGCAGTTTCTTGTGCGGCGCCACCTGGCCCGCAACCCAGTCTGCGAGCTCGATCGCCTTGGCCTCGCTCGCCTCGACCCCGTCGCGGAGCACGACATAGGCACGCGGCACCTCGGTGGCTTTGGCTCGGTCCTCAACGCCGATGACACAGGCGTCGGCGACTTGGGTGTGGCCGATCAGGACGCCTTCGAGCTCGGCGGGGGGGACGGGGTAGCCGTCTGCGGGGTGGTTAACTAAGTACGTATACGAGAATAATCAGGGAGCGATGAAATGGTGAAGGGGGGCACTGACTGTACTTGATGAGCTCCTTGAGCCGGTCGACGCAGTAAAAGTTGCCGTGCTTGTCACGACGGAATACGTCACCCGTCTTGAAGAAGCCGTCTGATGAAAAGGCCTCTTTGGTGCGTTCCGGGTTCTTGAAGTACCCCGAGAACACGTTGGGGCCTTTGAGCCATAGTTCACCGGACTGTTGTCATGTTAGCGAGGGTTTAATAACGGAACCCAAACAAAGAAAGCGGATATCAGGAAAACAGGAAGTAGCACCAACCGCACCCTCACCAACATCCCCCCCATCCTCATCAACAATCCTCGCCTCCATATTCGGCATCAACTTCCCCACCGACCCCATAAACTTCCCCCACTCATCCACCACCTGACAACACACCACCGCACTCGTCTCCGACAACCCAAACCCCTGCTTCACCGGCACCTTCAACCTCCCCCACACCGCCTCCGTCAACTCCCTCGTCAACGGCGCAGCCCCGGAATGCAGCACCTTCAACGAACTCAAATCATACTCATCCACCGCCGGGTGTTTACTAAATGCCAGCACCACCGGCGGCGGCACATACGCAAAGGTAATCCGATACCGCTCAATCGTGCGCAGCGCCTGGAGCATATCGAACCGCTCGAGCACCACGAGCCGCCACCCTTCGTGGATGGACATCAGCACGCCGCAGGTTAGGCCGTAGATGTGGAAGAAGGGGAGCACGCCTAGCTGGCGGTCGCCGTCGCCTGTGGGGCCGCCGTGGGAACGCCATTGGGAGCCTTCGGTGTAGCTTGCTTGAAGGATGTTGGCGACCATGTTGTGGTGGGAGAGGCCGACGCCTTTGGGGAGGCCCGTGGTGCCGGAGCTGTAGACGAGGAAGGCGAGGTCGTTCTTGGGGGTTATGCGGTAAGGATGGGGTAGTTTGCCGTTATCATAGTTTCTGTCTTTGCTATGTTGGCGGAGGAGGGCAGAGAAGTGCCGAGCCCGGTCGGAGGGGTCGGGCTGGGTGCCGAGGAGGATGATGCGGTCTCGCGGGAGACCGGCTTTTGCTGCTGCGGAGAGAGCAGTGCGGAGGTTAGCAGGTTGGGTTACTAGCCCTTTAGCACCTGAGTCACGGAGTTGAAAGGCGAGCTCATCGACGGTATAGAGCGGGTTGGCGGGTGAGACGGTGCCTCCAGCCCACAGGGCGCCCAGGGTGAGAATAGGGGTCTTTCACACGGGTGTTAGTGTTGCGATACATGGAATTGGTGTTGAGGATTTCAAGGGAAGGGTATAAACAAACATCAATAGAATTCGGCGTGTAAAACGCTAGAACGTCACCCTGTTTCCATCCCCATTGGTCTTGAAGCCCCCTACCAACCTCGATTGACTTGTTGCGCAGGTCGGCCCAGGTGTACGACCGACCAGTTTCGGCACAGGTGAGGATCTCCTTAGTTGGTGGGAAGTCTCGGTGCCGGGGTCCGAAAAGGAGGGTCCAGAGATCGATGTTGTCTGGGATATCAAGGGCTGGGAATGTAGATTGGTACGGCATCGTGTTCGTGGAGTTCCGTCACTACGGAACTGGGGGTGAAATAAGATGAGAGATAGCAAGGTGAGAGTCGTGAATCGTGATCTGACCCCTGGCGATGTTTGAGAAACGTAGTGAACTTGAGAGCCCTCGTCCTGTTGTTCATTGCATGAGAGAAACCCGCCATCGCTCGGAATCCAAGAGCCGTGCCTTGCATCCTCGGCGGTGGCTGGCGTCGGCTTTCTTGAGCGGGTTCGTGATCCTCGTCCAGGGGTCCCTTGTGGTTGGTGATAGGCGGTCTGGTTAGCATCGGCCCGCCCCACAGGTTCGAGGCACAGAAAATCTGGGGTCGTTGACAGTGTGCGGGGGAGCGTCGCGGGGGAGGGTCAGGTGATGCACAGGGGTTCTGGACGCTGAAGCGCCTGGAAGGAGCAATGGACGCTGAATAAATCATCTCGAATCCGGGAAGGCTCACGGTTTGCGCCTTCCACACCCAGTAGATTTGGTCTTTTGTACGCACACTTTTCCCATTCTAATTCTTTAGGGCTGGACTGGCCTAATCACCTGGTACTCAATGCGTGGATGTGTCATGCTTCAACAATGGACGCCAAAACCTGTGTACTTAATTAAGTCAAAACCGACGTTCTCAACGTGTGGAATAAAACATCAGTTTTCCAAATTTTCCGTGTCGAGTGTTTAAAGACAAGCCTAAACAACCTTCTCGGACTTCTTGAAACGCCTTTAGCCTCGGGCAGCGCCAGGATACTAATTAATTATTACCACTGAGATTTAGTTGACGGGATTTACGCCTTGAAGAGAGTCGACGGATTTTGGGAAGGGGAATTGTGGTAGTTTGGGAGATAAGCTTGTAAGTTTAAAAACACAACATTTTTGTGTGCGAGTTGGTGAAATTGTTATATTAATCATTCAGTTATGTTGATGACCGGCTACTGCGTTTCGTGCCTTGCGTTCATGATATCTTTCGTAAACTTCGATCTCCTTGACTGCTTATTAATTAATTATATCGGCTCACACCAACGCTGTTCGATTTCAAACAAGGCATCCTTGGTAAGATCCTAACCATTTTCCACCGAAGTACTTTGGAAGAGCTGCCCCCTAATTTTTCCGTGCTTTATTTTTGACAGGCACAACGAGTGAAGCTTGTTGTTGTTGTTGTTGTTGTTGTTGTTTGCGTTTAACGGCACAACGAATGAAACGGGCCACAGGACGAAATAATTCTGCTGTTTAGACTTTCAGGATTACACCGACCTCTAAATCTCCTCAAAGGTCTCTAGCAACCCCCTTAGGGAGTGACGGCAAGGCTCTCCGTACGCAAGGCTCATCTTATCAAGACTCATCGTATCGGGCACTCGGCTGCACGCTAGTACGTGATAGTACGTGATTACCTACACTCACACTTTCCCTTACCATTCGCATTCAACCAGATTGACGAACCCGGCTTTGTTTCTGTCAGCGGATCTAACTTTGGTACTTTCAGGGGCCGGGTGCACCATTTTCGGCTCTAAATGAGCAGTGGAAGCCCGGTGAGCCCGGTGAGCTGTTCCGTCGGAGACTGCGACCGGAACGAGACCAAGAGATGTCATCGAAGGGCGCCACCAGCCTGGCTGCTTTGTCCGGGGTTTGTATCCGAGAGGGTCTATCTGACTGTCAACCGCTTGGCTACCTGTTGCGAGATACTCCGATACCATCAAGCCCGGAGAGTTTGCGATGCTGCCAAGAGGGAGAGCCTGATCCAGCTGAGTAAGGGGTTTTGGTGGAGGATGTCATCACCGGTGTGATATCTTTCTACGGAGTTTCTGGGGGTCCTTGGACATGACCCGGGCTTGGAGATGGTCTCTCGCATCGTATGCTGACACTTGGTGATGCAGTGAGGTGGAATTGCAGCACATTAAGTTCCCGATCACTATCAACTCCTCCGTTCCATGAGAGAAAAGCACGGCGTGTAACACTGCAGCAACGAATTCCGCCTTTGATTGAGGTTGTCAGCAATCTCTGTGATTCCCCGCCCCCTTTTCGTCTTCGAACAATTACTACAGGTATGTACCTAGTACCCATCTAGAGTTCCGAGCCGTCACCGGTGACCCCGATCCCTTACTCATCGACCTAATCATGGCCCATAATAGTCACATCTCCCTCCGACCAAATCGACCGCATCTTAAAAACCTTAATCTTCCACAGACCTGACTCCTCCTCCTTCACCAACGTCATCCAGTACTGCCCGCCCGTCACAAACGACGTAGCACCGCCCACCTTGCCCCTACCACCACGGTAGTGCTGCGCCTGGTACAGCGCAGACAAAGTAGCCGTCTTCTCGTCATCGCCGACGTCGATGCGGATGTTGGTGGCGTAGTGCGTGGTGTCGAGCTGGCTGATGACGGTGTCGTAGCAGTCGGCGTGGATCGCCTCCAGACCGTCGAGATCGCGCCGGTTGAGCGCCCACTTGGCATCGGCTGTGAAGGCGGAGTCGAAGAGGGCTGCGTCGTTGGTGTCCATGCCGGTGAGGAAGCGGTAGAGGGCGTCTTTGATGGCGTCACGGGTGGGGAGGGCCGGGGTGAGGACGGCGGGGAGGGACATGTCCGTCATGGTGGTGGCCATTTTTATTGTGTGTGTTTAATTATGTTTTGGAGGGGTTTGTGATTGGGGTTGGTTTGAGGGTTTGTGTAATTAATTTGAAATTATTTTCAAGTCACACGAGGCTTGCAGAGCGTTGCATGTACTGTTGTTGACTGTTGACTGTTGTCACTTGGGTGAAGCTATTCTGAGAATCCAGCTCCTCACAATGGGATGCGCTTGGAATTTTTATGTCCCCTTCATCAGCGGCCGGGCGATTTCCAGCAACTTGTGCTCTTGATCTCGAACTTCAACCCCGATTTGCGAGCCCCGAGTGGGAGGACGGGAGTGCCTCTGTGAATGTTTCGGGCAAGGCGTATTGACGTGTAACGACTTAGACACGACCCGCTTGGTTTGTTGAAGAAGTGGCCCGATTGGGACCAAAAAGTTCCCGATCGCTTGCCGAGTACCCTGGACAACGTTGCAATCTCCGAGCCCGGGGCTGCGAAAGCGTATTGGCGGGTAATAATTTGACTACCGATTTCAGCTACGGTTTTGACGCCATTGTCTTTGTGTTTGAGACAATTCGACTGAAGGATCGTGACGATGAATCCTGCAGTGACCGAGGGGTGTGATCTTTGAGTCCGTCACTTGCAGGTAGGAATGATTCGAGACCTCGAATTTGATGTTGATTACGGATGCTATCATGTTCGATGTGAAATTTGACAAGTCCAACTGTAGCTTGGAGCTCTCGAGCAAGAGGAAGCAAGGCCGTGGAAGAAACTCAAAGGAACCGATTAATTAATTAATTAATTAATATCAAAAATAAAAATCAAACAAATTCAAAATTCAGTTGCAATATCTTCAATCGACCAAATTAACAAGACCGTAAACCGCTCAGCTCACCACCGCCCACAACCAACCATCGTAGCTCTTGTCACTAACCGTCTGCACAACCACCGCATCAATACCCGGCTCCCTGCCCGCCTTCTCAACCACCTCACGACAGCCCTCAACGTAAGGATCATCATTCTGCAAATCCGCCAAATCCCCCTCCCTTACAACATTATCCACACAAATAACCGAGTTCGGCCGCAGCATATCCCTCGCCAGCTGAAAATACCGCCAATTATTCACCTTATCCGCATCAATAAACACAAACCCAAACCTCTCCCTCTTCCCCGCCTGCACCTCCTCCCTCAGCCGCGAAAGCACCTCCAACGCAGCCCCCTCCACAACCTCCACCCTCCCCTCCGGCGACGAAGCCCCCTTCAACAACCCCGCAGCCGCCAAATTCTCCCTCGCAACCGCCGCATGGTGCGGATCCCGCTCAATAGTAACCAGCTTCAGACCGGGGTTCTCACTCGCCAACCACACAGCGGCGTATCCGCCGAGGGTGCCGACTTCAAGCGCGTGGGTGACGCCGGCGGTGCGGCAGTGCAGAGCGAGGAATTTGCCCTGGGACGGGGATACCGCGTAGTCGGGGAGGCCGGCGGCGCGGGAGTGCCGGGCGGTGGAGGTGAGTGCTGCAGTGTTGGGGCGGGTTGCAGGGTGGGTGTGGTGCTGGGCGAAGGCTTCGACGGCTGCCCAAGAGGGGTTGGGGGTGCTGGCGTGCCAGATGTTGCGGTTGCGGAGGGGCATTGTGTTGAAGGGGTTGGCTACTGCCAAGGAGTTGGGTAAGGAATTTGCTAAGGGGGGTTGGAGTTGGGAGAGATGGTGGTGTTGATGATTTGGGCGTGTAAGTGATGCGAGGACTCGTCCTCTTGGAATCATAATCGATAGGCAGAAAATGAGGAAGATGATGGGGAGTATGCGGACGTGCTGCGACATTTTTTTTTTAAGTGGGCGGCGCGTGCTGCAGACCCGACGTGACACTCCCTGCCGACTGCAGCTCGGTAATTATTTGGTTTGTTCTTCTGAGACAGCGTTCACTGACCAGTTGGCTGCTTGACTGCCAACCAGCTGGAACATCAGGCTGCAGAGCGCGGGATATGTAAGCTAGGGAGGGGTGTGGGTCGCTACTGCCTGCAGAGCTGGCCGAGTAAAACCCGGGAGCTGTCTATCCAGTCACACCGTGTCAATAAGGTCTCGGGGTTTGACGGTGACACAGTGGCATCATGCATCATGTAGGTAGATACAGAGAAAGGACCCACTTTCACTACGTCGTACCTCTAGCGCCGTACCTCTCTAGGTAGCCGGCTGTCTGACTGTCAGATATCTCTCCGAGCGAGGAATCCGTCTTACACCACCCACGAGCTGGAATGAGACGACGGACGGTCGGAACCCGGGACCAGCTTCCTGATCGGGAGCGTAAAGCGCGCAGGCGGCTGGAGGGGAGGTTGAGAGATAGAGTTGCTGTGGGAAATAAAGGAGGGCTCTCCCTGAAATGACCCCGAGGGGCTGTGCTGTTGAGGTTTCTGTATCTGTTACACTGAATCTGTCACTTACACGCTATCCACCACTCATACAATTCATCACCTCGAAGTTTGCCACGCAACTCACTCATTCACCTTGTTGATCACCTGTCTCCTACCACACACAGCCACGATGAGGGTTCTCTGCCTCCACGGCCGCGGGACCAGCGCGGCCATCTTCAAGTCCCAGACCGGTAAGTTACCACTCACTCCATAATCATCGCCCAACAACCAAACAAAACAAACCCAAAAGAAGACCAAAAGAAAATACGTTGGTGTACTGATGTACTGACACCTTCTCAGCAACCTTCCGCGCCCACCTCCCCAAGTCCTACACCTTCGACTTCGTCGACGGCCCCTTCCCCTGCGCCCCCTACCCGGGCATCGACACCATCTTTCGGCCCGCCCGCGGCCACTACTTCCGTGCCTGGTGGACCGAGCCCACCCCGGAAGCCATCCGAGCAGCCCACCGCTGGCTAGACAACTACATCGCGCGGCACGGGCCCTACGACAGCGTCATGTGTTTCTCACAAGGGTGTTCGTTAGTAGCGTCGTACCTCCTATACCACGCCGACGAGAGGGGACCTGATGTACCGCCGCCGTTTGGCTCGGCGGTGTTTATTTGTGGGGGGTTGCCGTTTGAGGTGTTGGAGGATTTGGGCGTGGAGGTGTCGGCAAGGGCGCATGAGATTAGTGCGCAGACGTCGAGGTTGTTGAGGCGGCGCGCGGGGTTGTTGACGGAGTTTGCGGCGGGGGTTGGGTCGAGAGCTGCGCAGTTGAAGATGAAGTTGGGGCTGAAGACGGGGACCGGGCCTCTGGCCGGCCCGCGCAGGACCAGTCTGTGGGATGACAAGTCCGGGCTGGTGCACGATGCAGACCGGCGGGTGCTGCCGGACCCGTCAGACTGCTTCGGGCTTGATTTTGGGCAGGTCCCAGCACATTTGCGCATTACGATTCCAACGGTGCATGTCTATGGGGCGCGGGACCCCCGGTGTCCTGCGAGTATTCAGCTGTCGTATTTTTGTCGGGAGGCTGGCCACACGAGGATGTATGACCATGGTGGCGGACATGATATTCCGCGGTCGACGGTGGTGTCGAAACGGTTGGCTGAGTTGGTTAGTGAGTTGCATGGGGGGGTTGACTCTGGGTATGCCTCTAGTGAGGGGACCGTGAGTGATTAGGGGTACTCGGGTTATGTTTTTGGCTTGTCTTTTTACCTTTTCTTGTTTACAAAGTTTCATAGCTGCAATGTACATCTTCAAACAGAACACTGCTCATAATTCTGAGGTTTGGTTTATTTCTTAGCTCTGGCTTTGGCTAATCAGGGCTAGTTTCTAGTTTTTGTGAATTTATTTTTACGTCGTGAATTTTAAGTTTGAAGCCAAGGCAGCCAAGTCAAGCCAAGCCGACAAAAAATTCCGTCGTCTTGCTCTTTTCGGACGACTTACACGCAGCCTTCAATGACCTGCAGGACTTTGTTTGCAAGGATGTGTAATCGGACACCTGTGGTGGTCACTGTAAGTTACAATAAGACTTCTCGGGCCGCTTTGAGTGTGTTCGAGTGCGTCGGGCATACTGTGCTCGGTCTTCGCTGTTATCTCGCAACGTCGTACATATTACGGAATTCCTGCGGGAAACCAGACGGCCAGAGAAAAGTGAAACACAGCTAACCGCCGCCCTTCCATGTCTCAGTAGAAACTTGATTCAGTTGCCAAACATGATAGGTAGAAACCCGATCAAGCAAACAGTCCAGCGCAATCGCTTCTCACAGAGTTAGAACCCCTCCCTCTCGGCACCGGAGGGTGGACCCCCACGGAAACCGACCAGACAGCCCGATTGGCCCTCTTCGCCCAAGAAAGGAAAGAGGGACGGCGACACTCAGTATCAAAGTGGGGCAATTGGATAAACGCACACTGGGGTGAGCCGGGTATCGAAACGGGATGATCAGTGTGACAGAGCTGCCAACAAGCCTTTTTGGCAGATCACAAAACTGCGGGTTAAGTCCATTAATTCCGTTAAGGGAGGGTATTAAGTGGCTTCTTTTTGTGAGACATCCCGTGGTACCTTCCGCATTTTGAATTTTGGGTCCTTGGTTGCAAGCTTTTTCGAGGACTTTGGTGGCCGACCTCGATTTCTCAACTTGCCGACTTGCAACTCGCAACTTCCACCCACGTAATTCGGACCCTGGGCCGGATTTTGTGTTTGCTCCGCGTTCTCATTCTCCAAACGATCGCCCTTGATTGTTGGTGGAGTCTGAGAGTTTGGACGCATTTTCTTCCTTTTATCTTCACACGCAACGCTCACAATCGACGTTTTCCTAATCAACCCAACATTGACCGACCGTCCAAAATGGCAGCAGACGAGGAAAAAGCCCAAAGCGCTGCTGAGCAGCAGCAGCAGCAGCAAACAGACTTCGCCCACGACGCCGAAAAGGGTCTCACTGCGGCCGCTGACCGAACAGCAACAGCAACAACAGACTCAACTCTTGCCAATGAAGCTGCCGCGGCAGCAGCAGCAGCGCCTGCTGATGCGGCGCCCCTGGAGCCCGTCAAGCAAGTGATTCCCCGTCGCGAGCGCCGTGGCCTGCTGGGACAACTCACGCTTGTGCCGGAGCTTGCCGACCCCAAGAAGACGGGCATCGTGACCAAGTGGCTGATGACGGTTATTGTGGCGACGGCGGCCGGCACGTCGTCGACGGGGACGTCTATTTCGTATCGTAAGTTTGAGGGAATCCACGGGTTGAAAATTGGAGGGATAAAGGAAAAAGGGCTAACGATGGGTTTTGACAGCCGCTTTGAATGATATGGCGGTGGATTTGGGGACTACGCCGACGGTGGTCAACTTGTCGCTGGCGTTTTATTTGCTTGCTATGGCCTTTACCCCGATGTGGTGGTATGTCTTCTCCTGTTTTTTCAACAGAATGATTTCAGTTCCCGCTAACAAATCCCAGGTCATTCCTCTCCGAAACCAAGGGCCGGCGCAGCGTTTACATCATCTCGTTCGCACTCTTCTCGATATTCTCGGCCGCCAGCGCGCTCAGCGTCAACGCCGCCATGTTGATTGTTTTCCGTGTGCTTAGTGGCGGCGCGTCAGCTGCCGTGCAGACGGTTGGTGCGGGCACAATTGCTGATATCTGGGAGCCGGAGCGCCGCGGCCTCGCCATGGGCGTCTTCTTTCTAGGCCCTCTGTGCGGTCCCGGTATTGCGCCCATCATCGGCGGTGCGCTGACCGACAATCTCGGCTGGCGCAGCACGCTGTGGTTTCTGGTGATCTTTGGCGGTGTCCTGTTGCTGCTCATTGTGTTTTGCCTGCCCGAGACGGTGGCGCGCAAGCAGGAGCAAAAGAAGGTGGGTGGCTTCAAGGGCGTGGCGGTGGGCCTGGTCAAACCGATCCTGGCACTCAGCCTGTTGAGGTACCCCCCGATTCTGATTGCCGTCTACTCGGCCGCAATCGCGTTTGCGTCCATGTATGTGATCAACATTTCCGTCCAGGCCGACTTCATCAACCCGCCGTACAACTTCACAACCACCCAGGTCGGTCTGCTCTACATCGCGCCCATGATCGGCTACGCCATCTCATCGCTGCTCGGCGGCCGCTGGATCGACTACATCATGGCCCGCGAGGCGCGCAAGGCCAACCGCTACGACGCCGACGGCAAGCTGATCTTCCTGCCCGAGGAGCGCATGAAGGAGAATATCTGGATCTCGGCCACTCTATACCCGGGCGCGATGATCTGGTACGGCTGGGTAGTGGACAAGGGCGTGCACTGGGCCGTGTCCTGCGTGGCCAACATCTTCTTCGGATTGGGCTGCATGCTTGTCTTCGGCGCAGTCAACACGATGCTCACGGAGTTCACGCCCAAGCGGTCGTCCACGGGTGTGGCCATCAACAACTTTGTGCGCAGCACCCTGGCGTGTATCGGCGCGATCGTCACGCAGCCGCTCATCGGCGCCTTGGGCACCGGCTGGACGTGCACCATGATCGGGTTGTTCGCGTGGGTCACAGGTAATGCGGCCATCTGGGCGCTCAAGACGTGGGCACCCGAGTGGCGGGAGGAGATGAACAGGAAGCTCAATGCCGAGGAGGTGAAGGAGCAGGCGGCGAATAAGCAGGAGAAGAAATAGGTTCTTGTGGAGTTACTCGGCTGCCACGAGCGCGACACTGTGGTCGCGACGATGGAGGCCCAGTCTTGAGTGACTGGGCCTTGATTTGTCTGTTCATGTTAGAGGGGACGCTGCTCGTCGATAGATTGGGGCACACTTGGAGCGTGGGGAATAGAATGTGCGCTGACAATGGAAATTTGTCTCGAGGCTTGTATTATGGATTTCCGAAGTGGTCAAGGGTAGTAAAACCGAGTCAGGGGATTCGCCGCTTGGACGGACGATAAATACCCTCTTGTTTGTGTTGGGCTAGGTTGATGATTGATACCATCTTATATATTTAATTGCAATTCGTTTCATTCAGAAGTATCCGAGGTCATCGACGATGCTGCAGAGCTGCCGAGTAAGTTAGGGGTAATTCGCATTCATCACTGGTTTGACGAGAAAAGAGTAATTATGTGATGAATAAATCCAAATACCTAACTGCAAACTACTAATTGTTACCCAGCTTCTAACAGCACTATCACTCTACGCCCCCCTCACAACATCAACGATTCGCTCAACATCTTCCGGCACCACATCTCCACGCCACGCAACCATCCCATCAGGCCGCACCAGCACCAGCCGCCGCTCATACAACTCCGCAACCTTCTTGTTATCGATCCGCACCACCTCAACCGGCATCCCCACCTTCTTAGCCGCCATCACCACTCTCTCATAACCATCACCAACATCATCCGAGTCATCGCCCAACCTCAACAATACAAAATCACCCCCAAAGAGATCCAGCGTCGATCGCCCATCCTCCAACCACACATGCGGCGCCCGATGTCCCGGCCGCGCCGTCTGCACATACACATCCGGCTCATCCGGCGGCGCTCCACTCCCATCCGGCACAATCAGCGACACCCCCGGGTGACTACCAGCAACAGCAGCACCAGCAGCAAACGAACCAGCCCCCGCATAACTATACCCCAACGCCAGCCCCAGCGCCTGAAACTCCTGCCGCATATTCCCCGCCATCCGCTCCCCCAGCGCCTTCCGCTGCGCCGCGCCCTCGGGGGTATCCTCCAGCAGCTTGTCCCGACCGACGCGGTCGGTCCAGAGAGCAAAGTTCTTGGTGGAACCGGCGCCGTTGCGCAGCGCGATGGGCCGGCGCTCGGCTTCGTAAGCGTCAGCGAGGCGTGGACCGCCCCAGCCGGCGAGTTGCGCAGCGAGCATCCAGCTTAGGTCGGAGATGTCGCCGATGCCGGTGTTGAGGCCGTGCCCGCCGGTCGGGGACATGGTGTGGGCGGCGTCGCCGGCGAGAAAGATGCGGGCGGGGGATTTCTTTGGGGAGGAATCAGGGGAGGAGGAGGGTTGGTTAAGGTCGATGATGTTGGTGGTGACTCCGCCTGAGTGGTAGCGCGCGGCGGTGAACTGGCTGCGACGCCACTGCAGCACGCGCATGAGCTCGTACTCGGCATCGTCACGGCCGAGGGCGCGGCGGAGTACGGCGTGCATGTCGAATGCGGCTGGGTCGGGGAGTTTCTGGCCGGAGCCGACGACGGTGAAGCGCCAGAGCAGGCGGCCGTCGAGGGTGGTGAAGTTGGCCCAGGTGCTTTCCGGTCCGATGAAGAGGTACCGCTCGCCGGCGGGGAAGGTGTGGTATTTGGCGAGGTCGACTTTGACGATCACGCTGAGGGTGTAGCCGAGGTCTTTGCCTTCGAAGGGGATGCCGAGGGCTTTGCGGACGACGCTACCGGCGCCGTCGCAGGCTACTACGTACTGCGCGCGGACTTGTTCGTGCTCTTCTTCCTGGTCTTCTTCACCGATAGCGACGTCTTTAGTCTGGGACCGCTTCTTCAGAAAGCAGGTTACCCCGGTCGTGTCCTCCTCGCACTTCAAAAGCTCCACGCCGTACCGCACATCCGTCATGCCCTGCCGAGCGACAGCCTTAGCAAAGATGGGATCAAACAAAAACTGCGGACACCGCTGCAGCATCTCGCAGCACTGCTCCGGCAACTCGCGGGTCTCAGCCGACGGCATCGGCAGCTGCCCGATCAGCTTGCCCCCGGGACCAAACCCGGTGCAGAACACGGTGTCCCCGGGCAGGTCCTCGGGGAACCCGGAGTGTGCGACCTCGTCGCGGATGCCCTGGAGCCGACAGAACTCCATGGTGCGCTCGTTGATGACGCTGGCCTTGGCGAGGAGCTCTCCGGTGCCGGTGGGCGGGCCGCGCTCGACGATGGTGGTGCGCACGCCGCGCCGGCCGAGGTCGAGCGCTAGGGCTAGACCGACGGGGCCGGCGCCCACGATGAGGACGGGGAGGGTTGAGGGGGGGATGGAGCCCATTGTTTTTTTTTTTCCCTTGGTATTGTTGTTGTTGTTGCTGTCGTAATGAGAGAGTGTAAAATGATGTTGAGAGTCAAGACTCAAATGTGCCAAGAAAGTCTGATTTGGAAAAGAAGTAAAATAAAATAGTCCAAATGAGAACAGCGGAGAGTGAGGGTTGACGAATTCAAGATCAAGGCCGGCCCCAAGATCTCAGTCTGTTGTCTTTTTGTCTGTGTCACAGTATCACCAAAATTCCTTGACTTTCCTTGCTTTCAGCGTCGGCTAGATTTCATATCAGACTGTTGAGAAACCACAATAGGTACGTACCTCCTCCCACCCGTACGGTAATACCCCCACCCCCACTGGACACTACCCCCCGGCGACGAAACCCGATGTTCAACTCCGACCGATACCCGAACCTTATTCGGCCCCATATTCTTGGCGAAGGACCTCTCGTCACTCGACTCCGTTATCTCCACGCCCGACACACCCGCCCCACCCCCGAACCCCGATCCGCGCAATCTGTCATCCCATCGGAGGTACGCTGCGAGTCCAGCCCTCAGCCGTTACTTCCCTTTCCGTTGACATTCTATGTAATGTAGTACCTATGTGATGTAACCCATCTATGCACCCATGCCTCCCGCTTCTTTTCACCTTTTCAAGAAAATGCAACGACAAAAGGAAAAAGCCCCCGATCATCCCGGGCAATGTTCCCGAGTGAGATTCGGCAGGCACGATGACAGCCCCTCACACGTCCCATCCGATGCACTTGCCAACGTTGTGATGGGAATGTGGACGGCCTGTCGGACACGGCCCGGGTTCTTGGCTTGCAGATCCATACAAACATGAGAAACCCATATTTTCCGGATTTCGTTTCGGACTTAGTCTGCTGTACTCTGGTCTTCGTCCCGAGTCGGCTCATCTCTGCCAACACAACACACACGTTACGTCTAGGTTGACCGCCGGGTGAACTCGAGCCTAGCTACGCTGTTTTCTACTCTTTGGGGGGTTTATTTGCACCACGTTACATTCACGAAAAGTGCTGCTGCGTTTGCTATGTAGTGTCAATGGGGTTCCTCTTTGCCTGTACCGATTTTTCCCCTTGAACGCGTGGATAAGACCTGCTGTGCGATGTACTGGAGAAATGTTTTCAGCTAGGTAGAGGGGATAACGGACGATGTCGGGCGATCGCGGTCGAGTGCGGAAATAACGGACAGTGCTCTTGAAATCAAGGTGTAATTATCGACCCACTGTGAAATCTCGATGTTTGCTCACTTTTGCATGCAAGTGCTGTCGTGCTGTTGATGTTTACTGCAGTTTGTTGCGAAACAGTTGTCCTTTTGGGTTTGACTAATTAGACGAACGAACATGAGCTGGAAGATTGATTGACTGCCCGTTGCCCACTTCTCCTCTTTCATTTTGTAACTACCTTACCAAGTCTACCGTAACAAGCCCAACACATCAGTACTTGACAACACCCTCCACATCCACATGCGACCCCCGTAACTCATACCCATCCCTCATCGCAATCGCCCACTGCTCCTTAACAAACCGCAACCGCTGCTCACTCCGCGGCACAAACCGCGCCGCAAACGGCTTCGGGATGGTGAACCCAGCATCCGGGTACGCATTCTCCCCGAGCTCCATGGCCACCTCCGCGCCATTGACCAGCGGCGGCCGAACCTCAAACGCCCACAACATGCACGCGAGCGCAATATCCAGCCCGTTCTCTGCCAGCCTCGCACCCGGACACACACGACGGCCCGTGCTGAAAGTGAAGTGGTCGCGCTTGTACGGATCGCTCATGGCCGCGTACTCGGAGCTGTACAGCCGGTGTTCCAGGTAGCGTTCCGGCATGAATTCGAAGGGTTTCTCGAACCGGTTCGGGTCGTAGTGCAGGAACGCCGTGTTGGCCAGGAGTACTGTGCCTTTGGGGATCACATGGCCCTTGTACACGACGTCTTCGTCCGCGTAGTGCCGGATCCCGGGAGCCAGGATCGGGTTCATCCGCAGCATCTCCTTGACACACGCCCGGATGTACGGCAGCGACGGCATGTCGGCTAGCGTGGGGAGCCGCTCCGGGCCGACCACCCGCATCAGCTCCTCGTGTGCAGCCGTCTGCACCCGGTCGTTGCCCGCCAGGTTGAGAACCAGGCTGTTGAGCGTTGCGGCGGTCGTCTCGAAGCCCGCTTCCACCAGACCGCCGGCGACCCAGGCAAGGTCTTCGTCGTCCAGCCCCTGCGAGTACCAGGACTGCTTGCTCTCGAGAATCTCGCGCGCGTAGCAGTGCGGCGCCTCGCCCGCGGCCAGCTGCTTCTCCATCCGCCGCCATAGTCCCATCTTGATTTCGCGGACTTCGTCGGCCGCCTTGATGGCCTCCTGTCGCCCGGGTTGCAACCATTTGGGCAGCCGGGCCAAGGGCGGGATTTCATCGATTAGGAACGCCCCAGGCTTCGACGTCCGCCGGAGGATCCCCTGGCTGCGGATGGCATTTTGCGCGTCCGGGTGGTCCCAGCTCTTGACGCGGGTGCCGAACGTATTGGTCATGATGATGCTAAAGGCGAAGCGGCGCATGTGCTGGTAGAAGTTTTGCTGGTTCACATTGTCCGTCGCCAGCTCGAAGAGCAGCTGTTTGGCCTCGAACTCCTGGCTGGGCGCAAACGTGGCCGTGATCGGGACTGTGGTAATTTGCCGCACTACCGAGCGTTGTGCGCGCCAGTGTGGGCCGTACGGCATTGTTGGCATCCGCTTGCCGCTGGTGACGATGTCGTGGCCCAGTGGCGATGGTGCCTTGGATGATGTCTTGACCGCCTGCTTCTCTAGAATCTCACGGATTGCCTCGGGGGTGTTGATCACCACCCAGTTGTACCAGCCCACTCGGATCTTGAAGATATCGCCGTATTCCATCGCCCATTGCCGGAACACTACCGGCGCTCTGGGCGGGAGCTGCGCGCCCACGCCGATGAACGGGTAGCCCTTAGGGCCTGGAATTGTGTCCAGCCTGCGGTCACGGCCAAGCCATGTCGCAACAAGCAGGACGGCCCCGAAGACGGCCGCGAGAGAGATGACCCTGTGGGCCTGGTAAATCGCGTACAAGTCGTCCATGGTTTCTTGATGTTGCGAAAATTTGAGAAAAAAGGGGTTGAAGACTTAAAGGGTGCTTGCAATCCACCAAGATGTTGAGACTGTTGGTTTTGATTTGATGCTTCGGCGCTGCGACATATTTCGTCCAGACTCCAGGACCTCGGCGAAAGTTGAAGTTGAGTCCGGACTCCGGAGTCGTTGTCGTGAAATCTTCAAATGGATTAGGGAGTTGTCCCGATGACCTGAACAACCTCCGCTTCTCTTTTTTGTGAATCCGACATTCAACTCTTCACATTTCCCGTTTATGCTTTTTACAACCACGTCGTGAGCTGCACAGGGCGCGCATCAACAGCAACCTCGGGCCGCGATAACCATAGTGTTCACGGATACGGGATACCCACCAAACGGGAACAGTCAAGGTAACCGGAGCGGCCCGCTTTAGCTATTTCCCGCCTGGGACACGACCGAAGAATTTGATTGGCTTGTCGCATTGATCTCCGATTCACCCCGGGGCGTGAATCGGAGATCAAAACGGCTGCCGGCAGTGAGCGGGAGCCAGGGACCCCTGTTCCCACTCCACAACCATTGCGCCCTCTCTCAACGTAACCCACCCTTCGGCAACCTTCGTGAAGATTTGTCGATGAAGATCGTAAGGAGATAGGATTTGTGAAGACCGAGAGGCGGCTTGGCTCTTCCCGAGCGCGTTGTAATCTCCGCTCAATGCGAACACGGCTGGACTTGGCAGCAGTCTGAATTTGTAAGATGATGAGGTTGACCCTTCTGTGGGCTATATCATGAACTTCGGGTTGAAACTGTTGTGTTTGAATAATTTGCCTCGCTTTCATGTCCTGCACAATCAATAAGACGGACCCAGATTTGTGCTGCCGACAGCTCGTTATCGCCCCCTTTTCTGCTACAAATTTTCATCTTGAAGATGGCGACCAACACCCCTTCAGACGCGGCCACGACCGTGCACTTGTCCCCCAGAACCTCGCCCGGCTACACCCACGTCGCCGGCTTGACGGATGAGTGCGCGAAGAAAACATCCGAGCTGCTCACCGTCAATCATAAGCTGTATCACACAAGATGGAACTTGACTTTTCACAGTAAGCCCCGCCCAAAACCGAGAACAAGGTTGTCAAAGACAACCAGCGCAGTGGCGCTGACCAATCCCCTAGACCACATTGCCCACCACCTGCTCGCCATTTGGGCTTTGGGTGGCTCCCCTGCTGAGATCCAGGACATGTGGGACTACAATGCGCCTTACCAGGGTGCCATTGAGCGCCCTCGTGCAGCAGACTCGCCAGAACCAGACCTCAAGGACCCGGTGCAGTTTGAAAAATGTCTTGGTGTAGACGACTGCTACCTCGACTTTTTGAGATTTTTCGAAGGCGAGATTGCCGAAAAGGGTGTTCCCGCTGTTATTCATGAGTACCTTCTCAAGGGGGATGAGCGAGCGGACGATATTTTCGGGCGCATGTACACCGGTAAGTACACAACCAGACCCGAGGCCCACCATGTGTGAATTGACTCTAACCTCAATTATCCCGACAGACCTGGTACACCCGATCATCCACCTCGGGTCGGCTCTTGAGTTCGACCAACCGGGCTTGGTGGCCGAAGCACTCGCCGGCGCTTGTGTTCACTTTAGTTGGCCCAAGACGTTCCTGTTGCCCACAGAGGAGCATGTCCGGTCCAACCCGGGCGAACAGTCAACGCCGTTCCTCCAGTTGCTGGATGGAATGCGCCATGACCCTGTCATTGCCTCTGGCGTGCGTGATGGCGACCCTTTCAACAAAATCCCGGATGCGTTCCTCAAGCGCGTGACGCCGGCTCAGCTGGTACCTCACTTGAGCCGGTTCCGGGTGAAGGCGGAGCCGGAGGATTTGCGGCGTAAGACGACGGAGATGCTCTACGCCAGTGCGTATGTGCTGGGCGCAGCGCAACGGCCCGGGAAGCGTGAGAAGATGGATTTTGTGACGCTACACAGTGCCACACTCGCGGTATTCTACCCGGCCTTGCTAGCGCTGGACTGGCTGTCGGATGCCGAGAAAGCGCGCATGCTGGAGGCCAAGGTCCGCGTCGATGCCGTCATGTACGCAGGCTGTGCCTGCCCGGCGTTGTACCCGGAGCGCATCATCGACTATGTGCCCCAACACCCAGCCGACGGCTGGCCGGAGCTTATTCACCGGGCCATTGTCTACCGCGATGAGGGCCACGCGGCGAAGCTAATCCGCGCCCTCTACTGCGTGGAGCAACTCGATGAGCCGGTTCCCGAAAATTTCCCGATTGGAAAGGAGCACCTCATCAAGATCGCACACATGGCGATGGATTCCATTGAAGCGTCGCTGGAACCGGATGGTCATAACACCCCGGATCACGTCGCGAAGGCGGTGCTGGACCGGGTTGGCCACGGCGGCGAGATGGTTTTGAATAACACCATCCGTTGGGTGTTTTACGGTGGTCTGGAGAAAGCTTGGTTGTATGTGCCCGAGAAAAAGATCCCCGTGTAAACTGAGCAGGGGTGGGGATCTTGTATCATGTTTTAGATTTTGGGGTTAATTGAGTCGGTGTTGAGAAACAAGATGAAAGAACGAAATGGACGTACCATGGTTTTTGCGCCAAGTTCCTTGACTTCATCCTTGTAATGACCATTGATAACGAGAAAAGAATACACAGTGCTTGCTTGCTTGATTGACGTGAAACTCTCCCTGGTGGTGCCTGTCAAAAGTTTGAGGCTAGTTACAACCTGGGAATCCCGAAACCGGTAAATTTGAGACCCTGAGGACATGACAAGCTTGGAAGTGTCCTCGGGAAACCTTATCTCTGCCACAAGTACGTATCCGCCCGAACGGTTTCATGAGCGGTAGGGTGAAGGATGTACTTTCGTAACGCTTTCGGGTTTCAAACGAAACCCGGGAAACTTGGCCTGTTAATTACATGAATACATCGTCGAAGGAGTGCTTGGCCTTGGAGAGGGCTGCTACTCGGTCCTTGTTTGAAAGTGTTCCAGTTATGAACGGGAATGCGACAGGTACGAGTAACATGGGGACGCAATGTTACCTACGTACCTATGTACCCAAACGTTGTCCCGGTGTAGCAAAGCACGCCTGCAGCCACTGCCGAGGGGACAGACAGCGACTCATCGAACCGGCAGTATACGTACGTTCCCACAGGGTTCAAGCAGCTTTCAGTAGCGCTTGGAGTTGTTCCTTCCTCCTCTGTGGATGTCCCATGCTCCTCGAAACTGCCTAATTAGTTGTGCAGCACCACTGTGAAATAATTATGGAAGGTGCCACCATGGTGTTTCTCACTGGAAGGTGCGAGAGACTCAATCGCACAAATGATACATTTGAGGAACTCGGCGGACGAAAACAAAACAACCCTTTCTAAAAGACTCCTGTGGACTGAACCAAGCCTTGAATGCAACTTAGAATCGCCACCCCGTGTCCTAAAACTCGATACCAACGCTTTGCGGGGATCTCAAGTGTCACCGGCATTAAACAACCCCATGCACCGGGAATAACGTGAAGAAGTAAGATGGAATGGCAATGCCGAGAAAGTGGCCGAAATCGACAACGGTGGAGATTGGGGGAGACGAAGCCTCCATGGAGTTGTGGCCAAACCCGGGAATTAAGCCCTGCGCTGGGTGATTGATTGATTGATGCGTTGTTGGTTGATTCAAGCCTCTTTCGCTTTCATTCTCCCCAGGTAACCTTCTCCATTTCGCCAACAGTACCGAGCCCCCAATTAACAGAAACCAAAAAATTAAATAAATAGCCGCATCCGATCACAACAAATCCGCATTCAGTTCCCTCAATTTCGACCTCATCAAGTTGGTCACTCTCAAATGCTCGCCCCTCAACCACGAGTCCAGGATCTGGTACAGGTTGCTTTCCCCACCAAAGCCCGGGCTCGACATATCTGCCATGCACTGGCCACCACCATGATGGAATGAAGTAAAAAGATCAATCAGCCACCCAGCCCTCCTCATCTCTCCCGACAACAACTGTATCTTCAAGGCCGCCTGCATCCCCAGATCGTCGACGTTGAACGTCCCAATCGCCATTGACGATGGTCCGATGGCGAGAGGTGCAGCCGCTCGTGTCGTGCCCACATTCGAGCCCCCCGGACTGGGGACAGGTCCTGATGGCGCTGTGGGTGCGGCTGCGTTGGAGCTCGCTAGACTCGACGGAGCCATGGCCGTCACACTGAAGTCATCCAATGTGATAGCCGGGGGTAAGTAGCTGCTGCTGCTCCAAGAAACGACCCTATCGTGGTGTGAGGTACAATCTGTCACCTGCTGGTACCAGATCAGGACCCGTGAGATGATGGACGCATAGAGCAGTTGCAGGTGGGGTGAACGGTCGCAAGTGCATAATAGTAACTGGCCGAGGCGCTCGCTAGCCTCCCGGTTGATGCGGAGGACGTGGTCCAAAGGCACCGATTGGGTAGGTGTTTGTGGGGTGGTTTCGAGGGGAGACCCGAAATGCCCCTTGCTAATGTTGAGATTCGACAGGTTCCCGAGAATCTCGTATGCATCCCGCAGGCAATCGTGGTCCCCAGTACCAGACAGTACCATCGAGGCGCTCCCGGGGCGGGACGATTCGGGGGTGTGTGAGGCATTTGACGACGCACGATCATGTTCCGGTTCTTCCGGCAGTGCATTATCTGCCCAGTAGCTCTCTGAAGCTGCCCAGTCGACGAAACCCGAATGGAGGGGATCCGCCCCTATAAAATTCAGGTCGTGATGCAAGCCGTCCTCTATTGACGCAAAGTCGATCATTCCAACGTTGGCGCTATTACTCTCCGCAATCCCGCCCCATACTATGGACAACGGATGGTTAGTGATTTCCGAGAACGGGGTATTATTAGGGGTATGTAAGATCGTACATACCGTCGTCTCCATTATGGCTCACTGTGCTAGAAGCACCTGGCTGGTCAGGCTCTGGGGCCAGTACCGCCGCCGTCGCCCTTGTCGCGCGTTCCTCTGGCTGCTCGCTTGAACGTCCTGACGAAGTCGGCGAGGTACTCCCTGTGGTGCGTTTTGGCACAGGTTGGCGAGGTGGTCTGCCAAATTTGCGAGATTCTCCGTAGACACACGGCATCCCGAAGGAAACGCAGCGCCCGCACTCAGGCTGGCCCCGGTCACATTTTAGCTTTGCCGCTCCGCAACCGTCACAACTGGACCGCAGCTTGGGCCGCCGTGGCTTCTGGTTTGGCTGTTTGCACGACATGTCTCCGGCTCCCGGGCCCGGGTTGAGCTGGTTCCCTTCTCCCTCCCAACTTCCGTCTGGTTTCTCTCGTAGTGTGGCGTTGCTGTCCCAGAAATCCTGGGGTGGGCGCGTCGAGGTATCTCGGGCGTTCGGAAATAATCAGGCGTTCGAGTACAATGGGGTTAACTGGATGGTTGTGGTCGACGGGACGCGCTTCTTGGTGCGTAGGGTACGATTCTCGCCTTCTCACACGAGTATCCGGTATCGATGTTGATGGGGGAGTGCCGGTAGCGGGTCACAAACTATGTCCACGGTTGGATTGAAAGTGAAGCATGACAATGAGGGTGGATAAGAGGCTACTGTTGCATCGAGGCCTAACCATGCATGACGCAGCTGTTGGTAGTTCACTGGACACGGCCCGAGGTTTGAACCCGAATACACCGGTACGTCGTGTTTGTCTCTTTGGTTCCTCCGGGTTAGCGGAGAGTTGACTGAAGGCTAATCTTATGTATGATGGAGGTACCATCGGTACAGGCGGTGGGGTTCCTGGAAGGGAAGGTGACGAATTCCGCACGCGCGGGGGGGTAGTCGACATGTTTCCCTTTCTAAAGGCGGAATAATCCGCCGGGGCGCCTCCTAGGCTCCTAACGTCCCAAGGAGGACATGCAGCTGCCAGCGCTCACTATCTTAGCGAGACACTCATGCTGGACGTGCATTCGGCCACTCGTAACGAGAGCGTGGTAATACCACCGACGAAGCGACCAGGATGCGGGATTTCAATGGAGCGAAAGCAAGCTACGCCGCTACGTCTCAAACAACCTGAGTCGCCGATGCAGAATATCACAGCGAGTCAGGGACCACCGATGACGATGACCGTGCTAGAGCCTAGAGCAGATGCTCCTGGGCAATCGTCGGGGACCCTAACCCAAGCTTAGTCTTGGCAAAGCTTGATCATCGGGGCAGGCTCGGCAGCGAAAGCTTGATCGTCGGGACAGGCTCGGCGACAGGCTCGGCAGCGAAGCTCGATCTCGCGGGCGGCGGGAGGGCGCGCGGATGATTGCCCGCCCACCGGTTGGCTGGCAACGGGAGCCCATCCATGATCTACGCTACCGAGGCTAGGTATGGGTTCGCGTGTAGGTCTGAACAGCAGCCATGTTTTGGATCAAGCAGCTGAAAGGGTTGTGTGGGGTACACTATTCTTCATGACCTCGCAGCCCATTGCAGGGCTTTCGGATCTTCTCCGGGATGGCTGCAGTGGCCTGGGTGCCTGGCTTGCCTGGGGACGAACTGTTGCCCACTTCCGTCACGGCTGCCCCACTTTCATCACCCACATCCATGGATCTTCACTGAGTTCAGCAAAGTGACACTGACTTGAAATGCCCCCCAGCAGCCTCACCTGGCTGTCACACCTTACCGACTGTCAGATGAATTTGGGACCCGTACACGACTGTGTATACCCCGTATTCTGTACACTACAACGCTGCGGCCACGCCTCGATTCTGCACCTCATGGGCGTGACTGGGCGGCTTTTTTTGGCCCCCAGAACGTGCTTGCATCTGATATGCCCGAGCCCCGGCCTGCCGATCAAGGGTCCAGATCCCCAGTGCTTTTCGACAAGGAACAGCGAAACAGCCAGCCAGCCACAAAAGTGATATTTTGGAAGGTGCGGATCAACGACAGAGTTTTTCTGGACAATTCATGGATAGCGGCTCGAACTTCTCATCCCTCAAGCGTGCCTTGCCCCCGTCTTGCCTCTGAAGTCTCGGAGATCAACAGCTTTAGGCAGAGGACCGACGATGTTCGCGCTGAGCGGCTTCGGCGCAGTGACACAACATCTCACCACTGACGGAGCTGACGGACAGTTTAGGCCCAACAATCAGAGACACTCAAATCCTAACTATCACTTGTGGACGTCGGGCTTATCAAAATAACCCTCGGCTGGCTGCTGGCAGGCGAAAGAAAGCCGTCACTTCAGGCTGTCCGCGGGCCATGACGGGCTTTCCCCTGTCGCATGTAATACCTCTTTTCATCGCCAGGATGATCCCTTTGAGGGGAGCGAGGGATCTCGTTTCGTTTCGCGAGAACAACATCGGGTGTTGACGTGTCTACACTGCGCTTGCCCCACTTACCCACCAAGCCGGTTCGGGGCGGCTTGTCGCACTCACACAAGTGTCACTCAGTTTGGAACCCCGACAACAAGCTTCTGGACAAGGGGCCAAAGGACTAACGGGGCAAAATCTCCCGTCAATCGCTCAGGAATCACAACCCCGGGTGCGTTGCATGTGCAAAGCTGAGTCCCGCCGAGGGAGATAAGCTTTTGTCAGAAAGCACACAAATTGTTGGCACGGGCGAATGGAAATCGGGATTTGTTGACCTGCGACCTGCCCGTTGCAGCGTTGGCCTCCAACCGTCCCAAAGTTTAGCTCACGCAACTGCCGCCGCGCCGCAGCCTCTTTTGCCAAGCAACTCAACGCTTCAGACGCGGCGGTGCTGACGATGGGGTAGCATCGCCTACCGGGCTTTTTTTCCCTTTTTTTTCCTCTCTAATTTTAAGCCCTTGCCACTCCTTGCGCCCGCTAACTTGGGGCTGGGCTCCCCACCCCCACACATCCTGACAGCAGCGCACGTCGTGGGCAGAGGATGGGCGGCGGTAAAATGCACACGCAGATGTGCGGCGTGCTTAGTCTATCAACACTCGGGAACTGGGGCTTAGCGAAGGTGCGGCGGGGACCCCGAGACCTATCTCCCGGTGTTTTCGCTTAACTCAGAGACCGACGTGCGGATGTGTCCCAGGTGAACAGGATGCATATCGGCAGCTTCGGGAAACAAAAGAATCACTCTATTGCGTGCGCGGTCTCGGAGTTGGAAAGGGAGGGGCGGATAGGAAGGGAAGGGAAAGGCTGCTTACCTTTGTGGAGAAAGAGTTTCTGCTAGCTTTCGGCTTGTGGTTACATCGCCATCGATAAGATGTGAATGCATACGGTTCGATAGATGGTTGGTATCCTCGCATTGTGGACCTGCAGTTCAGGCGGGAAGGGGTGTTTACCCGACACACCGGCAACCTATGACAGGGGGGTAACGGAAGGGTGGGATGGTTCCGGGAAATCATATTTTCCCCATCTGTTGATGCATCGAGGCATGTCACGATCGGGAATATCCCCAATGGGCTGTCGGGAAACAAAAAACAACAGGCTGTTTTCAGGGGGCTGGCTGCCTGAACCACATTTCGTAACAACTCACGGCTTTCGAACGACGACGACCACTCGGGGCATCCTCGGGTTGGGTCAGTCGGGGATATGCGGCGCTTCTCGGAGACATGCCAAACACACTGTCGAGCGGATTGCTTGCTGACGATTGCGCCGTGGTCTCGGCGACGGAAGTGTGCGGGTGATGATGGAAGTCCCGGGCGGATGCCAACATGTGCTATCACGGGGAAAAGAAAAAAAAGGGCCGCCGAGTGGCCGACGATGAGGATGGAGGAAGCATATGAAGGCGCTCTGGATCCGTCGAGAGAAGTGAATAGCATCCAAGAATCAAACATTCATCCCCTCATCCTTTGAGCGAGACTGAAGAAACATCCAAACCGCCGACCACCCTTGGTTTCTCAGTCACAGCCTGCTCTACCTTTGTCTCTACCTCTGTCACCGATATCGGTTTCTCTCTTCTCCTTTTCCCCAACATCGAGACAGTTTCTGTTTTCCTCTCTTATCCTTTTACACAATGGCGGACCAGCGGAAGCTGTATCTCTTTGGAGATCAAACCCACGACATCAAGCCGCAGCTGAAGCGGCTGCTGCAAAACAGGAGCGCCCCTGTGGTGGAAGACTTCCTGACGCGGGCATACGATGGGATCCGTACCGAGATCTATGATCTCCCGCACGAGACTCGGGAAAGCCTCCCGCGGTTTACCTCCCTGGACGACCTGGTCCAGTGGGATGTTGGCGCCACGGGCGAGGGCCGGTGCGTGGCGCTCGATATGGCGGTGACTTGCATGTCCCAACTTGGGACTTTTATCAGGTACGTACCTTTTGGGAGTTCCGGATTCGGAGATATCTTCTTCCCCTGTTCCGGAGTTGCCCACTCCCGCCTTGACTCTTGACTCTTGTGCAGTCCACCCCTTCAAACCTTTGGTTCCTTCCTCCACGCCTATCCCTAACCCTAAACCACATCATACCCCTTTTACCTTCCTAATTTCCTATCGTCACGACCAATTTAGAACGGTGTCACAACAGGCAGCCCGGACTAACATGGCGTCTTTCCCACGTGAAGTGAAGCAGATGGTTGGTACAACGGCGCCAACACTTCGCGGGTGGCCGGACTTTGCACCGGCACCCTGGCTGCGGCGGCTGTCAGCTGCAGCCGCAGCACGCAAGAGCTGGTTGCCAAAGGGTTGGATGCGGTGGTCGTGGCGTTCCGGACGGGCGTTCGTGTGACGGACGTGGCAAAGCGCGTGGCGCCGGCGGCTGCAGAGAGCGGCGATGAGACGTGGTCGATCATCGTCGCGGGCGCCGCCGCGGCTGATGCGGTGAAGGCTTTTGGGGAGAACAGCGTGAGTGTTTTCTTTCCCTGTCTGGGGTGCAGCTGACCCTTGATTATCTTATTTCCGCTTCTATTTCCTGGTTTGAATCACCCCCTTGATTGTGGCTAGCTGACAGATCTGGTGTGACAGATTCTCCCATTGACCAGCCGACCGTACGTGAGCGCCTTTGCGCCCAACGGTGTGACAGTCAGCGGCTCGCCTGCCGCGCTTGCTCGCCTTACCAAATCGGAGGAGTTCAAGAGCTTCAAGTTCAAGAGCATCCCAATCCATGGCCCATACCACGCCCCGCATCTGTACTCCAAGACGGACGTGAGCGACATCATTGAGGCCGTGGTCTCGGACAGCCGATCGCAGGACACGGAGCAGACGACGTTCATCCCGAGCACGGCGTCTCAGGGTGACGAGGAGACGAAGAAGCGTACGTTTGTGACGCTCCTGGAGGCTGCGGTCGAGCATATCCTTCTCCAGCCGATCCGGTGGAATGATATTCTCGACGAGCTGCAGGCATGGCTCCAGACGGCTGGCGACTCGGAGTCCTTCCGGGTGGTTCCCATCGGCACACTGGCCGACCAAGTTGTGTACTCGTCGCTCAAGCAGACGTCGCTACGCAGTCTCCTCCCGTCGGCTGAGGGTCCGGGCATCAAATCGTCCTCCGGACCGGGTGTCAACGCCAACGCCACGGCAGCGGACCCGAAGCGGCCGAAGCTGGCCATCATCGCCATGTCTGGGCGGTTCCCTGGAGCGGAAAGCACCGAGGCGTTCTGGGATCTGCTGCACCAGGGCCTGGATGTGCACAAGCCGGTCCCGGCGCTGCACTGGGATGCGAAGACGCATGTCGACCCGACGGGCAGCACCAAGAACACGAGCGCAACTCCGTTTGGATGCTGGCTCGACAACCCGGCGGCGTTTGACGCCCGCTTCTTTAGCATCTCGCCGCGCGAAGCACCGCAGATCGACCCGGCACAGCGTCTGGCGCTGATGACGGCGTACGAAGCGATCGAGCAAGCAGGGATCGTTCCCGATGCGACCCCCTCAACACGTCGGGACCGCGTGGGCGTGTTCTACGGTGTGACTAGCAACGACTGGATGGAGACCAACAGCGCGCAGAACATCGACACGTATTTCATCCCGGGAGGCAACCGAGCGTTTATCCCGGGGCGGATCAACTACTGCTTCAAGTTCAGCGGGCCGAGCTACGCGGTCGACACAGCGTGTTCGTCGAGTCTAGCAGGCATCCACCTGGCCTGCAACTCGCTGTGGCAGGGGGACATCGACACGGCGATCGCGGGTGGCACCAACGTGCTGACAAACCCGGACTTTACAGCTGGCCTGGACCGCGGCCACTTTTTGTCTCGCACGGGCAATTGTAAGACATTTGACGACGGCGCGGATGGGTACTGCCGCGGGGAGGGTATTGGGACGATCATCATCAAGCGGCTGGACGATGCGATCGCTGACAAGGACCCGATCCTGGGCTTGATCCTGGGCGCTTACACGAACCACTCGGCCGAGTCGGAGTCGATCACACGGCCGCACTCGGGCGCGCAGCGGGCCATCTTCCGCAAGATCCTCAACCAGGCCGCCGTTGACCCATACACGGTCAGCTACGTGGAGATGCACGGCACGGGCACTCAGGCCGGGGACGCCGGCGAGATGTCCAGCGTGCTGGATACCTTTGCCCCGCCGCTGGCGCAGGTGAAAAAGGGTCGTACAACGGAGCAACCGCTGTACTTGGGCTCGGCCAAGGCCAACATCGGGCACGGCGAGGCCGCTTCGGGTGTTTCGAGTCTGATCAAGGTGCTGTTGATGATGCAGAAGAACCAGCTGGTGCCGCATGTGGGCATCAAGACGCGCATCAACCGCAAGTTCCCGACGGATCTGGCCGAGCGCAACGTCAACATTGCGCTGGCGCCGACGGCGTGGGAACGCAGTGATGAGCCGCGGCGCGTGTTTGTCAACAACTTCAGCGCTGCAGGCGGGAACACCGCGCTGCTGATCGAGGATGCCCCAGCCTCTCAGGGTGTCGTCTCTGACAGTGCCTCTGACAGCGCCTCTGACCCCCGCAGCCACCATGTAGTCGCCGTGTCGGCCAAGAACGGTGTCTCTCTGCAGGGCAATCTGCGGTCTCTGATCCGGTTCCTCCAGGAGAACGCGACCACGACTCCTCTGGGCCAACTGTCGTACACCACGACGGCGCGCCGACAGCACCACCAGCACCGCGTCATGGTAGCAGGCACAAGCATCGACGAGATCCGAACCCGGCTCGAGACGGCGCTGAAAGATAACGCGGGCATGACACGCCCCAAGAGCGCGCCCAAGGTGGTCTTCACCTACACGGGCCAGGGCGCACAGTACCCGGGCATGGGCCGCGAGCTGTACACACACCTGTCGGCCTTCCGCACCGAGATCCGGCGCCTGGACCAGATCGGCCAGAGCCTGGGATTCCCTTCGGTCGTGCCGGTGATTGTCGAGGCGGCCGAGGCCGATATTGGGGCTTTCTCGCCGCTTGTCGTGCAGCTGGCGAACGTGTGTCTGCAGATTGCGCTGACCAAGCTGTGGGCGTCGTGGAATGTGCGCCCGACCGCGGTTGCGGGCCACAGTCTGGGCGAGTATGCGGCGCTGAATGCGGCCGGCGTGCTGTCTGACACCGATGCCATTTACCTCGTCGGCAAGCGGGCTGAGCTGTTGCAGGCCAAGTGCACCAAGGACACCCACTCGATGCTGGTGGTCAAGGGTTCTGTGCCTGAAATTGAGGGGTGGCTAGGCGTCGGCAGCGAGGACAAGTTCAAGTACGAGTTTGCGTGCATCAACTCGCCCGTCGAGACCGTCCTGGCCGGCGCCAACGAGGACATCGCCTCCATCAAGACGGCGTTGACCGACGCGGGCGTCAAGTCGACCCTGCTGAAGGTCCCCTACGCCATGCACTCGGCCCAGCTGGACCCCATCCTGGCCGACTTTGAGCACCTCGCTGGCGGTGTGACCTTTTCCGCCCCGCGTCTGCCCGTTCTCTGCCCGCTTGACGGCAGTGTTGTTGCTGCGGGCGAAGAACTCAAGTTCGGCCCGCAGTACCTCGCCCAGCACTCCCGCCAATCGGTCAACATGCTCCAGGCACTGCAGACGGCGCGCACCAAGGGTGTCATTGCCGACCTGACGACCGTTCTCGAAGTCGGCCCGCACCCAGCCATCTCAGGCATGGTCAAGGCCGTGCTGGGCACGCAGACACCGACGCTAGCCTCCGCCCAACGCGGTCGCGCAGCCTTCCAGTCCCTCGCGGACGCCCTCAAGGCGCTGTACAACGCCGGTGCCGACGTCCGCTGGGCCGAGTTCCACCGCGACTTTTCCGCGTCTCACCGCGTGCTGCCACTGCCGGCGTACAGCTGGGATCTCAAGGAGTACTGGATGCAGTATGTCAACGACTGGTCGCTGCGCAAGGGCGATCCTCCCTTGATCATCAATGGTGGTAACCGCCTAGAAAGCACGACAATCCACCGCGTGGTCGAGGAGACCGGCGACGGGCAGCGCAAGACCAAGATTGTGGTCGAGGCTGATATTGCGCGCAAGGACCTCAGCCCGCTGGTGCAGGGTCACGAGGTCGACGGTATCCCGCTGTGTACGCCGTCGGTGTATGCCGACATGGCGCTGACGCTGGGTACGTACCTGCTGCGGCGGTACAAGCCGGAGATCAAGGCCGATGAGAGCCTGGTGGATGTCGCTGATATGACCATCTTCAAGGCGTTGATCCTGAATGCGGCCAAGAGTGAGCAGTTGCTGCAGGCGCATGCGGATGTGGACTGGGAGAAGATGGAGGCTGCGATGAAGTTCATGACTTTTGATGTGAGTTGTTGTTTACTTCCTTTCCCTCGTTTACTTCCTCTTGACCCCCTTTACTGTTTGATTACCCCTATTGTTTACCCATATCCAACCCTAACCCTGAATACGCCTGAATACTTTGGATACCCTGACTGACTCGCAACACAACAGAGCAAGGGCAAGCTGCAAGAACACGCCAAGTGCGTGCTGCGCTTCAAGGACCGCAGCCTACAGCCGGCCCTGCAAAAGACCGTCTCGGACGTGCTGGCCAAGATGCGGGGGCTGCGCGAGGGCATCGCGGAGGGCACGACGGCGCGGTACAACGCTCCCATGGTGTACCGGGCGATCCGCCCACTAGCTCGCTTCCACGACGACTACCGCGCCATCGACGAGATTGTGCTCAACAGCAACACCCTCGAGGCCATGAGCAAGCTGAGCTACGGTGCAGTCAAGCGCGGCGGGGACTACCACACCCATCCAGCCATCATCGACTCGCTGACGCAGTGCTGCGGGTTTGCTATGAACTGCAATGATTACACGGATTTGGATACCGAGGTGTTTATGAACCATGGTTGGGGGTCGTTCCAGATCTTTGAGCCGATTGATTTGGAGAAGCACTACACCACGTACACGCAGATGTCTGAGGGGACGGATAAGTTGTGGCATGGCGATGTGGTTGTGCTCGACGGGGAGAAGGTCGTGGCTTATTTCGGGTCTATTGCCGTGAGTTTTCTTTTTCTTTTTCTTCACTTTTCAGGAATCAAAAAACTAACCTTTGCTTCGCCGACCAGATCCAAGGCGTACCCCGCCGCGTTCTGGGCGTCATTCTGGCCCTCGAGAGCAAGGCCAAGGGTGGTCCCAAGCAAGCCCCTGCCAAGGCTGCCGTCACTCAACCTACCCGCCCCACGGCCTCTGCTGCTGCTGTTGCTGCACCCACTGTTGCCTCGTCCTCCCCTTCACAGCTCTCCAAGGCCCTAGCCATCATCGCCGACGAGAGCGGGCTGGCCGTGTCAGACCTGACCGAAGGCACCAGCTTTGCCGACGTCGGCATCGATTCGCTGCTGGGCCTGACCATCTCGGCCCGGCTCAAGGAGGAAATGGACCTCGACATCGAGTTCAACGCGTTCCTGTTCGACTACCCGACCGTCGGCCATCTCAAGTCTTTCCTCGGTGAGACCACGAGCAGTGGCGCGACTAGCTCGAGCCGCCGGTCCAGCGTCTCGATCGTCACCGGCGCCAGCAGCCCGCGCACCCAAGCGACGGGGGTCACCACACCCAGGTCGACGGATGAGGAGGAGCTGCTGCTTGGCAAGGTCGATTTCTCGCAGGCGCTGCGGATTATTTCTGAGGAGAGCGGCGTGGCTATTGAGGAGTTGACGGAGGATACCAACTTTGCCGATGCTGGCGTGGACTCACTGCTGTCGCTGGTGATTGTCAGCCGGTTCCGTGATGAGTTGGAGTTGGATATTCAGCATGAGTCGCTCTTCTTGGACTGCCCGACCGTCGCCGATCTGAGGGAGTTGTTGGCTGGACCGAGTCCCGCGGAGGTCGCTCCTAGCGCAGCAGAAGTTGCTGTTGCTGAGGAAGTCTCGGACCTTCGCCTGGACTCGGCTCCGGCTCCGGCTCCGCCTTCAACTGTTGTTGAAGAGCAGAACAACGCGGCATCGGAGGAGTACGTGCGCAAGCATACCGACCCCGTCGTCCTGGCCGCCCGCCAAAAGGCCGTCGACGAGCTGGTCGCCAAGTACACGGCCGGCTTCACGGCACCCACCTCCACACCCTCGGGCACCCCAGCATCCCCCAACGCCAAGGTCGTCCTCGTCACCGGCGCTTCAGGCAGCCTCGGCGGCAACCTGGTCAAGGCCATCGCGCAGCTGCCCGACGTGGCTACCGTAATCTGCCTCAACCGCGAGAACCGCTCGGCTCCCGACGCCACCGCGCGCCAGTTCAAGGCCATGCGCGAGAAGGGCGTCCACTTCCCTGACGAGCTGAGCGACAAGCTCATCGCCTTCCAAAGCGACACCGCCAAACCCAACCTCGGCCTCTCCCAGGCCGACTACGACCAGCTCGCCGGGTCCGTCACCCACCTGATCCACAACGCCTGGCCTATGAGCGCCAAGCGCGCCCTTCCCGGCTTCGAGTCGCAGTTCCAAGTCATGCGCAACCTCGTCGACTTCGCCCGGGATGCGGCCTCCCTCCGCCCGGCGGACTTCGTCTTCTCCTTCCAAATGGTCTCCTCTATCGGCGTGGTTGGCCACTACGGCCTCGGCAACGGCGAGCAGCGCACCATGGTACCCGAGGACCGCGCGCGTGTCGACTCAGTGCTGCCCAACGGGTACAGCGAAGCCAAATGGGGATGTGAGCGCATGCTGGACGAGACGCTGCACAAATACAGCACTAGCGGTGCGGCGAACACCGCCGACGCCCGCTTCCGCACCATGGTCGTCCGCCTCGGCCAGATTGCGGGCAACAACGGCAGCGGCTACTGGAACCCCATGGAGCACTTCGGGTTCCTGATCAAATCCTCCCAGACACTTAACGCCCTCCCCAACGTCGGCGGTAACGTTTTCTGGACTCCCGTCAACAACATCGCCTTGTCCCTGGCCGATCTCGTGCTGGGTGAGCATGCGCCGTTCCCGGTGTACCACATCGAGAACCCTGTTGGGCAAGACTGGAAGGAGGTGAATGCCATCCTGGCCGATGCCCTGGTTAGCAAGGTCAACCCGTTTTCCGCGGGGAGCGATGAAACCACTGCCACTACGGAGAAACCTTCGCCAATCCCCCTAATCCCCTTCAACGACTGGCTGGAGCGTGTGCGCGCCGCACCGGCACACAACAACCCGGCCGCGACGCTGCTCGAGTTCTTGGATAGCAACTACCTGCGCATGTCATGTGGCGGGCTGGTGTTGGATGTGAAGCACACGCTGGAACACTCGGCTGCGCTGAGGGCGGTGGGGCCGGTGAGTGAGACGGTGGTGAGGAAGTATGTGTGGATTTGGAGGGAGATTGGGTTTTTGAGGCAGGTGGTGTAGGTGGGCGGATTTGGGATGGGGGGATGGGGTTATGATAATAATGAGGTTTCATTTTTGGGTGTGCTTTGGAGGAGGGTTATTGTTTTCGGGTTACTATTTCCTATTCCCTATTTCTTGGGTTGGTTACTGTTTTTGGTTTACTGTTTCCTGTTTCCTATCTCATGTTTCCTATTTCCTATTTCCTAGGTTTGTCTCCTAGCTGGGTTAATTAGTTTCTAGTCGGGTTATAAAATATACTTTCTGTTCCTATTAATCAGCCCCTGAGGGCCTGACCTCAACGTTTAACCTCTATTGCCCAAGTAAGAATGCAAGTCAGAGCCTCAGCTTCCAATGCAAACCGCATCCAAACCACATCCAAACGCCGGGTATTTTTCCAACCTCATACTAATCCCCAACTCATTACATCCCCATACTCATTAATTACATCACTGATTAGACATTACACCGCTCAACCGCTCAAGCATCCCCCAGTCCACCTCCCCAAGCACCCTCCGATGACTTTTTTCCACCGCCTCCGCCTGGTTCGTCTCAAACCAAAACGCCCACACTTTATCTGCTGCTGCTTCCTTATCTTTCTCCCCCGCATCATCCTGCCCAGCCCGCCGCCCAAAACTAACATGCTGCACCACCTGCTCCCGCAACGCAAACCGCTTCAGCCCCTCTGCATCACAGTACTCCTCCACCATGGTATGCACATCGCCACGCTCACGCGAGCGCAAGTTCGCAATAAGACCCTCCAACGCGGGCCGGTGGAATACCAGTGCTTGTGCACAGCACGCGTTGCTATCCATCGGCACGACCCCCGCGGCGAGGGGGGATTGCGGCGCGCTCAGCGGGGCGGGCACGGATGGGTGGTGGAGGCTGTAGTGCGGCAGGGGCAGGTTGTGTTTGCCTGTCATGAAGAAGAGGAGGGTGAAGGCCGGGGCGATGAGGAGGGAGAGGATGGTGATGGTGGGCAGGTCGGGACGACGGTGGCGGCTGGTGGTGCTGCTGGTACGACCGCAGAGGCTGAGGGTACGAATGAACAAAAGCAGGACGGCGGTCCCAGCAGAGGAGATGGCCAGCGTCCAGGGAAGGTGGGCGTACCACCAGCTGCCCTCGGCGTCCCATCCGAGATTGGTCTCGGTGTAGAACAGCCGCAAGTACAGCCAGGGGGCATCCCCCGCGGCCTGCGTGTGGTCGCGCACGAGATACTGCAGCCCGCGCAGGGTACGCGCCATCCAGTCCGCCGCGAACACCACGTCGTCCTGGAAGACAGCCACAAACGGCGCCTCGGTCTCCTCCAGACACCGCTCCAGCATGTACAGGTAGTCATGCACCCCCTTGAGTGCCACGTCCCCGTCCGCCTCAGCCTGTCGCAAACCCGCGGTCGTGAGCCCCGTTAGTCCGCGGTACCCGTCTGCGTCGTCGACTAGCGGGTCGACCCAGGGGGCGTGCCAGCTGGGATGGCGCGCGGGTTCGGTGTTGGCGAAGAGGAGTTTGACGGTGAGAGCGGCGCGCTCGCGGGGGTCGAGACCGGCGAGCATGGAGCCGATCGCGTCGGCTGTGTAGAGCCGGGCTGCCTCGCCGACTTCTTGTCGGCGTACTGCGATGAAGGCTGCGCAGAGTGCTGGGGAGGGGCCAGCTTTGCTGGGTTTCTCACCACCATCACCGTTCTTCTCCCCACCACTCTCAGTCTGACCATTCTCACCCTGATCACTCTCAGCCCCAGGCCCGCCATCACCATCACCATCACCATCACCACCACCCCCCCTTAACGCCCCATCCACAACCCCCGCGACAAACTCCCTCGCCTGCTGCTGCCTTACCGCCGAATACCCCAACTCATACACCCGCCCATCATCGGCGCGGAAATACGCGCTGTTCGGGTCCCGCCAGAGAAACACACGGCCGTACGCAAAGGCGAGCAGCCAGAGCACCGTGCATACCAGCAGAGTGCGTGTGGCTGAGTGGGAAAAGAGACGGCGTGGGTGGGCAAGTGAGGCTAACCGGGTTGTGAGTGGTGGTCTAGGAGGCCGGGGGCCGGTGTGCCATGGTGTTGTTGTTGGGGGTTGTTGGTCGGGCATTCGGAGAGGACGTGAGGCCGGGGGTGAGTGGGACGATCGGGAGAGGGAGTGCTATGTACACGTGTAACGGGGATAAATCTGGAAAAGAAACGCGGGAGCCCGGAAAACGCGAGCTCTTTTTTTTTTTATTAACGGGCCCAAGAATCCAGTTTAGGGGATTGGATCGGGCCTGGTGGGCTTGGCGGAGTGTGCCAAGACGGCGAGTGCGCAATGCGTGCGGAGCTTGTCCAGGGGCGCCTTCCTCCTCACCTCCTGCATGAGACGAGACACGCGGATGGATTCGCGGCAGGCACGGCGGACGGCAACTTCCTTGGAGTGGTGTAGAAGCACGCACGCACTGCCTTGATTGTCACGTCCGCTGCTTCCTTCGGGCGGGCTCAGCCTTTTTTCAACGGATTTGAACAGTTTCAATCATTTCAACATTTCAACAAAAAGCTCGGTGTGGCGCTGAATTGTGTTCAACTGCCCGATTTTGGGGGAGAAATATATGTACGCAACCAACCGACGGTCGCCACGGAACCAAAGCGGGCAATACCGAACAAAACGTCGCGCTTGGCAGTGCCAGTTCTCTGTGTCTGGTGTTCCACTGCCTGTCACAAACCGAGAAACACCAATTGACTGACCATGGCGAGCCCCATCGGTTATCTCATTCATCCCGATCCCCCACCGGCACATGGCCCGGCCCCTCGTGTCGTCCCGGCGGTCGCCCGCCCGACGTCCGGACCCCACCACAATCCACCCGTTCCAGTCAACAACTCCGGATTTCCCAACTCCGGCCCGGTCCCAGCCCCGGCTCACCCGCCCACATCCCGACCCGACCCGGAAAGCGGGAGTACGTCGGATCCAAACACCCACAACCAGGCCCAGCCCTTGTATCAGTGTGCCGATTGCTTACGTAGGTGTGCCGACGGAGTTAATCAATGGAGGTGATTGTCGCTGACTGCGCGTGCGCCCATGTCCAGGACGATACTCGCGCCCCGAGCATCTTCAAGTAACCTCCCTCGAAATGCCCCTCATGCTGTTCCTCTACTTGCTGACTAAACTCTAGAGACACATTGCATCCCATACACTTGGGAAACGATTCACGTGTGATGTAGCTCTCTCTATCTCTTTCTCTCTCCAAGCCCGGTACGGCGATAACGTTGATATGGATAAACTGACCACGGAACGCAGGTCTGCTCCAAAGGCTTCTCCCGCGCTGATCTGCTCAAACGGCACCGCACCAACCATCTCGAGGACAATGGCAAGAAGCGCAGACGGCTCAACGGCGACCCCTCCGTCGGCAGGGTAGGACAGGCCTGCACCGCATGTGCCCGCGCGCGAGTAAAATGCGAAGATTCCAAACCGCAAGTTCCCGAAGCCACACGCTTCCCCGCAGGATCTGTTTCCTTGCTAACCGACCGCCCCCAGATGCACCCGATGCAAGACTCGCGGTTTATCCTGCGAGGTTGTCCCCTCCGAGGACGCTGCTCTTAGTTCTGCCCACCACACCCCCGCGAGTTACGTGAGACACCACAAGTCCACCCCTGAATTTTCTACGGCTGTGTCGAATACACCAGGCCACCTACACCATCGTTTACCCGTGTCCTCCTCTTCCTCCTACGCTCCGTCTGCCCCGTCTGCAAGCCCCGAGGACTACAAAGAGGGCGCCATGACCCCGGCTAGCAACAATCCCCAGCTGCAGCCCCTAAACGCTTCAGCTTCCACTCCCCTGAGCCAAAGCCAAACCGTACCTGCAACCTATGACTCGTACCCCTCAAATAATGCAGTCGTAGGGTACGCTGCTCAAGAAGGTGTAACAGCCGAGTTCCCCGACTTCCTTCGCGGCGTTTTGTACGCTCCCAACCAGCCCGTACCCAACGCTTCTCGGGTTCCAGACACCCAGGACCCGTTCGCCTTGGACTTTTACGACGACACGACCCTCGATTTTAACGAGTTCAATTTCAACTTACTGAATCACTGGAACGTCGGCCCGGCTCAGAGCACCGCGGCGGCCGAACCCACAACCGCCCCAGACAACAACCGAGACCCCGCGGGCGTGGCCGACGTGAGCCAGATAAAAGCCAACTTAATCAAGATCTGGGACGAGTCCCCGTGGAGATGGATACCCCAGAACACCGACAATCGCTACACCGACCAGTCTCATCTCCCCTTGCCCACAAACGTCGTCCAGGATAAGGATACCCCCTCCCGAGGTGCTCCCACCGGTGCTCCCACCATCAACCGCGTATCCAAAGAGACCCTCCGTCCGTCCTGTCGTGACAGGATCCTCGCCATCGTGCTCAGCACCTGCCGCGAGGCCCGCATGGCGAACCGCGTCGCCTCGTCCTTCCCGTCCGCAGAGACCATGGATTCGTGGATCAATCTCTTTCTGGCCGCCCACATGCGCCAGCCCTCGTCGTGGATCCATTACGGCTCGTTTTCGCTCAACGCCCAATGGCCTGAGTTCTTGGTCAGTGCCGTGGCCGCTGGGGCAGTGTTGACGCCCGTGCCGGCTTTTCGGCGGTTTGCATTCGCGTTGCAGGAGGCAATTCGTAGGTTTCCCCAACTAGATTTCATTATTTTGGAGTTTTACTGACCGAATGTAGGAGTTGCTATCCCCGAGAGGGCAAGTCATCCCTGTCCTGCCCCCGTGTGCACTTCAGCTGCTAACTTCGCGCAGTTTGAGGAAAACAACGAGTTCATTTCCGAGATCAACAAAGTCCAAGCGTTGGTGCTTCTGCAAGATGTCGGCTTGTGGTGCGGCAACAAACGAAAAATGGAGATTACTGAATGTCGTAAGTTAACCTCGACTGTCGCTAATTCCAAACTAAACTAATATGATGTAGATTTGGCAATTCCAATCACGGTAAGATTCATAGCATTGTAGACCGAGCTCTCCTAACATCTGCAGATGATGCGCTACAGGGGTCGGTTCAATAATTCGTCGTACCCCGATCCTGTCATCCACCCATTCGACGAGGGCAAGGTGCTGGAGGAAAAGTGGAAGGAGTGGCATCAGCATGAGTCCTGGAAGAGGTGAGCGAACCTTTAGCTCTCTCTGTCTGCGTCAAGAACCACAACGCTAACTTCCAAGACTCATTTTCCATGTCTACATTCGAGATGCCCAGGCATCCATGACCCAACTCAACCCTCCTTTCATGTCCTATGCCGAACTGATCCTACCCCTGCCAGCCCCCCGGGAGCTCTGGTTTGCTAGCACCGCCGAAGAGTTTAAAGCCCGTTATCTTGCATCATCTGGCGGCTACAAACGCCCCCCCTCCCTGGTCGATATCCTCCGCGACGTCAACGTTCTTGCCGAACATCAATCGCATGTGGACTGGGCTTTTGCCACTTCCATCTATCTGCACGCCGTCTGGTCTTTGGTTTGGGAGTACCGCCAACTCCTTTCAGTACACGTCACCCCGAAGTTGTCCCAGACACCTACCACCACTGCGCTTCTCCTCGACTCCCGCCGCATCGAACTCATCGCCCAACTCCGAGCGTTCCGCCAACTTACCCTGCACCATCTCCGCCCCCATGACTCTCCCCCTTCTCCGTACGAAGGCCTCCTCATCCACAATCTCCTTTTCCAACTGCACACCCCCCTCGCAGATATACAGCTTTTCGTCGGCAAAGAAGACGAGCACCAAGCCCGCCGCGTATACCCGTCCTTACAGCGCTGGGCAGCGTCGCGCGACGCCCGTCAGGGGATGTGGCACGCGGCGCAAGTGCTGCGCTGTGCCAAAGCATTTCCGCGGGGCCGCCTGAGAGAGTTTTGCGTGTTGGCGACGGGGCATCTGATGTTGGCGGTGTGGGCGTGGGGGGTGCTGACTATGATGCGCGTGGCAGCGAGTCCCAGTGAGAAGCATCGCGGAGGGGGTGAACACTACGATAAAGGGGCGATTGTGTTTCTTGACCGGGGGTCGGATGGTGTGGATGATGGGACAACAACAGCGGGGGACGAGACACCCGACGTACGAAGGTGGATTGACTCGGACCAGGGACGGCCAGCACTCACTTGGAGCGGAACAGCCCAGCGCGACGACAGTACCACCGCCAGCAGCAGCAGCGGCAGCAACAGCAATGACGCTAAGAGGAGCCATGTCGCGACGAGTAATCCCACCGATGGAGAACCGTGCTTCCTGGAAGATCCCAAGGCGTGTATACAGCTCGCGCAGGAGGTTATACGTGCGAATTTTGTCGGTGTGTGGGAGACCTCGCCGCCGATGAATGAGAATATTGTGGCTTCTCTTGCGCAGATGGAGAAAGCGGTTGGGAAAATGGGTGGTTAGGCAGAGGTGCTGGGACTGGGGGATGAGAGATACTGTGAGATGATGATGGGGTTGCATGCATGTGTATGAGGAGATTTAGATGTGTTTGGATCTCCACAACAAGGGTTGGGTTGGAAAATGACAAATAATTGAGCATCATATGTTGACTTGGACCCTTTTACAAGTGTCACGAGTATAATAGGGTAGCATTTGCCGTGGTAATTGACGATTGTCTTTCGTCATAACAAGTGTAGTGTGTAAACACGAACCCATCCAGTACCACGGTGCTAACTTTCTAAGACTAAAGACCTTCATAATACGATCCTTAGGCCAATCGTGATCCACCGTAGAGCATAATCAAACCTATGATACATTACACTATAAACCTAGCAGCGTCTGCGTCCTCATCATGAGACAGACGCTAGATATAATACACTCACTCCATTCATTCCTTCCGTCCCCCAAGTTCTTTTCTTACAATCTTAAACCCATAATGCCCAAGCTTGCGCGGAGGGTTTGGATTTATACATCCGGCTCATACGTAGCGTAGATTACACACCCCCAATGACATCCCATTCAGCCATGCACCCCGGCCCAAAGAACATCTGGCATATAAAAGCTGTTTTTCTCAAGACTCCTGCTCATCGTTTTCCCCCTTCGGGAGATCCACAGTTTTCCTGAAAATCCAATACAATACACACCATCGACCCCTTCGCTACTTTTCTCCTCTCTGTTACTTGGTTCCAAGACCGGGTACTCATTTGGGTAGTTATGGACAATCTTTCCTTGGTCCACTACGCTGTGTCCCTTCATATTAATATCCTAACTCGTCCCATCTGATCAACCCACCGCTCCTTGATCAATCCACCACTTCAGCCCCCCCAACAATCCCCCATCCTCCTTTTCAAAAACCACGCCAGCGGTATCCCCACCCAGCTATTCCCCGTTACCACCGCTGCTGTTGTTTTTGCCGTTAATGCTGTTGGTGCCGGTGGTGTTCTACTCCCCTCAAGTTCATACAAAGCAGCAGAAAGCAGATTTTGCAAGTGAATAGCAGCTTCTGCAGCTGTTGTCACGTCTCGGATGTCTGCTATAGCCGGTCTTCTTCTCATCTGTGCCTGTTGTTTTGCGTTCTCAGCCCCTTTCTCCGTCTTTATCTTTATCTGGGAGTGAGGGCCGTGGTGCGAGGGGCCGAGACAGGGACAGGAGCAGGTTCGGGCGCAGGCGTGGTTGGGATAAGGGGTGAAGGGGGCAGGACGTGGGGTAGGGGTTGTGGTACTGGGGATGTTGGTGGTTTCGGTGGATGAGATTGGGATGGTGGTGGGTTGGGGGGTGGGTGGTTGGAAATAGAAATCGAGGAGGCCGTCTGTGGTGCTTGACGGCGAGGTGGACTCGTCGGTGTCGGTCTCGGTTGTGGTGGTGGTTGTTAGGAATGCGGAGCGTTGTGCATCCCGGAGAGCGGCTTGGCTGGATATTGTTGGAGTGGTGAGCATGATGGCGGGGGCTATTTTGGTTTTCAGGTTGTTGTGTCGGCACCCGGTCTGGTTCTGGTTTGCGTTCTCTCCGTCATGACTCTCGGATTCATTGCCATGGACTTGGCAGCTCTGGCATTTGCTACTGCCCTCTCCATCGCCCTCGGCAGTCCCATTCTTTAATGGTCCCGGTTGGGCAGTGATACCGCCTTTAACCCCACAGCCCATACCAGCAAGCAGCTTCTCCAGTCCGGACACATCCTCATGGGAGCGGTAGATCTCACACGCGCGGTGGTAAGGGTAGAACAGCGTGATGAGATACATCCACTTGTGGTCCGGTTGAGTGCTCCCAGGGTCTTGCTCACTTCGAGAGCTTGCCGGGATCAGTTGCACGTGCGTGGCGAGTGGGGCGTGGAGGATGCCGTTGTAAACATCGTGGTTCTTCCAAGTATGGAGTGTCGGTTTTGGCACGGGGAGCCCCCCGGGGGCTGGCGATGACTGTCTGATCCGCATTTTCAGCGGACGTTGGCGGACGTTGGGTCGTTGTCGAGTTGTCGTCGGGGTGTTGCTGAGCAGATTAGGTTATGGGCTGGGGATTGATACCGGTATGAAAGGAGGCACGTCTACGAGACAACCAAGGAAAAAAGTACATACGAAGGGCAATGCCTGGGAACTTGACAGCCCGCTTGACTAAGGTGCACTCGGCCCTTTATCACCCGGCAGGTCAAATCCGCGAACCACACGTGAACGGCCTTTATCAACACCATGTTTCGATCTACGGCTGGGATGCGGGAAGACAACAACATATTACCGTTATTTACCTTGTGAGACCGTCAGACTAAGACACGGCCAGTCATGAGAGGAACACACGTGGCAATGGGCATTCAACGCTGTCCGTCCGGCTCAGACAAACATGACCCACGACATGCACCAGGACTCGACGCAGCTTGACGGTCCGACGGTCACGGCGAGGCTGGTTCTCGGTCGAGCCCCATCGACACCGAGGGTGAAGGCGAGACTGGCTGAGATGAGGACTTAGCCATGAGTCCGGACGTATTGTAGGGCTGGAATCGGCAATCTTGTTGAGGCAACCATCGCGTGTGGCTAGCAGCCTGTTCACCTGAAACAAGAACCTTTGGAACGGTGAGCTGCATCAATTGCGATATTGTCCAACTTGCGAGGTTCAAACGAAGTGCAAATCTTCCCATGTCTTGCTTGACGAGCTAAATGAGGATGGGGATAAAGCAGGGTAAATGATCACAGGTCGTCTTGGATTGATTTCCACATTTAGACCGCGGGCGGTTGCCGGGGGATCGACTGCGTCCAGAATCTGACGAATGACGGGGTTTGAGGATCCAGGGAGGGAAATAAGTCATTTGGATTGTTCTTGACTGGTTGTTGTGGGTGAAGCTGGTGATGCATAAAAACATCAGGATTGGCTGTCTACGTCTGGAGGTTTTCGGACACCATTCCATTGCTCTTGCTGCCTCTTGCATGGAAGTAAAAGCTGTCGAAACGTTCGAAAAAGGCACGATGGAAACATGCTTGACACTGCAACTGGTCTAGAGAACTGAGAAAACACACAGCGCAAGTGGCCACAAGGGGTTAGCGCAGACCGGAGCAGTTGAACCCCTGCGATGAACGTGGTGGACCCGTGGCTCATCCTGAAACAGAACGGTTTGTGGGGCTTTCATCCGCAATGCAACCGGGCAGGCTCCCACCAAAGCACAACGCAGGTCCAGGCCGGCGCGCATGCATGCGCGTTAACTACCTCTGCGTTTGTTTGGTTTGTTCTGAAAATTGCTGACCACAAGTCGCCTGGCCAGGAAGGCCTTTTTTTCACTTTTTTGCCTTGACAATTTTCTTTAAACTCGGGTTGAACCACCTTGAAAAGACAGCTGATATGGAACCATGCTCAGCGGGGTTCAAGTGACGTCTGCTGAGCCGACGATCGAAAAGAATCGCCCGGCCGAGGCCCCTCAACATGCGCTGCCCCTCCTTCCCCTTTCTACAGCCTACTATAAAGTGTCGACGAACAAAGCAGGCGCGACTACCCGTAACAGTCAATGAGATACACATTTGGAGATGGAATCAGATGACAAGGCAGATGCTTTCCAGAATGGAGCTGGAGGCGTTTGCGCCCGACTGAGGCTAGTCAGGGTCTTGCGGTTCTCAAAGCAGACGCTTGCCAATTGTAGTGTAAACACTGATGCTTCCCTGACTGGGTACCCTGGCGACGGCGTGTTTGTGAGAAGGAGGCGCGAATGGGCAGCCGCGCAGCAGCTGCATGTCAACACAGCGTGTAGCTGCATGGCAACTGTCGGTAGCTCTGCAACTTCAAACTTGCGAACTTTGGGGCCTGCCAAGCCAGGGGAGCGATGTGTTTACCCCTTCCCCATGCATGTCGTCCCATCATCCCACCGGCCTTTCCCTTCCGCGGCAACACCGAGGACCCGCTCTGTTTTTGTTAATCCTTCCTCGCGACTTTCTTTCCTGTGAATTTTTGTGGTCTTTCCGTTTCCCTTTCGCTTCCCCAAATATTTGCACATTTGCCGACCTCGAACGAGAACACCTGATCCTTGACACGGGAAATTTCACAGCGTCAGGATACACCAAAAAGAGACTCCCAAGTTACCTAGTCACCGGACACGATGGCGCTCCAGGCTGCGTACAGGCAGTTTTTAGCGTCGCCGAACTCGTCGGCCCTCGCAGACGACGCGGCGCTCCACTACATCACCACGACTACTAGCTTCACGGGCGCAACCGAGATCATTAAGCACCTTTCCTCGGTGCGCAACAAGATCAAGAAGAAGAAGGAGGCCGCCCTTTTCGCCATTGAGAACCAGACTGCGCTTGCGCTCGAGGCCGACACCACGTTGGAGTTTGTGAGCAGCGGCGGCCCTTACCTCCCCGGCCTGGACGACAACTTCCTAGCCGACCGCACCGTCCAGATCGTTGTGGTGAGTACTTAGTAAACCTGGGTAGATTAAGGTAGCCGGATGCCATTGTTTGCGACAACCCCACTAACCCTCCCCGCTTTTCCAGAGCCACATCGTGGCCTTCAACGCCGACGGCAAGATCACACAGATCCGGCAGAGCTGGGACCAAGGCGCGCTTTTGAAGCAGGTCGATGTCATTGGCAGGTCCGGCGCAAACTGGCCTATTCGCGACGTCAAAGATCAAGTTACGCTCATCGAAAAATGCGCCAAGGGCGAAGGTAGCGCTGCGGCTCCCATTGCGGAGACACTTCCCAACCGCTCCCGTGGCAGCTCGAACGCCATGCGCGACCCGCACGCCACCCTTGACTTGTTCGCTTCGCGCGAGGAGCTGGAGAGTAACCCTGCGGCCGTCATCTCACCTTATGCAGGCAGGAGACCCCGCCAGCGGTCCTTTACCGAAATCCTCGGCGACGAGCCCGTCGAAGATCCCGGCTCTCCCAGCGCCGGGCGCGAGCGCTCGCAGTCCCCGAGCAAAGTCATTGCCCCCAAGGCCGGAGCTGGCAAGAACTTCCAGCCCATGCGCCTCTTTGACACGGACGAGAACGAAGCCGCGGACGGTTCTAACGGTCGCGACCGCTCCGATTCGACCAGCAAGGCGATTGCACCCAAGATTGGGGCCGGCAAAAACTTCACACCGATGAGGCTTTTCAACACGGACGAGAACGAGGTAGACAAGGATTCGCCGGAACCGGCGCAGAAGGTGAACCGCTTCATCCGCCCGGACCCTAGAAAGTACCAGCATTTTGAACTTGACGACGGCTCGGAGGCTCCCGAGGTCCCGACGCCGAAGGCCCCTGCACCCGCCCCCGACAGGAGCAGCAAGCATGGCAGCAACTGGTCGTTTGACGACTTCGTTACCCCCCAGAAGCCGGTCGCTACTCGCGGCCTACACCGTGCCCACAATACCCGTCACTGGGGCGCCGACAATGACATCCTCGAGAACACCCCCGCTCCCCACCCGCAAGTGATCAAGCCGCGCAAGGATGCTGAGGCGCACTTCGAACTAGTTGATGATGGCCCGGCCCGGGAAGACGCCAACAATGCTAGCCGCCTGCCCCGCGGCGCGATGCATAACGAGAACCTCCACTTGTACGACAACCGTCTGCACCACGAGGACGGCACCGTCCCTTCGCCCGGCCCGCCTCCTCTCGGGAACATCACCAACCTTAAGGACCGGCAAAAGCACTTTGGCGCTCACTTCAGCATGACGGACGAGTCCCCGCAGCACGACAGCACCAGCGAGGCTCCCAAAATGGGCGAGGACCGCAAGAAGGCTGTGCGCATGATGGAGAGCAACTGGGCTCCATCCGATGAGTCGCCGGTCTCGCGCAAGGAAAATAGCAACCCCAACAGTGAGAACATTGAGCGCGAGCGCGGGATCGCCATTGCCGGCGACGGTATGGGCGGTCGAAAGGGCACCTCACGCGGCTGGCTTCACGGGGAGGAGGATGCACCCGAACCGGCCAAGAAGGGCATTCGCGGGCCCCCGACCAAGTCGGATAACTTCTGGGACTTTTAAGCGTTTCCTTTCGACTTTTTCTCGAGCAGCGCACGGCCCGCAGGTGATGGAGCCACTGACTGACTATTGATGACTAACGTGTCTTTTTATTGTCTGCGCCCCAGAAATGAAGGCAAAAATGCTTTGGGTCGCTAGTTTTTTTCTCTTTTTTTCTTTTTGTCTTCTTGAGACATATTTTACGGGTTTTGCCAGGTGTTGTCTACCTCTCCAGCCCGTTAGACTTTGAGCCAGATGGATACCTTAGCAGGCGGACAAGCTCTTTTTTTCTTGTCGCTATTGGGATACCTGGAGGGCCGTTTGTACTCTTCCTGTCGACTTACGATGGTCTTGGTGTGTCTAGGGTTCAGGACGGCGATGGCGAGGCGCGCATATAGGGGTCTTTTTTGTTGATTGAGTGATGTACGGTATTGTGCCAATACACGGGCCAAGTTTTTTTAACTCCTTTCGTTCCCGTTTCAGGATACGGTGTGTTATGTGTCTTGTCAACTTGCATGAGTGTACGACCTCCCTCCCGACTCCCACGGGCCATATTCTTGAATTACCCATATATGTTCCGATCTACGAGACATATCACGAAGGGCTTTTCAGTTTAACCATGTTGTAAAACAAGTAATAATCAACTACCAGATTTCTAAAAGCGAAAGAAAGGGTATATAATTAGAGTCCCCGAAATAACGCCAGCCATGACATGGAATTTACTCGATTCCAAACCACCAACCTCCCCACACCCGTTTGCCCGTTTGCCTTTCAATTTCTAATCAACCATCAAGAAAGAGCCATACCAGTCTTGCGAAGCCCATATCTACCCACTCAACCGGGCGGAAATCCCGCCCTGAAGCCCGGGAGAATGTAAGAAAAAAAAGAGCCGTTGAAAATAGACAGAAAAAAAAAGAAATCAACACAAAAACTTATAAACCTTCTTCCACCTCGGCATTCCCTTCATCTCATCCACCTCCCTCGACACCAAAATCGGCAGATTCCCCAATTCCCTCCGACCCGTGTCCACATCCATATCGTCAATCCGCACCACTTTTGTCCGAAACCAAAACTTATACCCCAGATACACCACCAACACAATCGGCGCGCAGAGATACTGCAAAAAGAAATTCTGTGCTACGTCCCGCGGCGAATCGATCGGTACCACGGCCGCGCCGCCGGAGGATTGGCCTCCGCCGAGACTGGCGTCTGTGGTGGCGGTGTTGTGGGGGTGGAGGAGGAAGGCGGCTGCTGCGGTGGTGGCTGCTGAGGGCCAGGTTGGGAGGGTTGGGTTCTTTTCGTTCATGCCGAGGGTATTCCCCTTGGTGGAGGATGACGCGGCGGGTAAAGGGACAGGCCAGGCGGCGGTCCAGAACTGAGCGACCAGCACGAGGATGTTAAGCACGAGGCCGACCCAGGACCCGGCGACGCCGACTTGGGAGCGGAAGGCGAGTTCGCGGAGACTGCGGCCCTTGGCGCGCCAGGCGCGGCGGAAGCGGATGTGAGCGAGGCAGATGGAGCCCCAGGTGAAGACGGAGGAGAGGCCAGAGACGGCGAGGAGCCAGTTGAGGACGTCGGATTGGCTGTCGAGGTCGGCGAGGTAGCCGAGGAGGCCGAAGGCGGAGGCGACGAGGATGGCGACGAGCGGGCGGCCGCGGCGGTCGACGTAGCCCAGGATGGAAGGGGCTTGGCGCTGGTCGGCGAGGGCGGCGAGGGTGCGGGAGGAGCCGAAGACGGCCGAGTTGCCGACGGAGAGGACGGCGATGAGGATTACGCTGTTCATGACGGCGGGAAGGACGGAGATACCGGCGGATTCGATGGCGATTACGAAGGGGGAAGCGGAGGCGTCGGCGGCGGATTTGGCGCCGAGGAGTCGTGGGTGGTTGTAGGGTACGAGTAGGCCGATTAAGGTTAGGCTGACGATGTAGAAGAGCGTGATACGCCAGAATACTTGTTTGATGGCTGTCGGGAGCGAGCGTCGGGGGTTTGCGGTCTCGGCGGCGGCTAACCCGACGAGCTCAGTACCTGTGAACGCAAAAGCGGCGGTTACGAACACAGCGCAGAGGCCCTTGAAGCCGTTGTTGAACGCGCCTGGTGACTGCCAGTACCGGCCACCGATGTAACCGTCATTGGGGTAGCCTCCAATGTTGATTACGATACCCAAGAGACTGCGGACGTTGATGTTAGAGGTACGAGTAGGCCGGAAAGGGGGGGGACGGTGTACGTACACGAAGCCGATCACGGCTGTGATCTTTACAATGGCAAAGACAAACTCGGCTTCACCATAGCCCTTAACCCCAAAGAGGTTTATCACGAGAATGATAAACAAAAATACCGTGATGAAAATGGCACGACTGATCTCGCTGTTCCAATAACCGACAGTAATAGAAGCCGCAATGATTTCGAGTGGTAATACCATCAACCATTGTAGAGCGTAACTGTATTGACACTGTCAGCGAGGACCGCCCCCTACCCTTGGTCGGCTATCCGGGAGAAATACGAACTTCCAGCCCATGGTGAACCCCCACGCTGGGTCGAGAAACCGTGTCGAGTAAGCCGAAAAGGAACCGGCCACGGGAAAGGTAACAGCGAGTTCGCCGAGGGCCTGGACGGTGCAGTAGAGCATGCAGCCGATGAAGAGATAGGCGATGAGAACAGCGCCGGGACCACCGGTGTGCAGCGCTTTTCCAGAGGCAACAAAGAGGCCGGTACCTGAACGACCGTGTTAGTATTAGTATGATGTCGACAATTCTCGAACCTGGAGAGAGAGTACCCACCTATTGAACCCCCAATCGCAATCATCTGCAGATGCCTCGACTTCAACTCCCTGGAGAGCAGCGTATTCGCCGTCCCAACGTTCGCCGCATGTAAGTCAAAATAATGTGATGTGCCTCCCCTTCCACCCCGTGACCGACCGGCTCTCCCACCAGCCGACGAAGAAGAGAACGACGACGACGGCTTCGATTCATCCAACCCATTCAACACCCCCGTTCCCATCCCCACTCCCGATGCATCTGCCGTCGCAACCGACGACGACGCCCGATGCCGATGTTCATGATGCCCATGCCCAGTCCCATGCCCATAGCCGTGCCCGTGTCGATGTCGCTGCCGGGGGTCTTCGGACGTGATCGCCGCGGCCGGCGTGACGTGACGGCCTGGGTCGCGGCGGAACGAGTCTATCCAGCCCCGGACGGTGTCACCGTAGCTTCTGTTGCCAAAGCCGAGGTCGTTGCCGCGCCGAAGTCGGTTGTGGCCGTGGCGGCCGCCGATGGGATGTGAGCGCGAGGCAAAAGGGTCGTCGTCTTCCTTGGGGCGGAAGTCGGCCATCTCGAGGTCGTCTGAGACGCGCATTTTCGGTGGTGGGCGCTCCAGTAATACGCCTGATCGTTTCGCGCTCCTTATCCGGCGTTGCGTATGTCGTAGACTTCCGGCGTGGTTGGGCAGGCAACACCCCCTCGGAGGCTGCTCCGTGGGTGTCTCGAAGTCTATCTGCGAAGCGTCTCGATGTTTCCCGTTGTTTCACGGCGAAAGACGGCCGACTGACTCGGGTTGGGAAGCGCCGGTGCGGAACCCTCCACAACTCCAATAACGAAACCAAGAAAACGGGTAGGACAATGCCAGGCAAGGCTGTCCCACGAAACTCAAGTAACCAACAAGACACAAGGCTTCTCGGGCCACAAATCGGATTGCGACAGCCTTAAGTCTTGAACCTTCCTAATCGTGATCGTCTCTCCTCTAGCCGGTGATCGGCCGAGCGATATGCAATGGTCTGACAGGTAGATGGGCGGTAGTGCGTGTCTGCGGCGGTTTGCCTCCACATTTGACGTCTCATCCCATCTTTACCTCCAGCTCACTCGTCAGGTCGAGGCTGGCCAAGAATTCGAACTCGGATTCCCGCCTTTCGTCTGGGTCGGCCGAATCAAGCGTATTCGCAGAATCCAATGTGCTTTCACTGCCTCGTTCAGAAAAGCATGGAAGAAGACATGCTCGTCTCAAGTGTCAAAAAAAGGATTAAGAAAGTAGGATCCTCAGGGAAGACTCTCTCGGCAGCACAAAAGCCGAAGCTGGTGCTTATCAGTGGGCTCTGGGATCCAGCGGCCTGCCCTTTTTGCGCTTTCATCCTTCCAACAATCGAACCCGATGGGGCCATTATTGCCCTTGTGGGATTGGCTGCCGTTGGGCCGGTTCAAGGGAAATGTGGGTGTGTGGGTGTCACCGTGTCACGGAGTGTGGGAATTGGGAATCGGCTGCGTGGCATTCCCCACTTTCCCGATCCCATTCTCATGTGCTAACGCCTCGGGGTTAGGGTTATGAGGATAACTTGAAATTGCTGAAGATGGGACAACTTCATCCTCAACAACATCCGCAAGGGAAGAAGTCTTTCGAGCTGTCCTTTCAAAAACGTCGCTGTTTTAATTCGAAAGAGTCAACTTATTTTTAGTTTCCTTCCCGTCGGAATATCAAGTGCGCATCCACACATCAAGCGATTAGAACCTACCGGACAGCAAACCAGTCAGCTGATCCCCGCAGCCACATGCGTACCAAGGGATTCATCAACGAGACCCCTCAGCACCGCGGCTGGGCGAGAATAGCACAATCATCAGGCTAGCTAGCCACCCCCGCGCCAGCCATTTTGAGTGCACCCATCCGTTCTCACAAACATGATAAAGCCGATAGATAGCATAGCCCAATGATGTGAAGCAGTCGATGCCGAGGCCGACAAGAATCTCAAACCCGGGGATGTAATTACCGCCTAACTACGCCTAAGACGCTGGTTATCACAAGCCGATTTGGGCGTCGTAACAAGGCTTTGGTCCCCCCTCTCAAAGATCAGATCATCCTGTCTCGGGTGGGCGATCCGCGGGAGGAGGAGGGGGGTTCCGTCGCGTGGCAGGTAAGACATACAGAGGCCGATACCGCCAATCAGGGCGAGCACACAGCTCGAATCCTGAAGATGACGTCCTCAGACAAGGAGGAGTACACTACGCTGTGATAAGTACAATGGGGTATAAATTGAGTTTGGGGGGGTATTCGGTCAACGTCCAGTTCGCTGCTTTTCTCTTCATCCATTTTCTGTTCTCTTTGTTCTATTTTTCCTGTTTTGCGTTGAGTTCCAATCCCCCCTGATGGATTTTGGTTTACGTCGGATGTAAGCTGTCACAAACGAAATAGTGAGAAACCCAATTCATCACAGAAGCGCAATTTATCATCGAGATTGGACTATTCTTCGTAATATTCAATATTTCCCAACGCCGGTCATGAATGCACATTGTACTTTTTTCTGAACAAATACGCCCGGTAGCCCCAAAAAAGACAAGATGCCACAACGCAGTATACATCCCTCCCCATCACTCACTCTCCTTCTCCTCCTCCACAATCTTCCCATCAGCCCCCCTAGCCTTCCTCTTCCACCCCGTCTCAAACAACGGCCCCATCTCAAACCGCGGCAGCGGATGTGCCTCCGTATTCAACACAATCTTATCCAGCGGCAGCAAATCGCTATCCGAAAACAGCAAATAGAAATACTTGAGCGTCTCCGCCAGCCAGAAACTCTCCATATTATCCCTCGTAATAGGTGGGATCTTGTTAGCATTAGACAAGCTCGTGAACCCGCCCGTGCCGCCCTCGGATACCGCCGTGTAGTTGGCAAAGCTCTTAAACATTTCCCACCCCCACTCGCGGTACCGCACGTCGCCCGTGATGCGCCACATGTACAACAAACTCTCGACCGCCTCAGGCCGCTGGAGGTTGTGGCTGTCGAACTGGCGGACTTCGAAGTCGGCGCGCCAGGGGGCGTCCGGGGCCGGGTCGAATTCGGCCGGGGCCTGGTGCGGTGCGGATTCGGGAAGTGGGGGGTCGGCGATTTTGAAGTAGGTGATTTCGGCCGCGAGGCCGGTGGCCATGTATTTGTACATGCCCCAGCAGGTGTGCATGAGCTCGCGGGCGAGCTGCATGTCGGCGTCGTCCTGCGCGGTCCAGGTCGGCAGCTTGCGCGCTTCGGCCTCGGTCAGGCCGTCGGTGACGGCTAGCGCGATGGTGCCGGGCATGAAGCAGACGAGGTGGTCCATTTTGGGGGATAGGGCGCCGGTGAGACCGCCGGGCCGCTCGCCGAGAATGGTGAATTGGGAGGGTTCGGTGTATGTGATGAGGTGCTTGCGCACGCCCTGCATGGCATCGCGCCACATGTCGCGGTAGATGGGCTCCTTCTTGTTGGTCTGGAGGTACTGCTTGATCAGATACTCGTAGTACGAGTCGCCGCGGCTCCCGAGCCGGATGTTGCCCCCCTGGAATTTGCCTGTGGTTGCGTAGATAAAAATGGGCACGAGCCCATCGACCGCGCCGTTGTCGTCCACCACCTTCATCACCTTCTCGGCCCGGTCCCAGAACTCTTTCTCGCCCGTGAGCTTGGCGAGGTACTTGAACTCGAGCTGCAGCGTCGTCGTTTCCGCGGTCGACGATGCCCCGTTGTCGGCATGCGACTGGATGCCTTCGTACTTGGCCAAGTTGACACTGGCATACGGTACGCCGGACGGCGAGTCAAACGCAGCCATCAGCCGGTCCGCCAGGTCCTTAGCCTTCTCTAAGTACAAGTCCTCGCCTGCGGTTCCGGGGTCGTCGTCCGGTATTGGGGCCAGTTCGGGGTACTCGGTAGACAGGTAGTGTGCCGAGAGCAAACCGCCCAGCATACGGATGGTGGTCTCGAAGGTGTTGACGTCCTGGTTCTGGTCCCAGGTCAGGGACTTGGCCAGCCACTCACGGGCATGTGTCAGTCGCGACGTCATGTTCATAATCATCAGCGTGTCGAGCGAGTCGATGATGATCCAGCCCAGACCCTTGGGCGCCATGTTCTTGCCCGTCCTAGACTCAGGATGGAACTCGTCATATCCTGTGTAACCGTAGTTAGCTCCCCATACTTTTGAATCTTGAATACTTCACCCGAGCGAGGAGGAGAAAAAACCCACCCCAAGCGTATCTCTCATACGCATCCCAACTCAACTCCATCGCCTCCACCACATGCTGTCTCCTCTCCCCCCAATCCACCCTTCCACCCCCATCCTCTCTCCCCAACCACCCCTTCCACTGATTCAACCTATCCACCGCACTTTCCCCATGCCCCGCAAACAACCCCGACCACCACACCAACACCCCCAACACAACCAACATAAACAAACACGTCCTCTTCCTCCGCCTTCTGCCCCCAGGCACATATGACCCCCCGCCGCCCCCTGGCGGGTACAGGTACGGTTTATCCTTGTACATGGGCAGGCCGGCGCCCCCTCTACTACTGCCGCCTGAGGCAATGAAGTCTTGGACGTTGTTTAGGACAGAGGACGCTGTGGGGCGTTGGCGGGAGGCGGCGGGGGCCCAGAGCTGGTCTTCGAAGTGGCGTTGGGGGTTGGAGAAGGAGGGGACATTTTTGGGGACGGCGAAGGACATGTCCTCGGGTTGTTGTTGCTGTTGTTGGGAGTGGTCGCGGTGTTCGTTGTTAGGGAGGGTTCGGTCGTTAGGTTGTGCGGGATTAGAGGGCAGCCTTCTCGACTGCGGAGGTGACCTTACAGCCTTTTCGAGATCGAGGTTGGACTTGGTACCGTCGAGATCGGTGTCGGCGTCGAGAGCGGCAGACGTGGCCTCTGCGAGAGCCTGCTGTGCCGTTTGGACGGCCTCGGTGGCCTTGTCGCGGATCTCAGCAGCGGCAGACTGGGTGGCGGTTGCAGCGGTGCGAATGATATGATGCAGAGGAGCAAAGCTGTCGTTATTATTACTCCTAACGCCTGCGTTGTTCGTATGGTAGCTCCTGTTGCCCTTCCACGTGGCGATTGAAGGCCGGTTCAAGCTGCCGTTGCGAAGGTTGAAGGGGTCGCGGACGTTCATTGGGATGCTGCAACCACTAGCGAGCGGCGCATCACGGGAAGTGATTGGGTGGTAACCCCAAATCTGGCGGTGCCCAGATCCGTTGGAGCAATCTGGCCTCGTGCGTGAGGTGTGGGTTGGAAATATTTCAATGGTACTTTACCGCAGCTGTTGGTTGCATGGAGCTGGGGAAGAGGTGGAGCCGCAACTAACAGGCCCCGATTAACTAGTTAGCCTCGATAAAACAATAGGTCCACTGAAGACAACCCAACAATATGAACGGGAAGTGTAATTGATCCAACCATCGCAAAAAGAGACCTCTTCCATGCACGAAGCATCGGCCTTTAGGTCCTAATGCCCCACGGCCTGGTTGTCGGTCCTAGATTGCAAATCCGAAATGGAGACACGATGATCCGTATCGACCCACGGTCCATGCCCATAGGTACGATGCGTCTGCTGTGTTGTCGGTTTGTCACCGAAAGGAGCAGCTGAGCTGCCCTCAGTGGAATGAATGACATGCAGCTGCGGCACGAGCCGGCATGCCGTTTCGAAGGAGCTTCCCAACGCCGACACTTCCGATCATGCAGGGACATTTTGTGACGCCGTCGGCCGTGCTTGCCGTGCTGGTGTCCAAAACTTGTCGAGCATGACCCCGACAGCCGTTAATTACTCCAAACTCTAGTCGGTACCTAACGCACTTAATATCCAATTTGGTCGAGGATCAGAACCCGTGCTCGGAATTGTCCCGAAACCTCATCGGGCTCGGCAACCCCGCGATTCCGGCACTTCTGCGCGGAGCTCGGACTCGGGCGTTGTCCGGGCGGGTTGCTCCGGTATTTAATGCAGGTGTTGACTGGATATTTTTGCATGAAGCTCCCTGACTTATACGCAGTTCAATGTGACTTACCTACCTACCCCCCTCTTTAAACAATTAAGCACACCTGCCCGTATCTCAATTCTATCATCCCCCACGCTCAAAAAAGGGACAACCTCCGCAAAAATGCCCAGCACAGCAGCCATAACAATCTACATCTTCGGCGCCAGCGCCCTCTACCAAGGCGCCAGCATCCTCCTCGCACCCCGCCAGGCCCTAGCCACCAGACAACTCCCAGAATCCGCTCGCCCCGCCCTCACCGCGTTCGGCGTGGCCATCTCGGGTCTCGGCGCCTACTACACCCTGGCCGCCTACCAGGAGAACAGGACTTTCTTTGCGCTGACGCTGTTCAGGATCCCGGCCGCGATCATTCTTGGCGCGCAGGGTCCTGGGTGGCGGCCGATGGCGGCGTGGGAGGTGTTGGCGACGTTGGCGACGGCTGCGTCGTTGGCTTGGGAAGGGTGGGCTTGAATGAAGGCGGGGATGGAATGGGATGGTCTCCTCAGGTGGAAAGGGAAAGGGGGGAAGTCGATGTCAGATATCTACTTTTCACCAATATTTCGCAGATTGTATCAAATAAACCCTCAAGACTGGAGCGCTGCGTGTTTACGGCTACAATTGAGCCAGGAATCGAATCATCATTATTCCCTAGTTCCTAATACATGCTCAACCATCATACGAAGATAGACCAGTATCCAACGCACCTGACCCCTTCACCCCTCTTTTCCGGCTGCTCTCCAACCCTTCATCCAACTCACCATCTAACCCCGGTCCCATTCCGGGTCCCTTCCCCGTCCCCCACCACTCAACACCCCGCGCAGCCACCCACCTCCTGAAATTGCCCAGCTCCCCCGTGAACCACAGACCCAAGAACATAACAACGGCCGTCACGGGAACGGCAGTGGCCCAGTAGACCCACTGGCCGATGTCCATGTCGCGAATGTCGGCCGTGTTCATGCCGAAGATGGAGGAAACGGCAGACAACGGAAGGAAGATGATGGTGACGATGGTGAAGGCATAGATGGCGCGCTCCTGTCGGTCTTTGGTACGGCTTAGGTTTGTCTCGTTCTGTTGTCGGCGTCGAGGAGGTGGTGGTTAGTTAGTTAGTTAGGTGATGAAGGAAGGAGTGGGTAGGTAGGTTTGGTATGAGGAGGACTCACGGTTCTTTTTAGTATGTTTGCCGTGTCTCGCATCATCTCGAGGTCGCTCTTCTTTAGAGAGAGATCCCTCAAGCATTCCTGGAGTAGAACGGAACTGAATCCGGTGGGCCCACGATCGCCACGCTCGTTTGGCTGGAAGATCTGGTCGGCCATGGATGTCATGTTGTCGTATTCGGGAGGTCCTATGCGGCGGTACGGGAAGAGGTGCATCTGTCCCGGCTCTCTGTCCCTGTGATGCCTATTTAATTGCGTTTCCGCCTGCGCTAGCTTGGCACCGACATTCCGGGCCACGCTTTCTCCCCTGCGCACGAGACCCTCGAGGATAGAAATTTGTATATCGACCGTCCAGTCTATTATGGACAGCTCCTGGAGGAACAGGTTCAATTTCTGGTCGTTTCGACGGTCTGGATGCCCCGTGGTCACTTCGGACTCCTGTACCAGATTAGTAACGAACAACGAAGCTCGGGGAGACCGTGGCTATGAGTAACCCACAATCATGTTAAGGTAAGACCCGTAAGTGTCGGAGACACTCGGCATGTTGGCGGTAGCGTTGTTCGTGAGCTTCATCGCCATGAGTGCCACCAAATCGCACGGGAGAACCGCCAAATGCTTGATTGTAGCCGGTTCTGAACCGCACGCCATTATTTCCTTGATGCCGTCCCAGATATCGGATTTCGCCCTCTGTGCTAGGGCTATGCCTCGCCGCGAATCCGAGGGGAAAACCACGAGCGCAAGGGTGATGTGTACCCACGCGTCGGCTAGGACCGGAGGTGCCTCGATACGCGCGCGATCAGATTCTTGGATGTTGGCGAAGGTTTCGCCAAAGGAGAGAACATCGCTCCGTATGTCGTCCAAGGCCGATGTCAGCATGTCCAGTTCCGTCGCCCACCGCCGTCGGTTGACTCCGAAAACCTGTTTTCCCGAAGGTCGCGATCCGGATTGGGCTGGGCCAAAGTCAGGGGGTCCGGTAGGTGGTTGCTAAGTGGTGGTGACGGACAAGTCCTGGGTTAGCTGGGTTTAGCCCCGGGCAACAAACAGACAGGCTCTGGGAACGCACATTGACAAGGGCTAGGACAGCACCCCAATACCTGCCCGTGGTGGCGACAGAAGCATCCGGGGAGAAAAAGAACCTGAATATGGAGTCTGCCGCGTTGAAGACTTTGACGCGTTGATCAAAGTCCCGCTGGTGGTCCTCAGACGGCTCGCTGAGTTCTAGATTGCGTCGTTCGGTGTCCATCGCATCGTGAACGGCGGAACGGTCGGCTACCTCCACGAATTTGTACAGGCGCCGGTCTTTGAAGATGGTCTTTGTGAACATCTGGTTTTCCAAATCGGCGAAATACTGCTTGATGGTTTCATTCTCGAAGAAACGCGGCGGAGCTGTCGGGGAGACCGTGTTGGTAAAGCCGCCCAAGTAGGCCAACACGCCGCTGTACGAAGGCTCCGTTTTAGAAATGGACGGACGTCGCTTCTTTTGTTGAGTTTGAGTCGATTGTGGTGACCCCGGCGCGAGCAGGTTTTGACCGCCGTGGGACGAGGGGACGGGTGAACGAGATGTGTCAGGTAATGGAGCCAGGACTTCTGGCTGTGGCAGGGTTGGGCGAGGCCTGGTCGGGGTTAGTGACCTTGCGGGCAGTTGCTGCGCAACGTTGGAAGGCTTCGAGCTCACTTGACATAAACGTCCAATACTATCTTCTTCTCATTTCGAACGGCCAGCCGGTAGAGTTGAGGCCAATGACTGGGCCGGACAACCCTGAAGCGCTGAAAGAACTGCAGCTGAAGAGGCTGGTAGTGGCGAAAATGGGAGACGAACGTCTAAAATACAGCGTTCAGCGCCTCGTTGTTCCCGGTAGGTAATTGGCAATGGTTGCAGTGACTTACAAACCAGGTTTGGCACTCCTGGACGGGAATGGTCCACATGACGGTTCCTTGATACTGTATCAATAACGTCTTTTCTATCAGGGGAGCAGCAGGCTTTGGCAATGGCAAGGGCTTGATGGTTCTGGTGATTATATCTTTGCAAAGAGCCTCGCTGCTAAGGCGGCCGTAGGTCACAAGCAAAGCTATGACGGTCAGCAGAGGCGAACAACGTACCAGCTATCGTTAAAAATGTGCCGGGGCGCAGGACTTAATAACAAACACCTACAGTTGTCGATAATGAGACACCAAATCTGCGACACGTGAAGGCAGAGGCCGCGGGCAGGACCTTTCTGTTGACACACGACCTGCTGCATGTCCCGGCTGCGAGGTGTGCGAGGGTATCTCGCTTGAAGCAGCGTAGGGGCCGGGAATGAATTCGTTCGGTTGCTATCCGCGAGAAGGCCGGAGTACGGTTCTAAGCTCAAGTATGGCAAGCAGACCCACGTAACGGACCCGGAGCCAGAGTCCCTGCCTGCTAGGAACGGAGGGTCATGGCGGAGCCTTGGTTTCATCTGTCGAATATATTTCGCGTCTGATGCCTGGACGGTCGTGACGTGGTCTCGTTTGATGCCGGTCGACATGCCCCGCAGCACGACCAATTCAGGGGTAGAGAGACCTGGAATAGCCCTCACTTGTGCCTAGAGCCGAGAAGTATTTAGGTGTCATTTGAATTGCGGTATAGGTTAAAGAACAGATGAGGGTGGATGACGTAAACATACCAACAGGTCATCAATGTCCATAGACGAGCACTCTATATGGCTACCCGGTGAATATGTAAGTAGTTGATTAGACGGCGCGGGAGACGGAGTCGAAGGGAGGCTTACATCCACCGGAACATGGCCTAAGACACGGTAGCCCTCTCGCTCAATACAGCTGTAAGCTTTGCAGAATGGTGGCCATGCTCGTATCCATCGCTACTGTATTGCGACTCCAGGACATGGTAGGCGGCAGGGCTAAGGGTCTCATCGGCTGCTGAGACTTCCTCGTCCTGTGCGGCCGCGCCTGACTCGTTGTCGGAAAGGCCGTCACCACTAAGCTGCGGGCTCCCATTTTCCCTACCCGCCAGCTCGCCGAATGAGTAGAAGACGGGCTCCGGGTCGAGGTCAAAATAATAATTCACCACACCCGGGTCCTCGTCCCGAAGTCTGGTGTGTCTAGCGATTCGGGGGCCCGACTCGTCCGTGTCCGAAGCGCTATCAGCTCTCGGTTCCAGCCGAGACTGCGGAGGTTCCTCGTGCTTGCGACGCAGTTCCACGCGCTGGTGAATTGGCTCTCCCTCGCGATACGGACCCCGCTCATGAATCGCCTCCCGCTCTCGATACGGACCCACGGGGTCATATGTACCTAGGGGCCGTCTGTGGTAGACATCCCGAGCACGCATGGCTTCCCGATGACCATCTTCAAATCCAACGCCTTCGGCCGGCCTCCTCCGCCCGTCAGAGGGCGCGGCATAGCCGTATTCCCATTGCTGCGACAGGCTGGACACTGGTTTTGTTTCAACGCGGGATGACCGGTGACCCTGGGCATACCCGTGGCGAGCGAACGAATCCATTTTTCGTGAAGTACGGGTCGTGTTGGGGCCGCGTGTGGGTTCCCAGAGTTGAGCCTGTCCCGACTAGGGTACACAACGCCGGACGATGGTGTGGTCCGGGTTCTTCTAGAATGGCGGAATGATGGGCGTGAGAAAACGTCCTTCATTAGTAACAGTTGAAACTTGAGGCTTGCCGCGTCCGTCGCGAAATCAATCCTCCGGGAAATCAGTGTCTGAAGGTCGGGGTAGCACCTGCGCGACATGCGCGTATAATATATAAATTGGAAGGGGCGGCCTGCTTTTCTTTTCCTCCCATCCTAGGTACTCGATATGACCACTAGAAATGAGAACTGAGAGACTAACAACGAGGGCCGACGTTTGTCATATACATACATTGAGAGGGTGCTGCGCCTCAGCCCAGCCGCCCAATTAACTTTTTCGGGAGTGATGTTTTCAGCTGGTAGGCCCCGGCAACACCCCGGAAACGAGCCACTGCCTACATGAAATTCCTTCCTTGTGATCTTCCCGCTGAGGGAAGTGGGTAAACAAAGTAATAATCAACATAGATATACTATACTAGTACCATCATTACCCGGCTAGGAGTTACCCATGTCATAAAGATATAACTACAGGCAATATTAACAGCAAGTGTAATAATTATACGAAATATATGCGGCATGGTGCGCAAGTTGACCTAGCACGAATGTCCATACTGAACAGGGGCATATGGAAAAGGGTTAGGGTTGAACGTGGCTCGGGAACGCGTGTGAACTCTGTCATCCAGGGATGGCATCGACCCCCCCAACGCGTTCGGTCAATTCTCACAAAACACAAACATCCGCCCTGCTCCATCTAAGCAAAACGGTGTTGATGCGCTACCCATCGCTCGTGGGGCTCTTCGCTGATCCAGAATAAAGGGCCCAATCCGGATTTGGTATTGACCGCATTTATATTCCAATTGATGTCGACTGGGCTGACATGTGTGAAACAGGTGGATAACTGGATATGCTATGAACCGAAGCGACCACGTGAACTCTTGAATGAGGAGGGCATTTGCAACACCCAGCCAAGTTTATGAAACACGGAAGGAGTTGACACTGCTTGTTTGAGAGGATCACCCCGCGGTCTCTCCCTCATGGAGACGGATGAGATCAAATACCCTGTTGGGTCTAGCTTAAAGGATCTGGTATCTTATGGCATCTCAGGACTTGTTGTTCTAGACAAAGCGTCGCAGACAGTCATCAAGACGCCACTTTCTGACGACTGCGAAGACGCCTTGGCCCGGGAGCGCGATATCTATGCTCGACTCACCGAACGGGGCGGCCATCCCGGGATCCTGCGCTATCACGGGACGGTGGAGTCCGGCATCCGGCTGCAGTACGCGCCAACGGGGACATTCGCGCATTTCGCACATTCCGGGCCCCCAAACAAGGCCTAGAGATAACAACCAAACTACACCAGCGATGGACGATGCAGATTGCCGAGGCACTGGCCTTTGTTCATTCTGCCGGGGTTGTTCACGGCGACCTTACATGCCACAATGTTTTTCTTGACGGGGAGTTAAACGCAAAGCTGGCCGACTTTGCTGGCTCCTCGCTCGATGGGTCTGGACTTCTTGTTTGTGTCGCCGCGAGCCACGAATACCCTGGCCCTACCATGTCTACACAGGGTGATACTTTTGCCTTTGGGTCTGTTCTTTACGAAATCGTAACCGGCGACTCCCCGTTCAAGGGGCTGCCGGACGGCGAGATCGAAAATCGTTACAAGAAAGGCCAGTTTGCCGATACCTCGTCACTCGGGAAAATGGGAGTCATCATCCGAAACTGCTGGCTTGGGAAGTATAATGGCTTTGATCCACTTCTCCGTGACCTAAAAGGTAATCTCATGTTAATTACGCCGGGTCGGTGAACGCCCCGTTTTGTCATCTTGTAATAGTCGTGTGTTGTGTTAACTCCAAGCAGTGCAGCGCCCGCCGGTCCTTTCCCGGTGAAGCCAAAGGACCCACGACAAGATAAAGCGACTTATCTCAATGTTCGTATGATGACAAGTTGTATGTATTTCCAACTGGGGGCCTCCCTGAGCTCTCCAGAATCAGTGACTAGCTAACTAGGTAAGATACTACTTCCCGTCCCTGAGGATCGCTCCTTTCATCGTGATCCTCCTGTTGTGCTCGTGTTCCCAACAGCCATGTTCAACCCTAACTCTCTCACCCCCGGTTCATGGCGAGTCGACTTTTTGCACATACCTACCTAGGTACACAATCAATATTGAACAACTTCCAACCACTGTCTAGTAAATAGGAATCCCTCGTCCAATCAAAACTACTTTTACAGCGTTAACATGGTCCTGCTCATGATTCCGCAACACCACTTATCCGAACAGAATGGGATTTCAGAGGCCAATAATATGATTCGTCGGTGTCTCTAGATGGATAGGTAAGTTAACGAACACGGATTGTAAAAACAAACGAAGCCTCGCATCTCCAGGCGATGAAGAGGAAAAAGACTGTTATTGTTCCAGTAGCAGACATTCAACCCCAAAGCTAGCCCAGGTCAAGTGCTACCCCAGCGTCAACGTCTAATCGATGCAATTGATCCGGTCAATTCAATATAGGATCCCCCGACGCCCAGCGTCGCCGTCTATAATTTACTACATGTGCCTAAACCGTCCCGCGGTTAATGCCCCGACATCCAAACTCCTCTTGATCAATCATCCCCCCAGAATACCAATAATTACCAGACCCTAAGCCCGACGCAACACCTCCCAGCTCATGAACTCCCCGACCTCAAACCGCCGGTTGCTGTTGGGACCGAAGTTGACGGCCGTCATATGGCCGGTGCCGTTGGGCCCCTCATAGCAGCGGACGGTTGTCGGGTAAGGGGAAGGGGCGCTGAACGCTACCGAAGTCGGCACGCCCCTCACATTTTCCAGCACGTTGTAGTGGGAGAGGAAGTCTACCGACCGACCGCCCGAGTAGGCGTTCACCCGCCAGGACCGCCTGGCATCACTCCTGTGGTGTTGGGAATCAGGTTAACATCACACGAGCGAGCAGCTTCCTGGTGGTGGATGAAGCGGAAGGGTGCCTTGGGTGCCTTGGGGGGATGGCTTACTGAGAGACAGACGCGGAAGCACGAGGACGGCTAGACATTGTGTTGGTTTGGAAACGGAAAGTGGAGTGAGTTGTGGTTGGTGGATGTTGAGAAGTTGAAATGAGAGCTTGAGTGAAACCGGTTCACTAATTAAGTTGAAGTGAGGATGCTAGTTGTAACGGCGATGCTGATGATAATGAGGAGAGAACAGCCAAACGAAGGGAGCAGACAGGACCTTTTATACTTGGATATAACCCCCCAGACACATTCTAAACAGAAACCACGCTCAGGTCCCAAGCTTTCACGGTCATGATCTGACTTGTAAGATCCCACCCATCACTCATGACGGCGCCGATAAACCAGCATCGAGGCCATGGCCCAGCCTTGTTCAGCACGAGGTTACGGGCAGCGGCGAGAACTGAAACCTCATCGACTCCTGTGGGTTTCACTGGCACGGCCAACTTCGAACTGTTTTGCAAACCAAATTAGCCCAGAAAGAGGCCATGTACTCGATTTTTGTTAACATATACGGATAGTCAGGGTGAAGAGATGGCCGTGAACAAGGTCGACATGTCGTTGCTCGGCCTGACAATCAGTCCACGATTCCATCAACGCCACAGGCCAGTCCAGGGTTGGACGGTGGCACGTCGACCATTAATCCACCAACCGGAAACAAACTAAATAACTACACCGTAAAAGGAAGCACAGCACGAAATGCCAATTCGAGACTCATCTTGCGGAGAGGATCGAGGACCAGCCGCATAGTGGAAGATGAAAGTTTGTGCGTGGGCAGAGGTTTAGGGGTCCAAATTAATTATTTTAAGTTGTGTGCAAAACGCGTGTTGAAATTCGCAAATTCTAGTAATTTCCTTGTCTCCCCCATTGGGCCCATTCTTCCATTGAGATAGGTTGTGAGGTTATGCGCGCTGAGCGGGCCCGTCATCACGCCGTGACCCTATTCCCGAGCGCACTCAGGAATTATCACCTGGGTACCCATTTGGGTAATGGTCTGTTGACCGAGCCACGGCCAGCACAGCCCATTACGCGGTTTTATTATTACCTTTATTGAACGTGAAAAGATTCGGTATTTGTGGAATCATTGGTAATTATTGGTGATGAGTGGGGCTCAAGATCCTATGGATTTCCGATCCTAGACGAAACAGGACACAAGTTGCTGCGGTTTCCAAGCTGAAGTCACCCTGGCGGCCCAGGAACAAAATTAGGATTTAAGAGGGGTTATCAAAACGACCACGTTCTGTTTCATCTCTTTTACCCCAAGAATTTATCTTAATCCCCCAAACGGATGCCACTTGGCAGGGGTGCGGACAGGTGAAGCCGACTTCAGTAGGGATGAATGAGGTGGTGATGTCTTCAGGGATTCCAAGTAAGTGGAGGAAGATGACGCCGCGGCCGCTGAAATAGGCCTGTATGCTGATGGGTCACTGGTGAGAGTAAACAGGTTTGTGGGACTGGGTTATGTTTCTGGTATGAGTCTGGAATGGGAAAGAATCCTTTGTTGAGACCAATCTTCCAAATGGAGCCGTGTCTAATGACCGAGATTCAACTCCCAGGTTTTGAATGTGAGCTGCCCGACATCGCTACCAGCCTCTTCTTATGGACCGAGTTCAAAGGCAGCAAAAACAAGGTGAAATAGGTATGTACATATAACGATGATTATAGTTCGGTTACATTAATGGCTAGCAGTTCCTTCTTTAGATCAAACCCATATAATATAACGCGACCATTACGTATATTTCTGGGTATTTCTGCGCCCAGCCCATATGAACTCAACCCCACATGGGTACCCAAACGGGTTATGGGTTGTATTTGGGTCCTATCCAGAGGTAAAACCCCATCATGGGAGTTTTACCGTGGTACTATTGACAGGCCTGCAAAAGGCGGGAATGTCCGGGTCGCCTGTAAAAAGTTATAGTGCAGCCGGGGGGGAGACACGCAATTCTCCTTATAGTATTATGAGGAGGCGAGTCCCTCGTTGATTCTGGGATCGCAGTCCGGGGGACAGCCAGACCGTGATGAGGATACAAGGCGCGATGAGGCCACGCCGGCGTTGTAGAAACCGTAGGCCACACACAACATGTCTTGGTCCGTTCATCCACAGGCCTTAGTCGACAGTCTTATCAAATTGCCTGCCTCACTCGAGTTACAAATCAAAGACTAGCCAGAATTCTCTACGTACGTACTTACCATATGAGCGTGAATAAATTACGTAAGCTCCACAGTGCGGGTTTTGGGCATGATAATTCTAGATTCTGAACTGATTAAACCATAACTCGACGACCGACCGCTTGTAAACTGTCCACAAACCGCAGTTAATCACGGATAGTCAGCAACCCACACGGTCCATTTCCGCTCACAGGCCAACCCCCAAAAGAAAACAGAGTTTATCGCACACCTGACATAACCCAACCCTACCATCCCCGCAGTCCTCGAACTGCTACACTTTTCCATCTCATCCCAACTTCACTGCGCCATGCCACAGTACCAAGCGTCTCTGTCCACGCCCCACCTCACACCCGAATCCTTCGCCGAAGTTTGTGACCACTTTGATCGCCGTTACTGCCAATCTCGGCTCGGCAGCACTCTTCGTCAACGCTGGAAGCTACGCCAGCGAACAGCATTGCAGGTCTTTAGTGGTACATTTGGAGGATTCACTGTAGGGCCGGGGTATCGGTATTTGCAAATTGTCCGGTCACTAGCCGAGGATAATGCAGGGCGGGATGGTGATATGGCGGAGCTTTTGGGAGGCTTCTCGTTTGAAGAGAGGACAAGAGGGAACCAGGGTGGGGATGAAGGTGAAGGGGGGGATGATGAGATGATGAGAGCGGAGGAGGACGACCAGGAGGTATGTGAGGGAAGAAGTCTCGGCTGTTACGCGAAGGATGTTATATGGACTGACACTCCCAGGCCATCGTGACTATGCCACCTCAGGACACAGCACCCCGGCACGGACAAGTGGTATATGAAATCCACTACCACCCGACCTACTCAGCACCTTGTCTATGGTTCAATCTCCACGGACTGCCCGACGGCGAGAACCCTCTCAGCATCGACACGGTGTTTTCACGGCTGGTTCCCTCACAGTACTGGCCCGGCTTGCAGGGCGGCATTGGTGGTATCTCGATGGACGTACGTTCTCCCTCGTAGATCTTTCTGCCATCTCTGTCCATTTTCTTTCTGGTTTATATTTTTCGTCATATATGGGGCTGCTAAATACAAGTGGTTAACCGGGACTCTCCCAATCATGGTTGCTAGAACTAACACAAACCATTGTTGCAGCATCACCCCGTCACAGGCGAACCTTCATTTTTCGTCCACCCGTGCTATCTCGCCGACGCCATGGACGGGTTTCCCGACCTCACAGAACAAAACTACCTGGTCAGGTGGCTCGGCTTAGTGGGTGGTTGCGTCGGGCTGTGGGTGCCAATGCAGATGATCGTCGACTCCGAGCCCGAGGAGAAATGGTCATAGCAGTTTCTTTTTGTGGGTTTCTGTAGGGGGGTATCATTCGTCCTCGCTCTCCTCCTCCATCGCCACGTCCTCATCGCTCTCTTCCTCTTCCGCCTCTTGCTCATCTTCTCGGGCCCTCTTCACGCCGCGGTTCTCAGGCGTGCCAGCATCGGTCATGACGTGGTCAGTGCCTGTGGGTTTCGGCGGGATACCAGGCACAGCTGCTGGTGCGCCGGGTACGGGTGCATTGAAGATGCTTTGTTGGAGATCGGTCACCTCGACGCGGGCGGCAGTCGCGGCTGTGGGGACCTTGAACGAGCCATCGAGTTTGGCGATGATGTTAGACTTAGACCTGGCGTACGAAATTTTCTGATCCCAAATTAGCCAAGATGGTACCACAGATAGATGTTAATTTCTAGAATACCAGCCTACCATTTCACGCCCAAAAAACTCAAACCCGTCGAGAGACCGCATCGCCTGGGTCGCTGTTTGCACATCCTTGAACACAATGTGCGCCTGACCGCGCATTTTCATCGTCTTGAGAGCCACAACGTCCAGAACCGCGCCATACGTCGAGAAAAGTAGGTAGAGCGCTGTCCGTAAATCTTCCTTCTGGATCTTGGTAGAGGGGAGGTTCGTCACGTAAAGCGTTTGGTTTGGCGGCACCGAAGCCACCTTTGCTGGGAGCCCCGGCGGAAGGGCGCGGCTGGCGATTGTCGTCATCTTGTCGTTCGAGGATCTATATGGAGAGTGAGTCTCGCCGATTGAGGATTCGGCGTGGTGGCGTGACGAGGTGCTGGTTGGGCACCGTCAGGGTCGCGTGTCGGTTCGACTCGGGTACGTGTATGGAGGTTGAAGGTTGAAGCCAAAAATCTACGATTCCACCGCCCCATGGAACCCAGCCCCAAAGCAACCCAATTCGGGAGGAGCAGGGGGGGTTTACAGGGGTTCGAGTGTGGGTCAACCCCACCATCAGTTCCCGCCAGCAACGTCAGCTCACCCAGAAACCTGGAAGCTTCACCTTCTCCCTCGCTGGACTGTTTCTGGCTTCGACCAACTCAAAGCATTTCTCACACCCTCCCCATATCCTCTCCGCCAATTCGCCGTAGCGATAGTTGAGAGCTACTCCTATCGCGCCCGACACACCCGACACCATGGCTCCCCCCGAAGTGCACCACTTGTTCCACAACCCGATCGCGGACCACTCGTTCTCGGCCGACCGCAACACCCTCGCCATCGCGCGCGATACCACCGTCGAGCTCTACGGAAGGGCCGGCAATGCGTTCAAGCTGCAGGATGAGCTCAAAGGCCACGACAAGACGGTGACGAGTCTGGATATTGCCCCCAACTCGGGCCGCATCGTTTCGTGCTCGCAGGACCGCAACGCCCTCGTCTGGGAACCCACCCCGCAAGGATACAAACCTACCCTTGTGCTGCTGCGCATCAACCGCGCCGCCACCTTTGTGCGCTGGTCGCCCTCCGAGACCAAGTTCGCCGTCGGTTCCGGCGACCGCCTCATCGCGGTCTGCTATTTCGAGCAGGAAAACGACTGGTGGGTGTCCAAGCACTTGAAGAAGCCCATCCGTAGCACGGTCACCACGCTCGCGTGGCACCCCAACTCGGTGCTCCTAGCCGCGGGCTCAACCGACGCCCACGCCCGTGTCTTCTCCAGCTTTATCAAGGGCGTCGATGCCCGGCCGGACCCGACCGCCTGGGGCGAGCGCCTACCCTTCAACACCGTCTGCGGGGAGTACCTCAACAACTCGGCCGGGTGGGTCCACTCGGTGGCCTTCTCGCCGAGCGGTGACGCGCTGGCGTTTGCTGCGCATGACAGCAGCATCACCGTGGTCTACCCCAGCGCCCCCGAGCAGCCGCCCAAGGCGGTTATCAGCATCAACACCCAGTTGCTGCCGTTTATGAGTCTGATTTGGAACGGTGAGGCCGAGATCATTGCGGCCGGCCACGGCTGCGAGCCGTACCGGTTTAATGGTGGGATTGAAGGCTGGCAGCTCAGCGGTGCCCTTGAGGCCAAGGCCCTGGGCGGTTCTGGCGACCAGCGCGAGGAATCTGCCCTCAACATGTTCCGGCAGATGGACCTGAAGGGTAAGGTCAAGGACGATACCCAGCTGAAGACGACGCATCAGAACACGGTCACCACCATTCGGGCCTACGAAACAGCGGGCGACGCGGTTCGCAAGTTTAGCTGTAAGTGGATTTCATGCTTATCAATCTAACATATGGTTACTAACGAGAAATAGCGAGCGGTGTTGATGGGCGCGTTGTGATCTGGAACGTGTAATCTAGGTAGCTGTGTAGGTGTAAGGTTATTATAGTCCTTCACCCCGAAGAATGTTACGTTCAATTTTAGACATCACCGGCCCCGCTGCTGTGTTGCTCACGCTATTGTGGATTATTGCGGACGGGTTAGACGTCGGTCTGGCACATTCAACAAAGTAGGGGCGGGGCGCCAGGGCTGTCAAATCCGGCATTAATAAGAGCGATCTAGTTTCTATGTCTCTATGAAGCCGCTGTACCGTTTCTAAGGGGGATACCACAAATTACACCTCAAACCCCCGGGAGCAAAACCCCCATCGTCCCGATCGATCACCTAAGCAACAGCAGTCTCGACCGTCTCCGGGCCCTCTGGAAAGTGGCTCGCTGCAACATTGCACTGGCGAAACAAGCGCACCTCCTCCGGGGCAAACGCGCCCACAACCGAGTGAATCAACCCACGATTATGAAACAGGACAAAATCGCCCTCCTCCCAATCATGCGGGTAAACAAACCGCGGCGCAATACCCGGCCGCTGCAAGCGGTGCACAATCTCCCGAACCTCCGCCAGGTCATCAATGACAGTCCCATCAGCCAGATGCAACGCCCGCACCGCCGACGGATGGATCTGCAAAGCCAACCGCCCAGTAACCGGGTTACGCCAGCACACCGGCAAGATCTGGACCTTGTCGGCTTCGATAGGCGGCAGGTCCGCGAGCGGGATTTCTTTGCCCTCCGACACCATACCAAGCCCATCAGAGCGCGACTTGGCGCCGGACATCCACACGTACGGGTGCGGCGCGTACTCGACCTTCGCGGTGCGTGCAAACTCCTGGTCCGCCGGTGACAGGAGGTCGTACATGGTGTAGCCCGAGGCGAAAGCGGTGGTGCCGAGCGGCACAACCAGCTCGTCCCCGGAGCCGTCGTCGTAGCGGCACACCTGAGTGCGCCCGCTGGGCACCTTGACGGCGAGCAGCGAGGTGACGACGGGCGGGGCTAGGCCGTACAGCGCGGCGTCTATGTGCCAGCGGTAGAAGCGCGTGTAGGCTAGGTCGTCGGCTTCCGGGATGGTGGTTGCGTGGAAGGTGCGGTGGTGGGGGTGGCGGAGTTGTATGTTGTGCAGGCCTTCGTACTCGGCCACGAAGCCGTTGCCGATGACTTGGACTTGGGGCTGGTGAGGGATGGTTTTGAGGTCGGGGTGGAGGATGGAGCGCTTGGCGTCGAGGGTTTTGCCGTGGCCGTATGAGCTTGCGGTTGGGTCGAAGCGCTGAGTGAGCTCGAACTGGGCCTTGGGGGAGACGTGGCCTTGGTTTTTGAACACGAGGACTTGCTGTTCGAAGAGGGCCTGGCGGATGATCTTGAAATCGGCGTCTGCAAGCGAACAGTCAGCCAGTGTTCGGCTAGCCGCTGAACATGGGTTGCGTGTTGCTCTTACCTCAGGAGGTTACCGATTCTACGGGTATTCTCCCATGTATGTCACAGTATCCAAAACATTGGTCACCCGGCGAGGAGGCAGGTTTTGGGGCAAAATTCACGGTTCATTTCTTACCAGTCAGCTGCTCGATGTCGACATTGCTAACAACGGCGCCGAAGTTTACGCCGGATCCCTCGGCGACAGGGAAAGGCGTGACGGTTGTCTGGATCGGAGCCATTTTATCAGTTGTTTCAACTGGAGATGTGTTTTGAAGTGAGGGATGGGAAGTGGAGGACTCAAAATGGCGAGATTTTTGGAGGGAGTGAGAATTTATATCCCAAGAGAGATGCCGGAGGCTCCGGGGCTTCCGCCGGAAGCCGCCGATATTCGTCGTTCGGCCCCACATCGCTCCTCCGGTCAGATCCGCCCGGTTATCGTTATCGCGATAAGATGTTGTGTATTAGTCCTTCGTAACAATAACTCAATCAATTTTCGAGTATAGCCTGGTTACGACATTACGAGGAGAACAAAGCACGGAAACGACAAGGGACCCATCTGGAATTATCAGTGTTATCATCATTTTCCGTCTTGACGTCCAACCAACCCAGCCCCTAGCTATCGTGGACCGAGAACCGTGGTGGGGCCCACTAAAGGGATACCTTCTCTCCATCCTTGGTCCTTCACACAGCAGTAGAAGCCCCCGAACGACCCAGCCTTCAAATTGGAGCTTGAAATTAATTCCTTTGTGACTTCTTGAGTCATTACTCAAATTTATACTGCGGAACTTTACCCATCCATACAAGGCATACGAACGTGTTGGCCGATGTTTTCTTCTGCCCTGCTTTTGGCTCCCAGATACAAAATCCACATTGAAAAACTGTGTAACAGGCCGATCCGGCGTGGGAGAAGTCATGATGCCGAAGAGCACAATCAACACATTAACTAACTCGGCACCAGTTTCAACTTTAGGTTGATGGATTCCTTCCTGAAACCTGAATCTCCGCATTGCTCGGAATCCCCGACGAAAATCCATCATTTCAACCGTCTCGAGTTCTACATAGTAGTTTCTATGTTCTCTTTTTTTTCTTTTTCTTTGGCTTTTTTTCAGCCTTCCGATCATCTACCGGGGAGTTGGAACACCCGTCTTACTGCTTCTACACTACGCCGTCGGTCTTCTTTCAAGCGCCAGGGATGGCAGCGAAATCTCATTGCTCAACAGTCAAGCCTGCGCCCAGCTGCCAAGCAGCGATCGACAAAGCTTGAGCCGGCGACGAAGAACAAGCCAATTGTATCCCCTGGCTGTGTACAGGACATGTTTGCACTTGTTTGCCCAAGAAGGCGGAGCGATCCCGGCGACCCAGCCATACGGTGAGTTGATTAAGTTAACTAAACCCAGCCGCATAAGATGGCGTTGAATAATCCGTCCCGTGGATACGGTGAGGACATGAGATCACCACAAGTGCAGGTGCCCGAGCCGTCGGTCAACGACGCACGGAAGCCTTAGCCTTTGGAAGCTTGGGCACATGTCCTATTTGGGTAAGCAAGATGCTGAAGACGGGTGGTGGCAGATGTTTGGAATGGATCGGCAACAAGGCTACCTAACTCCTGAGTCCTAAATGGCCCTGAGGAGATGCGGGCCTGAGTTGTTTTAATTTCGCGTTGCCCAATGCTCGCTCGCGGACACCGAGCTGACAACACCAGAGAACATGATGGCAACATGGGGTGACACGGTAAGGCTGAGTTTAGGGATCATCAAGAAATAATCTCTTTCCCGCGTAATCAGGGAGGGAGAAAGTTGAGTTTTTGATATGAGCTTGTTACACAATCGTTTACACAACACGCGTTGTGCGGAAGCGAGGCTCTTGGGTTTTCTCGGCTGCCCCGATTTTGGGCGAACGAGGATATCTCCAGAGCGAATTTGAGCCACGATGTCATTTGACTGGTCCACGTCGTTTCCCAGGACGAGGTCTCGAACAACGGTAGCGCAAGACGGGACACGAGTTTCCCCAGGATGTCTCATAACTGATCGACACTGATCACCGGGAGCTGGGCCATAGCCACCGGGTGGGCTAGGGCAAGGAGAGGGCCTGAGGTGTGGGAAGTGAGAGAGCTCTCGCAAAGGTGACCGAGTCTCATCAGCCGCTGAGTGTGAAAGTGCGGCTCGGGAAAGTGTATAAAGGAGGGAGCCAGGTAGCCTCCAGATGTGCTCCAAAGAGTCCAGTACGCAAGCACCCTCATCTTTACACAAGACCAGAGAGGCTCCTTCCCATACCTCTCCTTCTACAAGTCCGATTCTCAAGACCACATACCCACATCAACCAACACCCACAAACGCACCTTCCTTCAAAATGAAGACCACTCTTTTTACCCTCCTCCTCGCCCCGCTGGCTATCCAAGCTGCCGAGATAGCCCGCGTGCTCCCCAACAAGCCCGCCGACCAGCTCGCCGCCGCCGGTCTGAAACCATCCGACGCCCACGCGCCCCAGGCCGAGATTGCCGAGGGTGCGACTAATGGCGGCAAGACACTTGACAGCGCCGCCATCTATTGCCCGGGCGACTATCCATACTTGTGCCCGTTCCAGGGCGGTTTCTGCTGCCAGTTCAATATCTGTTGCGAGAACCAGTGCTGCTTGCCGGGGACCAGATTCTGCTCGAACGGAGGCTGCTATGCATGAATGGGCGGGCTGGAGACGGGACCCGTTATACGGCAGATCATGGAAGGCTGGGGAGCATTGTACAAGTTGAAATCGGCCCTACTGTTATGATTCTTTGACTTCTTTTGTTTCGGGGTCGGTTCAGTGAGGCAGGCGTATTTGGCCAGGATCTGGGAAGGGAAATTTGTGCGTCTATTTGGGTTGGTAAATGTTTGGATTGGGCTGCAGTTAAGTAATTGATTTTTCAAGGGCACACCTGCCAAAAGTCGTCAGTGGAACCCAGAAGTGTCCGTCCCTGCAGCCCCCAACCTACGTAAGTAACACTGGACTGTAGTCTTGGCTCTCCCTACCGCCTGATCGAACAAAGGGCTGGCCGTAATTAGTCCTAGAAGGCAGGAACGTTCCACAGTCCTCGTCTGCACCTCTGCCACAATCAAGTCGGCAGGAGGGACACAGGACCATCCTTCCCCCTTCGTTAGAGTATAACCCCCCCCCACCCTCTAGCTTAGGATTCCACATTTATTTTTCAAATTCACAATCCAGATTCCATTCCACCACAGATTTCATCACATTAGTCGCCACATCATAACCAAAGCATTGCTTCTCAGCCTCAAAAACCAACCGCTGTTCCTGTCTAGCAAGCACTGGCGCTCCTCCATAAACCTTTTGACACGCTCAGTCTGCTCATTCAGCCAAAACTTGGATTGCTTTTTGACGCTTGTACCGTTGACTTTTGTCCTCTGAGAAAAATGAGACGCCAGTAGACTTCGTAGGCATGCTCTGGGTAGTTGAGTGCCCCTCGCGCTCTCTGACTCTAGGTATCGCAAATACGGCCAATGCTCCTGTTGTATGCCGTTTGAATAAGAAGCACAGAGTCTGGGTTGCGGGTGACGAGCCAGATTGGGGGCACCACAATCTGGACAGGAAAATGCGGCTCCAGTCCCAGTGAATGATTCCGACGAGTTTGTAGTCGTCGTCGAAGAGGACTCGAGAGTTGAGAAAGTTGCGGATGGTTATGAATGACATCAAGCCATCAACAGCCGAGCCACCCTAGGAATGAGGGATAGTGACCCAACCTTAACTAATACCCATCTGCAACAATTACTAGCAGCTGAAAAGTGGTTGAATTTCATTGCATTGTCGGCCTGTAAAAGAGTATCGGACCAATGTAGCCCCGTTATTCCTAACTAATCAATAGATTCTTTGCCCCGAGAGTTGATTATCCACGTCATCGTAAAGGCCACAGCCTGGGCTAGACAGGGGGTCAACAAAACAGGACGTTGGGGAGAAGTTCCAACAGGCTATTATTCCGAAGGATCGCTAATACGAACACATCATAGCGTGGTCGTCCCCGCGGAGCGGCCCAGAGAGTGCGGTGGGTCTTCGGGGGCCGATTCTCCCCCACACCGAATCAACGTCCATTCCTGGGGTCCCGGGGAGCCCGAAGCTACCGGCACGGTGGTTATGAGACGCCGATCACCGATGACACCCCGCGTCACGGGCCGCGTGGCTCAGTGTAAGTGATATTGAATCCGGCGAATCCTCCTCAACGGATTCAAGTATAAGTAGATGTTAATCGTTCTACTTTTCACTTTTCTTGCTCAAACTTCGAGATCCAAAGTTTAGTCATTCACATCAACTTGCCACCAAAACCGGAGTAATAGGGACAATTTCACAAATCATTAACACGAACAACCGCCATGGCAGACAACAACACCCCCGCAACCCTAGTCGAAGCTGTCGTCCACAACGAGGGCTGCGACCTGCACTACTGGCGACAGGGCCAAGGCCCGACGCTCATCATCTTCGTCCCCGGTGGGGGCGGCAATGGCGACCAGTACTTCCCTCTCATGGCCCTGCTGACCGAACACGGCGGTTTCACGACCGCAACATTCGACCGCCGACAAACCTCAGCCAGCCAACTGGTGCCTGCAGGCACCAAACAAAAGCGACTGAGCCCACCCCAGCAGGCACGCGATGTACGTGCCGTGATCCAGGTCCTGGGCTTCGAGCGGGCCGTCGTCTTTGGCAACAGCAGCGGCGCCATCTTTGCGCTTCAGTTCGCGCACGACTTCCCGGACCTGGTCGACCGGGTCATCGCGCACGAAGCACCCCTGACGGCACTCCTGCCCGATGCCTCCAAGATTACGGAGTGGTTCCTGCAACTTTATGAGCGGTACGAGACGGAGGGCATGATGCCGGCGGCTATGCAGTTCGCGTCGGAGTTGCTTGGGTATGACGACGAGGGCATGCCGCCGCCCAAGCCTCCCGTGCCGGGGAACCTGCGGAACTTTTGGGAGAACGAGTTTCTGGTGCTGCTGGGTTACGTACCCAACCTGTTTCGGATCAAAGAGAATGGGACTAGTGTTGGCGTCATGCGGGGGGAGCGGTCTCGTGATGCATTTTATGCGCGTACGACGGATGAGATGGCCAGAACCCTGGATTGTCCTCACTTTATGGTGCCGGGCCATCATCAGGGGTATGAACCCGAGGCGGACAAGTTTTTGCCCAGGTTTTTGGAGATGTTGGATGTGTTGGAGGAGAAGAAGAAGGCGGGTGGGAGGTGAACCATTTTCTCGGGCATGAAAGAGCAGGTGGGATATTCTTTGACGGGTGCCCAGCCCTAGCGTTGGAACACTTCACCTCCTATCGGGTAGATATGTCGGTGGCGCCTGTTGTATGACCAAACTACCGACATCGGTACTCATTCCACGTAGCACTAGCTCAAATGATCTCAACCATGCGTAGTGTTAGTCCCCGCACTTTTCCCGTTTGCTTGAAAACTTGCTTGAGGTTCAACGGAATGAATTCCAACGAAGGGCCATCTTTGTCAAGCACCGACATCGCTCTGGCTCGTAATATAACTTGAAATAATTCAAAGTTGAGACAATAACAACTCGGTCTGCCAGCATCAACAAGCAACCCTTGATTATTAGTCTCACCGCAATGAAGGACAACTATGACCATGAACCGGGCCCTTCCCTAGCGGTCCTCATCGTCGGCGCAGGGATTGGCGGGCTTTCTGCGGCTATCGCCCTACGCCGAAGAGGTCATTGTGTTCTCGTGCGTTTCCAAAGCTCCTTAGTGACATGGCCCCCATTCCTAACTCAGCCGGGCGGGCAATCATCGTATCAACAGTCTCACAGATTGGCAAGCAAGCAATAGCTGGTGTAGTAATGTATCTAACAACCTCCCGGGCTACAGGTTCTTGACCGCGCCGACCTCTCTTCAACCGGCATGGTGGGAGCTGCCATCCACCTCTGTCCCAATATCACCGGCATTCTACCTCATTGGGGCGTGGATATGCAGAACCTCGGCGCCAGCCACGTGTCCCGCTACCTTGCTCGTTCCTATGATGGCCGCACGATCCAGGACCTTAACTTAGCCGCGGAGCATAGCGCTCGCTGGTCGAATCCTTGGCTCATGGTCCATCGTGCTGCGCTGCATAAAGAGTTGAGAAGAGTGGCTACCGCTGAGGAAGGGGAGGGTGTACCGGTCGTGTTGGAGGGGAATCTGAATGTGGTAGGGGTTGATCCGCAAAAAGGGATGGTGATGTTGGAGGGTGGCGAGACGGTATTGGCGGATGTGATCGTGGGGGCGGATGGTATTTACGTATGTGCTCTGCAAATCTCCAGGGGTCCATGGAAAGTTGGGCTGCTAACCACGACGGCCACAGTCCAAAACCAGGGACGCCGTCAGTGCGCTCCCACTCTTCCGCAGCGGCAAAGCAGCTTTTCGGTTCATGATTCCTCGGCTCGCTGCGGTATCTGACCCCGAGACAGCACCGCTGGCAAACCCAGACGACACCTTCAGTCTGTGGCTTGCGAATGACCGGCGCGTTGTCATGTACCCATGCCACAACAACGAGTGGCTTAACTTTGTCTGTGTCCACCCAGACACCGAGTCACATACGACCCTATCTGACGGTAAGTTAAGCATTTGATCTAGTAGGTAGTAACGGAACTGTTGTAGCTGAAACGCCCGGTCAGAATGGAACAAGGAGACAACACTCGAAAACGTCATTCAAGTCTTCCATACCTTTGAGCCGCGACTGCTGGCACTCTTTCGCAAGGTTGATCCAGCCACCTTAAAAGTCTGGCAACTTCTCGACATGGACGTCCTCCCTTCGTGGACCATTGGCAAACTAGCTTTACTCGGCGATGCCGCCCATCCATGTCTTCCCTGTTGGTGCCCACGTAGATTGACACTTTGCCTTTCCCCTTTGTCTACGACCACGCAGTCTACTAATCAATATGATGTGCCTAATACAAAGCAGACCATGCTCAAGGGGGTGCTCAAGCAATTGAAGACGCGGCTGCGCTGGCTGCTGTTCTCCCGCGGGATGCCACCAAGTTAGATGAGGTGTCAGAACGCCTCAAGCTGTACGAAAGCATCCGTTTTGAACGGGCCCGCCGCATCCAGCACTACTCACGACTTGCGGGCCAAGACCGTGGAGGGAAGAAGAAGGCGGAGAAGTTTGACGGTAAGCTTTTTGTTGATTTTATGTGGGCAAATTGGGTTGTTCTGTTGGTGACTCGGCTGGTACTAATTGCTAATTCACAAACCTCAACAACAGCTCTGCAATTTAAAGAGTACAACTTCAACCACAACGAGATGGGACATGCGGCAGCGGCGTATGCAGAATGGTTAAAAGAGCGGCAAGAAAAGTGTGGCACTTCAAGCTGATTTGACATCGAAATGACTCACGATGCTAGTAGACAAATGGTTCCACGTTTGTATGTCAAAGTAGAATTGACAAAGTAATTACCAAATAAGAAAAGAAAAGCCGAGCAGGCTATCTGCTGTCTACTCTGACGCAAACTAGTTTCCCAAGCGGCCCGAGGGATACGGGACACCGTGCTAACGCTAACCACTTGCCTCCAAGAGGCTGGATTTTCCTTCTGGGCCAACAACCAACTCGAGGGCCCCAAACGACGATATGATTAAATCGAAGGCGTGAGTGAAGAACAAAAAGAAGAGGGAATAGGAAAAGGCAAAAACAAAGCAAGAGCAGTCATCTCATCTCGTCATAACCTTTGCCTGAGAACCAAACACGCCATGCCTCGCCAACACGCCCTAGCGCCAAACGAAAAAAAAAACAAGTCAACAACCGACATTACCCCAAACAACAACAAAACCCAAAGGACTGGACCGCCCTCCCCCCAAACGTATCTCAACATATCCTCTCTCTCCCATCTCTTTCACCCTCTTTCTTTTTCCCTCTCTCTCTCTCTCTTTCTGAAGTGACGTGTGCCTTCCTTTCACTTCCTTTTCTCTTCCACATCCTCCCCAATCACATTCGGTCGTCTTGGATCCACCATAGCCGCCAACCTCTCATCACCACCCCTCGCACCAATCGACACCCACACATGCTTCGCCGGGATCGGCACGCCCTTTGTCTCGCGCATGCCCGTCCAGCGCATCCGTCCCTCACGGCTCAGGTCACCGTTGCCTAGCCCGCCACAGGTGATCCACTCGCGGACAACGTCCCGAATGAACTCGATCTTGAGACGGAACTGGTTGGCGGCTGGGATACCCTGGATTTCGACGGGGATGCGAGGGCGGAGGCGGTAGCCGGGCAAGGGGACTCCGTCGGGACCGTATCGGGGGTCGGTGCCAGTCGCGGCGGTGCCGGTGAGGGGTCGGGCGAAGTTGAGGAGGGTTTGGACTGGGTAGGACAGAACGGCGCGGTCGTCGAGGGCGGATTCGGCGAGGGAGCCGGACTCTTCGAGACGGCGGGCGGCGTCCTGGGGTAGGTGCCAGAAGTGGCACCACTCGCCGGCCGCGTCGAGGACAATCTTGGTGTGGTCGGGGAAGTTGAACTGCATGTGTCCGTCGGCGAATCGCCAGCAGCCGACGTCGCCGAAGCGTTGGTAGAAGGTGACTACGTCGACAGGGGCCGCCGTTGGGTCGGTGATGGTGGGTGAACGGATCGCGGCGTCCTCAGCGGCGTCTTCCGCAACGGCTTGTGGGTTAGTTGGGGTGGTTGAGGAGGACTGGGACGTTGTTGGGCTGTCCATCTCGCGGCCGTAGGCGATCATGTAGTTGGCAAACTTCTTCCAGAGCACGATGCGCTCGCGCTTGCGGTGGTCGTAGATATCACGGCCCGCCGACAGCTTCCCCAGGGTACCGTCCGGGTTGACGGGGAGTACAAAGTTCTCAGGCGAGACACGGACCCGCGTGATGCCTGACTCGCCGTTGTTTTCGTAAAAGTAAATGCCCTCCTTCATCGGCACGATCTGGTGCCGAGCGGTGTAGCTGGGGTCCTCCTTGCGCATACAATGCCGCTCGGCGTCGTGTACGAGCAGGCAAGCTGGGGGCAACACGCCGGGTGTCGGGCTGTCGGGAGACGGGATACTGCGGAGAACGCACCCGACACTGCCGTCGTTGAGGACGTAGCCTAGACCGAATTTGTTGGTGTAGTCCACCCACTTGACCACAATGTGCGGTAGAGGCCGCGCCTTGTCGCGTGAGGAGATTCCGACCGTGGTGCGGGCTTTCAATGCCCGGTTAAGCTCGCTTAACATGCCCTCGAGTCCCCGCGACACCACTGTGGGCTCGGTCCCGGGGACGGTTTCTTGATACTCGGATGGGCTGAAGAGAGAGAGCCTTTCTTCTTGGCGCTTTCCCCTTGCCGAACCTGAACGGCGCACTGAGGAAACCTGCTCGTCCGATGCCGCGGCCGGCGGGTTTCTAAGGGAAGCAGCCTGGCTCCGAAGGCTGCGGGTGGATGCCCGTGTGACAGGGGCCGGTTCTTCCGAAGGTTGCTGGTCCGCGAGCGCGGGGCTCTCTTCCGCTGCTCGGGGCCGCAGAGCGACCGTTTTCAGGGCTAGCTCTGTGACCAGTTTCGTTCGTGTGGTTCCGGCCGTAGAAGAGGGTTTATGTTGGGCCCGTTGTTGGGCCGCAAAGCTCTGAGGCGGCGCTCGCAACAGCCCGGATGACACTCGCTGAGGCTCCGCAGCTTCCCTGCCGTTTTTGGACTCGTGCGCCGTTTCTGACGGCTGCGATGCCTTTTTCACCGGATCCTGAGCAGACAACCGCGCCTGCAGCTTTTGCTCGTTCTTGATCTCGTCAAAGGGCCGGTAGACAATCCCTTCGGCTAATGGAATAACTGGGGTCAAGCCGTTTTGCTCCTCCTCAGCCATCTCCCTCCAAATGTTCCTGAACACCAGTTGTGACTTGTTCCACAACCCAACACCGCACTCGTGCGCCAACTCCTGGACGTTCCGAAGGTTGGCGGGTTCCGTCTGGGGCGTTAAGGGCTCGTAGAACGCCGGCTTCTCAGGCGCTCCTTCTCGCAACTTGACATTGATGTCGGAACCGACGGGCATATAACCGGATGTGAAGAATGGGTGGGAAACAATCGTATCAGGATCGGGGCGCATATCGGCGTCTTGAAGCATAGTCGCAACGAGATCTTTGGCCTCCTGGCTGATGGTCTTCGACTCGGACGACGGCCATTCGTAGTCTCGGTCTTTGGCCCGACGATATATCTCGTCGGTCGTCGCAGATTGGAAGGGTGGTTTTGATGTAAGCATGGCAAACCTAGCCATCTGTTAGCACAATACCCTCCCGTACCGCCCGCTGTGAACAAAAAGAACTAGACCTACACAATGATACCCAGGCTCCAGATGTCCACCATGTGGTCGTGACCTTTCCTCCCCTTTTCCAGAATCTCAGGAGCAATGTAGTTGGGCGTTCCGCACAGTGTCGTCCGCCGCATGACCTGCATGTCCTTGCCGTTGAGAAGCAAAGCTGCCAGCCCAAAGTCACCAATTTTGGCGTTCATGTGCTTGTCCAGGAAGATGTTGCCCATCTTGAGATCGCGGTGGATGATGCCCTTGGCGTGCATGTACTTGATGGCGCCCGCGATCTGAACGGTGTAGAATCGGACTTCGGGCTCGGTAAGACCCTTACGGCGCTTGACCATGTCCATGAGAGAGCCATTGGGGCAAAGTTCCAAGACGAGATAGGTGCAGTTCTCGAAAGTGAAAGCTCGGTGGAACTGAACGATGTTTTGATGGCGCATCTTGGAGTGGATTTGCAACTCAGTTTGGAACTGCAGAAAGGAGTTAGTCGGTTTGTATGTTTGACCAGTTCAGCAACTCACCATGGCCTACCTTTTGCTCCATCTTCGTCGGCATCTTGCTCTTGACAATCTTCAAGGCGATGCGCTTTGATGCCCCGGCTGCTCTGCCCTCATAGCAAATCGCAAACCCACCCTTGCCGAGCAACTTGCCAACTTGGTACACCGTGCCATCTTTGCGGTCGGAGCTCGGTGGTTCGACAACATTGTTCGGAGGCGGGGGCGGGTGCTCCTTGTCCCTCGAGGACTTCAACTGAGCGGCGGCTTTGGTCTTGAGTTCGTGTGCTCGAGGGGCCCGCTGGGCGTTCGCATCCCTAGGGGATAACGCCTCCATGTCGAAATCCTCCGCACTTCCAGGCCGTACAAACAAACCCGGGCAAATCGCGGTGAACTGGGTGCCAATAATTGTGTCGAGTACTCGAGGTCTTTATTGTCGACTGTGTTTGAGGGATTGGTTAGTGGTATTCCGACGGCCGGATAACGTGAGGGTGAGGCGCGGCGAGGTCATCAAAAGTCTAGGATCCGGGACCTCGAACTTCTGAAAAGGGAAAGAAACACAACAAAACGGATAGGCACGCACAAGGGCCTAAAGAGAGCGGAGCGACTTACAATTCAGTGATGTTTCATACAGCACAACACATGCAATCCAAAATGTGATGCAGTGCAGGAAACCACACTCTTGACACCTAGGAGTGGCTGAAGAGGCGATGAGGAGAAGTGAGGAAAAAATGCTGGTTGAGTGTGTCGTGTCGTGCGTGTGAATGTGCTGCACCAAAGAACTGCTGCGTTTCCGCCCAGGAGTGGGGAATTACAGCAGCTGTCCAGCGCACACGCTGGGTCACCACGGTAACCGGAGCTGCAGAAATCCAGGCCCGAAATAAACTTCCTGGACCCGCCAGGAACTGGGCCACGCCGCAACACCATTGGCCCCTCATTGGCGACGCGGCTCCCCGCCAAAGCCGAGATGATCCCTTCTGCCGCCTTGAATTCGGGCTCCCGAGTCCATTAGGCTCGAATAACCTCCACTTGTCGTCCCCCGACCGTTTGAAGGCCGAAACACAACTCTACCGCGTCCCGGCCTTGAACAACCGATCGCCAACGAAAGCTCGAAACATCAGACAAAAGCGTCGCAACCCAGGAAACCGGACCCCGGCAGACCCCTAGTGGACCCTCAACACCATGGTTCCACTGCCATTATTCAAACTTGCCTCGCTGCTCGTGCGACACGTCTCCAAATATGGCGCGGTTAGCATGCTCCTCTTTCAAGGAATAAGACATTTCCAGTACTAACCGCGCTCGGCTGCTACTACAGAACCACATCAAACACCAAGCACACGAACACCCACGATTCCGGGCGTTTGCCGCCCGTTACGGGCAACTGATGCACCAGATCAACATGCGGATGTCAGTCGCCGTATTACGAAACACGGATGCGGAGCAACGAGCAAAAGAGAAAGCAGAAGTGCCAACGGTGAAAACGGAGGAACAAGTGAAGAAGGAGGAGGAGCTCAAAGCCAAATACGGGACGACGGCCAAGGACGTAATAAAGAAAGTACCAGTCAGCGTATGGAAGCGCAAGTTCCGGCCACTGCCGGAGGACAAGGCGGTCGACCTCTTCGCCGACGTGATCGGCGACGCTTTCATCCTGGCCGTTGCGGGTGGGCTAATCACGTACGAGTACTGGAGATCATCACAGAAGCCGGATAAGAACAAAGAGATGATCGAGGACCTGCAGAAGAGAATAGACGATCTGAGGATAAGAGAAGAAGAGTTGGAAACCAAGGAGCGCGCGCAACAGGAGAGGCTGCAGTTGATTGAGGAAGCATTGAGGGCATTCAAGGATCCCAAAACAAAGCAGCCCCTTTTAGCGACGCCCACCGCGGTAGCCTAATCCTTTGGCTGCCGTTATGACCTCGGAATATCGATTTCAACACCTAGACGAGGTGCTCATCGCTGGTTCTGGATGGCTCCACGGAACCGTCGGGGAGATGCTTGTCCGCACGACGATAGAACGTTCCAACCCCCTTTATTTGTGGGGCCAGAGGTACAACATACGGGTTTATGTCGGTCAACTTTCAAGGGCTAGAGATATGAGTTTATGAGGAAGGCGCAAAGGACATTTGATTTCAGCGCACAAACCCATCTCCCAACAAATTTAACAAATCTGGATAGAAACGATACCCATGAGAATACAAATAGATCACATCTCACATTCGATTTTCGAAAGAAAATACCATGGACTCCTCGAGTGGTGAACCTGCAGTGAATTTTATCTGCACAAGTCTGAGGCAACGCCCCATGTGGGCAGCAACCGCAGTTGAGCTGATCCAGTTTGGTAGAGGACGGTGGAAAGGTACAAAACCAAGAAGCATACAAAACGAGACCCAGAAAAAGAAACAAGAGAAAGATAAAAAAAAACGGGCAATGAAATTGTGGAACAATAAACACCATAGTAGCTAACCAACAAGACTACAGAAACGACTCTCGGGACTCATGATGTCGCTCTAAGTATCCCGAACGCTCAAACCGGTGCCGTTGATCCCTACTATTTCCTACTTCTCTCCCCGGAAGACCTCCTCAAACCGCCCACAATTCCCCGAATCCAACACCTCCACCGCCTCACCAGCGGTCGCCATGCGGGCCTTGTCTTCTCCCTCCGACCCCAAGGGCCCGGAGATACCGTCCAGCCTGCCATGCAGCCGTTCATGGAACTGCACATCGAGTAAGGGACCTACCTATCCAACACAATTATAACATCCACACTAATCACACCTCCTACAAAAAAGGCTCCTAACCAACAACTGCCTCCTCCCCATCATCCCTGTCCCACCGTTTGCCCCTGATCCAGACTCGGGAAGCACAAACGCGGCCACCGTCACGGCCGCTCAACTAGACGCCGCCCTCCAGACCTTCCGAACATCACTCAGCGCTTCGCGTGCCGCCGCTGCCGCTGTAGACGGAGTAAACGCCAAGCATGACCTGCTTCCCCAGGCCACTACCCTGGCTATTGCGAACGGGTCTGCCAATTCCAGAGCCGGTCGAGCAAATATGTGGGTAAAAGGTCAAGCTAACAACAGCAAGCCGGTTGGGATGTCCCCGCAAGCCGTGGAGGCGGTGAGTAACCGGTGGATGAGTATGAGAGAGATGGTGTGGGAGATGTCGATGCAGAATGGGCGGATGGTAGTGAGCGAGGCTGTGGGAGCGAGGGAGGGGGGGGGGTTGGTGGGATTCTGGGACTACGAGTTTGCTACCAGCTAAGGGTATCTTTGCAGAGGGTAAAACCGTGTTGCTAAAAGGTTACGACCAAGTGACTAGGCTCACCCATTGCACGTTTGAGCTTGGTTTTTGGTGGTTGTTGATCCGAAAAATAATTAGTCAGTTTCGAAGCCACAAGGCTGGAGGGAAGGGGTGAGAACGAGCTCTGTGCTACCCAGAAGGCCAACGGCGCGGTTGTGGTTCGGCCTGGCGGTTAAATCCCCGTTCGGCCTCGTTGCCGGCCTCAACGCACGTCTCTCCTTCTCCAGTCATGCATCTTACAATCTCCCAGATCTGAGACGCTGTGTGACAGAAGCCGCACTGACACACGTGTTCTTCTCACCACAGAGGTTTGACGCGCCAGTTTGGCCGCGGCAATCACCAACGAAGAGCCTCGCTTACGCACACATGGCACATGGCGATTTCGTTAGTGCTTCTGGGCGGTCGTGATTTGGCCGCATATGTGGACCGGCGCTGAATTGTTCATGCTAGGGGGCCCAATGACACGCCCAATACTGCTAAATTTAACTGCAGAGGACCATGGTTCGCGAAGCATTATTTCCTCTTCTCCCTTTTCCCGATCTTGGTGGATGATCGACGTGGTTGGATCGAGCGTTGGGAAAATGACAAACTGCGTTAGCTCTTTGTGGATGGAAGAAGACATTATTATTCTGAACCCTTGTGATCCGGTGAAGAGTTGTTTGTTCCAATGCTGCCGAGTACAACATGCGCAGCCACAGCTGAGCCAGACTTGACCACGGGTAACGTTAGTGTACATGTGGCCCATATACTACATGTGCACGGGCCTAGAAGCGCAAGAGCCACACCGCGGCGCACCTCGCGACCGCGAGGACAAGCAGGCTGTGATCCAGAGATAACTCGTAAACAATCGTCAGATCTGAACTCCAGCCCAACCTTGTCAACATCCCTCTGACACATCCCTTTGTCAGTCCCATCCATCGTATACAAAGTGCATCAATTCTGTTAACATTTCACTACCATATTAACATCATCCGTTCTGATGGCTTTACGACAGCCGGATTTCGCGCGAGCTTCTGCAAGTTTGACGGATGCCGCCCAAGAGCTAGCGCTCTGCGCCAACCTGCCCGTTGTGATACACGGGCAGAACATCATCAACGCCATCAATGCCCTTCGTGTTCAGATGCAGCAACAGATGCAGCAGAACCACGAAGAGATGCAGCAGAACCACCAACAGGTGCAACAGCAGATACAGCAAATGCAGCAACAGATGCAACAGCAGACGCAGCAAATTAGAGGGCTAACTACAGAAATTAAAGCGAGGTGAGTAAGACAGGTTAGAACTGGTCTATAAAATCTAAGCACAAACCTAATTAACATCTACATTTTCACAGGGACGCAAACAACCATGCACGACTTACGAACAACGTACTCGTAAAGAAGGCGGACTAGCCCCTTGAGTCTCTCCGCTCAATTATAATTGGAAACCCGATTCCTGGGTTTCCCGAAACCCTGAATGATCTTAGGACGTTAACTCGTAAGCATAAGTATCCCTGCTAGAACGGTTCCCATACCTAGATCTAACATATGGCCTATTAGCTATTCAAGCAAATGAGATCCTGCAGCACCTGGGCGAAAATATGGGACAAGATGAACTCACGCTTAAAAGAGAGCGAATCAAAGCTTTGTGTGGCCTTGTTACATTTTAGAGTTTTATGGTTGGTGCCGGTCTCCATTACGGGACCAGCGCCATGGGGAAGGACTTGGGTTTCGCGATTATGGGCTGCAATTGAGACAGCAATATGCAGGCATTCCAGGTTGCGCCGAAAGGCCAGACCTGGGCTCGCTGTGGCCAAAAAAAGCGGCAGTGCTACGGACTAGTCTGAGCGCACTACGCCGTGGACTCTCTTGACGATGTTGTCGTCGAGAGATGCGAGGGCATGAAGCACAAGGGTGACCTGAACGACGACCAGTAGGCAATGGTAGTTAAGTAGTATTTAGATGCCCTCCCCCACCCTAGAGTGGTAGGGGAGGGCCAGACTATAACTACCAGAGGGAGGTCTCGATGCCTTGGCTATATTCGTACCTTGAGTACAATCCATTAACAGCCGATGATTGATATACTGTTTTTCTTCTTTTTTCACTTTTTGATGTATTATTCTTTCCTCTTTTTTCTCTTTTTTGATGTACTATTTTTTTCTCTTCTTTCGCTTTCTTAGTTTATTCTTTTTGGTTTTTTTTTTCACTTTTGTGGAAAAGTAAGTTATCCAGGGTCTTGGTCTGCCGCTTTTTTTTAGCCACAGCGAGTCACCATCGGAGAAGGCGAAAATCAAAAATAAACTTATCTTTTTCTTCAACTCCCAGCGTCAAGAATAGAATGAGAACGGATGCAAGAGGCGTTTCGCGAAAGCGAATGTGGTGAGCTTGGTACAAAAATAGCTGTGATCCGCTCCGCTGCATCAATCAGCCCATCGTGGTCAGGTGCAAGAAAATGGAGGGATTGCCAAGAGACAGTGCGAAAAGCCCCGCCGACCGCTTTTGCTGGCGAGGTCACTCTTGGGTCTGATTGGACCAGAAATAACGAGCCAAAGCGAATCCACCAATGGCGGACGGAGACCAGCCGCGGGAAAAGGCGGGGCTCGCTAGTGTTCTTTCTTCGATCGAAGATTGCGACTTTCAGCAAGGAAAACCGTTCGATGTGCATATGCAGGCTTGACGGAGGCTGGGAACGGGCCGGCGGACACCAGTGCCATGGGAAAGGACTTGGGTTTCGCGATCATGAGCTGCAATTGAGACAGCAATATGCATTCATTCCGGATTGCGCCGAAAAGATAAACCTAGGGAAGACGGACACGGTGATGTGAAGATTCAATTTCTTCTCATGGTTGATCAAGTTCTTATCAGCATGCTGATTGCTGCTGGTTGTTGATGTTCTCCCGCTCAACAAGTCCGTCTCAGCGAGCATCAAACCCTTGGCGTCTGGGGCTGACAACAAGCTCGAGGGGTTCAGCCCCAGGCCTTCCTCACGTGCGTGCGCTGGACAGTCCGCTGTTTACCAGGAGATTATCACGTGTGGTAGACGGAAGGTCAAGGAATAAAATTAGCGAGGTGGGCATGAACAACTCCGCGTCTGCGCCGTCAGAGACAAGCGCGGCCAACTTCGTCAACATGTCGATAGCTTGATGTGAGTAGAATTAAGCAGCGGGTTGCCCTGGCGCGACCCGCGACAGACCCGCCGCTCAAGCGGGCCAGCGGGAGCACGGCAGCGTGCGTGAGCGAGCATCCCTACCCTGCTCGAGAAGGCGGCGTTGCCAAGACCTGTGGACCGTCCCGGCCTCCTCAAACGGCTTCTGCTTCAGCAAGCCGCCGGATGAGCGGGATCGGGTCTCAGAATTCTCCCTGTGGCTTGTTCGATGCTCCAGGCGCTGGAAAAGTGCCAAAGTGGAAAACGAAAGGCAATAGAGTTGTGGCTCCTCGTCGAGACAAGTAAAAATTGGCCGCGTCCCGCTAACGGGGTTTGCTCCCGCCTCGCATCGATCTATTGCTTGCAGACGGCAGCAAACAGAGCCGAGAGGGGTTATTATTGAGTGCCATTTCCCCCATGGAACTGTGTGCGGCGTGCAGGTACGACGCAACTCTCCCGCCTGGGAGCAAGAGGATTTCCTGTACGATTTGGCAGGAGCAGCCTTGGGAAACAAACCGCATTGTCACTTGCGGCCGACGAAGCGCAGGGCGTTGACAGGTGAGAACATGCTCAACAAGGGTCCGTCGTAAGTGGGGAGTGATGCAAGGGACCCCAGCTCCAGACGCAGAGACAGCGGCAGACCGGGATCTGATTGGCTGACCCTGCACTGTTGCCGCCCTCGGCACACACCAATCACGCCTTCCAGACAGTGTCTCTGTTCTCCCACGCTTGCCAGAAGAAGCCCACCAAGCTCATGACTTCCTTTCCAAACTCAGCTCCAGGTCGGCACCCACGCACTCCCAAAATGAGTTCTTTTGTCGGTCTGCCAATTCTTGAGGCGATCGGCCATTTCCCCAGTTGCCCTCAAACAACGCATTGGTCAAGAGAAAAGTGGAAAAAAAGGGAAGGGGAAATAAGCAGCGGGTCACAGGCCGCCAGTTGTGGCCTTCGAGCGATCGAAGAAGAAAATCCAGGGTTACGCAACGCGCATCCGTTTAACCACCCGTACCGCTCTGGGCAGCGGCCGAGATTTGCCTTGAGTTTGAGTGAAGACCGTCCATCAGACAAGAGAACAGCAACTGGACGCTTGGGCGACAGGCACGGAGGGTCTGTCCGCCCCGCAGTTTTTGAGCATCCCGTCGCTGGTCTGTCTCTTGGGGCCGAGAGGGGCTGGGGTGAGCACCCCTGTTTCCGTCTCTTTTTTCTGCTTCGCGAGCCGCCACCCCTGCCCCCAGAGGCCCAGCAACCTCCCGTCGCTGGCGGCGCTGCTGCGAATGCGGGGGACGAGAGTGGTTCGCAGTCGCTTGCGAAGAGACGCCGAGGCGGCCCCGGCCGTGGCTGATTTCTGCTCATGACACAGATCACGCTTCCATTCGCGCGCTCTCCCTCTTCATCGACCAGCAAATCGGACGCCTCGTTCTCACCTCTGAACGAGTTACTGCGTATTCTTTTCCTTTGGGGTTGACGTCTTCGTCTGACAGGGGGGCCGCCGTCGAAAAGTTCCGGGGAGGGCTCCACTCTTGACTTACACCAAAGGAGCTCGCTTCCCGCGCAGGGTCCCCTCCGAGACAAGGCCGCTCGCTGAACTCCCACCCACTCACACACACACTTCACACTCACACACACCTCGGACGTTCTGGGCGCAACACACCCCGGCACCCTCTTAAAACTCACAGGGACCCGGATGTTTGGGCGATCAAGCATCCGTCCCCGCTCTGTCCCGACTTCACTTCCATACTCAAACGCCTCACGCTTCAACCCTCGACGCCCCAACTCTCTTCTCCTACTTCACCCCTCCCTTTAGAAACGACGAGCCTGTCTGATCTCCATCGCGCCTTAATGCGAGGCCTGCCCCAGCCTCACACCTAGCACCAAACCTGACAGCACCAAGACCTCCCCTCGCCAAACTGGAGCTTCGTCTGATTCAAGAGATTCGCCTCCTTTCCCTCAGTGTCCGGCATACCCATGGCCGCTTAGTCTTGGATCCGACGAAACCGTCAAACAGGCCCTGGAACAGAAAATCACCCCGTCAATGCTCGCCCGGATGCCTTCTGTGCTAGTAGACAGGATCACCCGAACTTGGTTCTGGCACGAACATCCCCCAGCACCAGACTTCAGACCCGAGACACAAGCACAACCCGGACTGGCCATCTGATACACGAGCTTCCGGACTCCGGCGCACGCCCTTCAGGGCGAGTGCCATACTCCGTCCCACCCCCCACTCTCTCCCCTTACAACGGCCGAGACGGGGGACCCAATATCAACTCAACACCGCCCTGCTAGCCGTGGGCGATCCAATCCACCGGGAATCCCTCTGCCTCTCAATTCTTTCCTTCGTCGTCGCCGCTGGTCGATAACCCTCTTTCATATCGACCATCTTCTTTTCTTCCATTGGATACTGGCACCTCTTGATCGCCAATCCACTCGCAGGTCCGGAACCTCGCCTTCTTTCTCTCTCTTCGACATTTTACGTTGTATTATTATTCTACTTCCATTTTTTTCACCCGTTATTCCTTTCCGACGCACCGCATCTTTTTCCTCTCCCCGGCGCCCTAGAATTCTCCAGGACCATTAATCGAGTGACGGGAGCGGTATCTTGAGACAGCGTGCTTTAGACACGGCAAGAGACAGGAACTCTAAAGGAAAGGACTCGGAGTCATTATTGGGAAAGGAATCGACGTTCTAGCCGGGATCATGGGAAGGCTTATCAAGAACCACTTGGCGAGGCTCATTGTGCTTGCCGCGGGACTTTGTAAGTGTCATCACGCCTCATGAGGTCATGAAGAGAAGATTGGGACAGTGAAGTACCTACGAGAGGAGGTATGCTAATACATACCTTCAGACCAAGTCGCTGCTGCGTTCGAAGGGTTCTTCTGGCCCAAGATCTTTTGGGATTTCGCCACAAAGACGCTCGATCCAGCCGTCAAACCAATACCAGTCCTCCAGACGATCAATCTAGTCTTCGGCCTCATCCTACTCGCCTGGGAATGGCCGCTAAGCTTCCTAGCCGGCTCCAGCCTCCATCGCAGCCTCGAGGCACGCCTCGCCTTCCTACCGCTGACCGCCCTTGCTGCTGCGCTACTGTACCAGGGCACCAACGCCGCCATCTACCAAATGATTGGGTTGGGTGTCTACTTTTGGGCTTACAGTGAAGGAGAGGTGAGCTTGCACTATTCAAAGCCTCGAATTTTCTTAGGGGCCATTACTTATTGTGAGAAACAGATGATCTGCGCGAAGCCATGGACTCTACCACAAAGGACAACGTCGGGGCCGCGCGTATAAAACAACGGCCGCGAACCACATGTCGATACACACACAACTGACATGTAAATATTCATTGCCGCCCGCATCTCTCCTACCTCGCCGCCTCCCACGACCTCGCGATTCCTCATACACGACTTCGACTATCCGGTCTACGTACGCCTCAACCGAGCCAGCTGCAAAGACAACCCACGGTACGCCAACGGTTCGGATGACGACGACGACGGAGCCGGGCCTGTCATGCCACCCCAGAGTGAAGGATGTGCCTTGAGTGGGAGGAAGCTGGAAAAGATGCCGTACATGAGGCGCCCACAAAACCGAAAATACGGACCCCACGTTCTGCTCATAGCGATGGAAAAGAACGTTTCTTTTTTGGTCATCTTGTTTTTCTACTTTTTTCTTGTCTCATTTTCTCTTGATGTTTATACCAGCATTTTCTTCTTGTTTACTTTTCTATTATTTTTTTCGTTGTTTCTTCAGCATGATGGAACGCCTTACCCGTAGAGTAGGCTTGGGACCGACCCGCCAGACGGAAAGGGCAGCTAACGCATGGGAAAACAAAGGCGGATTCGAAGCCCCGATGGACCGATGGACCGATGACCCGTGATGAGAGACGAAGCTGGGAGGGGAGATGTATATGTTCGCTAGGAGTGGGAGAAGGGAATTTTGCTAGGACGTGGGAAATGGTTCCATCGCGGATCTGACCATTGACCTGGCTACGAGCAAGGAAGAAAGAGACTGTCTTGCGACGGCACAGTCCGCTCGGCAAGCAGATGAAGCAGAAGCAGTGGGAGTGCTTGTTGCACATAATACAAACACAGTTAAATCACTATGAGGTCCCAATCTTGACTCCTCCCCAAGCCGTCACGCCTACCCCGGAGAAGAAAAAAAACAAAGGCACCCGCAGTGTCATACCCCATTTCTCGCTTCGCCGAAAAGAAAAAATCTCACTTATCATCTCCAGGGGCTTTTTTGGTCGAAACACCGTTCAGCGTCAGACGGTTTATGCAATCTCGAAACTCCAAAACACCCCCCTGAAACTCCACTATCGTGCAGAACGGTCCAGCCCAAACTCCCAGCCCCACAAACACCAAAGGTAGACAGACAGACAAGATCCCAGGAGCCCAGTTACTGGCATGGCTTGGCATAGCTTGCTGTTTTCACTACAATATGTGTGCGTGTATTACAAGGACTAACCTGCGTCGACGACAACATCCCAGCCGGTATGACCCTGCTGACTGAGTCGTGACAGGCAAAGCTTGCGAATAGGGCGGGCGGGCATGTACATACAGTACCGATGTCTGGACAATAAAAAAAAATACAAAATAATAACATAAATGGTTAAGCAAAAGATCAAAACAACCCCCTATCTCGGGAAGATAAAAACGCCCAATACTTTTCCAGAATGCTTCGACGCAAAGGTGAATCGAATGGATGGATGATACAACGTCGGAGATGTTAACCGAGATCCAAAATTAACCTACCCTTCCATAGTATTCAGAGCCTCCCCTCGCGGCAAATGATACCAGCACTTTGTTAGGCCTAAAAGCTAATGTAGTAGAACCACACATTATCCAATCTCACGTGGTATTTTTATTTTTATTTCCTGTCCGGCAAGCGCTGTATGGTGGATGGATGGATGGATGGATGCCTGAAGAGTGGGTGATGGATGGGTGGGTGGGTGGTACTGGTAGCGGTAAGCGCCGGCCACCCGGGTCTCGAGTTACAAGGACAGCGGACTCTTCCTTGTTTAGGTAGCATGTGTGAAAAGGAAACTTGATAACCAAGCGGCGAACGGTAAAAAGGGGGAGTTTATGTGATTTGTTATAAGCCGCGGCGGGTGGGGGCTATATGTCTTTCTTGGGAGAAGGTGGTTAAACAATTGGTAACTAACGTGGTGACAAGTCGATCAGTAAGGTGGGTGAATTAGAGACGGAAAACGATGCAGAGACCTTGTGTGTTTCTTTCGCCATGTTCGGTTTGTTCATTTGCAACCCCTTCCCCTTCCCCTTCCCCTTCCTCCTCCTCACTCCTACTCTTCACTCCGTCATGGTGGGATCAAAATGTTCCCTCTTGATTACCGTCATTCCCATACCTATATAACTGGCCATCTCCCCAAGACACTAGGCTGTCTGCCCGTGATCACTGGACAACGTATGCCTAGGTAGCTGCCCCTTAACATCTATCACCCTCCGGTCCTCGCCATCCTCTTATCGGAGTGCCGAAGTTGTCGTCAATCGTCCCTCTCCTAGTCCGAGACAAAAGAGACACGCAGCCAAAAAGTACACAAGCTCCGGGCGTCTGCAATAGGCCGGCGATATGTGGCGTAAACCAAAGGCAAACATCAGGTGTTACATAACACATGGCTCACCCAAGAAACAGTTTCCACCGCTGCGGCTAGCTGAGCCAGCCGAAACGCAAAAGCATTTTCCCACGCGCACAGGTAAAAGTGAAGATTTGGGGAAACGAGCCGGTTGGTCACTCATGTCGTGTTACGGACAACCTAAAACTAGTTATAGGGTGTGCTACCACTGAACGGGCCGGGTCGAGATCGGGACCGATGAGACAGTGACGAAGGACAAGTGCCGTATTTCGACGGACTCGGTCCCTTCGTGCCCGCTAGTTCACCTCTAGCCCAAGCCCGCAACCGCCCTGTGATACTACACTTGTGTCGTGCCATAACGCCAGGACCCAGTCTCATGCCTATGCTCCGAGCCCCGAGCTGTCTCTACCAGGACAGTCCAACCCAGTCCCATCCATCATCAGTCACCCACAGCAGTGGTAGGTGATGATGCTCAAACTCCACGCTCAAGACAAAAGAGACATCCGGAATTGGTGGCCAATACTACAGGGCGCACGCGTGGGGATATTCGATCATGTGGCTAGATCTAGCGGGTGCCGTATACCCCGTTAGAATCGTTCTTGGGACCTTGGCGCTCCGGCATCTATGTATCATGTCCGTTAGCATCAGCTTACTCTTGATGAAAGAAAAAAGGGGACAAGTAAGCAAAAGCTGCACATCTCGCTTGATGGCTCCGGGATCGGGTCTGATCTACGACCACCTTCAGCGGCCGACTCGGAAGCCCCCACAATAGGCGATACGGCATGGGTGAGGCCCAGCACAAGCGCGGGCCGTTTCGTGAGCCGCTTGGCCCGGGCTCTCTCTCTTTTCATGCTGTGCCTTGGGGTCACAAGCGGCTAAGTGGCGCTACCCGAGCGCCCGAGAGATCAGCCCGGTGGCGTAGTAGTGGCCAACCACTTGAGGTCACCGCGTTGGACAAAAGCTTGGGGGCGGAAGTCATAGCTCCTGAGAATAACACGACGAAAATAGAGGGACTCGAAAAAGAAAACAAAAAGGGAAAAAAAAATTAGCATAGTGGAGAATGACATACCTGAACCTCTTGCAGCGTTCCTCCCTCCAGAATCTTCAACACGACATCGTCATCAACAGACGTACCAAACTCGTTCTCTAGTGTTGACTTGGATGCGCCATCCAGTAGGCCCGTCGTGCTCTGTCTAATGGCGAAGATCGTCAGTTTAGAATCCAAATATGTATTAAGTGGGACGTAAAACAAAAGGACAACTGTATGACGTACTTCCCGGTGGTAAACACCTTGAACGACGACACAACCTGGGCGAGGGGGATCGACTTGTCTTCGCGCCACTTCTCGTAGTCCTCGACGCTGTCAAGAAAGATCGCGAAGACCTCGTCGGCGCCCTTGTAAAAAAGCTTGGCTTGGTTGGTCTCTCCGCGAGCCATTTTGGCGGTGTTTGGAAAGGAGAAAAGTGTTGGTTTGAAGTAGGTAGGTATAGCTTGATTGGGTCACTCGATGGAAATTCGAGTGGGCGTAGAATTCGTGAGATATGTCTCTGAGTGTATTCGTAATTCGTAAATCGCAGAGAATGGTATGTTTCAGTCGTGGATGTTGCGGTGTTCACAAAGTTCAAGTGGTTCGAATTGATTGAAGTTGAAGAATACAAGAGCTAGGAACGAAGCTCCCTCTGAGTAATTTAATACTCCTCCTTCCCCGCGATCCATGAGGTGCTCCCTGCCTTCCTCAAGACGGCGGGTTGCTTGCTTGTCTACGGGACTGTTGACGTCATACTTCACAAGTGACGATGAGGTGCAACCCAGAGCGGCTCCGCCCGCTGGAGATTGTCGGCGGGGCACTGGATGAATGGCCCACTTGCCCACCGACATTGAACCGGGCTGGTGCCGGTGGAAGCGAGAAACTTGCCCTTTTGGCATCGCCATAACATATTATACTACACGTAAAAAAGACACTGTTAATAGCAGCGTATGCTTATTCCGCCCTTCTAAATGGATTTCATTCCCATGAGTCCTAATTTATCTATTCTTCTCGTGTAACCGCTCACGTGCCCACATCTCGGATGCCCAATCCACTTGCCTATCCCAGCAGCACCAATATCTCCGTACAGAACCTGGAACCCATGCAACATTGCCTAAACCAGTTTATCCACCCAGTGCCGCTGAGCCACCTCACCCCAACTTCACGGCGACTTCCCCGGTATCATTTGACGTCACCCGCCTTTCATACCAACACGGACAAACAAGCCTCCAAGCCAAACCTCTGTGACCTCCGCAACCAACCGCTTGGCAAGGGAATCCAATGGAAACGGGCAAGGGGCACATGGGGGCAGCTTGCTCGCAACTGTCCGTTAACAGCAGCGCCTCCTGGCTACCTACAATGTGTGGTTGCATCAGATAACTACAGGTCATTCGAGATACAATAATCCTCAATCGTAGAGGGCTTGTCGATGAGAAACGGTCTAACCGGGGGAGGGGGGGGAAGGGGGATAATAAAAAAATACACCTAAACAAAATCGTGCCATCGCCCATACAAAGTACAAGAGACGGAAACGCACAAGTCAACGTGACCATTCTCAAGCCCCTAACACATACCTCACCACAGTTTGACCAAGCATCTGAAGTCATTACCAGTTCTCTTTGGTTTGTGAATGAATCAACTTCTAATCATATTACATGTAGCATTATTGTACTCTCCAACCCGAAAGCCATCTAACCATCCCTCCCACCAGCCCATCCATTTTTGTAGTGAATCGAATCTTGTATCCTGTACCCCCCCCCCCCATTTTTATCATCATAAAGTGTAACAATTCACCCCCAACCACAAACGAACAAAAAAAAAGAGTAAACGAGTGAACTCCTTGCAAGTACTTTTCACACCACCAGAACCCCCCCTTAACCCAACCACACCAAACCAGATCTCCATATCCATCCTCATTCCCATGCCTATCAACACCCCCCACTACTCACACTAGCACCAACAGGCCGGAACAAACTCCGAAATCCCTCCACAACCCCATCCCTCCGCTTCCCACTCCCACCAGCCTTATCCGCCTTATCCGCCTTATCCCCCTTGTCCGATTTTTCCGACCTCTCCGATTTCCGCCGCGGCAGCCTCAGGGACCTTGACCGGACCGAAAACGGCGTGCTCGACTTGCTTGATCGGCCTTCCTTCTCCTTGTCTCGGTCCCCCGTAGACATCCGACCCGCCGCCGCCGCTTCCCCCTGGGCAATCTCAGCGCTCTCATCGACGCCGTCTGTGCCTAGTCCACTTAACCAAGACCCAAACCCAAAGCTGGCTTCGTTCGCCTCACTATCCCCATTTTCATTGTTGCCACGCCTTCTTCTCAACGAGCCCATCCCCAGGCCCAATCCTCTCCCTCGCCCCCCCTTCTCCCTCTTCGCCTTCGACCTCTTCAACATCATGGACCCGGAGCGCCCTATGTTCATGCCCATCAACTTGGCCCCCATTCCCTCTGCCTCCGGAACCGCCTCAGGAACCGCCCTCTCCATCGAGCCCCCCGACACTTCACTAACATTCGACGAGAACTGGATGCTCTGTCTTGGCGAAACTTCTTGGGACCGCTGAGCTCCCATATTTCCGCCGTCTCCCGCCCCAGTGTCTGCGACCCCATTCCCACTCCCTCCCGTTTTATACATAGTAACACCAACAAACCCTTCAGCCGACTCTCCATCAGCACACACTTCCCCGTCATACACCGCTACACTTTGTCCCCTTACACCATCTCCTGCACCTGTACCAGACTCACAAGTCTGCGACCCACGACGCCCCACGACCTCGAGTACCCCCGGATTCGCATCAGCCGTCGATCCTCGGTCTGAAGCGGTTGCAGCTGTAGTCACAGTTGTTCCGGTAGTCGTGAATGTGGGCGTAGTAGGGGTAGGAGGTGTAGTAGGCGGGAAGAAAAGCGAGGATGGTGTGGTTCGATCGTGGTCACGATCGAGGATTGAAGACCGGGCGGTTGAACGCCTCCTCGCGGGAAATTCGTCTCCTAGTTCGCCGGCCGCATGAGCCGCCGCTTCGTAACCGAGGTCATATCCGTACCCAGCCCAAAACGCATCCGACTCCTCAGCTCCTCGTTTTTCTCTTTCTCCGGCGCTGCTTCCCCCATACAGAGCCCCCTGTTGGACGTAAGCCGCGGCCTGCCCGTGGCCCGGTGGCAAACTAGCCAGGCTCGTCGTCCTCCGCCCAAAACTACCGGTAATATTCACGGCGCTCAACTTGCGCATCATCGACGATGCCGACGCACGCACCAGATGTTCACTCCGTGACCGTGTCGTTATGCCGGGGAACGGCAGCACATTACGCGTCCACACATCCGACAGCAGTGCCTCAAGCCGTGCACGCTCGGCCCGTTCCGGGGCCAGCACCGGAATGCGGGCCGACGGGTTGGAGTTGCTGTTATTGTGGGAGAGAAGAGATTGTGAGCGGTTGATGGGCGAGTTAACACCGCTGTTGTTGGAATTGTGTGTATCCTTGGCCGCACTGGTGTTCTTGAGGATGACCTGGCAGAGTGGGGATTTCGGACCGATGGTGGTGGCGCGATGGACCGAGATCTTTCTGGCCATGGTTCCTGTTCTTGGTCAATCCCACAAGACGCCCCCATCAAGAGCCAAAGGGGAAAAAGGGGGAAATAAAATAATACACACCTGGCTTCCTAAACACCGTGCCCAAGGCCTTGATGTTCAACGAGAGAAAGTTGAAGTACTCAGCCCGCATCTGATCAGACGACCCATCGCTCTCGGTGTCTAGATTGTTGTTTCGGAGTCGCGCACGCCATTCCAACTCCTCCTTGGCTGAACAACCCGTTAGGATGAGCTCATACAACTGGTTGTCCGACAAGAACACAATCTTCCACGAGTGCCGCGCCGTATGACATTGAAGACCTGCCGTGCTTGTTAGCAAACCCAGGAGGCCAATCAATTACTGAAAGTAATAGGGGGGTTCGTGAATCATACCCCGACCGTTGTCCACTTCTTCCACCTTGATATTGCTCAAAGCGATACACGCTTGCAAAGTGTAGATCTGATCGATACGGCCAGCCGTAGCCAGACAAAACCAATCTCGGTAGAGCAGCGCAACCATGTACTGGCCGGTGACGCTGTCCTTGGTCTGCCAGCAGACATGCAGCGCGCCGCATAATCGAAGATGACCAAACGACCGGATTCGGTTTCTCGAAGCGGTATCGAGTTGCTGCTTTCTGTTAGCTAAGTTCGACAAACAATGAACCTAGGGCATGCTTACTCTGTCTGGGAACGCAAGCCGGTCCTGGAGGATCCAAGTCTTCTCGAGAACACACTTGGCCTGGGAATCGTTTGTCGCTCGGTTGATCTCCGCCGTGGCCTCGCGGAGCCGAATAAGCGTATTCTCAATTTCCATGTGTGAATAGGGACAATCGATCACGGGGGTATGCTTCAGGAGCTCGGAGAACAACAACGGATACTTGCACACCCGTTGGATCGGCTGTTCTTGTTAGCTCGTTCTTTTTCCTAACCACAGGTTGAGGACTGGCTGGCCTACCTTGACGAGCAGATCGCCAATCGTCAGCGCTCTCCTTGCCTGGTCGTCACAACTTTCCGCCGAAGTCAACGACGACGCTAGAACTTCCAGCCCTTTCTGGTACGAAGCCCACCCGGGCATCGTCCGATACGCCGCGGCGATGTCCTTGATCATCATCTCATACTTTGCGCCGTATTCTTCGTACACAAAGAAGCGGTTCATCTACGAGGACCCCGAATCCTAGTCAGTATAGTCCACGCCATACATAGCATACCGATTCTCACACCCCCATTAACATACCCTTTTCAGAAAGACCCTCGCCACCTCTGCGGCCGCCTGCGGTTCCGCTACCATCCCGGGGACGTCTCGCAACCACGACACCTCGTCCCGGCCTTCCGGAACAGCATCGAGACTCCTCCAACGCCGGTGCCCCTGAAGAGACGCATTCGATTGCTTCATCGACGTCGCCGGTGGGGTCGGTAGGTCGAGCTGCGTGTACTCCGAGTCCGGAACCGCGCGGTGCAGTTCCCCGAGGACCTCCTCGTGCAGCTCGATGAGGTCCGTCAGGTTGCGGTTGACCGTTGACCGCAGACCCGCGGGGGACGTGGGAAGGGAAGCGAGTATGGTGACGTAGACCTAAACGGTGTTAAACAAATTGGGGCCTTCTTGAAACACGAAGCTCCGGAGAGAGGGGAAAAAAGCCTACATTCATCAGAAACCGCACATCCCCAATATACCCCTCCTCAGTACTGATCAACTCCTCGAGAATCCTCCTCCTCTGCAACGCGCGTTCGACCACCGCAGGATCCACCGGCGCCGGTTTCTCAGGCAGGCTATAACTCCCACTATCCTCCGACATGCGCGGCCCAGACATGACAGACAAGGACGCCCTGCTACTGCGCTGCTCCTCCGCCGTGCGCGGGCCGCGCGATCCCCGCGCCGACCGGATCGTCGTCTTGCGCGAGCGGGTCAAGAGGCTGATGCCGGTCACGGACAGGCTGGCGGGCTTGACGGCCGTGACGAAGGCGAGCGAGGAGTCGGAGGACGAGTGTCGATGGTGGTGGCGATCAGACCGCCGGAAGTCCGAGCCCAGGTCTCCCGTGACCATTCCGCCCGGGACGCTGCCATCGTAGCCGAGGATTTCCTGCTGCCGCAGCACGCGCTTGTGGAGTGTTCTCATCCACTTTTGAAACGGCTTTGGGGGACGGCGGCCCGGTTGGCAGTAGAAGCGGTCTGCAGCGGCAGGTGACCCATCCTCGACACAGGCTCTAGGGGAGGTAACGTCGTCTTCGTCGTCGTCGTTGTTACCTTCCGTGGTGCCTACAAGCGTTGCCCCCGCAGGAGGGGTCGAGAAAGCCTCGAGACCGTCTCCATTCTCGTTGGCATCAAAATACAGACTTTCCTTGCGGCCCACTAAGTTTTCTTCGGTATCTGTCGAGGAAGGCGGTCTAGGTTCGACGATCACTGCGGGCATAATGTGCGGTCAAGGAAGTGGTGGGATAAAGGGAGAAAAGAAAACAAAAGATTTCCAAAATCCAGCAGCAACAAACAGCACATAACGAGCAGGGCCGGCCAGCCGTTCAAAGCATGATATAGACTGAAGGTATACCCAAAAAAGTGGTATTAGTGGCGCTGTTCTTGTTATGAGATGCAGCAAGACGGCGAGCCGGCGAAGTGGAACGGGGAATTGAGATCAAGAGGAAGGAGCAGGAAGCCGAAGGAGAAACTAGTCAAGGACCTCCTTCGACTTTGAAGCGCCACGCGAGCCAACTATGTAACAACAAAGGGCGCCAGGAAAGAACGGCTCTCTGGCCGCTCTCGAGCGCGGCTGTCTCTGCGGGAGATCCGGATTGAGACATGGCTATGAGAACGAAAACATGGGACGAATACACGGTACATGGGGCGCAAAGAAGACAGGGGGGGAGAAAGTCGAGATAGCAAGGATATGAGAATGGCGCAATGGGTGGCAGCCACGGCCCGGACTGTCTGCGTCGGTATGCGTTGGATGTGTTCTATGTAGCTTGGTGTTGTGGGTCGGTGTTGTGTCTTCGGTTGCTGTCATGGATCATGGGTGTCTTTCTCGGTACCTTAGAGACGGACAATTGCTCGATGGATGCATCTACTGCACTACCTCATGCATTGAGCACGCACATCGGGCCAGCGCACTGGCGAGACATTAAAAACCCCCGGGGCTGGCTGAACGCTGGGACTGCTGGGGTCCGATTATTGGAGCGACGTCCGGATTGCCACGATATGGCCCGGAGCTCGACCTTGGCTAGGCTTGCCAGCCACGTCGAGGACTCGATTGGATTGGCTCAAATTGAATTTTAGTTCTGGCATTTCGTTTGGGCAGCATTCTTATGTTTAGGTTCAGCTTCGGTTCGGAGACGACGCGGATGACGGAGGACGCAGACGGTATCGACAAACAAGTCGGAACGAAGTCGCACAAGACATTCCTCGCTGAGAAGCGGTTTCGTTGCACAACACTCATGCGGGGAGTCGGCTGCAAGAGGGCCGAGCTGAGAGGCAAGGATCAAAAGCGGCAAACCGGAAAAGACGAAGAAAACGAGCTCTCTTCGCTGCGCGAGTGCAATTCTTCGTCCTAGCGACCTGAGCCTGTGACAAGAGCAGGCGTCATTTGCCGTCGGCGGCTCGAGCGAAAGGGCAGGGAGGTTGAGGGTATGCTGGAATGGAGAACAGATACTGGAGGGTAAATATCAACAAACGAAAGTGTCAAAGCGGCGGTCATTGGCGAGGCAGACCCCGGGAGAAAGGGGCGAATACATATTCGTAGTTAGTTAGTGAGTAAACAATTAAAGCTGTGGAACGAGGGATGGGGATGGGGGCATTTCCAACAAGGATGTATTTAAATGTGCTGTTCCACATGGATACCATGAAGGTGGGATATTTCTAGCTTAGGTAGTGCTAACCTGGAAATTCCCGTCCAGCTCTGGACGCGGCTTCCCAGGTGAAAGGAGTCTGGGAGCCTGCCTTCCAGGTTGCCATGGAACCGCCGAACTGGAGCGCCTTCCAGGGGCCCGGCTCCATTGGGCAGCGTTTTGCCCCCCCAAACAAGCTCCTCCAGGGCTTCCAGCTCCTGTACTACCCCGCGCCGCGCATACCAGAACGGCAGAACGCGTCATTTGTGGCAGGCTAGAGCCGCGTGCAGGTGGTGTCCATCGGAACCTCGCCGCACCAACTCCCGAGACTTTCCAGATCGAATCGTCGTCCGCAACAATTGAAGTCTATGGCTGGACTTTCGATCTCCTTACAGGTGCTATGAAACCGGACGCTGTGTCTGGAGTGTATTTGCAGCGTCACGAATAAGACAAACGATGAACACACTCCACGCGCCCACCGTCCCCTCGGGGCCGACGACGGCCGCCAGAGCCACCAACGGGAACCCCGCCCAGCTTACTATCGCCGAGCTCCAGAGAAAGAAGGATAACGTTGAGGGGGAGCTCAAGGCGTTGGGTGGCGTGCTTGATTCCGTACGCGGCTTGCACTGATCCTCGTGACAATCAACTGGGCCCGTTGACTGACCTATATCCGCGTTCAGCACGGTGTCGACATGAACACAAACCTTCTCACCCCAGATGGGTTTCCCCGGGCCGACATCGATGTGGCACAAAGTACGGCAGGGCAGATCACTCTTCTCTCTCCCCTTCCCCCTGTCCCGTCCTCGTTCAGATAAGCAGCGGTTCGAGCAGAAGGCATACCAGAAGCTGACCGGGTCTTCACAGTCCGTACCACAAGAGCGCGCATCATCCACCTTCGAAACGATTGGAAGGAGCTGATGGGCATTATTGAGACACGACTCCACGAACACTTTGCGAGCCTTGATGACGATAATAACACAGCCCCGGCCCAAACCAACGGCACTGGCGCCTCCTCCGTACCGAGAGACTCCGTTCCCGAAACTCTCGACCGACCCTTTGCAAAGATAAACACGGTGGCGGACAACAGCCCGGCAGCTGCGGCCGGGCTCCAGCCGGGTGATTTAGTCCGCAACTTTGGCTATGTCAATTTCGAGAACCATGATGGCCTAAAAAAGGTCGCCGAGTGTGTGCAGGGCAATGAAGGGGTAATGCTGAGACCCAGAAATGTAAATGAAGAAGAGAATACTGACCAAGAAACAGCAAAACATTCTTGTCAAGGTGTCGAGAAGTAGTGGGGGATCTGGACCCCGGGAGCTCCGGTTAACATTGACGCCACAGCGGAATTGGGGTGGGCGAGGCACGCTTGGGTGTCATATTCTTCCTCTGTAAGGAAACTAGGCAAGGCAGTGAGTGCAAGGGCGATAAATGTGATGAACGCGCCTTGGAACTGCCCGGCGCTTCGTTGGGCTCTGGCTGCTTGGGCCAAATTTTGAGAGCTTTTAACAATGATGGTCCCCACCTGGGCCCAAATAAGCCACGGCACGCAATGCTTCAGGTTGCTTTCTTTGTGAATTATGTCGTTATTAGGCACAAAGACCGGTTAGTGCTCTGAGGCTGCTTGGCAAAGAACTTGGCTCTGGGGGGGGTTCAGCTTCGTGGGGTTGCAAGGCAAGTAATGTGCGGCCGAATCGTTAGCGGGCAGGAGGGCGACAAGCTCCCCCAGCGATGATGAGAAAAGATAACGCTAAGGCTGGTCGGGAACTTTGGAAAACGCCCAAAGTTGGCCGATTTCAAGGCGCACGAGATGGCGCCCATGTGCCCTGGCGCGAAAAAACAGTTAGGAAAATGACGAATTAAACGTGTGACGCCCCCAAACAAGGCCGGGCGGCAAAGCTGTTGGGCTCCCGCGAAAGCCTTTGTTTGGTTGCAAACATCAAAACAGCGAGAGAAAAAGCAGGCCCCCAGAATGTTCCTGCCTTGCAGGTTTGCCGCTCACCTCGTGAGTGAACCATTCGATCAGTGCTGTGCCTGGCCTTTGCCTGACGGAACGGGCCACAAAAACACGTGACCCAATCACCCCGCCGCCCAACGAGTTTTTCGTCAAGGCTGCTGTGCTTTCCAAGCGGCTGCCTTTTGAAAACAACATCGAGCTCCCTCCCTCTCTCTCTTTTTGGGTCGATCCTGCAACCCGACCACCACTTCATCCCCTGTTACATCTCGCGACAATCGAAAGGTGCGCACCCTTCACACCAGTGCGGCCCCTCCGCTCTGATCCCGGTCCTATTCGCTGAATTACAAGAACCGAACCCCTCGCCGATTTTCGCAAGCTAATTCGCAACCTCGACTCCAGACCCCAACTCCCTTTCCAGAATTTGATCAGCACAACCACATAGACAACATGGCTGCACCCGCTAGCACGGTGCCGACTTTCAAGCTTGTGCTTGTCGGTGATGGTGGTACTGGCAAGGTCAGTTTCATATTGGAATCTCTTGCGACGAGCGCATGCATCCTGCATCAGCTACCGTTGCGGGGTTCGCATGTGGGCAGGATAACCGATTTACTTGACAACATGGCTGACATCTTGTGTGTTTTTTTAACTTTACATTTAGACCACCTTCGTCAAGCGTCACTTGACTGGTGAGTTCGAGAAGAAGTACATTGCCACTCTTGGTGTCGAGGTTCACCCTCTGGGCTTTAGCACCGTAAGCCGCATCCTCCCCACCAACCCATTTCTCTCCCCAACGTCGCTGCTTGGCGATGGCTTGTTGGCGGTCCCGATATTAACCAAACCCACAGAACTATGGCCCGATCCAGTTCGATGTGTGGGACACTGCCGGCCAAGAGAAGTTCGGTGGCCTCCGCGATGGTTATTACATCAACGGCCAGTGCGGTATCATCATGTTCGATGTGACCTCCCGCATTACCTACAAGAACGTCCCCAACTGGCACCGTATGTATACTGCAGAATGATACAAACCCTACGCGTAAACGTGGGCACCCGCCGCTGACGTCAACATAGGTGACCTTGTCCGTGTCTGCGAGGGCATCCCCATCGTCCTCTGCGGCAACAAGGTTGATGTCAAGGAGCGCAAGGTCAAGGCCAAGACCATCACCTTCCACCGCAAGAAGAACCTGCAGTACTATGACATCTCGGCCAAGTCCAACTACAACTTTGAGAAGCCCTTCCTCTGGCTTGCGCGCAAGCTTGGCGGCAACCAGGGTCTAGTGCGTGTTCCCCACCCCCTTCTGCTTCCTTATCCGCCTCTCTCTTGTCCACGAGTTAAAGCTAATGACACAATCTAGGAGTTCGTTGCCGCCCCTGCACTGGCCCCCGCCGAGGTGGCTGTCGACCAGAACCTCATGGAAGAGTACGATGCGGAACTCATTAAGGCTGCCGCCGAGCCGCTGCCCGACGACGATGACAACGACCTTTGAGCGGCTCTGCGCATGTGTGCGTGCAGTCCAAGAATGGATTTGGCTTTTTCAAGGAAATGGTAATGCCCGTTATGAAGGAGAAGACGTCACTCTCCCAAGGCACAGGTGAACGGCCGAGGCAACGGCGTTTAGGACGAGTCGCCGAGGGGGAGGATAGCCGTGAACTTGGGAAAATGGAGGAATGGATGGACTCAGGGAGGCGGGCGGAAGACAGCGTGCCAACCTTGGCGGGTTTTCGTTCAACAATGGAGGGGGGAGGGCGGCAAACATCGTCTTTTTCTTTTCTTTATTTGATTTGGACCCAACTTGACCACATCACGCAAGCTAGACCTGAACATTGCCGCATAAATTGCGGCAGCTAGGTAGATCCTTTATAAGACATCAATGTCTTGCAAAAACGGCCCGTTTTTCCTTTTGTTGTTTACAATGTGACATGACGTGATGAAGCATCCAGAGAAGTTCCTATAATCTTCAGCTCCAGGAAGCTCTCCCTCAGCAAGCTCGGTCGGTTACCTACCTGCTCGACCTTACTGAGGGGAATTGGAGGGGGCGGGGCGATTTGGGCTGCCGAGCGGCCAGGCGGTGAGGCCCCGCTGTAAGTTAGTTTGGTGGGGCGCAGCTTTCATGACCTCACGCGAAATTTGCCGAGGGAGAGCTCGGGTTGGCTCATCTACGCTCCTACGTTATCAGGCGGCGAGCGATGGGGGGCGAAAGAAGCAGGCACCGCAGGCAGGCAGGGAGGCAGGAGAAACAAGGCAAAAAAAAAAAAAAAAAAAGTTTGTCAGCTGGATTGATGGATGGTGAAGAGCTCAATTACCAACTGAATGTTGGACAGGGCAAAGCCAAGCCAGGCGGGGGACTCAAACTTCTTGATTAATTAACTACAGAGCTATCCGTACCTAGGCTCGCTATGGCCAAAAAAAGCGACACACTAAAACAGATAGCTCAAGTCTACCATTAACATTTGATCAAATCTTATTGATTGATATACTCTTTTTTGTCTTCTTTCCCTTTTTTTTGGTTTATTCTTTTTGGTCTTTTTTCACTTTTATAGCAAAGGTATCCAGGGACTTGGTGTGCCGCTTTTTTGGCCACAGCGAGCTAGGATATTAACCCAAAATATTTACTGTGTAAGTGTAGTTGGGCAGTTATCTGACTCGCCGTTGTCAGTGCACTGGATGTCAGAACAGGGAACCTCAGGACGGTTGCATCCACCCGGTGGCGGTTGGCCCAGAAACGCAGCGGTCTGGCCCGGGCGAACAATCTTAACCCTAACCCTGATTCTGCCCTATCAACCCTCTGAGCCTCCGAACTAACATTAACACATTAGGACAGGGTGATAAATTTAACACAAAAAACGTGAGGATTGGAGGGAGAGGTAAAACACAGGTTTCAACGTTTAAGGCTGGTATTTGATTTCGAGATGCGGTCCTCAACCTCCAACATTTACGGATCCAGCCGGCAGGTAACAAGGCATACTCTGATGGGTCGAAAAAGAGAAAGTGATTCCGGCGTAAATGAGGTCTATGAATGGTCGAACTGTATCAAGCCGGCAGCAAATGCTTGAGTACTTTGATAAACTGAAACGAAGGCAAGTTATTCCGGGATCAAAGGGTTAAAAGAGTTACGTTCCACATCAAGTGTGTCAAGAGCTACAATTTAGAGGACTAAACCAGTTCTTGCTATGCCACACTAGTACAGTCCAACGAACAAAAGATATCCCAAAGTTGCAATCATCATCATTAGATTAATAAGAAACTTCTACCTAGCCCAGACCTCGTCAACATTAAAACAGAGAAATGAAGTCCATCCACCTTTCCACCTCACTCGTCCCTGTTCACCTTTGCCTCCCTCTCTCTCTTCTTGCCTACACCCCCGGCGTCGAGAAATCCGGGCCCTGTGGCCAATTTCCAATCTTGCCCGGATCCCCTCCAATCCGCACATACACACCCACCGCCGGCACCCCGCCATCCAGCACAAAGAACTGGTACCAACCAGGCGGCGCAATATTCGCGCTCGGAGGCGCATCCACCTTACACGCGGTGCCCGTACACGAGACCTTAGGCATGAGCGTGCGGGCGCCCATGGAATTGCCGTGCGTGCTAGATACGGCAGCGAGCAACGTGACCGAGATGGCGCCGTTGCGGGCAGCAGCGCCCAGGGTGAAGGCGATGTTGGTCTGGCCGTAGGACCAGTCCTTGTTGGTGATGGTGAAGGTCGGACGGGGTTTGCCGTTGAGGAGGTAGGGCGGAAGGAAGACCTCGACACGGTACTCCTCCGGGTTGACGCCGTCCTGGGGATCGGAGCCGGAGATGAGCACGCGGCCGTCGAGGAGGGTGATGGCTTCGGAGTGATACATGCGGGCGATGGTGGTGTTGGCTGCCACGGTGATGCGGGAGCCGAAGGGCTTGGTCGGGTCGTAGAGGAGGGCGTTGAGGTTGGGGCCGACGCCGAGACCGAAGCCGGCCACGCCGTGGAGGGCCCCGTTGGCGATCAGGTAGGTGCCGTCGGGCAGGGGGGCCATGCATGACATGACGCGGAAGGAGGGCATGCGCTCGAGCTTCCAGGTCGGGTTGGCGGCCTCGGGCTGGATGGAGATGCAGTTGTCGAGGGCGTTGCCGGGGCCATCGGTCGAGCCACCACAGATGAGCACCTCGAGCGGGTCGGTGTAAGGATACTTCTGGGGCAGCAGCACGGCGGTGCCTTCGAGCGGGTATGTGCGGCCGGCCTTGGGGTCGTTGGGGGCCCCGATAGTGTTAGGTAGCACGGTGGTGGTGGCGAAGGTGACTGGGTTAAGAATACGGGCCTCGTTCCAGTACTGCACAAAGATACCGCCGCCGGGCAGAACGCAGAGGAAGGGGTAGAGATTATTGGGATGGGTACGGTCCAGCCAGTCCATGTACAAGGGCGCAGTGCCTGTGTACGGCAGGATCTCGAGGGACGGCGTGGCCGCGTCGTTGGAACCGATCAGGCCGCCTACGACAAGCACAGAGCCGTTGGTCATGACCATAGCGCTGGGGTACCAGCGGCCGGCCTGCAGCTTCAACACATTGACGTTCTCCTGCCAGTCGTGGGTGCCGGGGGTGCCGGGCGAGCCGTCGGGCCAGTACAAGCGCGTGCCGTATGTGGCATCGCCAGCCCAGCCGCCAATGTTAAGCTGGCGGCCAGCCTTGTCAGGCAGGGTCACGCCGGCAGCGCAGAAGACGTCGGTCTTGATGTGCAGGGTGCGGAAGGTCAGGGTGGACAGGTCCAGCTCGTAGGCGCCCGTCTCGTTGCCTGGACCCGTAGCGCCCTTGGAAATGAAGGACACCTTGCCGGTGATGGCCTCCTGTGTGATCAGGGGCGTGTTGACACCATCGACCAGGAACTGGTACTTGCCCGCGCGGTAGTCGGTCGGGAAGTCCCAGTTGTACAGCGGTGTGCCGGTCCAGAAGTACGTGGTCAGCCGGGCCAGGCCGCCGCAGATGGCCGTCGCGTTGCCCGCGCACACAATGCTGCAATCGGCCTCGTCCGCAAACGTCGACCCGCGCGTTGCCATGTTGGCCGGGTCGCCGCAGTAGCACTCCTCGCCGTACTCAAGCCCTGCCGCGTGGTAGCCGAAGTCGGCGCACCGGTCTAGGCACATCTTGGGCGTCATTACGCCGGGGAAAAACACCTGCCAGTAGAAGGTGCGCTTGTCGTTGACGTTGTCCACCGCGCAGCCCTGGTACGTCCAGTCGCCAACCTTGGGGATCGGAGCCGGGGGCGCGTAGGCTTGCGGCACACCGTCCGAGACGATGCTCACGCGGTCCCCAGCACCACACTTTTGGCTCGGGGCGCCCGGGCAAGCCGAACTACAGTCCGAATCGGCTGTCTTGGCGCCGCCGTTGTAGATGGCATTCCCGCAGAAGCACTGCACCCCGTATTCGGTGCCCGAGATGATGTAGCCCGCCGCAAGACAAGCAGCCGCGCACACGGCCGGGCTGTTCGCCTGGCTGTCGGGAACCTGGTACGGTAGGATACGGCCGGCCTTGCCGTCGATCCAGCATCCCTGGTAGCTCCAGCCATCGGGGATACCCGTCACAGCAGGCACCGACGACGTCGTGGTCGGCCCGGCGTCGGTAGTCGAGCTAGGGGGCGGTGTGCCGCTCCGGGCGTACACAGACAGGCGGTCGCCGGCGCCGCAGTACTGCTCGGCATCTCCCATGCAGGTCATACTACAATCACCCGCGGGAGCAGCCTTCGAGCCGGCATTGAAGCTGTTGCCGCAGTAGCACTCCCGCGCATATTCAACGCCGAAGTACGTGTAGGCGGAGCAGTAAGTTTGACAGTCCTCAAGGGTCATGGTGTCGGACGCAAACGTCGCAGCACTCAGCGCACGCGAGCCCGTGGCCTCGGTGCGGCACCCGTACCAGTCGTAGTCGCCGATGGAAGCGGGTTGGGAGGGTCCAGATGCACCGGGGCCTCCAGTTGGCTCCCCCCTGCGTCTGTCAGCTCGTCGGTCAGGAAAATGCAAACAAGACAAGCAAACAAGCCAAGTGTATGATATGAAATGCATGAAAATAGGGGGAGAAGGTGAAGACTTACGTTGGCGCCGAAGTGGTCGAGGTCGGATCATACCGGCCCTGAAAGTTGTAGACATTAAGACGGTCAGGCCCGCCGCAGACCTCACTGCTATTGCCGTTGCAGAGCATGCTGCACCCGCTCGTCGCAGGCGCGCCGCCATTGGAAATGGTGTTGCCGCAGTCTATCATCAATTTCATCGTCAGTAAGCTCTGAAACATACGCCACTTCACACCATCTCATGATCTCATGCCCCTGGCACAAGTCACTTCAAGTCACGTACAGCATTCTCCCCCATATTCAACGCCGGCCAGAATGTAGTTGGCCGCGCGGCAGGCGGCAGTACACTTGGCCACAGTCAGATTCGCCCCAGCAACGCCGGCATTGTACGTGAGCGCGCGGCCCGTGGTACCCTCGGCGTAGCAGCCCAGGCTATCGAAGCCGTTGACGCCCGGGTTCACCCCCGGCCCGGACACCTGCGTGGTGTGAAAAAGAGAGAGTCGGCTCCCGGCGCCGCAGGGCTCGTTGGCGTTTCCAGAGCAGGCCATGTTGCAGTCCGAGTCGTTCAGCTTGGCGGCGTTGGTGGCCAGGCTGCTGCCGCAGTAACATTCGACCGAGTACTCGACGCCTGCGTAGGGGAAGCCCTTAGACGAGCAGTACGCCAAGCATGTCTCGATGGTCAGGCCCTCGCCATCGGTGTAGGAGGCCGAGTTAATCGTCCGGCCGGGTACATCAGTGTAACATCCTTGGTACTCCCATCCTCCTGAGAGCTGCGTGGGAATTGTGAGCTGAGCGAGGGATAAGGAGAGCTATGGATAGGTCATGTTAGTTTCGTGTCCAAGATCACCAATAGTACTACTACCCCGAACACTGGCTCGGCCAGGTCGTCCAAGGCAGTGACCGAGATCACGGATCTCTTACAGAGGATAGCAGAACGGACGAAAACAACGCCCGTGATGGTGTTGTCTTCATGGTGCCGGAGGATGTATCCGCGAAACGGACGCCGACAACACCAACAAGAACCAGACACGACAAACGAACGTCAAGGTGGAGCGAGAAACGGATGGAAAATCATTGAAAATTGCGGGGGGTGCCATTTTCAGATATACTCCAGGACGCTTTCCGCACCCGGTCAAGGGTCCAACGTGCCAACGTGCCGAGCCCGTGATGGCCCGCCGGTCGAGCACGGCGATCGTCCTGTTCCCTGGGAACGGGGACAGGCCAGGGGTCAGCTCGATCCATTAGGACAGTGCCAGTGGCCGAGCCACCCACCAGGCGAGCCAGGCTGCAGAGCGGCTGCAGTGGCCAGGCGCAAAGAAGCGAGAGAAAGTGGGCCAACACTGCCCTGCCCCCATCGCGGAGAGCGCGGCGGCCAAGGACACAGGGGTGATATTGACAATGGATGCAACCAGGCGCGCAGATTCCTCGCAGCAGACGGACACAAGAAGCGAACGCTACCCGCCTTTTTGTGTCTCAGCGCTCATCCTCGGTGTTTTCCTTTTTTCCTTCCTTCTCCGGCCCTCGAAGTCCCTCCCTTCGACGCAGCTTCGAGCGTTTGCAACTGTGAAAACGGACGATCTGGCTGTTGGGAGAAAATCCAGAAAGCCGATGCCCGTGCGGAATGCAGGAACCAGCAAATCCTGGGCGTTCCGTATTTGGCAACAGGGCTGATCTTTCGAGCCCCACCCCACGACAGGCCTGATATGCTTGCAAAGATAACCAGCAGCGCCAACGGCGCGCCTTTTCAGTGCACTAACATTCAGTCACTGTATCCCCCCTTCCATTATCTCAAATCAGGCGGTTGACTTGCAAGACGAAATCGGAGAAAAGAGGAAAGCGCTTCGGGACTTCTGGGGCTGAGAGAAAAAGCCCTATGTGGAGATGAACGCTCTAAGACACGAGAGTCTAGATCGGAGCTCGCTCTCGTGCCTGTTCCGGGACCCTGGCGGACGTGGCGGTTGAACCCCAAATCGCCCGCGCAGCGCATTGGGATTGGGTTTCTGAGGGGCTGCAGCCAAGCTGTTCCGCTGGTTGGCCAATGCTCGTCCGCTGGGGGAGATGACTGCAGGATCTGGCCGTGACACCAAGCTGGTGGCTGCGCGGGCCATCGTCAATACGAGGTGGTGCTGCCCGTTTGGTATACAGTACCATCCTTGTCCACTTTTCCTATGCATCCGTTTTTCTTCGATAGCTTCCCCTCAACAGCTTCACTCCGGGCCAAGCCCGGGCCCGTCCGGCTTCCACACGTGTCGGCCGCCAGACTGAGCGGTGGGATGATTTTTGTGAATCTCTGGTGCCAAGTTTCCCGGGCTATTGAAAAGACTAGCCGAGCTGGTGCAGGCCATTGAAAGCCAGTTGACAGATAGTTATTTCGGACACGAACAGCTTAGTGTACTTGGCTTGTGGCGAGCCCGAACGCCCATGAGGGATTTTGTCAATTGGGCGCCAGAACAACAAGTTCAAGTCCCAGGCGGTCAAATCGTCGATATTGCTATCATTGGGGGTGTCGTTGCCATTGGTCGGGCGTTGGTTTGAGAGTTTCGAGCACGGGCCGAGTTCACAAAACATTTCCGACTGAATGGACTTGGGTGACGCTGAAAAATGTAACCCCAGACGGCGCCCAAAGAGAAGAAGGAGCTTTGCACCATCACCTCTTTCCAAAAGGCGCTTTCCTAAAACGGCCACAAGATGTTTTTCTTCAGACTACAGGCGGGAAGGAACCTCCAGACGAAGGCCAGACTTCTCACATCCCGCCTTGAGATGGTCCAGTCTATTCGTATTATCGTCGAAATTCCAGACCCCAACAGAAACCCCAATTCCGCCTGTGCCTTGCGGGTCGCAGCTGAACAGTGATCTTCATCACCTCCGATCGACGGCAAAGATCGTCGCCCTCCAAACCCTGTGGCCCACCCTGATCTGATCATCGTCCGCGGGCAGCGGCGCAGATCAGAAACTTTATTTTATCACCAGCTTGAACTACTTCAACTCCCCATCCGCCTTAGTGAACCGTTGATGTTATGCTCAACGGTAACGTTAACTAAAACTAGTGTATTACGGAGTAATTGGATGCGGTCTCGGATGCCCTCCCAACCGAGGTTCGTTGGACATCCCAGTGGGTTGCCCCGGAGTTATCGGCGTCCCGCAGCGCCTTCGCTCGTATCTGCTCAGCAACTCACCACCAGATAAAAGGACTACGCCATATAATAAAACGATTAAAGATGCAGCACATTATATTTCTTTTGAAGGTTGTCACCACTTCCAGCTTCAAACAGTTCAAAATCAGTAGTCACCAACTAAATATGCTTCACACCAAAAGAAAACAAACCAAAAAAAGCCAAGAAAACAAAAATCCCACAAAATCTTCCTCTCGGATAACAGGTGCCGTGTAGTCGGGCAATAACTCCTACGTCGGCCAACACGAGGCCGTGGGGCTCCGCCGTGCATCCGTTCTCCTGCAATGTGACCTCTCGACCTCATCGTTGTCATCCGGTGCTAAGATCGGCCGACAACCGCCACTTCAAAAAATCCGGGCTATAATTCTCGACCAAGACTCGAGACCAGGCCTTCAGCCGCATCATGGAACCCGAGGATTCCGGGAGATTTTACATAGGACAGTGAATGGAACAATCCTGGTTCTGGCTTATCTCGCCGTCGACCGACGGGAATAATCCCTCAGTTAGACATGGGGGGACTTTCAACTACTAATAAGATCCGAAGTATGAGAGAATGAGAAAGGGCAAGTCCTTTAACGAAACAGCGGCGACGATAGCAACACAGGAACCAGTCACCTTACTCCACGAATAGACTTGTCTATCACAAGGCTCAAGCAACTGTTGTGGAGCACCACGTTCGGGGGAGAACAACACTGCTGTCTCTCCGCATCGCGTGAGATCATCAACCCATGCGTTGTGTTGCTCGAGAGCTGCCAAGTGCCTATTCGAGGTTGTCAGGCCGAATTGGGATAATTCCAAAGCGTTTGTCTCAGTTGCTCAAACAAGGAAGGCAGACAGGACAAAACATTAAACCTGTGCTCGCCGATTCGGGGGACAACCAAATACGGCTCGTCCCAAACATTACCCCAGGCATGGTTTCATATGTATGTTGCTGTGAGACTCAACATTTTCGGTAGGTGGAAAGATTCCTAACTACAACAAAGTAAAAGTTGGCGTATAGGCTAGGTAAGTAAATAACATAAAAAAGAGCGGGGTATCGGTTACGACTTTTATCCAACACCCAATCGACCGTCATCCCAGGTATCTATCCCATTCTCCCTTGTCTCCTTTCAGATGTATCAAGAAGTAAGTCGCTTTCACCCCTCAATACGATACCCCAAGCACCCTCCCCACAACATTCTCAAACGCCCCCCTCTCCATACTCGCACCATAATGCGGACATTTCACCACCCCAACCAGCTCTCTCTTAAGCCGTTCCGACAGCAACAAATCGCTGCCGTCGTCCACGCTGCCCGGCACGCCCGTCGACTCCAACCACCCCCCTCCAAACCGCGCCAACAGCTCAAATAACGCCTGGATAGGCGTAACCTCGACTTGATCGTTGGGGTTGAGCGATGAGGCGATACCGTGTAGGGCACGCAGGGTGAGACTGCTCGCGGTCCACGATAGGGGGTCATCGTTGGCGTTGGCGTTGTCACCACTACCACCACCACCCCCTTTCCCTGCCAACACATCATCCTCAATTTTCCTCCCCTTACACCCCCCCGACCTACCCCTCGGCACAGCCCCCATCGCCACACTCGACAAAGCCGTCGTCACGCCAGCCCCGGCCAACAGCATCCCCGGTCGGTTACTGCCGCTGCGGGATGCGGCCTTGAAGATGGCCGGTGGTGCGCCTTGTAGCGCAAGGCTGGTGGCCATCAGCGTGTGGCCGTGGCCGGCGTGGCCGATCAGCGGGATCGGGTAGACGGTGTCCGGGGGCGGGGGTTGGTAGTCGGAGGGGTGGAAGTGATCGCGGCAGAGGTGCTCGAGACTGTATTTAGGTTGTGGGTTGGTGGTTAGTATAACATCTCCAGGTCAGGATAGGAAGAGGTAGTGATGTATGATGGGAGGCTGTGTTGGGGTGTTTGTTCAGGTTAGGATGGTTGGTAGTTGAAACCCAAGGGGAACTGGGTGGTGAGGCGAGACTTGTGACAGAAGGAAGATGAAAAGCGTACGCGAGAATGAAGTTGATGGCAGCTTGGCTTTGGGACGGGGTGAGGTCGGGAAGGTCGTTGTTGTTGTTGGGTGATACACCTGTCCCCGTCTCCATCTCTTGCCGGGACGGTGATAAGGGACCTGAGGGCGGCAACTCGATGCCTTTGGAAGACACAGGGCTGCTGATATAAAACGTCGGGGCATTCATGACCTCATCAAATCCCAGCGTGACCGTCACTCCAGTGGCGCTACTTCTGCTGCCCTCCCCAGAAGCGATCCCAGAAGCAGAAGCACCTTGCATATCCAACCCCACGTCCGAGGTGAGTTCCGTCGGCAGTGGCATCTCCCGCAACAACTCCACCCCACGATTCAACGACAGCGGCACGGCCGTGTTACCGCCGTTGCCGCCGCCAGCCGCCTGTAGAATCCGGATCCGCATGGCCTTGTTCTCGTCGAGCAAGGCACGGGTATCGCGTTCGGCCGCCTCGATCGTCTCGCGGATGCGCGCCACGTCCATCTCGAGCTGCTTGACGTAGTTGGCCTTGCGCTGGCGGTGCTGGATCTGGGCCTTGCGCACCTGGGCGCGCCGGGCTTGGGCTTTGTCCTTTGCTAGAGCTGCGTCTGTGTCGGCGGGAGTAGCGTTGAGGCTCGGGCTGCCGGATGAGCCTGCTCCTCCTCCTGTTGGGGGCTGGGCGTTGCCTCCGTGACCTGAGCGGCGGCGGACTTTAGTATTTGGGCGCATGGTTGGGGGTGAGTTGGGGTTGATGAGGTCTGAGAGAAGAAGGGAAGAGAAGAGAACAACGGGGAGAAGAAAGGTGAAATAGGAAGGAGGATAGAGAGATACAGGATAGGTAGACGAAAGAAGGACCAGAGAATTAAACATCCCCCATCTTAAAACCCAAATCGGCCACTGCTAGCACATCACCTCATGCAGCAGACCTGGAAACACAGCATGGAGGGGTGAGAGATCATCGTGACCATCAAGGTGCGTGCGTGCGCGTGCCCCTCTCACCCGGCTTCCCGTCCTCTCTCCTCTCGGTTCCGAGGCCGTTTCCTCATGGGCCTTTCTCAAATTCTCCCACATGATCCGTCACACCCAACAGTTACCCACCCAGCTGTCTCAAGGCTCAAAGCTCAAATCTTTTTCCCTCTCGGACAGTAAGAACCTTAAAGGCTCGGGGAACCGAAGCCGCCGAAGCGTGCCAAATCCCCAGGGCTTATCCAATCCGAGACGATCACAACTCCCCAAAAAGGAAACCGACCAACTGCGGCCTTGCAATGACAAATCATTTGGCCCGCAAATGGCGCGCGCTGTGCCAAGTCCTCGATGCACCCTGCCCGACGACCCATGACAAGTCCGAGTACGTGTATGGGAAAAATAAAGACTGCGACGCTAGATATGGAAACATCTTTCGAAATCAAATAAAGAGACAAGGGAAAATGAGTGGGAAAAAAATGAGATGAGATAACGGGTGGGGAAGAAAGCGTCTTGTTCACTCACCAGCAGAAGCAGCAGCAGTAGCAGCAGCAGCACCAGGAAGCCCCTCAACAAATCGAATCTTTTTCCCTCCTCCGAGCGCCTCCTTGGACTTCTTCCAGAAGTCCGAGAACGAAGGCCGGCTGCCTTGGTCGTCGTCGCCGTCCCTATCCGCCATTGTGCGTTTAAGCTCTCTGTGCCTCTCTTTTTCTTCCAGAAGACACTCTTGCTTCCAGGCGCCAGCCCTAATGATCCGGGTGGGTCGATCCGGATGCGCGTGCCTGGATGAGGAACCCAACGGTAACTTTTTGTTTCCGTTTCCGTTTCCGTTGTCCTGTGCCCCGTCGGGTCCTTTAGCACACAGCACCACGTAGATAGTGTATGCACGAAGGTATGCAGTCGGTATGTTGTTGTTTGGCCGCGACCTATTCAGGGTAACGTCGCGTGTCTTCTTAACCCCTGGACCCCCCCTAGGTATGCACCCTAGTAGGGATGACAGATAGTTCTGAGATCTCGCGAAGGGACCAATCAGCCCCGGGGCGCCGATAAACAACAAGATTGTTTCACAAAACCTTCCGGCCCGGCTCGGTTCTTGCAACCCCGGGGTTATCGAGCGAGCGAGCGGTGGACGGCCGTGGATGAAATGGACGGAATGGGACGAACGGACGAATAAGGCCGGGTTTGAGCGCGCGAAGGTGATGTCAATGACAAAACGACAAGTCGATAATTAGTATGACCCCCACTGTATGTATGGTATGTACGTATGTATGGTAGGTATGAGCCAGGGGAAAGATGACAATGAGAGCGTGAGAGAAAGAAAGAAAGGGGAGCACGAGGATCTGTAATCGTTAGAAATATATCCCAAATCGATCAGTCTCTGCGCATCGCCACCATTGATCTTGATATTTCCAGGAACTCCACGCGGAGATTGAAATCTAGACGTCGATTTTAGGAAAGAAGTATTACACCAATCGAGGCGGTGGACAGCTGTGCACAGTCAGCATGTTGGGGGCTTGGGCGTCCCGGAACCTGCGATGGACCTCAGAAATGCCGGATTTAGTAAAGTTAGCCGATTGTAGGATGGCCACGGCGGGCTATTCAGGAAAAAAAGCCGATAGTCTTAGGGCATATTTGGATTCTTTTTTTCTGTTTCTTGTTATTTCTAACAGTGCCTCAGCTTTAGGCAGACGAATGGAATTGACACGTTAACGCGGTCTCAGATAATTTGTGTGTAAGCACCGGCAGCATGCTGCAAGACACCAATAAGCAGTCTGTACATACACAAGAGGGGAATTTACCGAGTTAAATAGAGTGAATTTACCGAGTTATTTCCATTTGCTCTTACTTCAGAGGGTAAAGGTAAAGAGGAAGAAAAGGACTTAAACCAGACCGAATTTTCCCCAGCCGCGCCATGAACCCCGTCTGTGTAAATGTTCGCCAAAAACACCCCCGAGTATGCTTGAAACTTTCGTAAACGTCCAGCCACAAATGCCCCCAAAATGAAAGGTTCTCCCACCGCCCGAACTCAGGGTATATATATGGCCCTCGACAGGCGCAACGCAGCACCACCACCAGATCCTCGTCCTCCACCCAACCCACGCTCATCGGAGAGAGCATCGCCCCTCCTGCCCTTAGACCTACGACCAACCCCCAGGGGATTCAGTCATACCCTTCTCCGCCCTCCTCATCAGTAGCCGTGTCCTCCATAAAACTCCCTACCATCACCCCATCACCCCCATCTCCCCCATCATCAAAATCACTCTCATCCTCTCCATCATCATCATCCCCATCCCCATCCTCATCATCCTCGTCGTGCTCGTCCCCATTCTCAAACTCCCCCTCATCATCCCGATCCAACAATGCCATCGGCCGCCACGCGACATAACTACTCTCGAGATCCAACCACCGTTTAGCCACAGGCAACTGGAACGGGTCAAACGGAAAGCATGCTTCGAGATGCGTCCACTTCTCGTCGTCGAACTCAAAACCGGTGTCGCGCAGGGCGCCGCCTGTGGCGTAGCTGCCGGTGAAGAATTGTGAGAGGTGCACGGATTTGTTCTTTTCGATTTGGGGGTAGCTGGAAGAGGTTAGTGGGCGTGGTCATCAACATTTAGAAAATGAGGGACGGTAGCGAGGAAGACTAACATGTAGAGGAGCCGGAGGTGGTGGGAGAGGCGCGCGAATTCGTCCACGATGATAGGGGAGCAGCATTTGAGGGGCTGTTCGGGAACGTTAGTTGACACCAATGGTAACTAGGCTGACGGGTAGAAGCTTACGTTAAACTTGCTGCCAATGTTGGCCTGCAGCCGAGTTTTCAGTCCCGTCATCCATGGCAGATCCTGCCCAATGAACGAAGCCGGATCATCCCAATCAAGACTCGGTGGGAGCATGTCCTGATCGATCAGGTCACGCCAGCGGAAGCAGAAGATGTAAAGCAGCCCCTGGAAGTATGCACTGATAAAGACGTCAGCGCCGCAAGCCGCATCCTCCTACGAAAAAAGGCACTTACTAGTACTGGCTGTACCGCCTCACGTCTGGCCCGCGGCAGCTCGTATGGGTGGCACGATAATGGTCCATATAACCGAGGAAGGTGTTGGTAATCAGCTGCACCTGATCGCTCTGCACCATGGCCCCGCGTGCCGTGAAGCTCGCCAAGTACGCGACTGCGGCCTGTTTCACAACCGGTGGCCTGTTAGACTCAAAGCTATGATCGGTTAGCATCAAAAAAAGTCCTTCAGGAGAGTACTGGAAGAGGGGCTTACGCTAGATTAAACAAGGTCCCAATGAACATCTCCATGAGCTGAGTAGATTTCATGGCAAACTTGAAGAGTAAATATTGCGTGTGGCGCGACTTGAGATGCTGTTTGGTCCCGTTAGCCACTGTCTGTGTCTGATAAACAACTCTTCGTGATACGGGAAACGTACCGGCAAGATGACGTTGGAAAAGTCGCTCAACAAGTCCTGGAACGCCTCTATAGCCCTTGGGCTCTCTGGCTCCTCAAAGATAGGGTTGTAGATGGAGAAGAGTAGATCGAGAATCGCATCCATCGTCTCTAGCTTGCTCTTGATCACCAACACCCGTTTGGCGTGCTCGTCTAAATCGTCGTCGTCGCTCATAACCGAGTCGGCATCGCTGTCGTCATCATCCCCATCACCATCCTTGGCATCTGATGTATCCAGTTGGCGTAGTACTGCTCTCGTCGTCTCGTCGTCGTCGTTCTCCAAATCCAGAGTCATCTCAACGTCCAGCTTCACTAGGCGCGAGAGGATCAGCTCCATGATGTCCCGTTCCAGTTCTGGCCGTGAGGTCTTGAGGCGGAGCAGGTGGTCGATGTACTCCATGTGAAGCTCCCTGGATTCCTCGGTGAATGGGAATTTGGACGCGACCAAGTTGAGAACCATCCGCTGTCCTGCCGGGAACAGTTCCAAAAGGTACTTGAGCCCAACATGGAGCCACTTCTTCTTGGTCTGGGGATCGACTGGTGCAAACCCCTTGATATTTGAGGTCCGCCCCGTCTCGGTGAACTTGTCGACAATCATGGTGAGCACCTGCGTAAACAGCGATCCTTGCACCGACGACAGCGCCGCCAGCAGTTGGATGTACGCCTTCGCAAACGTCTCGTCCCGCTCTAGCCAGCTGCACCGCAACACACTTCGAAGTAATCCAGTACACGAGCGCCCGAGCAGTGGTACTGACCCAGTAAGCGCAACCACGTAGACGAGCAGGTCCTGCGGTCTCGCTCCCAATGTGACATCCCAATCCTCATCATCCTCACTATCTTCCTCCTCTTCCTCGTCGTGTTTCCCCCCACCATACTGCCTCGACCCCGCCAAGAAGATTTCCTTCAACCTATCATACTCCTCATCATCGCCACGCTCGTGCGCCTCCAGCGCCAGCCGCACCTCTTCCTTCGCATCTTCCAATGTCTTGCCGTTGATCTCGCGAACAACATTCAACGCCTCGTTGAACACGACCGTTTTCTTTTTCTGTCGCTTCGCCGGGGGTTCGTCGTTGTCGTCATTGTCGGAATCATTCCCGCCGGATCCTCGTAGCCTCGTGCCCAAAATGGAAGAAGTTTTGCGGAGTATTGGTTTAATCGGTGAGGATGACGCAAGGACGGTAGCCGTAGACGCCGCGGCGCTTCGCGAAAGGGAGGATATTGTTGTCATGGTAAAGAGGGTGTGATGGATGGTTGTGTGCCGTATGTCGTGTGTCGTGTTATGAGTCCCTTCTTTCGTCGCTCGTCTCGTTTCTTCGCGACCAGGAAATAGAGACGGTCTATTGAGAGTGTGTTTTCTTCCTCGATTCGGCGGCTGGAGAGGGAACCTCGTAGATTCCACCTCCTCGGATTAGGCGCCAGAGGACGCTGGGGCCGCCAACTGGGCGAACCGTCCGGGAGAGTCAAGAAATAATCGTAATCAGTTGGCGGTGCGGGAGGTTTGCGAGTGACGACAACTGGCCAAACATAATTAGATCGACACAACACCGTCAAAAATGCGGAAGGAAAGGTGTTCTCGATGAAAACACAAAGCGTTTTGTCGTGGGGCAGAAGGCCTAGTGGCGTGCAGCGGGCAAATGCAAGTTTAACGATTTTCTTTCGCTACGACGGTGACAAACTTTCTGCCGCCGTCCCCACAGTCGGCGTGATCAAAAGAGGAAAAAAAAGGCCTGAACCAGACCTGATTTTCGAGGAACACGCGAAGTTCCCCGCGGATGGCACGTGCGCAGTGGGCCAGGGGTTGCCTGCTGAGAAGAATCTGAGTGTGCCAAAAGCGGAAGGCGGTCAAATTAAACATCACGACGAGGAGGCCCTTTGCAGCAACACCGGCACTGTGGGAAAGCCGTGAGGTAGATTCAAAGTATACAGGTACGTCCCCGAGCTGATGAGCGGCGGTTAGCATGTGAGAGGCGACAAACAACAAACAACGAATAACGGTGTTATTCTCTGTGTATCAACCCCATATGTCAGTAACGCCCAACCCAAGACCCGGATTACGTACTCCTCCGCCCAGGTTCCCTGATTCATGGCCTGAAATTGTTCGACAATTAAACCACCGCTCAAAATCGAGGCCAGCCATGCACCTTACTTGTCCAGTGGAGATATAGCAGTATCACGTAGATAGTTACAGCCCGGGTATCTCAGTAATGCCTGGGCCCCCGATACTTATACACATACAAGCACACGTGAATGGAAAAGTAAAGAGAGGATAGGACAGAGAGAAAAGGGAAAGGAAAATAGAGACAAAAACCCAAACAAAAGTTCACCCAGATCAAGAGAGCTACAACCCCGGACGCATCGGGGCTCTCTACCCAACATTATGCACAGTCCAATCTTTAGTTAGTATTCAGGCCCGGCGCCATTATGACCGGGTTGGGCCCCATAAAGATTGTATCCCTGCGCCTCACCACCCTCCTGTTGCCCAGGAAGGCCGGCGCCGAAACCACCAGCGGGATTCGAGCCGCCGGGCGCGCCGTAGCCTTGGCTGCTCGGTCGGTTCTGTTGGTTATCGCCCCGGTTGGATTGAGATTGCTGGGTAGTAGTTAGTAACGCGGATGGCGTAGGGGGTGTTTGTACAAGTATAAGCGAGGAAAGGGGTCTGCTCACTTCTCGGTACTTGGAGAGATAGATCTTAAGCGCCTCCCCATAGTTCTCGAATCCAAGCGAGCTCATGGCGAAGAGGATGTCTTCTCCGTTAACTGTTTTCCTCTTTTCTTGCTGACACTTTTCAGAGGCTGATAGGACAAAGGTTTGTTAGCCAATTGAAAAAAAGAAAGCCAAGTTAAACACAGGCGACGTCGTCGCGGATGGGGCGTCTCGCGGAGAAGGACCTAGAGGAACAGCTTACCTTCGCTGGTGATAAACGATATGAACTCGCTCACACACTCTTGCATGCACTCCTTAGCTTCCTTGGCAATTTTGGCATTCTCTGGGAGTGCCGTCTTCATAATGCGGGCCACTGGCGCAAAGTTGCGAATGTTAGCATCGTATACATCGGCCTTATCCACTGTCTTAGAAGATGACGAGACCGCGCGAGGGCCCGCTGGCGAGGGGGTTGAAGGAGGGCGTCGGGGCTGCTGTGGCTGCAGTTGCAACTGCAACTGCGGCTGCGGCGACGATGACTTCGGTGATGAATGGTCCGACATGGACGGCGAAGGGAGCAGCAATTGTTCTTCTCCTTCTGTTTCAAGACCCACGCGTGGCGCGCGTTTGTCTGATAGGCAGGCAGAGCGCCGAAGCCAACGCCGGTCTACCAAAAGCGAGTAGCGTGATCTCGATCACCCGCACCATGTAATAGAGGGAGCGCCAAATGGAATGAGTTGAGTCTCGCTGTTTCTAGCGTCATTGCGGTTGAAACGACTAGCACTGCGTGCTCGTGCGCGCCCCGCGCACACAAGGTACGCAAGGCACGCAAGGTACGCAAGCAAGCAACTCAAACCATAACGAGCCGAGTGGAAGCACCAGAGAAGCCGTTGAACAAATCGAACAAAAAAGGAAGATGAGGGAAAAGAGGCAACATACCATTGGCTATGGGCAACCACCGATCTTGCTCCTTGACCTCGAACTCATAGCCGAGCCCGGTCGAGTGTGGGTCTTGAGGGTCGTTCATGTGTACTTCCTCGTCACCCGACGGTGCACCTTGTTCAACATCCTTCGCATTGGATTGGGGAGAGTCGGACATATTTGGATGGCTACCTGCAGCGGCTGCTGGCTTCTTGTAAATTCTTTGGACCTGCCAGCTCGCACAGCTGGATTCAAGTGGATGATGTGTCGCCGGACACGTTGCAGGGCTGTAGGGCTTGCGGTCTGCTTCCTCTTTGGCGGCTTGACCTGCAAGAGCTGCGTCAAGCGGTTCCTCTATGCGTGTCCCAGGGCTGCTCTGACTGGTTCCTCTGCCCGATTTTCAGGCTGCGGCAGGGCAAGGTTGGGGGTGAGAGGGAACGCTGTACGTCGAAAGGTGGGGTGGGGGTAAGAAAAGGTGGGAAGGGGGGAGCCGGGAGGGGCGCGCGCAGGGCGAAGAAGACGAGAGGAGGCCGAGACTGGCCGGGTTTCGTGGGGTGAGCCGCGCCCGTGGGTGGGCGCAGGAGGTGTGGGACTTGCGGGAACTGCGGGCCCTGCGACGAGTGGTTGATAGGGCGAGAGAACAGGAGGAGCAACAACAATCTCGCAGCTTTCTCGTCGGCTGCTGGATCGCCTTGGTGCAGGGCTTGTCTAGACCGTATGGGAGGCTTTGTTACCGACCCCCAAAACTGGGCAGAGTGGCGACTGGCTGTTGTTGTGTGCCCTGTTCTGTTCCGTTCGTTCGGCTACGCGTGGTGTTTTGGTTTCCGTGGTACAGTGTATCGTCCCGCGTGGTTACACACCGGACTTGGACAGGACGAAGAGGTATCCGGGACCGGTTGTCGAAGCTAAGGCGGAGAGAACGACCTCAAAGTTTGGGGCCACAAAAATAATTAACTGTGGGGGCACGGTCTAACTGCAGAGTCGCGTCAGAGACAAGTCCTTGCATTTCCTCTCCGGGCTGTGTGTGAAGGTGGGAGTGAGGGCAGCCGCGGAAGTTTGCTCGCAATGTGCCGGTTGCGCAACGGAAGCGAAAGACGCATGAGCCCATCCGTCAAGCAAATTGACAGACTACCAGACAAGCAGGCAAGCAAACGTGCCGGAATTGTAGGGCAAAGCAGACAATGGCCCGGCTTCCAGTGTTCCCACGACCGGCGACGCGATGCGCTGCGATGGGCCGTGGTGCAGAGAGCCATGCGCGCGTGGCTAGTTATCGGACGTACCTGTCGGCTCGCCCTAGTGACTGGCTAGTTTGTTGTGTCGGTTGACTTTCCAATGGCGGGCCTGTCCTTGTGCATCAGTTTGCGCCGAGTGGGCGGTGTCTGCGTTGGCGTTGAACTTTTCGGTGTGTCGGTGTTTGGGTCCTGCGATTGATGCAACAGGAAAAACGGGGGTTCGAGAGGACTGCAAGCGCACGCGCGTGGGGTTGTTGCAATGGGAAGGAAGATGGAGGTCGGGAGAAACGAGGAAATGCATGGTCGCAGCGCCCGCCAGGGAGGCCCTAATCCCGGCCACAGCAACAAAGATCGACCGCCAAGAGGCGTTTTATTTACGTGCTGCGAGTATCAAGTACTTTGCATTCTGAGCCTCCATACAAGCTGCAGCCGTCTCATGAGCTTCAATGTCTCGTTCTCTTCAATTCCGTTATTTAGAACCCCTGTGATTGACTTATCCACAGTTTAAAACTCCATATTTAGTCTTTTTTTGCTTCAGTTAGAGACATTTACCTCTGGGACAAGGTATAGGCTACACCCTTGTCCAGCGATTCAAACATATCGGCCCACCTGCACAACCCGGACCTCATCTTGGGGTATTCGTACCTATCAAGCAAGACCTCTGGTTCCTTCCCAACCTCGCTCTCAGCCCAATTCCGCCCGCAAACGTTAACCATGGAAGATACGATCTTCGGGCGAACCGGTGCGGTCAATAAGGCTCCATCAGACCAGGGGCTTCACTCATTCATTCACATTCATTCTAGCCGAGGCCTCCTTCTTTACCTCCCGTTCCCGACTGACTTCCCAACGCTTGGACCTTTCTTTTCGTCAAGACGGGACCGGTCATACCGCTCTAGTCGAGCTCTGCCGAAAACTAGGTCCAGAGGTGACGTGTGAGAACTGCATGTCTTCTGTTTTCATCACATCGGTGGTCCCTTTCCCAGGGCCGTCACCCGTCTCTTCAAGGAGGTCAAGGATTTCAACGATGCAGTGTTGTCGTCAATTCTGTGACGCTAGTGAGCTCTTGGCAGGTGAAGAGGCGGCAAGAGAAACCCCAATATGGGTGGGGGACCGCGAGGACTGATTCGACAATTGCTTCTTGCATGTCTAGGTTATGCAGGAAGGGACAGCAAGGCTGAGAAATGGGCCCGGAAGAAGCCTGACGGGTCCGATGAGCGGGTTCAGGCCGAAAGGCTACATTCGGGAGAGCGGTCGGCCGGGTCAGCACAGTCTTGTGTGACGACTGGCCAAGGCTTTGCCGCCGGTGGATGAGACCGACCTCCTCTGAGAGCCCGGTCCATCCAAGGAATGTGAATGGTGTTAAATTTGCGCCGTCGAACCCAATCAGAGAATTTAGCAACGTCTTGAAACTCTCATTGGTAGACGGTTCAAGATTGTTACTTGAGAAATGGAGACTGATTCCTATGTAGGGGTTTTGAGATCTGGGGTAAGACAGAGATCAATCGTCAATACGAAGCGGGGAGGTGGGGAGACGAGATACTAGCTGCGAACATCGGACTCCAAGTCTGGCCGGGTAATCACAAGGTTGATTCTGTCTTCCGTCGCCGGTTTTGATTCATGTCTCCCATCATCACCGGTTATACCTTGAAACTTTAATTCCAAGGTTCTTTCTGGGGCCACCCCACTTCAACATGACCTGCTCCAATCCCGTCGCAGCCCAACCAGCTGGCGTGTTCGTGGGTTGGGCAGCACATCAGGCCCCATGCCGATGCAACAAAGACAATATGTGTTTTGAACAACTCAGCACACACACCTTTCAACATGAGCTAAGAAAAAAACAAATAATCGAATAAATACCACATAAATCAATGGATCCAAATGGGGCATGCTGATCTCTGCAAGCAGATAGCGTCATAGATATTCCTAAGCTTTCTGACGAGGGGTTCGAGTTCCCGTGTCCCAATGTTTCGATCACGGCATCTCCGGCCTCAGCGGGCTTGCCTAGCCCCATGCCGAGAAGTCGGGAGAAGGGATGCTTTGAACAGCATTGCATTGATATCGCTCACGATACTAACCCCATACTCCGTCACAAATTTCCGCCGAGCGGCGTCACCCCTAGGGTCTGGAGGTCCTGGGAAGGCTGCTCCCCTCATGACTGCACAACCTGGACGTTGTTCTTCTTCTGTAATGAGATCTCGATGTCAGAATCCGCAAACGCACGCACGCCTCAAGAGCCATCTGTCTCACTACATACCTTCCATTTATCCAACTCATCCTGTTTTGTCTTGTACTGCTTGACGAGGTCATCTAGGAGCTTCTTCAACCCCTCTGCATTGGTCTGAAGTGCGGGGACGACATCCTTGACGGTCCTCTCCACCAGCACGCCGTTAATCATCCGGAAGCATTTTCGGTCCCCCGGCAGAGGCTCTAAGGTTTCAAGAACAAGCCTACCCCTCGCCTGCAGAGTTAGCTAATGAGCGGTGAGCTAGCGGGAAGGAAGTGAAAAAAAAAAGAATTGTTTCAAGCGGTGTGATGGGGGATCACGGAAGTCGGGTGTTGTGGGGCGAGGGGCTGGTTTCAGTTTGGCATGGCAAGATTTGAGTCTTGGGAAAAGTAGGAACTCGTTGGAATGTGGACGGGAGGGGTAAGAAAGGGCCATCTGACTTGTGCTCTTCAGCTTCTTGTTCGACATCGCCAATTTTTTGAGCGATCTGTTGCAGCGTGTTTTTGTAAGTGCTATACTGCACTTGGAGGTCTGCGGGGATGTGTCAAAAAGCTGTGTCTTCAAGGTTGTGGGCGAGCATGAGTTTCGGGGTGGACAATACGCACCTTGCTGCCTCTTTCCCGCAGCTGCCTGTGAAGCCATTTTTGATTCCTGAGAAAAGTGAAATCGAGGGGTAAAGTAGGGACCAGCCGTGCTTTCAAAACGACCTCAGATCTGACGTCGTCGTTGAATGAGGTCGGCCTCGCGTGCCCCGCTGTGGGAGCTGGGCGCCGATAAGATTTGCGGCGGTCCACCAACAAAACAGCGGGCCAATCCCTGAAACCTTGCCAAAGCTTCGGGTTCGTCCCAACCGCCCGGGTCTTTGTCTGCATTGGAATTGAATTCCACGAAACAGAAGTCGACGGAACGCCGGTAGAGAACAAGCTCCAGCCGCCTCCGAGGGGCCGTCGCGACAATGCATCCTCATCTCCATACGAAGGACAACACGGGTGAGCCGACTCCCAAGCCCAACACTCCAAGCGCCGACCCCGCGCAGATCTGCCCTCTAACGCAACGACACTGGGTTTAGGGTGCGCACAAGTCATGGCCGCCCTTGAGGAATGCCACGCCAAGGGCTTCGTGTGGAAGGCGGCCGGCATGTGTAACGATACAAAGAAAGCACTCATCAAGTGTTTGCGGGAAGAGCGGTCGCGTAGTCAGGATTCGAATCGGAACGATGACGATAAACGATCTAAAGTACGGCAGAAGTGGAAAGAAATCGACGAAAACTCATAACATTTCTTCGAACTAGTTCATTGCGACGGCTCTCGGTTGATACCACGCTCCAAGGATGGACTCGATCGAAAAGCGAGAAGACAACGTCCCGAGAACGAGGAGGGAAGACAGAAAAGAGCAGGACACGCTACGAGGGGGTGTGTACGATACGAAGAGCCCTGTGAGAAGCTGGTTGTATAAACATAAAAGCAGAACCAACGCGAAAGTATCCGCGGTGCTCTAGACTATAAGATCACATCATCTTCCCGTTTCCACTTCCACCACCTCTCCCCGGCGTACCACGACGGAACCCCATTTACAAGGTGCGACGGAAAGCATCTCCAAACGTGTACGCCCCGTACGCCGCGATCAAGGACAATGCGATGGGCACAGGCTTCTGGAGCCGAATGGCGCGAGGGATCGACGAGCCGCCGAGAACGACGGAGGCCAACAGACTCAATTCAATGCCGTAGGGCTCACTGTTGCTGATACGGTAGCCTCCGAGGCCATCTAAGGGGAAGGGACGCGAGTTAGCGGTCGCCAGGGATTCAGGAGGAAGATAGGGGGAACAAATTGTAAAACCAAAAAAGAAAAGAAATCGGCGACTTACAAAGAAGACCGACGGCCGTCCCCGCAACAAGACTAGGCGTGCTCCCCGTCCGCGCGTAGCCGATAGCTCCGCCGGCGGCCGTCAGCGCCGCAAGCACGTATGACGGGAGTTCGAGACCCTTCAAGCACTGTTAATGACTGAGCATCGATTATCTTCTTGTTACATATAACCCACCATTTGAATTGCGTTTCCAGGATGGAATATTGTTGCTGTTTTGTTGTTATGGACAAGAGTCGAGCTGATGTGTTCTTCTTTCCGGCACAGCTCGGATCAGTCAGTCTGGAGGTCCGCGCTGATTTCCAAGCCAATCATTCGCAATGGCGGCGAGTCGGCAGCTGCCGAGCCCGATGTGTGGGGTGCTGATCCATGTCGTCATCCGAAGCCACTGAGGCCCGCCATCTTCAAGCACTCAACCCTTGACGGGAGCGGTTCTTCTCGATTTTCTTGAGCTGAGACATGAGGTGGGCTATTCACTGGCGAGGTGTGTAGTTGGCCTCAAGTATCGATGGCCGGAAGACTATCTATCCTCTAAGCATGTGATATCTTCCGATGTTCTTTGAGAGCCAAGGGCTAGCCTCGAAACCTTTGATCCACCCACCGGTTCACAAACGCCTGTCCCGAACCAAACGATAAAATCAAAACTGGCAGAGAACAGATCAAACCAAACGCATCCCAAAAAGAATACCCCGTGTCGGTACCGAAACACGGATCTTATCATGAATGCATCGAAGCACAAGCGAAGCCTTCGACCAGGTGGGGCTTGCACGGCACGAACACCGCCTTGTGGCTGTGTTGTTGAAGAATATCGAGCCTCCTGCACTTTTCCGCCCCCGCGAGCGGCTTCGGTCCTTTAGCGCACCATAACGGGAATTCCCCGAACGCGCCGTTTTCCGCCACCATTATAAGGTTGAGCTTAGTTACGCTAGGAGTTGTTGTCTGGAAGACTATGCAAAGGTGGGAAGTATTATGTAGTTCAGGTTGATGATCACTGAGCGCCGGAGAGAAACCAAGTCGAAGCACAGTGGACCTTCAACGGGATCGGAAGCTGCGTCGACATGATATGGACCGGAGCCGAACGGGCGCACTGCCAGGGAGCAATGAGTGGGGGTATTGTGATTCAATGCAGAAAAAGTGCCTTGCCTGCAAATGGGGGGTCGCATTTTCTTTTTGAGAAGCTCTTCCTGCGAGGTCGGCATGGAGGTCTTTACCCTCGCCCCGAGTTGAGAAAACGCCTCGGCCACAGAGCCACAGCAATCAACCCCACCAGCGACGGTGCAGCAGGAAGCCGCCCGGCCCACAAAACGCCCCCCGCGCCTGCCCTACGGATGGACACTTGTGGGGTTTTCATGGTTCTTCGATTCCGCCCACCGCTCTGCCAGTTCATCAATTCCCTGCACAGCCTCAAGAAGCTTCAAGCCTCGCGACCACTCGCCAATCACAACTGTGTTACTGTCGAGACAAGCCAATTTGCAGTACCTGAACATTGACGGAGAATAAGAACCCTGCCCCGATCAGAGCGATTTCTTGTTCGAAAGTGGTTCTAGAAGCCCTGTTGCCTGTGGGCACAGTCTTGGGCGTTTTCTTCGATGCTGCTTCGGGCACCGGATCACCTGCCATTGGCGAAGCACACCAAACGGATCGCTGGCCATCACGCCTCGAGACCGCATCGAGATATTTTGCGCAGAAGAGGCAGAGACAGCTAATCAACTTCGCTGACCTAGCGTCCCATTGAGGTTGGTTACCTGGCGTGCTTCTTTCCTCATCTTGAACGACCGACCTCAGTGAAGGCAGCAGATTTCCGTAACGCCTGGACAAAACCGTCTTCTTTCCTATACACTATTCTGTCCCAAACCCGGGCCAACCGCAGTAGTCGTCCCGTCTCGTTCGGCGCTATCCCGTCAGTTGAAAACCAAAAGGTCGGGAGCGCAGCCGCCCTGCGCCTCACCCCCCAGTTTTTTCCGCGCCCAAGGAGCCAGGGTGCCAAGCGAGGCGGCTACCACAGCAGGCCTAGCACGGGAGCGCGTGCCAAAGGCAGCTCAGCTCGATTCCCCTCCCTCCTTTTGACAACCCTTCACCTTGAGCAAGACCAACGACTACCTCTTCTCTTCAGGCTTCCTCCCCGAGCCACACCTTACAACCCGCTCTGAACCCAAGGCGTTTCAAAGAGAGTGTCGCAGCTTGGATCGCGACCTAAACTCTCAAGTTAATTCCGATTTCTCAGCTTGCCTTGCCCTGCCGCGTTTGCAGCCGCACATCGCCGGCCATGTGTGCCGCCTGATCTTCCCCACGTCCAAAATCTGGGATTTACGCACAGCACCCACGACCCCTTGCGCACTAGCACAGCTCCGGCCCCGGGGCGATCAGTACCCAGGCAAAGGGCAAATATTATATACTCTCTTCAAGAGCCAACCGGGCCCCATCCGCCTCAACTATGTCTTCCACTTACAGCTCTTACCCGCCCGGCCCCAACACGACCCGCCGGGACCAGCTTGAACAACCCCGCAGTATCCCATCGCAAGATCCCTCTCAGTTCTTGAACCCTCTATCGCCGCAGCTCGGTAGCAACTTGTCGTCGCCAGGGTTGAACGCCCACACACCCGCCGACTCGGTGTCCACCCTCAGCGTCCACTATCAGTCTAGCGAGTTCAGCGAGTCTGAGGATCCCTTTTTCGGTGCCATCGACTTTAGCAACTTTGTCGATACCGCCTCCCCGTCCTTCCTCAACGACGAAAACGTCCCGTTTGACGGTAACGGACCTCAACCCACCGACAGCCTCGGTGCGCATGCCGTACCCCCCAACGCACAGCAGCATGTACAGTTCACCGCATCCTACTTGCCCTTGAGTCCCGACAAGAGCCCCCCAATGCCAGGGGTGTCATCGAACGAGCAGTTCAAAGACGAGGCGCCTTCACCACGTGGCGGATTCCCGGACTTTCCCAGGGCGGTTGTCGTGCCTCAGGATTTGTCGCTGGCCCACACCTCCTCTGCGGTCTTTGACGTCAAACAGCCCGGCTTCGAGCTGACGCCACAAACCAGCCACGGAACCGAGTCCAGTGACGACGGCGGCGTCGCCCCCACTGCGGCCATGAAGAGCCCGCAAGTTACTGTCTCGCATTGGGATAGCGATTACATCGGCGCCTTCGATGCCCAAGGGACCCAGGATCATCACAACAGTTCTACATCCCTTTCTACCGCACGTGGTCCCGACGGTCAGGGTGGCGGTTGGGCTCCCGATGCCCGCTCCTCTCAGGAGGTCGATAGCGTCAACAACCAAGCTGCCCAGCGTGACCTAGAAGAGCGCAACCAGGAAGTTGCCGCTTGGCGGAATAGGTCGGCGTCCGTATCGCTCCCGCTCTCCAGAGACACGGATCATCCCGATGAGCATCCTGTCGCGGCCCCGGATGATGGCGACGATAACATATCTCCACGAGAGATTTCCGGCGGCGAACGGACTGAAAACAAGTTTGTGCCGGGACGGACATACTACACCGAGACGGGCGGCGCTCCAACAGCCGATGACCTCGAGATTATGCGGCAGGGACATGTTTGGCAGGACGCGCCCACGCCCTTTTCCATCTCCAAGCCGTCTTCTCGTCACCAACCGGGGTCCTCTGCGGATGCCATGGCTAAATACCAACAGATGTGCCGGGACACCGATTCCGTCGTGTCGAGAACGGCGACGTGGGGAACACGGCGAACTAGCTGGCCGGGCGCGATAGACGCTGAGGTCGCGGTCACCGGAAACCTGTTCAAAAGGCTCGCCCTTAACAACAACAAAGGGGACCCGAGGCGGCCGAGCATTTTTGGGGAAGTCCGCAGTCGCGTCGTCAGGAAACTGAGTGTGAACGGCGGAAAACGGAAAACCCACGACTCGGACGATGCCAGCTCCTTCATGACCCAGTCTTCGACGGAGAAGGCCCAGGGCCGGCTCGCACCTCCGAGTCCTAGCCTAGGATGGGCCAAGAAGCAGAGCGTGCCCACCATCAACACGGCGTTCGCCGACGTCGGAAGCAAGTTTGCTTCCATTGCGTCAAGCCATGCCCGCGCCGGCTCGGTCAGCGCGACACCCATTACGTCCCCCAAGAGCCCAGCCGGCCTCGGGCTGATGGTAAGGAACACGCTTGGTCGGTCGAGGAGCAAGTCGGAAACGGGGTCTTCCCTTACTACCATCGCTACGTTGTGGAGGAAGACGGGTGGGCCACCGGTACCGAACACGAAAGCCTCAAACGCAACCCCAAATCTAACCCCTAACGCGAACGCGATGGAAGGGGATGGGGACGAGGAAGAAGAAGACGACCAGTACGAGGACAACGACATGAAGGGCGAGTCCGACAAGCTCATTGACGGCATTACACCCGATATTAAGGGATTCAAGCAGCATATACTAAAACTAAACCCTCTCTTATCCCAAAACCCCGTCCTGACGGAGCGGCTCGCTTATCTCCAGTCCATGCGCTACAAGCAACTCCTGAACCATAGAGTGAAGCATCTGCAGGCCGTCGCGGCCAAGAACTGCGCCTGCGGCTCCCGGTGTATTGCATTGGGCGGCAATGCCAGCGCACTGAACGCAAAAGGCGGCCAGCGAGCCGTCGACCCCCATTCGGCGGGATACGACGGCTCAGACGGAGACATTACACCGTTAGAAGGGGCCATCACACAGCAGAGTTTCCCACAGGACATCCCCATGCCACCGACAGCTTCACTCCCTTCCGAGTTTGAGTGCCAGCTGTGTTTCACGACCAAGAAGTTCCAGAAGCCGTCCGACTGGACTAAGCACGTGCACGAGGACGTCGCGCCCTTTGCGTGCACCTGGACGCCCTGCAAGGAGGTCAAGCCGTTCAAGCGGAAAGCCGACTGGGTACGCCATGAGAACGAAGGGCACCGCCAGCTCGAGTGGTGGGTGTGCGACGTCGAGGATTGCACGCACCAGTGCTACCGCCGCGACAACTTCCTCCAGCATCTCGTGCGCGAGCACAAATTCGTCGAACCCAAGGTCAAGACCAAGGCCGCCATCAAGCTCAACGGTGGCCACGACGCGACCTGGGCCAAGGTCGAACAGTGCCACCAGGAGACCCCCAAGCAGCCCCAGGACGAACCCTGCCGCTTCTGCGGCAAGACGTTCCCGAGCTGGAAGAAGCTGACGGTCCATCTGGCCAAGCACATGGAACACATCAGCCTGCCGGTCCTCCGGCTCGTCGCCAAGGCCGAGCTCGACGAGGACACCATCATCTCCCCGGTGCACGACCCTCCGCCACGGCACTTCCCCCCGGCCTTTGTCACCAGCCCGGACCAACCCCGCTCTGGCGTCGCCGGGACCGCCTTCGGCCCATCTCCGACTCTCGCCCATGGGCCTATGGCCTACTCAGCCCAGCCGCCCCCGCTGGGCATGTACCCTCATCCCATGGGTCTTCCCACGGCACCTCAACCTTATGCCAACCTCTACAACCCGGGCGGCTTTGACAACCTCGCCCACGACTTTGTTCCGCCCCAATTACAAATGAACATATCCCCCTTAGGCGCACACCACCCGCAGTTCTCGTCCATCAACAACCCCTCCGCGCCGGCCGTTTCAGCCTTCTCGGCTGGCGGGCTACCCGTGACGTCCCCCGCGGGGCCATACATGTCTGCGGCGCCACTACCTCCGGCGCGGCCGTCAGCTTCGGTATCTCCTGCGCCAGACCTTGAGCCGTTTCCGTCGCTAGATATGGACGCGCTCGGGTTGGGGCTGCCAAATCCCGGTCCTGATGCTGCTGTTATTGGCGGCCAAATGGGCTATGGTGTGGGCGGTAATGCCCCTCAGCATCAGATTCCGGGGCATCACCAGCATCAAGGACATCCGCAGCTCGGGCATCCACAGCAGCATTATTCGCCTCAGGGGTCGGTGTCGCCTTATGGACGGTCGCCGAATGCACCACAGGGGCCCTTCTATTAGTTCATGTGTGAAAAGGGCAAAGGGCATAAGGCAAAAGGGTTTCTTGCCGGGTGGTTTTCTTTTTATATATTTCTTCAATTTTTCGATCCTCTTCTTTGGTTTATCTCTTCTTGATTTACGCTTTTTCTCTGCCTGTTAGCCGGTTGATTTCCTTCCTTCCCCGGAAAATACACGGTGCACGTACTGGGTTGCGGGTTGATGAAGAAAGATGATCTCTTTTTAAGGGGGTGGGTGCTGTTTGTAAGCGCATTTTTGTTCCCACGATCGATTCGATAGACAGGGGTGTTTGGAGCGCAGCTAGTTACTGGATTTATTTATCATGAATACCATTTTCCTTTTCAGTTAAGCGGTTGGGTCTTGTTTATTGCCGTCAGTCAATTCATGCCACGAGAATCTCAAGTAAGGACCGGCCCTAGACCAACATCGCCAACGGAGATAAGCATCAGGAGGCATAATATTTATGAGAAGTTCTCGCACTTGAGCCACCACCCCATCTATTTTTAATTTTATCTCAACCCTCCCCCTAGCTAGTTAACCGGTCGATCAGTTATGCCACTCAGGTCAGATCCAGAGATTTGGTCCGGCCGTTATTACACTAGCACCGTTCGGCGCATAAGATGAACGCATGGTTTAGACGACTAGGGGGGTGAACGCGAGGGGTTCGATGGTCGCATGGAAGCCGCAGGGCTTAAGATCGTTAGTTAATCTCGGATTTCTCGTTTCCTTGCGGTGGTAATTTTTCAACCGTTTACCAAGACTTAAACTGCGTGGGTATTGAATGAAGAGTTTCAGTTGTGGTGGGGAAGGTAATAAGACGACGTCCACATAGTCTGGGCCTTCATTCTCCATCAATACGGGGTACCGTGCTAGTCGCGAGCACCGGGGAAAGGGGAAGTACTGTGTAAATATCAACAAGTCGATGCAAGGAAGTTGACGCCAATCAAGAGGTTCATTAGAGATCATGTCGTTTGAAGTTAACTAACCGGCTTGGTCGCGATAAATCTTAAGACGGCGCGGCGCCGTTTTTGGGGTTCATGACTGCGAGTGTTTCTTGTCATCCGTTTCTCGTACTACACATCGCGGACGGGTGAATGGAAGATGAAGAAATCGGCGTTCGAACTGATCGTGGACGTAAACTTCTTTCGCATGGTTCGTTGCAAGGGTAAATTTATGGACAAATGGTGTAGTTATGCTTTCATATCTCCAGTCCCACAGATTAACTCACTTCGCAGTTGATGGGCTTCCTTACTGGGAGGCATTCTCCGGCCCATCCCTCGGACCGAACCACTTCCCTCAGACCCCGAGCTTCCAAAATCCACAACATCGCCTCGTTGCCCTCGTGCCAATGTCTCTCGGTTTCCGATGCGAGGCGACACGGCAAGCGCCGTTCAGTGAGTCGGCCAGCGGGCAGAAAAACAAAGCGCCTCGAGAGCGCCTGCGAATGAAGCCCCCGGACAATTCACAACGGTCCCAGAAAGCCCCACAGCCAATCAATGCCCGCGCAGCCGCCCAAACCAGTCCAGGCAGGGGGTCTTGGCGGTACGATCGGGGCAAGTGGGCCAGACCTCCCAGACTTGACAGGCTGAGGCAGGGGTGTTTTGCTCAGCGCTTTCCCTTTGCCACGACTTGTTTCAGACTTGCCCTTTCTCCTCTCGCTGGTTTGCTCCCTTCTTTGATCTTTTGCACCTGCCCAGAACGAGGGGCGAACGTTTCCAGCGGAACCTTGGCCAGCAAGACCGCGCGGATTGACTGGTGCAAGATGGGTCTTGCTGGAGAAGCTCCCCTGTCTTGGGTGGTAATTTTGTTCCCAATGGCGTCCCGAGTCCGGCGCTTCTTGTGTGACCTTTTGGTTCACCCGTGAATCGATATCCGCTTTGGGACAGTCGTGGATAGAGTGAATCGGGCAGGTCTGCCGAACAACAACGCAGCCGATGGATACGAGGAGAGATGCCCGCACCAGTTGAAGGGTGCGTTCGGGTTGGAAAGAGAGGGGATTCGGGGTAAGACGGGGCGGCCAAGGAAGTTTTCATAGATTTTCTCTGGCTCTGGGGTTGTCTTGGAGAGAATGCAAGGGGTTGCCCTTGGCTTGTCCACCACGCGCTGGCATCGCCATGCCGTTTCAGACACCCGCTGGGTCCCTGGCCAGGATTTTGTGTTTTGCTTTTATCTTCTCGTCGTTGTTCCCCACAACCCCCTGTCCCGTTTCTTTCTTCTTGTTTATGCTTTGGCTTGTTCTTCTCCTATTTTAATTCTTTTTGCTTGTTGGTTTTGTTCCTTACGGATTCCCGGTCGATTTCCGTTTTGGCTGGTGCCAATTCGTGACCTTGCCCCCTCGGGTTTGGAGGCTTGTGCTAGATCGCTCGCAATACAAGCTTTATTCATTCATCTTTTTGAGAGGGATCTGTTATTACTAGTTTTATTTTGCTACTTTTAGCATTCCCTTGTTCTATTGTTCCCTTCGTTCCGAGGTTGATCCCCGGCCACATTGTTCTGAGACGTTCGACCGTCGTTACTTTCTAATTCTCCGTTGGAAGCTTTTCCCCTCCCCCGTTAGAATTCGACAATCGTTACCGAAACGCCATAGACGACCTGACGTGTGAGATTCGAAGGGACAGAGGAGAGAGAGCAAGGGCGTCGATTCTGAGAGAGGGATTGGGTATCCCCAACCTTGCCAGAGGATCTCGAGAATCAGACGAAAGAAAAAAAGGCCAGGACATCAGACGATGAGGGGGATTGTTCGGGCTGTCCTGGCAGGGGCGCTGCTCTCCAGCAGCGTCTTGGCCGCCGACGTTCTGGAAACCATTGGCTTCAGTACCTGCGAGGACAACACCAGCGTCTCGGTACAGCGGGTCAAGATCAAGTACGACAATGAAGCGAAGACGGTCTCGTTCGACGTGGCCGGGTCCAGCGGCTCGGTACAAAACGTCTCGGCTATCCTCAGTGTCACGGCCTACGGCGAGGACATCTACTCGAACTCGTTCGACCCATGCTCGCAGGAAACGTTTGTCGAGCAGCTCTGTCCTGGTACGTTTTCGCTCTCTGTTTGCTGCTACTCGGCAGTTCTTTCTTAGGAGGTAATGGTGAGCTAACTTGAAGCAGTCCCTGCTGGCACTTTCTCGGCCAAAGGCACGCAAAAGATCCCCGAGAAGTATGCCGACCTCGTCCCGGCCATCGCCTTCCAGGTGCCAGATATCGCGGCTATGGCGACCTTGAAGCTGCAGTCGCTCGAAACCGGCAAAGACGTGGCCTGCATCCAGTCCCAGGTGACCAACGGCAAGACGGCCAGTGTTCCCGCGGTGTCCTACATCGCGGCCGGCGTAGCAGGCGCTGCTCTTATTCTCGGAGGCGTGTCAGCTGCTGGAGCTGCCATCGCCGGGGGTGGAGGTGCGGCAGCGGGAGGAGGGAGCTCAGCAGGCGGCATGGGCACGCTGAGTCCCAGCTTCACGGAAGTGTTTGGCTGGTTTCACGGCATGGCCGTCAATGGGATGATGTCGGTCAACTACCCGCCCGTCTACCGCAGCTTCTCCAAGAACTTTGGCTTTTCGACTGGGCTGATCCAATGGGAGCAACTGCAGACGTCTATTGACGGTTTCCGCGCCGCGACGGGTGGAAATCTGACCGAGAATAGCATGGCCTTCCTCAAGAAGGCGACCCTCGTTTACCCGGACGGCTCTTCGCAGGCCCCTCCAAGCCAAGGGGGGAGCAGCTCACTACTGGGGAGAGCAGCCGAGCAGTTCGTCCGGCTGGCCGCGCGCGAGATCGAAACAAGCGTCAACGGCACCTCGGGCGACACATCTGCCGGGCAGGAGGAGAACGGCGCTGAACGCACTGTCCGCGTCACGGTGTCGGGTATCAAGGGGTACGCCGAGCAGCTGAGCATCCCGTCGGCCAACACGTTCATGACGATTCTCCTCATCGTGGCTATCGTGATCGCGGTCATTGTCGTGGGCATCTTGCTGGTCAAAGTCATCCTCGAGTTCTGGGCGCTCTTCGGCAGCTTCCCACAGTCGCTCGCCGGGTTTCGGAAGCATTATTGGGGTTCGATCGCACGCGCCATCACGTCGCTTATTCTGCTGCTGTACGGCATCTGGGTGTTATACTGTGTGTTCCAGTTCACCCGTGGCGACTCGTGGGCGGCCAAAACCCTGGCCGGCGTCACGCTGTTTCTGTTTACCGCGATCCTGGCCTTCTTTTGCTGGAAGATCTGGGCCATTGCACGCAAGCTCAAGGCGCACGAGGGCGACACGGGCGGGCTGTATGACGACAAGGAAACCTGGGTCAAGTACAGCCTGTTCTACGAATCGTACCGCCGGGATTACTGGTGGATTTTCATCCCCACGCTCTTCTACATGTTTGCCAAGGGCTGCGTGATCGCGGCGGGCGATGGGCACGGCATGGTGCAGACGGTTGGGCAGCTAGCAATTGAAGGGGTCATGTTGATTCTGTTACTTTGGAGCAGGCCGTACGAGCGCAAGTCGAGCAACATTATCAACATCACCATCCAGGTCGTGCGGGTGCTGTCCGTCGCGTGCATCTTGATCTTTGTTGAGGAGTTTGGGATCGCCCAGACCACGCAGACCGTCACGGGCGTGGTGCTGATTGCTGTGCAGTCGGCGCTGACGGGAGTGTTGACGATTTTGATTGCGTGGAATGCGATCAATGCGTGCTGCAAGAAGAATCCCCATCGCGCGCGGCGGAAGGAGATGGGTGAGCTTTCCCCAAGTTGAGACCTCTCAACACCACAACACACCCATGTCCACCTACTAACAACTGTCCCCTTTTAGAAAAAATGCAACGCCGCGACACCCTCACCCCGCTCGATGCCCGAAACTCCCTTCTCCTCCTCAACAACCCCAAGTCCGGATCGGACTACTTCTCGTCCAAAAGCAGCATCGTCCCTCTCGTATCAGTCGAGTCCGACAAATCTGTCCCACCCGTTCCCCTCGTGCCCACCATCACAACCTCCAGCCACGGCACCAACGACAACAAGAACCACTTCAGGAGCAGCAGCAACTACAGCCACTTCTCCAACACCGGGCACATCAACTTCTCCCGCGGCGGTGCTCCTCCCCCCACCTCCAACGGCGGGTATGCCGCGTACAACAAGCAGCACGCTCGGGATCCAAGCCGCGAGAACCTTGTTGCGGCAGCGGCGCCGCCGGCCAGGGGAGGAGATAAGGGCCATCAGCATACGCGGAGTGCTAGCAGTGGGATTAGTGCGGTGGGAGGGATGAATGGGGTGAGTGGGATGGATGTGTTGATGCGGGATCCGACGGTGCCGAATGTAGGAGTAGGAGGAGGAGGAGCGTACGGGAACTTTGGAGGGGGAGCACAAAGTCAAGGTAGTGGAGGAGGGTACGGTGGTTTTGGGGGCGGAGGATATAGGAGGTTTTGATGGAGCATAACTATCGGTTAAGGAAGGGGAGGGTGTATGAGGAGGATTGAGGTGATGGTGGCGAGGCGAATCCGGGCAGACCTCACGTAGGCGCCCTCAGGATGTAAGATTTCAGTGGGTGATATACCCGGGTGGGCATTGCATATACTGCGTACATACAGACTTGATATCCCTTTGTATTTATTTTTATTTTTCGAAACACTTACAGGTTGGCTGTGAGAGGCAGAATATAATTAAATATATTACCCAGGTACTTGATTCGCCTTCATGATACCGGCTTAAACATTGCGGCAGGCATGCCTACTAGTTATTAAGTTTACCTAGCGTAACTTAACTGAAGATGATGTTCCTGACTTCTTTTTCGTATTTTCCTTTCCTCAGCGCTCCAGCATTCGCACAGTGGTCATAAGGGTGTTATTGACACCGTACATATTGCCAAGGTTACCTCATTTCACGGAGCATTGGGCGCACTTTCCCTCGGAACTGAGGGGCAGCACAGTGCGGATAATTCTTGAAACCGCCCAATGACCTCACATGCTCCAGACACTCGCACGCTCCCGCCATCACAACCGTTGGTGCCGAACGCGAGACTCGTTCCAGCAAAGCAATCTCTCGCGCCCCTTAGGATATTTCCAGAAAAAATTGGGGTCATATCATCTGGCCCGGTCATCGGACCGCCAGTCGCCCTAGACGGAAATAAAAATAAACTAAACCCTGAAAACAGCAAGCAAGTCCGATGGTCACAACTCAATAAACCACCCACACCTCCTTTCCACCAAGGCACACGGATCATGAGCGAGCTCCAGAAGAAGTGGGCAAAAGCAAAGTTTTCCACCGCCGTCCAACACGCCATGGCACCGCCGCCGCCCCCGTTGTCCTTGGCCGGATTCAACGAGCCCGACGAGGAAGCCGAGGACCGCTTCGGTTCCGGTCTTGTGCCCAACACCCCGCAAGACGACGACTCGTCCTCGGCGTCGTCGATGTCGTCTACGGGCACGATCATTCCGTCGCCGGGGCGGGCATTATTTGCACGGCCGCAGGGGTGAGTATGCTTGTTTTCTTCTTGAGGGGATTGAGATCACAGCAGAGGATAAAAGAGGCTAACATCGTACGCCAGCTTCCCCGGCCGCTCGCTGGACCCTATCCCGTGGACAACCTACTTTGAGCGCGAGCTGTTCCTCCCTGCTGCGGACGGGTCTATCACCTACCATGCCTATCTCACCTCACCGGCCCCGGGGTCTGCGTCCGTCAGTAGTAGTGGTGCTAAGTCTGGTGGTAGTAGCAACGGTGGCCCGCTGTTTGTCACACATCACGGCGCCGGTTCGTCGGGATTGTCATTCGCGGTTCTGGGCGCGGAGATCCGGAAGCGGTTGCCTACCGCGGGGATTCTGTCTTTGGATGCGCGCGGGCATGGGTTAACGACTACAAACCCGAGTGCCGCTGCCGGTTCTGGTACTGCTACTAGTGCTGAGAACGAAGATGACGGCGTGAATGGGGTTGAGAGCGGGGGTAACACGGCAGAGGATCTGAGCCTGACGACTCTAGCCTCTGATCTGCTGGCCGTATTAACTCTCACTCAAGCTGCCATGAACTGGACCTCACTACCACCTGTGATACTGGTAGGCCATTCGCTCGGTGGCGCTGTGGTGACCGAGTTTGCCTCAGTTCTGCTGCCGACGCTAAAACCACCCAACCATCCCGATCGCTCCGTATCATCACCAGCGAGACCACCACCACCACCATCAACATCATTACCACCAACACACCCATCGCCCGAATCCCCCGCCTCAGCCAGCCCACTCAACATCGACCTCCTCGGTTACGCCGTCCTTGACGTCGTCGAAGGCTCAGCCATCGACGCCCTGCAGAGCATGCACGCCTACCTAGCCACGCGCCCCGCCGGTTTTGCCTCTCCGCGCGACGCCGTCGACTGGCATGTGCGCTCGCGCACGTTACGCAACGCCGTCAGCGCGCGGGCAAGCGTGCCGGCGTTACTAGTGCGTCAAGAGCCAGAGCCAGGGAGAGGGAAAGATGAAGACCAACGGGGGGTTGTTGGGGTTGAGGAAAACGGGATCATCAGGGAAGAGCATGACGATGAGGCTAAAACCGGCGTCGAGGAAGGAAAGGGCCAGAACGCCACCAGGGCCTGGAGTCGGACGGGACAGGGCAAGCCAGATAAGCCGTGGCGATGGCGAACTGATCTGGCTGCTACGCAGCCTTTCTGGGAGGGCTGGTTCACTGGTCTTAGCAAGAAGTTCTTGAGCGGCCGTGGCGGCAAGATGTTGTTACTGGCGGGAACGGACCGGTTGGATACCGAGTTGACGATTGGGCAGATGCAGGGTATGTTTCTCTCCTGTCTTTCTTACGGTGCGCCCCTTTTTAAAGGGATAAATCCGCTAACATGCGAACGCAAATAGGTAAATACGCGCTTCAAGTCTTCCCCGAGGCTGGGCATTTTATCCACGAAGACCTACCCGAGAAGACGGCGATGACGTTGGTGGATTTCCACCGAAGAAATGACCGAGGCGCGTTGGTGCTGCCGCCCAAGGTCTCGGAGCTACTGGCGCAGGGGAAGAGGGTGTAAAGGGTAAGGGTCCCATTGAAAGGCAGGTCGGGCGATGAGTTGAAAGGGCCTGACATAGCTGGACTTGTTCAGTACCCCCTGGGGAGTAGACGGTGAATAGGTAAAGAAGGCTCGAAGATACCAGTTGCGTGACTCCCCCCAAGGACAACAGGGTACAGTTCACTCTGCGTCACGTTTGAGAAGACGATGATAGGAGCTGGACTCCGCCCCCAATGGTTTATTCTTAAGTAGCCTGGTCTACCGAGCAGACTACCGTCTGCCTCCCTCCATATATTCCATACAACCCGTACAAGTACATCATCACCGTCCTCCTGTTGCCCGCACACCGGGATATATCATCTATACTCCTCAAAAGCCAACCCCCCATTTTTATCCGTACCATGCGCCCTTAACACCGAACCAGTCCCGTGGTGTATGCTGAAGGAAACAATGAAGGGAAATAGGAGAGAGAACACCCATCGATCAGCCGCTTATACCGCAACCGACGCCGCCGTAGGAGGAGCCGGAACAGGCACAGCCTCCAGAGCATCCGCGACCCTCTTCGCCGGTTCCCCGCTCGCTTCTTCCTCATCCTCTCGCTTTCGCTTTTTCTCTACGTTTTGTTGCGGCTGCTGCTGCTGCTGCTTCTGTTTATTCTTCTGCTTGCCCTTCGGCTCCGGCTTGACTTCAAACTCCCCCAAACCCAACACTCGATCCGTCTCCCGCGCCATCCGCATCGCCTCTTCCTCCCCCTCTTGCCCCATCGCCTGCGCAAACGCAACATACGACCGCGCCGCCTGCACGATGCGATACTGCGGCGCTTTCCCCGGAATCATCTGACCCAGCAGGTACTTGGTGTTAGATAGCTTGTTCTCCGCTTCCATGGCGTAACGCAGGTACCGCGTGACGGCGTCCTGCCACGGAGCCATCCCCCCTGCAGCAGCACCGCGGAAACAGCTTGGGTTCTTCTCCGCCGCGGTCGCGATCATCGCGCCATCGACGCCGAACTCAGCCACCAACCCATCCGCCTGATCACGCCCTTCCACGTCCCCGTTCATGAGACACGCCACGCCCGCTTCATGGCAGACCTCCCGCACCATGCGCAGCTGGCCACGGATGGCGCGCTCGCGCGGCCGCATCGGCGTAGTCCGGCAGTGGATCGTCAAACCGGTGATACCCGTGCGCACCAGACGGCGCACCAGCGCCTCCGTCTCAGGCGCCGTTTCCAGCAGCCGGATCTTTACGCTGATACCGATACCAAAGGCCGGGGGGATCTCGCGGACCAGGGCCTCGAGGATACCCGCCAGCTTTTCCGGGGTGCGCAGCAGCGCGGCGCCCATGCCGCCTGATATGCTGAAGGGTTTTGGGCAGCCTGCGTTGACGTCGATGCCGGCGACGTCGGGGGCGACGAAGCGGGCTGCGGCTACTGCGCGGTCGGGGTCGGAGGTGCCCAGTTGGAAGACGAGGCGGTTCTTTTCGCGGGTCGGGTCCAGGCGGTAGATGACGGTTTCGGAGTAGCCTGCTGCTGGGCTGTTGGCGTGGGAGGGCTGGCGGGTGTACTCGATCATGTTGTTGCGGGGGTTGATGCGGCGGGTGGCGCCGATTAGGGAGTGGTCGACTGTTTCGGGGCCTGGAGAAGGGGGTTGAGGTAAGTTATTGAACAGATGAACAAGTTGGGGGAGGGGAAAGGAACGAACGTACCCCAGACCAAGTCTGCCCCATAGTGCAGCGCCAACAGTCGCGAGGGCAGTTCGCCTGACCGGACCATGGGCGCGAGCACCAGTTTCCCGCGGTAATTGACACCACGATGCGGAATTGGGACATGCGGGGTGGTTATAGATGTGAGCGTGGGTGGTGTCGGGACCACTGCTGGTGATGTGGATGTTGGTGTCGTGACTGTTGCTGCCGTTGTTGACGACGATAGTTGTGTCGCAGTAACAGGAACCGAAGTCCCAGTCGCAGCGGTTGCTGTTGCCGTCTGTTTGGCGGTGGCCATAATGTGGATGCCTCGGATTCCACACAGAAAGCGAGCGGTTCGCAACATCACCGAAGTTGAACGGGGGCTGTTTGTTGAACCTTTCCAGGTTGAATGGAAGTCGTTCCGTTTGGTGGGGGCCGTCAAAAAAATCACGGCAATTCTTTTAGTGGCCTGCGGCAGGCGTCTAGGCGCGGTACAGTGGGGCCGATGGGCGATATCAACGGCCAACCCCTCTAAAACCGTCACTTAACGCGATACCCAACATGCAACATCCTCTTCATGGAAGTCACGTTATGTGCTGGGTTATTTATTCATTTCGTAATCAACACGCCAACCTCAAGTAATTGTCAGAATATCAGACAAACCATCTATAGCCGACCCAAGAACAATTACCCGTGATAGTAGGTAAGACCTACCAGGTAACGTTAGATGGACGCAGCGCAAATTCACATGCCAAAATGCCATCGTCGTCCTTGGACAATTAATAATGGACGCAACCACCACAGAGACCCCCATCCCAATATCACCCGGATCATAACCCCAATCAGGAGTCCTTTTCCCCGCATCGCAACCGGCGATTTGGCTCTGACATCCTCGCGAAATTCCGTCAGCCAGCCCCATGTCGTCTCAGAGGTTGGGCGCACATGCTCGTGGCCATGGGCGAACCGAAAGAACCCGCCCAAAGCGCAGAATGCGCTGCCCGATGACAACTTTACTCGTCTTGGAGGTACGGTGGCAAAAGCAAAGGCTTGGGCTGGGAAGGGCGTCAAGCGCCGCAACGCCTGGAAACAAACAATCCACCACATGAGCATCGGTCGGCTACACTAGGGTGGTGGGATATCACGAGACCCGCCGCGGGGCGTCATCTGTGTCCCCTTTCCGCTCGTGCGATCTGCTTTTTGCGGAGGCCGATCGGAAATGGTCTCTCCATCTTTCCCATGCCAACACCAACGCCGGATGGGGAGAGCGAGGGTTTGTAAAGCGGGGCCGGCAGACCGGCCGCCCCTCCATTTTCCTGTGTCGGTTTTCCGCTTATGGGAAACTCGAAGATGCAAATAACAAGACTTGATTCGCCAATGTTTTGCGATTTTGATGGAGGGTCGCCGTCGTCGGGTGCCGGCAGTCCGACTTGGCGGGAGATGTTTCACCGCCGGCCCAGGCGGAGTTTGATGTCCCACAAACTTTACGAGGCCAATCCGGTGCGTCCATGGTGGTCTTGGGGACTTTTTGGCCATGGCATGGACCGGGTTATCGTGGGCTTCGTCGGCTTCACGGGCATGGCAGGCTCTGGGGGATGGAGCCGATGAGAACCCTTCCCCCTAGTGGGCTGCCTCACAGCACATGGCGGTGACAGGGTTCCTCCCTCTTGCCCGGGGGGGACCAACGGCAAGAACGGAAAGGAGAGATGATACCTGATCTCAGTGATCTCACAATCAAGACAAACTCTCCCCAGCTTTCATTCTCTTCCGTCCGTCTCAGGCTTGTGTTGATAGCCGGGCGTGCCCCTTCATCAAAACGTCAAACATACCAACGGCCAATCCCTCATCTCCTCAGCTCGAAAAGCCAGAGTGAGGTGGTGATCGCCAGAAATCTGACCCGCTCTGTTCAGGGTTCTGGGCTGTTGGGGGTTGTCCCATCTCCGTGGTTGGGGTGGGGTCATCCGTGTCTGATCGTGAAGAAAAGAAAGCACAGACAAGCCGACAGTGAGATGGACAGTGCGAATGCCAACATTCAGGGTCGCTAGGCCTAAGCGTGGTTTTGAGCGTGGGGGAAAGGTGGACGTGTAAGGGCTCAAAAGTCGTGTATATCCACTGCAGTAGGGTGAATACGAAGAACAGCTCATTAGGGCATTAAGGTTGGTGCCGAAGGGATGTATGGGACCAACGACTTAACATTATTAGTCGGGAAATTCATCGAAACAAAACTAACTAGATGAATATGGAGATTTTTGCTGGCCCAACTTCGGCTCATCCCACGGTTGGTGGGTATTGGGCATCGTTTCAAATGTTTTGTTTTCGGTTCATCTGCCATGGACTTGTTCTCCGGCAGGGTTGACCGAATTCTCTGAAGAGTGTTGGTTGGAACCCACTGAGGCCATTCAACAACAACAATAACACGGTAACTCAAAGAGCAATATCCAAGAGAAATCCAAGAACAGATTGAGGGTGTTTGTTCATTGTAGTCTACTTCTCTGTCTTCTTTCTTCTGTCAACATCTTTTAGCCTCCCAAACGTTTTTCCTCTCCGGTGCGGAAAAGTTGACCAAGACAAGATCTGCGCCGATCCGTCAAACGAACACCAACACCCATGTGGCCCCAACTCAGAAACATGTTGAGGGCCGGGGCAGCCCGCACCAGCTGACCACGACCAGCAGTTTCATCTTCCATGGAAAAGAAAAAGAAACCTCAACCCCCGAGCGGCCTGCAGGCAACCCACCAGGGTCGCTACCCGTTATCGCCGATTGTGCATATCACAATCCGTTATGGGAATCTGACATGGCACGCATGAGAATGAAGCGAGGTCTATCCTCAAAGGGCGATAGAGGCTCTCGATCCCAAAACTCCCCCACCAGCTCCCGCAGTCTTCCTGTGACGTCAGTGGCTGAGTTAGTCTCGTCCTTCCGGCTAGTCCTTTCTGAGTCTCGATTAACTAATTGAATCTGGCAACCGCCAACCTGAGCAAACAACGGAAATGGCTTAGCCAAGAAGAAGAAACGTGATATGAGGATGCGAATGAGAAATGAAGGGAAGAGGGAAACGATGGCATAACCAACTTGGAAGTCTGCGAGTTGCGGCGTGTGATGGGTGCTTCGGGTGCGCCAAAAGCTGAGTGCATTCATCCCACACTGTGCGGTGGGCTTGTCGTCCAATCTGATCTCACATCCTTGCGGCTGCGCGGCCCCACACAGGTTGACAACTCTTGGGATGCTCCTTCCTGATTGCTCGGCGACTGGCCAGCCGAGCCCAGCATGCCAACTCCCCGCTTCGGATCAGAGACGATTCCCCCCTTTGGCACTCAGCAAGAGGCAAAAAATCACACAGTACGCATCCCAGTATATCCATGCATACTGCCAGGCTCTGCCAGGCTAGCTAATTACATATAACTGCCTAACGGCTGTCTGCATAACGAGGTGCCTCCCCTCATTTAGTGAAGGCGATTACTAGTTACTCGACGGAATGCCCATATCTGGTCGGAAGGTGAAGAGTATGTCGGCCAGTTGCAGAAATGCCCAACCGCCTCTCCCCCACCCCACGTTGCGCCTTGTGTAACGATAACCGGATGGGCCCCAAGCCTCGAACACAGCAAGGCACGAGATGAGGGTTACAGGTCTCACAAACGGACCGGCCGGGCTCCTGGGTCACTCTCAATAAGAGAAAACAAGGTGCCAAAACAAAAGGTTTGGGAACACAAAAGGAGAACGAGGCGCTCATGGCGCTCAAGCGCTTGGGTTGTTCTTGCAACCCGCACCCAGGTTGGCTTGCTCGCTTTGTTGCATGATCCCAACACCCTGGCACAGCGCCGTCATGAAAGCAGATCGGTTTGGCGAGGCTTCGAATTCGCTCCGTGTCTCCATCCGTAGGTAACTCCATTAATCCATCGACTCCACCGCCCATTGTCGGAATCGGTTGTCTGAACAAAACCCTGTCGTGGGCCCCGCAGTGGCGGTTACAGACCACGACAGAGTTCGGCTTCTGCAATCGGGTCTATACACAGTACCTCGAGAGTACGTACACTATGAGTGTTGGGCTTTGATCTGACCTGATCCAACTGAAAAGGAAAGACACGCAATGATAATTGCACATGTTGGCGGCTGGCGGCGAGAACGTTCGGTGTCTCCAGCCCGAAGTTTTGGCGAAAAGCCAAGCAATAATAAGTACACGAGGTGGGATGTGCTGATTGCCTTCCATGCTGTGCTCCATGCGCTTGGAGCGGGGAAGTCGCGCCTTCCATGGGCGGCAGCATTGTCTGGGTCATGGTCCATGGATGTGCTGGGGGACCGGTTCTGGGGGTTGCACGCCCACCAGCAGCACCCCGCGGGCTCTGAGAGGCTGTGACTGTCGCCCACACGCTTTGCCCCGCTGCCTGATGAAACCTTGGCCGCCCGGCATGGAAAGGACTCGGGTCCTAGGCCTAGTTAACACCGAACTGGCCTGGCCGTCTCCATCTATATACCGAGTTAAGCGTAACTGTCTCTAAAAACAGTTAACGAGATACAGAGTAGTATGCATGTACACATCATAACGTCAAAGAGGCCCATACTCATGCCGCTGTCGACCGCCATCAAACTGGCAGTTCCGGTTCCAAAATCGCAGGCCGTGATTCGAGACGGTTGAGGGGATAATGAAAGCATCGACGTTGCTCACCTCCACCAACCCCGCGATCTCAAAGCTCCAAGCCCTGAACATCAGAACCTCAGCACCCCAAAGTTGAGCAAACCCCTCAGAGATCGTGTGCAATGCAACCATAGGTACCTATGTACGGATAACTCCCACGCCCCGCTGGACGCATCCCAAGTTTCAATGCAGTTGACGCGGTAAAAACGGGCCAGCCCGAGTTTCTTAACCGATCCGTACCTCACGTTCAACTGCGAACGCACCAAAGGGGGCGGCAATGAACGGCGAATTGGCAGCGGTCCGCAGATCCTCCCCTCCTTGGCACGTTACTAGCCTATCCCCAGCAACTTCCCCATCCTCCTCCCTTCTCCTCTCCTGGCGACCCTCCCATCAACCCTCTGATCAACCACGGGTACTCTTCGTTGCTTCATCCCGCCGCGGCCTGATCTCGCGACAATTCTGCGCTCATCCCGTTGAATTCAACTTTGTGTTCACCCATCTGGTTTGATCTGTCCATTTTGTGCCCCCTTTTTTTGCTTCCCTCGACAGGGGCAGACCGACGAGGGGGGGCGAACAAAAGCGGCACGTCTCCGCTTTCCCTGAGGGCCCGACGGATACGGGCGACTCGGGCTTTTTCACTTTTGGGTGGTTCTTCCTCTCCCTCGCAGTTTTTTGCACGCCTGCGCCCGCCAAGGACCCTTGACACACCACTCTTCCAGCGCGACCCGCCCACACAAACCACCCGGAAGACCCGCCTCTTCAGCGTCCGTGCTGTGGTTGTTCCCATCATCAACCCTCCATCTTTGGCAGTCCGCCTTTTTCTTTATCGCCCCAAACCCAGCCGCTGCATCACTGCATCAGCGTGTCCGACGACCCCGAGCGGCCAGAAAAATAAAAGGACGTCCCGTATACAGACGGCCCACTAGTTCCTACTAGGACCACAATCAGCTTTTTTTTCGACACGGAGCCGTGTTACCTCCTTCGACCCCCTCCCCGCCGCCCGCCTTAACCGGTCGTCGTGTAGCTTTCCCCGTCAGTCAGTGCTGTGCTGTTGACGACCGAGTCTCCTCCACCCACCCCCCACGGCGTTTACGCCGTCCACCGCCGCAGTCATGAGCGGCGAGTCCCCGCTGGCGGTCGTCACTGCCGTCATTCGATCCCTCGCGACAGACCCGACGACACACCCCCCGGGCGTTTCCCAAGCCTGCCCGGTCCGGCTCCCCGGCGACGACACCAACGAGAAACGCGACCTTGAGCTTGAGCTTGCCGCTCTTGTCCGTAGAGTTCAACATCTCGAGGCTCGGGCGAACTCGGCCGGTAACCACACCTTTCCCGATACGCCAAACGAGACGGCAGAGACACTCTTTGGGGATGATAGAAGCCGGCAGCGCCCGAGACTGCACCCGAACCTCCCGCAGAATGGCCCGATCGATCAGGCCGCCCTCGAGGGTCTCCGGGACCATGTCGACGACCAGTCCAAGCTGCTCGACAGCCAGCGCCAAGAACTAGACGGCGTGAACGCTCAGCTTCTTGAGCAAAAGCAACTTCAGGAGAAGGCATTGGCAATGTTGGAACAGGAACGCGTGGCTACTCTTGAGCGCGAGCTGTGGAAGCACCAGAAAGCGAACGAGGCCTTCCAAAAGGCGTTGCGTGAGATTGGTGAAATTGTCACTGCGGTCGCTCGTGGTGATCTTTCCAAGAAGGTCCGCATGAACAGTGTGGAAATGGACCCCGAGATCACAACCTTCAAGCGCACCATCAACACCATGATGGACCAACTGCAAGTCTTCTCCAGCGAAGTGTCTCGTGTGGCCCGTGAGGTCGGAACCGAAGGCATCCTAGGTGGTCAAGCTCAGATTGAAGGAGTCGATGGCACATGGAAGGAGTTAACCGACAATGGTGCGTCCCCCTCTTTACCGCTCTTACTACCCCGCTCCATCTCTAACTTTCCCTTCTGTCGACGTTGACGATGTCGGTTTTGTACTAACTCGGTTCTGTTTTTCCCCTCAGTGAACGTAATGGCTCAGAACCTCACCGATCAAGGTAATTCAAGCTCCCCCTCTTCCTCGCTGTTCCGGCAACTCTTTTCCATTGTAGGGCTGAGCTGACATCCCCCCGCAGTGCGCGAAATCGCTTCCGTGACAACGGCTGTGGCTCATGGCGATCTCACCAAGAAGATCGAGCGTCCCGCCAAGGGCGAGATCCTTCAACTTCAGCAGACCATTAATACCATGGTGGACCAACTGAGAACATTCGCCTCCGAAGTCACACGTGTCGCTAGAGATGTCGGAACCGAGGGTATACTCGGGGGTCAAGCCGACGTCGAAGGGGTGCAGGGCATGTGGAACGAGCTAACTGTCAACGTGAACGCCATGGCCAACAATTTAACCACACAAGTGCGAGACATCATCAAGGTCACCACGGCTGTCGCCAAGGGTGACTTAACCCAAAAGGTGCAGGCTGAATGCAGGGGAGAGATCTTCGAACTCAAGAAAACTATCAACTCCATGGTGGACCAGCTTCAACAGTTTGCTCGCGAAGTCACCAAGATCGCCAGGGAAGTCGGAACTGAGGGTAGACTAGGAGGTCAGGCCACCGTCCACGACGTCCAGGGAACCTGGCGGGACCTAACCGAAAATGTCAATGGCATGGCCATGAACTTAACGACGCAAGTGCGTGAGATCGCCAAGGTTACAACCGCCGTCGCCAAAGGTGATCTTACCAAGAAGATTGGGGTCGAGGTGCAGGGTGAAATCTTGGATCTGAAGAACACGATCAACACCATGGTTGACCGCCTGGGAACGTTCGCTTTCGAAGTCAGCAAAGTCGCTAGGGAGGTCGGCACCGATGGCACGCTCGGCGGTCAAGCCCAGGTCGACAATGTGGAGGGTAAATGGAAAGATCTCACCGAAAATGTCAACACCATGGCCAGGAACCTGACATCGCAGGTAAGTATCGAAACGCTTTCGCCCCAGGGCAAGGTAATTTTGCTCACCATTTTCTTTTTCTTCCTAGGTGCGTGGTATATCCACGGTCACACAAGCCATTGCCAACGGCGACATGAGTCGGAAGATCGACGTTGAAGCCAAGGGAGAGATACTCATCCTAAAAGAAACCATCAACAACATGGTTGATAGGTTGTCCATATTCTGTAACGAAGTACAGAGGGTGGCCAAGGACGTCGGAGTTGACGGCATAATGGGCGGTCAAGCCGACGTGGCTGGGCTGAAGGGGAGATGGAAAGAAATCACGACTGATGTCAATACAATGGCTAACAATTTGGTACGTCTCGCTTCCCTCTTTTTTTTATCGTTGCCTCAACCCCCTGCTAGGACTGCTCAGCTGACACCCTTTTGGTAGACTGCTCAAGTACGAGCATTCGGCGACATCACAAACGCCGCAACGGATGGCGACTTTACGAAGCTCGTTGAAGTTGAAGCGTCCGGCGAGATGGATGAGCTGAAAAAGAAGATCAACCAGATGGTGTACAACCTCAGGGACAGTATTCAGAGGAACACACAGGCTAGGGAGGCGGCCGAACTAGCCAACAAGACGAAGTCAGAGTTTTTGGCGAACATGTCGCACGAGATCCGAACACCGATGAACGGTATCATCGGTATGACCCAGCTCACGCTCGACACGGACTTGACCCAATACCAGAGAGAGATGCTCAATATCGTCAACTCGCTGGCTAATAGCTTGTTGACCATTATTGATGACATTCTCGATCTGTCCAAGATCGAGGCGCGGAGGATGGTCATCGAGGAGATCCCGTACACGGTGCGGGGTACCGTCTTCAACGCCCTCAAGACGCTAGCCGTCAAGGCGAACGAGAAGTTCTTGGACCTCACGTACCGTGTCGACAGCTCGGTGCCTGACCACGTCGTCGGCGACTCCTTCAGGTTGCGCCAGATTATTCTCAACCTGGTTGGCAATGCCATCAAGTTTACCGAGCACGGCGAAGTTAGTCTTACGATCCAAAAGGCGCAGGCCGTGCAGTCTGGAAACCCAGGCGAGTACGCCATCGAGTTCATCGTGGCCGACACGGGTATCGGTATTCCGTCGGACAAGCTTGATCTCATCTTTGACACCTTCCAGCAGGCCGACGGGTCTATGACTCGCAAGTTTGGCGGGACTGGCTTGGGTCTTTCCATTTCGAAACGACTCGTCAATCTCATGGGTGGTGATGTCTGGGTGAAGAGCGAGTACGGCAAGGGCAGCAAGTTCTACTTCACGTGTATCGTCCGCCTAGCGAACGAGGATGTGGCTTTGATCGCCAAGCAGCTCAACCCTTACAAGGGCCACCAAGTGCTCTTCATCGACAAGGGCAGAACCGGCCACGGGGCCCAGATCGTGCAAATGCTCGAAACGTTGGGCTTGATGCCCATCGTTGTTGAGTCCGAGAAGAACCCGGCCCTGGACAAGGCCCGCGGCCAAGGCACCGCGCCTTACGATGTTATCATTGTTGATTCCATTGAGGATGCGCGTAGGCTGCGCTCAGTCGACGATTTCAAGTACCTCCCGATCGTCCTTCTCGCACCGGTGGTCCATGTATCGCTCAAGTCCTGCTTGGACCTGGGCATCACCTCATACATGACCACGCCCTGCAAGTTGATTGACCTTGGAAACGGGATGGTTCCCGCGCTGGAGAATAGGGCCACGCCGTCGCTAGCGGATAATACCCGCTCGTTTGAGATCTTGTTGGCCGAAGACAACACTGTGAACCAGCGGCTTGCCGTTAAGATCCTCGAGAAGTATCACCACGTTGTCACCGTTGTCGGCAACGGTGAGGAGGCCGTGGTGGCCGTTAAGCGGAAGAAGTTCGACGTGATCCTGATGGACGTGCAGATGCCAATCATGGTAAGTTCCTGACCTCCAGCAACTCCGCTCCAAATCATGATTTTCCCCAGCCACTGACAATGCGCAGGGTGGCTTTGAAGCGACCGGCAAGATCCGCGAGTACGAGCGTAACCTCGGCAACCAACGCACCCCTATCATCGCCCTGACAGCGCACGCTATGATGGGCGACCGTGAGAAGTGTATCCAGGCGCAGATGGACGAGTACCTCTCCAAACCGCTGCAGCAAAACCACCTCATCCAGACCATCCTCAAGTGCGCCACCCTCGGCGGCCAGCTACTCGAAAAGAATAGGGAACGCGAGCTGGCACGCGCTGCCGATGCCGCCACTGGCAGCCGTCGCGATAACCCGACCCTTGCGGCGGCATACCAAGCGTCGGCCGCCGCTAATGCCGCGTCTGCCGCTGTTCGGCCACCGCTGTCTACCCGCGCTATTACCGCTGCTGATAACATCAGTGCCTTGGACAGCCCATCACTAGTGACGGGCGAGAACGACGATCCCTTGAATCGGGCGCGGTCAAGCCTGTCGGAACCAAACATCCACTCTGCGCAGATTGGCTAAAAAAAAACGAAGACTAATCCTTTACGCTTCTGCTAAGAACTCTGGATGGTTGATGTTGGTTGGTCTGGTGTTGTTTTGACTTGCTTAGTCCCCCTTGCCTACTACAGAATCGGGCTCCGGGCGGGTTTCTCTACATCTCTCTCTGGTCTTGGGTTTCCCGGGGGTTGGGTTCTCTGTGTCCTTAGCTGTGCTCTCTCACTTTCTATCTATCCGTCTCTCGCTGGCTTTGGGCCTGGGTTGGTTTATGGTTTTCTCTTTTTCCCCTTTTTTTTCCTGTTTTTGGTAGGGGTGGTTTTTCTTTTTTTTTTATCCTTAGTTTCAAGTTCCTTACCGGCTTGCTTTGGGGATGCTTGCATCTAGCTTTATCTAGTCTACAGCGACTGCTACTGCTGAGTTTTGCTGCTGTTGAGTTCAGTCTCTTCCCCATTTTCTGCTCATGCATGTGTGGTAGTGTGGTCTCCGTTGTTGTTAAGACGATGGTAAAGGAGGGCATTTATTTGCTGTGTGTGCTGTGGGGATCGGCGATGAATGACGACAACAACAGTTGCTCCCCCATCATCATGTTACACCCCTAGAGGGTTGTGTGTGTGGTTTATCTCGTACTTCCAGCTTCGACAACCCGCTATCGTCATCACCAGTGCCGTTACTGTGGTTGTATCACACAGGGCAAGGTCACATCGACACATCCCACCAGATTCATACACGAACATGCAGCAACACGAAAATCACCCCAGCTTGCGACACTATCGCTTTTCGGATCTCTCTCTGACTGTGTTTATCTGTTTTACCATTTGACCTTTTGGCATGCTTGCGTCTGATTTAGCATAATAATCTAGCGTTGTTGAAAATATGGAAATATTTGTTATTCCTTATTGTCTTGTCTTGTATGTCTGATTTTGAGTTACCGGTTCTTGATTTTTAGGTTTTACAGGGAGTTAGTGTCAAGCAGGCAGGCAGGCAGGAGGAAAGCGCGATTAGTTCGGCATGTAGAGCGAAAGAAAAGGAGGATGAAAACAAATGGTAGACCGAATGAATATGAGGTTTCTTGATTCTGGCTTCTCTGTGTCATGGTGGTCGGCTTGTTGTATTGTGTATCGTTGCGGTGGACGGACGCCGGGGTATATTAGCACGAGAGATGACATTCGGTTCTTGCTTTCACTCTTAGCTCTCGACCTTTTGCGAGTTAGTCAATTCCCTTCTAGCGCCTTGACATTATCTTGCTAGAGTGTGCTTGGCTGCCTTTAGGCCTTCTTCTGCTGGGCTTATGATTCATATTTATCTGTGTTGCCCAAGTCGAAACTTCCATGTGATCGAACCAACCCGGAGAAGCCGTGATGGAAGTAGGAGAAGCGGAGATCGACACATTGATCGGCCAAGTCAGATTCACAGGTCCTAATAGCACTAAAATGGCATAATACTGTCAAAGATCATAGGTATCAGGACTGCCTGAGTGTTCAATCCATTTCGATTCGAGTTCCTGGGTTGCTTGTACCGAACCGAGGCGCACATACTATGCCTTCCTCATGTATATACCGCTTGCTCGCTTGCTCGCCTACTGCGCTACACCAAAACAAAAAAACACCAACCCTTATGTTGAGAAGGTTGTTGCTGAAGATTTCCCTCCGTCATCATCACCCCTGCCCCATAGATACCTGACAAACAAATAGTAACCGCTATGTTGCTCCCGACACGCTTGATACCAGAATGCCATATATCTCGTGCAAAAACCAGAAAAGAAAGGATTCAAGTAAACCAAGAGAAAATGAGGCAAATGTGACAAGATGAGGCGGGCCTAAATCATTTAAAACGCCAACTCCGCTAACCTTCCCCCCCTGCCCACTCTGATGATGTTATGTCCCCCTCCTTGCCCCGCGACCTACCCAAACTATTCTATTTCAAAACAACCTATCCCGTCCTTGTTTTCGGGGTTACCTTCATCAACAACGGCCAACAAACAATGACCCTGTTTGTTGCATGGATTCCATCGTTCGGCTTCCTGCCCTTGGTTGTTCTGCTCCCTCCACCCTATATCGTGAAGCATAGGCGAGAGCCCGAGAACTGACGTCCTCCTTGACGCATCGGCTCTGGCTTGAACCAAGGTCCGCGGTATCTCGTCAGTCCACCCACGCCCCTGAAGCCTCGTTTATCCAAACATTGCAAGAATGAACACATATCAGGGCGTGTGGATCGTAATTGCGAACATATGTTACTGCCCGCAGCAGTGTGTGAGTGTGTTAGTGTGTGTGAGTGTGCGTATGTGCGTGTGCGTGTGTGTGTACGGGCACATGCTCGCCCTCTGTGTGTGCGTACTACGGATCACCTTGCCCTCATCCAAAGAGTACGTCCTTATGTCGGGGTTATTGCGCGACTGTGGGACGAACAGAAACGCTGGTCGTCGTCATAGGTGGGGTTTTCCGGCCCTCCTGCCATCGGTCGTTTCCTGCGCCTAGACTTGCTGTTGACCTCACTCTCTCGGCCGGTCTCCCGATTGTTTCCAGCAAAAAGCAGCCCTGGACTCATGCTCCACAACTCCGAGTCTATCCGATCACTCTGCCCTGCGGTCAACAATCTCACCGGCTTTAAGGAGTGCATTCATGCCGTCAAAATGAGAGGCTGGTTTCGCGGGTTGTTGTGGTGGCTGTTGCTGCGAAGAGAAGCCCTGAGAAGTGAACTGGGACCCGCCATTCATGGGAGGGTGATGGTGTGGTAATGGCTGAGAATGTTGATGGTACCCTGATAACATCACCACCGTTAGCGACACTCCATAAAGATAAACAGCCCGTAGAAAACGCACCGTTTGTGGCAGAGGCGTTAGTGGCACCGATCGGAGACTGGGGCATGGGACGAGCATTCGGATCGACGGCGTATGAACTTGGAGGCAAATGTGTCGGCGGCTGGTGGTGGGCAAACGCGGGAGGTTCTGGCTTGGAGCTCAGCAGCGCGTGTATTGGCAAGGAGCCATCGACCGGTTGGCGGGCTTGGCTGTATGAAGATTGCGAGGGGGGATGCGCGCTGTTGTAGAGTGAGAGATTCCCGTTTGTTAGTGGGCGGGTGTCACCGTTCGAATGGGCGAGAGGATGAGGTCCTGGGCTGCCAGCAGGGTGGTTTGGAGTGTAGTGATATCCCGGTGGGTCGCTCGGAGGACGTATTTCACTCGGGAGCCCCGACCCGTCTAATATGTTGGAGAGTGACGGGAGGTGCCTATGCATGCTTGGCTGTTCGCGGAAGATTTGTCCATCTCCTTGGCTAGAATGGCGAGCTGATGAGAATGATGACGGCTTGTTCCCGTCCGAACGGAGAGGGGGCGAGGGATCTGAGGAACGTGAGTCACTGTTGCTGTCCGAGGGAGAGAGGACGGAGTCCTCAGGTGACGTGATCGCCGTCGACGGGGCGAGGGACGAGGACGACTGCGAGTCGCTGGAGATGGCCGAGGGCACTCTGTGTCTTGAACTGGGCGGTTCGCTTCCTCTTCTGCTGTCGGCGCCGCTCCCGCTACGGCTAGTCCTCGTCGTGCCCGAGCTAGGGCTGGCGCGAGGTTGTTGGCCTCCTGACAACTCGGAGAGCCTGGGCCGCTTCGAAGCATCTTTGTCTGTACCAACCAAAAACGCGCCTGTTAAAACAACGCCTCTTCCAACAGCCTTTGCACTACCACACCCCACCCATACGCACCTTGAGACGGAGAAGCGTGTTTGGCCTTGAACTCTAGGAGATAGGCATTGTACTTCCTGTAATCGGGGGTCTTTTTGTACTCGGCCAGGTCGCTCAGGTATTTATCCTTCATGGCCTGGGCTTGGGACTCGAACGGCTCCTTCTCGACCACTCCCAAGTTCTGCCAGTTCTCGCCCACCAACTTGGCAATTTCGGTGAAACTCAAGTTTCGGCCCTTGAGCTCCTCGCGCATTTCTGTGTGGGCGGAGTGTCAGTAATCGACCGTACGTGGCTGCTGGCTAGGAGGCCATGCCATGTGATGTCATGTCGCTCGCAGCTTACTATTAGAGAAGAGCACATAGGCCGAAGGTGGCCGCTCCGGCGCATTCTCATCCGGCTGGTTATCACGGTTAGTGGCTAAAATTCCACAAGTTATACTCTCACACTTGAGACATCAGAACCAACCTTGGGATGCCGCCGGTACTTCCTCTTTGTGGTGACGGGGCCGACAGCCTCTCGGCCGTCAACGGGTGGCACCTCGGTCTTGACAACATCCTGCAACTTAAGCTCCTCAATAGCCGCCTGTGTTGGCGACAACAAGGACACGTCCGGAGCAACCCCCCTCGAATTGGCGATCCGCCTTTGAAGTTTCTGTCGGAACACATCAGTAAGCATCCTGAATTGCTCGCAGACCGCCCATATTACGCCACGGCATAACGCTTCCGGCGCAATATGCGACGAGAGCTCGGGCGGGCAATAAAGAGGACAGTGCATACCCGACGGTGACCTAGTTTCACCCCCAATGCATCGCTACCGCCCGAAACGCTGAGTTAGCAAAGATGCTCCATAGATTTCACGGAGTTTGCACGCCCCACTCCCACCAAGGTCGAATCCCACGTACAGGTCGGACTCGGTGACATCTAGGATGGTCTCCCACGTATCGAACCCTTGATCTATGAAGGCATCCAAATACTGGGTGAGGCCCAGCTCCTCAAATATGCTCCCGAGTAGTTGCGTCATCCGGGGCAATGGCAATGGTCTCGCGGCGCAGCACGCCCGCAAGGACCAAATTGCGCGGCGAGTCTACGGACTCCAGGCTTCGGAAATCGTTACGGCGGCGGTAGGGTGTCGGCACTTCACGGTAAATCGTCTCGGCGCCGCCAGGAGGAGCCGGGACACCGAACTCTGGGGGTGCTTCCCCCTTCCCGACTCTGTAGCAAACCCTTTCGTCGTGCCGCTAGCGCTTTAAGTTGACCTCAATGGCGTTCGCAGTGGTCCGGTGAACAACAGGGCACACCGTACAACAGTACCCTGTCCTGGCGCCTTTCGCTGTTTCGGTCGGTTTGCCCACGCGCGACCAACTCCGGAACGTTGGGACTCTTCGATGGGTGACTAAAGTGCGGTACCTTCGAAGGGGCCGGAAAATTTAGGGCGAACAAAGGCGCGAGGAAGGCCGTCACGGTTGTTTGGGCCGGCGTAGGTCTTGGAACCGGTTGTCGTCGGGGAATTAAGAATCGCTGTTCTCTTTCGTCGTCGGAAGCGGTACCGCGGGTTCGGGCGAAGGCGGGGATGACTGCGCGGGGAGTCAATTTCAAAATCGGAAAGGGATTCGGTTCGGATATGGCAGTCGTTTCGAAACTCAGCGGCCTGGTGTTTTTGTTTTGGAGGAGGAAGGAAAGGGGGGGTGTGGGCGAAGGTTGAAAGATCGTGATGACATGCCGAATTGTACAGGAGGGAGGCAAGGCGCGTGGGGACCGGAATCGAGATGACATGGGTCCCATGATGATGGGACGGCTATTGGGAAAGGGTACTTACACGGAATGGGATCGATTTCGCCTGCTTGAATGGGGAATGGTTTTTTTGGCCAGGTGTAACGGAAACCGGCTCGTGTCTGGCGGGGGGACTGCTTGGGCGGACAAATGTCTGGGCGTGGCGTAAAATTAAAACGGGGACATGGGCCAGCTCCTGGGTCTAGACTCTTCTTCTCTCCTCGGGCCCAAGGATGAGGGAGAAGGGCTCTTTTCGGGTCGCCCTTCTGTCGAGATGGGATGGTGTGGCGCGGAGGCTTGGGAGGGCTTGCAGTTAACCTTTAGTTGCATGCAACTGATGCAAGCACGGATTCGAGACAATCAGCTTTTCTCCTCGGGATCAAGGTTGCAGGCGACGAGGCGTTGGCACAGGCGCGGGCTCTTTTTGGACCAGGGAGGGCACGCACAGGGTTGAGTTTGCTGGGATGCGGTTGATGTTAAAACAACAGCAGGCCCATTGGCATGTCGAGCCCCGTCGAGCTGCGCAGACCCTATGGGCTGTCTTCCTATTTGTGGCCCGTGGAGCTGCGTCCTGGGTAATAAGCTGTAACTTTTAGTCCGCACCTCGTACTGTGGAAGCGTGGTAAGTTCTGCGCCTTGCTGCTGGGACGATCTTTTGATGGACCGGTTGACGAGCGGGCCGAGGCCGGGGTGGACAAATGGAGTGGGAATGTCCTGATAATGTCGTCAAGGGCGCTGGGGTGTGTCCTGCGGGATCCGGAAAATGCGACGGGGAGCACCAAAGAGATGCGAAATGCCAGGGCAGCAAGGAATTCCAACACATCTGCAAAGCCCGGGGCTTACCGGGGGGAGGGGGTCAGTTGTTGTCTGGGGCCGCTGTGTGTCAAAGAACACGACTGGTACGGAGCAGCCACGGCCGGGCAGGCGATCATTCAAGTACCTGCAGGTTGAGGGTACAAGCTTTGCTCTGGGGACCGAGCGATCTCGAAAACTCGTGGCCCAGTAGCAAAGATCATCCATTGACGACAACGACAGGCGTGTTTTCAGTGCAAGAGTTCCTCGTTTAGTTGACGACCGTTGCTGTCGAAGTGTGGGCATGTGTCCGTTTTGGGACATTGAAGCCGGCAGCATAATACATAACACTGTGCCTACGCATATCGCCGGAACGGCCGAGTGCCGGCGGACGGTGGCCGACGATTGATGGGCTACGACGGCATTCCCGCAATCCAGTGGATTGAGTCGCAGAGTTCTCGGACGAGGTTGCCGATTCGAATGAATTCACGGTGAGAGTAAAAAGGAGATCGTGGCAATGGCGACAGCGTGCATCCAGTTGATGGTCAAGAACTTGATCCTCATTTCCACAGGCATCGAGAGATCGTGCAACAACTGTCATCGATCGAGCGATGAGCAATGAATTCCTGGGTAAGAACGACTGATGTGGAAGACAGTGCCGATGGAAGAAGACAGTGCGGATTCATAACGGACCATTATTTACATACTCCGGTGGAAGAGCGGAGGGCTCAACGACAGCACTGTGCGAACAGGGGCGCAATTGGGGAAAGAACGAGCAAAAGCATCTCGATCTCCAACAAGTGCAGATAAAAAAGAACCTACGATTCTTGGATGATATGGACATACCATTGGGCAAGAGCTACCCCTCGACCCCGCTAATTTACCAAATAGGTTTAGTGAGTGCGGGACGACCGTGGCAGGAACGATCACCACTTTGCAGCTGCATCTCCTTCTTCCAGCGGCGGGCGAGCAAAGCTTGGGGAGGCGAATCTTCAACGCGACAATGGGGCCAATCCCCTTCCACCCTCTCTACTTTTCTTGCATGAAGAACCGGGATTCTTTGCAAAGATAGAATTCGCCTCTTTTTTCCCTTAACGTTTCGGCCACGGTCTCGAAAAGTTGGAGGGGGAGCGAGCCGATCAATGGAGCGAATCCTAATGGCGCCCGAGAATGCCCATGGTGTGCCCATGTCTTGGAGCGCGGGGAGGCGGGCTCCCATGACTGGAGGGCCGTGGTGAGGGCGAGAAAAGCGAGAGGGTTTGCGTGGTGAGCAGTCTCCGACATCGAGGTTTTGCCCTGCAATCGGAGAGCCGGGATCGCTCACCCCCGTCGAGCCCGCATGATGCTGCCGGTTCCGTCCTGCACAACGCTCAGCAACCTGCGCGGGCGTGACATCCTCCGACAAAAGCTCGGTCGGAGGGCTCGACATGGGGGCGCAACGGGCAACGACAGGAGGACAGGCACATCTTGACAAGCAACAGGCATCCGGGCGAACTCGCGGGCCTGCCCAGATCGTCAAACATTGGACAAGCGGTTTCACTACGCAAACCATGTGAGAAGTTAGAAATCGCATTTCTCAAGCCATCGGGTTTTGTTCGAAAATCGACGAAATCGACAAAATCAACCATGCGAACCATCCACAACGAGTACAGGGTTCCTCGAAACGGCTGTTGGCGGCTAACCGGCGTGAAGCACTCCAGGGTTGGTCCTGATAATAATTACATCCCCCCCAAGCTTGTCCCTGGGCAGCAGTACGTACACTATGAGAGCACAGGATGGAACCGTAAGTTCAACAGATCGAAGATACCGCAAACCATCGAGGGACAACTTCACCAGGCGAGCACTGCCAAGGATGGGGGTGGGGCGGATGAATGGGAGAAGAGTCATTCATGAGCGAATAACACGTTCCCGGGTGGTTGGGAGGTCCTGATGGATGTCTGCATTCTGTAACTGACGTTCCTCACCCTGCTGGGGAACACATACATACATACATACACACACACACACACACACACACTGATTGTAACCATAACGAGTGGGCGACACATTCACAGTACGTACACGCAGTAGACATACTCAGGTAGTCAGACAAGAGGTGCACCAACGATGGCGACTTTTTGAACGTTCGTTTGGCTCGCGCTGGTTAGCGCCGCTGGTCCACGACAGGCTCACGCGAGAGCCAATGGCTGGAACTCGGTGGACGGGAAGGCCGCGCCACCCGTCAGCCCTTTTTCACTGGGATGAACTTACCGGTCTCACCGACCATGGGATTGTGATTTTGGGATGGGGTGAGTCCTCGGGAACGTTTTCACCGCGTTTTCGCGCGACAGTCGCAGTCGCACCGGCTCCATATCAGCAGCGAACCAGAGATGAGGGAGACCTTCCCGGCAGTTTGTCCCCATCGCCTGAATTAGCCACCCAAGCCACCACACTCTTCAGCAGCTCTCGGTTTCTTGAAAGGGGCGCGTGCCAACGGTGATATGGAACGAGGGCCTGGACCGCGGTCTTCCGGGGGCATCGTGATTTCCCATCGATGGCTGTCGATGTATTCGGTGTCCTCGATGGCCGGCAAGTTGAGGTTGATGATCGAGGATGGATGGCGAAACGTAGCACGAGCCTTTCTGGTTTGCTTTTCGCTCCTGACGTTAACGAAATTTGAGCAATTGTTTGAAGTCATTGGATATCCAAACGGGCAGTCGGCGACAAAGGCCAGTCGATGGCCAGTCTTCTGACACCTTTTTTGATATATCGAGGGAATTTTGTGGCAATTTTTTTCCTCAGTTTGGGAACGACAAGACGTCATGTCGAGTGTCGTCGAGTGTCGAGGGGAAGGCTTTGCAGTTGAGCAACCGAAGCAGCTGAAGTGAGGTGGCCCCATTGTTTCTTTCACAAACGGGCTCAACCCAGGCTCGCCAGGGCGAGCCAGACGAGCCCCAACGGGCGGCGTAGCCTTGCTGCAGGCATCAGACGACGCTCCATGAGCCAACCCTACACAGGAGGCTCTAGCCAACTCTAGACCACGATTCTTACTCGCAAACTTCGCCCCTCTATCGTGAGATCGGAGCATCGAGCGAGTCAACCGGCTTCATAGTTTCCTTTTCCATTTTTTTCAGCTACACGTGTAGTTACCAGGACCACAGTTATCGCACCGGCAATCCCACTGGTAATCCGGGGTGCATGTAACCAGAGCAGCAGTGCCAGCTGAAACACACACCACCCGCAGTCCCGAGAAGCCCAACTCTCATCTTCTCCAACCTTCCATCCCTACCTAGGACACCACATCACGATTCTTCCCCGAGACACCGCCTCACCACCAGCCAAACGAGTGAAGATGGCGCCAAGTGCCACACCTAACGTCCGTCGAGGCGATGACGGTAACGCTTCCCGCGACAGCAACGACCAAGTCTCAGCTCGGGAATCACCGGAGCAAACCACCTCGTCGTCGGTCGGCGACAATCTCGCCCAGGTAAGCCCAGACTCGACGACTATCCGTGTTCAGTGTCCACCCCGTTGCAGGCTTGTTTTGTTCTTTTGTTCTTCAGCCCTGTCGCCTTCGTTCCCCAGTCTGTTTCTTTTTCTGGCCAGGTTGCTAATTCCCAGTCCCCTTGTCCCGGGACTGACGGTCTAGGCCCTTCGAGACCTTGCAAGGTACGTCCTGCTACACAACAGAGTGCAGGCACATCTTTCTATTTGTTTTGTGCATTGTTTGAGTCTCTAAACCGCGAGTGCGGCACTGGGTACAAGATTTCGACATCTCCGTTCCGGTCTCCCAGATCTGAGGGACGTTCCTCCCCTTTTCGAACCACAGTGGCTTCGTTCTTGCCTTGGAAGTAGGTCGAAGCGGGGCGTGGCCAAGGCTGCGGTTGCGGTTGCGGCTGCGGCTGCGGCTGGCGGTCAACCAACCCCCTCAGGGTCCTCACCTTGGAAAGGGCTGGTTCCGGTTCGACACGCACTTCGCTCTGTCCTGCAGGGGCTGCAGCACCCAGCAGCGGCCAGCAAGGACGGAGGACCCTGAAAAGAAGGAGTGAGGGACAGATCCCCTCCTAAAACGCAACCCACGACGTCGGGTGGATCGCCAGGGTCCTCTTCGCTGACACGACGTTGGTTGCCCGCTTGCTTGCTTCACAACGAAAAAGGAGACGATCCTCCTCGGATCACGCCTCCTCCCTCTCGTTCCTACGATGTACCTCACCGTGCATAGCATGGCCCACTGCCAACTGATTGATTCATTTGACCCATTCGACGAGCACGGGGCATCAGTCGGGCAGGAGTGGGAACGACCAGAGAAGAGGGCGCTAGTCAGTAACCGGCGCCCCATGCTGTGCTTCGGCCTTGTTTTTCTCGTTCGATTTTTCGTTTGGGGTTTTCCTTGATTTTCACCTGCGAATCTGCGCTGCCCGCAGCATATGTTCCCCACTCGTCTAGCGAATTCCTTCCTTCCGGCGTCAACTCCGGACGGGGGTCTTTGGAAGAGGATAGAAAAGCCAAGACAACGAAAGCCACAGAGTTGCAGAGTCGCGGCGGTAAACAACGACAAGCGTCGTCAAGTGCACCCCTCATTTACACTCCCCCTTCCCCCTCACCCCTCACACCCCTCACTCACCCCGAATCCACTGCCCGCTTTCCCTTCACGGAAATGCCCCAAAGGTCGGAGGATGCACATCCCGTCCGCTTGTGCATTATGACGATGATGACGCCGGGAGGAGTGGGGAGCAATAACCTCAACCACAACCACAGCTGCAACAACAACAACAATCACACACCACACCCTCTAATGTCACACGCCATCCACCACACCGCCTCTCATCTGCCGTCCTGTCTTCTGCTTCACGTACCCACATGGCTATTACCATACCTGCATCTTTACCGCCTTCCTTTTTCGAGTTTACCCATGAACAGCTCCAATCCCAAGTTATCCTCTCAACACCTCAAAGGAGGCCAGTTTACTAACCTTCCGACGCCGTCGTAACAACAAACAGGGGTGAACAAACGGCCAACACGCTTGAGGCGAACCTGACTAGTCTTGAAAGCAAGCTGGACCAGATCTTGGCGTCGTTTGGGATTTCGCCTGAGGAGTTGGATGGGTTGGACGAAAAGGAGGGGAAGGGGGATGAGAAGGATGGGAAGAAGCACGGAGAGAAGGAAGTTGACGGGGAGAATAAATGAGGATGGGGATGGGAGGAAGACTGGTAACAGTAACGGTCATGAAGATGAGCGCAGCAGCGGCGGTGTTTTGCCGAAGTAGGTAAAACACCAGGCGCCCCGGCGATCCGTTCGTCGCGTATAGAAGAAATAGACGGAGGAGTAATTCCCAGAGAAGTGTATACTGACACAGCTGAGGAAAAGAGGAAGAGTAAACAGAAATAGAGCGAAATGCACCCAGAGATATAGATATATATACCCACGGGAGCGGAGCCCAAACTCGAGAACTGCGCATGTGGGACGTCGGCGTCACATAATTCCCACGTGTGACCCTCGCCTGAAACTGCAAAACATTTAGAAGCAGACAGCAAGCATTGTTACCAGTTGATCCACCATCTAGTTCAACAAACCAGAAGACCCCAGACAACAACACTCACCAACAACTAGCTTATCCAACCGTCTAACCTATCACACCAGGGCCAGGACGCAAATCAGAGAGATAACATGGAGAGCACGATAACGAATCTAACAGGGAAAGAACACCATCGTCAATTCATTCATAGTATACTCAAACGGGTCACAACCAACCAGTCATACCTAGTCATATCCCTTCCAACCTACTACCCCTGACACCGCAGAAAAACCCAACAACACCCCCACTGTGTGTGTATAACAAAAAAAAGAGCGGAACAAATAAAGACGGAAAACAACACAACATTCTACTCTACTCCCCCTCGACCGGTTCCGCGTCCCAATCTTTCTGGATCAGCAATTCCTCCAACCCTTCCGTCTTAGAAATCACGAGCCCCTTCTCATTGGCCAAATGCAGCAGACAGATAAAGCAGAAACTGGTCGAGATGTCGTCCATAGCCTGCTTCGGGTAGACCCGCTGCAGGTCGTTGACGACGGACGTGAATTTCAACGTGGGATCGGCCGAGTCTCCCTTGCCGCTGCCGTCGGCTCCCGTCGTCGTGAGGGGTTTCTCGGGGGAGGTTGGGGTCATCAGCCGACTGGTTTCGTTGATGGCTGTTGTGTTGGCGGGGTTGGTTTGGTTCTGTGCAGTCTTGTTAGTTTTAGGAAGAAGATGAACGGTCGATCAGATGATGGGACGGGGATAAGAGAGGGGCAGACTAAAGGGAGAAGAGACATAATAAGAAAAAGAATGGCCACATACCTCCAGTAGCTCCAATCCCATTCCCTTCCAGATATTCTCCTTTAACCTCCTCACGTCTACCTTCTTCGCCACGCGAGCATACTGCACATACTCAGGCCGCACCCTCCGGTTTTGTGTCACCAGCATGGTACCAAACGCCAGATCAGCCGGGTTCGTCACCGTCAACCCCCCGAACGCGCCCGTCATGCCGACATCGGTCATCATGCCAGCACCACCGGGACCGCCCAGAGGCCCGCCCGGCCCGCCTGCTTCGGGCGAAAAGTGATCTCGCGCGTCGGCAAACTCGTCCATGTCGTCGTCATCGTCGTCACCCAGTCCACCTCCACCCGCAAACGGTAGGCCGTCGTCGAGGAAGAAGTTGGCGTCGTAATCACCCTGGGGCATCCCGTCGTCGTCGACGCCCGGGCCGTTCTCGGTGGATTGGAGCGGCGCCTTTTGCGACGCCCAGAACGCTTCGTCCATCTCGCCCTCGGGGATGTCGTTTTGTTGGCGCTGGGAGTCGATGTTGCCGATGCGGCTGCCGCTACCCAGAACGCGCCGTCGGCCCATACGTGCCTTAGGCTTGAGGAAAAGAGTGAGAAGTTGCTTGGAGCTGAAATGCTTGTCGTCCGGAAGAAGGTTACGCGACTTGGACTTCCAGTCCTTTTTGGGCAAGGAAATGGCCGTGTTGGAGGAGGCTTGGGTGTAAATCAAGTCCGCCACGGTCGGGTCGAGGGGGCTGGCAAAGTCGATCTCGAAGGGCTGCTTCTCCTTGCGCTGCCTCGTAGGCTCCGTGGGCTTGTTGACGTCCTTGATCTTTCGTATCCTCCAGTGCTCTGCGCTGCTCCAGTTCTTTTGTAGGGCTTGGTCGAAGTAGCTGAGGATGTCCTCGTGCATCCGGTCAGCCTTTTGGGCGTGCGTCATGGAGATGGCAAAGTCGCCGTTCCCAGATAGGTTGGCTCCGTCCTCCTCGCCATCTGCCCCGGCACCGTCTCGCATACCGGCGTCGTAAACGCGCATCATTTGGGGCTCGAGCGCGGCTTCCTTCGCCCACGCCTCTCCGCCCTCGCCAAAGTCCACATCTGCGCCCATGTCAAAGGTCCCAAGACCGTCTTCGTCGTCGAAACCAAGTGGATTTTCCTCGTCAATGAACATGCCCGATTTGTCACCTATTCCACCGGGCCCGGGTGTCCGCTCCTTGTCTTGGTAGTCGTCGGGGGTCTTTAGGAATGGTATGTCCAAAGAACCAGAGGGGTCGCCGAGATCGAACGTTTTTAGTGACGGGCAAACATCCATGCTGTCCAAAATGCCCATATCGGGGAAGAACCGCGCGCCGAGCCCAGCAACGTCAATCTCAACGTCTTCCTCTTCCAACTCGGGCGGGGTGGGAGTCGGCTCCCGGTCGGCCATGGATAGGTCACCCTCAGCATCCTCAACGTCTAAATCCTCCTCATCGTCGCCTCGCTTGCGGGACTTGGAGCCTCCCTCAGCGGCATCCTCGGCGTCGTCACTGCTGTCGAACACGATCCTGCCCTGCGAGTCGATCATGAGGTGGTTCAGGAGAAGTCCCTTTGCGCCTCCCTCGTCAAAGTCGGCAGACGCCTTTTTGAACAACGGGTCGACGGCGAACTCCAGTTCGAGTTTCTTGAGTTGCAGCGACGCAAAGGATGGCGCTAGTGTTGCTTCGGAGGATCTTTGGGTCTGGTATCGTGTTAGTTCTATCACGACAAGTAGATGACCTGTGAATAGACAAAGTCGGGTTGAATGTTGCTGTTGTTTTTAGCGCACCTTCTTCTTCGGCTTCTTCCTAACATTGCCGTCCTCGTCCACTTCGTCCTCTTCTTCCTCTTCTTCTCCCTCATCACCATCGCGACCTTTCCGCTTGTTATCACGGCTATCGGCCAAACCGCTCAGCAGCTTCCCGGTCTCAGTAGCCACACTGTCGACACGGCTCGTGTAGATCTTGACACACCCATCAAGAGTGCAGCTGGCCTTTTGAAAGTTGACGCCGTCGCCCTCCTTGAGCAGCGACATGTCGTGGAAGTAGTCGATAAGCGCAAAATTCCACGAGTTGGCCGCATTGATCTTGTTGTCGGTCGCCATCTTCATCCACTCCTCAAAGTTGGCGAGGATGGGCACACGCTTCATAGGCGTCACGGCCTTCCCGCCAACGACCAGCTGCTCTTCGTCGTCGAGGATAATCGTGTGGTTGCCGCTTTTTCGGCGGCGCGCGGGCGTGCGCGGGCTGGACGAGGGGGGTTCGGCATCTTGGAGGTTGTTGAATGAGCTGCTTGATTTGCGGGGTGTGCTGGTCGCGGCGGCCCGGAGTTGGTTGATTTGGGCTTCGTGGGCGGCTTTGCGGCCGTGGGATCGTTGCGCTTTCTCGTGGGCATCGTCGTTGAGTGGGATTCTGCAACATTCACAGTCAATCGGGAATGTCCCTGTATTTGTAGCGCTGCATATTTTAGACCGCGGCTGGGTCTTTGTTCAAGCGCGGGTCGGCCCTTTGTTTCTTGTTCCCCCTTTTTTTCCTCGTCCCGCCGTTTTTTCACCTGCGGGGAAACTCGAAACTCGACTGGCGGAGAAAGCGGAGCGCGACCTACTTGACAGGCGATTTAAATGGTGACGCGAGAATAGAGCCAGAGGGAACTCTGCTCATGCTCCTCCGGGGCCCTTGGGCGACTCGAGGCATCTTGTCGTCGTGCGATGGCGGTGTTGCTACGACTCGATGATGCACTGGGGATCCGTTTGTCGATGAAAGTGGATTTGAAGACCCCAAACTGTTTGTTTACTTTGGTGGTTGAGCCGGGGACGGCCTGCGATTGGCTAGCGGGGTGGGCAAAAGCACGTGCAGTTGATGCCCCGCTGTCGTCTCTGCCCTGCTGCACTCCGTCGCTGACTCAACACAGGCACTGATAGAGTTTTGACGGCCCGACATATTCACTTCCAAAGCAGCCGGATTCCTCATTTCCTTCTCAACCCTTTCCCAGGCTACAAGCGGGGTGATCTGAAATCTGAGCAGAACGCTAGTTTTATAGACATAGCCGTCCGTCAACTCTGAGATGCCAACTTGAGCCAAACCCGCAAGACAGGTCTCGCTGCGGGCTCCATTGTACGGAGGATACATAACTACTCCGTAGTCACAGATGATTTATTCCTTTCAAGTGTTATCCCGGACCGCCTCGATCATGCACCTTTCCGATCATGTACGGGACCGCAAATGCAAGACAAATTCGATGCTTTAACTCCCAATATGAAGCAGCCAGTTCCCCAATCGATGGGACTTCTGTTTCGCAGCTCGTTATTGTCCATGTCATTGGGTTGGTGAAGCAGGTTTCAGCGTCGCTCTGAAGCATGAGCACAAGCCCGGATCGGCAGCCCAATCGTTGCTCCCAGGGACCGGGGTTGGTGGCGGCCCCTCCCAGCACAATGCAAATGCGATGGGATGATGGCCCGATGGTGTGCGAATTCGTCCACTGGCAACAAATAGTGCGCTTTGTTTCGGCGCCGAGACTCGCCTGAGTCGCCCACGTTACACACACCGTTGGGCACGCTGCGGCGTTGGCCATGATCTCATAGCTAGCCAAATCGCGGTGTCGTGGACTTTTTTTTAACTACAACAAGTAACAACATTGCTGAAGACGACGAGGACTACCACGGCGGCGATAATGTCGATAACGATGATGACGACTACGACGAAGACTCGATTTGATTAATTGACGTTCAACAACTTAGTTTACAGCACACACACACTCACACACATGTCTATCATTTAAACAGTTACAAACGTACTGTATTCGCTCGTTTGCCGCGTCACCCTGCACCACGTATCGAGCCGCTGCGCAATCACTCCCGCGCACTCGCCCTCCCTTACATACTGCTCAGCAACCTTCCGCCATGCTGCGGTGAAGACATCATGTCGCATTTCCGCCCAATGCGCAAACGATACGGCGCTCGGCCGGTGGTCGGCGCGGCTCTCCTGATCGCGACGATAGCTGCTTTAGCCCTGCTCCAGTCCGTAGCGCCGGGCCTCAGTTCCGCCCAGAACCATGCTCAGCCGAAGAGGGCTGCGGCCCTGCTGCACGCCGCCGACGCCGACTGTCGCGATGTGCACCAGGCCGCAGACCAATGTGCCTTCGTGCTGGCGAACTGCGAGGACGACGAGGCCGGGCTGATCCACTACCTGTCGTTCTACTACTGCACCCTGGCCTCGGCCAAGCCCGTCGCTTTCACCATCATGGCCCTCTGGCTCGGGCTGCTGTTCACCACGATCGGGATCGCAGCCAGCGACTTCTTCAGCGTCAACCTCAGCACGATCGCGAGCGTGCTGGGCCTGAGCGAGAGCTTGGCGGGTGTGACGTTCCTGGCGTTCGGCAACGGCTCGCCCGATGTGTTCAGCACCTTTGCGGCCATGGGCTCCAACAGCGGGAGCATGGCCGTCGGCGAGCTGATCGGTGCTGCGGGGTTCATTACCGCTGTCGTGGCTGGGTCCATGGCGCTGGTGCGCGAGTTCAAGGTCAGCAAGCGGACGTTTGTCCGAGATATTGTCTTCTTCATCATCGCCATCAGCTTCACCATGGTGTTCCTAGCGGATGGCGAGCTGCACCTGTGGGAGTGTTTCGCCATGATCGCCTTCTACGTGTTCTACGTGATCGTGGTGGTTGGGTGGCACTGGTTCGCGGTGCGGAGGAGACGCCAACGGTTGAGGGATGTGGCCGCCCGCGCCCATCTCTACCACGCTTCCGGGCAAGGGAGCGAAGAGATTGAGCCGTATCGAGACGAGCCGGACGAGGGAGAGGATGGTGCTCCCGTCGGAGGCCGCTCGAATAGTGCGCCGGAGCCAGCCGATATGAGCATTCTGGAGCGAGGGCCCCGTATCGAGGTGGACGGCGTGTCCCCTACGGAGGACGAGGAGGAGGAAGAAAGAGGACGACACGTTGCGGCCGAGATGGCGAGCAGCATGCGTGTCAACCGGCCGCGCTGGGGCCGCAGCAATACCACCATCACGCCTATCCGGCCGAGCTTATTGGGGGTGCTGGAGTTCCGATCGGTCTTGTCGTCGCTTCAAAAGGAGAGGAACATGCGGTTGCGTCCGTTATTTGGCCGCTCACATACTTCCCAAGAGCCACCCGTTGACGGCATAGACGAGTACCGGGGCCGCCCACGCACTCAAACGATGCCACCGCACATCCCAAGGCCAGACCCCCCAGCCTTGTCGGCGTCGCCCGGTGATCATCCGCCGCCGAACCTAGGCGACCTCGGCCTCAATCACTCGGATCCGGCCTTGGCTTCCCATACTCGGACGAGTTCCGCCAGCCGTATCATCGACGGCATGCTCGCTCCACCGCTTGACCCTGGCCTCGTTCCCCCGAGCAGGGACCCTCCGTCACCAAAACAGAGCCCGCAGCAATCGCTTCAGCTTCGGATCCCTTCTCCTAGTGGTGGTTCTAGTGGAGCATCTTCTCCGTTGTTATCACCCTTTCCAGGCCTGTCAGAGTCTCCCGCTGCGCTTTCCCCGGTGCACGGGGGCCCCACGGGGCCATTGTTCCCTGCTCCAACAGAAGTGCGACGGTCATCGTTCCCCCTTCTCGACGACCGGCCGGAGGTCCCGAAACCTGTGAGTTGGTGGCCGTACAGCATATTACCCGCCCCTCATGTCTTACTCGCCACCATTTTTCCGACTCTCCAGGGCTGGAAGGGAAAGTCGTGGTGGGACAAACTGGTGAGCTTGATCTCGGTGCCGAGCATCTTCTTGCTTGTAGCTACGCTCCCCGTGGTCGAGACGGAGAACGACGACAGCGAGGCCGATTCCGATGTTGTGGTTGCGGACCCCCCGGATGCTGGCCAACCGGGTAATACAGCCCCGGCCGTGATGGTCGAAGACGGCGAGATTGAGCCCGAAACGGAGTGGCAAGCCTATCGCCGTCGCACCCGCTCCATCAGCTCCCGCTCCTACTCGCCGCACAGCCGCTCACTACTCAGCCGCTCGCCGTCTTTCCCGTCTTCCGTCGCCGATAACAACCGTGATGGCCTCCCAGCCGATCAAGAGCCGCCTCAACTCAGCCTGCCCGTCCCACAACTCAACGAACCTATCACCCCAGTCTCCGACCGACCAGCGACCACCAACACTACATCCGACGGTCCCCAACCCCCCACCGGCTGGAACCGGTGGCTCGTAGCCGTCCAACTCTTCACCGGCCCCCTCTTCATCGTTTTCATCATCTGGGCCAACACCGCGGCCGACATGTCCAGCCCGCGCCAAACCGTCCTCCACATGATCCTCTACTCCCTCCTCGTCTCCCTCTGCCTCCTCGCCGCCCTCCTCCTCACCACCTCCCCACACCACAAACCCCAATACCACTTCCTCCTCTGCTTCCTCGGCTTCGTCATCAGCGTAGCCTGGATCTCCACCATCGCCGGCGAAGTCGTAGGCGTGCTCAAAGCCTTCGGCGTAATCCTCGACATCTCCGAAGCCATCTTGGGACTCACCGTCTTCGCCGTCGGTAACTCCCTCGGCGATCTCGTCGCCGACGTCACCGTTGCCCGCTTAGGTTATCCCGTCATGGCGCTGGCTGCCTGTTTCGGCGGGCCTATGCTCAATATCTTACTGGGTGTCGGTATTGGCGGCGCGTGGATGGGGATTAGCAAGGCGCAGAGGAAACAGCGGCAGCATCCTGGGAGACCGCTCAAGTATAAGCCGTATCGGATACAGGTGGGCGGGACGCTGATGGTGTCGGCGTTGACGGTGCTGTTGACGTTGGTGGTGTTGTTGATTGTGGTGCCGTCGAATCGGTGGGTTATGAGTCGTCGGATTGGATGGGGATTGATTGGGATATGGACGGTTGGGACCGTGGTTAATCTGGCGATGGAGGTGACGGGGGCTTGGGCGGATGTGTCTGCGTGGTGGTGAGAGTCCGGTTAGGTGCTTGTTGCATGGACGTTTTGGGGTTTATACCGGCCCGCAGCGGCTCGGCTCGGGTTCCTTGACGCTGGGTGTTTGCAGGAGCACGGGGACGAGCGGGCCGCTGCGGGGTGTGCAGTCATGACGTTTCAACTTCGGCGAACGGAACCAAGGGTCCAAAGGGCTTGGAGGTTGCCCGTATGGCCACCAATCTCCACGCGCCATGGTCTGCATTCACAACTTGAACCCTCGAAATGGCCGATCAGCGCGGCCAGGTACTCGGCGATGCCATCTCGGCCACTTAGGCTAGCATGACTTATTACGAAACCGGCCAAAGCCAGACTCTGGCTTGAGGCGAACTCAGCATTTCCTGCCCAGTACTACGATGGCCGAGGCTGTTGATTTCAGGTGAAAGATGCAGACAGGGCACTCGAACGGGAGATGGGCTCTGCATTGGGACCTTATTATTTTCTATTTTATTTACGTTCTTGGTTTAGCTGTTTAAGGGGCTGGGTTAGAGGAAGCGCAAGCATGGTTGGATGTGACCGAGGAGATGATCTGAATACCCCCTGAGCTGCGACGTGTCTTGACGAGTTTTGTGTAGATTCCAATACGAGGAGGGTTGGGCAAGGGGAAGCCTGGGTGTATGGGTGTATATACGGAACATGTCGGCGAGTTCTAGGTTCGATTTGTGTGCACTATCGCCGAAGCTGGCGTCGTGTTTACACGTACTTTCCATCTTCACAGCCACTGAACCGAGGTTTTTTCGATCCTTCCTTTCTTCTCATAAGGAGACGTGTCCTCTCCGGCTCCTACTGGAAGCCCAGGCTTTCATTACCCATTCCATAAACGGCGTGGGATGGCCATTTGGGCGAGTCTGGACCTTTGTTTTTGTTGGTTGTCTTGTTCCTGTCATTTTATCAGAAGCAATTGCGTCTTTGTCGATCTGGGGGCTGTGATGCCCGCTGTAACCCGCAAACACGCAATCCCCTCGAATTTGGGTCTGAACCCCTGAAGGTGGGGCCTACAGAGGAGGGGTGAGGGGCAGGCCAAGCCTGGCCCTCTCAGAGCTTCCCCAGACGACAACGTGGGGTGGGGCTCCAATGGATGTATTGGACGCGAAGTACCTGACTGACACGGGCTTTGGGCTAAGTCTTGAAGAGGGGCAACCCAAGAGCTCCTCTTCACCGAAAGTTGGGGAAACTTGAGACAACCTAATAAGAAGACAGCTTGTGGAAACAGATAATTACTTTTGGGTTGCCCAGGTTGGAACCCGATTGATGTGATCTGGCTTGTCCGACTGGCCTTATTTAATCTTGCCCTCTTTGACTCGCGATCTTCCTTCTCCAACAGCCAACCCGCCCACCACTTCAACTATCACCACTACCACCTAACGAGCAATCATGGCTTCCTACCCGCCCCTGCCTGAGCGCGAAATCAAGAACACCGTTGTTCTGTTCGACGTCGATGGCACGCTCACCCCAGCCCGTCTCGTACGTTTATCTTTTCTTCCTCTGTCAACTCCCATGATGATCAGTCCGGTCTTAGACTAACCACGACACCAACCTGAACAGTCCGCCTCCCCCGAGATCCTCAACCTCCTCGCCCGCCTGCGCCAAAAAGTAGCCATCGGCTTCGTCGGCGGCTCCGACCTCGCCAAGCAGCAAGAGCAGCTAGGCACACCCGAAATCAACGTGACGACGCTCTTCGACTTCTGCTTCGCCGAGAACGGCCTCACAGCCTACCGGCTGGGCGAGCAGCTGCCGTCCAACAGCTTCATCAAGTGGATCGGCGAGGAGCAGTACAAGGAGCTGGTCCGGTTCGTGCTGCACTACGTGGCCGACCTGGATCTACCCGTCAAGCGCGGCACGTTTGTCGAGTTCCGCAATGGCATGATCAACATCTCGCCCATTGGCAGGAACGCGAGCACGCAGGAGCGGAATGATTATGAGAAGTATGACAAGGAGCATGGGATTCGCAAGGCGTTTGTTGAGAAGCTGCGCGAGCGCTTTGGGCATCTGGGGTTGACGTATGTTATCTCCCCCTCTCCTTTGTTCTCTTGGTCCCTCTTACTATCGCAACAATCAACTAACACCTTACAGCTTCTCCATCGGCGGCCAAATCTCCTTCGACGTCTTCCCGACCGGCTGGGACAAGACTTACTGCCTGCAGCACATCGAGAACGAGGCCAAGCGGCCCGGCGGCGAGGCCGTGCAGTACACGACCATCCACTTCTTCGGCGACAAGACGTTCGAGGGCGGCAACGACTACGAGATCTTCAGCGACAGCCGCACCATCGGGCACACTGTTACCGGCCCGCAGGACACGATCGCGGAGCTCAAGAAGTTGTTTGATCTCTGATGCTTGTTCTGTTTAGGTGGTGCAGCAGACCTGAGGGAGGAAGGGAAAAAAAAGAGGAAATTAGAGAGGGGAGTTGATAAAGATACAAAACGGAATCTAATGTTGACTGTTCCGGGGAGATGAGCCAAAGGCGGTTAACCATAATACAATTGGACGTTTCTCTGGGTATTCTGCTTCCGACATGACACCGTCAAACAAACTCTAGTGACTCGACATGCTTATTCATTCATTGCTAAACCCGCTACCTAGGATGACAAAATCAAATGGTGAAAGATGGCTCCTATCTAACAATCATGAAGCAAAAGAAATTAACTAAAAAAAAAAAGAGAGAAGAAGAAAAGAAGATTGGAAGCGTATTCAAGCAAGGCCGTAAAAAAGTAACCAAAATAGACAACCTCATCACATCCCCTCAGTGCCCATACTCCAAATGCGGCACAATCACCGGCCCATACTTGGTCGTGGCCGTATACATCCCATCCCCCTGCACCACAAAATCCACCGCCAAACTCAACTTATTCAGCCCCCCACCACTCTGCCCACTCGCAATACTCGCCGCATACCCATTATTCCCATTCACAGCAGCAGCCCCAGCACCCCCATCCGGATCATACGCCACAATAGCAACATAATTCCTCCTCGCCATCAGTTTCTTATACTCGCGCGCATTGCCCGAGGCGTCGGTGTGGAAAATCTCCATCATGTCCTCTTTGGTGTCGGAGACTTCGTGCGTGGACTTGTGGCCGTTTTGCGGGACGTAGAGGAGTTTGTTGTTGTGCAGCATTTTGAGGAGGTAGTTGGAACAGGGGGCCGCGACGACGGGGGAGGCGATCAGTTGGTACATGGTTTTGTGGTCGGAGGGGTGGGAGGGGTCGTGGACTAGGCCGGCGCCGGCGCAGTTGACGTCTGTTTGGGGTATTGTCAGTTTTTTATTTATTTTGTTTGGCTCGTGGAGAGACGGGGAGAGAACGGGGAGGGGGGAGAAAGGAGAGAGAGAAACGTACCGCCAGACAAAAAGGTCATACGAATGCCCTTTTGCTGAGCAATCCCCTGCAGCGTGCGAATAAGATATGTCCGCTCCAAATCCTTAGACTCATGCGTCCACAAATCCTTCAGCTCCTCAGCGATATCAATCTCGCCAAACTGGTTCAGCACGTTGCCCATCAGCCCCGACTTTCCAACAGCCTTTTTCACCTCCTTAAACCCGTGCTGGACCACTTCCTTGCCACCGACCACACCCGCGACCGAACTGGTGACCTTGCCGAGGATGTTGTACGTGGTGTTGACCGCCTTCTTGCCCGTGGCGAAGGTATTCGCGAGCGTCTCGACCGTCTCAAGACGCGGGTACACAACAGGAACGGAGAGCATCCAGATGCAGTGCTGCACGCTGGGGGGTAAGGTCGCGACCTTGGGGAAGATGCCCTGGTACGTGGGGCCGGCCATGACGCGAGTCTGCGTGCGTTCGGAGCGGCAATCGGGCCCGACCACGACGACGGCGGGGCCGAGGTACTTGACAAAGTGCCAGCCGGCGCCGGTGATGGTGAAGAGGTCCATGTCGGAGCTGACGTTGCGCAGGATCTCGACTGTTGTGTGGTGCTGGAAGAGCAGGTACATGTCGATGGCGATGCGGCCGATGCCTTTGAATACGGCTGAGGATTGCATGTAGTCGGGGTAGGAGCCGAAGCCGTCGAAGCTAACAACAAATAGCAAAGTCAGTAACGATCCTTTAATCCCTGGCAGTATGAGGAAACTTAGAAACCTAGAAAGTTAGAAACTTACATATCATGATCATCCACCTGCAACACATGCGGAATCTGCGCAAACGCCTCCCGCATAAACGGCTGGTCAAAGTGGCTGGTATAGTAATGAAAATACGCATGCGACACCTCCTCCTGATGCCTCGCGGTCCACGGCGCATTCTTGCGGTTCTCCCTCCCCTGCATAGCAAGCCACTGCCGCAGCAGGGGAACCTCCTTCCACAAGCGATCACCATAGATCTGCGCCCCAAGACCGAGCTGGACATGAAACCCACCGCACTCGACATTCTTCTGCAGGATATCCTTCCACATGAACCCGACACCGCCCAACTTGGCGCGCTCGTTCTGGTTCGTCGACGGCGCGAAGTCGTTGCCCGAGTGTGCGATCATGCGCCAGCCGGTCTCGTACCGACCGGCAACCACAAACTCGTACCGCGTGCACCCAAGATGGGAAGTCACCGCGTACGTCCAGCGCTCGGTGCCCTGCTCCGACATCTGCAGGTCCATGTCGTATTTGTAGAAGGACCAGCGCTGGTGCTGGTAGATGTTTTGCGGGATGAGTTGGCGCGGGTTGGGCGAGAGGTCGACGCTCAGGTGGAGGTGGATGGTCGGGGGTTGAGAGCCGTCCGTGACGAGTAGGATACTGCCGTGCCAGACGCCCTTTTCTAGGTCCATGTTGACGTAGCGTAGGTAAGGGCCAAAGTACACCCCGTTGGTGGGGGTCACCTTGTACACGTCGATGCCTGCGCTCGGCGGGGGGCCGGAGAACCCGGTCATGGATGGTGCGACGGAGGCCGTCACGCTCATGATGCTCTCTGCGTATCCGGGGTGGTGGCCTTGGGACTGGAACATGGGCGAGGCCATCCCGGCCATCGCAGCCTTTCCGCCGCCTAGGAACGGCGAACCCAAGGGGTTGCCGTAGGTTGAAGCGGTGGGTGATAGGGGTGCCACGTCGTGGTTGAGGGGGGTAGGTCCCTTGGGGAATTCCCACTGCGTCGCTTGGGTGGCCAGGTGGATGTAGTAGTATTGACCCGAGTTCTGGTCGAGGTGGGCGATCCAGCCTTCGGGCAGCGGGGGTGGTGACTGGGCGGCCGCGAGCAATGAAGGAGTATGCGTCAAGCCGGGCTGTCCGTTCTGGGGCACTGCGAGCTTGGTCTCGTTGGCCAGTGCCGGGTGGCCGGCGTTGTGCGCCTGGATCGGAGCTCCGACTCCAGCTCCAGCAGCAACTCCAGCTCCAGCTCCCACTCCAGCTGCAGCCGCAGCAGCCGCAGCAATGGCGGGGTCTTGCTTCACTGGCGTCGGTGCGCTGATCGGGATGGGGCTCGCGATGGGGTTTGCGCTCGATCCCGCGGCGGCGGGCGGTGTGTTGCTGGATGGGGGCGCGTTTTGTGCGCTCGTGCTCGGATGCGGCTGTGTAGGTCTCTGCTTCTCATTGGGGTACTTGGAGCCGGCGTTCGGGTTGACGCTGGTGTAAGCGGGGGGTGGTGTCGAGGCCTGCATGCGCTGGAAGTCTTGTTCCAGAACGCTGACTTGTAGAGCACCTGCCGAGGCTGCTGAGGATGTCGTCGGTGGTCCCTGTGTGGCAGGATGGGGGTTCGGCGGCAGGCTGAAAGCGGGTGTTTGCTGCGGCGGCGTCGGCGATGGTTCGGAGACCACATCAGCGCCCTGGTAGACGGTAGGCGGGCCGAATGGCTGTTGTCCAGGTGCTTCTGTCGGTGTCCACGGCCGAGGCTGCGGAGTCTGGGTCGTAGCCGGAGGAGGCTGGTTCCCGTATTGCGCCAGCCTGGATTGCGCCGCTGCGCTTGGGGCCGTGAAGCTATTGAGTGTTGCCGTCCCCGAGATGCCTGCCGCGGCGTATCGAGCCTCGATACCTCCCCCGGGAACGGAGCCCGGCCCGACAATGGGCGTCTCAGGGGGAGGAGGCGAACCACGGCTGGCCCGCGTTGTCGAGTTGGAGGCGGTCGACGAGAAGCGGCCAACGCCCTGGGCTGGGGCCGGGGGCGCGAGGCTGCTGCTGCTGCTGCTGCTGCTGCTACCGCCGGGCGGAGGGTAATATGATTTCTGCTGGTAAGCGTTGGAGATCTTGGGCGCAGGGGCGGCGACCGGGTTCCTCAGGGGCTTCGCAAACAAGCCGCCTGCATCATCTTCCTCATCGTCGTCTGCGTGGCTACCTCCACCGCTAGCCGGGCTGATCGGGCTCTGCAATGGCTTGGGCGCCGTCCCGCGACGCTCAGCAAGACCGCCCGTCTTTTTCTCCCCCGTATTCACCGTCGGCCGAGGGAACGGTTGGTTGTGCGCAGGCGAAGCCGAAGAGATAGGCGGCGGGCTGTAGAGCCTTCCGGAGGCCGGAGAAGCCGTCTTGGGTCCATCGTCGGGGTATGGGAGACTGGCCGGCTTAGGCTGCGGCTTGGATGGCTTGAACCCGTCGTCGGGATACGGTAGCGGGGCGGCCGAGCTGGATGCGCCGAAGGGGAAGGACGGCAACGGGGGAAGCGCCGCGATGCTTGACTTGGAAGCAGGAGAGGAAGCTGACCCTGCTGAGCCCGCCGGAGACGACGAAGTAGGGGGCGCAGGATATCTGTATCGACTCTTATCGTTGGGCGGGCTTTGCGGCTTGAATATTCTTAGCGGTTCGACGGTCGGGCTGTCGCAGTCTTCTTCCGGCCGCGGGCGACTCATAAAGAGCTCCTCGTCGGGGACATCGCGCGATCGGGAGCCCATGATGATGGAGGGCGCGAAAGAACGGGTATTAAAAGGGGCCGGTTGGGTTTATCGTCGCGAGGTTGAGATGGCGATTAGAGGGCTCCTTTAGAAGGAAATAAGAGCTGACGAGGGTTCCCAGCAGACCCTTCTTTGTTGTCCGCCTTCTCTTTCCTTTTCGTCTCCTTGTTGACCAAATCTCGAGGGTTGGCGCGGCCGTGTCCGCGGCTGAAGTTCTGAACCCCTCCTTGGCTATTAAGCCCGCTTGCTCGGCGAGAGGGGTTGTTATGGAGGGGTAATCGATAGCCAGCAGCTGCTTGCCGAAAAGGGAGACTCTGACGCTCAAAAGCTAAAAACGATAAAAAAGATGCGCCTGTGTAAGGCTGAGGTCGCAGATCACAGCTTCACACTTTCGCACTCAACTCAACTCAAAACTGAAGCTCGAGGTCAAAAATTCGGCCAGGGCCGAGGACGTCAGTCAAGTCAGGTCAGGCCGGACAATATGCGGCCGCGGGCAGATGCGCAGGCCGCGTTGCGACGGGGATCGGACAGGGGTGAAAGAAAGGGGGGAGAGGAGGGGCATTGGGGCATTGGTTGGCCCATTGGGGGCCAGGGGGGCGACAGTGGGACAACCGACAACCACGAACTGGTGCAACCTCTTCGTGATTGGCCCCGCAGACTGGGCGCTTAACGGGCTTGGAGGCCACCCAGCTTCCAACTCGGCCTGTGAACGGGTAGTGAGACTGCGAGAGGTTCGCGAGCAGCCAGTCAGGGCGTCCCGGCAAGCGCTCCCGCTACCGTTCCGGGCGGTTCGAGGTCCAAGCATTCTGGCATGTCCTCGAATTTGTGGCATTTTTCATTCTCGGCGTTCGAAAAGGTGATCCGCGCTAGCCCGTCCGTAGTTTGGCCGTCTCCTCGAGTGAGCTATGAATCAGGTGCGATGAATATGACGCGGTCTTTGGGCCCAGGGAGAAGGGGTTGCACAGTCCTCGGCCTGCCTTCGTCTCTGGTTCAGATGAAATTTACGGATATCGATTTGGAGAATGTTCAATGTCGAACCGGGGCAGGGATCTCCGGCTGAAGGCGCACGGGCCCGGTGCGCACGAGCCACCGTTCGCTGTGGGTGGGGCGGGCCGCGGGTTATTTTCGGGCGGTCAAGGGTAAATGCCGGTCTCTCTTTCACCATGCGTGACATTGATTCATCTCATCACCTCGGGGCTCGGTCCGGGGGTATCAGCGGTTATCGATTGATGGACACGGTTCTAAATTTTTCGAATCGTGGTTGCTCAAGTTCTAGTGTAAGGGGTGAAAATGTGAGGGATCGAAGAAGGAAATACTCGGAAAACACCTCAAGTCTTCCAAGTAACCAGTTCGGCTAGCACCATCCATCATGACAGACGACCATCCGATAATACGTTAGGTACAGTACATGTAGTGTACGTACCTCTAGAACTTACACTCCTGGATGGTTAGGAAGCACAACGACCTCGAAACACGGAATGCTCCAAAAACACCACTTGGTAGTTGGTCACTGTCAAACTACGACAAACAGCTAAATCAAGAGTTCATACTTATATTGAAACTAAGACTCCGCTATTCAACAGTGATAAAAAAAAGCCTATGAACCAAACCAGCGACGCCGTGCTAACCATGACCATTCCCAATGCTGATCGTTAATCCCTATTTCCATTCCATCCACATACTACTCCCCCCTCAAAACACTACCGCTTCCCCAAACGCCCCCCTCGCTTCCTGTTCCAACAACCCCCTCTTCACCTTCTTCGACTTCCACGACACAAACCCAACAAGCACCACACCCACCACCAGCCCCGTAGCCAACAGCATCACATTCACCGGTACCGGATTCCCTTCAAACCGCCTCTCAAACAACCAATCCAGCCCCTCCTGCGAGAAATTCAGCACCCCGGACAGCGCGATCACCGTACCATACACCTTCCCAAACGTCTCAAACCCAAACACTTTCGCGCTGTAATCCGACACAGCAGTGTAGTAAAACGGGCGGTACAGCACAAACAGCACGACGTTGGCGTATCCGGCCCAGATCTGGCCCGGGATGACCCCCAGGACACCGATGGCCGTGGCGAAGAAGACGAGTACGGCTAGGACGGTGGGGGTTGAGGTGTGGTCGAGGACGATGCCGATGAAGGGGATCGCGATGATGCCGCCGAGGGGCAGGGCGATGTCGAAGAAGTGGTTGAGTGCGATGGCGTCGGGGAGAGAACCGAAGAGGGAGGAGTATTGGGAGCGGATGGTGGCGACGAAGAAGTTGATGCGCGTCATTTGGACGACTGGTCAGGTCAGCTTTGGGATCTGTGTATGAAACAGAAAGATATAACAAAGGAAAAGAAGAAGAAAAAATACATACCCGTGAAAAGACAAATCAAGATGAACCATGGGCTCTTGATCTGCTGCCAGGCCGAGTATCCATGCATAACCCCCCACACGCCCGAGATCTCATTGATATGCTCTTCCCGCTCGGCCTGCTCGTCCGCCTTAGCCGACCCCAACACACTCTGGATGCCCTCCAACACATCAACGCGGTGCTGCCGCTCCTCCTCCTGCAGCAGCGCTGTCTCCTCGTCGACCTGGTCAAACGCCGGCGCCAGCACCGGCGAGCCGATACGAGCTACTCCATTACCATGGCCGCTGGTCCCGTTACCATTGCCGTTGCCAATAATGGTACTACCATGAAGCGGTGCTTCCTCAATCTCCTCAACCAACTCACCCACCGTTTTGTACGACTGCGCGGGCATGAGCGTGAACTGCAGCAGGGCAATAGCCACAGGCACAAGCAGATACCCGAGAAAAAACCGACGGTGATCAAACGCGCCGCCCGTCTTTTCGTAGACAATCCGGTACAGCAAAAACAGCGCGCTGGACGCATCAAAAGCCCCCGTCAACAACGCCAGGATAAACCCAGAATGCCGCGGAAACGCATTCGAGAGCTGAAACGACGAGATATACGTAAACGGTCCGCCTAGCGCTAGCAGCAAATACCCCAGCAACAGCCCATCAAACGACTCGGCCGCGAGCCGGCTCTCAAACGCCATCAGGAGCGCGCCCGACGCTAGAAACAAACTACCCAGCAAGGCGCACACGCGCGGACCGTAGTGATCGAGGATAGCGCCGACGGGTAGGGCGACGACGTTGGTGGCGACGGCGGCGATGGTGAACATGAGGTTGAGGTGGATGTTAACACAGGTTTCTTCGTCGTCGGCTGACCACCCTGGTGCCGTACAAACCCGGCGGTAGGCGCCTTCTTTTTTGAGGACGGGCTTGATGGCTGCGTAGCCGAACACCACGCCAGCAGCAAGGAAGCAGGAGATGACGCTAGTTGTGACTTGGACTATTTAGGGATGTTAGTGACTTTTTCCGTGTTATCTTAGACAACCTACCTTTAAGGTACCCAGAGTATTACACGTCTAAACGGTAACTTACGCAATCTCTTCCATCGGGGTACTTGGAATGCCCCCACGGTCTGCAGCTGCTCAATCGTCGACGGCGGATCCCATTGTTGCGGCAAGGGGTTGAATGTCAGTTTGCGGGCGCGGGTGGAGGCATCAGAGCTGCGCCGGGATCGGATGTCGGTTGGGACGATGGTGAAGGTCTCGAGAGACGACACACGGTGCAGGGACATGGTTGGTTGTTGAGTATGGTGTGTCTGTCTGTATGTGTTTATGACAAACCAAACAACAGCGCGCCAATCGCAGGCGGTCTGAACAGCTGGCAGGCCAATCAATGCCTTATTGTATGGGGTTGTGTGTTTTGATGATCACGTATTCTGAAGATGGGTGACGGATAGGAAGCAAGGTAATGGGACAAAAATGAAGGAAGGAAAAGAAAATGGAACGAAACGCAAGATCAAACGCAGGTTGCTTGCATGCGTCCCAACTCCAGCAGTATGTCTGTGGGTCGTCTGTCAAGCACAATGCTTGACGACGCTGGTAAATGTGGGTTCTTGCAGCGCGGAACCGCAGATGCAGCCGAGCGGCTGGTTGATGTGGGAGTTGCAGGGTTGTTGCGAAAGATGAGGCAAGAATTTTGTGAATAACTCCGCGTCTGGGCGTCTGGCCAACCTTGGAACCGATCTATAGGTACTTAGGGAAGGAACCGCTGCTGCGAAGGAGATAAGGTTGGGGAGTAACTAAGGTGGGATATGTCACGAAAAAAACTGGATTGAGCACATAAAAGGACTGAGGAGCTGTAAAATCCATCGATGACACTTGTTACCTTTCAATGTGAAATATATTCGAGTAAGCAATGAAACCTGGGTGGCTGGCTGGAACCTGTGATCAACACAGTTGCCCTCATGGGTCTGCTGCCTGTCAAAGTTTTAAAGAAGTTGCCTCTCAGCGGGGTTCCAGTGTTTTTACCCAAACGGCAAATTTAGGAGGAAAGAAACCGTCTTTCACCGATACACTTGTGATGTGCAAGCTCTCCGCAGTACGGAAGACTTTGATGCTGGCCCTCACCATACGAGGGCAGCGCGTTGCTTGGAGAAAAAATTGTAGGCGATGAAGAACCATTGGACAAGATGATGATGCAATCGACTGCATCAGTGTCAACGATGTACACTACATACCTGTGAGGTCCCACATTAACCCCATGCGGTTGCTGCCGGCAGCTCGCTCCACTCGGCCGCTGTGGATGAACACCATCACTCGGAGCTGATGCCCCGAAGACCGATGATATTCGAGACCCACTCGGTCGGGTGAAACAACTTTCACCAAAAGCACTTTGAGAAAGCGACTGGGGGATTTATTCATACGCTCGAACTGAGAGCGCAACGAATATTTGGAGGTTGGGAAAATTTTCAATTTAAGGGGCCACGGCCTCCCTCGTTCGCTTGAAAATACGTCGCCGTCTCCTGTAACTAGTCAACATGGCAGACCTCGAGGTTTGAGGTGGTTATTTGTAAGTCTGTCGGTACGATGATTACCAACTCACAAACGGACTCTAGGCTCATTATTGTTTTCCACACAGTTACTTAAACAAACCACACTTAAAACTCCATCTCCTGCCCTAGCCCCTCCTCTCGAATCCGCCTGAGTGCCCCGTTCTTCTCTTCATTCTCCTCCTTCAAACGCGCCTCCACATCGTCTCGAATCGGTCCCAAATCCGGCGGGATGATAGCACTCTGGACACTCGGCGCCTGAGCCACAAACCGCAGCTGCTCATGCACATGCGTGACAATCTCCCGCAGCCTCTTCTCCGAGTTGCGGTTATGCCGCGGCTCATGCATGCTTTGCTCGAGCGTAGGAAACAGCGTCTCGTGGATAAAGTGTTCGCGCCACGGCGCGTGCTCCGGAATCGTCTCGGGAATCCGGTCGTCCGCGCCGATCGCAATGGATGTTTCGTACGCCCACGCCCGCGCGACGTTCCGTGGCGTGTATCCACCGCCGCCAAAGACGACCATCGGGATCCCGAGACTCTTGCAGTACCGCACGCACGCCCCGTGGCCCTCGACGCGGAGGTTGAAGCGGCCGAGCCGGTCGCCCGCCAGCGAGTCGGCACCGCATTGCAGCGCGATGACGCTCGGCCGGTAGCGCTCGTTGATGGCGCCGATGATGCTTTCGAAGAGCCACTCGTACTGTGCGTCCGTGATGCCGTCCTGCAGCGGCACGTTGATAGCGTGGTGCGCCCCAGGGTTGTGCTCACTCTTCGGCCCGTTGTCCTCGAGCGCGCCCGTCCCCGGGAAGAAGGTCTCCGGGTGGTACTTGTGGAACGAGACCGTCATGACCCGGTCCGTCGAGAAGAAGGCCTCTTCCACGCCGTCACCATGGTGCACGTCAATGTCGATGTACAACACCCGCGGGTGGGTGCGCAGTAGTTGGAGAATGGCGAGGACGATGTCGTTGATGTAGCAAAAGCCCGACGCCTCGTACCGCTTGGCGTGGTGCAGCCCGCCGGCCCAAGCAATCGCAATGTCCGACTGGTTGCTCGTGATCTTGCGAGCGGCGTCCAACGAAACACCCGCGGACATGGAGCAATAATTGTATAGACCGTGAAAGAGTGGGCAGTCACTACCTCCTAGATTGTATTTCACTTCTTTATCAGGGTTCTCAATATCGCGAGGCTGATCCTCGGGCGCGGCTGTTATCAGATAGTCGAGGTAGTCGCTGGAATGGAACGTGTTGAGCTCCTCGTACGTGGCTTCCCGCGTCACGTAGTTGTCCATGGCAAAGGGCATGCCATATGACGTGACCAGACTTTTTGTCAACGTTAAGCGCCATGGCTTCATGGGATGCGTTTGTCCAAAGTGGTGCTTCTCCATTTCCGGTGTGGCGTGGTACGAGACCGTGTAGCCCTTGGGGCGAACGATGTTGTACTCCTGGGCAGCAAACTTCATCTTGTTGAAAAAGATGGCATTTTCGCGGTCGTCGGCCTTACCGAGTGGGACCGCGTACTCCTCCACGATCGGATCATCGGCCTCGATGTTGTGTGGGAGGTAGTTGGGCTTGGGGGGCCTGTATTGATAGGCCGCGGCATCCATGGCCGCTCTTTTATAAGAAGAACCGATTCAGTACGACAGGAGTAAACAAAGCGCCGTCTTAAAACGCTGATGATACTGATGAGAGTCGATGTCTTCAAGGTGAATGTCGGAGGGGCGCTTCAAGATCCCAGCAGAGGATGAGAGTCGCGAGGTCGTAGAACTAGAAATGGCCCGACCGATTCGACCAATTTAACTAAAAATGAGAACGTTCACTTTTTAAAAGTGGAAAAGTGACGCGATGTTGACGGCAACTTGGAGGCGAAATTTATCGATAATCGAGTTTGTAGATTGTGGTGGTTGAATCTCGAAAAGGGCTGCATGGATTCGGATCTCAAATGCGCTCTGGCAAATCCGTGTCGTTTCTCAAAGTGGCGATCGGTCCCTTCGCTTGGCACGCGCTAGCCCTGATTAGGCTAGCCTCTTCTGCAAAAGGCTTGACCCCGCCAAAGTTCGCCCCGTCTTGATTGGACAAGGCTGAGAACCGAACTTCTGCCGCGGTGAAACAGACGCGAGTTTTTGGCGACGCAAGAGCCGCTCTTGCTTGCTCTCCACAAGAATCGAGCCTCCGCCTTCCCAGCTCAACTCTTTTCATCAATTCCGCGCCTTTTTTCTTGACTTTCCCATTGGGAACGACAGGGGTGCGCGCTAGCCGGGGACTGAAAACTTTCCCATTCGCGAGGTGAGCATGTGGAAATTCTCCTCTGTGAACCACATCCATTTGCACCGGGTATCTAGTTTTCTCAGCGCAGAGTTGGGGCCGCCCTGCGTCATCTGCATCGTGCATCTCGGCCCTCGTCGGGTACCACCACCCCCTTCTAGTTTTTTTTAGCCCTTGTCCTTGATAGAGGAGTCTAGCGCGCGATTTGTTATCCTTTGCAGCTTTTTCTCTCCCCTCCTCTTCTCATATTGATTCCTTCCTCTGGCCTCGTGCTACTGCGGCCCCATCGCATCGAAGCCCAGGGCAACAGCAAGGTGTCTGGCCAAGGAAGGGGTGGGGCTCTGCGTTCCCCGTCGTCTTCCCCTTCAGAACCCTTTTTCTCTTGTCCAACTTTCTCGCGAGACACCTGCTTGGGGTTATACACGCGCCGTGCGGCAGGTTAACAGCCATGCCTAGAGACGATCTATCCATCGACTTCGTCAGGAAGATGCCACCTGTCGAGTCGCTCGATCCGGCCCTGGTTCTCGACGAGTGGTTCAACAAGACGCAGAACTTCCCCGAGGAGCTGCGCTTCGTCCAAGACGAGATCGCCGACAAAGACCGACAGTATGACAAGCTGATACGCGAGATTGAAGACCGAGATGGCCGCATACAGAAGTGGATCAAGGCCCACGGCAGCCACCATGCCAATCCGAAAGAAGAGGAGTATCGGGCGACGATAAAGAAGAACTTCGACCTGGCCGAGAAGTTGTCTGAGGAGAAGCTCGCGCTTACGCAGAAGCTGCACCAGAACATGGATAAGCACATCCGCCACCTCGACCTGCAGATCAAGATGCTCTACGACCGCGGCGAGCCCGGTTTCACCAACCCCGACGAACTCCCGTCCCTCCTACGCGCTAGCGCTGCAAACATCACGAACGGAACAAATGGTCCTAAGAGTTCGGGTTCCACGACCCCGACTGCCGCAGCCGTGAGCAACATAACGGCCAACACGCCCGTCCGGGCAACCAATGCCCAGGTGCGAAACACCCAAGCCCAGCAGCTGGGCTCGGCCTCTGCGCCCGCCACACCAGCAGCCAGCATGATCATGAACCGTCAAGCGCGGGAAGGTTCGGCTGGCCCGGGAAACAAGCGGTTGCCTCGGTCGAACAGCGGGCTGGGCACCGTGCCCGCAACATCTAGCGGGCTCGCCCGTCACTCCTCCCTAGGGCCCGGAACGCCAAAGGGCCACCAGACCGCCGCGGGCGTGCAACGCGCCGGCAGTGCCGGGCCGCGGGCAACAGTCAAGGGCTCGCTGGTCAGCGGGGCCCGTAAGGCGGGCACCCCGTCTAGCACGGCGAGCCGTAAGAAGGGAACCCCAGCCGGTGGGGTCGCAGGCGTCCAGAAATCCGGCCTGTCGCGCGTGAAGCGTGCCGCCAAAAACTCTCCCTCCTCCGCCGCCGAAAGCGAGCTTTCCGACGCCGAGTCCGCCAGCGATTCCGCCAGCGACACCCGCACCGGCGGCCGCGGAACGCCCACAGCCGCCTCCTTCTCCCGATCCACTTCCAACCAAACCACCCAACCCCCCGCCAGCACTCGCGAGTCCAGCAACCTGCACAACCGCACACCCTCAGCGGGCACCGGCACCACCCAGCAGCCACCGCCCACCTCCGAGCGCCACGGAACCCGCCCCACTCCACACCCACGCAGCGCGGCGGCCGCCGCCGCCGCAGCCTCTGTCAAAGACGAAGACGACCTCATGGACGTGGACGTCGATCTAGATCTCGATGACGACGAAGCGGGCGATGATCGCAAGTATTGCTCGTGTCAGAACGTCAGCTTCGGAAACATGGTGGCGTGCGACAACGACGACTGTCCGTACGAGTGGTTCCATTGGGGCTGTGTCGGTCTCAAGAGCGAGCCGAACGGCAAGTGGTTCTGTCCTGAGTGCAGCGAGAAGTTGAAGCGGAAAGGGTAGATCGGAGAAGAGGCGGATGGAGGATGGTTGTCAGGTATTGCTGGGGATGGGTTTGGTATGGGTGGGGCGTTTGTGGTTTTGTATATTTTGCACACATGTTTCGTTTGCATTGGCAGGTTGGGAAATACCAAATGGGAGGGGCTCGGCGTTAGGACGGGAATTGAGATATGATAGGTCTGGGGTTCAACATGGAAACGCCGGGATGTTAAAGGGGGCTCGCGGTTCTCACACATTGGCGTTTGTCTAGTATTGTTTATCATTATAGTGCCGGGGGAGGAAAGCCGTTGAGTTGAACTGGTCACCTCTTTCTTTTGGTGCTTGAGATCTAGCGGAAGGCCCCCTCATCAACTTTGCCCGGGCCACATGCACCAGCGATTAACGCATTAAACGAGACCAGCTACAAAACATGTCCATCACAGTCAGTAAGTGGGAGGGCACATCGACATAGGTCCTCCCCAATCTCGTCCTGTTTAACCTCCTTTTCTTCCGGGGTGAGCTACCCCTCAGCGAAATTCTTTCGAATAAAAGGACTGTATAGCATGGTATGTCAAAGGTTTTTACCATTCGCGTATGCGCATTATCCCGATGCCCCATCCGCCCCATCTACCTGCCCACTCAACCGCATATGCAAAGATCGCCAGATTATAATGTGTTTCAGGAGCTCTTAGCAAAAGTGGCGGAAATGGTGGCTCCTCCTGCCTCCTTTCCGTTCCACATGTCAGAAAAATAAAACGAGAATAAAACAGAGAAAATCAGAAAATCGTCCAAGGAGCACCTCAGCCGTAGCCCAAAACCCGAACCGTTTAGTGCTCAAGCAGGCGCAAGCTACCCTGGACAACGACATTCTCCAGGATGGATCCGGGAGGGATGTCAATGGTCTGACCCTCGGTTGCAACAATGATGACGGTGCCCTTGAGAGTGACGCCACGGCCAAGGTTAACAGCACCGGTGATGGTGAGATGATCAAGTTCAATGATCTTGGGGATGCTGGGAATGCGCTTCTGGAAGTCCGAGACCTTCTTAAAGTCACCACCGAGCTTAATAAGTGGTGCGTCACCGAAGCGGCTGGCGCTCATCTGCAGTTGGCCGTGCTTGACGGTGTACAGATCCGACTTGACGAGCATCAGGTCGGAGCAGGTCTTGACGGGCAGGAAACGGCGGCGGGGGACGTTAACACCATGTGCGTTCTTGAAGTGCTTGATGGCAGCGCCGACGGCGGTCTCGAGCTGCAGGATGCTGATGTCGGACTCGCCCTTCTTGTCGCCGGGGATGGTCTTGCCGTTGGGGATGATCTCCATCTCAAGCTCGTCGTTCTCAACCACACGCTTGATGGCCTTGAGGTTCATCCAGATGTTGTTGGTGTTGAAGTACTTGAACTTCTTGATCGACTTGAACTCGTTCACATGCTCCTTGGGTACCTGGGCAATTTCGAGAAGACGCACGCTGCCCTCGTCGTCGATGATGGTACCACCCTTGACGTCGGCCTTGGTCTTGTTGGTCAGTTCCATGACGTACTCAGCCTCGCTCTCCACCATGTGCTGGAGAATGCGGAGGTCGACGACGGCGCCGAGGTTGTCAGCGTTGGAAAGGAAGATGATCTCGATGCCACGAGCCAGGAGCTTGTCCAAGATGCCCGAGTTGTACAACGACTCAAACACGTCACCGTGTCCGGGGGGGTACCAGTCGTGGAGGGCCGAGTCGAACGACTTGGGGACCGGGAGGAGGGAGTCCTTGTAGATTCTGGGGTACCGAGACTGGTTGAAGGTAAGGATGTCGACGTTGTGGCCCTCGTACTTCTTGATGATGGCGGCGGTGTCGTCGTCAGTGTTGAACGAGTTCATGAGGAGGATGGGCACGTTGGAGCCGTATGTGCGGTTGAGGTACTCGACCTGGCGGACCGACATGTCGAGGAAGGACATGCCGTCACGGACCTCGATGACCGACTTCGGGCCAACGCAACCCATGGAGGTACCGAGACCACCGTTGAGCTTGAGCACGGCCAGCTTGTTAAGGAAGTTGACCGACTCGGAATTGGAAAGATCATCATAATCGACGACCTGGCCCTCGGCGGGAGGGGCTATACGGTCCCACGAACTGCGATGATTGTTTGTCAGATTGAGGTCATCCGGCGTGGTGGAATGGACGGTTCCTCTGAGACCGCACTTACACCTGGTTGCCCTTCGCCTTGTCGTTCAGGTAGCGGCGGAAGAGCGAGAAAAAGTTGTCCATCTCGATCTCGAACAGCTGTGTAGCCTGTTAGACCCGTCGCTTGATTCCAAATTTCGAGTTTCGACCCTTACCTTCTTGTGCTCCGGGTCCTTCACCGTCTCGGCCAAGTTCGTCAGAGCATTGCGCATCTGGGCCGCCGCGATGTTGGTCGAGGTGTTCTCAAAGGCCTATAGAGAGAGAGAGAGAGAACAGTTAGCATGGCGTGCCTGGCCCTGTAATACAACAGAATAGGAGAGTGAGAATCAACATCATGGTCCAGCATCAGGACCACCGGGAGTCCGCGGTCCCCTTCAACTTCTGCCATATTTCGGTCCGGAGGAAGGCTGCGTTCCGAAGAGCGCGTCGTCAACGACGACATAGACGGTGGCTACCACAACGTCCTCGCACCCCGCTCTTTTGCTGTGTTGAAGTTGAGATACGAAAGGAAGGGAAGGGCCACTGGCCTCCTCCCGTATCGCCTCCCACCGCACCTGCCCGGCCATGGCGCCCAGGCTTTATTGGTTTCTTTCAAGGCAGCGGGTCTGTGATACCAGCTTCCCGCGATCCTGCAGTGGAAGGAGCACTTCAGGTGTTCTTGTGCCGCAAACGCCCACAGCCGGAACGCCACCTCCGTTCCCACGTATTCCCGCCGTTACTCGACAGGTTCGACGACCTCGGGAGGTCGTCGGGTTCGGAAGGCAGCCTTGGGCCACGAGCGCCCGCGGGTTCTAACCCCCGCCAGGGCGTTTCATGAGCAACGTGGAAACTCGGGCACATAGAGAATACACACAGAAAAAAAAAAGTGTGAACCAAGCCGGGATGTGGTCCAGAACTCACCATGTGGGATCTCGTCTTGCCGTGATGCCTCTTCGCAAACTCGGCCTCATCGCCGTTGCCCGGCTTAAGGTGAGTAGGCAGAGCACTCTTAATTGCTTGCGCCGCCATTTTGTTGGTTTTGTACGTTTGGGTCTGGGATCTGTGAGGTGGACGAATCGCGCGGGTGTAAGGCACAAGTTAGACCAAGCTGTCTGAAGGCCGTTTGTAGAGCGTTTTGGGTTTGTGTTTCGCGAGATAGGGAACCGGGAGGAAGTTGAAGGCAGGAAGGTGCTGTTTGACAGGATAAATTAGCCGATTGACGTAATGAAGGGCTTCTCAGAAACGTTGAAGTGGGATCGACTTGAATCGACCCCTCTTGCGCTGCCGTGGTGGAACTTGCGGGTGGTACAGCAATTCGCGGTGATTTGGCAGACAGCTTCGAGGTGCGGGGTCCTTGTTTGGAGGGGGAGCTCTCGAGCTTGGCGGCAACACTCACAATTCTTCAAGATTCCGTCAATGCAACTTGTGTAGTTTCCGGTAAGGGAAACAAGGCCTGGTTGCTGTCGAGAATGAGATTGAAACAAGATGAGTGAAGGGGGAAAAGGCGGTCGGGCTGGTTCAGGAGGTGCTCTCTCCTGTCTGGGAGTCAGACGCATTTTATCGACTCCCCCCCTCGATCGACGGTGCCCACCCCCCTGTCACTGCGTTAGTGGACCAGGTATTTCGGTTGCCGCTTGTGAGACGAGGATCCGACAACTTGGTGGCGCAGGAAGCCGTGGCACGATACCTTACCGTCGCAGCGAGAGACCAACGGTCGATCGATACTCACTCGGTACACAGAAGCAAAGCGCTGGCGTCGTCTTGTGACCGTTGTGGCAGTTGTGTTTCTGGTGGCCGTTTGATATGAAGCTCGACACCTACTGGACGGAATAAAATAACCATCGCCTGTTTTCTTTGATCTCGATAGAGGTACCAAAAGGAGTCACGGCTTCACCCCAATGATTTGGGTGTTTCTAATTCCCGATTTAATCTCACCATCGTCGATTTTGCCGCATACATTTCCGAAGGGTAGGATGGTGGCAAAAAGGCATCTTTTCTTCGATGGCCTGGGCCTCCCCCGTGTGTCGTTGCCGTGGGACATTCGATACCTGCTACTCTAACGCGAGCTCCCAACAGCCCCTCCATCAAAGCTTGGCCCAGGCCCACGAAGACCCCCTGTTGAATAAACCCGAAAAGCTCATTCTCCCTTCAGCCCAACGGAATCGAGAAATGATAAAAACGACTAATCGGCACTTCGTACCTAGCCGTCGTCATTGATTGGAAATTTGCTGTCCTCATTTGGAACGCTCGGCGCGTCAATAATTCACAATTTCACAGCCGTCTTGCATTGCCCGAACGATAAGATGCCCTTGACGCAGACTGTCGTGTAAGTAGAAACTTGTTGAGTAAGTAACCCAACCAACGACCTTGATGGCTCAGCTTAATGCGGGTGAAAAAAAACCTATCATGGAGTGGCGGACTTGAACCTTTAGTTTTTTTCCTTAGCGAAGAGCGGCAAGATTGTCGTGCACACCTCGAGGAACACACACATTTCACAATCAAGGAGTCAAGGTTGTATTCTTCCCAAAAAATATCTCATCGTTCACATTTGCTTTCGGCTTCGTCTCGGGCCTTGTTTCCCATCCTCGCTTCCATCCCGCCGAGCTCCACATCGTTTTGATTGATGCATCCACGCAACAAAAATTGGTCAATGTCCACAAGTGCGATGTGGTGGCATGATAGGTGGCTGGTAACGTTAGCTCTTGGTGCATCCAGTTCAAAAGGGGGTTGGCCCACGTGGGGACAAGACGGGAGATGTTTTGCCTCTTGCTCAACACCCAACAAGCAGCACAGCCGTTGCAGGTTGGTTTTGTGACGCCGCCTGAGAGGTTCGGTTGTGAAACATTACAGGCACTCTTCGGCAGCTCCCGGGACTATCTCCGGGGCTGAGCCGCATTCTCCCGCTAAGCTGAGGAATCAATGGGAAAGAGCATGCAGCGGCGCTCGTCCCATCACGACCTTATCGTGAACCGTTTTGACGCCTTAACCTACCCTAGTCCGCCTCGTAAAAAAGGAGATATCAACATCAAGCTCGAATGCAATCGCGCATTGCCCGAAGCTCGAGTCCCCCGCCGAGTCTCAAGGACTCGAGGGCATGGGTCAGGCTTGAAGTTTGTCCTGTGTATTCGTATGTCCCACCCATGTAATTGGTTCAGAAACAGCCCCACGCAAGCCGACGGGAGAACTACCCCGGACCACACCACCGCCATCACCGCTATCACCGTCCTCACAAGTCGGTGAAGGTTGTCTGAACCGTTGACCGCCAACTGGTCTTCCGAAGAGAACCCCAACACCCCGCATACAACACATCAGCATCTGATCTGTTAGCCTTCCAGCTGTCTTAAGACCACCAGCCCAAAGTGGGAGACTCGACGAGAGAAATCACCGTATTTCGAATATCGATCTTCTTCTCTTTCCCGCATGGGATCTGGGACCGGGTTTCCCACGGTTCAAATCTAAAAAACACCCGGCATCTCATATCGTAGAAAGCAAAGCACCAGTTACGACTATGACGATGAGCGACTCTCCTCCATCAGCCAACCTACCCTATTGGCAGGTCAACATCCCACCAGCCCTCCGGACCGCCGAGTGTCCAGACTTCCTCCGGAATGTCAGCGACAAGGACCGCGGCATCATCAGCACACCCGACTCCGAGTATGTCGCCGACTCGTGGGATGTTGTGAAACAAAAAGTAGCGCAGAATCGTCTCGAACTCTTCCAACGGCGGCCCTCCGACCTGCGCCGCTACCTTGCCTTCACGTGGAAACTGCGTCAAGACTATGGTAGCATCATGAACTTCATCCTCACGCACCGGCTACAATGGGCGCCACTACCCATCACCCCGCGCGGCAGCCGGCCGTTTGAGGCGGTAGATGAAGATGTCAAAGTGCTGAGGAACGACTGGCCGTATGGGATCGATAAGAGGATTGTGCACCTCGTGGTGTGGACCAAATTTGCCCTGGAAGAGGACCCGGAGACGGGGGATTTGACTGATGGCGCGCGCGCGAAGGTCGATGCGTATGTGCGCAAGGCATTTGCCAAACTGAACCCCGATCATGTTGGTGCTGCCGACCCTTAGAAAATTCGTGTGGATTTGCTGACGGGGAACGGTAGGTGGTATGGTTTAAGAACTGGGCTGCGCTCAAGTCGGTCAGGTCCGTGGAACATTTCCATGTCATGCTGTTTGATCCCGACATGGACGTTGTCAACGAGATCACGCACGGTGATGTCCCGATGTGCGAGAAGGAAAGTGAGCTCTGAGCTGAGTCTTAAGATTTACAACTATGCAATCTCAGAACGGTAGGGTAAGTAGGGTACCCAGCAGACTGCTCGAGCACTACTTTCCAGTCGGTTAGTGTAGCCTATCTTGGACCTCCACGATGGGACATTCCGCCATCGGCACTGCCGTGGGCTTCTCCATGCGAACGCGCACCCACCACCCCTCCTGGGGAAATGAGAAGGCGAGGACTGTCTGTGCTAGAAGGGCCCCCAAGGCTTCAAGTGTCTCAAACGATGACTCTTCCATGGCCTGCATCTAGTTAGCACTCCTATGAAGACATGAACAATAGAAAGTAGACCACTAACCTTGACAACCGCCCGCTCAATCTCGACATAAATATCCTCCTTCCTCGTGTACCCTTCCACCGTAACCGTAGCGATGACAAACTGCTTTGCTAGGCGTTCGTTTGCGTTCACTCCGATCAGGGTCGGCACCTTCAACTTCGTAACCTCCAGGGCCGATGCCGTCTCTATAACACTGCCTCCCTCATCGAATACCGCGCTCGTAGTCAGCTTGACACCATCACCGAGAAGCGAAGCTTTGGGCAGATCCACGGCGAGAGACAACAAACTGAGCCGTTTAGGGTTCAAAAATGTGGACGTCGACTCCCCCTTCCCATCGCTGCCCACCACCTTCAACCCATCCAACCCCAACCCCAAAAAGTCCACCCACACCCGCTCCAACACCTCCCTCACTCCTCTCTCCTGTTTCTCCTCCCCCTTCTCAACCTCCGCCTCCTTCTCATACCCCTCCAGCAGCCCCAGAACCCTCTTACTCAACGTCCCATAATGCACCGTCTCTTCACCGAGTGAATCCGACTCTGAAACGCGCCCAAAGGGGTCCCGAAAGGCAACCTCGGCCGAGACCAGGCAGGGCTGCGATTTGCCTGCGCGGCCCCAGGCGTCGTGGCCGGCGCGGGTGAGGATGGTGGAGAGGTTGCGGATGTGGACTACGGCCGGGGGATGGGGGACTTGGGCGCGGAGGCGGGGGTGGGTTGTTGATTGGGGCATTTTCTTGAAGCTTTGTGTCCCCTTTTTTTTGGTGGCACCTTTTCTTGGGTGTTTGGGATAGGGCGGGCGTTTCCTAGTTAAATTGGGGTTGAGTTTGGAGCTTCTCAGAAAGGGTTGTTTTGCCGACGGACTTGGGAAGTCGAGAAAATTGTGAGGTCAACTTACGGGCAGGGGACGCTCGGTGTATTAATTCCAGAAGGAGTTGCAAAGTCGGAGTTTAATGCAAGCCGAACTTTGGTTAAGTTAAGCAACCAGGTTGTCTGTTGAATGATGGGATCCTAGAGCAAAAAGCGGGTAGTCTTTTAATGTTGATTAAGGTCTAGCTTAACTGGCAACCTGTGTTTGAAGAGTGTTGCCCATGCAAACAGCCAATTGAGGGGATGAAGCTCGACAAACGGATCCCCCCACCTTTTGCAAATCGACTGAAAGACTCACCAACGCACCTTTCCGTGATTTCAGACGTACCACCTTCTTAATCGCTCTTTTTTTCCCTCAAGCGCCTTGAATCTCGAGATTCAATCCGGGCAGCGTCCGATTTTCTGCATCAGTCCGAAGGGCTCGTAGCCTCTAGTCTGGCTTTCTCGCGGGCGCGTCTCGCGTTTGGGGAACATTCGGGTTAGGGTTAGATAGAATGTCACTAACAACGCACGACCAGAACCCCGAGGATTCACGCAGTTGTTGTCTCCGTTTAAGTCCCTCCGAGAGTTGTTGAGAGCGGAAAAGTGGTTACATTCCCAAAACAACGGGTGTGAGACTACAGGTCGAACCCACGACAATCTAACCTTTCGGACTAGAAATGTAATGAGAAGTCAGCCGCGGGTAACCAGGACGAACAATCTAGAACTAGGTTTTAGACATATAAAAGATGTCCTCGCAGGGTGAAGTTCACCACCTACACACATAAGCCAGCTAAATATGTTTGTTCTCCCGGCTGTTTATGTATACCACTTTAAGTGGTAACTGTTTGCGGGACTAGAGAGCATACTGTCCTAAGTGTCCTTAGGTATGTTCCAATTCCCTCGTGGTAACGCCACTTGCAGTTTCTCATTTAATATGAACACATGATCCAAGACTTGATTCCAAATATCGTAGGTTTTCCGTAGTATCATGGTATAGTCCATCATCATAGTGTCTTCGAGCTGGTGGGCTAGTTGCGTCCCTCAATAAAGACAGTTTGGTTTCATCCCACCCTGCTTTTATCGCAAAACGGCGCTCCTTCCCGTACCTTCCCCATCCTCCCCTTATATACCATCTCCCAACCCCCCAATCACCAGCTCCTCCCAATTGAAGCAAAACAACGGTTTAGCTCAGCGGCATTGGGAGGAGGGTCCCGCCACTACCGTCGTAAATCGAAATGGCTCTGGGTTCGATCCCCAGGTCGGCGGAGCAAAAACCGATAACAAGGTTTTTCGTAACTTCCAACGTTTATCCCTCCGGATGGGGATGGGCCTTGGTTTTGAGCTTCTTGAGTCTGCTTTTAACAGTTCCGTTTTTTTGTTGCTTCATTTGTTCCTTTTATTTCTTCCCTTTTTTTTAGTTTCTTCATTTATTTTTTTGTTTCTTCATTTTGTCTCCCACATCCAACTATGGCTTTATACCTGTGGTTAGTTTCAATTGTCAATTCAAGGTACTCCAAGTCGAGTACCACCCCAAACACCAAGTAAGTTGTTGACGAAAGTCGCAGTTGAAAGTAATAACGGAATCTAATTGCAATTAGCATAGAAAGTACTGCGCTAGCTTCGCCTTTTACTAAGTTGCCCTTGCAGTTACCTAGTCCCGAGAAACAAGGGTACAATACAGTCTTGTCTGGAACTGCCCGAGTTTACTGAATAACTTGACCACAACATCCAGTCAAAGCATTTACCAGCCAAGTCTAAACTCATTCTCTTACGAAGCAATGAAAGAAACAAGGGTTACAGTTTGCCGAGTTTCGAACTCTGTGTCCTAATAACCAGGCGCGCGGGAACGAATTGGAGAAACGCCAAAAAAGTAACGTTGATGCAGCACAATTACCGTGCAAATTGATTCTTGTGTTATCGTTTCATCGATCTCGATTCCAAGCCGCAGAGAACATTCTTCGAGTCCTTCTAGAAGGCGCTGTGCGGTCTTGGCGGGGCAACAATTAACCCAAGAATTGGGGTAAGTTCCTTTCAGACAGGATGCGTGCTGCAAATAAATTGATTCCCAAGTTTAAGCGCAACCCCAGCGAACAAGTTGAGATCGATCGACAGTCCTTCAAACCGGGTCACCAGAATTTGGACGCGGGCGCCAAGCCCTGAGGCTCAACGTTCTTTCGATGACTGAGGCTGAATGAGAACGACGGTGGTTTGTTGTTGAATGTTGAGTGTCGCGAAGGGGTTTGTCACCACGCAAGAAGTCAACATCAGAGATCAACCACCAACAACAGAGACGACGGGTGGTCTGACACGGCACCTTATCAATGAATTTACATAGTAAAGCCATTACCGCCCCCTGTCCTGAGGCATTTATCCCGCTGTTGCCAAGTGGGTTCGAGCGATAAGGCGTGATGGAAGATCACCAAGGCGCAAGCTCACCTCCCCCAGATTTACGCTGCGTCCGCCTGTGCCGACACATCCACACACCCGCATCGAAGCAACAGAGATCGCGGCGCCGACAAAGTTTAAAAGACGGGGTTTCTGCCGTCGAATCTCCTCGGCCGTGTCCCGAGTACCACTCCCCTCTTTCTCTCCGCTTCTGCCTGCGGGTTTGCCCCAAGGATCACGATGGATCATGATATGTGGTGGTGTTTGTTGATGTGGATGTTGTTGAGTTGGGAGATCAAGCACGGGCTTGCTCCTGAGGTTTGCTTTCCGTCCAAAGCGGCGGCCGGCCAGTTGAGCATTGGAAAAGGCCGAGTTACTCGCCGGTTTGGCATGAGATCTGGCTCGGTATACTCTGTCCGTGATTTTTCCCGCCTTCTTCCAGATTTCCCTGCCGCGTCCCTTCGCAAAGGATACCGCGGGATGTCTTGCCTGGGCGGGCTTGTTTCGACGTCTGAAGTGGTGTTCGGCGCTTGGCTATGGTCGTGTTTCGATGGGGCTTGTCTGGCAATTCGCATCGTGCATCCGTCTTGGCCGGCACCTCGATGATCTTCTCCTTTTCCTTCCAACCCACCCTCCTTCCCTTCTGCATGCAATCTCCAAAGAAGCCTTCGAGAAAGAAACAAATCCCCAAGGAGAACAACAAGGAAGACGCAGGATGCAGTGTCCCAAGCAAGCGGCAGGGGCGAGCACGGGAAAGGGCGCCCAGAGTGTCCAAGAACAGTTAGATCAAGAGGAAGCCCCATGCTGACGGATGGGCCCATGGGACTTGGCGCGGGTGAAGTGGCTGTTTCACGGCAGTGATCGGCAGGCGCGAGGGAGTTCCTTGGACCTTCCATGGACGTTCTGCCGGGCCAAGGCCTCCAGGAACCAATCCACAGGCAGCCTTGGACCGTTATGTGCTCCGCAGTGCGCACCAAACTCCAAACCTTTTCCCACAACCCGCCCAAACACGACGACAGAGGAGGAGTTCCCACAAATCCCAGCGCCAACACGGCGGCATGCGGTTCGTGCGGTTCATCAACCCGCCCCGTGGATTCGTCGCTTTTGCCCCGAGTCCCCCCTCCCCCCTTCATCTTCCCCGTGTGCTTTGCCCCTTGGGGCCCCGCAAACGCCTCTTCAGCCGGTGGCCGGGACGGGGGACGTCTGCCGACAAGCGAGTTGCAGGAAACCCGCTCGAGCAAGATGATGCAGGGAGCGAGCCGCCGACGACATGATGGACCGCAGGGCGGCTGGCTCAAGGCTGACGAGAATTGTGGAAGAATTGCCCCCCAAGGCTTCCATCCAAACTTGGGAAAACTTGTCCAATAGTCAACCCTGTGCGATCAGACTCCAAACCCTCGAATCCGGGTCAACGTTCAGATGAACTTGCGGCTCTCCAAGAACCGGGCGAGTGCATTGGCAGTGTTCCTGCATCCGGGAAACCAAAATTTGCGGCTCATTCTTGCGACCAATCGTCTGGGACACCGAACAACATCTCACTGGAATCCAGCGCCGCATCTTGGTCATGTTGCTCCGGCGGGCATGCCCAGACGCAAGCAGGGTTTCAAGATTTTCCAGCCCGTCTCTTGGTGATGCCGATCATGAGCTTAACCGGTCGAGCTCGGTGCCTCACCTCCGGCTCCCGAATCCGCCCATTCTGTGTCGACGACAACAGCTTGGCAACCAAGCAAAGCATCCCAGCATCGCACAGGGTTCGCCGGACTCGGCCAATTGCCCCTGGAAGCCTGGTGTTGAACTCACAACCGGCTCTCCCGATGCGTCTGGTGATCGGCAGCGAAAGCCCGCCAGTGTTTGGGGAAGTGGGGAGACGGAGGAGAGAAAGTTGGGGTTGGAGGGGAACACCCCAGATGGGGGTGAGTGGGGGCCGGCGATTTTGGCGTGGGGCTTGGAGGATTCCGTCTGGGGCATCATGCCGAACGAGAGCCTGATGAGAGTGATCCTGGATGCCGACGCGCTCTCTGTGCTCCCTCTCACGGCTCCATCAGGCCCTCTTCAAACCCGCTCGCCGCCCTCCACAGCAAGACCGAGGGCCCGGGAGATCGTCCCGTGTCGAGCCCCCGGCGCAACAACGTCCGGGGCTGCAAGCGATGGCCGCCCCTGGCGAAAAGAGTGGGAAGGCGGGCGTCTTGGCCTTGCGGCGTGCCCGACGACCACAGGTCAAGGTTGTTCAAGGTTGCTGATGCCTGTGATGCGGCACGCGTTCAGCCGTGAGCGGGTGTGGCAACCTCCAACAAGGAGGCACGATCGGAATACGACCAGCACGGGTGTCTCCCCACTCTCTGCTCCCCAGTCCCATGCGCATTGCCGTCTGCCAGGTTCCGTGGATCAACAGAGTAACTCGAGAGACGATCCGGGGGAGAAACCGCCCATCGTGAACGATCCCGTCGTTGGTATAAGAGGGAAGCGGTCCCCCCCGTTGAGATCGGAAAGAAGAAAGATGCATCCCCAGTCTTCACTTCTCTCGTCCAAGACAACCTCAAGAGTCTGCCCACCATGTACACCAAGGTCGCCACCGCTCTCTCTTTCGCCAGCCTCGTGCTTGGCCAGCAGGTCGGAACCCTGACTGCTGAGACTCACCCCTCGCTCCCTATCCAGGTGTGCACGGCGGCTGGCGCTTGCACGACTGAGGACACCACCGCTGTCCTTGATGTGAGTCTCCCATTTCCCTCGCCAAGATATATAACATCCAAGGACAGCAACATCTGAATGAAAAACACGATCTAACTTTGTGTAGGCCAACTGGCGCTGGACTCACGTCACTGACGGCTACACCAACTGCTACACCGGCAACGCCTGGAACGAGACGGCGTGCCCGGATGGCGCGACGTGCGCTGCGAACTGCGCCATCGACGGTGCCGACTATGAGGCCACCTACGGCATCACGACCCCCGAGACTGGTGCTCTCCGCCTGAACTTCGTCACTTCCAACGCTGACGGCGCCAACGTCGGCTCGCGTGTCTACCTTCTCGCCTCGGAGGACAAGTACCGCCTGTTCAACCTCCTCAACCAGGAGTTCACCCTGGACGTCGATGTCTCCAACCTCCCCTGCGGCCTTAACGGCGCCGTCTACTTCTCCGAGATGGATGAGGATGGTGGTCTGTCCCGCTTCGAGGGCAACAAGGCTGGTGCCGCCTACGGCACCGGCTACTGCGACTCGCAGTGCCCCCAGGACATCAAGTTCATCAACGGCGAGGCCAACTCCGAGGGCTGGGACGGCAGCGACGAGAACTCGGGTGCCGGCAAGTACGGCTCCTGCTGCGCGGAGATGGACATCTGGGAGGCCAACTCGGATGCCACCGCCTACACTCCCCACCCTTGCTCCGTCACTGAGCAGACCCGCTGCGAGAGCGAGGCGGACTGCGGCGCTGGTGACAGCCGCTACGCCGGTATCTGCGACAAGGGTACGTCTGGTATCCTTTCTTTACCACACACGGGGAAGGAAGCGCACTAGGAACGCATGAATGCAAGACTAACAATGATACAGATGGCTGCGACTTCAACAGCTACCGTATGGGCGACCAGTCCTTCTACGGCCCCGGCTCGACCGTCGACACCGCCAAGCCCATTACCGTGGTGACCCAGTTCATCACCGATGACGGCACTGACACCGGCAGCCTCTCGGCCATCAAGCGCTTCTACGTCCAGGACGGCACCGTCATCCCCAACTCGCTCACCGTCATCGACGGCATCGATGCCACCAACGAGATCACTGAGGAGTACTGCGAGCAGCAGAAGACCGCCTTTGGCGACAACAACTACTTCAAGACCGTCGGCGGCCTTGCTGGTATGGGCAAGTCGCTCACCAAGATGGTCCTCGTCCTCTCCATCTGGGATGACCAGTAAGAACCCCCTTCTCTCCCTACAACTTCATATAATTTATTCTAACTTACACCCCCTCCAGTGCCGTTTCCATGAACTGGCTCGACAGCAACTACCCCACCGACGCCGACCCGACCGCCCCCGGTGTCGCCCGTGGCCGTTGCGACCCCGCTGACGGTCTGCCGGAGACCGTCGAGGCCGCGCACCCGGATGCCTACGTCATCTACTCCAACATCAAGGTTGGTGCCATCAACTCCACCTTCACTGCTGCTTAAATAGATTGAGCGCAGGGCGATGGGTGAGAGAAGAGATGTATAGATGGGCCGGTGCAGGGGATTTGGAAAATGTAAAGCGTTTTTTTTGGGAAAGATTTGGGATGGGATCATCAGAACTTCGGGTATATATATTTGAGTTTGATGGTGATGGGCAATGTATATACGGCCATTTCATGCATACATACGTACATAACATGACGGTTTACAAAGAGATGCTTATGATCTTGTGATGAAACTGAGTAACTACCTGGTCCCTGTCAATTGTCTAGTTCATTCTTTTCGCTTGTCTTTATTTTTTTGTTCGAGAGTGAGAAATATTTTTCAGTCAACGCTGCTGTCATCGGAATTTTAGCAGCGAGATAGATGGGCAATTCATGTTTTGTTCTGGGTGCTGTACTAAGAAGAGGGGTTATTACATACATGATTTCATGAACATATGTCCATGACATGAAGCAACGCTGGGAGTGGCACGGTGATGTGAGTGAGTGATAAACAAGCGGTCGTGTTTTGTAGAAGCGGAGTTGAGGTAACTGATGAAGGACGCCACCTCGAGCCTCTCATTGCATGTTGTTTTATCTAGCACCGGTAATTAGACTTTTCTTTTCGTTTTTATTATTGACCTTGGACCTTTTCCCCTCGAGCACAACATAACGACGATGGACCTACTTGGCTTAGTTTCAATGTTTGGCTTAGTTGGCTGAGTTGCTGTTCGAGTGACCCGTTTGAGCCGATAAAAAATGGGTTTCTCAAGATACCATGAGCATGATATCCTAGGATGTTGAGTAAATGTATTTGTCATGGTTGATGGAAATAAAATAATTGTAAGACTGCTAAGTGAAAGTCTATCAAAACGACTTGAGGAATTATAGGTGATGGATTATTTACGAAAGTTTTGTCTGGAAGGCCCTCGGCTTATAGTAAATGTAATTATCTTGTCCGTTCAAAATGACCGTCTTAATCTACAGGTGGCCGCTTCGTGACCTTAAGATTGCTTTTAATACCTCAACATGGCTTGTAAAATGTCTGGCCCTTTTTATTTATTAAAACCGCATCACCACGTCCTAATATTTCCGGTAATATTTCTGCCACAGTAAAGAGAGATTTAAATACCGTGCAATTAAGAAATTTGTCCTTGGTGGCCTTTTTCCTTTTTCCTTTTTCCTTTTTCATTGTATCATGTTATTTTTGACACTTCGCCCTTTTAGAAGACATTCCCTAGTAGGATGATGTCGCTTTTCCCCAGAGACTAGCACATTGGTTCTTTCCCTTAAGAACAAAGAGGGTTCACGTGGGTGAATAGGTTTGACAGTTACGGAGGAGTCAATCTTGAGTGTTGATGCTATCCAGGGGCTTTACGGTTAGCTTCAACAAGAAGCACCGTTCAAACGTCAAATCGATATTTTAAGCGCCATGATCGTTCTGTGGCCCGTTTTCCCTTATTTGCCCCCCGACTTTGTGTCCTAACCGTGGAGAGATCGAGTTGTATCGTTTAATTTACGGATTCCCGCCGAGACATGATCTGTAGGCTACCGTGACGGCACAACAACTCCCCTGCGCTTTGGTGATCGATGGTGAGCATATAAGAGGAATATCGCCACACACGCCATCCTGTAACGTCACTCCCGGGCCTGGTACACTCTCGCTGTGTTACATAGTAGACCATACGGCTCTTACCCGAGATAGGCGCCGTGTAACCTCGATGAAATGGACGAAATGCCCAACTCTACCCTACTGTGGACTCTTCCCAACCCATCTACCCCCTTTGACTGGCTGCAAACGGCCCCTTAAGGGGGAACCGCTGTGGTTTAAGCCTCCACGAGGTAACGAAAAATAGCACGATGGCTTCCTGGGCATTGGGTGATGGGAGGCATACCAGTTGAGCTCTCGGGGTATTGGAGGACCCCGGTCAAACTACGCTCGTCCGTTTGCTGTTGTCACTTCGCCGTTTATGCAAGTCTGTCTGATGCTCCCGTCTCGGCGCGGTGGCGAAAGTGTGCGCGTCTCTACAGCTGGCATTAAAACAAGTTTGGATTTGAGGTAGGACGAGCCCAATCTCATTTATGAGGCGGCGACCTCTGTTGTAGTTGGACATATCGGAATGGCATCCCGCCCTTTGACTCCCGTTTATGTATTCTCGCCTGATGATAGAGGATAGCCCGATCGTGAGGCTCATGGAAAGAAGGTAGGCATCTTTGCATGTAGTAGATCTCGAAACAAGGCAATGACCGCCGGCCGTCATCCGACCGTGCTACCGGTTTGCAATATCACACACTGAGCGGCTCTTCTGGGCCGGGACGGTCAGAGGGTGTCGGGGGGCAAAGAAAGCGGGCCATGAGGCTCATTCTGAGCCACTCATGGAGCGCCAACTTGGATGGGCGCGCCATCCTGCAGACCCTCCGACTGCACCAAGCCGGAATGGGCGCAAGTCATTGCAAGATTGCCCAGTTGGCCTCATGCAAGGCGAGCGGGTGAGCCCGTCAAAGTCTTTTGACAGGTGATTTGGGAGGCGAGAATCAAATCATCAAGCTTGCTGCAGAGTTCAACACAGGCACAGGGCGATGGGGATGGAAAGCGGGCGAAACCTTGAGTTCTAGACTGACACGTGGATGCGAGGTAGTTGAGGGAGGAGGGTTTAGGTTGCTGTGTAATGTCGACAGCCTTTTTTTTGTCTCCGCCTTGTCGGGAATGAATGCAGGAAAATGGATCGGTTGAGGACCGAGGACCACAGAGACAAGAGATGGAACATATACGGAGAGATCAACCAATGCAATAACTGCGTCGTCGAGACATACACCGAGAGAAACGGAAGGGAGCCCGGCAACTGGCCCGGCGGTGTGGATGGCGCATTGCGTGGTCTTGCTGCCGGCTGTCCTGCGAGCTCGCAAGTTCGAGATACGGCGGCGCCCCGTGATTCGACCGAGCTCCTGGCGTGTTGAGAGAGAACGAAGGCACTTGGAGGGCGACAACTTGGCGGGGGCGGCCACGGCGGCGACCAAGTTGGTGAGAGGTGTGTGGACGGGCCAGATGTGGGGAGGTGAACCCTGCCGGCCGAGAGGGTTCGTCCAATGATAGCTCCGGGTCGGGTTTGGTTGCAGCTTCCATCCCAGCTGAAGAAGAACAACAGTCCAGTGAGGCGTCGGGCTCGGGCCGGAAAAGTGGAGTCGAGGTCAGCAAGCACCGAAAGCACTTTCTCTCAGAGAGAGCTTGTCGGCTTTGCTCACCAGTTCGGACGGCTGGCGTGTGGTTGCTGGGGGGGAGCTGGAAGGAACCCTGGCATGCCCCGCCCGCGCTTTCCCCCTTCACTTTGTAACCCTTGTCGGTTCTCGATCTTGGCGGGCTCCAGGCTCGCGAGCCGCTGGGGCCAACTTTTGCTGTGTGCAAGGAGGAGAGCCCATCGACGAGCAAGCAGTTTGGCGCGCTGGCTCGGCTTGGTTGTGGGTTGTGTTTGGTTGTGGATCGAGAATCCGACCCCAGCCCCCCGTCGCACCTTTAACCCTGGTCAACCAAACAACAAAACACCAGCAAGACAAGACGTGAACAAACGAAGACATCACGCAGTAACGGATTTCCACGAGCCAAACGCCCACCGGCGCGCAAGCGCATTTTCGACGCCATTGATACCCGATCGCGTATTGCGCGTAGCACACACAAAACGCCCACACGCAACGAAATAATTACACCCCAAAACACACGCCGGAATACCTCCATAACGAAGAAAAAAACGAATGAATGGGCCGTGAAGAAATCGTGACATTGTTTTTGCACAGTCCGTACGGTCTGCTGCGACGATGAGAGACCGTCGCCGCAGCCCGGAGAGCACGCGGCGGCGGCGCGCAGAGCGTCGTCAGTCCCGAGAGCAGCTTGCTGCCGTCGCCGCTGCCGTCATGACATCACCCACTGGTACTGCCACTGGTACCACTGCTGCTCATCCTCCTCCTCACCCTCCTTCTCTTCCCGCTGGGTCTCAGAACACGACGCCTCGCGCCGGGCCGCCCCCCGGTCCGACCCCGAAGCCGTTGTCGTCGCACGCCTCTTCGTCGTACCGCCGGGCGCGGGGCCGGGCTAACTCCAGCTCGTCCTCGTCCTCGTCGTCGACATCTTCGCTGGTGGACATTTCGCGCAAGAGCCGGTTCGGCATCCGGTCGTTCTTTGCATCATCGTCGGTGAAGAAGGTCAAGAAGAGGCGGTCGTTCCGCAAGAAGAACGCGTCGTCGTCGTCGTTTGATAGCGACCTGGCTTATGGCGCGGGCTATATGTCCAGGTCGTCGTTTGAGAGGCAGCGTGAGCGGGAGTCGTACGACGGGTACGGATATGGCTCGTATTACAATCAGCAGCCGCAGCCGCAGCAGCAACAGCAATACCCCCCGAACCCGTCTCAGAATTATGCTCAACAATACCCTCCTCAGCAATACCCCCAACAATATCCTCCGCAACAACCCCAGCAATATCCCCAGCAATACCCTCAGGCTCAGCAGTACCCTCAGCAGTATTCCCAACAATATTCCCGTGATCAGCCGTCGCAGCAGGGCCGACCGGAGGAGGACCCGCTGTTTGGCCCTGATGGCCGGCCGGCGCTGCAGCGGGCACAGACGGACGAGGAGATCCTAGCGCTGGGTCGCCGGCTGTCCGATCTGGCACGGGCCGAAAACGACCGAGACCTGGAACGCGCGGGCAAGAAGCGGCCGTCACGGATGGTTGCGGCGGCCGCGGCCCTGTCCGAGTTCCACCGCCAGGGCTCGCACGGCCACCCGTCGTCTTCCCGTGGTCTCGGGCCTTCCCGGCCGCAGCGCCATCAACACGACGAGACGGATCCCGAGTGGGAGTCTGCGTCGGACTCGGACTCAGATTTCACGTCGTCGGATGACCATAACAATGACTCGGACGATTCGGCGCTCGCGTATGGGTCGATGCCCCGGTTCTCGGACCAGAGCTTAGTGTCGACCACACAGCGACCGCCTCACAGCGGCAGCCAGGCTCACGGCCAGCCGCAGAGTGTGATG